ATGGACCGAAGATGATTATTTTAAATTCAATTTAAAAACGACATGAGAGCCCAAAAGGCTAAAAAGGGGAAGGGAGCGGAAAGGCGGAAGAGACACCTTAACGGAGGCAAGGGAAGGGAGAGGGAAAAGGAATAATTCAAAAAAAAAACATCCAAAAAAGAAGAAGTGGAGTCAATAACCGTCATCGTCATCCATTTTGCCCTTCAACCTTCTTCCGGCCAATGGTGAAGCTTCCGGCAAAGGCATTTGGGAGGATTGTCATAGATTCCCATAGGTCTCATAGCTGTTGACACTAAGGAAAACAAGGAAATCAAAAAGGGCGGTAACAAATCAAGTCAAAATTACAGATACCGTATCCCGTATGGCCCTGACCCCGGGGAACAGCAGGCGATTCCTTAGTGTCGCCTGAAAGGGCGCTAAGAAGATTCTCCAGTCAAGCAAGGATGATCGGCTTACCAGATTTTTTTCTTTAACTCCCGGAAATGTGGTTTTAGTGCGAATTAGTGAGATGATAGATCTCACTTTCTGTTGCCGGCCTGCGCCTCCCCGAGACCCGGTTGAACTCTGTACAGATCGAATACATAAACATTTAAACAAATCAATAGTGAGAAAAAAATAAAGATAAAAACAAAAATTAAAAATTAAAAAAACAAGAGAAACAAGGATTCCCTCTCATGCCATATTTTAAACTACGTCGTACAAAACATAGTCATTGAGATTCGTGATGTCAACTTTTGCATGACAGCGTAAGGCGAAAAAAGATTAAAAATTTAAATTAAAACCAAATCAAAAAGATCCCCCGATCCACCAGTGTCGCGGAATTATGAGCAAAAGTACCCAGCCGCTTTCCCACATACTTGGGACAAGCCATAGCTGGAAAAGACGGGAGATGAGCTGAACTCTGATTCTCGGGACCAAAGGATCGCCTTCCCCGACGTTCTTGCTCCATAGTGATTTCTTTGTCATTGCGGAATGGAGGGTTGGTGGATCCGAACCGAGCTGCTCTTTGTTCTTTTCCCTGCATTGCGAAGCATAAACAATCAATCACAAACAATGGGCAAATTCGTGTCTCGCATTGATTCGATCGTGAAGTCAATCTGAATGATAACATAAGCTGTAAGAGAATCTACTGCCGGTCGCCATTATTAATAGTTAATATGACTTTGAAATCTTCGAAACAGGAAATCCTTAGAGATGCGGTGTACTCTGCCAATTCAACCAATGGTAGTAGATTGACTCCAGGTTTGTTTCCTCTGACGTGCCGTTTGCTCGGTATCTGACACCCGTTATGTCTATCATCCAGACTATTGGTATAAAGTAGGCGCAGAGTGTTTTATCCGCGGCTCTAGGTCGGCTAGCGTGTCTGATGTTTCCGGTGTGCCTAGGTTTCGACTAATCAGATCCTATTCCGGAAGACTTCCAGAGTCATCAGGATCAATGTGCCTGAAATTTGGGGAATGTGCAACACTAAAAAGGGGGGAACTATTGATTTTGGTTCCTTGTTCATCATAGTGGACCGTCAACGGGGCGATCGTCCTGTCAAGTAATTCGAATACCAGTATTGATGATTTTTGGTCTTCGAGAACAAACAATCAGCTGAGCTTGTTCATCGAATTCACCGACACTCTGGCTTGGGACCCGCTTTGGGGCGATCGCCACAAAAGGGATTCTTAATCGAAATTCTCCGTTACTCCGCAATCACGAATTGTATCTTGTGGCAATATATGATACCAGTTCCACTAAGGATAGTGTTCCACGTTATCCCTTTGTTCCGGTTGTGTGTCATGTTAGGCCGCTACTAAAGGCTACAGATATTCAGATTTGATGTTCCTGCGAGCCTATCCAAAAGTCGGTAAAGTGCCGACCCAGCAGAAGGGGCCAACGGAGCGGGGACCCAAGGGGCTGGAAAACTTTCTTCTTAGTGGGACCATTATTGTATCACTTTGTAATAGGTACAATACCTAGTGTTTCCCATGTACGACAGAAAGTGGACATGCAGTTCCTAGCCCCGCGAGCCCAAAGGCGGGGCATCCAGAAAGCCGGTGAGAGACCCAGAAAAGGAAAGGAAGATATATGGAGAGAGGGGAAATAATTATGGGTCTCCACGACGTCATCGTACTTGGGTAAACAACTATGAAACTAGGGAGCCTCTTCAAGAAAGCGGTGGAATGACTATGAAGAAGATCCCGATTCACCGTGTTTAAGATCTTGAAGTTGAATGGCTGAATCTACAAGTCGAAGGATCGACCACGAGTCATACAGCTTGCAGCAGAGGCCCAAGTCCTTTGAAGCAAACAAGAATGATATCTCCGGGAGGAAATCCATGCAATTAGACTCGAGGGGCGACGAGGACACCAATCAAACAAAGAAAGGTGCTTAGCTGTACATGTACAGGGCTTGTCGGGCAGGAAGCGTTTACATTTTGACAAATCCTCTGCACGAAATGCATAGACATGCGGGGGGGTTATTCTCGGCTTGAAGGTTTCATTGACAGCATGGGGGAAAATGTAGCGGTGACGAGAGTGCCATTCGTCAAAGCATCATCACGCGACAAGTGGCTCCATATCGTGTCTGCCTCGATTACCATTCGGACTGTTCGGATCAAGGTAAGATGGCGCAACGGGCGGTTGCGGACTGAATTTTTTGGGCTTTTATTTTATTCTACTATCCATTTGCTTTTTCTTTTTTTTTCAAGCCGTTTCATTTTGTGATCTGTGCTCTTTGATGTTTTTCAGGCTGAAAAAAACAAATAATACAACGTTCTCGGATCCCAACTCCGGTCGATCGAAGCAATGAGCTTGATTTCCTTAAGTCCTGCAGCAGAGTAATCCCTGAGCGGGGCCAGGAAGACCCTAGTCAAAACCTCCGATCAACTTCCCGAGGGACGCAAGCCGACGGCGGTGAAGTGCTTGGCTGCAGCTTAATGCTTTGTGTATACATCGCGCCTATGGCATTGACGACACGTTCACCTCAGCGCTTGCTCCCCGAGGCTGTCCATTCCTCCTAAGCCTATGAGATTAGGTCACGGCTGCCCGCTCATTTGCGTCTGCACCGCCGGTAGCCGGGGGGAAATTTCTACGAACATTCTGGCCGATCATTTCGAATCGAACTGGAAATGCAGCTGTAGCCAAGATTGATATTTTGACCTCAGCGATTCATTGTTGCCCAAGCAGGAGTCACAAAAGACGGTGAGTACAGGTCATCTACACCGCGCAGGCAACGTCGACGCAAAAAACAATCCTGAGTGATTCTTGAAGACGTGTCCTCGTCATGTCTCCCTTCAATGTCTTGAAAGTATACGAGCCATCCGACCCTCCCCCTTGTTGAAATTCACTCTAAGAAGAAGATGTACGCTTGTGGCATTTGTCAGATTGGGTATGCTCCTAGCATCATCATCATCGTGCTCCCGAAAATCATCCCCGATCATCTACATTCTTCATGATGTAGGAGTACCCTTCATTCCAATGTTCATCTTGATTACCTCATATTGCCCTCGTTTCTATGTACGTTGGCTCTTCTCCAAGGTTTTGAGTCTGCGAGCAAGGGGGGCCAAGCACACGCTTACCCGCAACAGCCACAGGAAATATTTGAACAGCCACGATCGCGATGATCACGGAAACCTTTTACGAGGCTTACGAATGGACCGGGTTTTGCCAATGGCGCCTAGATCAGTTTCGATCTTAAAGATCGGGGCTTGGGATCGACGCTCAGCGCAGATGTCGTGCCAGGTTGTCGGGTTTCTGACAGCTATGATACTGGGGGCCGGAACCCGGTCCACAGAATTCGTGTAAGCAAAAGCGGCATCGCCTTCCATGAGAATGTAAGGCACATATCAGTTTTTTCTTTTTGGGAATTTCATTCAGAGAATACTGCGCTCAGGCTTTTTTTTTTTTTGGGCCCCCATACCACCAAGCGAAAGATAAAAACAAAGTTGGAAAAAAACTCAATTGTGATGTATCAACTTCCCCAAGAGACCGAGAGATTTTCATTTTTCTTTTTGTTTTTTTCAGTTTTTTCTTTTCTAATTCACATTCCAACACGACGTTGGGACAGTGCAGGAAAGGAGTTTGCAGTGGGAAATCACAATCCAAGAAGGTTACCTACAGACTTCATATCCCTAAGAAAAAGTGAGATACTGAAACTATGAGGTAATGTAGATCATGACACCGACTCCTTGGTTTTCAGGCGATCGAGATCCCCGATACGGGATGCAGCCCAAACGCCAAGTTGACTATTGGTGTAGTCTAGACTTTCCATCACGACAATGCCGCCATTTGCGATGTGTTCATTACACGTAACTTCCCGTGCTTCCCGATCGATCGCGAAGGTCGAACTTTATTGCGCAAAGTTCTGTGCCATGCCCAAGCCTATTCAGCCGAGAGAGGATCTAGGTATCTCTTTCAAATACGGGTTACACTGCGGGGGCGAGCGAGATCCAGATTGCTTTTTCCTAAGCTTAGCTGGTCTCGACCCCATGGTGGATCAATTGACAGGTTGAGTACCGAGTATCACTTCAAATACCGATCTAGACTCTAGAGGTTGAGGGGCCCAGGACTTACAGTAGTGCTGACAGGTACTTTGCAGTGACCAAAGTACTATCATTACTTGGTGGTACAAAACCTTCTAGTTCACCGATACGAAGTGGAAACGTCCAGTATTTTATTCTCACTTGAACTACACGACTTTCCATGGTTCTTTGAATTTCCATCCGATCACATTCTGACTTCCATCGCCGAGGCTGTTTCGATTGCGGGTTCTCAGCTATAAGCGATATGTTTTAGTGTACGGAGTACCACGCACCAAACAAAATTTCCTCCACTTGGTTCGGGAATTCGATATATACATCCGCGGACCAATCATGTATTCGGATCGCCTTCGACACTCCTTTGTCCAGTGGATGGGGCCCCAATTTTCTTTCTTTTGCCCCTCCGGAGCCGCCAGGGGAAAACGGGAAAAACCAAAGAAGCCATGGAACCAAGTCAATCTAAACATACTCCACAATGACCGAATGCTGTCCTCCGTACCCGTTACCGCTTTACCTTCGCCAACTCCGTTTCACCCGGTCTCTTTGTCACATCCCCCCGACCAACGGGAATCCCTCTACAAGTCCTCCGTTCCACCAGTGGCGACACAAGCCCCATCGGAATGCAGGATCCGGTGCCGCGGTGATGGGTAAGAAAACCCAGTCTGTCAATTGGTGGCGGAAGTCATTGCCCTTGCTATGATTATCGCACTATTGACCCCCGCTCTGGTCATGTGAGTGTCCTTTTGTTTGTACTTTCATTGAGATCCACACCCTTGCGCCTTGTGTTCGCCACTGGATTTACGGCCTTTATTTTTTTTTCCCCTTTGAAGATCTACCTTCCCCACCATGATACGTATACGGATACAGGTACACTGGACTTTGGGTTTCGATTTCCTTGGCTTTGCATCTCAGGGGTTCGCTCCCGGTGGATACCTCTGCCGCGCCGCCTGGCTTTCCTGTACTTTGTCCTTCCCGGGAGTTGACACGTACTTTGGACCTTCGTACTTTGTGCTTTGTGCTTATTTCCGACTCGGCCTTTCCGTGCGGGGCGTTGGCATTCTGGGTGAAATAGGCTCGTTGGATGCATCCAATTGCCCCTGCAGTGATTGTTGATCAGCTTTGTGCTACACGTACGATTTTTTTTTCTTTTTTGGCCCCCGGGGCCAAACAATTCAGCTTGGATGTATAACTCGAGTCTGATTGCTGGCCAGGGACAAGCTGCTTATGATCGATGACGAATGCACTAACTTGATTCGAAGAATCCCTGCACCGGAGGATTCGAAGCAGGGCTTTACAGTATCCTTAGCGATGTATCGTACAGTACTCCGTATAGTAGCCAGGCATACCAAATTTGGCACTATTCGATTAGTTCGGTGCTCCCGGTTCTTGTTCTTGGTTCTAGACACCATTGATATATTGGCTAATTGCAAACAAAGGGACACTCACTCGGTGCCCCCTTTTTTAAGATTTACTGCACTGTGTTTTTTGGTGCAGCGAATAGACTGAGGATGACCATTCTACATTCGCAGATGATCTGGGCTCGACCAAATGCATGTCATAGCCGCGGTCGGTTCGATTGACGTCTAATCTACAGCTTGTTATGCATATGGAATTGAAATTATTGGACCCCAGACTCGACAGAAGTACATGCTAAAAATCTACTGTAAGATGCATTCCCGTACTTTTGTCCTGGGATAATTGCCCTGTGATCATCTCAGAGCCTAGATGTGACAGCTTATCCAAAGACCAGGATTTCATAACCAATCACTGCAGAAACTGGGAATTCCACGAGATGAGGTTGTTGCACTGTCTCTGCGACCTTGCTCAAATGAATTCCAAATCACCGCATTTCTTGATACATTGAATTCTCCTTACCCCAGTCCCTGCTGCATACCATACGATCGAGGTTCCGATTCCTGTATTCGTCACCGGATGCATGTCCCGTCAATCACCGATCTTGGTGTCTGTGCATTACCCGTCGCATTAGTCCCGAGCCTGACTTTGATGATCACCGATCCGGTCAAGTATGTATCTTGACCTGCGATTCATATCCTTGGTGGAAAAGACGCCGAACAACTTCAAGCAACGGGTACGTACATATACCCTCAGGGTACTTTGTATGTCCAAGCTTTCATTCCACCAGTCTCCCCCATTTCAATAGGTACACAAAATTCGCATACGCGCCGCACCTCAGCGGCTGCCGTTTAACCGACCATCCCAGCTCCATGACAGCTCCAAAATTGAGAACAAGCAGGGGTAATCCTGTTTTCAATGTGCTCAACTCCACCGACCGGGATCATGCCAAGGGGATGCTCGTTTTCGAGAAAGATATCGTAGTAAACAGGGATCTGAATGGTTGGGCCCGTCCCATCCTTGTAAGTGCGAGTGTAAGCCCACTCACTGGCACAAGGCTCGGGTCAATTAGCCACACCGACATGAATCAACCGGGGTCTAGCCCTACAGCCGAGCCCGCGCGAGAATCAAACAAAAGTACCCTCTCCAATCAGGAGCTGACAGACGTCGTTCAATTCGATTATTTTGACTTTCTGTGATGTGCCGGTCATAAAAAGTCTATTTCGCCGAACTATACTGTGATGACTGCCGGGTTAACCTTGCTGGCTTATACCCGAAACATTCACATCCACGTCCCCATGCACCAGGTGGATGTGGGACTGATTTTCTGTGAGCCTCAACTCATGTATCTGTAGAGATCCTGGTCAAGGCCGTTGAGGCACAAGTGGCAACGCGTCCGAGGGAGAGTACGCCCCCGACGTCAGGTTCAGGCTCGAAGCCGACCCGCCAAGCTAGTAGTATGATGTTTGCGCCAACAACGATCTGTGCATAAGCGTTTGATTTGGATTAGGGCGAAAGTAGAGTTCTTGGTGTTTTATTGGCTGATTGTGGGCTCGACAAGTCGATCCGTCAGCCACGTCGGCTTCGTGCATGGATTGGGTCGCTAACAAGGGACGGGACGGTGAGCCCATATTTGGCGTTGGCCTTGAGAGGGATTGTCTGATGAATATCAGGTGCCTAGGCAAAATGGATATTCCCGGGCTTGAGTTTTATTTGTCATTTGACGGCCAGCTGAGTGTGTTGTTTCTATGGCGAATAGTGTCTAGGCTTTTCAAGGTTGTCGTATTCAGTTGTTCCATGTCAGGATCTAAGGTTTGCCTAGGGTCCATTGGATACGTGAGTCACTCCCCATAGGCATATCTGAGGCCTTGTCAGTATCCTCAGAGAGTACCTCAACCTTGGAAGGACCTCAGTGTTTCTGAAGATGAAGTCCATGATGTAACTCATGGGCTTGAAAGCTTCCAGTGTGCTGGAGATAGGGTTTATCATCTACCTTTGCTTCTTTGACACCATCTAGAATTTGTACCAAGTGTTCGATACTGTAGTTCTTTTTTCCTCCTTGGTTTCTGCTCCGCCTATATTTACATCGTCGTCATTCCCATCGTCTTGCTCAACACGATTGCTGATAATATATATTGCTCGATGCCACATACTCCAGCTATGGCTGAAGGCTCGGAACGATTATAAAAATGATGAATCAGCGTTCGCACAACCTCACTCGTCTAAAAGCACTCTGAATGTCTCTCCCTTCTCACCTGAACACTGGGTCAATTCGAGGGCATACTTATAAGTTGCAATAGGTAGTGATAGAACTCCCACATAAGCTCTTATCGTTATCGTTATCGATAAGATAAATTATGAAGACAGCTTCAATTGTTTTACTCAACTTCGAACCACTTTCTTCCCCTCTTCCTCTGCGATCTTTCCCTTCGCATATATGCATGTTTCACAAACGTGAATTTTGATACACGTTCCCTGGAAAATATTTTCTCAACACCTGCATTGAAGGCAGGTTCAGCTGTTCACTGAGCTTAGAGTCACTCCGGGCTCCGTTGTCTACTCGAGTTTATATCACTTTCTTCCTCTTTCCATCTTACCTTCTTCCCTTCTTCCCCTCGCCCTCTCGCGTGCTACAAGATTGTGAATTCTGCTACGCGTCTGGTGAAATATCCCTTCGTTAGTGAGCTCCTCGTTCCTACTACGAAACTGCACCACTCTATGTCGCCATGAGTCTCGCCGATGCCGTGCAACAGACACTGTCCGCTCTGAGCAGTGACCCAGTCATCGAATACGGAGAGCCGATTCAAGAACTGCTTTTCAATAAGCCAAAAGATGCCATCACCATCGCTTATGAAGAACTGAATGTGTTCCCATTGCACAGGGTTCCTGAATGCTGGCATAGCCTTTACACCGACGCATCGATCGTGAAAGCATGCTATCTTATCATTCTCAACTGTGATCTCGCCCCACAGGATCCTCCTTCGGCAGAGAAAGCCCAAATAAACATAGAAAAACTCATCGAAGAGCTTAAAGGTTACAAACAATCTACAAAAATCAATCTCGAAGCTAGCTGGGTGAAAGAGGCCACCCATGCCCTTGACATGGCATTGATCATGACGGGTGGACGTGGTCGCGAGCAGTGGATCAAGAAGTTGTTTGCTGAGATCAAGCTGGCCGCAGACAAATGGGACGATGAGCTGGCTACATCGGAGGAACCTGGTAAACCAGAGGGTCCTCCCCAAAAGCGACAAAAGATCGTGCCGGACATGGCACCTCCCATGTTTCCCCCCACCTCAATTCCCGAACCCCGCTTGGATCATCCCATTCCCCGGGTATCAAATCCCACCATGGCGTACATGGAGAACCACATCGAAAAGCTCCGGACTCCACTTGTGATAACTGATAATGTCGACCACTGGCCTGCAATGAACACCCGGCCCTGGGCTTCGCGTGAGTACTGGTGGAATCGCACACTAAACGGCAGACGTCTGATTCCCGTGGAAGTCGGTAGGTCGTACACAGATGAAGAATGGGGCCAGAGAATCATGGAGATCCGAGAATTTACTACAAAGTATCTCTGGAATGACCACCAAGAGGACCAGTCATCTATTGAGCAAGAGTCTGGGGAGACAGGTTATATGGCACAACATGACCTTATGCGCCAGATTCCTGAGCTCCGCAATGACATTGCAGTTCCCGACTATTGCTACATTGACCCACCTCGTCCGGAGCCTGAAACCCCAGTGTATCTTGCGAAACGACGAAAGCAGACCGAGCTGAAGGCTCAGACCGCCGAGACACAGCAACTTGCCACCAACCCCGAGGAGGAGCAGCAATCACGAACACCGCCATCTATTGACGATGAGTCCGACCATAGCTCACAGACGACCATCCCTAGTGAGCCTATTATCAATACCTGGATAGGCCCCTCGTGGACCATCTCTCCCTTACACCATGATGCCTACCACAACATCCTAGTACAGGTCGTCGGTACTAAGTACGTCCGTCTCTACTCTCCGCATACCCCAGCTTCACAAATCCATCCCCGTGACTCTGAGTGGGTAACGTCAGCTCCGGAGAAGGGTGCGCCAGACCAGAAACCCAAGAAGAGACTCATTGACATGTCCAACACCTCCAAGGTCGACATCGCAGCCATGGAGCTTTCACCTGCCGAGGCTGAACACTGGGAGGAGCAATGGCCTGGTTTCCAGGACGCGGATTATGTTGAGACTGTCTTGCATGAGGGTGAGTGCTTATACATCCCGATCGGATGGTGGCACTACATCCGTGGATTGCGTGCCGGCGCTAGTGTTAGCTTCTGGTGGGAGTCAATTACTCCTTGAGAATACTTTTTCGAAGTTCAGAATAAAGAATCTAGATCCATCAAAGTTAAATTCCATCTAGTCTAATGTTTTAATCTAACTCCAACCGTCGACCAATTCACAAAGAGTCTCCTCCCCACCCACATTACCAGGGAAAACAACAAAAGGCACACCCCGATGCCGAGAGGTAGGCTCATCACACCTCCACAAAGGCACACCAGGAGCAGCTTGACCAACAATCAAAGCACGCTTAACATTCAAGCCCTTTGTCGCAGCATCAGAAGAGGTAATACCACCCTAAAAGATCTGTCAATGGACCATCCTCACAAGAGAACACCATAACCGAAGAGTGGGGAAGAAGCCATACCTTAGCAATAATATATCTAGGTCGTACTTCAATCCGCTGTAGAACACTGACAAGTGCCTCAGCAACAGCAGCTCCAATGCTCAACGACGAAAGCTCATCAATCCCCGTAATAAGCTTCCGACTAGTCATAACTAGCGTATCCATTCCGGCACTTAGATGCGCTTCCGCATCCTTCACGACACGCGATACGGTCTCCTCCGCCGTCTCAGGCGAAGCGATGAGCTCATCGACTTTGATTACGATAATTGCGAGTTTCCCCGTACCTCCACGGCGGTCTGTTAGCACTTTGAGTTGAGCGGTTGTCTTTGGAACATAGGAGCCCGCAAGAATAAGACCACCTGTTTGGCGTGGCGAGGGGAGTTTGAGCTCGGTCGCGGTGATGGGGGCTTTAGAGCGGATACCGAGTCTTGTTGAGACGAATGCTGCACCGGTACGGTAGAGGAAGTGTTTACCCTTTGATTCAGCTGGGATAAGTTAGTATTTGCCCATTCATTTCCTTTGCCACTTTCTTTTGTTTATTCCCGGGATGGAAAGACATACCGAGCAACAAACCCGCGACAAAGACGTGCATATCGGATTCCGCGGCTGCATTGACAATCACCACACCACCGGCCGGCGAAGCGAGCAATTTCTCACAAACGGCTTGAGGACCACCACGCCTAATCTCACCGATAGTCACCGAGTGCAATTGACCGTTTGAGAACCGCCCGGCCGCTTTTTCTTGCACGTAGTCGCGTAGATTGGAGCTCTTGTACCCGAATGTGGCATCTTTCGCAAATTGTGTTGAGCCCGCTGGAACAAGCTGATCTCCTTCTGCAACATAGTGTATATCATTGATAGTGTACCGGCCACCCTGAAAAAAGAATGGTGCTAGGACTAGTGCGTCTGCGGGTCCGAAGACGGACTGAGCGACGTCTGTTTCTAGCGGGAAATGGCCACGTAGTGTGCTGTCACCGCGGAGAACAATGTCGACCTTGTTGCCGGTGGATTGGGCGGCTGAGGAGACGTTTTTGCATATTGTTTGGATTAGAGCTTCGGCCTCTTTAGGTGGGAGAGCGCGAGAGTTTGTTAGGATGAAGAATCCTGCGGAATCGGATTGGAATTCTGCTGTTAGAGTTGGGATGTCCCAGACGGCGAGGACATTGATATCGTGGCAGGTTTGTGTGCCGGTTGGATCGTCATCTAGAACGACGAGCCGATTGATTGTCGCGGTTGCGAGGATCTGGGAGATTTGGTCTTGAGTGTCGGTGGGGTATTCTGCCGGGAGTTGGCTGAGCGTACTCTCGCGAGGTACAGATGGGTAATGTTGTGGCTGCGACATGATGTATTTGCCAAGATAGGGATAGAGATGGAAACTGTGACTTCGCTGTCTGGATTAGTCAATGTTGATCTATAGGACCGAGAAAGTCGGAGTTCGGTAGTGGCACAATTGGTGCGGGGATGCGGGGAGCTCTAGTCGGAGAGAAGGCCGATGCGAAGTAGATTTCATTGCTGGAGATCGATGGCTACCAAATACTAGATGACGATAATAAAACACACCTCCAAAACGCCATTGTCCGCAAAAAGACCTTAGAAATGCAAGAGAATGGATGTGAATGCAACAGCTCATTGATCATGTAGTCCCTTTCAAACCAGCTCATCCTCAAACCCAAGTCCTTCCCACCCATAACTCAAAAAGCGTGTAAATAGTGCAAGATGTCAGGTCGTAGACTGCGTGAAAATGAGTTTTAGTGTGAGGGAGCCTTTAGCCCACCACGCTCCGGAAGCTTAGTGCCTCCAAGAAACCGCCGAGATCGTCCTTCGCTACCTCGACCACACAGTGCTCGAAGCTGTCAATACGGACACGGGCATTGGTCTCCTGGACCACTTCCTGGAAGGCAATGCCGAATCGATTGCGCAACAGGTGCTTCTTGCCCCGAGGGTCTTCCTCATCTTCAGATTCAGATTCAGATTCGGATGACGATTCGGATTCCTCTTCTTCGGACTCCTCAGCTTCCTGGTCTTCTCTCTCGGCACGCTCAGCAGCGCGCTTGGCTCGGTTTTCTGCTCGCGCCTTGTCTTTCTTCTCCTTGGCCTCCTTTTTCTTGCGTCGCTCTTCTTGACGCTTCGACATGGCGGCAAAGTCGATCACGCCACCACCACCACCGGTGCCTACCACGACATACAGATCTCTGGCCTCATCAAGTCCAGCAAGCACGAGAGGAGTACCGGCAGCTCGCTTCCGTCCGATCTTGACCGAGTCGCCCTTTTCACGCTCTTGAACCCGAATGGCTTCCGCAATCCACAAGGCCAGTTTTGTCAACGCCCCGGGGTTGGTGAAAAGCTGCACATCGGGCCCGTCCTTGACAACGGCGATACGAAATGCTCGAAGATGTCGAATCTGGTGCTTGGAGAGCAATGATGTACCTGTGCGAAGGATCGCACGGTGAAGATGTTGAGCCAGGGGCAACGCCCCCATCAAAATGGTAGGCGCTTCAGATGTGAGCGACGTAGCGTCATATGCACTAAAGAAGCGAGGAATAATGCTGGCCGAATCTGACTCTTCGAGAGCCCCTGCGTTTTCGGAGTCGCCCGTTGAGCCTTGTAATCGAGGTAGACGTGATGCATCCCAGGAGGGCGAAGTCTCGTGTGGGCCTACTTCGAGCATAGCCCCGAGAATAACGCCGACGTCTGTGGCCGAAAGGCATGCTTTCCAACCCCAGCAACGAACAAAGCCCCAGCCTTCACGGGAGCTAGAGTTCCCAGATGGTTCTGGAGGAACTAAACCATCCAAACCATACATGGGTGCATACTTGAGCAACCGCCCCCGAAGTACTCGCTTCAGTTCCATGTCCATATGCGTATAGTATTGGTGACACTGGGTGAGACTGATGCCCATCTTGGCAAATAACTTGTGCAGTCGCTTGCGACCATTTTCAGTCCAGACATGGAGCCTTGGGGCCAAGTAAGGACTGTGAAGCATGCTCTCATATAGAGACCAATGACGAACAAGCAGGAAACGCGGCTCTGGGGATAGACGGATTGATGTGTCGGTGGGAGATCTAGCTGTAGTTGGAATGACTCCATGGATCTCGCCCCTAATATCTCGGTTTTGCTCCAAGGGGTCAGGGGGGTTGAGACGGTGGACTTCGTCTCGCAGGATCTGGCGAATATGTTCTCCACGCTGCCCGCCCCAGCCTGCAGAGCCTCCAGAGTCTGAGGTATTTGAAATGCCCACACCAGTCATGGTTCGACCACTGAGCTCTAAGCTGGAGACACCGATGATCGCAAGCCAGAGAAGGTCGTTGTCTTCACGACCAAGTTCTGATGCTAAAGAGTAGATCAAAGATGAAATTGGTTCGGAGTATGATGTACCTGAAGAGTAATAATTTTGCAATACCGCCTCATGTTTCTTCTTGAGTCGAATTAAGCGTCGCTTCAGAGATCGTGCTGATGGCTCTTTATGCTCCACAGGCGATGGGGAATCACTTGTAGGAGTAGCAGAACGTGACGAGTTGGACGAATTGATCCCATTTCTCCTTCCTCGACTAGGTGATGTGACAATGGAAGACCCCTGCGATATGTTAGTCCCTGATCTAATTCACTTATCATTTTTTGAAACAAGAGATCGACGTACCGAGTTGCTACGTTTCCGCTGTCGAGGAGGTCCGTCATCCTCATCTGAATCGTCCTCATCCTCGCGGCCGGACCAAGACTTGCGCTTCTTGGAGCCAGGCTGTGTTTCGTCATCATCCGCCTCACCAATGGATCCATCGTCGCTCTCGTCATCTTCGTCAACCTCAGGCATATCCAGAAGAGCGTAGTATGCTTCTCGTTCATTGCTGAGATCTCCCTCAATGTCGCCATCATCGAACACGACAATTCCACCATTCTTCGACGTGTAAGCAGGTGTGATACACCCATTGTCGACCCCGCGCCCGCGCCGTCGTGCATTTATATCGATCTCTGCCATCGCTGAACTCATACCACCTTGGCCTCCGAAAACATTGCCCAAGTTCCATGGCCGGCGCGCGTCGAAGACCCATATGTCGACTCCTCCCATATCCTCTGAATCGTCCTCCGGATTGTTCAATCCGAGGATATCTGCCAAATCTACCAATCCTCCTACACCAAGACACACAACCACACCTCCGGAGCCGCCATTGGTGGTCTGCATCGGCTGAACCAGGTCTCGTCCCACGCGCGCAAGGTCGCCATAGCCGCCCACCGGTTGAATCTTATGAGGGATAAAGTCGCGTTTTAATAATTCGGTAAGAATTCGGCAGGCACATAACGCGTCGGGTTCGAGTGCCACAAGGATCAGGACGGACGGAGATTGCGGATTTTGAGTTCGGAGGAGTTGAAGGTATAACTGGGAGATGAGCTGGCGCGGAAGATACATGGCCAGCTAAGGAGGAGGGTGGGAGATGAATGTGAGCATGAAGAACTAAGAATAGGGAGAGCCGAAGAGCAAATCAAGCACAGCACAGCAAAGTTGGGGGGATTATCATGAGGTTGATTGCGGTTGGATCTAGTTGCTCTGGAAGGGAAAGCGCGACGCGTCGGGCACGTGCCACTAGATTCCATCGGTCGCCGAGACAAAGTGGAATTATTCGTTTAATTACTTCCCCCTGCTTCATACTTCCAAATCATCTATTATTCTGGGTCTATTTACTGTATATCTGCACGGGAGAGATTACTGGACTGATTCCATAACAAAGTTCTGTTACTGCATCTCTTTGTAGAGTGCTAAGTAGAGTGCTAAAGTGGTTTCGCGTAAAATCTTTATAGACGCAACTATTGGACTGGATATGCTAAGTAATGGCTTTTCCCTGTTCTTGTATGCTCCACTCAAGTATTTCCATTATCAGGACTCGAACTGTCCCATATCATGCATTGCACAAGATCAATGCGCGCGCTATAGCCCTACTTAGTGACATTCATGCGCCCCGCTTACTTGCGGCCTTATTCCAAGCCAGCTCATTGGTGCTTCGAACCATCTTCTGCCGATTGTCTCATAGACAATAGCCATGCCTTTTCATCGCGTCTGACATATTATCAAAAGTTACTTGACCTTTGAGCAGTATTAAGAAACTCTGAAAATTGAATTTTTGTTCAATAGCCTTGATCTTTCCAAGCAGTTGCTCTGAAGAGCCGGGCTTCCATGGTGAATAGCGAGCTCCATTGTCAGTTCATGATCGAAGACTACAAAATTGGTTTGCAAGCCGAAATGTGTTGAATTCCATTTAATCGTAGCTTAGAGATAGAAACCTCGCTTAATATCACGCTGAACGCCGAGCTCCAATCACATGCTATATACAATAATCCTTGGCTGAAATTTGGCAATAAGTAGGTTGATGGCTTGAGCGAGTTAAACCACAGAGCGGCCAAGATATGAACTGGCAACCCAGACTGCAGAGCATACTCCCACCACGGATATACCAACCAGACGCTTGCCCCAGCTGCTATCGTCTGTCATTCGGGTGGGCCCAACAGTTGTCTTCCGAGGCAAATGGACAGAAAGCGAGCTGGCCTGAGGCTCTGTCGAGTTATTCAGAATAGCAGAATACTCCACATCACGCTTCTGCCACTTTTCAACCAGTCGCGCAATCTCAGCCAGGTCTTCCCTGAGGGAACCGGGCTCTGTTGCGTTGGCATTCTCAACCTCGACATTTTGGACATTACCAAAGAAATCAACCACAGTTCGAAGGCGACCTTCTTGTTCGCCGCCGGGGAACAGGTCCCACCGAACACCAGGTTGTGAATGAATCTTTGATTCGTCATAGGAGTCAAATAGATCCCCTAGATTCAACTTTGAATTCGCGCTGGTCACTTGGGTTTCGAGGAACTCAAGCACATAGTAGGTCCAACGATCGATTACCGCAACTCCCACATCATTGTCCGCATGATGCGAGTATGACGACTGATCTAGTTCGCTAGACCCAGTCGCGACGATATTGGGCGAGTAGAAGTGGGTGTACATTGTGTTCGCCTGACAAGTATCAATCATGAACAATAGCTCATGGTAGCGCTTCTTCTCCCACATCTGGCCAAATGCATCGGCCAAATCCCATGCACCGATCTCCTCCGCATCCTGGAATTTCAGGAACTGGTCTCCTCCGTGGCCAGTCATGTATACAAGCACATTGCTACCCGCATCGGACCCGAGTCTTTTACTGCGCGGTACATCTTCGTCAAGTCGATCGGTTAAGAGGCGAATAAAGTTCTCCACTGTGACCTCGTAGCCCCTGTAGTCCACCTCGATGTTGTCGCCGTATAGGTCAACGGCGCGGTCCGCATTACTGTATACAGTTCCTGGGAAGGCATTGCGGGGATTGCAAGCCATGTCATCGGGCAGCATAAGGATGATTTGTGAGTCGGGAATGCCGAGCCTTTTAACGGTTCGGTATAGGGAGAGGACATTGGCGAGGTGACGGTAGTTGAACCAAAATCGGGAGGTGGAAACCAGCACCGCCCAGTTAGATGTGTGCTCGGCGGTCGCTGCACAAGTGAGCAGAAGCAGCGATAGGAGCTGTAAGAAGCGGAAAAACAACGTCATTGTGGTGGTTCGGGTCGGAGCTAGATCATAGTCTGGAAAGGAGAGAGGATGCCAGATGCGCTAACTGGATGCAAAGACGAGGTGTGGGCGGAGATGGTAAGACAAAAGTCGCTAATGATTAATCGCCCTGATTATATGAAGGCCATCACCGGGACTTGTAGCGCCAGAGGAAATGTTGGCAAATGGGAAGCGAGGAGGCTAGATCTTAAGATGCTCAGATGGAAGCCGAATGATGACAAACGACGGATTGGGGAAAGTGACACCTTGATATTCAGGCATCAAGGATGATAACCACACCACAAACAAACAAGGCTTAGCGTTGGCTTTGTGAACTAGTTTCGGGTTTAATCAACCAAGCAACGCAGTGTTTGGAGCAAATGATTACTCTCACATACATTTCAAGTGTGGGATTGCTGCAAAAACTAACAATAAACATGACGCACTTGTTCATGTTGAAGTATAGATTAGTCACGGAGACACCGCCCGCTTCGGCACCGGCATAATCACCAGGCGGATCAGATCACCGAACAGCAATCCACTTTTTTCTTCTTCATACTTGCCAATTTTCTCTGATCAATACAGCAAATTACCCAGTGAACAAGCCTCAACAAAATGGGTGGCAAGAAAGCAGCTGGAGAGAACTCCAAGAAGGCCGCTGGCAACGCTCGCGTATGTATTGACATAACCCCGCCCCCGCCATCATTGCCACGAACGTGCCAGAAGATGCTAATGGTGGAGTAGAAAGCCGACGCCGCATCTCAGAAGAAGGCCGCTGAGGACCAGAAGAAGGCTGCCGAGGAGGACAAGCAATGGTCCAAGGGATCCAAGAGTAATGCTAAGAAGTATGAATATGGTCTATGCCAGTGAAGAGATCAATGACTAACACAACATTTGTTTGTTAGGGAGGACGCCGAAGCCAAGAAAGCCGAAGCTGCCCGCAAGAAGGCTGAGCGTGATGCTCAGATGGCCGAGGAAGAAGCTGCCGCTCCCTCCAAGCCCAAGGGCGCTGGAGCCAAGACCGCACAGAAGAAGAGCCGTGGTCTCGACCTGTCACAGCTGGACGATGCCCCCTCCAAGAAGGGATCCTCCCTCAATGCCTCCGGTATTGACAATGCGCTGGATGCTTTGTCTTTGACAAACAAGGACACCACAAAGGTTGAGCGACACCCTGAGCGACGTTTCAAGGCTGCCTACGCTGCATTCGAGGCCCGCCGACTGCCGGAGATCGAGGAGGAGAACCCTGGCTTGCGACGACAGCAGCGTATGGATCTTTGCCGGAAGGAATTCGAGAAGAGCGAAGAGAACCCCTTCAACCAGGTTCACGTTGCTGTGAATGCTTCCAAGGAGGAGATCGCTGCTATCCGAGAACAGGAGCGCAGCAAGACCGAGCGCAGACTGGGTTAAACTGGTGGAAGATGTCTATCATTGAATAGAAGTTCTCATTGGAGATGCCAAGATCGCCGCATCGATTCCAGATTGCGCAACTGCATTACGCACTTGATCATGCATGCCAAATCGACATGCAGAGTCTGAAGGACAAATGACCTATGGGTCAAATTCGCAGTCATATTCGCAGTGATCTGAATCTGAGGCACTGTATAAGCAGACACAGTCGTGTATGACAGGTAAAATTCGAGCGGAGGAGTCTGATGCATGTTTTAAGCATTCTTAGCGTTGGACATAAAATTACGAAATGCAATGACCGTGATGCTTAATTGCTATGGCTGATAAATTAAGTAACTGTTCCAAAAGCTCCAGCTAGCGTATAAAATATTTATGTACATTTCCGCTGTCTGAGAAGCTCAAGCGCCCTCAGCAGCAAGAGCCTCAGTCCTCGATGTGCTGTTGGGGTCGAGGTAAGGCTTCTCGCCAATACCAACGGCACGGTGACCAAATCGCTCTCCAAGTCCTTCGTAATCAAAGGTAGCAGTGTGGAAAGCAGAGCGATTATCCCAAATAGCTAACACAGATAATCAGCAACTAGCCACGAGGTAAAAGTCGGCATAGATTCAACTTACCAATATCATTCTCATTTCTCCACTTGAACCGCACAGTCAGGTCATGGTTCTCAGTAATCGTGGTATAAAACTTCTTCAACAGCTCGTCCGACTCCTCCGGGTTAAGCTCATTGATATACTTCGGAAAAGGCCCAACAGCATAAATACTTTTCCACCCCGTAACGGGATTTGTCCGTACGATAGGATGAACAGTAGACAACTCCTTGCCGATATTCAACGGACTACCCCGAGGCTCAGTGTAGATATAGACATTCTTTGGATCATTTTCTGCAGCCTGAATAAAGCCCGTACCCGTATAGGTTGCAGTAAGACTCTCGAAAAGTTTCTGGTAAGGCTTGGAGAACCGGTCATACATCTCGTACCCTGAGGCCCATAGCGTATCACCGCCTGTTTTGGGGAGTTGGGTTAATCGGAGAGAGGTGTAGTCGGCCGGTGCGGGCTCGAACTGGATGTCTGAATGCCATTGCGCGGAGTCGTACCGACGTCTGTTGCGTTGTTGGTCATGGCGGTGCATCTTCTTACGGGAAAGAGAGCTGATTGTGCTGACTTGGGCATCGTCGACGCCGAATTCGTTCGTGTTGTTTAGGACAGGGTGGATGTGGAGAGTTGAGTCGGCGGGCTTGCCGGATGCTTGGCCTAGTCTGTGTACCAAATCCTTCTGGAGGGCATCGGTGAGGTTGTTCTGGGCGCGGAAGAAAACAACACCACGCTGGGAGACTGAATGGTAGGTTAGTATCTGTTATCCCAAGGTATGATTGTGAACACTTACTTGTGATAGCGAGGTCTCGCACCAGCTCGTCTGCATTTGGAGCATTTAAGATGTCATCGACGATGTTGACTTTGGGGAATTCACGACCAATCACTGGGGTTGTTTCTTCGAACTCATGCTGATCCAATGCACCACTGAGCTTGAGAGGTGCAGGGTATTGCTGCTCATTATTGGGCGCAGGGCGTACTGGAAGCGAGTCGACAGGAATTGGAGCCATGGTGATAGGCAATTTGAAGTATACGAGATGAGAAGGTTGTGAATTAGACTGGATTCATATCCTCTTATAGTAAATCTGCTGTTCGATAAGTTGTACATACATTCCCGAAGAATCGGGACTATGAATCACGCCATTGGTTGTTCGATTTACGCATTTCCCCAATGTCACACTTGCCGATAACCCGATAGCTAAGTTGTGCGGGGTACATACTGGATACACAACTGTCAGTTGATTGGAGATGATCATGTCATTTGATTCGTCTGTAAGCAATGCGGGGCTATTCTACATGTTACGCTAGATCGGCCATGCAGCGAGTCCAAGAAGCACCTACAGAGTTGATTGGGGAATATAAGAACAGTGCATGGGAAATACAGCTTGCAAAGATAGTTACGATTGCTCTGCGTCGCGTTTTGGTTATCAGGCCAATCCTGAATTCTGAGTGGGAGTTGATGACGATATCGTAGCACCTCATCACGCATCCCAATTACGTGGTCATGTAGCCGAATTTTCGGCTGATCGCCATGCCCCACACGAGCAGTGATTTGAACCATGCTGTCAGGCATCCAATCACTGCTAGGATTGGGTCGTCCACGGATATTTATCCGTGGGTTTAGCTGTAAATAGGGCTTTTACCAAGGAAGGAGATCGGGTGGTCGGCTCTTGGAAAAGTCTTTTAGTGGAGCCACTAGGACACGTTGTCTGGTAAAATGGAAGCTGTATATTGAGGCAGAAAGCTAAGCATCCTGGGGCCGAATGCTCCTGACAGGAACGTTACTGGAAGTACTTGGAGTGGAGACTAAGGCCTGCACACATTCCAAAAATGATCCGCTTGACTATTGTCCCAACAGGCTTTGGAATGGCAAACATGCCCCTTCTTAGTTTGAACAATCTGCTTTCACAAAAAGCATTGTCAGTTGACGAAAAGCCAAGGCATCTAAGCATGGCGTAGTATCTGATGCAAAATCGAAGGAGACATGTCTGCACTTTCCCTGACCGATGGATCCGCCGATCAATACAAGAATCTCAAGGACAACAGAGACAACAATGGTTCCTTTACTTCTTCATCTGTGTCAATCCGTCATGTTTTCTGCTGTGCTCAGTCTCTTCCTGGACTGCTTTTTTCAAACCCCGGTCAAATATTTTCTGTGGTTGTTGTCGATGGAGATTGTCCTCGTCACTTTCCTCTTCATATACATTTTCATCCGCAAGCTTGCGTATAGGTCAATCGAGCAGCTCATTGCATGGTAATGCTGTCCCTTATTCTGCAGACACGTGAGGCTTAGAGAACGAAGAGGAGGTAGATCGACACAGGCGCATGATGTTAGCCAGACCTAGGTATTCCGGAAACACCCCCGTTGCTACCTATCCCGATGCCACATTTCTGGCTCCTGTCACCATTTGTCACCATTTTACCGGGCGCCGACATATCCGTCACGTCCATGGTCACCTTGCCGATCACCAGCGTTGAAACCATTACCATTTCCACTGTGTATGGGACCTTCAACTTTACGATTGTTGCCCTGATGTGTCCAGTTACCGCAGGGACCGTCTGATACTCTCGTCCAGGCGTGATTGATAAGAACAGTGGTCATGTGGAAGAAGGGAGTAGAGGCTAATAAGTGGAAGCGTATGTCTAACGCCTGTGAGTTGTGGACGAGAATATGTATATATTTAACATCGAGGAAGCTCAATTGACCACTCGGTCGCATCACTGTGAGCCGAACTCATAATTAGCCTCTTGGATATTTTGAGAAGAGACCACGCTCTAGTCTTAACACCGCAGAGCTCCCCTGTCCCAAGCCACCGGACCTTTCCTGATTTTTGTGCTACACTGCTGGACATCTTCAGGATATCTCTCCAAGGAGCCCTCTACTGGCTGTGGAAAGAATCTGGGGACAATCTCCTTGGGCATCGTTTTCCCGGCTTGCGACCTCGGGATATCTTCATCATCAGCCAAAATCCTGAGAAGAGTTGGGAGTTTGAACTCGGCTAAATGAGCCGATAGGTCGAGTCTAAGGGCATGCAGTGATAACTTCAAGGCTGTGGTCGAGTCCTCATTAAGGTTGGCAGATGCCGACTTTTTGCGGAGACGAATGACTGCTTGTTGATTACAATTAGCCTTCTTCCATTTATTCCGCCCCTGATAGCCAATCCCTACGCGTCAACACCATGGAATGTTCAAGTATGTGTGATCTAAATACGCAAAAATTTCCCAATGATCTCATTTCCACCAAACTTGCTCTGCTTCATCAGTCGGTTCCTGGAATATAGTGGCGACCGCTTTCGCCTTCCGTGCGCGGGACACAGATGGGCCTTTTCGAACCCTAATGACATGAGATGCTAGGCTTGAATTAGATTACACGTAGGGAATCTATTTGGTACGTACAATGTAATAGAAATATATATGACGAAGCTGGTACCAGAGGTACAAGAGCTTGGCAGACTAGAAGGTTCGATCCAAGCTAGGAGTCTGAACTTCTGATCAGGCGACTCACAAATCCCAAGCTCATGAATTTCACTTATTATATTCTTTGATTGATCTACGCGTCGTGTTTTGAATTTAAGTATTCGAATTCGAAATATATCTTGCTTTTAGTAGGCGCCAAGCGTCTCAAGATTGGTGGCCGTACTGAAGATCTCCTGATGGTGGGGGCCAGGAATAAATCTGCGGGGTAAGAGCGACTCTTTCTCTCCAGGCCCCCAGTCCTTTTGGTTTAAGACGTGATAAAGATGCCTGTCATATCATTTGCTCATGGAAACTCGGGGAACCAGGTGGGAGTCAATTACGGAACAATAGTTCTACCATCGAGTAGGTCATAAGTTTACAAACTACCCTGATCGAGTATATTGATAGCTTTCTTCTGGCTCTACAGCGCAAGACTCCCCCCCCAAACTCTGGTGAGGGATTCAAGTTGTTACACGCTAGCTCTAGGCCTTTCTTACTAATAAGCCTCTATATCTATAGGTGACCGCTTCAACGTACCCTTTGATCTTACTCACGTACCTCTAATTGAAAATTTTATCGGGCGGCACGACGAACTGAATTACCTATGGGAGTATCTCAACCCGAAAGGCTCCCAATCACGAAAGGTTGCCATCCTCCATGGGCTTGGGGGCATAGGAAAAACACAGCTCGCGATTCGTTTTGCACGAGACCACAAACACGAATTTACTTGTATATTGTGGTTGAATGGCAAGGACCGAAGCACACTTTTGCAATCTCTTAGTTCTGTCTTGCCACGATTACCTGGACATTCCCAGGAAAACGGGGCGATCGATGAAGAGGAGCTGGAGCAACGAGCGAAGTATGTGTTGAACTGGCTGGCGAAAAATGGAAACTCACGCTGGCTACTGATTTTTGATAATATCGATCAATACTCTCCCATCACCAACGGCAACGGTGATGAATATGACATTGGAACATTCTTCCCTTCAGCAGATCACGGGTCTATTCTTATAACCTCTCGGCTATCAGGCTTAAGTGAGCTTGGAACGCCCTTCCCAGTCCATCGGCTTGAGACAACGGACGCAATTCAACTACTCTTGCAGAATAGTGGCCTACCAGCGGATACCATTAAGAGCCTTCAGGACAGTCCAGGTATGATGATCTTTAAGATACAGACCTTATGAGTGATCCAGTAATACTAATATATCAAGATACCGTTGCCCTCATTCATCGCCTCGATGGACTCCCATTGGCGGTTGTGCTCGCGGCAGCATTTATGCGTCAAACCGGAACCAGTACCACCGAATATCTGCAATATTACCAAAAGTCCTGGTCTGATCTACAGTCACAATCTAGTCCTGGACGGCAGTATCAGCAGGGCAACATATTACAAACGTGGCTCATCTCATACCGTGAGATACAAAAGCGGGACCCTAGCGCAGCAAAGCTACTCCTGCTGCTTGCTCGCTTTGATAACCGAGATATTTGGTATGAGTTGGTTAAAGGTGCTTCTCATAGCAGCGATGTCCCTAGTTGGCTTGAAGGGATCATATCAAGTGGATTTTCATTCAAAATTCGGATGAAACATCTCATCGGATTTTCTCTTATTGAGACTAAACAACAAGACGGAAGCTATGCAATGCACCCAGTAGTACAGTCCTGGTGCCATCATGTTGCTCGCACGAATAGGCTTGTGAATTCCGGCCAGCTTTGTGAACTAGCGCTAATATCGGTTGGATGGACTGTCCCTAGCGCAGACGAACGGAATTATTCAAAACTTCAGCAGCGTCTCATTCCCCACGCGAATTATGTACGTCTTGGGGAAAGCTCTGGTAATGATATTGCAGAATGGGGAGCATTTCATAGTTTAGGGAACCTCTACTCTGACCAAGGAAAGCTAAAGGAGGCCGAGGAGATGTACCAGCGAGCTCTAGCTGGCTATGAGAAGGCCCTTGGTCCAGACCATACATCCACCCTTAGGACTGTGAACAACCTTGGAAATCTCTATAAAGACCAAGGAAAGCTAAAAGAGGCCGAGGAGATGTACCAGCGAGCTCTAGCTGGCTATGAGAAGGCCCTTGGTCCAGACCATACATCCACCCTTGATACTGTGAACAACCTTGGAAATCTCTACTCTGATCAAGGAAAGCTAAAGGAGGCCGAGGAGATGTACCAGCGAGCTCTAGCTGGCTATGAGAAGGCCCTTGGTCCAGACCATACATCCACCCTTGATACTGTGAACAACCTTGGTCTTCTCTACTCTGATCAAGGAAAGCTAAAGGAGGCCGAGGAGATGTACCGGCGAGCTCTAGCTGGCTATGAGAAGGCCCTTGGTCCAGATCATACATCCACCCTTAGGACTGTGAACAACCTTGGAAATCTCTACTCTGATCAAGGAAAGCTGAAAGAGGCCGAGGAGATGTACCAGCGAGCACTGGCAGGTAGGGAGAAGGCCCTTGGTCTAGATCATATATCCACCCTTAATACTGTGAACAACCTTGGTCTTCTCTACAAAGACCAAGGAAAGCTAAAGGAGGCCGAGGAGATGTACCAGCGAGCTCTAGCTGGCTATGAGAAGGCCCTTGGTCCAGATCATACATCTACCCTCAGTATTATGAACAACCTTGGAAATCTCTACAAAGACCAAGGAAAGCTAAAAGAGGCCGAGGAGATGTACCAGCGAGCACTAGCAGGGAAGGAGAAGGCCCTTAGTCCAGATCATACATCCACCCTTGATACTGTGAACAACCTTGGAAATCTCTACTCTGACCAAGGAAAGCTAAAAGAGGCCGAGGAGATGTACCAGCGAGCTCTAGCTGGCTATGAGAAGGCCCTTGGTCCAGATCATACATCCACCCTTAGGACTGTGAACAACCTTGGAAATCTCTATAGAGACCAAGGAAAGCTAAAAGAGGCCGAGGAGATGTACCAGCGAGCTCTAGCTGGCTATGAGAAGGCCCTTGGTCCAGACCATACATCCACCCTTGATACTGTGAACAACCTTGGAAATCTCTACTCTGATCAAGGAAAGCTAAAGGAGGCCGAGGAGATGTACCAGCGAGCTCTAGCTGGCTATGAGAAGGCCCTTGGTCCAGACCATACATCCACCCTTGATACTGTGAACAACCTTGGTCTTCTCTACTCTGATCAAGGAAAGCTAAAGGAGGCCGAGGAGATGTACCAGCGAGCTCTAGCTGGCTATGAGAAGGCCCTTGGTCCAGACCATACATCCACCCTTGATACTGTGAACAACCTTGGTCTTCTCTACTCTGATCAAGGAAAGCTAAAGGAGGCCGAGGAGATGTACCAGCGAGCTCTAGCTGGCTATGAGAAGGCCCTTGGTCCAGATCATACATCCACCCTTAGGACTATGAATAACCTTGGTCTTCTCTACTCTGATCAAGGAAAGCTAAAGGAGGCCGAGGAGATGTACCAGCGAGCACTAGCAGGTAGGGAGAAGGCCCTTGGTCCAGATCATACATCCACCCTCAGTACTATAAACAACCTTGGAATTCTCCATAAAAACCAAGGAAAGCTAAAGGAGGCTGAGAGGATATACCAGGGAGAACTGCCAAACAATGGAAAGGTCGCACATCTCAACGCTAGTACGGCACGACGGGCTATTAAGAAATTCACTAGATTGTTTAAATAATAAGACTGCAAGAATTGCGGGCCTGTAATGGAATTCGAAAAAAATGGCTACATCACTGCACTTGATCTTCTGTATGACTTAAATAGGATCATAATACCACGGCGTCAACGTAGAGAAGCCTACGGCGAAACCATTGGCATAACCGAAGCCTGAACATAATTATCCTGTGGACGGACGATGTATGAAAGATACGATTAATTTAATCAGAGTCCCGTGCGGTAGACGATACCTGTTTAATGGTTGGCTTGGTGTGTTTTAGATCTGTAGTACTAAATGTACAGATGCCCAAATTGGTAATTTACTTGTTCCGAGTTATACGATTCACACTTGAAACAGATATTGAAATATAACTTGACCAAATAAAGATTAGCGTATCATGTGATTAGGGTTCAAAAGAGCTTCTATGTGTTGTTCGATATGGAAGGCGATAGCGGTCGGCACTGTAGTATTTCACGATGATTATGGCATCGATGCGACATCCAAAGATCTGATAAATGACATTGAGCATTTACGTGAAACCTTGCGAAAAGAGCTTCCTTCCGACTGGTACAATGACAAAGGCTTGCTACGACCCGATGTTGCTTCCATAGCAACTATATCGCTGAGTGGATATTACTTCCTGGTTGGTGGATTCTTTGCGATCACAGCACTTGGTGGAAACTGTGTACCACTGCGTGAGTCGTTCCTGGCCCGCTTGAAGGTGCAGCAAGATAATGGCCGTTACTTATCCATCAACCCCTCTCCTAGCAAGTGGTGCTCTTCCTGAAGAAGCGCTTTATTTCTTGAACACTGCCAATGCAGCGTATCTTCTGACTGAGCCAAACACCGTCGAACGAGCTGCTGCGATTAAAGACCATGCTGTTCAAACAGCCAGTCAAAATATTCACCTTATCCCAATAGCACGGGCAGAGGCAGGTTCAATTTCTAGTGCACGAGTCGAGATCGATGAAGACATGACACTTGATCCGAAACTCCCATGCTTGATCATTTTCACCTCCGGTACCACCGGTCGGCCTAAAGGGGTGGTCATTCCCCGGAAAACATTCTTTTTCCAAAGACAGACAGATCCCAGTGAGCTCTTTTTGGCCTATCGTCCTGTTCACTGGATAGGAGGTGCATACAGCCTCCTCGTGCGGGTCTTGACCGGGTCAAGGGTTCATTTCCTGAAGCGCCGCCCCGAGCCTGCCAACTTTTGGGAGATTCTCAAGGAAGGTAGGATTACCGGCACATCTCTGCCCCCTGCACTTTTCAAAGAACTAGAAGATTACTACCTGACGAATATCCGCTATCTTCCTTCCCAAGAACACGATGAATATGTCTCCGGGGCAGCGAAACTCCGGTTCGCCATTAATAGTGGATCTGCGCTGAACCCGTCGACGGCCCATTTCTGGAAAGAACTCACGAATTTAAAGATCCGGAATGTATACGCATCTACCAAATTTGGAAGTGCGGCTTTGATGGCTTCGATTGAGGCTGAATATGTTGATGTTCGTATACTTGTGCTCAAATTACAAGCTCTAACCCTCATATTTATACATGAAATTCTTTACTGATTTCTCTATAGAGATGCATTGTTAGGCCTCTGCCTGGAGTGGAAATCAAACTATCAGATGGAGACGAAGGGGAAATGCTCGTGAAATCCTCTACCATGTTCACTCAGTATGGCTCTATCAAACCCATTTTCTGATTCATTTACTGACGTCTGCCAGTTATATCAACAACGAGGCAGCAACAAGAGATGCCTTTGACGAAGAAGGGTTCTTGAAAACCGGCGATCTTGCTCAACACATTGGAGATTTGTATTTCTTCAAAGGCAGAGCAAATCACGACTGTAAGTGATCACCAAAATCCTGACATCCGAAGTTCTTTGACTAAAATTCCACCAGGGACTCGATTTTGGCACTTCAAGATACCGGTACTTGAGCTGGAAGAGCGCCTCATCCAGCTTCCGTATATAAGTAAAGCGTATGGGCTGCCTGTCCTAGACCACGAGGCTCAAGGTCTTGCCGCGACGCTTGTTCGTCTTCGCGGACCGCATGAAACACTCCAAAATATCAATCTTCGCAGAATTCGAGAGGACCTTGCTTCGAACATGGAGCTTTACAAGCTTCCTGCACTTCTGTATATCCTGAAGGACGGAGAAGAAGTACCCAAGTCAGCATCCGAGAAAGTCATGAAGGCTCAAGCACTGGAGAAATACTTCCACTTGTCCGACTACCGCCCGCGTGATTATGCCGTGCATGGGGTTGAGTTTTGGGGCAATCAGACTCAAATTAGCTCAACTAGAAAGGCCCGGGACTGGGAGGGCGAGGACTAAGCTTGAAAGGGTGCCTAGCTAAATGCTCATCCTAGTACCTAGTGTATTGCGGACAGCCCTACGTCCTATATACTTATAGAAAGTCACATTTCGTCCTGTGTTACATTCCTGTCATAAGTTCTTCAATTTCCTGAAAGGCATGATGTAGTACTTACTCGGACTGAAATGGGGATAGAATATTCACAAAGCGGGGCCTGTGGGGGAGTATGCCTTTTGCTTCCAAAAACTTGGAGTGGCTACTGCCAGGTCCTGCCGCAGAGATTATTGTTGCTGGTAGTGGTGAGCCGGTCGGCGTCATATCGTCTAAGGTTTGTTTCTGACTGACAGTGCATATGTTGTCGTTGGAGGGGCGACCTGTGTCGGATTCGCTAACGGCATAGCTGCAAGTGTAGAAGATGAATTCATTTTGGAAATACCTTTGAGCTCCATCTCGATTTGCACAATCCAGTCTGGCGTTTTCTCCAGGTCGTCACGCTGCGCGAAAAAAGGGGTTTGTGAAATGTTCCTTTGCGTGGAGTTGCATCTCGGGATAAGATACTGTAAGGATATTTATTTATTTGGAACTGCAAAATGAAAAGGCCTCGGGTAGTAATGGCCCTTGGATTAAATAGTAATCCATCCAGGTATCAAATAAGAACAACAGCTTTAAATGCAGATAATATCATCACGATCAAGTCATGGAGCCCCGCACATCCCACACGAAAAGGTTCTCGTCCCAGCCAACACTTGCACACCAGCCCTCGTTTCCAAACAAACACCAGTCGATACCTGTTGCGAACTCCGTATGCCTGGCCATTCGGCCTAGCTCCCTTCCAAGAGTTGGACCCGAGCGCATAAACTCCAGTTCCTGGCCAGCCGGCACCGTTTCTGAACCGTCACTCCATACACGGCAAGTCATGTCGTAGCTAGCACTCAATAATACACTGGAAAGATGTGGTGACCAGGCTACTTTCTTGACAGCATAGTTGTGGCCTACCATGGTTGTCGCAGCGCCTTGTTCACAGGCTCGAATATCGAATACGCGAATGGCAGTGTCCACGCCACCTGTCGCGAGCACATTCGGGCGGTATTTGTTCCAGTCTTGAGTGAGCACTTCGTTGGGGACGGTAGCGTTGGGCGGTAATTTTTCTGAACCCGGTGCGCCCCGCGGTGTAGAATTGAGAAATTGCATAACTCGGTGGTTTGAAGCAGAGGCCGGGGTGCGGAAATCATAGAGACGCACATAGCCATCACTCGAGACGCAGGAGAGGAGGTTGGCATTATGTGGTGACCAGGTTGCGGAGTAGGTGCAGGAGTGGATGGGGAGAGTGAGTAGGGACTGCTGGCGATGTGGCGACCAGACCCGCACGGTATTATCCCAGCTGCTGGAGCAAAATTTGTCCTTTTCGATTGGGCCCCAGTTCACGCTGAAAACCTCTCGATTATGTTCTTTCCATTGTTGGACCGGGAAATCGTTCACGGTGCAGTCGAATAGCTTGATGCTTCCGTCACCGGATGCTGTAACGACCTGGTTTTCATGAATCTCCGACCAGGCCAGATCGTAGAGTGAGTCTTGTGTGGCGAACCTAATGGTACACAAAGGCCAGATGATTAGCGTTCACTGCTGGAAATCACATTAAGACAATTGCCCGCGGGCAGGTGTTCACCATTTCATGGGCTGGATACCCTGGGCTGTCAACTCAAAGACCCAGAGCCGACCGTTTCCGACCAGCCCAAAATTGGCAGAGCTTGCGACCGCGATGCGATTATCGAAGAACGGGGAGTATCCAACAGCCGTCCCGTTGAAACCCTGCGTGCGGAACTGCAGCATAGTGAAGGGTTGATCTACTTGGCCGGGTGCGCCCGATCACTTGCAAGGAAGAAGAGAAGAACTCGTCAAAGGAAGGTCAGAAAGGGTTACTCAGGGTATCACAATAAAAAGTCATGCCTATCATGCTCATGAACGCGTTCAAGAAGTGACGAATGAACGACTGCGGGGGGGATCAAATGAGCTGGACCGAGGTTTACCGGTTCCTTATCGCCTTATCGGGCCGAATAAGGGCACTCGTGAAGTATACCGCACTATGGGGAACAGCACTGTGTGTTTATTAACTTTGAAAACACCTATGTCTAATATCAAATTCTGACCACAATTGGGGGCTTGATAGACTATGCAATAAATGTTGATCAATTGGCTTGGACCCCAAAGATGGAGAAGCTTGGTCTTCACCACAGGGGATATAACAGTTGGCAAAACCTTCCACGCCTATATGCTACTATCTAGAAACGCAACGGTCGCAATTGTTTTATTTTTGAAAGTCATAAATGAATAAACCCAAAAAATATGTGTAGTACTCACATTGATACTATTGACCAGCCCTGGAGGTTCCTGTTCGAGTGTTCTGCATAGCGAGACCCTGCATATCACTGACGTCAACCACCCACACCTCGAAAAGACCGACCAGTGATAGAATAAATAGCCCTGAGAATACGATCTTCCCCATATAAAAGGTTCCCAAGTATTCCAATAGCCTGTCAAAAATTGGATCGCCATGAACTCGAAACCATGGTTTGAGCAACTGCCACAGACTATGACGCCACCATGGTCTTGACTGCACCTACGCGACATGACTATGTATTTAGCTCTGATCAACCCACATGCTTCACCACATGAGCTATGGCTCTTTATGATTTATGTAGTTGAGACGACTTCAGAACGTCCAAAGCCTATCATGTCCGACACTGAGTCGTATACCTCCCCAGCCCAAACTTTTCTCCAAGAGGAAATCTATCGACTCGGTACATCCCCAGGCCTCCGAGCCCTTCCAGCAGGCCCAATACGTGACTTGATCGTTTTTAGCTGGGGCCCAATCATCTATCGAACCTGCTATACACCTGAGACGAAACATTCTCTTCCGATATTCCTGCGCTGTCTGAACAATGCCGTAAGAAAATCCCTGGGTCAGACACTCGCGGGCTCAAAAGAGGAGCTTGATGCGTTGATCAAAAGCTATTCCTCCAAAATATTCAATGCCCATGAAAAATACAATGGCCTTGATGAAGATGGGGTTCGTCGGGCATTTCACGACTATAAAGTGTCATTGACTCTTCCGTCAATGGAGCTACCCAGCCGACTGCGGGTCTGCCTGATGGTTGACGATCAGGTATTGGCGAATCTGAAGGCTATACTCGAGCTCTGTTCGATGTGTGAAACATCCGTTGATCTGGGTCGGTGTTGGGTTAAGCTAGTTGAAGAGAATTTCCCGGACTCAAGGTGTTGGGAAGAGACATGTCCTACGCAATCTAGTCAGATCGATATTACTGGAGATTACCGTGGGAGATACCGGGGCTGGACTACTGTGGCGCTGCCTGCGCTTCTTGAGGTCTTTGATGGATTAAGGCAGTTGAAACCCTTGGTGGAATATCATCGTGAGGGTCGAGTATATCTTGGAAAAGGGAAATGGAGCAGTGTGTAACCTCCTTAAAATGGATCGATGAATAATGACATCTTTGGACAGCTTTGATCTTGAAGAAGATCTAGCATATCCCTGGGGACTTTAGATTGCTTTTTTTTTTATAGTTTTCTTTTATATTGGTTGCTTCGCTCTAATGTTGCTACTGTGCTATCGAAAGTGAGACTGTGACATCATTGGTCAATTCGATGCAAGTCACGTGATGGTAAGCACCTTATCGTTAGCTTATCCACCATTCTTCTAAGTTCTGTCTAACACTGATTCACTTTGTAAGATTGCAGAACAGGGCATGGGGCTGGGAATTTAGATTAGATGGAAGCATTTATCTCCAGGAAAAAGCCAAGGCTCTCGGAGTCAAAGCAGAGAAGCGCGAGTCATGCTCCCGAGACTTTCAACACGGACAGTGAAGAAACGACCGATGTCAAGTTAGCCATTCTGATATCGCTCCACCCAGAGGTGACACAAGATGATCTACTTGATATACTAGTCTCCTGTGACGGATCTGTTGAAGACGCCTCATCCTTGTTGCTATCAAAAAGCTCCACAGGAAGCGTGACACCAAGAAAACGAGTGGCTCCTGGCTCATCTCTTGGGGTTCAAACGTCTTTGTCCTCCCATGTTCTAACGAAATCCAAAGATGGATCCCTTACGCTTATGAACGAGGTCAAACCTTTAGCTACTCAAAAAGGAAAGACTCTACATTTATATGCTCCCGAGGATGTCGCAGCCAATACACCTTGCACGATCATCCACAATTTTCTTCCCAAAGACGAAGCCAATGCGCTTCTGACAGAGCTCCTAGAAGAGTCAGAGCACTTTTCCAGAGACGAATTTCAACTGTTTAGCCGCACAGTGCAAAGCCCCCACACAGCATGCATCTATGTCTCCACGCCGGAAGAGTACAAACAGCAAACTTCAGAGTATACGTACGGCGGCACGTATCGGTCAAACGTGCGGCAAGCAACGCCAAAGTTACGTTCAGTCTCGCGGAAAGTACAGCGCATCGTGAACGAAGAAATTCAGAATCGTATTCGAGATGTATACCCGGACGGAAAGAAATTGAAATACCAGTGTCCGAAGCAGTGGAGACCAAACGCAGCATTTGTGAACTGCTACGACGGACCTACTGAGAGTGTGGGGTATCACTCTGATGAGTTGACATATCTCGGACCACGCCCGGTAATAGGTAGTCTGAGTTTGGGCGTGGAACGCGAATTCCGTGTTCGCCGGATCGTCGCCCAGGACGAAGATGGGGAAGGTGGAGCTACAGTGGCGAATGGCGATCCCGACCAAAACGCTAGCTCGCCTTCAAAAAAAGCAAAATCCTCCAAGGCCTCCACTGCGCGTGCAGATGCTCAAGGGCAAATCTCTATCCACCTCCCACACAACTCACTTCTGATAATGCATGCTGAGATGCAAGAGGAGTGGAAGCATGCCATAGCTCCTGCTCAAACTATCTCTCCACATCCCATCGCAGGCAACCGTCGCATCAATGTCACTTATCGCTGGTATCGTGATATTCTTCATCCTCGATATACGCCGCGGTGTCAATGTGGAACACATGCAATTCTACGATGCTCACAGCGCAAGCAAGAAAGCCGTGGGAGGTATATGTGGATGTGTTACGCGGGAACCACGCCTGGGAAACAAGGTTGCACATTCTTCCAGTGGGCGGAATTCGATGATGACGGCGATCCAGTGTGGGATCATAAGCAGCACCGAGATGCAGCACCGGTCTTGGCAAATTTTTCGACGTCACAGTCATCACAATAGCATGCACCTAGTCACTAGTTTGAATAAAAGCGGGAACAAATTAGCAAGCCCCCTCCCATGGTGATCCCGTATTGTTACACCGCAAGAGAAACTCAGGAGTTCATAGAGAAAGCCTCCCTCGCTGATTCCCCAGACCCCGGACCCCAGAGACAAAGACCCAAAATCGAGAAAATCGCGGATCTTTCCATGATAAAACCAGAGTTAACTGTGATTTGATTGGTGAGCATGAGAGATAGAGTTGGGCGGTACGTGCGGGGTATGTATTGGATCCAATTATCAATACCGATCATTCCGCCCCCCAGTGTCTCAACGTTCATCGCAGTCTACACCAAACCCAATGAAAGCTGTTCAAACCTCGGTTGGGTTACGCTGGGGCAATCTTCGCATGCAGATGGGCGGAATTGACCGCCGCATCCTGAGCTCCGCCAAGGGGCTTCTGGAGAGGCGCCTGGTTATCAAAGTCTCACAAATGTTTTAAAAAGCGAGGATCGTCAAGTATTTTGTCGCTGAGATCCAAACTTTTTTCCATCCCTTTCCTACGCTTTATCCATCATGGCGGCTCCGAACGAGAGTACTTATGACTATATCGTCTGCGGGTGAGCATGCTCCTGTCGACAGACGTACCTACCAATAGGAGACGAATCCCAATTAACGTGATGCAGTGGTGGCACATCCGGATGTGTCGTCGCGGCTCGTCTCGCCGAGAATCCAGAGATTTCGATCCTACTCATCGAGGCTGGTCAACATAATAAGGATTTGGAGAATGTACACATGACAGGAGGGTGAGTGGTTGCTAGGTCCCCGAATATGTTTGTCGCTAACAGCGATCAGATGGTCGAACAATTTCGACTCCGAGACGGACTGGAATTTTGTGACTCCGCCCATGAAGGGCGTGGATAACCGTCAGGTGAAGTTGAGTCGTGGTCGATTCCTCGGTGGATGCAGTGGCTGCAATGGAACTCTTTGCATCCGTGGTGCCAAGCAGGATTACGATGACTGGGGTTTGGATGGGTGGAGTGGAGAGGACTTCTTCAAGTACATGAGAAAGGTAAAGGATACCTATACCTTGCCTTATATGATACGAGCAGAGGCTGACTATGTTACAGGCAGAAACATTCCACCCCAAACCGTGGCACAAGGCTGATACTGAGAGCCACGGTTACTCCGGACCTCTCCACACAGAACCTCACGACCTAGCTCCCATTTCTGAGCTACTACTCCAGTCATTGGAATCGCAAGGAATGCCCCTGCATCATGACATGTTCAGCACCGGCGATGTTGCCCAAGGATGTGGCCATGTTCCTCGTACAGTGTACAAAGGGATCCGAACAACAGGCGCCGATTTCGTGACGAAGAAAAACCACCGCAACAATATAACAATCACGACCGATACAACCGTCGACAAAGTGATTTTCAAGCAGCAAGGCGGACAGACTCGCGCGTCAGGCGTTGTCACCAAGGCGAACGATGGTACAATGAAGACATTCTTCGCTAGAAAGGAAATCATTATTTCCGGAGGCGCATACTGCAGCCCTGCCATTCTTCTTCGCTCGGGTATCGGCCCTAAGGAAGAATTAGAAAAGCACCGCATCCCAATCACATTAAACTTACCCGGAGTCGGAAAGAACCTCATGGACCACCTAGTGAGTATTCAAAATTCAAAGCAAAACCTTACCAAACTAACCCATTCAGATTGTCTTCATGTTCTACGAAACCGAAAAGGCAGGGCTTACAAATGACTACGCCGTATACCACAATGATAATTTCGAACACACCTACAAGCTTTGGAAAGAAAAGAAATCAGGCTTCCTTTCTACATTTCCCTTCGGTATCTTCGCCTTCGCCAGAATAGACGAGCGACTCAAGGACGAACCACTATGGAAAAACGCACCCCGCCTCCCAGGCCGCGATCCAATGGGTCTAGCTCCTAACCAGCCAAACATAGAATTCTTCACGACAGAGTGCTATGGTGGACCAAAGCAGTATGATCAATTCCCAGGTAACAACCAGCATGCATTCTCGATGATAGCGGAATTATTTGCGCCGAAATCACGAGGCTCTGTTACGCTTACGTCGGCTGATCCGTTGGAGAACCCTGTTGTTGATTGTAACTATCTGGATGATCCGTTGGATATGTTGGTACTTAGTGAGGCTTGTCGATTTGGCAATGAGGTCGTTATGAAGGGGGCTGGAACAAAGAATATTGTCAAGGGATCTTGGCCTCCGAATTTGAAGCATCATACCTATACGACCAGGGAAGATTGGGTTCCATACGTCAAGAAGCATGCTACGACTTGTAAGTTTTGCTGATTGGTTTTGTTTTTGAAATGTAGATGCTGATTGTTCGATAGGTTATCATGCTGCAGGCACGTGTGCGATGGGGAGAGATGATAACCCCATGGCTGTTCTGGATGAGAAATTGCAGGTTAGAGGTGTGACTGGACTCCGTGTGGCTGACTGTAGTGTTATGCCGACTTTGCACGGAGGTCATGCCCAGATGCCGGCTTATGGAATTGGTGAGAAGTGTGCGGATCTCATTAAGGAGACTTGGCGCCAGGCAGGAAATGTCTACCCTCGGATTTGATGTGGCTACTGCTAGAAAGACCAATAGTTTTACTAGATACACGAAATTTGTTGCTGCCGCATGATCAAGACTAGTAGGCCTACTGATCCTAGCCGTTCTGGCTTAATAAACTCCAGGGAATTGAACAATCCATCTTTCAAAGCAACTATTTCGTAACTAAACGAACCAGCCGAATATATATTGGCGCACCAGAAAGCAGATTGATAATAATGTTACGACCGGCGAATAACAAAGAAACAACATGACAAAGGTTCAGGTCATCCGACTAGGAGTTCATGCTAAAACTATAGTCACTGTCTTGTGCACTGCTTGTCATGCTCACTTTCACACCATTCCGAGGTGCGCCCAAACTAATATCCTTTCGTCTAATAACGGTAAGATGAGTGTCCACATGTACCATACAAGGCGCAGGAAGCAAGGAATGCTGGTACTCTACATGTGCAGTGAGGAGAGGCTGTGTGATCTCATCGGACGAGAAGTCCTGTAGTAGATGATTGATTTGACTCATCATTTCGTTGATCAAGGGGTGTTGCTGCGAAGATGCGGTTTGTGCAATTTGGGACGATTGTCTAAATGCAGCGGGTACACGAACCTGGACTGGAATATTCCACGTCTCTCCGGGTCGGAGAGAAATCAGCGTGACATTCTCGAAGACTGATTGAATTTGGCATCCACGTGCAGGGACAATTGATATCTTCAAATCAGCAATAGACCCAGGGCGTATTCCAGTGCGAAGTTGCCGAATAACCCGAGAAATCCTTCGAATAAAATGGGTTTCTCTGGGGCCCGTGTCAGAAGCCCCTACCATGTATGATATATGCCAGCCAGAGGGACAAAGGTTGTTGTCTAGTGGTAGGCATGCGTGGGGTGTGATAGTATGGAAGCCGATTGCTTGGTCAATCCAAGGAACCAGAAGATGCTCCGGTGGCGTTGCAGAGACAAAGAACAAATGACGAAATGCTCTGCGAGGCGAATGTGAGAATATACTGGACGCTCGTTGGATGACATTTCCAAGATCAGAGCAGATTTCGTTATTGATAAGTTGGCGCCGTGAAAAAGTGTTCAGTGCAGATCGGATGGCTTCAATCGAGTGAAATCCAAGTGGAAGTAATGTCTGGAAACCTTGGTTGGCCCTTCCATTAACACAGGCCAATGCGATCCTGTCATGATTGTGTGTCAGGTGAGAGGCGAGAACAAATGAACCAAGAGTAATTTGTGTTAGGAGATCGACGGAAGGCTGACACCTATCAAGTCATCTCATTAGTTTCAAGTCGAAGTTGACAGTGTTGGAAAGCTCACAGAGTATCAAGGAGAATGACTATGTCCAGCGGAGCAATACTCGAGATTCCCGGGAAGGGTGTAGCACTGATATCGGCCGATAAATATACCGTAGTCCATAAAGATGTAGCGTCCTTGCCAATATAGGTGGTGTTTGCCTTTGCTCTCACATTGACAAATACAATGGGAAGATCCATGGGGTGTAGAAAGTTCGAAGTGCCTTCCATCCCGGAGTTCGACAGAAACCGATGAGGCTCCGAGGCCGCGGGCTCCGACTCGGCATAGGAACTCACAGTTTCGGACGGTCGAGATAGCTGCGATGAGTCCCAAGAACCAGAGCTCCAACGTACAAGCAGTCGAGGATACTGCGCCCAGTGTCTCTGTACTTTGGCCACGGGTCTAGGAGTCTATGAACTCAATTAGCAAACCAAGGGAACATCTGACGAAAGCGACGAGAAATCAGTCACATTGTCCACAAACGGATTTTCCATCAAGTAGCATTCAGGGTTGTTTGCGTTTCGTCGCGGATTTGGTTCATTTTGGCGGGGTTTTAAAATTTCAATCCGGTAGAGACTATCGCTGAGGGAAGGTGTTCTAGTTGACGATGTCGGTCTCCAGGACTCATCGCCCACGCTTGCTGTGAGTGATGAACATCGGCGGGGGATTTCTGGGTAAGAAGAGGACGAGCCCGTACTGTGGCTTCGCGAGACACTGCACCTTTTGACCGTAAGTGGATCCGGAATCTCCCCGGTCGTGAATCCTCTAGACATGCTCGAGACTAGAGACGGGCGGTTCGTACTCAAGTGCTCCGTCAGAGATATCAGTCTCTCGATTGCCCACAGAGCTTTCCAGGTCAGATCGAAGTCTCTTTTGTTTCCTCCGACGATCTCGGCAACGACACCACTGTGGGAGCCACGAAGGTCGGGTAAATCTGTACTCCGAGCAAGCAAGGATCAAGGCCACGGCGCAAAAGAGGATGACGATAGGGACAAGAACCAATGCAATAAGCAACGCAGAGCTCTTAAAATCAAGTGATAAAATATTGGTCATCTTGGATGAATGTGAGCAAATGTAAGGATTAAAGACACAGGAGTTCGTTGATGTTCGCCGTCGGTATATCCATATTCGGCAGGAATGATGCAACTGCAAAAGGAACTAGAATTGGGTATATTGAAGCAAGCACGAATCATTGCTCTGTATGTACATTCACCACCGACTCCATTTTCTCCTTGACTGAGCTCATTGTAGCGTCGTCCAACCGCGAAAACCGTATCTGTGTATGATTAGCGCCTGGGCGACAATGTAAACAGGATCATACTTACCATCTCATCCCCACCGCCACGGGTAGCGCCCCCAAATAACATGGGATCAGAATGACTAGCCTCGATCTCATCATGCACCCGCCGAGCCCAGATTCCATCCCAATGCCAATCTCCAGGTTGCCGAGCCTGCGGACTTCCCTTCTTCCAATCTCTAGAACTATCAGCTCCCCGACGGTGTGCTTTCCATGCATGCCATGCTCCTGGGTTTCCTGCGACCTCGACGGGTAACGAGTCAAGGACAGATTCATCATCGAATGTCGAGCGAATATAATCCAGAAGTTCCGCCACGGGGACTGTCTTTCTTGCTTCCGCAAATTGAAGCCCGGAGGGGACCTGGGCAATGCGAGGACTGTCGGTGCTGTCCGCAACTTCTTCGGTTTCTGTCGCTTCAGGGGCGCCAGAAACATCACGGCCTGTTGGTGAGGCACCTGGCTTGGTATTTTCCCTTGCCATATTGCCTGTGATTTCCCCGCTCGCGTTCCTTGATGACGGCCCAGATGCAAGTTCACTCCGCTTGGCCCTGCCGAACCAGTGGGGAAATCCATGTCGAAGGCTAAATCCGCCCGGGGGTAACCTTTCCTCATCTGTCGCGCTGACCGGGTCATCACTCGCTGAGCTAGTACTGAATGTGTATGTAGTCAAGGGAACTATCAACGGATGGAAGACATCTGTTGCAAAGGTCACAAGAGGTGGCAGATCCGGATATATGTCTGGAAAGCGGATTTGGAAGCGAAGGATAGCGGAGGCGTAGGGTCCTGGCAAGGCAGAGCCTAGTATTAGCTGCGGGTGGAAGAAGCATCTTGCAACCTGTACTTACCGGAACGAACAAAAATGACCCCAGTCCACAAAGTTGGATCGCCAGGCGCAAGGCTCACATAGACCCCTGGTGGTGCGGCATGTCGCAAACTTGAGCTGCAGAGGTGGGTCAATTACAGTTCCTTTTGACAGAATACAACGAAAACTCACAACTCCAGGTGCAGTTGCTGCTTTCTGACAGATGGGATACAAGGTAACCTGGTGGTTGACATGGTAAAGCACAGGTTTATGGGTTGGAGCTGGAGAGTGACGGAGATCCCGCGGAGTTCAACACAACACGTCGCTTATCGCCTTATCGCCTATCTCCACACCAACTTACATGGAACAACAGTCAAGGTCTGTTGTAAGTCCTCAGGAAGCAATATCCCGAACTATAATATTCAAGGTATTACTTGCTGGTTTCTTCTCATTCCACTTATAAAATCCAGAGCTTCAAACTGAATGATTAATGCTGGGAGACATCCCGGAAGTGCGAGTTTTATTTCAAATATTGACGGTGACAACAGTGGGATGAAGTAGTTCGTGATATACATCCATGGATATCTAGCATGTGTATTGGTGAGTTGAATTCAAGTCTAACGTCTATCAATCTGCAACGCTAATCTATCAAGTTCGAAGCCTTGTCGCAATATACCCATGTGCATCATTCCCTCGCCAACTCCTTCATATATTCCACCAGCAATGCCCTCTACCCACCAGCTCGCAAGATTGGCCACTGCTACACCAACACGACCTTGGTTAAACCTGCAGACTGCAGAGCCAATATCGACGCTTTTCTTCCCCAACCCATCCGCCGCGTCTAATGTCGTCGTAACAATTCGTTGCGTGATGTGGTGCGATCGCTCGTACTCATAAACATTTTGCAGCAGCAACTTGAAATAAGGCAAAAGAAAGCGGACCAAAAGAAATATCTGAACAATTATGGATGCAAGAAGTCTATGAAGGTATGATCGGGTTGGAGGGATTGTCGTTGGAGACATGCGGGCTTCCAATTGCGTTGCGTACGGTTGCGAGGATGTCACAATTGATGACTTGACATTCTCCGGGAGACGATATTGAATCATGGCCGTTTCTTCCGTCGTAAGATCCGATGGAAGTGCATCTAGAAGATACATCAGAGCATTGATGTATAGCGACCGTGTCAGACGGCCATCTGCCTGAGGTTGTTGAGCTTCGTACCCTGCATTACGCAGGAGATTATACGCTAAGAGACATCAGTGACTCGAAACCTAAAATTTGCCTCGGCTTCATCAAGGTCTCACCAGGAACCACCCTGTTCCACCGCAAGCCAGACTCCGTCTCATACTTGGCAGGTGATACTCCCTCCTCGGACGGAGGCGTATCGGACCCCGCAGATCTAGAGACAAAAGAATCTAGACTATCGCTACCGGTTGACGGTCTTTGCGCCTCCAACAGAGCTAGCTCGGGTGACTGGCCATGGAAAGACAGCTGTGGCTCGGATAAAGATGTCAGTCCGTGCTGCAGATCCCCGCTCGATTGGTTTTCGGCGTCAGCCCTGTGAGACAAATAGAGCCTAGGGAGCCGACGCCGAATAGTGGCTGCGATGGGCGATAGAACCGAGAACCGTGTGTATTCCATGGGCGCTTGGACAAGGCTGCTTGTCGAGTGGCGAGCGTGGAGGCGTTGTTAATGTAGGATTTGCATAAGGGAAGAAAGGACTTTTCTTTTTCGCTGGGGTAGTTTGACAGATAACGGCTCACCTGCACCATGCAGATTTCACCATTTTGTGCATGCGGCGATTTCACATGCTAGCGTCCTCGTGTCTGATATGCTGATAAGAGCGGTCTGTGCGGCTTCTAGATCGTGCCCCACTTGATCTTGAATGAGATGTTAAAGTATTAAGCTTGTGTTTATTTAACCTTGTTCAAATCTGGTTCCAAAGTAGCTTTCCTTGGAAAGGCGAGGGCAAAGACGTGGTAGATTTCGGGCGGTATTTGACCTCGGTAGGTACTAGTTGGTTGTAAGTTGTATGAAAATCTAATAAAACTTGGAATCTAGGAAGAAAGTACTTTTTAAGCCATTCAAATAGGTAAAAGCAGACAATGGCGGTATTTAAATAGGTTAATAAACGTTTCAAAGATTCAACTCGGCTCATCCGCATTTCAATGAAGCCCCGGGGGTATGGTCTGAATTCATGGATCTTGCGCCTAAGGGATTAGGCACGTCAAGTCCATACTGCGCCCATTGGATATACATTTGAGCGGATAGAAACAAGGAATGCGCTAGGCAATCATTTCATAAACGTTTTCTCAAGCTTATTCTCAGCCTGGTAGGCTGCCAGTGCCCGGGCGAAAAGAATGTGCGCCCTGTAGCGTGCGTGGATAGTTTTGCTTTAGTGTATGATGGCCATTGTGAAGGAATAACCAAAAAGCAGCCGAATAGGCTACGAGAAAAATACATTTCGCCTTGAACAAAAGGATATCTGCAATATTTTTGAGATCTAGGATCTAACAGCTTCTCTACTGCGAAACTTTGCAAGCTACCTGCCGATGTAATACAGGCGAAACGCAAACTTGACAATGAGTATGAATGTTTTAAAGGAAGATAATCTCAGTCCAAATCCTGTGAAATGTGAGGCGAGGCTTTGGTTACAAACCCGTGTAAAGTCTCTCGATGATCCCACCATTTCGAAGTTGGGGGCCCGAGATCTTGGTACGTGAGAACACCAATTGGCTCATGGTCAACAAAAACAGTTCTAACCCACATTTACTCAATACAAAGTGAGTCATTCATGAAAAACTCTGGTGTCTGAAAAAGCAAAGACCCTTAAGGCCGGAGCCAACTGTTGTACCTTGGAAAGGTTGAGCGAAACATGGATCAGCATCCTCCAAGGCTCATCCCCAACGATTCAACAAATATCGTAAGGCAAGTGATGAGACCACGCAACGTATCATTTACACATGCGACCGAGGATCAGAGCATTTTCTAGAATGCAATGATGGATTACATGTTGAATTTATATAGTGAACGTGTTTTCTTTTTCATAAGAAAATTTCTTGTCATGCTTCATCTCTCTTCAAGGCTTGCCTTGCCACTAAATTAACCCCAATAAACCGAAAAAGGAAAGTTTGAACGGCAAAATTGAGAAGGCATATCGCAAATATGAAGCCTGATTCTCAAAGGCTCCATATCACTGAGCAGCCTCTCACTCTGAGCAACTGGCATCACCATGTCAACTGGATCAATACCAGTCTGATCCTCATCGTGCCACTCTTCGGCTGTGTCGCTGCATTTTTCACAGAGTTGCGTCTTGCCACGGCTACCTGGGCAATTCTTTATTATGTCTGGACAGGTCTTGGAATCACTGCAGGATATCATCGTCTTTGGGCTCATCGTTCATATGAAGCGTAAGCTCTCTCCATTGTCATTTGCACAAATTTCCACAATAAGACACTGACCTTTTGATTGTTCTTCATGTTAGAAGCGTCCCCCTGAGAATATTCCTTGCCTGTGTTGGGGGTGGTGCTGTCCAGGGCTCTATCCGTTGGTGGAGCAGCAAGCACCGCGCACATCATAGATGGACTGATACCGTCAAAGATCCATATAGCGTTCGAAAAGGCGTGTGGTACTCCCACTTCATGTGGATGGTGATGAAGCAGAACCCCAAGGACCGGGGCCGGACAGATATCTCAGATTTGAACCAGGATCCGATCGTGGTCTGGCAGCATAAGCACTATGGCATGTTCATACTCGCTTTCGGGGTGTTATTCCCTATGGCTGTGGCTGGCCTAGGCTGGGGCGACTGGAAGGGTGGTCTAGTATATGCAGGCATCTTGAGATTCCTTTTTGTTCAACAGGCGACATTTTGTGTCAACTCCTTGGCTCATTGGCTGGGTGAACAGGTTCGTTTTGGTCTCCACTCGTCGGTTGTCACTCTGCTCACAACAATTTAGCCATTTGATGACCGGAACTCACCGCGCGACCATGTTGTTACTGCACTGGTCACTTTGGGTGAAGGGTATCACAACTTTCACCACGAGGTAAGAAATTAAAGTTGGTAAGCGCGATAAGCTTCTTTGCTGACTGGTGTAGTTTCCCTCGGACTACCGCAACGCCATTGAATGGTGGCAATATGACCCAACCAAGTGGTCAATATGGATGTGGAAGCAGCTTGGTCTGGCTTCCAATCTCAAACAATTCCGTGCAAATGAGATTGAAAAAGGCCGTGTCCAGCAACTGCAGAAGAAAGTCGATCAAAAGCGAGCCAAGTTAGACTGGGGCGTGCCTCTTGAACAACTGCCTGTTATTTCCTGGGATGATTTTTTGGATGCTGCCCGGGACGGAAAATCTCTCACTGTTATTGCTGGTGTTGTCCACGACGTAGCCAGCTTCGTCAATGAACACCCTGGCGGCAAGACACTGATCAGTTCGGCGATCGGAAAGGACGCGACGGCTTTGTTCAATGGTGGAGTGTACAATCACTCCAATGCGGCGCATAACCTTCTTTCCACAATGAGAGTTGGTGTGATCCGTGGAGGTGGTGAGGTCGAAATTTGGCGACAGAGAAATGGTGACAAGCAGGCCACCCTAGGTTCTCCACTTGCCTAACTACGAGAGACATACGAGAATTGATAGGCCGCGGGTTGTGCAAGACCGATCACCTTATTTTAATTATGGTATCAATGAAAAAAACATACCTTTTCATGACGCATTCACGTTGAATCATTGATAGAGTCATTGGTATTCTGAAAATGACTTTGTCCGAGGTTTCAATCTAAGCCCCCGGAAGTCTTTCATGAACTCAAGCCATGCCTTGAATCATGGTTGACTGAGGGTCAGATGTATTTAATGGAATAAATCCTATTGGGCGGATCCAAAATGTAAATCGCGTCTTTATTTCAATGAAAATTCGGAACATCGTTTGTAGCCAAGATTGGTGAAACGTTAGAACCTTCTACTAACGATGCCATCTTTGCCATGGTCAAAATAGACGACCTTTTTTGTTTTTAGATAATCAACGGGTCTCTCAGTTTTTGGCAGCCGCATTCCGGTCGAAGTCGGATCGGGTCACGAAAATTCTGCTCGGAACGATGAAGAATTTTCGAGTCTTGGCATCGAAGTATACAGTGTCGTATTAAGACTAGAATTTGCCATTGATGAACTAGTATTTAGCCTCGTCTCCAGGGCTTATTATGAAGGATCTGATTCGACGACTCATTACGGGGTCACATGGGCACCTGCCTATATCTAGTCCAATATTGATGTTGCTGACATTGTGAGTTGTTGGATATTAATTACGCCACGACAAGGGTCCGAAATGTCTGATATTGGGACTCAATTTAAAGAACTAAATGGAAAAGTTTGGCGTCGTAGAATGCACTAGATTCGATCTAGAAGTTGATTCTCGAAGATAACGCGCCCTCAGCCTCCGATATCGCGGGGGGGGATGAATCATTCTTGCCTAGTTGGGAACGCCCTTGTGCCCCGCTTTGGAGTACACTAACCCCAAATAGGCTTGGCGTTGACATGCGAAGGGCGTGCAGATGCGTCTTCCTGGTCTCACGCGGACCTTCTCTCTCACTCCGGTCTCATCTATCCCGCAAGTCGAACCGATGACGTTTGGTTCTTCTAGCTTCTTCAATCTGATCGGCTTGACCGATTCTTACTTTTTCTAGGCGGCTAAGAAAGGCCTGCCTCGGCCGAAGCGACCACTGACAATCGATTATGTGTTGATTGCTTATCGGTATGGCACGAGCCTTCTAACTAGGACTTCCAGGGCCCGATTTAACGCTGGGTCCAAGGTCCATACTACTCCACTCCTGGGACATGATTAATCACCCAGCTCTACCCCAGACCAGGGATACCCTTCTCAGACCGACTTTTTTCAACCTTCCCCGTATCTTTACAAAAAAATTATTTGTCTGAAAAAAAAGTATTCTGACGGTCTTGACGACCGCTTCTCTAGTAAAGCCATGGAGTACTTCGACTTTGAAGGTGCCTCATCGGCTCATGAATCCAACCACCCGAGTGACGACGTCGGCTCGGTTGATCTAGAATTTGATGACGCCGAGGAAAGGGCTGTCAATTTCAAATCTTTGCTTCAAGATGAATCATTGGAATTTCTCCACGACCCGCCTGTCCCGGAGACCGCCGAACAAGACTTACCTGATGCCGTTGGTCCCGATCAGGACACCGGAGTCTACCCCATGTTCCGCGCCGAACAGCCCTGTGACTTTTGTCGACGAATGGGCCTCGATTGTTTTGTTGCCAAGCGTGGAGTTATGCAAAATGGTTGTACCTGTTGCATCTCTCTCTACCGCGAATGCAGTTTCACCCATGCCAAAGTTCCTGGCAAGTTTCTTCAAACATTACATCCTGTGTCAGAGAACGCCTACATCCCAACGGGCGGCCTGACTGGGAAACGAGCACTCAAATCCGTATCCTACGGCGGCTTTGGGGATGATTCAGAACCGCGTTCCCGCAAAAGCAGCACTACTCGATTTTCGCGCAATGCCCTCAATGTTCTCAAGGGTTGGCTGCGAGATAACAACGATAACCCATATCCTACTGAGACTGAGAAGGATGAATTGAAAAACAACACCGGCCTTACAAGAACACAGATCGCCAATTGGCTCGCGAATGCTCGACGACGTGGCAAGGTTCGCCCTGCCAGTGGCCCTGGATCTTCTACTCCAGGCGCCGTTAACATCCCTGGTCAAGAATCAACAGATGTATCACTCATGACTCCCATTGAACGTTGGAAACACTCGCCCCCCGAAAACGAACCTGCCACCATCGGTGATATTGCTCGCGCCTTAGCAAACCCGCCATTCGATCCGTCCCGTCAACATCGTCTGTCCCAGTCGGGTCACGTGAGGGCACATCGCCCTGGATCTACCAATGAGTCAAGCCACGCAAGCTCAGACCACAAAAGATATACCGCCTCAGGAAGTAGTTTGGATTCTAGTCACTCATCCCTGTCTGACCTTTCCTTTGCTTCCGCATTCTCCCATCGATCCTCTCGTTCATTTGGCTCAATGGATCGCAAAGAGCGTCGCCGTCGCCGCAAGGCATCGGTACCTGTGAATACTTTCAATCATCAGAAGGCTCGAGCTGTTCGACCCTTCCAGTGCACTTTCTGCACTGATTCTTTTGCTGCCAAATATGACTGGCAACGTCATGAAAAGTCCATGCATCTCATCTTAGACAAGTGGACATGTTCCCCTCATGGCGGCGTCACTGAAGAGAATGGCACACTTCGATGCGTCTTCTGCTTTGCCATCAATCCTGACAAAGACCACTTGGAAACACACAACTATCTCAATTGTCAAGAAAAGTCCATCCAGGAAAGAACTTTCTATCGGAAGGATCATCTCAATCAACACCTTCGTCTCATGCACAATGCCAAGTTTCAACCCTGTATGGAGATTTGGCAGAGTAGCATCACCAACATCAAGTCCCGCTGTGGGTTCTGTGCATCAGTATTGCACACTTGGAAGGATCGCGTGGACCACCTTGCCGGTCACTTCAAAAATGGGGCCAACATGTCCCAATGGCATGGGGATTGGGGCTTCGAGCCCTATATTCTCGAGCGTGTTGAAAATGCCATTCCACCATACATGATCGACTATGAGTGGCGCTCACCAAATCCTTGGACCACCGTGCAGGCGCAAGGGGATGGATCTACCCCGAGGCTGAGTGTACCCAATGACGCCAATTGCTATGACCGTCTCTCACACGAGCTCACTGCGTATATTCACCATCAAACCGCAGAAGGATTGATCCCTACCGATCAGATGATACAAGCTGAAGCCCGTCGAGTTATTTACGGCAGCGATGATCCTTGGAATCAAACCTGCGCCGACAATCCTGTCTGGCTAGGTATTCTGAAGCGCGATACTGGACTCCAATCGGCTGTGAACAATGACAGAATCCGGTACTCAGATCTTGGGTTACAACCTCCCTTTGCCGTTGATGGAGGGCTGCGCAATCCCCCACCAGAAACCAATATTCTAGCAAGGGCTGTATGCCCTGGTGCCCTACCCAGCCCTGCAGTATCCAGCCCTGGTCTCCGGAGTCCGGCCTACCCGGGAACCGGTTTCTCTTCTGCCGGCCCTAGCGGTACAGGCAGTCTTTCAGGCAGCTATGTTGGTAGTGCAGGGATGGTATCAGCTGGCATTCCGGCACTTTCATCTGATTGGAGTAGTAGCCTTCCAGGCAACGCTTCGGCCTCTTCTGCTCCTGCAGACGGGTCTACTGACCCGTTGGTCCAGATGGGCTTCGACCCAGACTTTCTACGACGATTGAACGACAGCTACAGTGAACTTACGCCGCCTGAGCTGGAGGACCTGCCTTTAAGCCATCCCTCGGCTTATGACGGTAAGGGAAAAGAGAAATGGGTGGATCCGGGCCAACGAATCTCAGATCCTAATGCCTTTCTCCATTCAAAAGAGGACGGTCCTGCATCAGAGAATGCCCAGCAGGGCCGGCCTGCATTTTATGATGATGTGGGGTTCTGATTGATGTTTTACGATGATATTTGAAGCCGGCCTCGAGAAGCAAAAGTGTAATGGTCTCTCTGCATTTTACGAGCATTTCTATAACAGTATTTAAGACCGATTTTTGTACTACAGAATGATGAATTTACATTTCAATTACATGGCGTTTCTTAGTCTTGGTCTGTCACACCTCATCCTCGTGGAGAGGAGCTCGATTTAGAACCAAGCCACCACCACGCGTCCTTGTTCCATACCCAGATGCGTCATTATTGCTTTTGGTGCTCACAGTACATGTTATGGAGTATCCTGACCCACTTTCGACAAGTGTGGGGCCTTTTTGTGCACCAAAAAGCGGGTTCGCCAATTAATATTTCGGAATTACGTCGGAAGCTGATTGACTCATACTCTGCTCTCGTCAATGGTCGGCTTCTTCTCTTTGTTTACGACCCACCATTCTGGTTGGCTGGTGTTGAACCTGCAGAACGCCGAGACAGGATGTCTCACTCGTATCCAGGGATCAGGTACCTTTACAATGGCGTACCTGATTCGTCCCACGCAAACGATTCTATATATCATCTGCCTATGATGAACAAGACTTATTGGCGACGCTTTGACTCCATCACTTTGCATGATAACTTTCTATCACGGTCACATTATCATTCGGGCTTACTTCCACCCGACATCTAGATTGGTGGCTCTCATCCGAGATCTACCTCTTACCAGATGCAGGGCCAACGGGGCAGATGCGCTCTTCACCCCGACGCTGGGGAAACATCTCATTTCATGATTGGCGGTACCTTCAACCTACTACCCCTGATCCCAGTTCTATAGTGCATAGTTGTTTAATGCTCGGATGAACTCCTCCTTCTGCCCGACCCTGCTGACAAGTCTGCAACCTTGGTCCCATGGTCACCGATCCGTATCGGGGACCTATTCATTCTTTCAGCTTGAATCAGATATTGCGTAAAATCAGCTGGAATGTAATTTTTTACGAACATGAATGACGACGTGTGGCTTATCATGGTGAACCTTGAGAACCCTGGGCCAAATCAAGACGAACTGCATTCTTAGTACATATCTATATTACTAAAACTCGTGTTTATAACCGAGATCATGCCCGCATACATGTCGTGGTACATTGATGTTAATCAATATCCCAATATCAAGCTTTGACAGTCGCTATGAAGTCTTCAACTAGTGCTTGGGTGTTCTTAGCCCTGCTTTTCGTTCAATGGGCTTCGGCCGAGCTTGTTTACTTTTCCATTTGTCTCACTTGGGCCAAAAGAGAAGTTGCGGGCTTCACCAGAGACGTAATTCTGGTCAATGATCAATACCCGGGGCCTCCATTGAATCTAGTGGAAGGCGATGAAGTCATTTTTGACGTGCAAAATGACTGTCCATTCAACGTTACCGTGCACTTTCATGGTAGGTTCATCTATTTACGAACATAATTTCAACATACTGACCTATGGCCGTAGGCATTGAACAGCTCAATACACCTTGGTCAGATGGCGTCCCTGGCTTGAGCCAACGACCAATAGACGAAGGGCATTCCTTTCGCTATCGATGGACCGCACATCAGTACGGTTCATACTTCTATCACGCACACCATCGTGGCCAGCTTGAAGATGGTCTTTACGGACCTATTTATATTAAACCGTCGAACTCTGAAGAAAGGCCCTTCAGCATGATTACCACCAAGTCCTCTGAGCTTCAAGCAATGCTTGTTGCAGAGAAAAAGACCTCGCCAGTTATTTTGTCTGACTGGCGTCTCTTAACATCAGAACAAATCTGGGCGGCCGAAGAAGCGTCCGGTGTTGATTCATTCTGTGCGAATGCGCTTTTGATCAATGGGAAAGGCTCCGTGAACTGTTTTACGGCTACAGAGCTCGATGCGCTAACTACTGACAACCAGAGAGCAGTCTTGGGTAATCAATCCCTGACGGACATTGGGTAAGTAGCCAAATAGATGGAATGTTCAATCATCTGCTGATCACCCGCCAGATGCTTTCCACCAGATAACGTTCCCACTCAAGGCAATTACACGCATGATTTGAGCAAGCTCCTACCAACCATGTTCTATGGGTGCACGCCATCCCACAGCCCCCACGAAGTCTTTACCGTCAACGCCAACGACAAATACGTCAGCTGGGACTTGATCAGCGCAGCAGGAATCTTAGACCTGATATTCTCCGTGGACGAACATGACATGTACGTATACGCCGTCGACGGCCGCTATATCCAACCCGTCAGTGTAAACGCCATCAGCCTCGCCTCTGCAACTCGCTATTCAGTACTAGTTCCCCTTAATCAAATCCCGGGTGACTATACAGTCCGCATGGTCAGCGGCGCAGCACAACAAACCATGAATACAACAGCCACGATGCACTATAAGGGTAAATCTCAACTAAATCGACCTTCTAACCCCTGGATCACAATACCAGGCACGAATGCGACTGCTGACACCGTCTTCCTGGACGATACAACTCTGATCCCGTTCCCGGTTATCTCGCCCGCTTCTATAGCAGATGAGACCTTTAAACTGTACATCGATCACTACAACGCATCTTATCTATGGACATTGGGGAATTCGAGTTTCAACCTTGAACTTGAAGAGTCCCAGCCTCTCCTCTTTAATCAGACCTCGATCCCAAGTGACCTGATAATCAGAACCAAAAACGGGTCTTGGGTTGATCTCATTATTCAAGTTGGAACGCCGCTTCAGCCTTCTCACCCGATCCACAAGCACTCCAATAAACATTTTGTTATTGGGCGAGGGAATGGCACTTTCACCTGGGATACCGTCGCGGAGGCTATGCTTGAGACTCCTAGTTCGTTTAATTTGGTTAATCCGCTCATCAGAGATACGTCGATCACGCCTCTTAATATTGTGCCCACGTGGCTGGTGCTGCGGTATCAAGTTGTCAATCCTGGAGCGTTCTTGCTGCATTGTCATATTCAGGTTCATCAGAGTGGAGGGATGGCTTTGGCAATTTTGGATGGGGTTGATGCTTGGCCGACTATTCCGCCTGCTTACCTGTATGACTCGGGTTTTTGAATTGCACATATTTTGAGGAATAGAGGAGGTAAAGAGGAGCTGGATTGCAGATATGGGATCTCGAGTATATAGTGACTGGAACCAATATCTTGAAGGTTCATGGATAAATGACTTTTTACGGACAAACAACAGCAGCAGGTTGCTCATCGCAATCAATCTTGGAAGTGCAGTTGCAGCGATAGCAGTAAAATAGTATTTTGAATACATAGGAAACATGAACGTACTCGGATTTCTGGCAACATTATCATACATTCATTGCGCCCAAACATGACCATCAAATTGATATAAAAGAGAGGCTAGCTGGCTAAATAACATTGAAAATACCCAAAATGTTTAGTATATATAGCAAATCAACGCATTCCCAAGCGTTTCAGCTCGTGTCATTCCAGTCGTAAATGCAAAGTTCCTTATTCCTTTGCGTAGTTCGATCACTCCGTCGGAGCAGCATCTTGCTGCTCGGTCGCCCCCTCGGTGACCACCTCCTCATTCTCCCCCTTCTCCTTTTCCTCCTCCTCTTCCTCGAGGTCTTGAATGACTTCACCTGAGTAAATGGGGTCCTCAAAGAGCTGCCCAGCAGCCTCAATAGGAAGAGTGACCTTGTCCTGAGAATCCTCCGATAATACATCTTGTGTTTGTTCAGCAACCCCAGGGAGCTCTGACTCTGTGATATCCTCGATAAGCTCCTCTCGGACAATGGATTCCTGAACTGGCTGTTCGAATGCATCGGTAGGAAGAGGAATCTCATCTTCAGATGCCACCGAAGGCTCGATTTTAGCTTCCTCCAATTGCTCAGTTTCAACTTCCTCCAATAGTTCGATTTCTGGTTGTTCCATGGCATTAGGCAGCTCCATCTCACTTGTCGCATCGGTGGAAGGTGAGGGCTCATTGATCGCATCAACCTCAGATTCTTCGATAGAAGAATCCGATAACTCTGTGGGGTGAGACGTTTCCTCAGTAGCAGAAGGCTTTGCCGACTCAGAAACTTGCACGGAAGCCATCGCAATAGAGGTTGGAGCGCTTTCCATCTGCGCAGGTGTCTCAGAAGCAATTTCCGCCGAAGCCATAGCAGAAGAGACAATATTCAAAGACTCGATGCTCGAAGAGACAATGGACAAGCTAGGTGACGGAGCTTCCATGCTGGCGGGGAAGGATAGTCTCTCCCCATTCTGGAAGAAGAATTGCATAGCAGGCATCTGCTGCAGCTGTTGCGGACCACTTCCAACGGCAAGGAATGCGACAGCTATAGACATGATAACTAGCGCTATATTCCGCTTGTCGCTAGCGAGCACTCGAATATAGTTGATGAGCAGGGTTCCGAGGGCAATCTGGTGCTCCGGCTCTTGGTATTTGATCTGTGGTGTCAGGACTGGAATTGGATCTGCCTGAGCAGATGGTTGAATAGACCCAGCCTCACTAAAAGACCTGGTATGTTCTTGAACAGAAAGACGTCGAGAGTCCATATCCTGGCTTCCCGCCTCGCATATAGCTAGCATGCCCTGAGGCTCTTCCTTCGGTGCAGCCGCACGCTCCTCCAAGATCCGTTTCTCCAATGCCCTGCGCACGTTTGACGGCAGCCAGAGCCCAACCTCCACATCAACCTTTTCCATCTCTTTCCATGCAGCCGCCCAAGCACCAGCGCGCATAAGGCCATTAGCTGCAAACACTCTGATCTCCCACTTGCGGTTAGAATCACTCCGGTGAATGACCCGTCCACCACAGTCTGGACACTCCTCGCCTTGTTCACCATCCGTCTCACTCTCACTTTGATCAGAGTGCTCGCCCTCAGATTCGGGGTTGCTTTCCTCATGACCCAGGAAATGACCTTGGTGAACACGTGCGTGCTGCAGTTCCAAACTTTCCAAGAGTCGCTCTTCGAGCATATCATATAAATCTTCAGGGTGGGAGATTAGCACGCCTCTGTCACGGAGGACTCCAGATCCGACTTTATCTTGTAATCGGCGCCAGCGTTTCCAGTATTGTGGTGGTAGAACGTCCTCCACAATCTCCTGGTTCTGCGGCTCTGAGGCGCCAGGCACTGGGAGAGAGGGTGCAAGTAAATTGCAATGTAGCAAGACAAGAGGGTAATCTTTCTTTGGTTTAGGTTTGGTTGTCGAAGTATTGGGTGAGTAATATGGCGACCGTTTCACTGGCGAAGATCCGGGGGAACGCATTCCCGCCCGACGTCGCGGCGGAGTCAAGTATTCGTCATCCTCGCCTTCATCTTCCGTGTGCATTTGTATAGCGCGCACAGAGCTTGGTTTCCGGAATGCTGCTTCTCGAGGCCGAATAGTACGCATAGTTCTAGGCGGGTCGTCGAAATCGCCAAAGCTAGCTTCTGATTCTTCAATTGTGTAGCCGACCATTTTCTCGTGTAGGTTCATTGGTGGCATTGATTTCATATCGTTGATTGGATGTATAAGGACGGAGGCTGGCATCGAGGAGACGGATGAGCGGCTCGAAGTACGGGATTTCATATGGTCGAGCTCGTCGTCTATTTCACGGCCGAATATGTCGCTGGTTGAGTGGCGGTTTGAAGAGCTAGATGAATTATACTCATACTCCTGACTCGAAACTCGGCTACCATCTGTTGCTGATCCGTTATCGCTCTGTGGAACGTGGGATGTCTCGAATGTGGCAAGTAGATGCTCCTTGCCGGGAGGGGCGCAGGGCTGGGGGCTTAGGATTTCATTTGAGGAGTGAACTCCAATAAAAGGATGATTCTCATCCCTCAGTCTCGCCATAGGGATTCATGTATAGTGAAAGGAGATTATAAACTTGAGACGTGTATCTAATGGCCTCATGCGGTGACGATGTGTTGACAGTAGGCTCACCGCTCCGTCTCCCGGGGCAACCCTTATGGCCGTTAGGCTTCAAGGTTAGGCTCCTCGACTCCGCGACTCCACTACTTAATTTATTTAGAACAACATACCCAGTGAGAGAAGTAAATAATATAAAGAAATTCGTAAAATGTGCCCTATGTGTCTTTTTTCCCAATCAAATTTGGGATACGTTTCGCGCTGCTCAAGAGACAAGAACCACCCAAATGTAACCAAAAATAAAACCAGCAGGCGATCTATGAATTGCTGCAGGATAGACCACCGCCAAACGCCGGTTATATCATCCAATCCAAAGATATAACCCAAGATGGGCACAAAACTCGCTCAAATAAACAAGGGGAATGCAAATCTGCCTTGAAAAGAAGATACATGTACACGTGAGAAGATTCAAACATTACTGCGAAGGTCGAGTACTGTCGTCGGGGCTCATGAGAGGGTAATTATGATTTTCACCAAAGAAGCTGAGAACATCTTGCGGGAGATATTCCAGCCATGGCACAATCTCACTGTTGGAGAAAGGAAATGATTCTTGATCGTGTAGGGAGCTCATATCGACATCGTGGCTTCCGATCATCATGCCTGGATTGTGGGCGTGCAATGAGAGAGGCAGGTTATTTCTAGCACCCATATGCGCATGATTGCCATGGTTTTCCGTAGCCCCAGAGGAGACTGGGTAAGCATAGGCAGAAGCCTGGCCATCCATTTGGTTGGATGAAAAGGCTGGGTTGTAGCTCGAGTGCCCTGAGGCGCCAGGCCCTGACTCGGGGTAGGGAGAGTTTATGCCCATAAAATATGGTGATTCCGTGCCGATGGTATGAGAAGGAACTTGAGGATACTTGCTGTTGGCCGTGGTAAGGGAAGACGCCTGGCTTTCACCGTGGGAGATGGAGGGGGTGAGAGGATGCGCAAAAGAGGAACTCGAACTTGCTCCAGCATTTGTGACAACGGGTAATGGTGGAAAGCTGTGACTATATTGCGACGAATAGGCGGGTTTGGCAGGGCGGGCCTCGGCCTCTGTTGTGGGCATCTGATACAGTAAACTCAGGTTGGGCTGGGAAGAGTTGGTGGCTCCAGTCAATGCCCATCCAATGGCTAATGAGGAAACATTGTAAGTCAAAATTCTAGCCTTCATTGAGTTCCGAGGCTTACCTTGACTGGGATCAAACTTTGGGGACCATCTCCCATCGGTCGGGACATCGGCCACGCCCGGGGGTCTCTCGGACATTTGAGGTACATCCGTTGGGCGCCAGCCGCCAGCTCCAAGTGGTGTTTCGCCTGCGGTGTTCTCCATATCCTCTGTTGTGTACAGAAGAGGATTCACAATACCCTTAGCCTTCTGATCTAGCACCGTCAAGATGTATCCGGTACCTTCCCAGTACGAATTCAGCGCCTTCAGCGCCTTGTAGCAGCGTTGGTAATTCTCCTTGGCGGCGGAGGCAAGCAAAATGTGCTTGGCAGTTGGATTGCGTTCTGAACCATGAGACGGCTCTATTGCGGGCATCACAAAACCACTAGATTGATTGTTCAACAATGGCTGCGGAAGAGGCGATGTTCCTCTCGATGCAGGCGACGCATAGTATGCGCTTTCCATCAAGAAGGCACAAGCCGCAATGTACATTGGCTGGCTGGTGAAAGGGTTCCCGATGAAGCTCTTCCCATCCACCAGTTCCGAGAATGATAGAATATCAGCGATTGTCTTCGCCGAGGACATTGAAAGTTCGCGGCTGTTAGGGTAAAGATGCTGTATTGATCCGCCAAATGAATTCAAGAGAGTAGGTTGGTGAAGCAAGACAATTAATGTGTGAAACCACTGTGAGATGTTAGTTCTGTTTCAATGAATAGATATAGTGATACGGACAAAATGAAGCAGAATGAAGTTAGTTCCCTCCTTCGCTTTGACATATGCTTGGAAATTCGCTGCGTTAAAATGCAATTTCGGAGATAACCGCTGATAAATGCCTAAGAGAAGGAAACATGTTAGAATTTGTCCAATGTTGATCATGAACCGAGTAGCTGATACCTGTCAAATCACTTTCCATACCCGCCAGCCTCTTGAGCGTGTCAGAAGTGACGTGGTTGACATCTTGTATACCGTTAATAAGATCCGTCACTCTCCCGTAGAGATGAATGACCCGAATTAGTGGCGGAAATGGTGCAGGCCAGCCATTTGGTAATTGGGATTCGGACTGAAGAGGAAAGCAAAGCTCGATATCCTCATCACGCAGGGTAACTGGCCGACCGGTTCCAGAAGAGATGACCCGATCAAGGAAAAAGATGCTCCAGAAAGTATCAACTCGTTCCTTTTCTCGGGCACGTTCAGTTCCAAAAACGGGTGGTAGTGTCTTAGGACTTTGGTATACGTCAAGATCGTCATACTGATCTTCTCGTAGCTTGCCAGCCTGTCCAGTCATCACTTCACTCGGCGTCACTCCTTTCCGTCCATAGTTGTGCTTCAACCCTTGAAGCTTTTGCAAGCCAAGGTCCTGTGCCATTCTGATAGAAATCCCCAAGTACATCCAAAGGCCACTATCATGGTTAGAGCCAAACTGCTCGTAAGCCAGTAATAGACAGGATTGGACAGCGGAGAGGGTTGGACAGGAGAGTGAATCAACCAGTGCACTCATTGCTCGGTGTGCAAAAGGTAGTCCGCGGTCCCACATTTTGATGTCGGGCAGCAGCTGTGAACGATCGATGGGTGGTGCCTGAGGAGGTCCAAGTAACGGGTGAGGTGAGAACCTAGCAGCTAATGCGCAAACGGCATCCACCAGCATAGTGTCAACCTTCTTCTCTTTGAGGTCCTGAAGGAACCTTTCTCGTTGAAGGAATGGAAAATTGCAGCCAAGGTGCGTGAAGAAGAGGTCGCACAAGTGAGAGACTAAATTTGATACTGGGGGTGTGTCATCTCGGTCGTAAAATGGGATCGTGTTGGCGTCTCTACTGTCACGGCTGTCAATCGCAGAGGGGCCACCGGGTGTATCTGAAGTCCTAGGACTACGCAGTGGGGACAGAGACTCTATACCGACGTAATTAGCATCAGTGGAAAGGCAATACACGGACGCATTCAGCTGCCCTGCCAGGATGGGTAGGAACAAACCTGATGACATTGACGGATTGCTCTTGCGTGATCCTCGAACTTGCACAACCTGATATTAAGTTAGAATGAAAAGGACAGCGCCTTGGCGGGGTCTCAAACCATTTGTTTGAAGCCGGGCACAATTGCAGTAGGTCCAAAATATCGAAAATACGGGACATGGGTGCGGTTTCCAGAGCTTAGAGATGTCCGGCCTGGGTAGGTACTGAAGTTTAGAATTACTTTCATAGACGGTGACCAACTTTCGGGCCACATGTTCAGTATGGGTTTCAACTTACTGCTTCCGGGGGTATCGCCAGCGCCATGCGAGTCGGATTCTTTGCGCGCTGAAGTGTCTCGAGATAATGATGCATCCTTTGAGTCCGATTGCTTTGTCACCGGTGACCTATTGGGTGTTGGTTTGGACAAAGGTCTTGGAGCCACTGCCGGAACAGGCTCGGGTGAATAGCTCTCCGCCCGTTCTTTGTGCAGATTTGTATCGCTCGAGTCGACAGGAGGGGCGGGTGGCATGCGCGAAGCGGAATCGGACTGGGATCGCTGATGGGCAGTCGATTCGCCGTACCCTAAACAAGTGTGTTTGTAGTCGGTGCATGTCTTGCACACTAAATTCAGTGTAAGCGGTGTGTCGCTCATTAAGGGCGATAAATAGCAAGTTCGTACCTGGCTGTTCCCCCGAGCATCTGATCTTGCGACGGCGACAAGTCAAACAACTAGAAGAATCAAAGTCCCGTTAACATTTCGGCGGGCTCTATAGAGACATAACATGGGGCGCGCTTCACATACGCGGCATTCACTCGGCGGCGCTTGGTCTGTGGCTGGCCATCGGTGGCGACGAAGCGAATCTGTCGAGGGCCGGAGGTATTGCCGCCATTCTTCGGTTTGGAGGAAGGAGGGCTCATGGCGAGCGACGAGATTAACCGTGATCACGAATCATTGGGCACAGGATGTTGGCCCTCGGGGCGTCGTTACGATCGAGTCGAGACGCGAAGCTTAACCCAGGGCGTGGCCGGATATAGGGCAGACGAAGCGGTAAGATCGATTGTGAGAGGCAAGGATAGACTCTGGAAGCGCAAACGTCATGAGGCGGAAGGGATTTTGGCGGGATGCACAGAGGAGGCCCCAGAGCCCAATAGGAAGGGGTAGCTTCAAGGATTTGTTTAGGAGGAAATGTGGAGGGGAAGACGAGACGGGCTTGAAAGGAGGGGAGGATTCGGTTGCACGATAAAGCTTTTTCTCGATTCCTTTCTCCCTCAAGATAATGTACTGGGTACAATCCGATGTACGATCTGAAATGATTACCGTACGGAATTCCAGTCTCCCCTTGACCGCCCCATTTCAACGATACATATTTCGCCGAAAACAGTGCCACGACAGCTCGGCCCACAACTCAGGGACAAAATAATGACATCCAAAGATCTGATGGTCATGGGATGCACATGGTGGGTCTCATTCCCATCAGATCCCCTGGAACCAATAGCCCGTGGCAATGGGATTGGACCTATGACCAAAGCCTTGGTCCTTCTAGGATGAAGATCGGCCCTGCAGCGCCGGAACCGAGGGGTACTCAGTACAGGTCTCACGGTATGAAAGCTGGGGCTAAACATAAACGTGGAGTCCAGACTTCGCGGGGTTCCATAGATGGAGCTTGATGGGGTTTACAGTGTCCACTCGGACCAGTCGGGGAACCGTTCCACTCCGGCAATTCTTCCCTACGATAATCGCCCTCGAGACGAGCACTCGTGTGGTCTGGCCCTGGGAAGCATAGCTTGGGAAGGAAAACCTATTCTAGTATCTGGGGAGAAAAAGTCTAGGGAATACCGTACAAGGTTAACCTTATCTTTGTGATCTTCAAGGGGGTGTTTTTTCCTCCCGGTCGGCGCATCTCCGGTGGTCGCAATCCCGAGACAACTCGGTCTTTCGGCGAACGGAAATTTCTAGAACGCAAACGTACGCGGGGCTCACAATTGCTGATCCTTTCACACATACGTACAGTAAAAACAGCGTTGGGTTGCGTAATTAGAACTATGATATCATGGCCAATTAGCGAAAGGAAAATTGTTTACTCTGTACTACAGTACATCTTCTTTGAGGAGCCAGCCTAACGTAAGGTTGCCCATGGGAAACCAGATCAATATGGAAGCCGAGACAGCGGCTAAATCAATCAATTGAATGGTAATTAGCCTATCTTTTCCTCATTTGTGACACACCTCGTGTACGAATGTCAACTATTGCTTTTTTTTCTCGTTCTCCATAATTGATTACCGAGGTGGCATCACTTGACCTGCTGACTTCAGAACCAGAATGATGTATACCGCTATTAGCGATATAATCCTCACTCTGTGTATTCACTGGAGCTCGACCTAGTTCGGCTGAAATGCATGTCAAGTCCTGGATATTATATTGAGCATCAATGGCCTTGTTAGAAAACACCTTGGCTGTGACCTGGATTTGACGTCACAGCGTTCAACTATTGGCGGGATTGAAAAATTGCTTTCACAACAGCCGGATCAGAGTGGAGATTGTCAGTATGGGTGAGCTTGTTGTATCCTTCTTTCTGATTTTTTTCTTGCTGCTGGATTGGTTCGCAATGTATCAATTCATGCTTTCCTTTCAAGCTTAAACCGGAGTCACGCTCTTCAAAATATAGTTCATGTGGATCCAAAGTCAGTTACAGTACTATATGGCAAGGGTCCGTGGATATTCCAGGGCTTCGGCGTCGCGAGATTGGATTATAAAGTTGGCACTCGACCCCGAGATTGTAGACATCAGATTTCATGGTATATATTCGCGACTTGGAATGTTTGAGCGTCCACCTACTCATCGTGTTTCTAGATTTTCCCCGACTTTTGAATTGAAGTGTAGTCTTGAAATCTTTGGAAACATTTCGCCAGCTTTGGTTCTTCCTACCATTGGACATGGCTAGATTATCTTTGCTTTTTGAGTCCGCATTCTATTAAAAGTTGTGACTGATATTTCCACGGTTTCCCGAAATTGTATAGGGAAGTAGGAAAGCGGGCCGTGCCCCTAACACTCAATTACCACTGGTTCCGACGTGGAACCAAGCTTACCTCCGCGGGAATTTCGTCATTACAAATGCGCTGCGATAAGACATTCCCTTCCAACAACCTCATGTCTGCACTGGCAGCCACACTCCGGACAACTCGTTACATCTCCGTCCCCTTCAGATCGTTGTAAGTATCCACTATTATCGTCACAGTGGCAACAGCCCAAAAACACGCGCTGCTGATCAATGCGTCTTGACGTCTGACGTGTATAACTTACTGCGGGGCATTTGTATCACAATGGCTAACTCACAGCCTTCATTTCCTAGTCCCGTTAGGCCGAATTGCCTTTCGAGCCCTGCACCCCGTCTCATTTGCCGATCTTTCACCAGTACATCCAGCATGTACAAACCGCGGCCGGATTTCAAGCAGGTCGAAGCTACTCGGCCGGATTTCCGTCAGGATACCGAAGTCACCATCACAAAAACCCCAAACCCTGCATGGAAGGAGGGCGATGGGGCGAATGATGGCGGCGAGAGTTTGAAGAAAGAACATATTGAAATTGATCCCTTCGCCGAAGGCCGCCCGGTCGCGTCGAACTACAAGCTCCTCATCTCCAGCATCGTGCCTCGTCCCATTGCTCTGGTCAGTACGCAATCTGCAGATGGGTCAACAACCAACCTGGCGCCATTCAGCTACTCGCAAGTTGTCTGCCACGACCCACCGACTTTTATCGTGGGATTCGCCGGTGGTCTCGGGAGTGCTAAGGATACCCTGCGCAATTTGCACGAGACCGGGGAGTGTGTGATCAACATTATCTCGGAGCACTTTGTGGAGGCTGCCAACTCGACTGCTATCAACACTCCGTACGGTGTATCTGAATGGAAGACTTCTGGTCTGACCCCCGCGCCAACTGCTGTTGTCAAGCCGGCGCGTGTGAAGGAGTCGATTTTCTCCATAGAGGCGAAGCTGGTCGATACTAAGGAGTTTGAGAGTCGCGCAACTCCTGGCAAGAAGACTGGTGCTATGATCACTGTTGAAGGTGTACGGTTCTGGGCTCGCGAGGATGCTATCGATGAAGACCGGTCTGCCATTGACCTGAAGGTTCTCAAGCCTATCAGTCGGCTGGGTGGCATCAGTTATGGTCGCACTACTGAAGCGTTTGAGATTCCTCGTCCGTCCATTTGAGGGAAATTGCAAATTTATTAGATATGGCATTAGATATGGCATTAGATATGGGTCATATGGTACTTGGAGCTCGAAGAATATATAGAAAGGGGGCTTGGAGATACATGAACGGTTGAACGAAATACATAGATCTATTAACATCCATCGAAGAGTAAGTTGAAGCAATCTGCAAGGTACCTGCTCTGCCCATTCCCAAAGGCCAGGGGGATTTGGACATTGTAATGTTCTCCAAGCGACGGAAATTGCAATTTCCGTTCTGATTGTTGATGTAAGCCCAACAACCTGACGATCACAAGTAAAGTTATACCCCGGCAAAAAGTCCTTGGCCTTGAAACTCTATAGTATTGATTGTGTTAAATCGAGAATGATGCGGGGAAGAGAATGCCATTTGAAAGGCCATAAGGTATCCGCGGGAAATCGTACGTTCTTTCTCCCGTTGTTGTCGCAATCTCCGACAGGAAGCGTATCTCGTGCGGAGAGAGCGGGGTTCTTATCTCCAAGCTTTATATCCCAGTCTACAGAGCCCGAGCACAAGGTTGACAGACCACCAAACATATTAGATATTGACTTTTGAGGGTTGAGCAGCTGCCACTTCAGAGGATTTGAAGGACTATCTCTCCATTCAAAAGACAAAGAACAAAGTCATGTCACAGGAGGATTTCGAGACCTACAAGCTTGGCGACTGGGAGCTTCAAAGCGGGGAAAAGATCGTCGATGCTCACATCGCGTTCAAAACATTTGGAGACCTAAACTCACCAGCAATCCTGTACCCAAGCTGGTTCTCAGGCTGTAAGTGTTGAGATGTTTGTGGAATTCGGCCACACTGACAATCATACGACTTTAGCGCTTTCCGATAACTTCTGGTTGATCGGAGAAGATAAGACGTTGAACCCAAAGAAGTACTTCATAATCGTCACTGGTCTGTTCGGAAATGGGCAATCTTCATCACCGTCTAATCAGCCTACGCCCGGCCCATTTCCAAAGGTGTCGTTCTATGATAATGTACGGGCCCAGTACGAACTAATTACGAAACACTTTGAGATTACACACCTGCGCGCTGTAGTCGGGTGGTCTATGGGAGCTGGGCAAACTTTTCAGTGGGCAACTCAGTATCCCGACTTCATGGATCTCGCAATCCCATTCTGTGGATCGGCGAGGACTTCGTTGCACAATCAAGTGTTCCTGGAAGGCGTAAAAAGCGCACTTCTTGCAGTTAAGAATACGCCATCAGCAGGGGCTGGAGAGGTTGGAGTGCAGAAAGATTCGTCTGAGTTCCGGACTTGGACGGTTGAGGAGAAAGAAATCGGTCTCAAGGCAATGGGCAGAGTCTATGCTGGATGGTAAGAAACTCGATATTCCTAGTATATTCTTTGAGAAGAAGCTAACACATGGCTACACAGGGGTTTCAGCCAAGCCTTTTATCGGGAGAAACTGTATGAGAGTGTTCTAAAGTACAAAGGACTCGAAGACTTTATGCAGAATTTTTGGGAAAAGTGGGCTTGTTCGAAAGGTTGAGAACTCCATCGCAATTTACTTGTTCAGCTGACGCTTACCTTCTCTTATAGACCCCGAAAATCTGTTGGTCATGGTCCAGACCTGGCAGAATGGCGATGTTTCTCAGCAGCAGCCATACAACGGAGACTTTGAAAAGGCAATGGCGTCGATCAAGGCAAAGACTCTTGTTTTGCCATCCAAGACGGATCTATACTTCCCGTAAGACCACTAAAACTACCTACCTGACTCACATAGCAACGAAACAATGCTAAAGAAGGGTTATGGTTAGACCGGAGGACTCGGAGTATGAAGTTGCATGCATGGCGCCTGGGGTTGGAAAACTGGGTGTTTTCCCCTCTATTTGGGGACGTAAGCACAACCCTTTGCTACCCATTTAACCAGGTTATCCATCAAAGGCTGACCAGTCTGTGTAGATTGGGCAGGAGGCCCTGGTGACAGTAAAGAGGACGTGGAGTGGCTGGACAATCAGCTTGAACAGTTCTTTGCGGAGAACAAGCCGCGTGGCATTGCAGGCTTGGTGGAGATGGTCAAGAATGTGCTGTAATAGCGCACAACTGCACACAAACAAGCTCTCATTAATCAGTTTGTGTTTTTTTTTTTTTAAGACGTTTTTCTGTAGCCAGCTGGAAATTGAGTGAATAAGAGGTTTTCAAAAGATAGCAAATCCAGGTTGTCATGCAGACAATAGACAAAAGTAGGCAGAATGGGATGGATCATGTGATGAACTGAGTAAGCGCCTTGCAAGCGCCGAGTCGCAGCGTTTGCGCTGTGGCCTTCCTCGATTGCTTTGCCCTGCCGTTCATTTCGTTCCTCACTTCCTAGTTATTTGTTGGGTGTTTTGTCTTTTTTCATTCTTGTTCCTCTAGGTGCTTCTAATCTCTGGACTTTACCTTACTACCCTTGGCACGCGACTGTGACGTCTATTCCATTTCCCGTTATCTAATCCCCATCCTCCATCGCGACAGAGGATCTCAGCTTTCATACACATACATACTACAATGGCTGCTCAGCCTGCCCGCCAGTGGGGTGTGACACCCCCGATTTCCACTGTACTCCCTACGAAAGATGAGTTGGTTGCGAACGATGACCTTATTGCGGAGCTGAAGGCACAAGACAACTTTGAACCTCCTTCCGAGACAGAGCGGAGGTACGTTGATCAGCGGTCGATGATATAACCGCCCTAGAGCCAAAATTGATTGATTTGGTAGACAACAAATGCTTCAACTGCTCCAACGTGTCGCATTGGAATTTGTCAAGATTGTCAGTCGCAAGAAAGGGCTGTCGCCTGCCGCGGTCGAAGCCGCTGGTGGAAAGATCTTCGCATATGGAAGCTACCGTCTCGGTGTTTATGGTCCAGGTGAGTCGCATTGCGGTAAAGTATTCTAGCCATCTCTCACAAGCTTTTCATAGGTTCCGATATCGATACCCTTGTCGTTGGCCCGCAACACGTTCTCACCGAAGATTTCTTCGCGGAATTCCCACCTGTCCTCGAGCGAATGGCCCCGGAGGGCACGATTGAAAAGATGACCCCTGTTCCGGATGCATTCGTGCCTATTATCAAATTGGAGCTGGCTGGGATCAGCATCGATCTAATCTTCGCTCGGCTCATGATCCCTTCAGTGCCGATGAACCTAGACTTGAAAAATAATGACTATCTGCGTGGTTTGGATGAGAAAGAAGTCCGGTCACTAAACGGAACCCGTGTCACAGACGAGATTTTGGAGCTTGTGCCGCAGCAAAAGACCTTTCGCTTGGCATTGCGCGCAATCAAACTATGGGCTCAACGTAAGTGACCCCTTCGGTCTGCTCACATGCTGGCACTAACGGCTATATTCATTTAGGACGCGCGATCTATGCGAACATTGTCGGTTTCCCCGGCGGTGTTGCCTGGGCCATGTTGGTAGCAAGAGTTTGTCAATTGTATCCACAAGCAACCGGTTCTGTGATCGTGGGCAAATTCTTTCGCATTATGAACAAATGGGCATGGCCGCAGCCCGTACTGCTCAAGCCAATCGAGGATGGCCCCTTGCCGATGAAGGTTTGGAACCCAAAGGTAAGTCATTGTTGCATACTACAAAGCTCACGATAGACTCTAATCCTTCTTTATTAGATTTACCATGGTGACCGTTTCCATCTCATGCCTATCATCACTCCTGCCTATCCTTCCATGTGCGCAACCCACAATATTTCGATGTCAACAAAGACCGTTATTCTCCGGGAGCTCCAAAGAGGCGGTGACATGGTGGATAAGATCTTCATGAAGCAGCTGTCCTGGAATGATTTGTTCACTCGTCACTCCTTTTTCACAAATGCTTACAAGTATTACCTGAGCATCACAGCCTCAAGTAGGACAAAGGAAGCGGAGGCTATCTGGTCGGGCCTAGTCGAATCAAAGCTGCGACATCTCGTCGGAGCTCTGGATCGGAAATCCGTCATTGCCGTAGCCCACCCCTTTCCGAAAGGGTTTGAACGAGTTCATGTGACCCAGAATGAGAGTGAGGTAGAGGCAGTCAAAAACGGATCTACCAAGTACCAAGCCAAAGGGACTGCAACAGAAACGACTGATGAAACCAACGATGCTGCCCACCAAGCCGCTGCCCAGACTGGCGCGGAAAATGTGACAGTCCCGGAGCCTTCTGAGAAGCCAGTCCAGAATGATGGTAGTTCGACCATATACACTACAACCTACTACATCGGACTGGAGCTGAACGCATTAGAACAAGGTATGAAAATACATCGAGTCCTGTCAAATTCCTCTAACCATTCTAGGTGCCCCACGGTCTTTGGATATCTCGACCGACTCTCAGATTTTCAAATCCACCTGCACATCATGGCCTGGGTATCAACCCGAAGTCATGGATCTAGCCGTCACTCATGTTCGCAGGTAAGTCAACGGTTGCTCACCTGAATGACGAGCCTCTCATCTCACTGTTTCACAGTTTCGATTTGCCAGACGATCTGTTCCAGCCTGGTGAAACCCGTCCAGTCAAGAAATCAAAGAAAGTTCCGAAAAAGAACGTTCAGAAGGCCGACGGAGTCGGTCAGGGCCAAAAGCGAGGCATTGATGAGTTGGACGTAAGTAAAAATAAGCGAGCTAGACTGAATCTGACTGGGCAAGACATCGGCACCCAGACTCGGCCCTCCACGGCCCGCCAAACAGACCCACAGTCATAGCACAGAGTACCGGCAGTTAGGAAGGACTAATATCGTTTCTCCCCCAGGTCCCGACTCAAGGTACCGCCAAACGCCAAGTGACACCGAACAACGTCTCGAGTGGCCTCACTCCTGCGTGAACACGGTCTGTCAACTCAGAATTCCCAGACTACAGACAATCGTAAAGGGGCTGGTCCCCACCAACACCGACCCAACACCAACACCAACAAAAATCCTTGTATCCAACACAACCTACAGATTTTCAATCCCATAATCTGCCCACAATCCATCCTGTGGATTTGATCTCAGTTTACTTACCAATGGTTGCCTTTTAAAACCGAGCCTCTGCGCTCTAAAAGCACAAGGTTGGTTTATTTTCCCATTCGCCCTTCCCTGCTTTACACCTGTCGATTAGACTTGAGGCTATATCCTCGGAGAAGTCCGAGTGGACTCATCCTACAAGCTACCCCATCTGCATGTCCTGGCTATCTTTGCGTTCCGCGTCCCTTTACATTCAGGTAACCTGTCCCAGGCCTGAGAGTCTGGCCTGCATTGTATGATTATCTCGCGGGCTTCCAGATCGGAGAATGCAGATAGCTTAGCTAGGATAGTCTAATCAAAGGGATATCCTCGCCATGGGCGGGTGACGCGTAACATCTGCCTTTTCAGTAATTTGACGTGGTTTGAGATCCGGGTCTGAGATTTTCGAAATTTTGGTAGGGCTGTGCATATGTATAATGCACCTGCAGTAGGAATTACTGCGTCGGGAATTTCTCGGATTGCTTGATTAACTTAATCCTACAATAATTGGCCGATTTTTCGAGGACGAACCGGATACAGAGCCTTGTCCCCCTGGATCAGCAATACGTTTGAAGGAGTACTCATTCGTAGGTATTATAGACACCAGGTCTTCGGCGCTCCTCTGAGGTTCGGATTTTTGCTATGGATATTTTCACGGCAAACCGAACGGCAAGTCGGCACAGGCTTGCATGACTATGGCCTTTAGGATCCACAAAGCCGACGGGTCGCTCGCTTGCTTCCGAATTCACTCGGCTACGCGTAGTTAAGTATGTTTAGGCCCGCGGACAGCATCGCTTGGCAGTCGCTAATTTTGGGGTTTCCCGATTACCCACGGAAAGATCCAAGCCAAGCTTTCGCTATCTGGAGTAGTTCATTGAATTGTAACATGATTTAGAAATTGAAATGTCAGATTCGTAGATTAAACGTAATAACACCGCATGTAGCCGTGTTAACCGCGTCAGGGTCACGGACTGATTGGTTCAAGGCTTTCAGGGCCTCACTAGCTGAAGAAAAAAAAGCTCTGCTTCTGCTTAGCGGGATCCACGGTTGAAGGCAAAAACGTGGTCCTCAACGTTAAATGGCTTACATACGCCCTGGTGAGATGGCGTGATTCTTAAGGCAGACCAATCATACGTTCCGGAAGGAAGCCGCGACCCCACTATCTGTCCGATTTAGGAAGGCGCCGAGAAACCCAACGGAAGGTACGCCGGACTATATCCGGTTGCGTTTTGTGGTTCCTTTGCCTCTTGCGCGGATCAAAATCTGTGATCTACAGTTTCAGCTCCTGGTTTAATTTTTCGTCGCGTCAAAGCTTCAGAGGTTGCTTCCTTCGTTCTCTTTCCTTCTTTCTTTCATCGTGCAGCTTTGTACTATTCTTCGGCCTCGATCTTTACGCCGCACACAGCTCCGATGTACAAGAAGGAAGCTGAGGATCATATCGGCCCCGAGCCGATCCATGACTTGACCATGGACGCCGATATGAATGATCGTGAGAAGCAGATCTACCACGGTGGCATGGAGAAATTCAGTCGGTTGGGATGGAAGCGTCTGACCATTGTTCTGATCGTCGAGGCTGTTGCTCTTGGAAGTCTGTCAATCCCGTCCACGTTCGCGACCCTCGGTATGGTGGCTGGTGTTATCTGCTGTGTTGGAATTGGTCTCATCGCAGTCTACACGAGTTATATCATCGGTCAAGTCAAAGTCAAGTTCCCGCATATCTCCAACTACCCCGAGGCTGGCCGTCAGATGTTTGGTCGGTGGGGATACGAGATTCTCTATCTTATGCTGTGCCTGGAGCTCCTTCTGTCGGCTGGATCTCACTGTTTGACTGGAACCATTGCTTTCACGAATATTACCGGTAGCAACGTCTGCGCTGTTGTTTTCGGTGTCGTGTCCGCTGTCATTCTCCTGCTCTTCGCGATCCCGCCTAGCTTCTCCGAGATGGCTGTTCTGGGTTACATCGATTTCGCCTCTGTTATTATTGCTATTGGTATCACCATCATCGGAACTGGTGTTGAGGCCACAAATTCGCCTGGTGGCCTCGCTGCTGTGAATTGGTCCGCCTGGCCAAAGGAGGGAATCACTTTCGCCGAAGCCTTCATCGCCCTCTCCAACATTATTTTCGCCTACAGTTTCGCACTCTGCCAATTCTCCTTCATGGACGAAATGCACACCCCAACCGATTTCCCTAAGTCGATCTGGACCCTCGGTCTGGCCGAGATCTTTATTTATACCATTACTGGTGCCCTCTGCTACGCTTTCATCGGCCAAGATGTCCAGTCCCCCGCTCTGCTGTCCGCCGGTAGCCTGCTTAGCCGGATCGCGTTCGGTATCGCTCTGCCAGTTATCTTCATCAGTGGTTCCATCAACACCGTGGTTCTGGGGCGTCTGATTCACGGCCGTATGTTCGAAGGATCCAATATTCGCTTCATCAACACCAAGATGGGCTGGATTACCTGGCTCGCAGTTGTCACCGTCCTCACCATCCTTGAATTTGTCGTCGCTGAGGTTATTCCCTTCTTCGACGACCTGCTATCCGTTATCTCTTCCCTCTTTGTATCCGGATTCACCTTCTACTTCCCGGCTATCATGTGGTTTATGTTCATTCGCCAGGGCAGCCTGTTTGACCCCAAGAACATTGTCCTGGGATTGATCAATGCCATCATTCTAATCATTGGTCTGATTGTGCTCGGTGCTGGAACTTACGCCAGTGTTGTCGATATTGTGAGTGACACCTTAAGCTTTTTCTTGATTTCCTTTCAAACATGGATACTAACATTCGAATCTAGATCAACTCCTACAAAGAGGGTACCGTTGGAGGTGTCTTCTCGTGTACTGCCTCATAGGTTTCACTGTATTATAGATCATGTTACTTAAGCATTTGCATCAAGCGACTTTTTAATTATTCCCCGGAAATTTCATCTTCCAAATTCCAATTTCCATGTGGTCTTCAAAAGTGCCTAGGGTAGTAGCTTGTACTAAGGGACATCGCCAAGCCTTCGCTGGTCAGTGTGGATGCTGAACGTCTTATTGCTCTCAATACCCCTTGAGCATTTCACCATATTGGTGTACAACTCAAGTATACATCATAATCTAAATGTCTAATACTGATCTTTCGCCATGCAGTATTCTGGCGCAAGACGATTGTAAATCTTAAACTCGCGTGGCTTAACAAACATCGGCTCTGTTGCAGCTAAATATGGCCTATAGTAGTCCTTGGTCATTTGGTTCTATAAATGAAATTATTATGTTGTTATGGGGAATAGTGAATTGATAAGTTAACAAATGAAGAGATCAAAGTACTTGCCTCCATGAACCATTGGGTAGTCGTGTTCCTAATGATATCGTTAGCGTACGTTCTCTCACAGAACAGGAAGGACATGCCAGTTTTCCACCCAGGTCAATGTTCCCGGGTCCGCTGGATCTTGATACAATTCAAAGAAGCGGCACTCCGGTTCCTTCACAACGGCGTCATACACTGGTTTGAAATGCTCGAGGAACTTTTCCACATTGGAGGGATCGATATAGACCTTGACGTGGAGACTGAAGCTGGAGGCCATATTGACGACTGCGGGGTAGACTGCGGGGGTTGGAATTGAAAGGAAAGAAGGAGCTTAGTGCAAGTGGATTTGAAATAGGTCAAGAACACGTGCTGGTTGACAGGTCACAGTGTTTGTCATTGGTTCGTTTCTTGCATGAGAGGTACATAAGCTGACTCGCTTCATGCACCTCGTGCAGATGCCAGAACCTTCAGGCGGAAACCCTGATTGTCTTCTCACGTTTGCTCCAACTCCAATGGTCACTCTTTCGTGAGCTCTCTCTTTCGTGACCACATATTCGTCTTTCATTGTACCGCGTCATCTGATTGATCTTCATGGCGATACACTTGGTTTAGATCGAAGCTCTTATAATTCAACTAGATTGCTTGCACGGCTAAAGACCGATAAGGCTCCTCGAGATATCGCACTTCATCCAACGTCAGCTCTACATCCAACGCCTCCAATGCAGCCTCTATCCTCGTAATAGTGCTTAGCCCAACAATCGGACAAGCCCCCTTTTGTAACAACCAAGTCATCGCTATAGAGCTCATGGCACAACCTTTACTACGCGCAAGCTCTTCAACCCGATTAACAATCATCTCGTTCTGATCCCCAATAAACCAGCGCTTCGCTTTCTCATCCTGATCCGCACGAGCAGATTTCTCCTGCCAAGACCTCGCCAGAAGGCCTCTCGCAAGAGGGCTCCAAGGAATCAGCCCAACACCCTCCGCATCACAGAAAGGATTCATCTCCCGCTCCTCCTCGCGATAAAGAAGATTGTAAAGTCCCTGCATACTAACGAAAGGTGTCCACCCGTTCAGCTTCGCTGTATATTGCAGCCGCGCGAATTGCCAACAATGCATACTCGATGCGCCCAAATACCGGACTTTGCCCATGCAGACTAGATCATGTAGCGCTCGCATGATCTCCTCGGCCGGCGTTTCGGAGTCGAGTCGGTGTAGTTGGAGCACGTCGATGTAATCGGTGCTCAATCGTCGCAGGGATCCCTCTACTGCATCGAAGATATGCTTCCGGCTTAATCCCATCTGGTTCACCAAAGTTCCATCGTTGATTGCGGGATTGGGTCGTGAATCAGGTTCATCCTCCAGGACAGGGTAGTATATCTTCGTCATGATTACTACTCTGCTTCGCGGGATGGAGTATTTTCTCAAGGCATTACCAAGTATTGTTTCTGACTGGCCATTCGAGTAGGTATTTGCGGTGTCGAATGTGTTGATTCCCATGTCGAATGCTTTCTTTAGCAATGGTAGAGACTTTTCCTCGTCCAGAACCCAGGGTGATCCTTCCCAGCTTGGGTTGCCGTAGGTCATGCAGCCGAGGATTATTCTGGAGACTTTCAGACCACTGTTTCCGAGGCGGCGGTACTGCATTTGCGGTGACGCTTTTGGACGCGCATCTTGCTTATCGGGAACGGTCTGAGATGTCATTGTCGCTGATGCTTGTGGAACCAAAGGCTCGGTATTGCGGCTCATTCTCAAGTGCTTATATGCCATAGGCCCGGACATGGACCGCTTATTGACTGCCGAGATCGGTCATCTCTCCGACATTACAATTAGGTAGGGCCGTCAACAGGAAATTGGATCTAAAATTTATTGAAACCGTATATAAATCATAGACTAAGTCATACTATTAGGCATCATCCCCGGGAACGTAAATTCCCCAAAGTCGGCTAATAAAAAGTCATCTACAGGGGTTACGAGCGATTCTCCAGGAAATGGAAAGGATCCTGAAGCATGCATGTCGCCTTGCATATTGGGTTGGTAGCCCATCGCATCAGCCGCTATCAGGAGTGGAGGAAGCATCTCTTCCCCATCTCTCTGTAGCGATAAAACACATTCATGTAGTTTCCGTGTAAGACCAGGTGTCATACGACAAATGGGATGCTGCTGAACGCTAGGCGTAGCCTGGAACAGTCCCAATACCTTGCGAATCAACTCAAAGTCCTGACTGGGTACGATCGACAGCTGAGTGTGATAGTTCTTCGTGACCTCTAACAAAAAATGGCCCGCAAATGCTATCATGATGTGGAAGTAATGCGGCATTCCAACAAGGCTGTGTTGAATATTCTCTTCGTGAATCATTTCAAAAATTGCGATAGCTGCTTCATGAGCCATGCTAGCTGCGGTCAGAAAATGTGGAGGAATCGCCTCCCCATTCAACCCTTTGAAGACCTGATGTCCAAGGTACAGTTTTCCGAAATGATAGTGAAGCTGTAGACCGCGTTTGGGGAAATCGCCGATATATGGATCTGGCTTGAAGATTGCGGAGAACTTATTGAACCATCGATCTAGTTGGCGGGAATAATGTATTATCTGGTTCGATAGTGATTGTGGCACACGCGCCTCCTGATCTGAGCCTAGTAGGTCGCGAATTTGGCTCATGATGACCAGAAGTGCAACCTGTGAGATAAGTCGGATATCAGAGTCGGTGGTATCATCGCGGGCTAGAAAGGTTTCCCAGCTCAATGCAATTTCCTTGTCACTGCGAAGAAGAGGGTCGCGATTGTGAAGAATGGAAAGATGTTGGTCGGCGATGAAAATAAGGTACCACAGTCTCACGCGATCTTTCACTGTGATGGTATCGTTATGCGTCGGAATCGGTGAAGTGGAAGTCTGGGTTGGCGTTGTTCGGAAAGCACCTGGGTTAGAGAGATGATCAAAGCTGCGATGTAATCGCATATCCGCTGCACGACGGATAGCATCGCTGGATAAAATTCTTGAGGCATCGGAAAGCCAAAATGAACTTATACATAGGGCGCGAACATGTTCCAGATCGTGTTTCTCAAATAGCGATCGCGACATAAGTCTTCGGAACTCGCGATTGCATGCTTCGTATAGCGATTGGCCTTGTGGATCTTGTAATGCTGAGACTGTACAGACGGCGGCAAATAGTAATGGTGATGTTGTTCTGATTTGCTGAACACTGCGATAGCCACTGCAAATCCCATACAAATACGGGTCTAGTCGGGTGTAATATCGCTCGACAAGGGTTTCCGCTACGCTTGAGCTTATCACACCTTTGGTCATCAGGTCCTGGGGTAAATTTTGTCTTTGACGTGTGACGCTCGGGGGAGTATTGGCTGATGATCCAGGGCTTCCAAGTTTGGCTATATCCAAGTACGTATCGATAGGTGCTTGAACACCAGAGGGAGTATCGGGCGGAGATATCTCACAACCATCGAGATCCTCGGCATCGCGTTCTTGTTCGTCGTTCTGGTCGGCTTTGCTTTCGCTTTGGGGTGCATCACTAGACGACACAAGTGCCCTTGGCAAAGGCAGGTTGAGATGTTGACAGATGTTTCCCAGGACCTCATGGATCCCGCAAATATCGGTTTGAAGGTGCTCAGTGTTCCTGATAAGTGTCAATAGTGATATAGATATTTGCAAGATCTCAACATACTTCACCTCTTCCACCAATGATTGTAGACTCTTATTCAACACACATGACAAGTTTCGTCGACGACATCGAGTGCATGGTGGTCCCTTAGTCATATCACATTTGATCTGAGCCGTTAGAGCCCAGCCAATCAAATTAGCAGTGAGTTATTGACCTACTTTTTGCTTCCTACAGGCTCCACAGGCAGTGATCTTGCGGGTGATCCCCGGCAAAACATCCAACACCCCGGGGTCTTTCGCATCCGGGAGCTCAACAGACGAATTCGCATTCGGCATGGCGTCCGGCGCCTCATCGGCCCAAACCCGCTTCCGCTTTGTCATTGTGTGCTTGCGGTGGGCTATAAAGATTTCAGACTTGCATTGCGACAGGTTAGGATGAACGGTGCCGGTGAGTAGCCCGAGGGGGTTTATCTACCAGCGAGAGGGGAAGTCCAGAGGCCCGCCCTGACGAAATGAGCCCATTCTATTCGCCAAACATACATCCTTTGATCAAGACCTCGGGGGAGACAGAAGTGGTATGGATCGGCCTACCTGGCCAGAGCTTCCCCACACCATCCACAGGGCTGATTGGGAGTTTTCGAGCTCCCCCGCATTTGTGGAAAAGACTCCGGGGCGGAAATCTCGGACACTCGCCGACGTGGCTTGAAAGACCGGGATATTTGCGAATTGTCCAAAGTCTATAAGGTGAGCATGCTTATGGCGCACACGCATGACCACATAAACAGGAACGGTCGAAAGTGAAAGCCAACACGAATTGACATTATGGGATCCATCATAGCTGCGAAATCCAAGTCCCTCCCACCAGGGATTTACCCCCCAGTTATCTCTCTTTACAAGTCGACCATTCGCCAGGAAATTGATCTAGATGCTTCTTATAAATTCTTTACGCACTTGGTTCGCGGTGGAGTTCACGGGCTTGTCTTAGCCGGAACCAATGCAGAAGCTGTTTTGCTCTCCGCCGAGGAGCGCAAGGAGCTTGTCAAAGTCGCCAAAAAGGCTGCATCTGACCTTGGCCGCCCGGATTTACCAGTGGTTGCTGGAATCAGTGGACAATCAACAAATGAGTCGATTCGCCTTGCGGAGGACGCTTTGAGTGCCGGCGCCGATTTTGGGTTATTGCTCCCTCCCAATTACTGGGCTAAGGCCGTCACCAAGGATGTGATCCTTGGCTTCTATCACGATGTTGCAGACGCAACTGCCCTACCGATCGTTGTTTATAGTGTGAGTTGCAGAGCGCTGTTTCAAATAGTCAGGCTGTGTGCTAATCATCGACTAGTTCCCTGCTATGTGCAACGGCATCGATATGAATTCCGATACATTATCCGAGCTCGCCCAACACCCAAGTATTGTCGCTGTGAAATTGACTTGTGGAAATGCTGGAAAAGTAACAAGACTCACACAAGAGTTTGAGCACAGTCAATTCGGGGTTTATGCTGGCTCTTCGGACTGGCTCATTCCCTGCTTGGCGGGGGGTGGTAGTGGATGTGTGACTGGAATCGCCAATATATTTCCGAAGTGTGTGGCAAGGCTTTACACATTGTGGAATACTGGGGACATCAAGGAGGCCAGGAAGTTGCAAGGATTGGTGGCTCAGGCGGAGAAAGCATGCAAGGAAGGGATTGCGCCAACCAAATATGCTGCTTTTCATTTTGCTGGCGCGGCGGCTGGTTTGACTGACCCCAAGGCATTTTGGCCCCGAAAGCCCTATACTCCTTGTAGCGACGAGAAGGCTGCCTGGGTGGAGAAAGTCATGTCGCATCTGGTGCAGCTGGAGCAGAGCTTGCCTGACGCCGTGTAAATCTACATTCTAAATTAGACTTAACAATAGAATCCATGACGCTTCAAACTGTACTATTCCTTGGTTGGAAATTGTAAATATTCTAATAGAATACTAGCAAGGCTAAAGTGTTTCTCAATTCATCTAGCCTCAGGGTATAGACCGTATAGCTCACTCGGGAAAGGAAAATCAATTATCCCTTAGCATGAGGAGCACCCTCGAGCCGCGCAATCGTCGAGTCGCGCCCGAAGCATGACATGAATTATTTCACAAGAGGCCATTATCCAGTCGAAAAGCCAAACTTTCCAAACTGAACATGGACTCTACGCTGCAACCTTTGCTCGGAGATCGTATCACGGAGCTTATTCGCCAGGGACCCTTCTCCCAGCACGAGGACGAGCCCCTCGTTTCTAGGTGGAAAAGATCCGCTCGCGACTTCCTTACTTCTCGATGGGGCCATTATCTCGTGCTTCTGCTGATCACTATTGATGTCTGTTGTGGGTTTTCCGAATTCTTGATTCAGTTGCATGTCTGCGAGTCGAAGGAAAGGCACCATCGCATTGATAGGAGATGGGGTGTCACTGAGGAGGCTCTCGGTATCACTGGTCTTGTAATCTCATGTCTTTTTATGCTGGAATTGATTGTGGCGGTTCTCAGCTTTGGAATAGGGTGAGTGCTTTCTGGCATATTTCGCCGAGAAACAATATGCGGCCTGTTTATCTCGCCTCTTCCCGAAGCTCGGCATGTTTGGACATAATTCTGACCTTACAAACTAGCTACTTCTCGAGCTGGTTCCACATTTTCGATTCCTTGGTGATAATCGTCGCCTTCGTCATCGAAATTGCACTTCAGGGACTGGAAGAAGAGTTGGGCTCTCTTGTTGTTGTTTTGCGTCTCTGGCGCGTGTTCCAGATTATTGAGGAACTAAGATCTGCTAGCGAAGACTCAATGGAAAAATACGAGGATGAGATCGAGAGACTTCGTCAAGAGAATGCTAGTCTCAAACAGAGACTCAACCTGGATATAGGGGGAAATGAGGATATGCCGTGAAAGAAGACTTCAAAGGGATAATTTCATGTCTACAAAACATAAGGTTCCAGATGAATGAATATAATATGTAAATGATGAAATAATATTTTGTCTCTGCTACAGGTCCTGATATTCTATTTGAAAAGGTCGATAAGATCTAGAATCTATCCCAAATTATTCAGAAAAAGTCCTCCCCGAGTCGAACGTACTTGATACGCTGTCTCCAGAAAGTAAAAGCAATGTGTATCACGCCGTTCTTCTCAATCAAGATACTAGGATACGACAACTCGCGATTCAGCTTCTTTTCGCTGTTGTTCGTCAAACAGAACCCATCACCTTCCTCAAGTGTCTTCCACTTCCAGGTTGCCCCCTCATCATCACTCCACGCAACAGACAATGGCGCGCGTGGAGCACCCCAGAAAGCTTCTTTCCCGTGCTTACTCGCCTGGTTAGCGCGCGTATCAGTACCATCGCTGATATCGTCGTAAAGACCATCGCGCCGACCAAGAGCATCCTCTCTAGAGGAATGGTTATAAACCAGCACAATCCGACCGGAAGGCAGGACATCAAAGCAAATACCCGCATTTGGATTGGGAAGAACGGTGGCTTTGGGCTCACTCCAGTCCAACCCATCTGGAGATGTCGACAAATAAACATTATCCGCCCACCGACTTCGGAATAGCCCAAGATATGTGCCACTCTTCAGCCGCTGGATATTCATATGTACACATCCATAGCTATTCGGAATATCTCTCTCCGCCCATGTTTGTCCTTCATCCTTGGATATCCGAATACACGAGATGTCGTCGCTCCCAAGCCATCGTTCGCCTGGCTCAGCTCGACATTTGAAAATTGGGACTACCCATGTCCCATCCTTGAACACGATGACCGGCTGTCGAATGAACGTCCCCGGCTCATTGAATAAGATAGTCGGGCCCGACCAATTGACTGCGTTGTCGACGGAGATTAATTGCTTCACAATAGCCGAGTCTTGGTTCCCGGCATCTTGGGATGTGTATAGTAGTCGGATCTCTCCAGTGGTAGGAACGCGGAACAATAGAGGGTTCTGCTCGCTGCGCGTATGATCGTGTGTCATCTTCACAGCTGGGGTCCAGACCTTGGCTCCGGCCGGAAGCCGGGACATGTAAATGCAAATATCGGGCCGGCCTTCAATGCTGCCACCGAACCAGGCGCATAGCAAGTCGCCGTTAGGTAGGAGGAGAAGGCTTGACGCGTGACATTGCGTTGTGAGTGCGGGGATGTAGGCTTCGGCATAGGAGTAAGCTCGATCTGGGGAGGGTTGGAGCGAGGGATTGAAATCAGGCGCTTCGGTAGCAGATTTCATAATCATGGCTGCGTCGCAAGCTCAGCTTGGAAACGTTGATTGCGAAGAGGAAAAAACCCAAAAGCTTTGATTTCCAAAGTTTGTTTATCTCCTCTTATCTTATCCTAATGGAGCGTCCGCGCTTTTAACCTGAACTGGTTAAGTGTTTTGAGACCGGGTTGGTCACCGGCGCACAGTGAGATGGGTAAATATCGGACAACAAGCCGATTTCAGTGCGTTTCTCCACCACCCCACTTCCCCATGGGGTGCATAGGTCATTACCTGGGGAATGTTTGGCGATGCATTGGCATAGTGGGTCATCTAAGTGCTTAGGCTTGGGCACTGCAGCGGCTATATATTGACCGACCAGGTTTGCAGCGACTGGGAGTTTCTGTATCTCGAATACCCTTCTACGGGCACAGTGTACCTATCTTGTCTTGACTATAATGGCGGGAGGAACGAGTATCTGGGTCAGTAACGAGGCCAAAACTGACCCTAAAGCTATTTTCAACCTTCGTCTTCTTTATCTTCTCATTGCCGTTTCATGGGGTGGTGCCTTCTATGGATTCGACACGGGAAACATCGGGGGAATTCTCACCCTACCTTCTTTTGAGAATGCCTTTGGACTAAATAACCTGACTGAAACCGAAATAGATAACCGAAAGGTAGGTCAAATCACATAAACTCAACTTGGACGCAAAAGGCTGACAAATTCCAGGGGACCATCGCGTCGATGCTCGCAGCTGGCGGATCTGTAGGCGCTCTACTCGCAGCCCCGACATCCGACTACATTGGCAGGAAATGGTCCGTCTTCGGCTGGGGATTGATCTTTGTGGTGGGTGCCGCAATGCAAATGGTGGCAGACTACAAAGTTCTGCTGGGAGGCCGTTTCATCGCTGGCATGGGTGTCGGCGCTTCATCAATGCTCACGCCTCAATTCTTAGCGGAAAATTCCCCGAAATCAGTTCGTGGATCGATGACTGCAACTTACAACTTGATGATTGTGTTTTGTCTCATGTTGGCCTTCTTCATCAACTATGGCGTCTCGAAGTGGTCATTTCCCGGCGTGGAGTACGATAATAGCCAATGGCGGACGGCAATGGGTATCCAGCTCATTCCCGGTGCACTGATGTGTATAATGGTCCCATTTGTACCGGAGACTCCACGTTGGTTGATTAATCATGGAAAACAGGAGAAAGGTTTAGCAAATATTTGCAAATTGAGAAAACTACCAGCGGACCACGAGTATGTGCAAACTGAATATCGCGAGATTGAAGCCCAGGTGAGGCATGAGCAAGAATGCTTTGCCGGACACAATTATTGGGTTGTCCTGAAGGATATTTTCACTTCAAGAAATAACTTCCAGCGTTTCTTTCTGGCTGCGATGCTATTTCTGTTCCACAAGTTCACGGGTACAGATTCTCTAAACGTGGGTTTGCTGTCAAAGACGATCTAGCGAAACACCATCACTGACTATCATGATAGTACTATGCGCCGGAAATCTTTGCCATGATTGGTGTCAGTGGAAACTCAACCACTCTATTAGACACCGGTATCTATGGTGTCGTGAAGACGGTCACATCCCTTTTCTACTTGGTATACCTGGTTGACCGCGTCGGACGTCGAGTTCCCCTGCTGGTCGGTGCAACAATGCAAGGTACTTCCATGCTATATCTGGCGCTCTACCTTCGCTTCGCTGGAGTGACCGAGGACTCTTCTGCGGGAGGAACCCCCGCGGGAGGCATTGTGGGACTTGTTTTCATCTACATCTATGCCTTTGGGTGGTCATTCGGACACTCTGTGGCCTGTTATGTGGTCGCTGCCGAGGTTTTCCCTACAAGAATTGTAAGTCGGATCGATGAACTGGTTAACTGGAATGCATGAGCTAACTTTATTCAGCGGTCATTTTGTATGGCTATCTGCTTCTTTATCAACTGGATTGTGGACTTTGGCATTACCCACGCCACCCCCAACATGATCACTGAAATGGGATGGGGAGTCTTCCTACTTTACTCGATGCTGACCTATTTGGGTGTCATTTTTATCTTTTTCTGTCTGCCAGAGATGAAAGGTCGGTCCATTGAAAGTATGGATAACCTGTTTGACAGACCTTTGTGGATGATGTGGCGCCATGCCTACCCCACCGAGGAAGAAAAGGTCCGGTCGGATGTCCGAGATGAGGCTGTGATGGGAAAGCTACAGGATGAGGATGACCCTAAAAGGAATCATGTGGAACATGTTGAGACTGCTTGATTTAAGGCAGAATGCGGGGTATCGGCAAATAGCTTATACCTTTGAACTTAAATCTAATCCGTTTATTGGCTACTGAAACTCAATGTCAAGAAGGTCTAAGAGCACGGCGTTGGTCCGATTCTGTAGATGAGGGGCAAGAGCTCTAATCCGCGGCGGGTTTCTCTCCGATCTTCTGTAGCTTCGCGCTGAGGTCAATAGTCAATCACCGATTAAATTTAAGGAAGATAGTCTTCGCCTTCTTGAATACCTAAGAGATCTTCTATTACAAAAATACCATGGCAAGCGGCATTAAAAATAAGGCCTTCACGTTGAACACTGGGGCAAAGATCCCCGCTATTGGATTCGGCACTTGGAAGGCTGGACCAGGCGAGGCAGCTGCAGCTGTGCAAGCTGCATTTGATGCAGGATATAGGCATTTTGTGAGCTACTACAAATGTAATGCCTAACATATGCTTACCATTGACCTAGGACTGCGCGCCTCTCTGTCAGCTTTCAAACAATGCCTATTGATGAACAACAAGCTAACCATCCATGTAGACGGAAACGAAGCAGAGATCGGCCAGGTGTTCAAATCCATCAACGTCCCCCGCGATGAATATTTTGTGACTACTAAACTGTATGTTATCTATTCTCCGTTAATATGCCAGTGAACTAATAAAGCAATTTGCGATAAGTTGGTCCTCTGATCACCGTCGCATTACCTCCGCACTTCAAAAATCTCTAGATGACCTGTGCTTGGATTATGTCGATCTCTACCTTATGCATTGGCCCGTGACCCTACCCACATCTACACCAGAAACCTATGGGAAAGAAGATCGCACAGCCCATGATCCTGACTGGGACTTCACCGATACTTGGAGGGAGATGGAAAAGCTGCTGAGCACGGGCAAAGTACGAGCCATTGGAGTCGCGAACTTTTCCACGATCAATCTGGAGAAATTGCTTAAAGCCTGTAAGGTTGTTCCGGCTGTCAATCAGACGGAAATTCAACCACTATTGCCCCAGAAGAAGTTGAATGCGTTCTGTGTGAAGCACAACATCCATCAAACCGCTTTTGGGCCTCTTGGAGGAAGTGGGAGTACATTGCATGACGATCCGATTGTGAAAAGCATCGCAGAGAAACGAGGCTGTAGCTCGGGCAATGTGTTGTTGAGCTGGGGAGTTAAGAAGGGTTGGAGTGTTATTCCGAAGAGCACGAATAGTACTAGGATTGCGGGGAATCTCGAGAAATGTTTTGAGATGGATGGGCTGGAGACTGCTCAAATTGATGGATTGGTTCAGACATTAGGAGGAAAACGGTTCAATCGTCCGAACTGGGGGGCTGTTATCTTCCATGACGACGAGGGAGAGAATGTACAGTAGGTTTTATCGGTCAATTACACTGAACTGAGATTGGTTCAAAGAAATTAGATCTATGCGCATGGGCATATTGGTGACTACTGTAGAAATGATTCAGCAATCATGTTCACCAAGTTCCATACCAACCAATATCATATTCATGACCCTTGGACGCTGCGATATATTCATATCAACATTGGAGTAATAGACCTTCATCCACTTTGAAGTCTGGATCAGCTTTGTCCACAAAAACCTCGATAACTCGGATTCTTATCATTTCGCTTGCGAAGATGTCCTTTGACGTTGTACTTGGGATTCATCAGTGTTGCGGTCATTCTTCCTCCGTGGAGTGCATTGTCATTTAAATTGTCCAGGGTGTTCACATATGTTCCGTCAGCTTTGAATTACCGGAACAAAATGGACGCCCATCCCAACCCCAATTTCCCATCTCACTTGTGGACTTGTCTGAAGCTCTTGCGGACCTGCCGATGGAATTTCGCAATGTGATCCAACTCGTGAGCTGCGAGTTGGTATCCACTCCTTTCCTTGTCGGTCATGTTTGCAAATTTCGGATTCAGTTCACTTTCCTCTAGTGCAGTGAACTTTGGTGCCTTCTGAAAAGCCCCATCCACCACCTTGTCTATCGGTAGTGCAGGCATTTTCGTGAATCAAAAACAGAACACGAAGTGAGAGCTTAGAAGTTCACCCACAAAGGAGAACCCTAATTCATTCATAGATTGCTATAAATCTTACTTTCTCTTCACTTTGATGCCCTCATAGATCCACTGATTTGATCATTGACTGATCTTTCTTACTTGACTTGTATCTTATCCGCCTCGCTATGAGTGCCTCTCTCTGTCTCTCTCTTTCCTCCTTCCTCCCTCAACCTTTCGTTCCACCACAATTCTTTTATTTCAATCCATCTGATGTCTACTATATGATTACTCTCGATACCATCCCCAGACCTGTATTCGTTTGGTGACCACCAATCCCAGGTAAGATCTCAGATGGGCCCCTCTCCTCTCCTCGCGTCTTTCTTGGGGGCTTCCGGCAAAAACCATCATCCACCACTTCTGAGACAGTTTCACAGTCCAGAAAGACCCTGAGCGTTGATGATGAGATCTTACCAGCACCTGCTGACGGGACGTGCCCGCCTCCCTTCTTTTTAGGTTACCTCTCCAAACAACTTCTTGACAAGATCGAGGCGGAAACACGATGTGAAAGGGTGAGGCGAGTATGTCATGTGTGAGGACTTGCACCGGCCTCCGCCAGGCAGGTGACATACCCCCGGTATACAGACAGATTAAACAATCTTTACGAATATAAGCTTCTTCTACATCCATCAGTCCAGATGTCACTCGAAAGGCAGAGGTTGTATCTTGGTACGAATTGGTCACCATTACCAACAAAGTGATCAACAAATCACGGGTCGTTTTTCAATACGAATACCGGGATGAGTTGGGCCGACTTCAATTGACATACGAACTACTGAAGGCAAGGATGAAAACCACCAAAGAACAACTCAAATATTTGGCTCTGTGTTGTAGTAGCGCAATTGCAGGTCTTTAGCAGTGATATCCGATCATGACCTTATGGACGAATTTGCAGGGGGAAAACATCGTACACTTTGTCACTGATAGCAATGGACAGATGATGGTCATAAAGACTATCCACGAAATATTAACATTAAAGGTCGATGTAATGTATAGTATATTGGACATGAACTTTTATTCAGATATGAAGTAAACACAACGAAGCCGTGGGCTAGGCCTTTCCCTCCATTGCAGATTTCTTCGCTTCTGATTCTTCTTTCTTCCCCAGTCTCTTCTGTCGCCATTTTATTCCTTGTTTCATCATAATCCAGAAGCAAGGAGAAGCTGCAAGCGCAATCAACGCTAGCGTCGTGTACGCCCATCCCGAGCCCATGGCTTCAGTCATTGGACTGACTGCAGCAGATGCAGCGGCACCTAGCTCACAGCGAAACAAGTTATTCGCTGCAGTGGCAGATGCTGACTTCCCCGGCCAGATGTCAACCATCAATGCAGAAAGCACCTGTGAGGTACCCATCAGAGCCCATCCGCAAATGAATAGAAGAATTACAGGGGCTGCCAAGTTGACTTTCCGACCTAGCACCCATCCGTATGCAATGACTGTTACAAGACTTATGTAGTACATTGGCAGGGCAACTTCTAGTCGGACTCTCTCAATGTTGAAGTTGCGAAGATCTTGTCGAACATTTTTCAGCACTGGGATTCCAGCTTTCTTAGCATGGCGACGATAGTTCCAGTCAACGATGGCGCCTGTCGAAAAGGCAGACGCTATTCCACCGGCACCAATGGGGAGGTACATTAAGCCGGTTTGAATGTTGTTGAAATGATATACCTCATGGAAGGACGTAGTTGCTCCAGTCATGACTGCGTAGAAACAGGCAAACATCAACCCAGTGGTCAGCAGGATCAGCATTGTTTCTAGGTCGTAACAAACTTTCAGGGTCGGCCAAGGTGAAGGGATGGTCAAGCGATAATCTTTCCGCACCTCGGCAACTTTCTGAGGATCAGGGCTGATACCCTTTTTAACTCGCCGTCTTTGTCTTATAAGATCCGTCAAAGACATATTCAGGATAGGTGGTGGGACTGATCCGTCTCCAACGACTTTCTGGCACGTTTCTGGGAGGAATAGCGCAAGAAAGATGAAGAATACGCCACCGAGGATTAGGAGAAACCAGAAAATCCAATGCCAGTTCAGGTACTGGCTGATAAGTCCACCAATGACGGGAGACAGAGAAGGGCCTAGCATACCTCCGATGGTAGCATATGCAATGTAACTGCCTCGCTCTGAAGAAGTGACCATATCTGCCACCAAGCCATTAGCAAGTGCGACCGTACCACTGCTACCGGCACTTTGTAGCATTCGGAGAACGAGTAAGGCGGCGTAGCTGTTTTGTAGGCCGAGTCCAAGGTTGGCCATGAAATAAATTATGAAGCAGAGCATGTAGGCCGGCCGCCTTCCTGCAGTGTCGGAGAAGCCTGCGATAAACATCGGTGCAGCCCCTTGTAAGATCTGATTAGCAAAAGGAAGAAATATGTTAGCCATGAAACCTTGTTTTAACAACACAAATTGTTCCCTTACCATGTAGGTTGTAACGGTGATATTGATCTTTGAGGTGGACACATCCAAAGCTGTCGCTATCGTATCTAGTGCTGGGAAATAGATACTGGACGATAAGGGCGAGAAGAAGGCGGCAAGAGAGCCAACTGCGACCATTGCCCTTTTTTCGGTCATGGTGAATACAGAGAAATCCTCAGGCTGACGCTCCACATTTTGGACGAATTGACTTTCAGGGTCTTGATCCGGTTTTTGCTCTGTAGGTACAGCGATAGAGTGGGTGAGGCTTGTCGAGCTTTCGTCGGGTAAAGGCATAGTTGACAACGGCGAAAGACTGCTGGGCAAAGAGTCGACAATTCCACTTTTGGTAGTCATTACATTCCAGCCGAGATAATGATTGAGGAAGAAAATTGCTGGGAAGATCTTGGTCATAAATATTTTTTTTTGCGCACGGGGTTAAGGAAAAAAGACAAAATGCCGTTAACGGGCCGGAACCGGGATACGCAATATAGTGGTATGAGCTTTGGACCTACCTACCGACGCCTAAGCCTATTTGCTTCATTTCTGTTACTTAAATCCTAAATCCGACCGATGTTTACGTGGGCAAGGCAAATTCCTGTTCAAGGCGTTTGATATACCTGATTTTATCTATTTCAAGACAAGCCAATCGCTTCATTACCCATCGTTTTCCGTAGATAGTCTGAATAGTCTCACTCAATATCAATCGCTGAACAGACGGCTCACAATACATTGCTAGACTTTAGACTTTGCTGAGTTGGAATCTGAGATTCCTCGCTCTCGTATGAAAATCAATCCACAGCTTTTCGTCTGCCACCTTACGTAGATATTGGGCATGTTTCAATGAATCAAACATGCGCAACCTTTGGAAACGCAGAAGAATGGGTATTTTTCTACGCATACAAATTTGGCAATATATGCACTCCAGATACATGGGCTCTAAGTATATAAAGGATGCCCAGGTGATTTGAAGGATACAGGTTGCTGCCTAGAGAAGTTGTAAAACATACAGGCAGAAAAATGTTACTACCTATAAATATCTATTTTCCTCCTTCTTTCTCTTCCTTCCTTACCGCCCGTTCATTTTAAAAATGAGACAGAGAGGGGAAAACCCCTCTCATAGTGGGTGCTTGCGTTGCTGCGAGTTACTTGATTCAGTCTTTGAATCAAGAAGAGACTATTTGAAGGTATGAAGAAGACAAAGGAAGCATTCATCTACACCAAGGGCTACTGAATGTGATCTGACCTTCAATTAAAGCCAAAAAATACCTCAAGTGCGTGATTTCAAAAAGTCAGGCTGAGAGTTCGATGATCTCGAGAAAGAAGTATGTTCATCCGATTTCATTGTCATCAAAGAATGCTCCTCTCACAAGTATCATTCTCGCCTCATATGGCGAAATTGACGCAGCCGACCGCAAGGAAGGTTATTCTGGTGGGCATTTCACTAATTCGTTCAACGCCCAGGAAGACATCGAGAAGCTCCCGATTGAGATAAGCAGCTCCAGAAGGATATCAACTATTTTCGCAAGCATGGCCGATACGATACGTCAAGGAGTCTGACCTTGATTGAAAGGTGCTTTGATTTTAATTATTTACCGCACGTATACGTTTACTTTGACAAGTGCAGGGCCCTCGGCAATTGTTGGCCGTCCCCACATTCGATATTTTCGCTTTCAAAGTATGCTGGCTACTGGCATTCCACCTATTTCGACATCACGGCTGTCATGTTCGTCCCCAATATAGGATTCTATGGGATTTCGATTCGGATAACAAACCTCAAAGCTCGAGCCAGGACGTGACCTGTTTTCTCTTAGTTCCATTTCGTTACTGGTCATGATCAGCAACACGAACGAAATGAAAATCATTGATACGAGCCTCTAGTGCTCGATGACTCTTGAAGAAACAAACCAGTTCAAGAGGCAAAGAGGCAAACTGTCGCAGAATGTATGTCCTCGATTGTAAGTTGAAATTTCTCTGAACACACCCTTTTCTGTCGCTGTGGCTCAAGAAGCATTTTCAGAAGAAGATTGAAATTGGGTCAAAAAGCCGACATTGACGATAGTCTTGGAGCACACGAGGTCGCACAAGGAATCAGTAAGCTCAGTCCCCTAAACGAAGCCTCCTAAGGAAACGAGCTTCCTTATGTCTGTTCAGGAGGAGGATTTCACGGCGTGAATACGGAATCGCGCAGTTTTCAAGAAGTTCAAGGCAACCCGGTGGACGACAAGCAGGCCCTAACGAGAATGCCTCTGGTGCCTTGCGCGGACTCTGTGGCAAGAAAGCAATCTTTTCTATATTTGAGAATTATTGGTAGCCCACAATGGTCTGCTGATGAAATCGTGCCCGGATCGAATGAGATAGTCAGGATCGACTACGGCACAAGCTGTTATGTTCCCGCTGTTGCGACTGCGTTAGATAGATTCTACTGGGAGAATAATGGATCAGAAAAGAAAGCACAAGCTTACGTTACGCGTTACAGATGCGAGGAACGTAGCTAGAATGGCTAGAGCTAACAAGCCAACTATAAGTCGCACCAAGTCTTTCAGGAGTCGCGGATATTGAACCACCCCAACTCTAGGGCACAATGGTGATTGCAAACAATATAGCCTGAATGGGGATGATGGATCCAGAGTCCTTAGAGGTATATCAAGCGAAGACGGGAAATAACCAAAGTTTCAACAACATACTCTTCTTTTGAGGTCTGTACTTTGGAGCGCGCCGTCATCTGCTTGTCCGAGCATGCCCCATGCTGCAATAGAAACCATTTTTCTCATCAAACAGTTGCATGAAGACAGTGACCTATAGAAATGTGGCTTTTGTCAGGAAAGCGATGCACGAGGAAAGACATCGGGAGGTGGAAACCTGAAGCGGGAACAGAACCTCGAAGCAATGCTATCATCATGACAGTGCCACCAGCTTTCGCACCTGGTCTCCGACAATGAGGATCTTCAACTAGTGATGTTATTAGACCAGAAACTTTGCAGCATTTCTTGATCATTGCCTGTTGCCTGTTACTGCTTTGTCAGCCCCCTCTGTCATCTGAGGCAGCATCTTTGTTACATAACGCCCGACTAGGCCGCTCTTTATCTCTCTTCACATACTTTTGTGCGCCCATAACTATACTTTCAATTTTCAAATTATCACAAAAACTAACCATGATGAACGCCAATGCCCCTGGCCATGCATTTTGGGGCTCACCAAGCTCCAAATCCAAGTCAGTCACCTTGAGACACATATGGATATGCAACTAACATGGACTAGCTTCTGCGAGGAGGTAGCGCCCCCGCCACGGCTCATGATCCACGTAGCTGACTGTAATTGCCGTCATTTGTAGGATTACATTGTGTCCATATATGTCGCTGAATTCATCAACAGCTTGACCAACTTATGCTACAGTAAGCAGCGGGATCCGAGGGGTGGGTGTGAGCTCTAACGCGGCCATTTAGTCTTCTATGCAATTTATGGTCTCCGCCAATTACAGCAAAAGCGCCAGCTTGGTTTCTCTCGCGCCCTTCCTTACTGGGGCCTGATGGCCGTCGGAGTTTGCTCCGCGACCTTTCACATCAGTCTCCAATACCACACCCAGATGTTGGATGACTTGTCCATGCTTTTCACAACCACGCCACTGGTTCATCGCGTGTTGACAGTGAACGCCGATCGCAAAGGCTCGTTTGTTACAGGCCTACTTGTTTACTTGGCTCTCGCGCTACTTGTGATCTACCACGTTACAACTGATGAGCTGATTTTACACGCGTCTTTCTTTGTTAGCAGCATCGCTGTCATTGGTATCCGAACAGTCCAGCTGCTCAAACAACGCACCGCCAAGAACTCAATCGCTCGCCGACAGATTTGGGGTATGGTCGTATTCGGGGCTGGTGAGTCAATACGTTAATATTTGATACTTTTGTGGCCAGCGAAACTAATTTTTCATAAGTCATCTTTCATCTTGGATATCTCGTCTGGCTGGTGGACGGGTGGGTATGCGGATTACTCAGGAGTACACGAGCGGCGATTGGGCTTCCCTGGGCATGGCTACTGGAGCTTCATGGATGGTAAGTTGTGCCGAGTATATGTACCTTTCGGATTGTTGGTGGACTAAATTTGATTCTATGGATAGGTGGCATATTTTCACCGGTATCGGCGCTTATACTTTCATCGCGGTCATTGATCAACTGCTGTCAGGTGAGGATCACCAAGATATCGATTTTGCCTGGCCTGTATCATGGGCTTCCCAATCAATATTTGCCAGAGTTGCTTCCACCATGGTTGCCGCAGATGACAAAAAGCATCAGTGAGATTAATCGCACTCCCCCCCCCCCCCCCCAAATGGTGACTATTGATACACTCTATCGCTGTGAATTATTGTCGAGCGTATTGTGGTTATTTGTCGAGTTCGATAGAATAGGTCCTTAAATAGCTTACTAGTTGCTCAACTAACTCTAATCCATTTTTATCATGATTAAAAGATAGAATATATTTCGACAATCCAAGGTAAACGAATTCTGGCAAAATAATTCAATTGTGCCCGACATCTATCTAGTTATGCAGTCTAGAATTGCGGATTTTAAGCTTTCTATCTCAAGCAAGCTGAGAGATCGGAACCTTCGACCACCAAAACTCCGTTTCTTCTCTCGCCCATTCATCCTTCACAAACTTAGCAGCAGGGGCAGTATCGCCCCCGATAAGCTCCTCATTTCCCTGCCCGAAAATCAAGACATGTGCATCACTCGGATCATAAGTCTTCCACTCTGGCCGGCTCCCATAACGACCCGAGATAGCATTCGGATCGCCCTTCGTAATAAAGCTAGTCACATACGCATGGAGGGTACCCGATAGCTCTTTCTGCGACTCTGATATCCCTGTGATGGCACTATCAAAGGTCTCATAGGCCATATTCTCCCCATGGTTTGCCCGACCAACAACGGTCTTGGGAAATGCCCAATTGTATAGGTAAACCGGCATGCCCTGGGACGAGGCAAACTGCGCCGTTTGGCGAACAGGTGCAACGTATGCATAGTGTCCATACGCAGCCTCGATTCGTTTATATTGTGGTCCGAGACCATATCCAGTCCTAGTTTCCACATACGGCGAACTGGGATCACAGCTGGGGTCAGGGTAGAGACGATCGATTGTGTCCAGATCGGTAGAAGAGAGTTCTGGTAGGAGGTTCTTCCAGAAATTACGAAATTGGGCTGGGTTGGACATTTTTTTGTCGACGTAATACGTTCCCTCGTTACTGTTGTATCCCGTCATAATTGGGACTTTGTTCCATAGCTTCGAGTTCCATGCGTCCAGTGGCTTTCGGGCGATGAGGTCGTCGTCGATTACTGGCTGGAAGGCCCACCGGAGCGAAGGGTTGTACTTATCGAATACTTTTGTTTGCGCGTCGGTGACGGTTGAACTCGGGAGGGAGCGAAGGAAGGGGAAGATTTCGTCTTCGGGAAGGTTAGATGGGCAACCAGCTGCTCTAAGGAAATCTTGAAATTGGCTCTCGTGAACTGTCGCATTGTAGGGACGGACGGCGCGAGATGTTGCCGAGCCGGATTCTATGATGGCGCGATGGAACAGAGGTGGGGAATGATCATTGTAATTCAATATATGATGGCCAATCTGGGATTTCGTTAGTCTAGCATAAAACGTGAGCTCTGCAAGTACCTCACCGAGTGGGCTCCTGCTGATAGACCGAACAGTGTGACATTCCCAGCATCACCTCCAAACTTGCCAATGTTCTCCTGCACCCATTCGAACAAAAGCACTTGATCACGCAGCCCAAGGTTCAGTATACCTTCCTTCTTGGAGAGGGTGGATGGCAAGAATCCCAATGCTCCGATGCGGTATCCGAAACTGACGCCAATGAATGGAGACTCGGACCAAGCGACCATAGACGCAGTATTGTGCATCGACGCCGCCCCACGATTGAAAGCACCGCCATGCACATAAATTGCAACCGGCAGCTTATCCGAATCAGTAGTCCCAGCAGGCCGAAAGATATTGGCAGTTAGACAATCTTCGCTTTGCTCTAGTTTTGGACCATTGGCCAGCAATGGCTTTCCTGGTGCTGCGGGACCAAACTTCGACGCATCGATGGTATCGCGAGAGGCATTGACCTTTTCTGCGGGCTTGAAGCGTCTTTCTCCCATGGGGGGTAGGGCATACGGAACGCCCAGGAACGCGTCCACGGGCTGCGGGGTTGTCTCCTCCTTTCGGGTCCCAATGACATGTCCCTGGCGGAGAGTAACAGAAGGCGGGCTAGAGTCTACCATTGTGATCAAGAACTTGCGTATCTTTCAACAGCAGAAGGTAAACCAATGCTGGTATGCCGTGTTATAATAAAGTGCGCGGTTCTCTCCGGTGCTCAAAAGTAGTTCCGTGCGGGGGAATCGATAGAAGTGGAGACGCGGGTTATCTGAATAGATAGGAGCGATAGGTTTATCACTTTATCTCGTGGAGGTATCAGCTTTCGGACAGTTTCCGAGCGAGGATGCGCTCCGCGTGAATTGACCAGTTTTGGAAGTTGGGGTCTTGGGGAAGTGAGAATCTGAGAGATAGCGGGCAGTGGCCGCCTCCTTTCATAAAGGAGGTCTCCTGCCGGAAGTTCAGTTTCTCTGTTTTTTTTTAAAAAAAATATTTACATTAATAATTCCAAATTGAATTCATAGCCATGAAAGAAGATACAAAAGCTGCGTCTATCACGCAAACTGACGAGAAAGATGTTCAAGTTGGGATCATCACCGATCTTGACGAGGGCGAGGTCTTTCTCCACCAGCATGGCTACAACAACGAAGCTATCCAGGTCCTTTTGGATGACGAATCACGCAATAAGGCTCTCGTTCGCAGAGTGGATCTTGTGCTTCTACCTTTACTTGCCGGTACCTATACGCTGCAATACATAGACAAGTCGGCATTAGGCTACTCTGCCGTTTTCGATCTGCTATCATCGACCCACATGACAAGTAACGAGTACAGCTGGTTAGCAAGCATTTTCTACTTTGCCTACCTATTTGCAGAATACCCCTGGAATATTCTCGCACAGAAGACCAGACTAGGCAAAGTCGTCTCGGGCAACGTCATCGCGTGGGGTGCAATGCTCATGATCACCGCTGCTTGTACTTCATTCACCGGTATGGGCATTTGCCGTTTCCTCCTTGGCATCTTTGAAGCACCAATCACGCCCTGCTTCATGATGATCGTGGGTATGTGGTATACGCGCTCCCAGCAGCCCTTCCGAGCTGGTGTCTTCTACAGCTGCAATGGACTCGGGGCCGTGATTGGCGGCGTCCTGACATTTGGAATCGGACAAATCAAGACGATTGCAGTCTGGCGAGCTATCTATCTTATTCTCGGCGGAATCACGGTTTGCTGGGGCATTTTGATGTATGTCTTTCTTCCTGACGACGTCGTCTCAGCCAAACGCTTCAATATTGAAGACAAGGCTCTTTTGATTGGCCGCAGTCGACTTGGCCGAACGGGAGTGATCAACCACAAGATCAAATGGTATCAAATCAGAGAAGCACTAGTCGATCCTCAAGTGTGGATTCTGTTCCTGTTTACTCTACTCAATGAGATCATAAACGGTGGTATTGCCAACTTCAGCAAGCTCATCATCAAAGGTCTGACGGATGATGCTCTCACCACAGTTGCACTGGCAATTCCAATGGGCGGTTTCCAGATCTTTTATATCTTGAGCGGAACTTTTCTCGCCTCGCGCTTTCGTAACTTTCGCACAATCGTCATGTTTCTTTACATAATGCCGACGATTATTGGTACTTGTCTACTGTGGAATATGAACCATGAGACCCACAAGGTGGGTGTGTTGTTTGGTTACTATATTTGTGGGGCTTATGTCTGCTCTTTGGTTCTAGCATTGCAGATGCCTGCTACTAATCTGGGAGGCTATACGAAACGCAGTACGGGTGTTGCCTTGGTCTTTCTAGCTTACTGTGCTGGAAATATCATTGGCCCCCATGCTTTCTTGGCGAAAGAAGCACCTATATATCAGACTGGCTGTAAAGTGATCGTTTCATGTGCAGCTGCTCAGGCTGTACTTGCGCTTTGTCTTCGAATGCTTCTTATTTCCAGAAACAAGATGCGAGATGCGACTGCCAGTAATGAAGGTGTAGAGGGAATCTCACAAGCAGACGAGCTGGCTGACTTGACTGATTTCGAGGTAAGGTTGAGCAATGATTCTCTGGGCCAAGTTGATACTGACATTATGATAGAATCCAAACTTCCGCTATGTGTTTTGAACAATTTCCAATGTGGTCGTAGGCCATAAATAAATTGATGGGAACGTGATGCTTGATTATTACCAAGTTTAGCAAATACGTAGAAGACCCTCGCATGCATAGCTTTCACGTAGACATCTTGGCTCTACAACGGGAAAGACTAGTTCTCTCTCAAGGTATGAATATTCAGTAATGTAGTAAAACAAAAAGAATTACGAATAAATCTGATGAAACAAAAGAAACCGTGGCTGTTCTTGAAGGAAAACGAGACGAAGTATTGTACATCGGGATGGAGGGATGGACAAGGCTTTAAGCAAAAATCTAAGGGTTATCTCTATTATCCTCCTGCATCAACAACATGGGAGTCCTCTATTTGCCGATCTCAACACCACCAGTGGCACCGATCATGCGCTTGATGTCACCGTAGATGGCGAACTGACCGGCAGTGATGGAACCGACCATGACAAGACGGGCACCAATACCAGAGTAAGAGCCACGGATACCGAGCTCCTTGGCGATCTTCACGAGACGAGAGACGGTACCCTCACCGGCAAGACCGGGGGTCTTGTTGATCTTGGAGAGCATGGTGTCGGCGGGCTGGGAAACGGCGGCGGCGGCGAGACCGGCAATCAGACCGGAACCAAGGTTGATACCGGTCTTGGTACCGTTGGAGAGGGCGTCCTTGTCACCCACGGACTTGTAGATGGCCTCGGAGACCTTCTCGAAGACAACGAACTTGGCCATAGTGTAAGGAACCCTGGATTCATTGCGTTAGTGGATAGGAACTATAGGTGACGCGCGTGCACAATATTTATGGTCTGTCACTTACTGCTTGAACAGAATGGGTCCGAATCCGGAGTAGAAAGCGCCGATACCCTCCTCCTTGAGGATCTTGGAGAAACCGCTCATGAGACCGGTAGCGAAGGTGGGCTGGGAGACCAGACGGATACGGGTGGCCTCAAGGGGGCAGAGACCGATGTCAGCGACGAACTCAGCGGCGGCCGAGGAAGCGAGGTAGACAGCGGTGCGGTTGTTGGTGGCAGACTCGAGGCCAAGGTAGTTGACGGACTGCTGCTTGAAGAACTCGTAACCACCGAACTTGAGGGCACCCTGGATGAAGTAACCAGCGGCGGTGGGACCGAAACCAGTGAGGAGAGCACCGGCACCCTCGTTCTGGACGACCTGGCGGAAACCACCGATCATACCGCGGTTGTAGGTGACGGGGTCAAGCTGCATGCGGGTCTTGACGCTGTAGAGATGTCGTCAGCGAAAAACTCGATCGGTGTCGCGCGATTCTAGATTCGACCTACACATCAAGGGGAGTGGCAGCACCGTGGGTGATGGCACAGCACATCGCGCCAGCGAAGGCGAAACGGGAGTACAGGTCGATACCTGTGGGGTTGGCAGGAGCCTTGACGGCGGCGGGAACGGAGGCCATTTTGATGTGCGTTAAACCCGGAGGGATATATGGAGAGGAGAAGGGTCAATTGAAGCTTTCCAGAGAAGAAGAGGAAAGGAGGAAAAGGTTTTGAAAGGGATGGGTCCGAACCCGCAGAAATTTCGGACCAATCCGGCTGCGTCCTCGGCAGGACACGGGGAACCACTTTATGTCCGGCCTCATCGCCCGGTCAACCGTGACGCACTGAGCTTCCGCTACAGGATCTATCGATGTTCATTGTTCTATATTTCATCTTCTCATATGCTTCCGTTCTACAAAATGAGGGGGGTTTTCGATATGATGATGTAGTCGCGTCGGGAAGAATCGGTACCAAAGCCATCTGGCTGAGTAAGATCAAGGTTTTACACCTTTGATATCCTCCTGCGCCAACCTACGGATAGGGCGCATCTGGTAGCATATCAAACCCTTCTACGTCACGGACAACCGGCAACAATGCATCCTTATGTGGATTTTTTTTAGACCGCCCTGTTTTGGTGACATGGCGCTCCACCAATCACCGGATCGACAGCAGCTCCACTAATGGGGGCCGTTGGTTCATGCCCGCGACCTCTTCCGACCCTGTGATTGGCCACTCGGAAAATTCGGATCCCGGCCATATATGCAGTGGGGGATTCAGGAACAGACATGTTCGATATTGGGCCCTGACAAGGGAGGGTTTGTTGTGCACAAGCCTCATTCTCTCTGGCAAACATGGCGTCATGGGATAGAATGCAAACAGACGAAGTTCGCCCAACAATGGCACTCGATCCCTGGGCACGGTCCATGCGTCCGAGAGCAAAGTACTCGGAATCAAACGTCATCAACAAGAGACTGAGGATGAGCGGACATCAGTAATCGTCTGGTGAAATCACTTTTTTATCGGGACGAATGAACACTGCAGGGGTATAAAGACTAAATCATCACACTTGGTACACTTCGAAACTGTTAAACTGCCAATAAGCATTCGTAAAGCTGGCTCCATTCTCCGCGGCCCATTCTGTGCATGTTCCAGGACAGTGATATAGGTCCGTGTAATACAAGCTTCAGCCAAACCACCACAGATATCGATGTTTGCGATAACACTCTGGTTTTAAAAATGAGAACCGATGTCACAATGTGTGTTCGGGAAATCAGCCAAAGCCCCCCCTTCCCCCCCCCATGAGGAGGGATCAGGCGTATTGCTCGAGTTGGAGATGTCATTGGTTTATCGTCTCGGAGCTCCATCGCGTATACCTAACCAAAGGCAGCTCAGTCACTGGTTATTTTCCCCGCTGAGTGCAAAGGGTTGATACTTACTCCGCCACCATTGTTGTTAAAAGCCTCTCCATATGTTGATATCTTCCCTTCAACGCCGCAGCCAGCGTTACAATTGGCTGTTACAAGGCAGTTTGTGTATTTTGCAGTTCCGGTTCTCTTGCGCTTGGTGTTCATCTTGCAATTCTTAGAAGTATGTAAGGTCATCGCATCGCCACGCGTGCCTCTGTTGTTTGATGCCATCACATCGATATCACCATGCTCCGGCCCTATTATCTGGGTCGGTCAACTATAAGTCAGATTCATTTAAGGGGCTGTTGATGAATCCATCATTATGATCCGTCAAGCTCGACTCAAACTTCAATGACATAGCAAGAACCCACTCCACGAAGCCATCGGTAGTGTCGGTTACCGATTAGTAAACAAAGTTTTCAAAAGACTCAGTTCCTTAGTAGTGTCTTTATTAAGAGTGTAGCTGAGTTTTGAGTAGCCTGGGTACTTGTTGAGATTCACTCCTTCAACAGCTCCAACCACAACGCCGACGATGACAATCACGATGCAGCCCACGACAATCAACTTTTTTCTTAGTGACCACCCGCGTGGGCCGTACCATGCTCTGTGTAATACAGGTCCAACGCTCACAATAGTAGAATGCCGAGGAAGCTCTGCCGTAGGGGCGGTCGCATAACCAGAATAACCATGTGCAGAAATGTGAGGGTCAAATTGAGGCAACCTTGAGGTCATACCTCTATAGCGACTGAAATCATCCATCTCCCTAGCAAAGGATATTCGGTTCTCATCGTCCCTGATATAGAACAAGTCTGGCGAGGTATAGAGAGAAAAGTTAATTTCAAAGCTCACCACGTCTGCGGAGGAAAAAGCAGCTCGCAGATATTTACTTTTAAGATTTTCCGCCACTCATTTAGAGAAACAGGTTGATAAGCAACAAAATGGATCGTTCATAGCCCTAATACAGTGTGTCGAAGCCTCCCGCGCCGCGTCAGTCTGTATCAACGCCAAGATCTGCGCTCTACTGGTTTTTATATTTCCTTCAAAGGCCCATGACCTAGTGATCGGCGATGGTTGAGAAAGTTCAGTCAAGTGGTCGTAAAATTAAAGCGTCCTTGTTTGGCGTGGGATTCCATGTTGAATTCAATAAGATTTTATCTAGACTGCGATCAAGCGGGGCTCGGCCTTTGGGGGAAGGCTGCCCTAGATATACACGGGCACTTGAGTCTTGTCAGAAATGCGCGCTCAAAATGGACATGTTTGGGAATGAGCCTTACCTCAATTGAACAAGAGTAAATGGCTGCGAGAATGGTAATTGTTGCGGGAGGGGAGCCTTCGAGGCTTTCCTGTTTCCAGCTTTGTGGAGGTGAGAACTCTGTCACGATTCAGCACGATCAGAGAAAGAACCATGAAAGGTAGGTGTCGCTAGCCCAGTTGCTCTTGCGGTAGAGATTCATGCAACAGGCCCTTATATTCGATGAAGGCGTTTCGCATGGTGATCTAGAAAGCTCCTTCAGAATCTCATCTGCTGGAGAGACCAGCTCTCTTCGAGCTTAACGAATGATTTTACAAGAAAATTTCATCTGAAGCAAATGTGGTATTAACTACTCTAATTGCATGTGCTACCCTCGTTGATATCTTATAAAAGAGTCATTCCAGTTAATCTGACCTGACCTCTGGACCTCACAGCCAGCTCTCACTGTGCCGATGCATTCCGCACTCCTTGCTATCATCTGAGCGATTCACAGTCTACAGCATGTAGCGACGAGAACTGATCTACAAGTGTCGTCTAGGCAGGGCCATCGAAATCCGACGTCTCAGCTGCGCTTTTTTGCTTCTGCGCCCCTACTAGAACCCTCGCAATGTTGGACTCGATGGGATCACCCTCTTTGACCACAGGGAAAAGTGTCATCATGACAATGTCGGCCTAGGGCGCAGGGAGAAGCACTCCGCGATCTACGGTGTCTGCGGGCATATCTTGAAGACATATAATTCGAATCTTAACTGGTTCATGTTCATACAAAATAGTAAAATCTCCTCGGACTTCCAGGGAGAACGAGGATCAAAGAGTAGGAAAAGCAGTAGACGCGAAGAGGTGAGAGAAAGGAAGTTACATAATGAACACCACGAAGTGGTAGCTGGATACCTCGCTCATCAATTTCAGTGTCATGCAGAATCTACAATTCCAACAAAAAACTACTTATATATTGATATATATATCGTTTAGATATGATGACATACCTGGCAGGGGAAAGCCTACGAATAGTTTCCTATGAGGCTACTGCAAGGTGAAACTACACGACTTCACGTACTCACTCTAAGGTCTGAAGATAAACGAGATGCGGATCTCAACATGAATAACTTTCCAGTGTGCTATTCAAATAGAAAGCCATTTAGCGATGGATCATAACTTAGAAGGGACTGATGAGAACAGCCGGGTTGCTGAAATTATAAAAGAATAGCCACCCATGGCTACATAGCCTCCTTGATTTCACTACTAACTAACAGATCGAACGCGAAGGTAATTGGTGAGCAGAGGAGATATGGTATCCGCAAGAGCTGCAAGAGGAAGCACGAAACTCAGATGCTGTGTACGTTTGACAGCTCCCCGAGTCTTGTGGTAGGTATAATGAGAAGAGTGGAATCCAGTGCAATTATGGCAAGCTTGCCCACTAGAAAACGAAGTACAGTCGATGGCCATCGCCTTTGGCATAATTTGAATGCCAACTGATATAATAAGAACAAGAATCAGTCTCACCCAGAACTTTCTTTACTTGAGCCATATGCCACCCTTTAGTAGCTGGAGACTACATTGACTTAAATAGAAGGCCCCAGGGGGGCAGCTGAAACAGTGGCAAGACAAAGATTTGACATAAAATCATTTGCAAATGATGCGGGCTGGTAGACTTCCAAGGTTACCTACCCACCTCCCCCCCTACCCTCCAACTATGAGACAATTCCTCTTTTCTTATAGTTGTTGGGATTCTTCTCCAAAAGGAGCTATTGTAGCAAAGTTTCTGCCCCCAAAAAGCCTCTAGAAAACCACGAGAGTCAAGTTAAAGTGTAAGGTGGCCATTATATATATTTTTTCAAAGGAATTCTGCTCTGCTTGAAGTATATTTTATTCGGGATGATATCCCAGAAAGCTAGATATATAATTATAAGTGCATGCATGATATACACGAGATAACCTTGAAATTCCCAGCACAATTAGGACGATATACAAAAGGAGAATTGATATCACATTGTCACGTCAAGAAAATGTAGAAAAATGCATCTGACAGTCATTCAAGATCATCAGCAAGAAACGAAGTATAGGTATAGCGAGAGATAACGAAGTGGTATATGAAAAAAAACAGAATGCCTCTCTAGGTATCAATCCTTCAGCCTTACTGGGCATCCTCCATAAGAGCCTTGTCGGTCAGGGGAATATTCTTAGGTCCCTCGTATTCGCCTTGGCGAACGAACCACCAGATCGCGACAAAGATGGACAAGCCACCAGTCATCAGACTGGCGTAGTTCATCGAGGCAGCAGCAACGGGCAGAGCGTAGGGGAAACAGAAGATGACGACGAAAGCGAGAATGTAGATGCAAGAGAGGATGTTGATAACGAAGCCAATCGTGTTGTTCATGAAGAAGAAACCCGGCACGAACGAGCTGCGACGGGTAAGGATGTGAGGGAAGATAGCCATGAAGTACGAAAGACTGGATAGCTGGACGAAACATCCGACGAAAGCGCTGAAGGCAGTTGTCGAACCGAGGTAGATGCAAGCGAGAACGGTGACTACGCAGCCACAGACGAGGGTTGCGTTGAAAGGGTTGTGGAACTTGGTGTTGATGTGTCCGAGCCAGTTCGGGAAGGGGGTGGCACGGTCGCGGGAGATGGTCCACAAAGTGCGGCCGGCGGTGATGTAGCAGCCGGTTGCGGTGATGAGGGTCGGAATGAAGGCGACAATCAGGAGACCGAGACCACCGCCACGAGATCCGGTGGCCTGGTAGTAGATCTCGGCGAGAGGGAAGTTGTAGCTGCTGTTGGCGACGTCGTCGAGGTTCTGGATGGAGTAAAAGATGGCAATCATGTAAAGGAGACCGGTGATGAATCCGACACCCATCTGAGCCAGCACGGCCTTGGGGATGTTGCGGCTAGGGTGAGGAATCTCCTCGGCCAGGTGTGAAGAGCAGTCGGGAGTACCGACACTGTAAGCACCGTTCAGCATACCCATGACGAAGACAAAGCCCTGCTGCGAGTAGCCGGTCTCGTTGGTCCACTCTGTCCAGATAGCCTCGTCACTCCTGTATCCGACACCGTTGACGTAAGGCATGACGGCACAAACGATGATGGTAACGAAGACACCAGCAAGGATGAAAAACATGCCGATGTTACCGATGTATGGCAAGAAGCGGTTCATGAAGAGAACAATGCAGCAGCACACCCAGGTACAGATAAGAAAGGTCACGAACGTATTCCAGGTCTGGACCTGGAAGCCGGGATGCATCAAAGCATACATGGAGACAAGCTGCTGGGCCATGATCAAAGACATGGAGGCGGCACCCAGGATCCAAGCCAGACAGTTCCACCAACCGGCGAAGAAACCGCAGATACGACCATGCTTGCCAGCAGTGATAGAAGCCCAGTGGTAAACACCACTGGCAGAGGGCATACCAGATGCCAGCTCGGCAATAGAAGCGGCGACCATCCAATAACAAATCGAGACGGCGATGCTACAAGGAGTTAGTCAAGTATACGCGGTACAGGCGAAAGTGGACCGTACAATTCATAAAGACATCCAGCCAGGCCACCGTTACTCAATGCCGTCACCACACTACCACCCTGAGCGATCCAAGTGTTACCAGTCGTGACGGCGATAGCGCAAAGACTGATGAGACTGAAGTTCCGATCGACCTCCTGACGATGACCGGAGGCGTTGACCAGTTCACCCTGCTGTTCCTCCGCGTACGGCTCCGTAGCCTGCATTTTCTCAGAATATTCGGTCGACATGGCGAAAATGGGTTTCCACGTGAGAATTGATTTCCCAAAACTTTCTATGCAGTCGCCGATGGGGTTTTCCGACCCAGGAAGGATCAATTAAGGTAGACGGGGCGACCGAGGATTCGCACGGGCTCCAAAATGAAAGGGGGGAAGCCTTCGATTATATACCAGGCCGGGAATGAATGAAAGACCTAGAGCCGTAAAGAAGCATGAAAAAGGAGCAAGTCGAGCCTATATTATTATCGAGGGGTGGAGTCTTCGTACATCGCGGCCCCTCCGAATCCCCCGGAGAGCAGTTAACCACGCACGACGAACATCTTTCAACCGTGAATTCATTCTTCCCGACTCCACTTCGGTAGCCACTCTGATCATCCTACCCCAATCTCTAGCCAATCAGGTTGCCAGAGTCACATTCTCGGTGGCTACTCTGTCGACAAGTGGGGCCTACCCATCCCGTTATTGGACACAGGTAGGGGCGACTCAGCCAAATTCCAACCAAAAGTAAGGCTGGACGCGGAGAGACGTGCAGGACGCTTTACCCAGAAGGGGAGCTTCAACAGAAAAGATTTTCTTGACCTTGGAAGGAGATGCTAAGATCCTCGTAAAAGCACGTCTCACCAGTCCTCAGGCATGGGGTCGTAGGTGATCTATTTGGTACATGATTCACAGGATGTGGAGAAATGGGGCCGCTGTTTTATAGATTCATCTATGCTTTATTCTTTATTGTCATTGTGATCTGTACATGTTGCATGACCACGCGAGAGTGTTTGGCCAAATGCGGATCTAGGGCTTCCACACGATTGCAAGTCCAGGTGTTCATGACGTATTACTTAGCTATCGTTTCCTCCTAAGATTTTCAACCTTCTAGAAATTCCTTCCACATGGCCTTCTACATTCTTTACCCGAGGTGCTTCCTGTCGCAAATTTGAGAAATAAGACAAGCCTCGGGGTGAGACACAGAAGCAGGTGGCATGACTAGATCTGGGCGATTACGCCGTTGTTGCAAGCTAAATTAATTAAGTTATCCACTGTTGGATCTAGTCGTGAAAACTTTGTAGCCCTGCAGCTTAGTCGCAGCCTCGTTGTTTTAGCTTGCGTACTAGGTGACCGAACTACTGTAACCGAACACTAGTTACCAAATGGCCCCGAATCCAGAATGTGTGAGCAATGGACAGGTTATTTAATATTCCCATGTCGGATTTAATCGGCTGTTGTGACCCATGGATCGGTTGTGGTCCACGGGATCGACGCCCCAGGACAACTTTTTCCCCAATCATGCGTAAGGGTGCGCCCACCATAATGTTACATTGGAAACACTGAGCTCGGATATAATCATGAAACCCAGAGAAGCGACCACAACATTAGACTCAGATCGGGTGGGCATAGATGGCGTGTGCACTCCCGGATCTAGGCAGGTCCCCGAGCGCGGACTTTTTCTATAGAAATTGAAGGATGTTTAGGTTCAGGTACTTGGAGAGACTAAGAAAGACTAAGAAAGTATCATTAGAAGGTCGACCATGATTCGCTGATCGGGCTAGCATCGACCAGGGAAGATGGTCTGATGCAGAACCAAATTGCAGTTCGTGCTAATGCAGGATCGATTGAATTGTTCCGATCGGCAGCGGCGTACACTTGTACTGTAACTCGGCTACTGAACCGCCCATACAGAATACAGAGCGAGCTTTTATATGCAGAGAATTGCCACGCTGAGCCTGCATGGACGCTGCTGACTCCATGAAATCCATTAAAAAAATTGCGGAAACCCCCGTATGGAGTAGGGATCCTCCCCCCTCGTCCGTACCCACCCTGAGCAAAATCCCTCAGTTGCCCAGAACAGAGCCACTTTCTAGTGGGCCCCACCGACTCCATTCTATATGCGGCTAGTCGTGAAGTCTAATATATTTTTCAATGCCTCGTCATTCAAGGATCCAACCGCATCTAGTAAGGTCCACGGATGTTGACCGTAAACTCTTTGCACTTTGTCTGATATATGCATTGCCCGATCAGCTGTGGAGAACCTCGCCTCCGCAGAAGGAATACTTTCAAACGGATGTACTGTTGTATTACGGAGGTTCCATTTACACAGAAATAACCCCCGGTGGCTCCCCTAACTGTTTTAGGAAGGCTGGAAAAGCTCGTGTGCTCTCCTGCACCCATTTACGGTCGGCTATATAGTGCAATGTCGTACTTTCCATATGAACATATTTGCCTGAGACAGGGCGATTCCTTCGACCCACGTCAATTAATCGTTACCGCCATCCTAGGTAAACCATAAAACTCTTTTTTGGTTTCAAGACAGTGTAAACGTATACGTGGCCAGCTCCATAGCTACGGTCCAATACACATCCTCCCTAGAACGGCAGGTCCATGGACCAATTCCCGAAGCTCATTGAAAGCTGAGAGGCGCAGTGGGGAATAATATCGGCAAGCATTACAGGCACCATATTGTAATTGCTGTGCCCTTGAGCAAATCAGATTAATTTCCCAAGGAAATTGTTTTCCAAGGTTCCTTACTCCGTCCGAGTCCATGGGTCTTGCCCACATAGATCCCCCCACTCCATCCTATGGTTCACCCTGTGCTGTCACTGGAAGATCAATCTTTTGCCTGTGATAAGCCTGGGACTTCTACACTATCTGACAATGTACGCAATCTCGGCCATGCACCTCTCCCAATAATTGTACCTATCACACGAATCGGCGAACTCTCCGCTCAGCCCCCCTCTGGAGACTTGACCGTCCCGGTAGATGCATGCGCTATCGGAAAGTCTATAATCTTGCATCGAAAATCCGGTATCTGTTATAAGGATGTGGGTTGCTGCCCTTTGAACCCTCTTTTCCCCTCTTGATCGCCCACTGACCTTAATTATCCATCTACAGGCCAGTAATGTCAGGTCTCGGCGGTGACTTTGCCGTGCGCTTTGCGCGAGAGACATGGGCTCTTTACGCTGTTGGTGTCTTGGGCGCTGTTCTTCGATAGTGAGTATCCTCTTGCGACGCCGCTTGTTGACTTGGGCTGGAACACCCCGCTAACCTCTACCACTATAGTACCGCTCGTGTTAGGCGATTAGGTATTCGCAACCTCCAAGCCGATGACTACCTCATGTTAAATGCTGTGCTTTGGTATACTATTCTTTGTGTCGCCTTAAACCAAGTGGCGTCGGGTGGAGGATCGAACTTGATGACACAAGAAGAGATTGATACTCTCACACCCAAGATCCACGCCGAACGAGAAAATGGCAGCAAATGGGTGTTCGTATCGGAGCATGCTTTCATCCTCTGTGTCTGGAGTTTGAAGGCGTGTATGTTGGTGATTTATGCTCGTATCACGTACGTGACTGGATCTGTGACTTGATGAAATTTTCCTTTGCTGACATCTTTATAGTGAGGGATTGAAGCAGCGCAAATGGATCAACTGGATCGCCGCCTATGTTGTTATTGGATTTGTTGGTACAGAACTCTCTCTGTTCTTGATCTGTCGCCCATTGTCGGCCTACTGGGCGGTTCCCACCTCAAATTGTAAGGAACATACCTTGCATATGCTCTTCGACCTCATTGTTAATTGTTTTCTCCCAGACCAATGTTCCTCATATCAATATTACGAAATTGTTCAAGGATGCCTTTCTATCTCCGCCGATATCTTCATGTTGATAGTGGCCATCCCGATGATGGTCCAGGTCCGCGTCCCACTCAAGCAGAAGATGATCCTTGTTATTCTATTCGGCATGGGTATTTTCGTCATCGTCGCCGCCATCTTGAACAAGATCTACTGTCTCGTCCCCTCACTTATTTCCTATGTCTACATGAACTGGTACTTCCGTGAAGCCACGGTGGCGATCCTGGTTACGAACTTGCCACTCGTTTGGTCGCTCCTCCGAGACGTCTTCCCCGCCCTGAAAAGCTGGACTGGAGGATCGAAGAGAGGTACTGATCGGTACAAGTCGCAACCGTGGACCAACAGCAAAAATTCTCGACCCTACGGTCCTCAGAGCCAGCTCCGCTCTGGAGACTTTAATATGCAAGATTTCCACACGGCATCGGTCACCCCGACGAAGACTGGCCCCGCCGTTTCCGACGTCAGCTTGCAAGCCAGCGACGATCGAGATATGAGCAGTGATGACGGCTCAGCTCGCGCTTTGCGGATCCGTCAAGATATTACTGTCACAGTGGAACATGATTCGAGGCCACCTGCTTACGAGTCAAACAACGCCAACGTTGCCCGCGGCCATGAGTCTGTTTAATCGCCCCTCTCTGGCGATCCCAAAAATCTTTACAATTTTTCATTTTGTTACGAATATATGGAGTCTGTGTGGACCTGATACCCAGCTAATCGTTAGACCTACTTTTCTTTTGCTTTTTGTCTTTTCTTTTTTCTTATTTTTCCGTTTTTCATTGCACATATTCACCGCTAGACCTCTTTTGTGGAACATGTTTTGGACGGTCCAACCAGGAGATAGAATCATTGGGATATTTACCGGCATTTCCGACCATGTACTTTACATATGTCTGTATAGAACGATCTTGTTAATACACTACTTGCTGAGCCTCGGCCCTTCATCTCTTCTCAGCGCCACAGAATCAAAACCTGGCCTGCAAAGTCAATCTATTCCCGAGGTGGATAAGACTTGATCCACTCTTGCCCCGCCGATCTCCCGCCTCCTTGCGTCAACACTGCTGATCTCATCATCATTGGGCGGGTTCCGCCCGCCTGTTGGTCAATCTTGAGAGCTGAGGTGGGAAGACCAGATCATACCCCTGCATTTCAGCCTTGGCCAATTTATGTCCTGAGCCAATGGCAAGTCAAAACCCGCAATGTGAAATTTTCTGGAGGGAAGGAACCAGGACCATTAGGGTTAACCAATTGCCGTACGCTAAGAAACTCGTTGGAATGTTCCATGCCAGATCTATTCCCATTACCAAGACATCCAGGACATCCACAAGACATCCACGAGCCACTGAAAGTGCCCAGGCGAACTCCCTCAAAAACAAGACCAGTTGCCCAATGCAATCTCGTCAAATGGTCCCCCCAAGTGGTTCCTTTCGGCGTGGCCGCCGGTTCAGCCCGTTATAGTGAAGCGTGCGGGCTCCACTCAAACTTGAACTCGGCGACCGCCGTCAACGCAAAAGTATTGGCTCTCCCAGCCTTTTCTGTCGTCTATCATCATTCTGCTGATCCACGGTTTGGACTCAAAGGTCATACCATGGTACACCGGTATAGCTGTGGACATAGATTTTCCGGGACACACATCCCCCGTTTACCAAGCAAATTCTCCAAAAGATCGACTTGCTCTTGTGGAGAGCGATAAGTGGTCTGGAGAAAGCATTATCAATACCCACTGGTCATAGCCATTGATCGGCCGAGCTTCGCCCGTCGGGTATAAGCCCCTTTTCAGATTCATTTGAATATTTACATTGTCAAAGTCGATGAAACCTCACCAAAAAAGGAAAACGAAAAAATGACAGCAGAAACTTCATCGCGGGTAGCGGCGGATGTAAACCAAAATGGAAACCAGGTTTCACTTTGATTCCCAGAGAAAACCCCGAATTGACTTTTGGCCATAAGCCACTTGCATACGACATAGCCGTGAACAGAGTTCAACAGTGAGTTTCGGTGACCCACGTCTTGCTCCAGCGCGGTCCGCTGGGCCCAACAAGCCTCTAAACCCTCTCCAAATCGACTCAGAACCGTGTTCCGCTAAACGATAAGGACCTTGTTGTTCAGAACGTTGACAATCTTGGCAAGATCTTCGCCGATGTCGCTTCGCTGATGACATGAAGGCATGTCGGTTAATCAATTTTTCATATAATTCGATTAACCGACAAATTAGTCAAGTACTGTTAATTCACATGGCTTTATAACAGGTGGAGTAGCCGCGGGAAAGCAGAAATGAGTTCCGGACCGCTTAATGTCACATTTTAATATCGCATTCGCGTCTGTTTCACCGATCGATCTCGCTCTAGATTAATTCGTACTCGCACAGAGGGTGTGGACTAAAATATAGACTGGACCTCAATCAGCCAGTAGTAGTACAGAGCTAGAGATCATTCTATCCCCTATTCGGGATGTGGACAACGAGCAAGTGGGACGGATATACACCAATGATCGAAAACGCCTCAGCTTCGATCGCAGAGCGGGTTGTGCGCGTTCGCTTTGTGCAATGTGGTTCCTGATCCACTCCAGGCTTGTACAGTAGGTCCGTGCTGTCCATTTGGTGGCCACGGGAAGTGCTCCCGAATGCGATCTTTGTTCCTGGCTTCCTAGCTTTGCTGCAGCTAGAACTTTATCGGTAGTGTCTAGAATCTCGGGGCTTGAGATTAATCTGGAATAGGTCTGAGCGCCCAGAGTTGTGTTTCGGAGGTAAGTGCTGGAATTGGCGGATTAGTGAGACGCCAGGATGCGCTAGGTTATTGTCTAGTCCGGATATCAGATGCAACGGATTCTAGTGCTTATTTTAGGAATATCTAGGGAAGAGTCTAATAACAATGACAAGAATGTTCTTGTCATTGCGATAGTCTGGATTCTGGATTTGTTTTCACCCAAGGAGATCAGGGGTAAACAGCCCCAAGTCAGGAAACTTGTCCACGCGTTAGTCAGAGATTGAAGCGTTCCCCACGTGATGAACCTCGCGGCAACTTGACACGCTTCGACTATTGAATCTTACCCTGGCAATCCAACTCTAATGCTTGAATCGAGTGCATAAAACGAGGTTACTGACGTGGAAAAGCTTATCCGGTCCCAATCAGATTCAAGGTCTGGCCAGCTTGTGGCGCACAGACACAGGACAGACGCTTCCACTCCACTGCAAAGTTATTTGGAAAGGTCCTCGCGCCAGGTAGGTTCTATACATCCGGATCGGGATTCTCTTGCCAGCCACGATCGTAATTTCGACTCCGCTGTCACCTCTGATCTCATGGTCTCGGAGGAATGGAAGCATATTGTCGGTGTTATAGAGATTCAGACTGACCTATCGTTAGCTCCACGTGAATATCAACTGTTAAGTTGCTATTGGTGAGTACTTGCACGATTGGAATTTTAAGAATTATTATTCCGCGTGCCAAGCGACTGCCGGATCTTCAAAGCCCAGCTTTTACAGGCAGGCCGCAGCAGCTCCCTTGTAGATCGGTGGGTTAAGAGTGGATTTGGAAATCTGCCCATCAGAAACGATGTCGACCAAGTCATTTTCTCGGCAGCCTTTCCTAGGCTTGGAAGGCCGACATGTCTTCATTACCGGGACTGCTGGCACCGTGGGAGCCGAGACAATCCGAGAATTCCTAGGTAGGTTTTGGCCACTTTCCCCTCATCCTTGGTGCCGGAGAGCGATGGAAGCTGTCTGTGGGCATTAGCTGCAACACAGTGGATCTGTCCCGTCGTGCTGGCTCCCGTCACTTGCAGCGTTGTCTGCCATCTGTGCAGTTGAGTCCCGTTGACTACATGGAGACCCCATCTTGATTTACTTTAGACCCCAAAATTGAATACATTTGACATCTTGTAAACTTTCAAATGACCTGACCGTCTTCTAGATCAGGGATGCCGTGTCACAGCCTATGGAAACTGCCCACTGCAGCTCTCCGGAATTAATGCAGAACGCTTTTCTCGATTGCAGATTCTGAATGGAGACATCACCGACGAATATTCCGTCCAGTATGGCTTTGTCAAGGCAGAAGAAAGTTTTGGAACTGCCACCATTCTCATTGTCAACTCTACAAATGAAGAGACAAGACAACAAGGGCCCATATGGGATACCTCACTCGAAGACTGGGAAAAAAGCTACAAATCGAACGTTCGTGGCTCTTTTCTTGCTATCAAGCATTTTCTGCGCCGGATGCATGAGAACCAGCAGATATCAGGGAATCATCTGGCTAGCCCGTCTATTGTTGTAACAGAGACCGAGACACATGCTGGCCTCGCTGCTGGAAAAGCCGGTCTTCATTATGGTCTTCTTCAAACCGTGCGAAATGATATTTTGCAGCTGAACCCTGAGGGGCGTATCAATGCTATTGTAGTTGGTAAAGATACCGACGCAAACCATCAGACTGCTGCCCCTCTCGTTATAGCACAGACAATAGCCTTCTTGGCCTCAAAGGATGCTTCTGGTCATATCTCCGGCCAATGCATTCAAATTGAGGGAAAGCAACCCTCCGGGAATACTCAAGCCAAGCTTGATGCAAACCGAAGCCAGATCCAGTCCATTCCTCGTGGACTTGGAAAGCCGAAGCGCAACAAGATCCGCGTCGCCGTGTCAATTGACTTTGACGCAGTTTCAGGGTGGCTTGGAACAAGTAAGTCCACTCCTCAGCCTCGTCTCAATTTCAATTCACATTATCAAACTAATCAACTCGTCGTGACAGATGCACACTCCGATAATGGCCTGGCAGACTACTCGGCTGGATTCTTCGCCGCCCACGTCGGAGCTCCCCGATTATTGCGAATGCTGAAGAAGCTGAACATAGCCGATCGCTGCACCTGGTTTATTCCGGGTCACTCGGCTGAAAGCTTCCCAGCAGAAGTTAAACAGGTTGTCGACTCAGGTTGCGAGATTGGCCTGCATGGCTACGCACATGAAGGAGCGTACCAGCTCACTCCAGAGCAGGAACGTGACGTCCTCGTGCGCTGCATGGATATCGCACATACCCTGACAGGCAAGAAGCCAGTAGGTTACCGAGCACCATTATACCAACTCCGTGAATCAACCCTTGATCTTCTGGAGGAATATGGATTCGAGTACGGTATGCAGTATCCTGATTTCCCACTTAAATGCGCATCGCAAGCTGACGTCACTTACCTAGATGCCTCGTTAACCGACAGGGACTGCCATCCCTTTTTCGCTCCCAGAAGACCGCCTATCAAACCAATCGATTTCTCCAAGCCAGCTTCCAGTTGGATGCACCCCGTCCAGGAACCCGTATCTCCACCCGATAGACGCCCCCTTGTCTGTGTGCCATGTAACTACTACATGGAAGATATGACCCCGATGCAGTTCCTCCCACACACCGCTAACTCCCAGGGGTATGTCGATACGCGGGTTATTGAGAACATGTGGCGTGATCGGTTCTTGTGGATTCGTGATAATGAGGAGGAGCCTGTTTTCCCTGTTTTAATGCATCCAGATACGAGCGGTATGGCTCACATTATTGGGATGTTAGAGCGTATGTTAAGATGGTTGAAGGAGTGGGAATGTGAGGGCGAGGTGGAGTTTTTGCAGACTGGACAGATTGCAAGATGGTGGAGAGAAAAACAATCGGAAAGTGCCCAGGTGGCTTAAGGTGAAAGCTTTAGATCATATTTCAAGAATCAATTAATGGATCTGTTGCTAGTGTGAGATATTCTCGCGTCCCGACTGCTTGTCACAAGGCCAGTCGCCCTCGGAGCAGTGCGCGATCTCGTGGAAAATGGAGACTGATGCCCACCTGGAGAAAGAATGATTAGCCGAATGAATATTCAATTATTGTCGGTTTATCACCCAGGTTTAAAGCAACGCCATGGATATATATATGATGCCGAACTTGACCTGCGTGAATTTTGACTCTAGCGTTGGCGGATATTCAAACATTAATTAGGCGCTTACTTAGCTGGCAAACCTGGAGGTCATTTGATTAACTGCTTTGATCAGAATTAGAATGAAATATATTTTCATTTATGCACATGGAGTTGCTCCCATCTGCCTGGGCCCGGTTTCGACGAAGTGATCAGTTTGGTCTTGCGCCTCGTGGTGGGAAATGTCCTCCCATTCTAGAATACCGGAAACTTAGATTGCATTTATTGGGAGGAGAGCATGGTGAGCGTAAATCTTCAGACTAAATGTACTCAATGTTTTGAGAAATATCTTTGATGAGCTACATCGACGGAAGTTCTCCACAGCGCGCGAAGTTATTATGCAGCTTCATCAGCAAGACTACGGCGGCTATATGTCGGAGTCCGAAAATTTGATCATCTAGCTTTTCTTAAAGGATGACGCACATCTAGTGCGTGCTGTGGGACGGAAAACATATACTGAGAAAGCCTGATTTGAATTCTCGGTCTGCGAGCTGAGGCATACTAAGATGACAAAGGAGAGGACAAAACGAAGGAATTCATTCAAAAGGAAGCGTAGGGAACCATTGCTGTAGTAAACAACAGAGTGTAAACATACTGCTTTAGGGGAGCTCCAGGCTGAATGAAATAGAAAAATCCTCAAAGAAAGTAAAAAGAAGCACAGGTGATCAAGGTAAGGGCAGCTTGCGTGGTAAGTTACCAGTCCATGGACGATCTTCATGTTCCATCATGAACGGGACGTAGTCCAATTTAGTGGAGAGTTCCAGCAGCAGTGAGCTGAGCCGGGCAGAATTCATAGTTGACACATTCGTCAAGGACACAGGTGTTGCCGTGCAGAGCCTGGCCAGAACCGCAAGCAGCAGGCGTTTCAGAAACACAGCTGTTCTCCTCGACACTGAACACCCAGCCATCAGGGCATGTGGGATCTTCTGACAGAACACAGCGGCCGTTCTTGAGCTCGAAGCCATCAGGGCAAGTCGGATCATCAGTCGAGAGGCACTCATTCCCAACGAAGATAGTGCCATTTGGACAGACTGGCTTGCCACCAACACATTTGTCCCCTTTGGGAATGGAGCCATCAGGACAAGAAGGCGAGACATCAGAAACACATTCTCCGTCTTGGAGGATGTATCCATCAGGGCAGTCACTACCCTCCGTCAAGACACACCTGCTACCAGCCCAATCAAATCCAGGGGGACAAGAAGGATCCTTGGAGAGAACACACTCATCATTGATGAGTTCCGTGCCCGGAATAGGACAAACAGGGATATCGCCAGTGAGGCAGTCTGTGCCGTCAAATGTAGAAGTCCCGGGGCATTGAACGGGAACACCAGCCACACAGGTGTCATCACTAAGTGTCGTGTGAACTGGGCAGACAGGAATGACAGCGTCGTTAGAGATACACGCTTGTCCATTAAATGTCATGCCGGCCGGACACTTTGGCTTTTCAGTCGTAGCACGATCCTGAGCAGTCCAAACAGAGTCGTCAGGGCACCTCACAGCATCATCAAGGATACAGTTCGTTCCATCCCACTGAGACCCCTCGGGGCAATCAGGGGTCTCGCGGCTAACGCAGTATTCGTTCTCCAGATGGGTGGTGGGTGGGCATTGAACGTTCTCGGTAAACACACACTCTCCGTCGACGAGTGTACCGTATTGGCAGGTCGGCGGTCCCGGCCAACACACAGGGATCCTTCAATGAATTGACCAGGGGGGCAGTGGGCTGTCTCCTGTGTGACACAGGCATTCTGGTCGAAGTCCATTCCAGGTGGGCATGAAGGGTCCATAATACCAGGCCTTACGCAGCGATCATCGTCCCTGATCATCCCGTCTGGGCATTTACCATCAACAGCAGCTATGTAACAGTATTGGCCATCCCAGCTCATGTTGGGAGGACAGCAAAAGGCTGTACACGAGCTTTGGTTCGTGACGAGCTCGGCACCATCTGAACAAGTCGCATCCGCGAACGTGGAACACAGATTGTTGACGAGATGGCTTCCATCTGGGCACCTCAATGGCTCTGAGGAGCCACAGCGTCCAGTTTTCTTGTTCAAAATAGTGCCATCTGGACACTCTGGCTCAACATCCGAGACACAAGCATTGCCATCTGCATTGATGGAACTACCATCGGGACAGGTTGGGCTGGTGGTGGAAACACACTTGGAGATCAAAGCCAAGAATGTAGTACCAAAAGGACAGTCAGGGTCCTCGTCGATGGCACAGACCGAACCGGACAGGCTTGAACCATCGGGACACGAAGGCCCTTCCGAATAAACGCAGTTCTGCCCGTTGAAGTGACCCTTGTTCGGACAGGCAGGCTGGGTGTTGGACTCGCAAACGTTCCCGTTGATGGAAAACCCAATTGGACATTCTGGGGGTCCTCACTCACACAAACAGGACCTCTCTGGATATATGGCGGAGGACAGAAAGGATCACTGGGAGTGATACAGGTATGGCCATTCCATTGGCCATTACCGGGACAGACAGGCTCTCTCGTGGAGATACAGTGGCCATCTCGAAACTCAGTGTCGTCTGGACATTTGGGCACGACTAGCGCACAGGCCGTACCGTCAAATGTGGTGCCTGTTGGGCAACATTTAACGTCGCCAGTTGCTGAATGAGTGGACGGAACGATGTCATTCAGGGTAAAGCGCCGAGGCTGCGATAGGAGCTGTTGCTGTGCTGCAGTGTGGATAGCTGGCAGCAGTGTCGACCAAAAGAGAATGGTCTTAGTGCGAGTCATTGTTGCCCACGGTGTTGAGGACAATTGAAGATTCAAGCGTAAGCACTGGATCCTTGACTGCATGGTTGGGTATAGAACAAATCTTATATAGAAGCGTCACGCCGATCATCTCCTCCGTTCTGAATTGATAACCAATGTTTCCTATCAGCCCCGCCATCTCGATGCTTGTAATGAGCAGCTCCAACCGTGGTCATATTGCATGAACTAATGTCATGTGGACCAACAAAAGTAATTTAGATTGGATATTCATCTTTCAGTCTCAAAATGGCTCTCGAAGCTAGGGACTGTCTTTACCGACGTCGCATACAGTACATAGTGGGTGCCATGACTGTAATTCAGGGGGTAACCGCTCTCTGGCAGCGTGCTTTGTGACTGAGTTAATAATCAGCCTCATAGCTGTCTCACCAAAGGCCCACATCTGTGCATGATTTCTCACGATCGATCCATTCCCATCAACTCCCTTGAATATCCTGTACAGTGTGACCGAATTGCCGGAACCAGGCATAGCTAGAAGAAGCTTAATGAGCACAGGCTACATGTGCGTCTCCTCCACTGTATATGATACATATCCAATAGATTCCGCTTTGGCTCGCATAACAATGAAATGCCGATCATTCCGCATACTCCTACAGTATGCGCCCGACTTTGGCTTAACCTGTTCTAGGCCGGCCCGCAACTCAGATCCTACAGTAGCCCCTTGCCGCACAGTCTTACCTTTTTCCCCCGCAAAATTCAGGAAATCAATGCGAAAAAGGTCATCAGGTGGCCAGGGATTTTCATCTAGCTTGTCTAATAATCATGTGACGTATCTAGGATTTAATATGACCTGGAATCACCGCTAACAACAAGGAATGATAAGAGAAAGGTCAACAGGTGGTCAAGTTTAACAATATCTGATCACCTGGCCGCCTGATGTACTGCCATGAAGCACGCGCTAAGCACTCAAAGTGCACTACTGCGTTGTGTGCTGTGGCCAACAGGAACGAATGCCAACTTTCTTCGGCCCGTCATGGTGGGGGGCTTGGAGATAGATCGAATGGAATCGAACATTCGGGTCATTTTTAGGGCGATATCAAGTCCAGGGCCTCTGTACTCACAATGTGAGAAGCTGATCCAATTGGAGCAAAGCCCTTTGGAAAATACCGAGTGCTGAGTGGATAGCAACAAAGTGAGAAATGAGTAAGAATCAATTTCGGTCGGATAACTGCCACGCGTCTCTCAAGGTTGCTTTTAGCTGGAATTCAATGAAACGTCTTTATCCTGTGCCATGTATCCACAGTCCAAAAGAGACCGCATGATCAGAATCAATGCCTGCTGAGAGCAGATCTGGCGGATGGAGAGATAGTATCATTGCAGAGGGTCCAGAAATCACCTCGCAAAAGATGGGTTCCTCATATAGCTGAGCCTAGGACTGGAGGGCATAAACCATTGCGATTTATAGAAAGTACGACAATTATCGAACTGTTTATCTACAAGGTCAACAGAAATGACGGGATAATCATAATCAAAGGGGTGAATCTATCAAATCCCATGTAGACAACAGGTATTTCTTTCTCATTGAATGGGTTTGTCACTTCAGTGTTTAAAACAAGGATCATGTGGACCGACAAGAATAGACAGATCGGAATGTTGATCAAGGTTTCCATACTCTCAGAAAAGGATCTTGAGGCCAGGGAAATATCTCACCAGCCTAGCCTCCGCAAACAGTGGGTACCACGATTGTGATTACGAGGGATTGAACGCCCCTGGCAGCGTTCTTTGCGGTTACTTCATGGAATATTAAACATCACGCCCAAGGCAGCCTTGCCGAAGTCCCACTTATGTGATTAAACTTTACCTATCAAGTTATTTCATCCGCCCCTTGTATATGCTGTGTGACCCGGGACCGAAATGCCGGGACTGGGCGTAGCTGAAGTCCGCTAGGTCTATACTACAGGTGTCTCACCGACTACATATGAAATGTATTCAATTGACTTCTTGTTAGCTGACTCGCATAGCAAATAAACGTCGATCATTCCGTATGTTTTCATGTTGGAAACTTTTGCGTAGGTATAACATCATAAAAATTGATGATGCTAGGAGACCAATCACGAGCATTACAGATCGGCGCTTTTGGTTTATTCCAGAAAACTAAGTAGAAGTTAGCCAAAAGGCAGACGGTGTACAGATCTGGGAACAAATTTCCCGTCATTGTCCATAGATGTGGTATGTAACAGCAGTAATTTTGGGTCGCCCCGCACCACAATATCCCCCTTTCAGTTACAAGATCGCCAAAGTATCCCTATTACTGTGTACCTCTTCACATATAATAGTTACCCTACATAATGGCAAAATGTTAAGGAAGATACACTGAAGAGAGGTTTATCCACTTACATAAGTTGCGACTACCTTTTCAAGCTATCTTAAATATTAGCCACCCTACCTAGCCTTCGAAGTTCATCACTCTAATCTTCATGAAATCGAAAAACATGATCATCAGAGCGACTTTGTTTCTCTTTTACTGCCGCTTGGGCTCAACAGGTCCCCATTAGCGGTGAGACGTGCTCGTCGAGCGATCCTGAAACCTGCTGCTCGGTGACAGGCCAAAGTGCAGGCCAGATTGAGCTTGACGACTTTTCTATCCAGTACACCTGTGGTGCCTATGCAAACCCTTCCAAGAAAGGTGTACCTGCAGCAGCGGACTCTCGGCAATGTGCCTCACTCTGTGCTGCCGATCCTTCTTGCAAAACAGCTTCATGGACCCTCGCGAATACCAAGGTGAGATGCTATTTCGCCCTTGGGGATTCATACAGCATACAAACGAACAACAACTGGATTCTGCTGGAGGAACCCAGTGGGACCGTGACTGAACCCGAACTCGAACCAGGTCCGGGATCTGAGCAGGAACCAGAACCAACGACACCGCCTGAAGAGTGGAGTGAGGAGTTGGAAAAATGCAGCGAGGAGCTAGATCAATGCAGCGATCAGAACCAGAGATGTGATGCTGGCTGGGAAAAAGTGTACAGACAACCACAAAAAGCTGGAGGCGAAAGAGAAGGAATGTCAAAAAAAGAAGAACGAGCTTCAATTGACTGTCAACTCGCTTAATGCTCCATGTCGATCAGGATCGCATAAAATTGGTGAGCCACTTCGCATTATTTTCACCAAGTCAGGATTACGGTCTGAAGTACTAATCCTTGATAGAACCAAGGGATGATGGCTGCCGATACCAAGTTTCTGGCAAGACCTACACCGCAATCTATAATAAATGTAAGTTTAGACTTGCCTAACTCATTAGCGTCTGCGTGGATGCTAACCTGCTTCCTAGTGTTTATTTATCATTCTATAAATCGCTTTCAGGGAAATGGGCAGTCTGTTGAAACATGTATGCGGAGTTGCGGTCAAAATTCCAAGTGTATCGCTGGAGTATGGTACCCTCAAGAACGTGACTGCTGGCTACACACTCAAATTCTTTCATTAAGAATTATGCGGAGTGCCCATGTCATCAGTTTTGCCATTGACAAGGATCAGGTCTAAAGTGCACGACGCGGCCTCGTCCACATTCATTGATTCCTGTGAGTCTTTCTTGCTTTGGTATAGGTTTTCTCCCATTAATACGGGTTTCCCTATGCTTTAATGCGAATGCAAAAGCTTCAATTGCATCCTCTTGGAAAATGAAAGATTTACATGCTATGCGAATTATGTGTAAATTATGGTGAAAGTGATAGTGAGTTGCTCAGGGTGTAGCGTTCTTCCGCGTTTCAACTTTAAACTTGGAAGTCTTTTAGGTGGCTTGCGTTTCAATCACCCATAGGTCAGTTTGTCAGTCGGACTCTGGGCGTACATACTAGCTTGTGGATAGATGTCTTAACAGTGGCCTTTGTACGCCACTATACCATGTATCGAGAAAAACAAAGAGCGGCGAACTTAAGCCAAGGGGAAGAGAGAAAGTGCCTCGACTAATTGCTCCATCCTGATTAGCCTCACTTGCTGTTCCCAAGTTGGCACTCTTTGAGATCGTTCTGACCGCAAAGTGCATGTCGCTCATTCATACCAGCACTGCTCGGAAAGAACTTCCCGCGTAAGACTCTGCTTAGGAGTGAAGCCGTGAAGCCCTGTCAGCACCAGCGACTGCTGTCACTTAGAGACTGTTTTCAACTGAAGACTTCTGAATGGATCAAGGCCTGCGTTGGAAACAAGCATAGAAATCGAACGTTGAGAGAAGGCTCAGGAATTCGAATCCATTAAATTCGCATTAAGTCCAAAAACTCAACTATGGATATCTTTAGGAGGACGTAAGAAACCTTGGAAGCTTATCTAGTTAGAACGGGTCACCTAGTTGTTAGGCCTAAATGTCCCGCCACATCCAACGCTGGTCCGGACTGTCTTCAGAGTACTTCAGTAATTCGCTGGTTCATATTATGTGCACATAATCATGTTGACTCAAACAGAGGCTAAAAACAAAAATGGGTATTTCCACAAAGTCAAGGACCCTCCCTCCACATCCAAAAGAAGAACACCGTGGAGGGTAATCGTGTATAAGATCCACGGGCAACATAGTAATGCCAAACAAACGAATCATGATAGAGCGTGAATGCAAAGACCCCAGAACAGTCTACAACTTACAGGTTGCAGTTCAGAGAATGAAGTTCAAGCTCAAACTTAAATCAGACTCGCGATATCCATCCGCGAATGAGCAGAACTTGACCGTCCATCAGTTGTATCCGAAGCAGCAGACTCTGGATTCAACATGGATACAGGAACAGATTCCTGCTGAGGCGTCTGCACCCGTTCCCGTAACAACGCATCCTGATCTCTCCTCTGCTTCTCACTGATGAGTTCGTTGACTGTATTCTCGATCCATCCCCATGTCTTCTCAGGAGTTTCCCAGGCGGCCTCTTCTGTTTCGGGTGGTACAGACGGATTACGGGCTGATGTAACAGCTTCAAGATGTGAGCCTGTCTCACTACCCTGCCAAACCCAGCTTCCATCACTGGTCCCCTGCATATCGCCCGAGACATAGGCCATCATCTCCTCGTCGTGGTCGAGAATGCCCATATCGCTTTGTCGGAAGCGGTCTATCAGTGCACGGAGAAAGAACGCGAGGTACCGGCCGCAGGCTACGTTTATGGCACGGCCGTCGCCGATAGATGCGCAGGCTTGGACGCATGCGAGGGCAGCGGTGTATTCTTGGCGGAAAAGGAGGAAGAGAGTGCAGCGCCAGATGTGGGTGCAGAGAAGGGTGCTGGCTGATGAAGCGAAGAGGATTCGCCAATTAGTTGGGGAGTTCGTGCGCATGCAGCGGGATAAGATGGTAGCGGTGTCGATTGCGGTTGTGACGCAGTAATCCATTGCGGTGGAGCGGATGATATCTTGGCAGTATGGTGTGATATTATGGCGGTGCAGAAGAAGGCGGGCATTCTGGAGGTAAATGATTGGGGCCAGGGAGCGGGGGTCGAGGTCCTGGTCTGATTTTGGGTGGAGGTGCGGTGGGAATGTTGCTAGACATGTGTTGAAGTGTCTTTCGAATGTGTCCAGGGTGGCGTGGCTAATTGTGATGGAGCGGAGTGTGCGAGTGAGTTGGCCGATTGATCGGACCACGTGAATGGTTGCCAGCATAGGGGTGGTTTGGGGGCTTTCTGGGATGTTGCCATTATCTGCGATATATTGCTCGTCGACTGGACAAGGTAGATCGATGTCGCAGTCTTGGTCGTTTATTAGGACTGGCTTACCCATTTCAAGAGCCAGTAATCTGTCGCGTATAAGTCAATGTTTGGAATATCACATTTAGTACTGAAGCACCTACCGATCCCAAGTATATAAGCCCCACCAGAGACGTTTTCGCATTTCTCCTTCGAGCGGGGGCCATGGGCCGGATTCGATGTGCAAGCCAATCTCTTGAGCCACGCGCACCGCAGATGCGATCCACACCCAGCTTGCAGACTTAGAGTTTACCTCATAGAGAAAGATGCTGGCAAGTAAAGCTGCGCGGGCTCGGTCCAGGTTGAAGTTGTCTTGCCATACATCGATGATCCCGCAAGAAATGCGCACGAATTCTTTTCCCTGCTCTTCGCGATTTGGGTCCACGGTGTGGATAGCACCGCATGCGAAAACTCCAAACAATACAGCTGCCCATTCGCTGGAGATACCGGCGATAGAGCCTTTCCGATAGACCTGGTCGTATTCTGCGGTGAAAGATGGCCAGTGGAGAACTGGCAAGACAGAATGTATGCAATTGAAATACTGTGCCATGAGATTATCTGCAACTTCTTTCGGAGGTAGAGCCGGTACATCGCCTGAGACGATGGATTTGGAGCCTTGCTGCTGATACGGAGTCGGAACCTTCAAGATACCACGACCATGTTGACGCAAGTTTTTGCGGACATCCGATAGGTCTTCGGTAATCGATATCCTGGGTCTTCGGGCAGGTTTGTAATCAATCTCCGGTAAGGTGATCAACTGCTGCGAGGCTGATTCATCAACGTCCATCATCTGATCAGGACGAAGCCTCCCAGCTCTAAACTGCTGCAACTGCTGCTTAGTAGACTGGAGCTGCTTCTCAAGATCCTGCACCTGCTTGATAGACGACATGCGACGATTAGTCTCCTTAGTGAACTGACAACGAACACGTCGATTATTGCATTCGGTGCAGCTGCTCGATTCCGACGCATCACACTTCACCTTGCGCTCACGACACGCATCACAGCTCGGGTCCTTCCTGCGCTGGCGATACGCTCTTTTCTGCTGCAGTTGACTTTGAACGTGACTAGAATGTCCGATCGGGCTTGTCTGGAACAGACTCGGATTGCCCGGTAGAGCGCCTATAGGAGGAGCGTCGCGCAGACCCCCATTTTCAGCTGGAGAACCCGAGGCCGAATCGTAATATCGGTCATAAGGCGACGTCGACGGACCCGGAGCCAAGGTCATCCCATGCTGTGGTGGACCCTGAGGCATTGGTTGTTGGGCGGGAGCCTGGGGCATGGGCTGTAATAGATGGGCCATGCGCATCCCGCTGTCGGGTCTACTTGGCGGGGCGGAAAGCATCGCACCGGGAGCCGCGAAAGCGCCCGACGTCACCGACTGCACGGGAGGTAGCTCATACGAGGTTTGATTTTGAGCCCCCGCGCGAAAGGGAAGAGGGTTCATCTCGGTGGAAAATTTTAGTTATCCACTTTGGAAATGTGATTCCCACTGTGCGCCCGAGAGAACCAAGTTTTTTTTATGAAAAAAAAAAAAATTAAAAAAATAAAAAGAAAGTTGTATCAATGCTTCTCCCCAGAGAAAGCGTAGATGCGCAAGGTCAGAAAACCATGCGATGGCCAAGAGTCCAGCCGCCGTTTCCTGGGATCAAGATCATAGAACGGGCAATATGCCGCGAGAGAATGCTAGTGGAGGGAAGGAAGGTTGCTATCGCCACGGGGGAATCCAGGTCCAGATGGCCTAGCCCCAATTACAAGACGGAAGCGCGGGTCATTCAACACATCCGCAGGCCATTCTTGTAGGAGGTGCGTAGCGTCGAGAAAAGCCAGTGGACAGTTGAGAAGTACCAAATCAGTAAATCCAAAAATACCAAGATAGCAAGTCCAGGATGACGATTCAAATGCCGAGGTTTGGGGGCGACTTTGCGGCGAATTAGAGGACGAATCGAGATCCAATGTGAAGAAAGGTTTGTAGGGATCACCCGTCAGCGAAAGGTTCAAGGTTGAAAGGAAAGGCAAAATAAGGGAGAACAAGAATAAAAAGGCAAAGAGCCGAAAGGAACCAGATCGACAGCAGATTCAGTATTACGATCACCGTCCTCCTAGGCCCCATCAGGGTCCGGTATTGTGACCCAAAGAGTCAGATCGTGGAGATGGCAGTGATGAATTAAGGAATCTTCAGCCGAAATGACTGATAAAACCTTACCGAGACTCTGGGCCCATAATTTCCAACGGACTCCTATACCCATGGCCTATGTACACTGGAGATCCTGACCCGAGATCGGCTGTCGATGGATACCTGAAGCAGGTGAAGCACAGGTGAACCAGGCCCCACGTAAATGAACCTTGTTGGGGTTTGGCTCGATCCGGCCTTGCTACGAGACTCGGTAAACTGGCCCTTTGTCGGCAGACTTAGCGGGGTCCCACTTGGAGCCATCGAGCGGTCCGTGACAGCTAGATCGTCAATCGGTGGCAATGGAGTTGAGACTGGCAGGGTACAGGAAAAGGAGCAAGTTACATATGGGTTACACGCAAATTAGAGTTGTCATTTTCCGTTGTTTTTCTTGCTTTTCCTTTGACTTGCCTCCTTTTCCTGGTGTCGGTTCTAAGGAATCATATCTATGGAAGTGAAGATCTCGGCGCCCGCCGTGCCGTGCCTTTTGTATCCAATTTTGACTGCGCCCCGTTTCATCTTCTGCACGGTTACTCTCTCTCAAATTAACAAGAATTCGATGATCGCTCGGTAATCATGCACCGGACCACATGGAAATCCAGTCCGGATGTTGACCCGGTGGGACCCAGTGGCAAAGCAGTGGTTGAATGGCTGAAAGGCACAATTGATCAAGGGACATAAGGGGATAATCGTTGCTTATTCCGTCAGATGCTGCCGACCCAGCAATCGTAAGGCCCTAACTCCCCGATCCAGTCAAGGGTAAGGCAAGTGTCCAACCGAGTTTTATCCGAACAACGTTGAGTTCCGGCCCCAGTTCCCTTGGACTCCGCAAAAGGGGAGATCAGGAGTGCGGCCTACGAGGCCCCGAGCGTAAACGATACGGGCTGTTAAGGGATACAGTCTACGCAACTTTGAATGAAAAGATTTTCTGTTTTCTTTTTCTTTCTTTTTTCTTAAAGAAAAAAAGAATTTGATCTTTATTTTTACCTATTTTTCTTAATCTTTTTTTTGTTTTTTATTTTCCTTATATCTCGGGACCAGTAACATTATCACAGATTAAACAACATCTCTCAGTCTCGGGAGGGTTCCACTTACAAGGATTGTGTGCCGACGAGCCAGGCGCCGGAGAATACCTCCCGAGCCAGTGCCGTGGATTCCTGTCTTCCCACGGGTTTGGGACCGTGATCACAGGACCAGGTACCCAACCGTGCATTATATGCAGGAGACCACTAAGTACCGGTTAGGTTAGTTCGCCGTGAATTCTTTGCCAAGTCTCGTCTGGCCACTTATGCAAAATGATAGGACTTGCCGAACTTGAAGCCACGAAAACAAGAAACCAATCGATTATTGGGAAATTGGAACAGAAAAAAACGAACTGATTCCACGATTCAATTCAGACAAGCCCCGGCAGGCTCTAAAGGGCTGCGTCGCTCTCTATACCCCGTGGCGGGTCACCAGGGTCGTAATACTCAATGAATACGACTTTCTTTCCCCGCACCCTTCGGCTACGCGATAATGACCCTCTCTCCCTAACTTACCATACTAGGAGCTTTCTACGGTGCACTGGACTCCCAGCTCAAGTGGTCCATTCTACGCGCCGATCCTGCGCTATGATGTGGTCAATTGCGCCATTTGCGCCCCCATGGCTCAGCTTTGCGCGAGTCTACGCCTCGAAATTACTGTAGCGCCATTATGTATCTAACCCGAGTTCTAGCCCGTGATTGTGCTCATGTGCATCCTGCATGCATCAAAATTCTACCCTACGAAGAGGAGCACAGAGCCGAAGCCCTTGAATACAAAAAGAAAAAAAAAAAAAAAAAAAAAGAAAAAAAAAAAACAATTAATCTATTAATTTACGAACTCTTCGTCGAGGCGGCTGAGTCCTCGGTTCGTGCCGTGCTGCCAGTCGGAAGTATTTGCACCTCGTGCATGAAAGACTTGTTTTTCTATTGGGCCATGCACGGCCCAAAACTGCTGAGCTTGGCGGGAAAGCGTAGACCCTCTGTAGCCCAATGCTAACCCTGATGGTTTGGTTGCCTCGATGATCGACATAGTCGCGGAGTCGCGGCCCAGAGCCCGTCTCACTAGACGCAAGAAAATAACGAGATCATTGACCACGACACTGACACTATTCATCATCTAAAAATCCATTAGCTTGGTTCTTTTCGACTTGTCACTAGCGAGTGTCACCCCCCCATGTATCCTTACCCTCTCTCTTCAGCTCGCATGATATTCCAACTTCCACACCACCGATTCTCCCAATCAAGTCCAGAAAGCCCAAAGCCCCCACTTCTAAGAATAGCGTGCTCAACTCCAGCATAAACCCGGGCCTCGGAACGGCGATCAGCATTTGATTTAACTTCTGCTGTAACTAGTAAGTCTGGCACGAACCGAACAAGCCACACACTTTGTCTTGGACTCCAGCCCGTACCGTTGAATTTTTTTTTATGGAGACCGGACTCCAATTACTTCACCGAAAGAATCCCGTTCCACTTGCTTTCCTGGCCTCCTCGAGTCTATTTCCCAAATGCCCCACAGCGGGACAACGATCCGAGGAAGATGAAACACCGCCGGCCACCAACCGAGACCTTCCGATTTGCCTGGCCCTGGGGCGGGTTCTGTGACCTGACAGACAACTTTCTACTGTATCTGAGACCGGAGGGCTCCGTGGCATAAATCGCGGGAGTCTCAGTTTAATCGGTTGCTTGGCCTGCATCGATGACGTAGAATGGCGTCTTTTCGGGATGCGCCGATTATGGTAAATGGTGCCTTTTACTCATCACATCGGGCTTGATAGTACGGAGTAAGTAGGAATGCTTTTGCTCCCCTCGGTAGATGTCTAGAGTTCTCCGATTTCGGTTGTTGGTCGTTTGTGATTAATGATTGCGCGGTTCCAAGGTACCATTCCTTCTAACCGAGGTTTTCATCCCTGCTAGTCTAACTATCCGGACGCCTCAAATACAATGCGAACGCCAGAAACCCGCTGTTGCATTGGCCGGCTTTGTGTGGTTGCAGTGTAATTTATTAGTCTTTGACAGCGTTACGGGCCGGTTTGTTGCTCAATGTCCACAATGTCCACATGCTTGCGCCGTGGATAAGCGCATTGACACTGAGACTGCGACTACCCGTAGCAACATATCTACCAGTCGTCCCGAGGTCGTTGCTTTCAATTTCATTCCGTCTGATTCAGTCGCCACTAAGTTGTACTGTATAGATGGGTCGGGATTGGTATGTCTTTCGTATTTTGTTGGATGTAGACTTCGGGAGAAACTCTCTGCCGGGTGGGCGATCGCGCTGATCATTTTGCCTGCTATGCCACTGACGTCTACCGCCACTCACGATATCGTGTGTCGGAGCCCGCTACGAAGGCGAACACTCACACGTGTTGGTTAAGTGATCTGTTATCTATTTTACTGGATCGAGCAGCGCCATCGTCCCGCCAGACGGGCAGCTCTAGAGGCGCTAGAGGTATCGCCCTCCTCACGCACATCAATTCTTTCAATTCTGGGGTGGGAGCCGAGAAGCTGCATCCCGATATGGACGAGCACGGACTTGCGGCACTTGGCTTCTTGTTGAATGGATTTCTGCCGAAGCCCCGGTTGGTGTCTACCTGAAGGTGACAGATTTACCGGATTGATTTGGTCGATTCCCGAGGTCATATTGGAGAGCCCTTCAGGGCTGGAACGGAGGATGCCCAGGTGGTAGACTGACCTTAAGTTCCAGGGGACTCTACATGCATACTTATCTTCGCGGCCAAAATTAACAAAACCTCGGGACCGTACTTATTCGTCATAGTCATAGAAAAGAGACGTCCGCAAAAGAAGCCTTTCGCACGTCCATAGATCTTTATTCTCCAGCTGTATCAACTGTCACCTAACGGAGACGGAGAGATCGGACAACCCCCTCCTACCATCACCAGTTACCACAGGACCTGCAAGCCAGGGTCTATTCAATAATTTTTCCCTTCTGGGATTCCAAACGTTTTGAAGCCATTTCATCGGGATCCCCAATATGGCGCTTGGATGTCCGCTCGCGTTCTTAAGCTGCGTGTTGAAATGTGGATTCTCGTCCTGGTAGATGTCAACTTGTATTTGTCTGAACAAGAGAATATGGTCCCAAGCCAGCACTGGTATCAGATCACTCTCGTTCCGCCCATCAGCTGTACTGACAAATAGGTCAATGATAAGTAAAACTTATTATTTCTAGGGATTCTGGGTCGGCTTGTGCCATGTACTGCCAACTGGTTAGCATTCAACAAATGGTTGCTGATATACCTACGCATGAAATTTTCCCACTGCTCATCAAGTAGTGGGCACAGCTGTCAATTTAGTTGTCGGGCATTGTGGCGTATCCAGGAGGAAGAAATAGGTGCTGGGAATATGATTGCTGTCAGCATGGTACCTCTCCAGGTGATCTTATCAGCGCTGACTCCCGAGCCAAGTGGGCCCAAATACATATGGGGGGACTTCGGGAGGCTGCATCGAAACCTTGGTCTTGAGCCAATATATTGGTGAGGGTAGTTGGGGTAATTGGAAAACATTCCTTCCAAGGCTCCGGAGTAGGAGACCTATGGCGCCTAGTTGATGTTTCTCCCTCAGCACACTATCATAATTTGCGATCGACGCAATGGTACACCTGATTACACTTCAACAGGTAGACTTTGAGTGAGGTCTATTCTAGTAAGCCATCGAGCACTGAATAGCTCATCTATTTGCATGTTTGGCTAAGTGGGAATAATATTGAAATCATGACTCAACTAAACTCCAATAACAGGCGGAACATGTCGCAGACGTCCAAACTCCTCATCTCGGAAGCTATCCACAGTTACTTTGATTGCTGCGATACAAAATTCTCCGTAATAACATTCACGATCTTAGACAGACCCTCCATCTCCTCCTCGACTGTCAACCCGAGTCCATTGGGGTCGATGCTACAGCCAACATAAATTGGCTTGCCAGTTCGCCGGGCAAGGATCTTGGCCACTCGTGTGGTGTATTCGATGCTTGATGGTGCTGTGTAGATAGTGGTGGATATTGTTTGTTTTGAAGATGTGCGCTTTGACAAGTCAGTGACAGCTTAGTAAAAATGGAGCTTGGTGGACCGCGGTGAGATAATGATATGTTGTGGAAACCACAGGGAATATAAGCATTGTCTCAACCCAAAGCTTCAAGAATATGTGCAGCTGGACATGAAGCGGCAGCGCAAAGTGAATGACAAAAGAAAGCATCTAAGGATACTTGAAGTGGCCAGAAATATCTCCAAGAAAATGACGTGAGACTTACATCGGGCATTGCGTAGACAAAGCTTCCCAGTGGCTTGTATGAGCCTGCTGAGTCACCAGGCGTAGAAGTTGTCAAGAAGACTGTTGTGCAGTTTCCCAAAAAGGTCAAATGAACATGCGCTGTGGTATGCAAAGCTTTGGGCAGTGGGAAAGAGAGCTCTTGTGGCTGGAGATTGGGCGAGCAAAGCTCCGTTTGGGGGGCGGCCAATGGATCTGTAGTTGCCATTATGATGGTACCAGCAGATATTAGAGGACTGATGGTCGTGAACGAATGTCAAGCTATGTTTTGCGAGTGGGAGGTTGCTACGGCGAGGTTGAAGACATGCGTCCCCGCCATGCGGCAAAACCCAAGCGATCCACCAATCCCGGTCAACCTTGCCCGCACCGCACAAATCAACGGGATTGACTATCAAACACCACCAGAGCAAGAGAAACCCGGTATTTGCCTGGATATCTTGTAAGATGGAGGGCGAACGACGTGCACATGTCCATGAATCCCATGAGGAGGATCAGCGTAGCTGGGGAGGTGACTTTGATCCTTTCGCTGACCCCGAGGAACGACGGGTCCTTTTTGCTGCATTTGACTCGTTCAGGTGAGTGAAAATGTAGATAAGGCGTTCTTTATTCCTATAATGTAAAAAAGTACAGTGGAGATGGGGGCCTCTACTAAGCATGCTATCACAGACAATACCGGCGAAGTGCTCATCAGAACACGACACATCGCCGGCGACAGGCCTTCTACGCCTTACCTTCAGAGCACTGGCAAATGCTGTCTGAGCCACCATTCTCCATTCTAGATCACTTCAACAAGGTTGATGATGCCATCGACACTAATGCTGAGATTGCCGACGCAATCCTGGTCGTCGGTCTCGAGTCCTTTGGCCTTTCCGCCAACCCAGACAAAGACGACCCAACCCAGAACTGGCACGGGACTGCGACATCAGCCGACGTGAACAAAGCCCACTCGACCATCCGGCAGTTCTATCGCGACTGGAGCGCCGAAGGTCGCATCGAGCGCGAGGTCTGCTACGATCCGGTCCTCCAGGACCTGCGCAAAGAGTTCCAGACGCGTCGTGACGCTGGCGAGGAGATCCGGGTCTTGGTCCCTGGTGCCGGGTTGGGCCGGTTGGTCTTCGAGGTCTGTATGGCTGGATTTGCAGCGGAAGGCAACGAGATCTCGTACCACCAGTTACTGGCCAGTAGTTGGATTCTCAACCATACCAAAGGGCCTCAGGCGCACGCGCTTCATCCTTTTGCGCTACACTTCTCCAATCTCAAGTCTCGTGCGCAGCAATTGCGGTCCGTCATGGTCCCCGATGTGCACCCTGGAACAGCAATCGAGGCAGCGGGCTCGAATAGCAGCCCACTTGGGACGATGTCGATGTCCGCAGCGGACTTTGTGGTTTTATACTCGCAGCCCGATAACCGAGAGGCTTTCGACGCGGTGGCAACGGTGTTCTTTATTGACACGGCGCCTAATCTGATTCGGTACATCGAGGCAATGAAAAATTGTCTCAAGCCCAATGGACTCTGGATCAATGTGGGACCGTTGTTGTGGCATTTCGAAGATGGGCAGCACCGCAAAGATGGTGATGGTGATGCGGCGGGAATTGGCGAGCCGGGAAATGTGGAGTTGACCGAGGAGGAGGTGGTTTGTCTCGTTCAACGCATGGGATTCCGTTTCGAGACATTGCCGGGCGATCGGCGGTATTGCGGCTACATCCAGGATGAGGATAGCATGCTTCAGAACCTGTACAGGCCTTCGCATTGGGTAGCGCGGAAAGTGGCTGAGGCTGGCGATTCCTGAATTCCCATGAGTTTCCGATCTTCAAAATTATCTAAAATAGAAGTCAAACCTCCGCCTAGTGGCCCCTATTCAATGAAGTTGGGGGCGGGAACAAAGGGACGCGAGAGATCGCTGGTTCAGCACCCGCGTTACCATGGATCCAACAAAGAACGTCACCTGTGTCAATAAATAAAGAGCGAGGTTCTAGGTTCTCAGTATCGAATTACCTGAGTAATTAATTACCTGGACACAAACCCGGGCTATCTGCAGGTTTTCGAGGTTCCTAGATTGTCATCTAGTGTTACTGTACCCTAGCTGCAGGGAAATGAGGGGGCTTATTTGTATTCAGCTTCAAACTCCGTAACTTTACCCACTTTGTATATTCTAAGTATATTCTTCGACCCCAATTTCTCCTCAGCCTCAGCTCCATACCAATCAAAGTCCCTTCTCTCACTTTTGCCTAGACAGGTTTTTTTTTTCTACCCGATCCCCTTTACCGGGCTGACAGGCGAAAAGAGTGAGAGAGAAGCGATCCACACCGTTTGTTTTACTCGTATTCCTGGTTCAGCCTTGCACCCCCTCCCCTCCCACCCCCAATCTCTTCCCTTTCTTCCCTTTTATCCACCCCCAACCCCTCAAGCGGCCGCCGCATATGCCCGACCTAATGAGCGCCCGATTCAAGTCGTTCGGCTTTCCCAGACGTAAAGACAAGCACAACTCCACTCCACTCTCCACCCCCAACGCCAACCCCGTTCCCCCTCCAACGGCACTTCTCCCACCTCACCTCCTTCCAACCGCAGTTCGTCTACCACAAGTCTTCCCCAGGCGATGACCACGGGTCGACCGCCCAGCTACTCGGTAAACAATCTCAGCAATCGTCCAACAAGCCCCTTGGCTCCCGGCCAGCAACTTGTCCAACATCCCGCCCCGCTTAACCCTTCCGCAATGAACCAGTACGGTCAACCTATCCCACCACAAATGAATGCGCCTCCAGGATACGGGATGCAACAACCACAACAGCTGGGCCATGGTGCTCCTGCCGGTCTTCCTCAGCAGTACGCGGGACGAAACCCGGCATCCGAGGTCCAGGGTGGAGATCGTAGCAAGGCCCAGCTCATCGTCGGTATTGACTTTGGAACCACTTTCTCTGGTGTCGCATTCGCCTTTGCAACCAACAATGAAGCTAGGGAGGATATCATTACAGAATGGCCCGGTGCCGGAACCCACACCAAACAGAAGGTGAGCATGGTCACCCCACGATGACACGGCCCACTCTAACCTTTGTTTGTCTTTCAGATCCCCACCGTTCTCTATTACGATCAGTACCAAAAAGTTGTTGGCTGGGGTCCAGATATTGCCGAGGCGCTGGCGCCGACCGGATACCCCAAGCCAGGTGTGCAGAAGGTAGAATGGTTTAAGCTTCAGCTGATGTTATCCGGAAACACGTACATCGACCCCATCAACCTTCCTCCACTGCCCCCCGGCAAGTCCGAGATCGACGTCGCTGCCGACTATCTCTTCAAGCTACGACAGGCAATGCGCGCTCAACTACAAAAGACACTGGGTGAGGTATTCACCCGTGAGGAGCGCAATATCCGTTACTACCTGACCGTCCCGGCCATCTGGAATGACGCGGGCAAGGCGGCCACTCGTGCTGCTGCCATCCAGGCTGGTTTCTTGCGTGATGAGAATGATAACCGGTTGACTCTGGTCTCAGAACCAGAGGCCGCTGCTTTGTTTTGTGCGAAGACTGGATTGCTGAACCTGAAGATTGGTGATGCGATCTTGATTGTAGATTGTGGTGGTGGTACCGTCGATTTGATCGCATACGAGGTCGAGGAGGAACAGCCCTTCAGTGTGATGGAGTGCACAGCCGGTTCCGGTGACTCTTGCGGATCGACAGCGCTCAACCGCAACTTCAGCAACATCTTGCGGGCCAAGATCCGGAAGATGAAGCTGCCTGATGGCTCCCGAACGGCGGGCAAGGTCTACGCCAAGTGTATCATGGACTTTGAGAACCGCATCAAAGCCGACTTCCGTAACAACGGACAAAAGTGGGCTGTGGATGTTGGTATCGAGGCGGACTTCCCCGATGCTGGAATTGAGGAGGGTTATATGACGTTCACCAACGAGGAGATCCTTCAGTGCTTTGAGCCTGTGGTGAACCGTATTCTAGAGCTGGTCCGGAATCAGATTATTGCTATCCAAGCACAGAACCGCCTGCTCCAGGTAAGAGACGCATCTTTTTTTCATTTCTATTTTTGTCTTTGACTCTTGCATCGAACTGACCTTTTTCCCAGAACGTTTTGGTTGTTGGTGGATTCGGCGCCTCCGAGTACCTCTTCCAGCAAATCAAGCTTCACGTGCCTCCCCAATATCAGACCAAGGTTGTTCGCCCTATGGACTCGGTAGCCGCCATTGTTAAGGGTGCTGTTACCGCCGGTATCACTGAGCGAGTTATCACCCACCGTGTCGCTCGTCGACACTATCTCATGGCCACTCTTCAGCCCTTCAAGGAGGGATACCACCCCGAGCAATACCGAGTACCCAGCCTGGACGGCCGAGACCGATGCAAGTATACCCGCCAGATCTTTGTCCAGAAGGGTGAGCGTGTCAAGATTGGAGAGCCTGTCAAGGTCAGCTTCTTCCGTCAAGTGGCGCCTGGTGCCACCCTTATGTACGAGGATGTTCTGTACGCCTGTGACGAAGATGTCTGCCCCGAGTACACCAAGGATCCTCGTAAGTTTTCTTCATTTATCCCAGTCGCTCCACCTTTCGTCTTAGCTGACCATTCCAATCATAGGCATCAAGGAGGTCGTTACTCTCACCTCGGATTTGTCGCGCAAGAACCTGGAGACCGACTTTGAGCGTATGGACACCCCACAGGGTATCTTCTACCGGGTTTACTTTGACATTTACCTCACCCTGGATGGCAGTGAATTCAGCGCCGAGCTGGTCTGTCAAAATGAGATTATGGGCCGTTGCCGCGCTAAATTCCGGTAAAGGCCGTACCAACACCAAAATAAATGGCTGAAAGAATCGGATGCGAGACATGGGAGTCGTAAATATCATCTCTCCCAGGCGAAGCAAAAACAGACGAAGGTGGCGGACGATATTTCAACTTACTTCTATTCCGGGATGACCCCACTACAACTGACTGGACAGCACTGCACTGGAGAACGGGCGTTGTTTGATTCCTGATGAATCCTTTCCCTCTCTACATGTCTGCTACAGCGTGCGTTTTGATTATTTAATTTTTTGTTCTTTCTGATTGGTGATATCCTTTGGCGGATTGCCAATCATGTTCCTTTTGATATTTTTCTCTGGCCCTCTTAGATACCTCTTTTTATTTTTGATTCGAATGACAATTACGAGCTGTGGTCGACAGATTGGCAGTATCTGGGTAATGTTTTGCATTTCCGTGTTCAGAGTCAAGTCTAGGAGCTCAAAATCCTGTAGAACTGCTTGTGTTCTACTGTTGGTACATTGAAACCTTTGTCCTTAATTTCTATTAAGCTAGGACAAGAGAAAAGAAAATCATAGTCATCAAGGCCATTAGGTCTCCAGGTTGATACTCCGGCCGAATCGGGCGTACAGCGAGACCTTGAGCTGCTGCAGCTCCTCACGAAGCTCACTGATTGAGTCCTCTAGCTTGGACACGTCTGTGTCAATCTGCTCCGTTGATGTGGTGAGCATAGCCTGTGCCTCTGCCAGGGGAAGCTGAAAGAACGAGTCGCCGATTTTGTATCTATTAGAGATCAGCAGTGTCCATGTCCAGCGTAAAATCCGCAGCCTTGAAAGATATAGACGAGGACAAAATTGGAAGTATCAATACTTACGGGACAAAATCATCCTCATCAGCCAACTCCAGCTCCATAGAAACCTCCTCAAGGTCCTCCTTGTCCTTCTATATGGTTGTAAGTCCCATACATACTCAGAAGTAGAATACCAAAAAGAGACACATACCTGCTTCGCCTTCAACTGCTCCTCCAAAACAGTCTCCCGTTGATGCAATCGGCTAAACCGATTGATCTTCTCCTGGTCCTCACGGCGGACCTCATTCTCCTCGCTCACAGCGCCCTCCTCATCCCTTGAAAGCTGTAGAAAACCGCGTCAGTAAGGTCGTTCCTGCATTCCCCATTGACTCAACCCTTGATCCCTTTCCTCGCCTTTGTTTTGCTTCAATGCCAAGGCTAAAGCTCAAGCTCAAGGTGGGATGGAGGGGTAGGTGTCAACTTTCTCACCCACCCCACGTGTCCCGGGGGTGGAATGCATCTGCTTACCATGCGTGGTTGAACCATTGTGGTTTGTAATTTACCTTTGCAGAGTTGATCTGGGCTAGGCTGATGTTGTCTGGTCGTTGGGAGGTTTTGGTTGCGAGATTGGATTTGATGACTGGTCCGTGCGCACGGGGTTTGTGGGCCGCTGAAGCTTTCAGGACTTTGGTTATTGCGGCTCTTTCAAATATGCATTGGTATCAAATGTGGTGAAGGGTGTATTTACTGGCTGCCTCAGTTTGTTCAAGTATTTACCGGGATACCTGTTGATGTTGTCTTGGTGGTATGCTGTTGCCATTTAATATCCATTACTCCATGCCATAGTGCTGAGATACAGTACAAGGGAGAACACAATGATAGCTACCTAGGCATGAGCACCGTAATATAATTCCGATTTCGAGTCTACTGCTGCTACATGCGTCCGACATGGTATAAATAGTTCAGCTCATGGAGCACAAAGGATATAGACAATGTCACTGTTCTCCCGGTCGGGTGACATCATCACGAGCTGCAGGTGGACAAGACGTCGATTTCAAATCTTCAACTGGTTAAACATCTCATCTGACAGATCGAACCAAGACCACCTTCCAATACCCAGGTAGATAGATTGTTGGGCAGTTGGGCGGCCCTTTGATGTGCTGCCTATACCTCACCAGTACAACCAGTAACAAGCCACCTCGGAGAAACGAAAAACACCTCCGCAAATCCTCAGCCATCGTCATCTTCAACTTGACACGCTAGCTTCCACCACCACCAGACGTCCTAATCAGTCACTCGTTTCCGCCACAACGTACCCTAGGACAAGACATACAGACTCCAGTCCATCTAGGAACCAATCACTCGAGCTCGTAAGCTCCGACCGCAATCGCGAATCCGTCGCAGCCCGATAGACCGACCGCCGCCATGCGAATACAATCCAACGGAGCTTCACTCCTTCTCTCAGCACTGCTGCCCAGTCTCGTGTCGGGATACATCTTCGACTGCGCAGATGTCAAGACGAAGGAGCATACATATGATCTAAGTGGACTGCGCGGGACTCATGAGATCGTGCACACGACCGGTAATGAGACGCAGGGAATCATGACAAACACGACTTACGTGCTCAATATTTGCAATAACCTCAAGGGCGCTGCAAACCGTCCCGAGGGTAAATGCGGGACAACCAAGAACAGTACGTGGACTTCACAATCTCAATCTCCGCTTCGAATGGCTGGCTGGGTGACAGCAAGACATTGAGGAAGCTGGACAGGATGGCTCTTGTGCGATAGATGTGATTACTGGACTAATGCATTTACATAGTTTGTGGCTTCACGAAGACATCCACTGAAGACGGCGGCGGTGCACACTGGGCTTACTCCCTTGCCGGCCTCGACCACTTAGGCGAAGGCGGCAAGGATGTCGAAGCTACACAACTGAAGGAGATCGATGAAGCGCAAGAGGGCGTGCGCATCAAGATGGCGGGAGGTGAATACCGGGAGGAGGCTGACGCGAAGAAGAAGCCCGCTGCCGCCGTGATCGATTTCCAGTGTGACCCGGACCGATCTGGACTGGAGGGATTGGCAGTCACGGAGGATGAGGCTGCCGAGAAGCGTCGCCGGGATGGCGAGGTGGCCAAGGACCCGAGTCTTACCTTTAAGAGTTTCGGACCCAATGATGATAACACTTATATCTTGAAATTGGACTGGCGGACGAGATATGCATGTGACAATTATGAGGGCGGGAACTCGGGTTCTGGCAATGGTTCGAAGCACTGGGGTTTCTTTACTTGGTTTATTATTATGTGAGATTTCTACCTTAAGATTCCTCTCGCTCGCGCGGGATTCAGCTAACATTTTCCTCGCCAGCGTCTTCCTCTCCGTCGCTGCCTACCTCATCTTCGGCTCATGGCTTAACTACAACCGTTACGGTGCTCGTGGCTGGGACCTCCTGCCTCACGGTGACAACCTCCGTGATATCCCATATATCTTTCAAGACTGGTTCCGCCGCGTGGTGAACACACTACAAGGGAGTGGCTCAAGGGGCGGATACAGCGCGGTTTGAGAGAGCTACTCTGCGCGTCTGATGATGTATTTTGGGGGATCTACATGTGCTTTGCTTTTTATGCGTCTTCTATATTTGGTCTCGTGGTCAGGGCTTTCTTGTTGCTTGCTTCTGGAGCAAGTATTGGCGCTAGATGTGTGTCCGGATGAGTCATAGGATTGGTTAAAACCCCCAAAGCTTGGTTGGTTTGATCCATGTAGTAAATGATGGACTTGGTCCATAGTTCGAATGATATGGTTTATGTTTTATCCATGGATTTGAATACGTCTGAGCTATTGGCATGTTGAAGAGGCCTGGGAAGCAGGTAGAGAGTAGGGATCAGTCACCAGTAAAGCCAGTCGGGGCCGTGGAAGGTCACAGGCATGGAGGCCTGCCCATGAGGAATGGCAAGGAAATTCGTCAGTTATGATCCATTGTTAGCACCGACAATGATGTATCCCATCGGCCTTACCAAGCTTGGAGATGCCTCACAGAGTGTTAGTTGAGCTTCCCTAATGGTGACAGAGGATAAATGCGACGAGGAGCTAGAGGCCAAGAGACTGCAATGGCAAGACACGCAATTTGGCGCATGGTATCTTAATTACTTGTCGACATCATGTATTAAAAAATGTCCTTCGTCATGGGTTTTCCATGCTCCTTACAAGGTTGAAGTTCCATCCATGCAACTCTAGACAAAATGCCGATACTAGGTCAGCGTCAAATAGAATGATGAGATGTACAACGCTCTAGGGGATGAATGACATCGTTTCGACTTAGATGAAAGAACGTGAATTATGGAGATTGGAAAGAAAGAAGAAAAAAAGGGGAGGAGGAAGCTACTATCTTTTTGATGTCCGATGGCCAGGGGCCTCATCTGAACTGACTCGTCCCTTATGTATAAGACCGAAAGCTAGCCTGACAGTCATATCTGACGCATTTTCTTTCAGAAGCATTGATATAAAGAAAATCTCTCGAATACGTTTGTGTCGGCAGGACACCTTCAAGCACCCTATTATCCATACCTGTACTTGTATCCAGGACAAGTACAGATTGGTCAGAATATGATCAATATGTTAAACCATGGCTCAGTCAGGTTGTACAACCTGACTGCTATCCACGTCCAGGTTTCTACGGGCAATCTTGTAGCTCAAGGTGGCAAGGTGACTATGCTCCAAGAGCCGATCGCTTCTCGAGTGGTGTTACCAACACCGATACTACACCAGAACAATACCAAGCCAGGAATCAATATTGTATCTCCCTACACACAAAGCACAGAACACGCAACTCATAAGATCCGAGCGCAGACAACGGGGAATACAAAGTCGGTGTAGGACAAAGCATAAATGAAACATAAGGATGCAAGATCATCACGGCGTCCACCAATCCCAGCACCGTTTCGTCAACCGAGGACGGGTGGTAATGGCGTGATTGGAACTAAATAGTTCTCATCGTAAGAACAATAGTAGCAAGTGATAAAAGCAAGGTTCCTGGGGTTCTTTAATGGGGATTTAAAACATGGGGTTTCCCCGTCATTCCTCCATGATTGCCTTTTTTTTGGGGGTTTTTTTTTTCTTTTCATGCTCCCTCATCATTCATACTTATACCGTGTCAATCCTTGCTATCCATTTGGGCGAAATCAGATCATGGGGCCCGTGGATTTGAGCACCTGCTCCTTTACTGCCCGTCCATCTGCAGTTAGACCTTCATGGCAAACTGCTTCAGATACAGGTAGTCATCGATGGTCTGGTCGACAGTCGTGCGAATGAGAGCTGCGCCTTTGGGTCCATATTTCTCCAACCACTCAGCATCCCATTGTTCCTCAGTCTTCGGAGCATGTTTCTAAGAGCGCATGTTAGTATCCTCACCCCCTCAACAACATCTCTTCCCCAAGATAAACTTACATGAGTTCTGGCAGTCAATCTCTTCGACTCAATAGCATCATTATGGAAACCACGCCACTTCTCAAAAGCCTCACACGCAAACGCATAGTCTTCCTCCGTCTCCCACGCCAGCATGGAAGGCGAATAAGGAATACCGGTACTACGACAAAATGCCTCGATAGTCGCCGCCGGCTTGTCGAGCATGTCATCTGCATCAACGACACAAATCTCATGAACAGTCTCCTTATCTGCCTCGGAACCAGCCTCAGGCGAGAGATCAGGTCGCATGGCAACACGAGGACCGACAAGACCCTCACGACGCAGATACTCGAAATGACGACGCAACTCGTTGTACCCCGCCTCTTTGGGGTCGAAGTTGTAGAACCCTGTCACTTTGTCCAGGGGCGGGATTGTGCACCGGTAGTATGACGGGATACTGTGGTGCGGGTCCCGAATCAGGAATGCCCAGTGAAAGCGCTCTTGAATCTCGCGCGGCATCACGGTGGGGTTTCCTGGTTCTTTGGGCGTGTTGTACGGGTACGGCGTGTGCTTGGTATCGTTACCATTTACAACACCGTTAGTCTCGCTGTGACCGTTGGCGTGACCGTTGACACCGTTGGTCACGCCGTTCGCCGTGCCGTTCAAGGTACCATTTGTACCGTTGACGGAGGCGTGGCCGTTGGTGTGGGTTACACCGTTGGCCTGGTGGGAGTCGTTGTCGGTGCCTACACCGCGCTTGATACGTCGCAGTGAGGGGGCTATGCTTGCAGGCTTCCCACCGGGCGGAAGTAGGTAGGCATCAATGTCCTTGATAAAGACTCTTTTTCCCTGTAAGACGGTAAGTTTCCCCTCGGAATCAAGGTATCACTAGTGGGGACCGATTTTTCGGTCTTGCGTCTCCGGTTTGTGCGTAGAATGCTGCAAGGGTAGAATCATCTCCCCAATACATCTGATGCAGGTACCCTCCATGCCTACCCGTAAATACGGGGACATGTGTACGTTACACGTTCATGGAAGGGGTAAAATAAGGCAAAGGGAAAAAAAGGGTTCTGGGCAGGAGCAAGGGTCGAACCTCTGAGCCTTCACGTTCCAGTCTATCCATCACAGTGCGATATGTCGAGTCGCTAAATCCGCTGTCCCGACGACCCTGTTCGTCATCTTCAAAGCGGTCGGCCAGACGCTCCGGACCGTAGTACCAAGCGTCACCGAATGGCTCATGGACGCACTGAATGGTGTCGCGTTGAGTCATGAAGACCTGTAGAATTGGGTTAGCTCTTACTCCATAGTTGAAAGATGATTTTCGCCTACCCGCTCAAAAGCAGTAGAGCATGCGCGCGGATGCGCAGCCACAAAGATAGGCTTGTTCGACATGACAATGAATTGCTAGCTCCTCGCTTGTAAGGTTGTGAAAAAGATCCCGAACGGATATTGATTCCTTGACGGGTTTGATTTAATTCTCAGGCACAAAGGCAATCGAGAATAAACTCGTGACAGCCCGATAAGCCCCAAATGAGGAGCAAATGGGAACACGCTCTGTTTGGATATTAAGCGCAAAAGAGGTTAATCCTGCCCTTAGCAGTAGGGGATAGACCCGGGGGCCTTGAGCAAATGCGAGTGCTTGCAGATGAGTTGACACAAGGGTGCGATTGCGCAAGAAGGTAAAGTTGGCAGATACGTAGCCTTTTTATAAGAGGGCCTTGATTTCTGGGATCCAGTTTAAACCCCAAATGGGAATGCAGTTGGAGAAAAATAAAAAACAATAAAATAGAATAAATGAGACTTTGGGAGGGGCAAAATGTCAAAAAACCAAGGATTTATGGGTTGAGGGGGGCGATGAGCTATGGATCTGCTTGGAGTTAATGGATCTGGACTGAGCTCTCCTGCACGAGTACATCGTATCATGCCTTATACCATTTAGAGCTTTTCTAGGGCTGACATTATAACTTTCACATCGATTTTATGCGTAGATTTCCTCTCTACTGCCCTATAAAAGACCTAACGCTTTACTTAAAAAATTCATTGCCTCAGTACCTTGATCAGTTTCAGACGTGGAGTTCAGAGGCAGTTACACTGGGTCCTGAACAAACTACTGTCTCAGTTCGCAAATCAGAGCCGCGGCAATGTCCATTCCTACCTTACCCCTCCACTATCGCCCCGCTGCAGGGCAAGCACCTACCTATCCGCTTCTATTATTATTTTTGCGTATCCGCCATGAGCGATGAGAGCAACGGAAAGTAAAACTCTACTGGCCACAATTTTAACCAATGGGGAGCTTGGTTGTGGGCAGTAGGAGGGATGGATCTTCGTGTCTGGACGCGTCCACTCGGAACCAAGTGCCCACCGCGCGATAAGTTCACGATGCCGGGCTCGATCTGGCTGGCCCGGTGAAAGGTTCTGGATCTGTTTCCCATCTCTTTAGAGACCAAGGTCCGATAAACAAAACAAAATAGTTACGTCTCTCGGGCAAGCTCGGCCGAAATGGGCACGAAAACCCTCGGACAGTCGAGGTCTGATCCCGGGTCATTGAAAGTCAGTCCTATCCGTTTTGCGGCATGCCCGGCCAAGCTTGACGTCATGACCCCGGCGATTCTGGGTCGGCTATTAAACGGATCAAGATGGGGCGGGGTGGTGAGGAGGGGAATGAACACGAAAGGAAGTCAGAAAAAATCAGGACTTTTTCATGTGGGCGCCATTTGCCCTGGATCTGTTTTCCGTAAACCGGTATTGCCCATCATTGGGATGCGGAGTGTCAGATCAGATCCAGTTCTGGACCTTGCACCGTGGTAACCTTATGGAGGACTGTGGACCGGGGGCTTGAGGTGGGTTGGTCCCGCATTTCTGTGACTAGGAACACGCGCAATTGAATCCGCCAATTGCGGGTGGCGTAGAAGGGTTGTTCATTCAACGGGGAAGTCTTTGCGTTCTGGCTTGATGACACCGCTGATGACACCGCTGATGACACCACTGATGACTCAGCTACTGATTTGGCCCTGCGTACACCTGAGGCACTCAAGTGGCAGACATGAAGAACACGTATCAAGAAGGCTAAAGCTCCAAGCAGATCCTAGATTTGAGAAATTGGATAGCACCATGTCTACCTTCTAGCTAAGGCCAGATAGAGAAACATGAAGTGGAAGAAAGATATCGGAAAAGTAAAGAATGCTACGAAAGGGGAAGGTTTGATGGGATCCAAACATCGAATAGAGATTACCTCTACGCATTACCTTCACTTAAAAAGGGACCTCGCAAAGTCATGGCGTGTTGGCTACAAGGCAGCCTTGCTCTGACGAGCTGGAAGCTTGGTGAACATGGAGACACAGACTCGATTGCCGGGCCATATGAGCCTGCATAGGAAGAGTATATTATGATGCGAATAAGTAAACTAATTATGACCAGATATTCGAAAGACCTAGAGGCTACTAGGGAAGCCACTACAAATATAGGTGCCTGAATTGGTAGGTGTTCGCTCAATGGAAAAGTTGCGGAACTGGTGATTGCCATTTATTCCAGGCGTCGATCTCTCTGCCAAGACGGAATAATCTCCACGATGGGCTTAACTACCATACTGTTAGCTCTTACTGACTGCATTTGCAATCAATGATTTGACCATAGATTGGGCCTTTTAGCCCCGTTTGCTAATGGCCTCAGCCTCACTTTCCGATGTCCTGACCTGCGTTCTCCAATCGTCTGTCTTTTCCTCAGTGCATTCCATTGCTTGATTTCGATATTCATCTACTCTCTGTCACCACTAGCACCATAGTGCTCTGTGCTAGATCAGGACAATCTCAATGCATTCTCCACTACGGTTATCCTTGTTCGGTGTCTTTCTGACGTATCTGGCTAGCTGTCATGCTACTACTGATTCTCTTGGATCGGACTATCGGATTGACGTCCATTCCCATGCAATACCATCCATTTGGACGCAAGCGATGATTTCAGAAGGATTCACCGTTGAGAATGGCACTCTGTATAATGACGGCGCCCCTGTCCCTGAATGGTCGCTGGAGTCGCATATTAGCGCCATGGACAGCCTTGGTGTGAATTACTCAACCATAAGCATCACCGCCCCCGGCGTGTCATTTATCAAAGAAGCCGGCAAAGCTCAGTCGTTAGCCCGCCGAATTAACCTTCAGCTTCATGAATATACCCAAAGTTACCCAACTCGTCTCGGAGCACTCTGTCTTCTCCCTCTTCCGCATGTTAATGAAGCAGTACAGGAGCTAAAGGCGAGTTTTCTATGGCAAATCAATTAACTAAACCTGACTTGGAATCCAAAGTTTTGTCTAGATACCCTCAAATTCGTCGGTGTAGGCCTGTACACGAACGCTCACGGTTTGTACCTGGGTGACTCCGCCCTTGATCCCGTTTTCTCGGCCTTGAATGCAAGAAATGCTAGCGTCTTTGTCCACCCAGCTTCTCCAACCTGTACTTCCGTTGCTTTGGGCCATCCTATGCCAATGACCGAGTATCCCTTCGACACCGTACGTGCAATGGAGAATTTGCTCCTCACAGGCCAGCGTGCCCGTTATCCGGATCTCAAGATAATATTTTCTCATGGCGGTGGTGCAATACCCTATCTAGCCAGCCGCATTGCAGGTGTCGCATCACTATCCTACGCGGGCGGGGTGGCGTTTACTGAAACTATGAGCCAGCTTGCTGGGTATTATTTTGATCTCGCTAGCGCGACATCTGTTATCCAGCTGACAGCGCTCAAAAGTCTTGTTGGCGCTAAGCAACTTGTGACCGGGATTGACTGTAGGTGGCCAAGCCGATAGTTTTGCTATGCATACTAAAGCAGACAGATCCATATGTTCCACTCGCGCAGGCAGAGCCGGGACTAGCTGGGATCCAGAAAAATGGCAATTTCACCAATGCAGAAATGGGCCGTATCAAATACCAAAACGCCTTGGAGATATTTCCACGAATCTCCGATGTGCTGAATTTTTGAAAGGAGTGGTTAGTGTATGACTTGGTTTTTTGTCATCCTCACTGGGAGAACGTGCATTTTATCAACCTCTGTGAGAGTGATGCAGACATTGGTGAGGTCCACAGTGATATGATGAGGAGAAGTAGTACAAACTTGTGGAGGTGCTTAAGATCAACAACCGTCAGACATTCCCCAATATTAAAGAACCAAAAAAGAAAAAGTAATCTGAATTGCTGGGGCCGACACATTTTGACTGCTTATTGGTTCATAAGTAGTCCCGAGGAACACGTTGCACATGTAAGTCTGGCCAGATTGTCAGGTCTAGGCGCCCTTCCCTGCTTTGATTAAAACTGATTAACAGCACCAGAACCGCAGGGGCTGGGAATACTCACCGTTTTCATGTCGAGAGCGACCCATCCAAACGCCATCATGATCGTAGCTTTATACAATGTCGCTGATAGATAAGGATTAGCATCGATTGGAATGAAATCAGATTTTGTGAAATGGCATTGCCAATACAGCCAAGTGAATTATCTCTAAAAAGGCAAAGTTGCATACCCTCCTTTCCGAATCTCGTCAAGCATTTCTCGAACACATCGCGTCATTTCATCTTGATAGACTTGTTCTCGAATAATTAAAGGATTCCCCGAGTCCTTGGACCTCTCCATATAAGCACTGTCACCTAGTATCGGGCGCCCATTCCTCAAGAAATGGATTCCCAGATAGTAGAGTGAAAGACTATTTGTGATAATGGGACCCCCTGCAGTCGGTTCATACTGGCGCTGGAAATGCCCTTTAAGCTTCTCCCACGACATGTACCATGTGTGCAGTGCCCTCTCGAGAACAGAGATATCCACAGGCAATATTGACGTCTGAGCTTCCAACAGTAATGAATGCACTGCCATGATCAACAAATTCATGCCGAACTCGGTTAAATTTGACTGCGAGGGAGTCTGTCCACCCATCAAGCCTTTGATGGAGGATAAAAAACAGCTGCTCGGATCTTGTGCTGGAAGTGCGGCCCATAAAGAGGCAGAACATGCGTTCCAGCTTGAGTCATCACAAGGGAAAGAGGCCCGCGTGTCTGTAGGCGAGAGAAGCGGCTTACTGCCGCATAATATAGATTGATAGCAGTCCACCGAGAAAACCCCCCAAAGAATTCTCTTCCGGGACTCATTCAGAATCCATGATTTCCATGCATGTGCATTTCGTGGAGCCTTGGTACATTCCCCGTGCACTTTTAGAAATCCCGTCTGCCGTATGGTTGCAACAAGTAGCGGGTGAAGAAGTCGCGACGCCGCACGTTCAGCGCTTCCCTCATTCACCATACTCGCGTATTGGAAGAGGACAAGCGCTTGGAGGTCTTCAAGCTTGGGTGGTGTTTTGTCGCTATGAAGGCAGCATTTAGCCAACATGGAGGGGAGATGCGCATAGAATGCCTTTGCATCTGTTTGAGACGTTGCGTCACTGTCAAGGCCGGCGCCGATGATAAGGATTGATCTAACAAGCGTCGAAGAGGATGTTGCCAGACAGAAGGTAGGGATATGCAGTATCGGGAAGGCAGAGTGGAACTGATCAAAAAACAGCCTTGCGTACCTCTCAAGTCGATGCACCGGGATAGATATCGAGTTTCCTAGTTCCAATGTAAAGTCGGCAGGAAGTCGAAAATTATCCGGGCACAAAAATCCTCCACGAACTGCTACGTCTGGTGTGATCACATCATATGTTGGCGCGCCGAAGTTGTTCTGAGAAAAGGTGGGGGTCCCCATGATTGAAGGGAATTCTTGCGGCGTCCAAGTAGAAGAGTTCATAAAGACCGAATGTTCAAGATCAGCCAGCTGGGCTAGGAAATCGTCGTCGTCAGGTGAAGACCCCTCTAAGAATGACAGGTCGATGGGTTGTTCACTCGCGAAGTCTGCAACCTGGTAAGGCCCATCCTCACTTCCCGTCTGTGGTGATGGATTGGAGCTGATGCCCCTGGACCTTCGCGCACGTTTCTTGCGCTCAACACGCACGCAGGACCAACCTCTTTGCCGACATCGCGAACAAGTTTGATCGACGTTTTTGAGATCGCATCGGAGTTTGGATTCGGCACAGGCAACACAACATCTGTTCATTTCCCCGATCTTTCCGGGTACGGGATTATGGAGGAAATAAGGCAGCGAGGAAGCAATATGATTTATTTCAACATTTGCGCCCCAGCATCGACACCGCTCTGTCATTTCCCTATCGGCGAGAGAGAAGTTGGTATAAGCGGGGTTTCGGGAAATTCCCGAAATCTCGAAATCTCGAATTCCCGAAGTCCCGAAGCCCCGATTACTCGAAAGTCGAAGCATCTCATCATATATTCAATCCCAATCCCTCGTTGTTTTGGTGATTGCATCAATTCAATTCAACACAGCTCAAACATCAAAACAAGTTTGATTTGTTGAAGCAAATCATCAATCAAAACCATGTCTGACGTTAAACCCACCGAGTCAACGTCTACTTCGACAGCACAAACATGGTTCGATCGCATATGTTTTTTTCAGAGACGTGAAGACCCTAAGTCCCACACCTTATGGCAAAAATATAGCATTGTTGCAATCATAACCTTGTCCGCCTTTACCGCGCCTTTTGCGTCCTGCATCCTCTTCCCATCATTTACCACACTCGTCGTGGACTTTCAAACCACCGATACCAAGGTCGCCCTGACAACTACCGTGTTCCTGCTAGGTCTGGCAGTTGCGCCTTTATGGTGGAGCACATTGAGTCAGGCATATGGTCGCCGACCGGTGCTGGTTTTCAGCTTCCTCATTTCTACTGTCGCCGTCATTGTCTGCGCGGTATCCAATTCACTCCCTTTGATCATAGTGTTTCGAATGATTGAAGCACTTGGCTGTTCTTCCGCACAGAGTGTTGGAGCAGGCGTTATCAGCGACATATTTGTTCCGACCGAGCGTGGCTCAGCTCTAGGGTGGTTTTATCTCGGGACACTAATTGGTCCGTTGATTGCTCCCATCATCGGAGGCGCGATTCAGATATGGCTTGGCTGGCGAGCCAACCTTTACTTCATGACCATTTTTACATTCAGTGCCTCCATGCTGACAATGATGTGTCTCCCGGAGACATTGGTGAAGTCACCCGCCGAGAGCCAAGAAAAGCTACAATGGTACCAGACAATTCGGCGTGATGCTCTGGCTCCTCTGCCCAAGCTGAAATTCCTGTTGGTGCCTTCGATTGCGTTGACTATTGCCTACGTCAGCATTTGCTTCGCCAGCCTTTATTGTTTTAACACGACCCTGCCTTATGCATACTCAGCAGCCCCTTATAATTTCTCCGCGATTGAAGTCGGCCTCTGTTATCTCAGCAATTGTCTCGGATATGCTATCGGAAGCGTTGTCGGGGGCAAATTGAGTGACGCCAAGCTACGCCAATACCAGCTTACCCACGACGGGGAGATTCATCCGGCCGAACGAATCAAGACCGTGTGGTATGGTGTTGGTTTTGTTCCGGCAGGTCTAGTGATCTACGGCTGGCTGGTTGAGAAACAAGTGTTCTGGCTCGCCCCTCTCGTCGGCGCGTTCCTGTTTGGACTAGGGCTCATGCTTGTCACTTCGACAGTCATGCCTTTCCTTGTGGACATCAAGCCAGGAGTGGGTGCTTCGGTAGTGGCTGACCTGAATTTGGTCCGTAATATCCTGGCCGCCGTTGGTACCGTCCTGTCGCCGATTGCCGCAAAGAACATCGGATATGGGTGGTGGATGACAGCTCTGGCAATTCTCTGCTCGTTGTCAGTCGGATTCATGGTGATTGTTGCATGGCGAGAAGCCGCTGAGAAAAAGGTACCAGCTTCGGAAGATGTGGTTTGAAACTTTCCTTGCACAAAATTTCTACGATCTGGATGCGCGATGGCTTAATGTATAGTTTATAGAACGTTCGTAATATTATAACGGGATTTTAATTTCTTTACGAATTTGTCTCGACTGTTGAGACGTGTTTCACTTGAAATAGCGAGTGTTTTTTTTGGATACTATTTACGATGGGCTCCCACGTAAGGCAAAAGAACCTAATAATTTCAAGGTTCATTGACCTTTTGATTGACCTGCAAATTGGCCTGTAAGTAAGCTGACTTGTCTCGGGAAATCGGGAATCTTGGCGAGCATCTCGTCTTAGATCGTATCGATTTGAGGCGTTGAATTTATTTCCCTTTTAACCTTCTAACATATTTGCCCTAATAAGGAATACTGGTGTGATTTTTGATTGGATTTTTCGTGTACGTGATGTCGGTCAATTAATGTGGTGAACTCTAAGTATGACACCCGATGTCAATTCAACTACGAGCTGATCGAGGGTCTGTGCCTCAGATTAGCTTTTAATGAACACGAAGGGTAATCATGATATATTTTCTCTCAGTCCTGAACTGTGTCAAGCTTCTCTTGCGTCTCAGGAGTTGGATGAGAGGTTTATTAGCTTATATGGCTTGAATGGTAAGTAATTGTTTTTTCTCCGAGTTTGAGAAATTGTAACCACCGATACATCTCATCGATTGAAAATGTAATTCACATGATCAGGCCCCGATAGTGCTAGTGGCCAAGTCATGCAAGAGCACAGAACGTACTTGAAAGAAGTAATGGTGGAACACGACAAATATCTAAAGTCTCAAGGTATGGCCAGTGCAGAAATGTAGGAACTGGGCAGGGGGCAGTCAGTCTCATCTAGCGGGATTGGAAAATCTGGCGCTAGAGATGCATTTTTGAGCTTTAATTCGCGAAAGTAAGGCTCAAGCACCCAAGCTTATGAGAAAGGTAATCAATCAATATCAAATAATAAAACATTGAATGCAGGCATAGCGAATAAAACGAGCCCCCTCTGTTTTATGTAGCGAACCACTAATGGTCAAAGAATCGTGACATAGTTAGGTTCTAATCGCGAGACTGTGCCGCCACACGTATACATTTGTACTGGGTACTCATTTCCTATTTAAATCACTTTTCCAACGAGACCCGGGTATTATCTTCGATGAAAGTAGCCCTTAGCTAATAGCGCGACATGCTTGAGAGCAGCAGGGGCTTAGTGTTAGTTTACTACTGAAGTTTTGTTTCCAATGGTCTCACTAAATTCATAGCTACTCTTAATATCTATACCTATGCCTTGACTACTGGGATCTTTGATCTGAAAATTAAATGCAAAATTGGACATGATCGTTGAGATTGGCTTGTGGACAGAGCATCCACGCTCTTAGTTGAGTTTTTACATGAAGCTACCTAGGCACACTCACACTTCACGTGGGCTTCTCAGCTTTGAAATCATGAATACTCAACAAAAGATCGATGACTTGGGCGTATCAGAAGAAAGCGACATCTAGCTCAATGTTCTTTGCAACCTCCTCTCCTGCCTTATTCATCATAGACAGGTTCATTTTGTCGCAAGCCATCGTTCCCTTGAACCTATAGTACATTTTCATTATAAAAGATCTCAAATAAATCAAAAGTGGTATTTACCAATAGTAAGTCTCATCCTTCTCGTTGGCGAGGAATTCAATCTCTTTTTGTGCGGTACCAGTCACAGTAATTCGGCCAATAGTGCCGTGCGAAGCAGAGTTCGCTTTGGGTTTTCCGCCATCTGGCTTAGTCCATTGATGGAGAACAATCACTTTGTCTCCGGGCTGGAGGTTGTCTCGGAGAATCACAGCGATAAGCTCGTCTTTGGCGTAGGGCTCGTAGGTGATTTTACCCAGGTAGACGAACATATTGTCGGTTGATTTGGAGCTTTTGGTTTGTGGCCTTAGTAATAATAGAAGATTTGTACTGTTCTTTAAGGTGGGGATAGAAGAGGTCTTATATAATAAACGATATTCACATCAGGACTAGTGATTTAGTTGTTCAACCAATATAGTTCCTACAGTAGATGGCACATATCCTCATTGTGTCCGAGTTTCCCCATTCCCGAGAGATCCGGGGAGTTCATGCTGTCCTACTATATGCGCCTGATTTCAATTCAATCTTCAGAGATCTAGATACTCCAGCTGCTTATCCCGAGACCTCATCATGTGAGCCTTCAGGCCAATCGTATGTTTCTTACTTGGTCAAGTACTTAATAGTAGATCTAATTTGCTTACAGTAGTCTATTTCTAAGTTTAAACACTTTGGATAAGTACTTCATTGTCGCAATAGCTTTTGAGTCTCATTGTGACTATGACTATAAACTCTATAGTATATGAACAATTTTCAATATCTGGTTAAAATCAGGTTCAACAGCCCTGAAGGATCGCTCGCCATCAAAGGTACCTGCTTATTTCCTGAACATCGTCCATGAACTTCGCAATTTGACTAAATTCGACCTAGCCTGGAAGCATCAGTAGCCAATACCCATTGTTTCTTGATATAAAGAGCTTAGCAACCCTGGCGAGAAAAGCGAGGACACAATTATATTCGCTGTGGGAGAATTCATCATAAATTCTCTAGCAAGGTATGTCTTTCAAAGAACATTCCGAAACTTCCATGATCCTCCGATGGGTGTACTGGTTTTAATTAGAAGAAACCTCCAAGGTTATGTCAAAAACTTCTCTGGTGCGTTTGAAGGTGACAGGCTTGAGAATGGCACGTCGGAATGTCAAATATTGGTAGTCAAAATATATTTGACGTTATCCAAGAGACGAGAGCCGGAAGAATCGGAAGCATACTGGAAGATTTGCTACGACTAGCTAACTAAAAAATAGCCTAACAAACCCAGACCGCATTCTAGGGCTGGCAATAATTTTCAAGGATGATGCTCGGAAGAGTTAATTCGATGAACTACATGCATGTCAGAAGGGTATCGGCAAGTGGTTGGAGTGGTAGATAGATTTAAGTTATCCCGGCTTCCGCGACGGTCCGATGTTGGACAGCGTTTTTCTAGTCTTGAGGGGTCATTTCATTTCGTTTTCTCTTTTATTTTCAACATTACCCTTATTGCTCATAGTGATCGCGAATATTGATGTAATGAGAATATCTTCAAGGTCAAGGCTCCTCCAGCCTCAGCGACCAGAAGCATACTCCGCGACAGGGATGATTTTGCGTTCATTCCAGTGAGCATACTCATGTTTCACTTCATGTGTGAGGTCTCTGATTCCATCTGGCACTACTTTTTGTGAAATGATTTATGTCATGAGATATAGACTCAAGAGAAAGTCCTGTTCAGGTGGCATAGGGTAGGTACTAAGATGGTTGGAAAATTCTAAAATTCGCGGAAGAATCTCGAAGTTCGCGGTTAAAATAATAGTCTATTATACAAGGCTGATGTTCAAGACAATCAATGTCGTTCCACCCAGGAGCCCTTGATATCGATCATAAGAATACACTATTGGTACACATGTTCCTTGCTCAAGGTAGCTCAAATGCGAACCATCTCTAGCAGCTGGCGCTGCTGGGAACGTTCTTGCACTTGCTGCTGGTCTTACCACCAGAGACACTGACACTGCTCCAGGTCCAGTCGGAGCAGGCACCGGAAGCGCACAGAACGTAGATATCGGTCGCGCTGCTGTCAACACTTCCCTTAACGTTGCTCAAGGTAAGGCCAGTGATGGGAACGCCGCTGGTGGGAGTACCAGTGGGGCTGCCGTTCTTGTAGTCCTGCTCAATGACAATACCATACTTGGAGATTCCAGAAAGAGTAATGTCCTTGTAGGTGACGTCCTTAACGGAGCCAGTAGCACCGTAGACAGTCTTGACGCGAACACCTTTGACAATAACACCAATTAGCCTGTAAGTCTGGACCCTTGTTGTGCAATTTTCACATACCGTTCTGGGAGTCCTTGATGCTGCAGTTCTCGATGGTGACGTTCTCAACGGTGTTGTCAGAACGTCCACCAACAGAGCCAATGGAGATACCGTGTCCACCAGTGCAAGAAGCACCTGTGAAGGAGATGTCCTGGTGATAACATTAGTAAGAGGCAGATTCCTCACAAGTCCATAAAAAGGGCTTACCGAGCCAGAGTTGACAGCCAAGCAATCATCCTGGTTGTGAACAGTTGGGTTGGTAATGTAGACGCCGGTACTATCACCAATGTCGAAAGCATCGGTGTTGTGGCCACCGTTGTCATCACCATCGGAGTTGTTGACAGTGATGCCGCTCATAGTGAGCTCACTAGCACCGTTGATGCTGAAGACCTGCACAGGGGAGTTCTTGATGTAGATGTCCTCGATCTTGGAGTTGATCATCTTGTGGGCGTAGAAGAACTTAGGCTTGGTCTTGCCGCCATTGGTTCCCTTTCCGTCCCACCAGCGGGAACCATCACCGTTAAGGATGGCACCGGAGGATCCCTTGACAGTGATGTCAGTGCCGGAAACTGAGACCAGAGGACCAGACCACTCCTTGTAGCCAAAGGTGGTCTCTCCCTCGAAGATGACCTGTATAGTACATTAGTTGGTGATTCAGAGGATGTCTCTTTTGGTTTGGGCTTCTTACAGTAGTTCCCTTTTTCAAACCAGTCAGATCAAGGGTGGTTCCGGCCGGAACAGCGACGTTGTCAAGGACGATGGTCGAGCAGGAAGTCTTAGACTTGATGGCGGAAGCAGCACCCTTGGAGCCAGAGAAAGTGCAAGTGGAAGAGCGCTGCTCAATTTCAGATGCACGAGTAGGAGCCGGGGCGGCGTTCACGGCGGCAGCGCCGAGCAGGCCGACCAGGCCAAGCTTAAGACCGAGAATCATGGTGTAAAGAATGAATGGTAAAAAGGACAAAAATAAAAGTCAAAGAAAGTAAAAGAGTGTGGTTGATGACCCTTCAAACAGACGTGATTGGGGTCCTTTTATACCCCCTCAAGGGGTTGGTACGGAGGTGTCAACTAACTAGAATAAGGACCAAGCAATCTGCAGGAGACCCCTAGCAGGTACAGGCAACAGCTATTTTGTCCAATGGTATGATCGGGTTTGTGGGCAATATCGGCATTCATTGACTCCATTTTACTTGTGGAGCATAATCAACACAAGTAACCTTAAACTAGCCCCTGGAGAGGGGTAGTGGCATCAAGGAGCGTGGTCATTGGTGGGAAAAAAATTGATATTCAGGTGAATGATTTTCTAGAACGCACTTTGATTCAGAAGATTTGCCCTGCATTCTGTTTAAATGGATGGCGGTTTCGAAGAAAGACATCTAGGGTCCGAAGTGGGGACTCAATAAGGAAGTGTGGGCCACCTGCTCGTTGCTGACGAACACATTCCCTAAAAGAGTCTGATTTTTGAGCGAGCGCTAGAGGCTTGGAACCCAGTGACAGAAAAAGCAAGAGTTTAGTATTCACCAGACCTCATGGAATTCTCAATGATGGTCACTAGAAGATAACCTTGGAAGCTTCATGTGCTGGACTGTAATTCTGGCGAACTTGGTCCGGTACCTGGGAACACCCGCACTGCTGGCCGCTAAGCCTAGACAGGACATCTCCGAGCCTTAGCTGATGAATTAAATGAAAGAGAAATTTCATATGGCGGAAAAACGTCGGAAAATCCTTCTCCACCAGCTCGGTACCGGAGCACGTAAATTGTTCATATATGTTGTCTCAATGGCTTTTTACTCCGTGTACGTCTAAGGCAGACTGTGAGCGTACTTTTACGCTATGGCTGAGCTTTCAAGTAGGCCTCTTGAAAGTCGAAACGTAGAGAAATTGTGACATTCTTTCAGTCTGTATATTTTATAAGCTAACCTAGGTGAGAGAAATTCAGGTTTGTGAACGTGTGCCCGAATCCGCCTGAAGGGGCCATTCGGGTACGCCGGTAGCGAGCCGCAGTAGTCCAACTAGAGATAGGGCTTGTCATTCAGTTATCAGCGATTTCAGACTACCCCCGTACTCGTTCGGTGAAGACTACATGTAAAGGCCCAATGGTGAAAACAAAGGTATCCTTGGAGTCGGCATCAAATGCATTTTCATCTCCCCCGGCCGCGAACGCGAGGTCGAAATCATACGCTATCCGTGAGATCACGCCTCGAAGTTGCATGAGTGCGAGTTGCTTCCCAACGCAGCCATATCGACCTGAAACTCCGTTTAGCATATCAATACGTATACAATGATGATTTCAGGTGTAGTTCTACCTAGCTGGAATGGGAAGAAAGCTTCTTCATGCTTGATCAAGTTGCTCTTCTCGCCGAGCCATCGCTCAGGAATGAAATCAGAGCCGGAAGTGAAATAGCGCTCGTCACGCTGGAGGACGTACTGCGATAGTACGACTATTGTTTCACCTGGGATCCAGACCTCGTCAATCTGTAATCCTTCGGGTGGGGTTACTCTTGGCTGGCCACTAGGGACAGCGGGCTTGAGGCGGAGGGTCTCGTTGATGACAGCCTCGAGGTAAGGGAGGCCACGAAGCTTCTCGTTGGAGAAGTGAGAGGACTTGGCAGTGATTCCGAAGACGTTATCAAGTTCCTTTTGCAAAGTCTTGTATGCGGAGACGTTCTTGGTGAGATAGTACAGCGCGTGGGCTAGGGTTGTACCCGTGGTGTCACTAAAGTAAAGTCAGCGATTCTGACTTGTGTGAAGGGCTGTGAGGAGATTGTTGACACACCTTCCAGCTACAATCATGAGACGACCGTCTTCGTTGAGCGCTTGATCACCTGGTGGGGCACTTGGGTCTTTCTCCTCGATAGCTTTCAGGAGCCAAGAGATAACGTCCTTCGGGGTTTTGATGCTAGAATCGCCGCTTTCCAGGGCCCATTTCTATGTTCGCACGTTAGAAAGTCTCATTTACCCACTGAACCAAACATCTTGGCTGATTTGCCGTAGAGAAATCTGAAATTTCGAGTCAGACTCACCTCCTTCCTCTCCGCAACCCTGTCCACGCAGTAAGTCATGAACCGTCCGTAATTACCCACCAAGCCCTGGATGGCACCAAGGATGGTTAAAATCCAAGGCGCGGGCTTCAAGATCCCGAGAAATAGCATTTGTTGGTGGAGTTCTTTGATAGAAGCCTGCTCAGTGCCGGTCTCCAGCTGGCGAAAATCTTCGGAAAACCCGACTAGACCCATCACATCGAAGGCAAAGTACATCATCCACTGTGAGACGTCCAGCGGTTTGGTCAGTCTAGAGCGGATCTGAGTGGCAAGGACATTCATCTTGCGTTGGACGCTCGGCTCATAGAGTGCCAATGCTATTAGACATATTAATTACCACGCTCTGAGCAGCACGAGAATAAAAGGAGAAGTCAGCTTGCAAAACTCATACCCTGTATGCTGAATCCACGATCCCAAGCCTTTCGTCGGCGTCGGTGTATGTTAGGATCGCGGGTAGAGTTTAACGAATTTTGTGTATTGTCATCGGACACATGGCTGTACCAAGGGGATCGCGTGCAAGGCGAGTGCGATCCGTTTACTGTCAACACGGCTGATGGTCGGTTGATTGAAATTTCACGAGGCCCGGTGCGCACAAAGTCACCATACCTTTGGTGCATTGTCAGAAGATCCAGGTGGTATTGAGTCCTTCTAATTGCCTGCTTAACCGTGACCAACCGGCTCAACTTGGCTGTCCATGGACCCGGGAACCGTCTAAGGCGATGGAAAAAGGCCCGATAGATCAGGATACTTAGCGTAAGCCCGATATTGAAGCAACAGGCAGCAAACAGAGCGGTTCCGATAGCACATGATATAGTCAGGGAGTAGACATGAATGTAGCTAGCGCAAAGGGCCAGCCAGGCTCCTAAGTAGAGGGCCAATAGTGACCAGATTCTGTTGTCAATTTCGGGAATGCGGATGCACTGGTGAAGTGTGGCTCCCAGCGCCAGAAAGGTAGGTGCGACCTGTGAAGCAGCTGGTCTCAGCAGCGCCACGAGGATCGTTCCCACGGCCATTTTCTCAGAGACCGTTGATTTGACGACTTGGAAGACTCCCGACTTTCATTATCTCTGGTTGGACTGAGGACAGCAGACAAAGATAACTTCACACTCTGAACACATTTCTGTTATTGGCCCGTGGCATCACTTAATGCTGCAAGTGCGGGGAAGTCCAGGATGGATGATCCTTCATGCCCCAAACAGCACCGTGGATTTAAGGCCGACCGTTTAGTCGATAATAATTCTCTGGCTGCTGTACACTCTACTAAAAGTCCGACGAATCACTGAGTCTATCCCGAGATCCTAGGTCAACTCCTCAGTTTTTTCCAGTGAGCAGGGAATCTCGTCCCAGGAGAAGCGTCGCATGCTCTAAACAGATATCACGACGTCAAATCTAGTTCGCAAGGTCACTGCTCTTTCGTCATCTGTCCAGATCAGTTTTCCAATACAACCATTAGGCCTTGTGTGAAAAAGTCTTGAAGTAAAGTGATTGTGAGGCATTTCGATCTTTCACTAACTGATTGAGCTCACTTCGCTTATCTTGGGTGGATTGTCTGGTAGCGGCAGTGATTCACTTGACTTTCCAGGCGCAAATTTGTCATTAAACCTAGAGAATAGCAGCATCCATGCATGCGGACCTTTTTGATGATATATGGAACAAAGTAGATCCCTTTGATAGACTTCGGAATATCGATGTTCAACTTTTTAATTGGTGCATTTACGTCATCCGAAGCTAGCTTATCTTCGTTAGGCTTCCTAAAAGCGCGATCTAACACAATGATGATGTGCTTGGTCGCAATGATCGAAATATTACGCACTGTCTTTTAGCCTGTAGCGGCCTCAATAAGCTATTCATGAAAAACTTCGTCATCTGCAGGGCTGATTAGCAATCGTGCCACGATCCCATATATCAATCACGTTTCGGTTCATACATACCATCATGGACAGCATTGGATGGATAAATTATGGCGTCTTCACTCAAAACATCATTGGGACTAGTCCAATAAAAACTATAAAAGAATATATGAAATGAAAGGAACTAAGTCACAACTACTAATTATTTCGCAATGAAGTTCGCCAGCCTCCTTCTACTACCATTTTGGTCATTTATTGCCGTGGGCCAGCTTATCGGACCCGTCGGTCCCACAACCGATCTGGAAGACAAAAAGATTGAATGTAATATTCTTGACTATGGCGCAATCGCTGATAATAAGACTGATATATCCTCGGCGCTGGAGAGAGTATTCTCTGATTGTGTTCGCAAACATCCGGGGAGTCGACTCGTCGTGCCTGAAGGAGAGTATTTGATTGAGCGTGGTGTGACTCTGAGCAATGGCACAAACTGGGCGTTCCAGTTGGATGGACTGGTTACAGCTGCATATGGTGGCGACTGGAACATATCGCGTGAGTTGATCCTCCAAGGCTTTGCTGGCAGAGAGATCATCAATGCAACTATCAACGGAGAGGGCGACTCTGAATTTCTACTAGACGTGCTTGTCATTGTCAATGGTGAGTTGAGATCAACGTTGCTGTTAATTGGGGGTTGATGTGATTAATGTGGCCGAGATAGCTGTGGATTTCGAATTCTATTCATCCAATGGCAAGGGCGCTTTCCAAGGGCAGGGCTATATCTATCGTAATCTCGACAAGTCAGTATTGGCTCCTTTTTTGACAAGAGTTGTGAAGCTGATCCCTTTTCAACCCTTCAGCACAGACCGTCCACGCTTGGTCCGGTTGATTTCTCCAACAAACGCCTCAGTCCACGACTTGATACTAGTTGACAGTCCCAAGTTTCACATCATCCTCGACTTTGCAGTGAATGTTGAAGTCTATCATCTGACTATCCGCGGGGCGAACTTGGGCAGTTATGATGGCATCGATGCCATTGGAACGAACTATTGGATACACGACAGTGAGGTAAAATATTCAAACTTATATGTTCAGAATCTTACACCTGTGATGACCTCGGCTAATTGTGAGAGAAGGTTACCAATCGTGATGAGTGTGTCTCGGTGAAGAGTCCCTCTCATCATGCTTTAGTTGAAAACTTAGTGTGCAACCAAGCTGGCTCAGGTATATCTATTGGCAGTCTGAATGTGTCCGCTGAAATATCGAACATCGTTAGTCCCGTTCACTGCCTCCGATTCTCAGACACTGACATCGCAATAGGAAGCATCCAATATTAGCATTATACAAGGTAACAACATTGCTTTTATCAAGACCTATCCTGGTGGGTCAGGCTACGTTACCAACGTTACCTTTTCGAACTTCCGATCCTTGGCAAGCCTCTACGGTCTGGACATCAATCAATACTGGCAGAATACTTATACGCCTGACACTGGTGCTGTAGCATTGAGTAACCTGGTGTTTCGCAATTTCTCCGGCTCTGTTGCCAACGGAGCGACGCGCCCTCCGCTCTATCTATTTGCCAATGATCTGACCTTTGCCACAAATGTCACCGTCGAGGACTTCACAGTATGGACGGAATCTGGCAGCTCAATTGTAAATAAAATCAGTAACATCTTTGGTTCTGGGGATGATAGCTACGGGTCAAATGATGGTATCAAGTCTCTCAGCCAGGGAGAGTCGCCTTCATCTTATACCAGTACCTACACCATCACAGCATCTCCAACCAATTGGCAGGCCCCCACAGCCCCCACCTGGGCTCTGCCTAGTACGGGATATGGAAGTAAGCTCTTATCCCTCTCATTCTTATTCATCGTTTCTGTTGTGGCATATAGCTTACTTGGACTTCTACAGCTGCTTCTCCCATTCCAGTTTACAGTCCAGCGCCTCTGTGGCGCCCCGGTGGCGTGGACTATGATTTGCATTACTGGGGAAGCTTCTAAGTGAGAGCTTATTTTCGCATGGAAACTTCCGAGAGCAATACCCGTCTGTATTGTAGGTATAGGCTAGCGGAAATGCGAGTTGAATTTTGACATTGGAAAAACATACAATCGTTCTAGATATTTGGAGGTTTCAACCCTTCTGTGCAAAATACAATGAAAGCTTATCAGACTAGAAACCGTCCGAGCTATCGGCTGTGATGATTAATAATTGAGACAAGCCTCGTTTATGATAAGGTGATTCAAGCTTCACATTTCTTTTACGTCTTACTACTTATCACCGAGCACCTATACCGTCTTTAGAGCTTTTATGGTACCAGCGCTTATTCTCTATCACTCAGAAAATGCCCACACCAGGTTCTTGAGTCCTGTAACAGAAAATTTTTCAGTGGCCGTGGTGTTAAGGCTCATGGTGTAATCCATCGCGAGCGTGTAGCTGCTTTGTAAAGAAGAGTCAGTAAGCCAAATTTATGATTCACAGGGACCGACTGAGATTCTCCGAGTATATACGGCTGGGGCGCAGCTTTCAATCAACGAAAGAGGTGCATAGTGGGAGCAATCAAATCCATTAAGTGTTATTTGCGCTTGTCTGGAGTGGAAAGCTATGCCAATCATATACCCATCTTTCGTGCTTCTTTGGCCACAAATCACGAAAAACGGGCTCAAACTCGTCCAATTCGCATTCCTCTCCAATTTCTACTGTCTGTGACCCATTATTAATTTCCCTTGGTTGCCCAGGCTTCCGAACAATGACCCTGTCTCCACTGGCTCTGATGCACCTCCACTCGCAATCCATGAATTCTGTGATCTGCCATAGCGTCGCAGGACAACTGAAAACCTGGACGTTTAAGTTAAGACGTTGCAAGGAAGAATTTTTCCCAATGGTCAAGAAGATTTCTTGTGCCAGTGTGGCGTCTAATGCAAAATTGATGAGAAGTTCCCGTGCTTTCTTACCATCTGTGACCAGATAGCTTGACGAAAATGGACCTCTATCGTCTTGTGAATATCCTGCACAAACAAGTTGTAGACTTAAGTCAGTCAGTTGAGGCATCTCTCCGAGGGTTCGATATATGGCAACTTCCTGATCATTGCCTCCCGTGCGTGGTATGGGTAGCTGGAGATCGCGGATGTTGGGACAGCTATTCCGAATTTGGTTGATCCAATCCGCCGTGATAACGTCTCCTTCGCTGTTATATTCGGGCTGAAAAGATATTTTATGAAGAGATTTCCCATGGTGGTCCAGGACGGCTTTCAATGCTTTGTCCCCTTGGCTGCCTGTTAAATGGATGCTTTCCAACCGAGGAAGCGACGAGACAAAGGCACTCGCGGCTGCATCGGCAGCGGCTTCACGCGGGGAACCTATTTCGAGGACGAGTGTCTTCAAAGAGGGAAATTGGCATTGACCTGCCTTAAGCAAGGTTTCCAGCGTGGTTTTCCAAAGCCGCAACACTCGAAGATCGGGAAAAATCCCTCGTGCTTCCCAGGCCTCAAAATGAACAAGAGCAGCCGGGCCTATACTAAGCTCACGTAGCTGGCCTTGATTTGGAGTGGGAATGATTTTCTTTGGATCGGATGGGAAAAAGCCTGGCCAAGGGAGTCGATCCCGCCGCAGCTCGTCATAAATGCCTGGAACGGCTTCGGGCGTTCCGGCGATGATGGAGACGGACTTTAGATTGGGTGCCAGACCACTCGCCAGTTGCATTACTGCTTCTTCGTGGTACTCCACCTTGCCCCAGTCGTTATAGCCCCAGGGATCATTCTCGGGGTCATACTCGAAAGCAGGAAAAACGATGCTAGATAGAGAAGGCGACGTGGCAAGCGAAAACTCATATTCGTCGATATCTCGACCTCGAGGTTCGCGTGTGTCGTAGCACAGGCTGGGCAGAAAGAATGCCAAGTTATGCAATTTGCAGCGTGGCAGAGCGTGATGCAGAATGTCCAGCAAACACGGTGGAAACATTGTCCCACAACCCCAGATGAGATCTCGAAGACCGTGGAATCTTGCCACAAGAGTAGGCAACGAGCCCCAATCATCACGCCGTGAAATTGAGGGAGGCCGACAAAGTTCCATAGAACTAAAACCGTAATTGTATTCAAGGTTTTTCAACTCATCATTGCAGTCCCGTTGACTCCAATGATTGTAGTTATATTCGGGATCAGGCTTCCGACTGTCGTCATCTTCTTCAACGAGTGGTAATTTCCCTCGAACTATCAAAATTCGCACGGAGGTGAATGAATCAGTCCGTTCTAATATTTCATGCCATTGCTGGATATCTCTTCGGAGCTTTTTGCGGCCGACAATGGTCAAATCGATGCATCGGAAACGATATTTGTTGGTGGCGACCGAGCATGACTTGCATGTCAGAGCTAGATCAAGAAGACTTGGAAAGTCATCAGATGCCACAAAACCACAAATTTGCTCCAGTGTCTCTCGAGGAAGCGAGACAAGGGTAGGCATTTTTGGACAGAGTTAGGAGAAGGACCCGCCCTTGGCCGAAGCTCTCATTGTCGTGTCCGGGAGGGTCTTGGCAACCCCCGCATTACTGGGACGCCAAAATTAGGGATAAAGTCTAAATGTTGAAGACTGCCATGGGCTGACCGGAACATACCTCTTCAATTACCATTTTTAATGAATTTAGGTAGATTCAGAGTCTGAAGAACAGTGTCTTTGGCAATCTGTACAGGTGTGTCCAGTGTTGAGATGAACGCACTAGAGGATTGATGTTATTCCGATCCGACGTACGTTCCCAGGGGCTCATTTTGGTCTTCCAGCGCGGGTTGGTCCCTATGATAAGACTAGGTGAGATGTGAATTGCAAGTTGATCTATTCCAAGATTCTTTTAAAGTAGAAGTCCTTCGAAGGTTGTGGTTTGTGTAAGCGGTAAATCTGATTCCGATCTATCCTGTATATACAATCGCCATTGTCTCTAGAGTCATGGCAGAACTATTTAGATACATAAAATCATCCGGTCGTATAATTCCCGATATATGGGAGATTGAAACTTGAAAAGGGGGTATTCAACTCTTCTGCACCAAAAGATGTCCAGTCAAGGCTCAAATGAGGGCCTGCTGACTCGTCGGCCACCATTTTGAGTTCGGTCAGCAGCGAGAGACTTGGCGAATTTACTCTTGTCGCGAATCTGCGGACCCTTCCAGTAAAATAGATAGATAGGGGCCACAACGAGACAAGACAAGCAACCCAAGATCGTACTGGCATATTGAACATGCCATTTGTCGCCAATGTTGCTGTACATTGGGGTGGCGTACATTGCTGAGATACCGGCCAGCAGATCACGAGCGAAGGCATTGCCACCGCAAGCAGAAGCTGAGTATACACCATATGAGGCGATCATATAATCCACGGACGATAGATAGATCGCATAATTTGCAATTCCGACCATGGTGGAGAAAATCATGGATGCGATCCACGGAATACCGCGCTCTTTGCCGAAGGAGGTCCAGGCAAAACCAAACAGACCAATCGGCTCGAAGGGAGCCAGCCAAAGGAGCCATTTGAGACGGCGCTCGGGTGGGATTGCCTCGTTGCCATGCTTTTTCCGAAGGTGTTCGTCTCTCGCGAACCAAGGGAAGTAGGAGATGTATGTTAAAAGGTAGGCGAGATTGATTGGGATAACGGCCCAAGCACAAGCCAAGATTCCGAAGCCCCATCCTTGCTCGTAAACGGTAGTGAAGCTCTCCAGGAAGGTGAAGATGAGCGCGTCGGAGAATCCGGAGAGAAGAGACAGACAGAATACAATGGGCTCGCGCAAAAGCATGTGGAAGGGTCGAATCCAGATTTTGCCAGCCTCCTTGAGGGAGACGCGAGGCTTCTTCAGTTCATTGGGTCCGTAAACGTTCGGGTCTTCTCCAGTCTTCCGGCGGCGCTTCGCTTCTTTGTCAATCAGAATTGTCGAGCGACTTTCGGGCATGAAAAAGATGATTGCTTGGGTGACAGCTCCGAAAATGAGCTGGATCCAGAAGAACCACTGCCAATCCAGGACTGGGAGAAACATTTATTAGTATAAGAGGGAGTTCTATGTAGGGTTGTATAAACTCACAGCGCTCGATCGGACCACCGATGACACCACCAATACTAGTTCCGATACAGGAGGAGAACACGATGAATGCCAGCGGAAATTGCTGCTCATCAGGCTCGTAGAGATCGGCAATCAAACCAAGAGTGACACTACCACCGGCAGTGGAAATTCCACCCAAGGCACGAGCAACAACAATGGACCCCCAGTTAGGAGCCAGTGCAGCAGGGAGTTGCCAGATGTTGATCAGGAACATGGAGAGCTGGAGGATCGGCCAGCGACCAAACTCCTCACTCCACGGTGCCCAGAGCTCACATCCAATTGAATATGTGACCAGGTAGGCCATCTGACCAGTTCGCGCTTCCTGTTGACTGATATCGAAGGCTTTTGACAGAGGTTTTACTGCATTGGGGAAGACGGAGGTGTTGAAGTTCATGGACACCTGGACGAAGGCAATCGCCATGAGGTACATCCATTTCTTCCATCGAGGCCAAGAGTAAGCCAGTGCTTCGTAGCACTCTGTTTCCTTGAGCTCGCGAGGACCATCGGGGGCGATGCCACCCTTTTCGGTCTTCTCAGTTTGGGGCACCAAGTCATCGTCCGATGGGTCACTAGAGCTTAGTGCATTGTCTGAGTGCTGAGCCTCGGGGCTATCCAGATGGGGCTTGGGGTCTGACATAATCATAAAAAAACAGGCTGAGGAACAGGGAACACGATCATAGGCAAATGCTTTAATTTAACTGTCCGTCAGAACCTGTGCATCAGCGCCAATGCGACTCTGTGAAATATCGTCATAGTTTGAAACCGGTTTACATTTCATAGTACCAGAGTTGATCAGTGGAGACAGTGTGGATCACCCGCTTATACTTCAATGGGCTCGTGCATGAGGAAGTATACATATGAGGGCGGCCTTTTCCTGATCCAATCGATATTACTGTTTGTGTGAGAAAAGAGAGCTCATCAACAAGATCCAGAACAACAACGACGATGCTTGACTGATCATCGTAATCCCATGAAATGTGGACGCAAGGGTTGAGACACGAAAAATGGGATAGAAAATGTGCACGAATTTGGATTTGATAGCGCGATGGATGTGCTCCACCAAACCAAAAGGCACGGACAGCGGTCCAATTGGCGCGCATCGGATAAGTCGTTGTTTGGTTGTAAAAGGCACTGCCGAAGTCTAGAGTTTGGTTAGGACTCCACAGTCCTGGCAATTTTCAACTCCGAATTTATGCCTCACCATTGATATGGGGATATGGGGAAATCCAATGGTAGAGCATGGAGAATTCGATCCGAAAGATTATCGGTTGCGCAACATGCGACCCAGCCGATAACATTTTCAGAGGGTTATACGTCACACGCTCAGATTCTTAACATGTGCCTGCCCGGTTTGAACCGTAAAGGGTTCCTTTGGTCCCACTTGGGACTCCACAAAAATGGGTCTTGCATAATTGACGTCATGGACCAGCCCTCGGTCGCGGTCAATGAAGAAGGTGATGCGGCTGTTCCTCGGTCCACCAGCTATCTTAGTAATGCAAGTATTTATACAGGAGATGTGAATGGTAGGTAGTCCAGGAACCCGAGGGTTCCTGAGTCCCGGGTGAAGGCAAATCGCCACATATAACCAGCGGAAATTCCAACCAATCAATCCGTCGGCATTGGCGGGATAAGTGGAGAGGCAAATCTAAAGTCAAAAGACCCTGAAGTGAAAAGCAGAAAGTCAGCCGAGAGGCCAAGTCCCAACATCCACTTACGTAGTTGAACAGCTCACTAGTATCACTCGCCATTCACCTTGGCATTTTCGGGTATTCTACGGAGTAAATGTAATCGAACTCGATAAAATGTCTCGGAATATCGGATACTGCGTCTTACCTAATACACTGAGTTGTTCCACTGTAGCGAATCAACTGGTCAATAATCAAAGCCTGTTGGTCATGTGATCGCGCGTCGTGAGTCGCGTGTTTGGCGATCCGCGTGGATCTGTTTGAAATTTGCATCATTCGTCATGGTGTTCAAGCCATTTAAACCTCCTTTGATTAGGAAGCCTGAGACAACACAGCCAGCTCAGGAACATAACCCATCTTCTAAAGCACCTGTTCAACAGGAAGACGCAACACCCGGGACCGAGACGAGGCCAAGACCATCCGCAGTGCGAAAACCTCTCCATCAGGTCAGAAATGTGGGGAAGGAATCCGTGGGGAAGGTGACACCTACACCTGAAGCCCTAAAATTGGTAGGCGATGAGAGATTTTTCAACGCTCTTTGGTAAGCCGCATTGAATTTCCTTGATCATAGGCGGGCTGATCTGACCTTGCCTCTTACATTAGGAGAAAACCAAGCGCCAAGAAGAACAAAACATGGGATGGTGACGGTATCCTCACAGCCCGCGCAGGCTATGTCACCCTGCGAGATGTGGGAGGTAGAGATATGGGACGGGCGATGTTCGAGGCTGAGCTGGAGCCAGGCAAGATGCTCTATGTGGGTGGTAAGGAAGTCGAGGTTGACTCTGAAATCCCTCGCAGAGAGTACCTGGCTGGCAAAAACATCGCGCAAGCCACAAACCCGGCGCCAACACCAGTCAAAAAATCCAGAAAAAATCCATTGGCCACGGTAAAAAATGGCGATGATCAAGACTCAAAGGCCCTAGGCCGGACCGGGTCTTTGAAACGAGGTGCACCGGCATTAGACGGAGATGGAAAGGGCCACTCGGGCTTTGGTGCTTATAAGAAGCCATATCTCGATAATTCAGTCCTGCCAAATCATTCGGTCAAGGTGGTCCCTCGCCATGACCCAACAGCACCAGGGGCTTTGGTCATGACGCGACCCGCTTCCGTTCCTGACGGGAAGCAGATTGTGGATGTGGTCGTTGACCCGCTATTGACGAAGAGTCTGCGCCAACATCAGCGAGAAGGTGTTCAGTTCTTATACGAATGTGTCATGGGAATGCGATCATTCAACGGCGAGGGAGCAATCCTAGCAGACGATATGGGCATGGGAAAAACATTACAGACCATTGCTCTGCTGTGGACCCTCCTGAAACAGAATCCGATCTATGGCGCCCCTCCAGTAATCAAAAAGGCTCTGATTGTTTGCCCTGTGACTCTCATCAATAATTGGCGAAAGGAGTTCCGCAAATGGCTCGGCAACGAACGAATTGGAGTCTTTGTCTTTGATGACAAGCGGAAACGTCTAACCGACTTCACCAAGGGAAAATCTTACAGTATTATGATTGTCGGTTACGAGAAGTTGAGAACCGCCCAAGAAGGTCTGGCAAGAGGTGCCGGTGTCGATATCATCATTGCAGACGAAGGTCATCGTCTCAAGACCCTATCTAACAAGAGTGGGCAGGCTATTCAGTCGTTGAATGCAGCAAAAAGGGTCATTCTTTCTGGCACCCCGATCCAAAACGACCTCAGCGAATTCTTCGCAGCAGTCGACCTCGTGAATCCTGGAATTTTAGGCACTTTCAAAGCCTTTATTCGAGAGTTTGAAACGCCAATTGTTCGCAGCAGACAGCCAGAGGCTACGAGGAAAGAAATTGAAAAGGGTGAATCTCGAAGCGAAGAGCTTCGGGAGCTTACTTCTAAGTTCATCCTCCGCCGAACAGCAGACATCTTGGCCAAATATCTGCCTCCCAAGACAGAATATGTGCTTTTCTGCAACCCAACTCGCTCCCAAGCCACTATCTACCAAGCCGTCCTTGCATCTCCTCTCTTCCAGTCTGCAATGGGCAATTCCGAGAGTGCTCTCCAGTTGATCACTATCTTGAAGAAGCTCTGCAACAGCCCATCGCTACTTACAGCAAAGAACAATAGCTCACCAAGCGAGACTATTACTTCCCTCCTCGCCTCTTTACCACAAAATCTAATGCGCCACTTCTCTCCCTCGGCAAGCGCCAAAGTCCGAGTCCTCGATCAAATCTTGGATAGCATGCGATTAAACACTTCCGAAAAGATCGTGCTAGTCTCAAACTACACTTCAACCCTCAACCTCCTCGCCAATCTCCTCACTTCTCTTGGCCTTCCCTTCCTTCGTCTAGACGGAAGCACTCCCGCCCAAAAACGCCAGCCCCTAGTAGATGACTTTAACCGCCTCCCTGCCGACAAATGCTTTGCGTTCCTGCTCTCTGCCAAAGCAGGCGGCATGGGTCTCAATCTCATTGGTGCTAGCCGTCTAGTTCTTTTCGATGTCGACTGGAACCCCGCAACAGATATCCAAGCCATGGCCCGCATCCACCGCGATGGACAGAAGCACCACTGTCGTATCTACCGCGTCATTCTAAAGGGTAGTCTCGAGGAAAAGATCTGGCAGCGCCAGGTTACCAAAATTGGTCTTGCAGATTCTGTCATGGAACATAAAAACAGCGTCGCGCAGTTCTCTACTGCTGAGCTACGTGACTTATTCCGTCTTGACGAGGAAAGTCGTTGCCAGACTCATGATTTACTCGGCTGCGATTGCGGTGGCAAGGGCATTGTTGCGACGCCATCCTCTGAGATTACTACGCCTAATCCCAAAACTGATGAGGACGGAGTCAGTGACTCTGAGCTCTCGGAATTAAGTGAAGAAGAGCCTGATTTTCCAAAATTAGTCAAAGCATCCGAGGTCGATATGGAGGAACAGGAACGCTCTATCCGTGATTCGTCGCGACGGGGCCGGAAGCAGAAGGATTCCATGCACCAGTCGCTGGCTCAGTATGCGCATATTGACCCTTCGATTATTGCTAATGCTGAACATGAAGAGGAGATGGCTGCTGTTATTGACGATGATGTTCTCCTTTCCTTGTTGAAGGATGAGTGTAATCGGATTGGATACATCTTCAAGAAGGTCAATAGTGCGGAAGTGGAGAGTAAGGATACCACAGCACCTGATGAGATTATTGCTGGCGATGATGTGTGACGAATGCTTACTCCGTAGAATACGAAGCATAAGACTATAAATGCAAAAAACTAGGTCTCGACAGCTCGGGCTCGAATGAATGACCTTGGAATTTTCCCAACTTCAATTAATATTTGAAAGGGATATGCAAATTCTCAATTATTATGCATAACCTGCGTATATAGCTCAACTTAGATTACGAAGAACAAAAATACAGCTCTGTGGGACAAATAGAGAAGGAAGAGAACCTTGATTGGGGAGACATGATCAAAAGCCAGGATCAAATGTGCCAGAAATCTAAATATACAATAGGAAATATCGTGGTTAAACAACAGATGGGATCTAGAGCGATCGCAGAGTAGAGGTAAACGGAAAGAAAAGAAAAGAAAAGAAGAGAGAGAGAGAGAAAGAGAGAGGGAAAGCCGCATATCCATACTATCCCATCCGCCATGCACCAGACCCAAATCCCGATGTCGCCTCCATCTAGGCTGTGGTCCTAATACCGCAATTTACCCACAAGACCGAAAGTATAAGCAGCTTCAGCTTCACTCTTCATTTGAATCATGAAGATTTTCTGAGAACTCGTGTTGACACCGCCCTGCTTTGAGATGACACCGTCGTTGGTCTCCTCGTATACCGATACCGCAATTCCGGTCCGTGCAATCCGCTCAAACGAGCTTTCGGGAAGACAAACGTCCAGCAAGATTTCACCACGTGTCTTACCGCGGACAACGATGCGCTTCATTGACTCAGCATCAGCGCGGGGAGTTGCTGCGCCAGAACTAGGCGGGGATTCTCCATCGACGTGCGAAGCACTATTTTCGCTACGGCCGCTGACAGCTGTTCCAGGGCGCGAGGGGTTCTTAGGTGGAGCAGGCATGATGGTAAGACGAGCAGCGCCCATATCGCGCCATTTAGAAGCTGATTCGCGTAAATAGATACGGATCTTAGCGTTTGAGAGGCCGATGCCATCAGCGCCCTTGATTGCGGCTGCTATACGGCCGATGCCGGATGATGGGGAGGGCGCGTCGCCTGAGTCACCGTCGCCAGAGTATAGACTTCCCTCCCGGCCGGTGCGGGAGGTGACTGTTGAGCGGGCGATGTTGAACATTTTGCTTCCACCGCCGAAGCGTTTCAAGGCCGAGAAGGCGCTGCTCATTGTTCCGACACTACTTTCGGAGCCTTCGGCGAGGGAGCGGGGGGAGCTGTTTGAGGCTCTGTAGCTCTTCCTACGGCGAGGGAATCCGAACCAGCTTCCACCGGATTTCGTGGCGGGCTCGAAGGCTGGTAGGGTATCATTCAAGGGCCCGCGGGCATTTTGAAGAGCAATATAGGTTGGGTTGTTGATGCGGGCTTGGTTGATAAGAGCGTAGAGCGCGTCACAGTCATCTGGGTTTCGAGATCGGAACATGATGTTGTTGCTGGAGGTTATCTTGGAACGTTGAGTCGGGGGCGAGCGAATGCTGATGTCGATGGCTGTGCCCCGGCGGATGGGAACGAGGGGGGTCAGCTCCATAGAAATAAGAGGCTTTGATCGAGAGTCGGTGTGCATCTTGGTTGCCTCAATGAGACCAGGGCTGACGATAATGTTGCATTCGTCAGGAAGCAGAGTTTCCCAGGTTCCCTTATCAGACCATGCAAATATGGATGCGATGGCCTTAGAGGACTTGGTAGGCTGCAATGGTACAGTCCGGTAGCCACTCTGCGATGCAGAATTGGAAGGAGACAGGGAGCTTGCCTCGGAAGTGCCTGAGTCGAGGCGTCTGGGCTTGGGGAGCTCACTGAGCTCACTCTCCTCGTAGTCCGAGTCTGAAGCTGAAGAATAGGAGTCTTCCGAGTCAGAACGAGAGTATGCCGACGAGGAATAGCTGTAATGCCGCACTGTCGATGCATCCGAGTCCGACTCTGTGTATGAATCCGAAGCGGTGGAGGGCTCATACTCGTGCTTCAAAGGAGAAGAGCCCCTGCGCTTCAGTCGAGCACTTGTTGGGCTGAGAACGGGGCTGTTTGAAAGCTTGCCAGTAGAGGAGCTCGGTGATCGGTGGGGTGGTGGGGGCGGAGGTGCATCGTCGCGTGTTGACCTGCGGCGAGACTTTCTTCTCCGGGATTTTGTTGGAGTCTCTGGAATCTCCTGAGTAGGCAGCGATTCCAGGGGAGGGTAGTCCTCTTCCTCGTCGAGGTCAGTGCTGCTCGGTGTAGACATATGAGTTTGGCTGCTAGTGCTCCGAAGCTTAGGAATCTGGGGGAGGCGTGCCGACGGAACTGACGACACGCGAGGAGATTCAGGCTCTGGCGACTCCTGTTTACGTGGGGTCTTAGGCTGAGGGATCTTCGAAGCAGGCTTGGACTTCGGCTTGGGTGAAGCTGTGTCTTGACTAACCTCGCTACCCTCTCCATAGAATCGGATTTTACTTGGTGTAGACTCTTCGGTTGCTGGGACGGCTGCGGCTGGCTCCTCGACAATAGTCTGGGGAGAAGGCACCTCTGAGGCGGGACTATCACCATAGCGGGACTGCCTCTTTGCCTTCGATCTCTTCAGTCCACTGGGGGACTTGTCAGCGCTGCTCTGAGAAGGCAGAGACTGTAACCCAGAGCGGTGTTGTTTGGCCGAGACTTCAGAGCCTCCCGTAGTGTAATCCGTGTCGCGAGTAACTGAAGAATACAGAGAACTCCTTGCATCGGTTGCAGAAGAGCTGACAGTGCTCGGTTCGGAATAATGCTCTTTGGGAGTCAAAGATCGCCGTTTCTCGCCAATTGGAATATCGACATCGCTGGGATTTGCTCTAGGCGGAGAATCGCAAACAGAAGACTTGCGCGCCTTGTGTTGCTTTGCTCGGCTGATGAAGCTCTGGCTTCGGCAAATCGATGGGGGAATAGGATCGGAGCCCAGCAACGAAACCCATTCCATACCGATCTCGTAGTCATCAATACGAAGAGAGATCAACTCTTGCCAATACTTCTCATCCCCGGAGGCACTACGTAGCATGATCACAATCTCCCCGGTTTCGCCGTTACGGGCAGAAACACATCTAAGGTCCATGGGCGGGAAGAGCAGCCAGCGATCTGAATGATCAATCTCACAGATCATCAAGTCGCCTCCAGATCCATGCCCGGAGACATTGTCTCGATAAAGTAATTCGGCTCGGCAGTCCACCAACTGACCACTCGAATGGTAGAGCGACAAGTTGAAGAAATCGCGAGCCCGAACTCGCCGAGTCTGGTCAACCACAACATTTCGGGCAACTCCTAAAGTCATGGGATCTCTAGCGCGGGTTGCGTCGATGCTCGCAGCAGACTCATCCTCCAACCTTGCTCTCTCATCTCGAGCTCGTTTTCGGGCATCAAGTACAAGACCCTGGTAGGCACTGGCGATCTCTTCGGCTTTGGGTGATGGGTGCAGGGTATTGATGCCCTTGAAACTCTTGGCGAGATATTTCAGTCGCACCAGGGGCCGCTTCAATAAATAGGCAACATCAACCTTATCGCCTTCGGAATCAACTATATCGCCATTTTCGTCCCGCTCCATACCTTCATCCAAACTCTTTGTCTCGGCATTATCATTTGCTTCCCCTTCTTCCAAGGGGGCAAGGTTGACAATGACATCTTTGAACCCAAGTCTCCAGGCTTTGAGGTACTCCTTATATACTCTCTGTGCACCTTGGGCCCAGTTGAGAAGGGCATCTGCGTCATTTTGCGGGATGCGTTTATGCAGTGTCTTTAAGCGTTCTATAGCGACCCCCATATTCACAATAGGCTTGGAGAAATTCAAATCATCCTTCGGATCCAGCGACGGACGGAACAAGCCAGCGGCGGTGGCTGAATCGGATCGTGAGAGAACACAAGTCAGCAGCACGGGGATGACACCACCGACAAGGGTCTTGAGCTCCCGCATATATTTCGCTTCGTCGGCGGACAGCTCACTCAGGAGGTCTGGGATGGTCGCACTGGCCAATCGACTCTTGTTGGTCCGGATACTTCGCGCGGAACGGATGCTTCTGCTTCTGGAGGCAGGGACCGAAAGAACAGACATGAGATCATTGTGGTTTGTGAGCCGACGCTTCAGCTGTGAGGAAACTACAGGAAGGGAATCAGGATCGAATTGATCTTTCTCTTCGGCGACTTCTTCTGGTTCCTTTGCAGGTTTTGTTTCTGCTGCGGGTTTGTGCTCCCCCTGTTGGGTGGCGCTGGTCGTAGCCTTCTCTAGGACCGATGGGGCAGACAAGGATGACCCTTCTGGGAGGGTACTCAAGGTCTCACTTGAGGCAATCGTCGATAGTCGGTGGTTTCCGGTGCTCGGAAATGGCTTGCTAGGGCCCACCGGTACAGGTGCATTGTTCCCTGAGACCTCGGAGATTTCCGAGTCTGGTTGGAATTCAGACTCGGATGTTGCAAGGCTGTCCTCGTACAACGTCTCCCGCAGACGTTTCTCAACTTTGACTTTTGGCGACTTGCGGGGCCTGTCGGCACTTGCTCGTCTAGGCTCTGACACAATCTCAATGCCATGGGATTTGTGTGGCTTATCGCTTGAGGAGGGGCGATCTTTGTCTCTGGCGTGTCGGCCATGAGAGCTTTTAGGGCGAAACTCGCTTTCTGCAAGCGTGTCAGATGTCAAGCTGCTCGCGGTGTCCGTATGAGCCACTCTCTTGGATCGTCTCTCCCGTGCCGATTTGATGTCCAGTGGACCAGGCATGTCGCTCTTGCTATCATCGTCTATGAAAGGATCTGGTTGGTCCGATAACCAAGCCTCGATCTTTGCACCCCGGTTTGCTGTTGGCGGAGGAGGCCTTGGAGGCTCCGCTTTGGGCAAAGTGAACATTTTCCTGGACTCATCCAGCATTTGTGCAAAAATGCCCCCTTTGGGAATCTGCGGGTGACCTCGAGCGCGCCTCCTCGATAACTCTGAGAAGTCGGCCTCGCTTCGTGCCCATTCCGCCGCTTCTTCAGGTGGTGACGACTGTCTCTTGTGCTTCCCTGACCCATCAGACCGGATGGCAGACTTGGGCCGATCCGTCTCCGTCTCCCAGTCGCTCTCCACCACGGACTCAGGTCGTTTGCGCGGGGTCGACTTCCAATCCTTGACAGGCGCTTTCGCTCCGGATCGCGGGGTGTCTTTCCCTTTGTCTGCTAGATCTTTCACATTGTCTTTCTTCGCCCGTGGGGATCCTGGTCCCGCCCCTTCATTTGTGGTGTATTCACTGATGCGCTTAGGAGGCGGCAGGTTGCGAGTGGGCGTTTGTCCCACCGAAGTATTCGATCGATTCCTTCTCCAGTGTTCATCGCTAATAACTCGTTTGCGCGGGGTGCTGTGACTTCGTTTCCTCGTCTGCGCCACGGGGCCTTTGGTCGGTTTCGACTTTGCGGGCTTTTCCTTCCCTGCATCTGACTTTGGCTTATTTGAGTTGGGCGCAGCTTTGGTCTTGTTCTCATTGTCGTCTTCGTCGTCGTACATTCCATCGTCGATCGTAATCACGCCGCCTCCTTGTTGTTGCCAGTTCCGCACTCTTGCGCGAACCGTGTTCGTATCGTGGATCCCGAGCGGTAGGCCGATATCTACTGGCTTTGTAGTTGGTTTCGCACTCCCTCCAGTCTTGGAGGGACGCTGCGGGGTCGCAGGAGACGGCATCGAGGTCTATTGTGAAACCCAAGAATGCATTAATTTCCGAAGTTGAGGGTGAAGCGTAGAATGTTCACCGCGTGAAGGGGGTTCATTGTTTTGTTGACATTTCGTCATCGGGCGGGAAAATCAGTCAGGACTGCCCACTTACCAGACACAAAGGCCTATGATCGTAGAACAGAGAACAGCATTTGCTTTTTCTTTTTCTCTTTCTCTTAAAGTTCTCTTGTCAAACACGTTGGGGAATGTAAACAAGGGCGATTAGACGCTGATCGACGATAAGCCTGAACTGCCACACTAGTTCTGCTGCCGGGGAAACCACGCGCCGATCAGATCTGGCCTGTGACTGGCTCTGCAAGGAGATCTTCTGATCACACTGATCCGGTGAACAGACTTTGTTCTTTTAATATTTTTGACTGGGATGCCGAGCTGATGAGGGCCTCGGTGGGCTTGGCATCGCCAGCTTTCACCCTCACGTCAGAGTAAGAATGTGGGGGACTTGACTTTGAAAAATGATGGTGGGGGAAAGAGAGAAGATGATCTACTTGACTCGGAGATTTCAGGGAATAGTTCATTACCGGTTGCGCGTACTTTCCAAGGTGCATTGGGCGTCATAGCTGTCTGATTATGGAGCTGGACAAAATTGGACTTGAATGCATAATCCAACCCCCCTTCCATCAATGTGTAAAATGTCATGCATATTCACTATTGATCGCCCTAGTGCCCTGATGCTCTAGTTTCTCTAATTATTCTGCTTTGGATTTTATACTAAGAGAATTCCAAGAATGGAAAATCCTCTCGATCTCAATCTTGACCAAGACACATCTTGTACTTGACCTCCACCTACTCCAGGCTACTCACATGCGGCTATGACGGAAGAGGTGCTACTGGGCTTTCTTCCTCTCGGCTGACCCCTGTCTTTTCATGACGGTCGAGAGGGTCCGCATGCTGTTAAGGAGGTAATCTATTTCCAGTCAGCCACTGTCCCGCTTCATTATTGTGGAGCCTTGAGACACTTACAAAACGGGACCACAATCCAGATGAAATTCATCAAAAAGTAGTAGACCCAAAAGTAATATCCCTCCGGTCGACTATAAGGCCGGTCATGAACATAGTGATCGAACAGACTGGTAGCATAGTACAGTGTATCGCCGTAAAGATGGCTCATACACACAACGATTTGCATCGGGTGGCGCAATGAGTGCCGCGTTGCGGTCAAATATGCGACAACGAAGCAGAGGGGCCCCCACAGGAGCTGGTTGGGCACTGTTAGTGGGTAAAGCTCGGAAAGCTCGGTCTGGTCTTGGTCGTGGGTACACTCACCACAGTAATGGTCTCCATGCACAGCACCAGTGTGTCTGATGTCATGTACCGGGAATCGGACAGTGCGTACTCTTTCCATAGCTGCCCGAATAGATCCTGGGCCGAGGCCATGTGGTTATGATGCAGCATAAAATAGCCTTCAAAGAAACAGTGTAGAGTTCCAGCTGTTCGATTTGGTCAGTCCTGTTTTCTTTTTCGAAATTGCGGACATCATTGGGGTCATACAGAGCACAAACCACAGGATGGCAATCCGATCCGCCATGCGAAGAGTCGGTCGCACGTAACTGGCTGCTGCAAAGGTCAATCCGAGTAGAATTGCACATCCCCCACTAGCTTTGACCAATAGCTCCAGAACAGGGGTGTCGTTGGGCGAATAGCCGACAATGTCGGCCCCAAGGGGGTAGTAGGGGTGAGAGGAGCCACTCGGCATTGTCGCTGAATGTCAAAAAAAGCTTGTTTTGGTTTTGGTTCTGGCTGATCCTTTGCTTTAGCTTCAAGGTGCAAATTTTGACTCGGATTCGATTGATCAAGAGTGGGGAATTGTACAGGGCCAATTACCGCTTCACCTGATAGCTGTGGAATGTTTTGTTTTGCTTGGATTCATCGTTATGATCCATCTTCGGAGTGTGATCGCACGGTGGATCTGCAGGCTGGGCCAATTGGAAGACAGAGTCAATAAACCCGGCACCATTCAACCATTATATGAAGGTGCGTCTATACAATGATTAAACCATCGAGGCTATTAAGTGTCAGGCTACTTGACCGAGATTAACTCTGTTCATAGCTGTATGGCAGTAACCTCTGCACGTGACATGTTTCGTAGCTGGGGATTGCTTGGCTCCAAGTTCCTCGATTCCCCAGCTTCGTACCGTGATTCCCCGACTGCTTAAATGGCGACCCGCCTTTTACATCCTCCCCCATGGCATCCGATGCGATTCAGAAGCCCCTGAATATCGACCTTTCGCGTTCCTCAATGGAGTCGCCCCCAGGAATCGCGGCCTTGTTCGTCATCTCTTTCGACATTCGCACCGGGTAAGTGATACTCCCCTTGAAGCTACGAACAAGGAGGGGCATATCGCTGATACACCCTCGTACATTGCAGATACGTGGTGTCATGGAAACGAACCACCCCGGGAGGTAAGTAGATGCATACCCCGATCCAGGTTACCCCTCTTGTGACGTGGAGCTAAGAAGGGTTCAATAGTTGAGGTCGAAGGGGTGGTGGAATACAAGTCGCTCCCTTCGGGACTGCACAACGTCACAGAGGACCTGGTGTGAGTACATCACGTCGAAAACCTCTTGCTCCAGCCGCGCTTAACTTTCGCCTCCAGGTACTTCGTTCATGACCAGTATGCTGGTATCAGCGCGTTCCTCAACCGTCCCGCTGCCGAGGCAGAGCGCAATGCTAGGATGTTTGCCATTGGAGTTCTGGTGCCCCTGAGCTTTGGGAGACTGGGGAAAAGCTGGAGACATGCTCCCAAGCTGAAGGAGTTGGCGATGTATGTTTGAGAAGCTCCAACGCACTGCTATGCACCCGACTAACAGGCTGCGTTCGATAGGAGATACGCAGCGGATATGTCAGACACGCAACCATTATCGGACTACTGGGACAGCTTTCGATTGGGAGACACAGAGGCTGCGCCAGTGGATTCGCCGGTTGAGTCACCATTGAGCCTTCGATTCCGACCGGAAGATAGACCGGACAATCGCAATCGCGCATTTAGTGATGCGATGGTGTTAGAGACGTTCAGGCCGGCCTTGACGCCTTTCCACCCCGCTTCTTCACTTCCAGATTTCCTTGATTGCTTTGGACCTTTAATCTTCCCATTGTACAGGGCGGCACTCTTGCGAAAGCGAATTCTCTTCATGAACGAAGCGCCGGTGCATACACCCTGCAATTATGGTAATTATCCTGTCCTTGGACCATGCTTAAATCTTTACTCACTCGGCTGCAGTGTATGATCTATCGCTACTGGCATCTCTTCCAAACTCTCTTCTCCAGACGCTTCCGACTGATCGCACCCCACCGTTGCGACCCCGCCCCCTATTCAACGTTGGCATTCATGATATCCCTTTCCTCTCCTCCTTTGATCCCTCTCGGGCAACTATGGATCCTGAGACAGACCCCAGCTGGATTGCTTGCTCGACTGATAGTGTCCTGACCATGAAGCCCGAGCTCTATGATGCTCTCGTTACCCTCCCCCCACCTCATGCCCAGCAAGCCGCTGAACGAGCCTTCCCTACAATCAGCTTAATGGACCCTTCGAGCACCAAGCACAACTCGAACCAGAAGGTTCAACTGAAAGCAACTCAACGCGATGCTCGCCGATATTCTATGCTCCGAAAAGGCCTACGCCAGTTCTCCCAGGACCAATCTTCAGATAACAGCTCCGATGCCGAGTCAACTTACTCATCAAGTCATATCGTAGAACCTCTGTCCTGGACTCGACTCGCCTACACCTCTTTCATCTGGTGGGCATCTGCCGGTGAAAATCGTGACGGTCTATCCGAAGAAGAATCGGAACAGCAGATTGAACAAGACGCCCGACTCCTGGCAAGCGTGGAGAGTCTTGCATACCCCGGCCCGGGCTCAGCCCGCCGCCGCTCTATCCATCTTGAAGACCCCGGTCAGGAGCCCGCGGAAGTCGCGCTGGTAGCTTATTTCCGCCGTCTCACGACCCAGATCTTCTACACACTTTCTGGCGCCATTGCTCGTCATGATCACGACGGCGAAACGGATGCCTATGCCGATACACCGTACCTCGATGACCCTGCTGAGGATGAGACAGACCTGCCCCTCTCTAACTCCCGTCAATCTTTCCACAGCGATGATGGTGAAACTCCCCTCTTGCGTCAGAGGTCACATGTGAATTCCTCCGGTCGCCACGAGTCAGCTTCGATACACAGTACACAAGATACGGAAGATCCGATCGCTATTACTGTTGCTGACATGGCAGAGATGGGTCTTGACGTGTGGAGCGCCACTGATCGCATCTTCGTCGAGGAACTTGTTTTGCTTTGGTGGGGACGTTCGGCCTATGTTGATAGCGCTCGTATCAGGTGCTGTGGCATCTCAATATTGTAGACAGACGGCCTTGAGATCCTTGTCACATATACGTTGTTATTTTCTCTATCTGTGTCCCAAGACCTGATTTCTGCTTTATCTGTGGATGCCTGATGTATGCCGCGTTTTGTGCAGAGGTCTATCATTGTCTAGCCAGCGCCTCTAGTTTCCTTTTTATATGCTTAGCTAATAAGCTGCCAATGTAAATATGTGCCTGGATCCAACGGGTTAGAAAAAGCAGGTTCGGCCACAAATGCTTACTTCAAACCAGTATATATTTTGTAGCACGGATTTTCTGGAGAGCACGATCGCTGTTTCCATTGCGCCTTAGGGACCCAATCACAGTTTGCTTTCTGCCGGATCGCTCGGGCGGGTTTGTCTGACAGGATGGCTCAGACTGGGATCAGTCAACCTTGCAGGCTTACGGAAACAGCCTTGAAAAATATTCATGGTACAGCCAAATGACCATTCATAAACGCCTTTGAGCCCTAGCTCAAATAAATTTTTGATATACCCTCCTTTTAGATTTATGGCAGGGCTTTGATTTAGTTGGACTGGTGGTGCTTGGAAGCACCGCCTACCTACGTCCCAGTCGCTGGTTCGCTGTTTCGCTGTTTCGCTGCCCATTTCATCCTCCAGGGTTTTCGTCTCTAGTTTAACACAGAAATGCGCCTGGGCAATGGAGGCTTGATTAATCCCTGTTATTTTCACCCAGTAACACATACTACTTAAGCGCTCCCGCACCAGTAGCCTGGCTATGCTCTGCTATAAATATCTCCTTCTCTCATTATATCCCCGTTGCCCAAGTGGTTCTCACTGAATATATTTCAGCACATTCTGGACCTATAATCTATACTATTATCGTTCCCAATATACTGGTAGCTTTTAAATATTCGCTATGGTTATCTTCATCCCTCTCCCCTCAGATGAGATACTTGATGACTTCGAAAATTCCTTTCTCCAGCAAACCTATTCTTTTTCTCCTGACCGAACCTTGATTCGTGAGGCTCTTCAATGCCCTAATCAATTTAATACTCACGGCAATTACATTCTCGCCTTGGCCGGAGACGCAGTTCTTCGCCAAATTCTTGTCGACCAGGGCCGAGACAAAGAGAAATCTCCAGGTGGGAGACCAATCCCCTATCCTTTATGAGTGGCAAGTTTGAACGTGCATTAACTATATTACCACATATAGAGGAAATCCAAGAAGTCGTCTCCGTGATAGCCACCAACAAGAACCTTTATCAGCAAGGTCTTGCCCTAGGGCTTGATCCCTTCATCGTCAAAAATCCCAGCCAGCAGGGCTCCGTGGCTGGGAGAATTGTTATGGCTACTACCATGGAAGCCATCCTTGGTGCAGTCTACTATGACTCCAGCAAGAACCTTGAGGCTTGCGAAAGGGTCATGGCTGCCATGGGCCTCTCCTTCCCCGAGTGATCCACTGTGATCCCTTCAATGGTAATTCCTTGCTATAGAGGCATGAAGAAGCCTCGATGAGGGGATATGGGCGATCTGTTATAGGGCTGAAGCTTTTCACTTGGCAGTGGCATGGGATTCGAAGTGGCTTGCATGTCATGGCACTATTGACTAGACCGTATTCATTCTACAACAGATCACCTCTATCTCCTCATGGCGGCTTCCTTATGGCTCTATGGTTAGGAACTACAGCGTGGAGAACATGTTAAGGAACAGTGGAATGTGGTGGAGAATTGGCATAAGGGTTTCACATGTGCATGAGATAGTCACTTATCAACCGCTATTGAAATTATAGTAAATTTGTGGCATTAATCTCCGGGGTCTTGCACTTTCTCCACCTCGGTAAAATAGGGCAGGTTTCACCTAGCTTCAGGCTAAAGTCCTGATACATACAATGGGGACCGTAAGTATTTCCCCAAGTGCGGGTCCAGTAGGGTCAACCCAACAAACAACTTTTGGGAAGGCATGTACCACTCAGTATTAAGTGGGCTCGCTTCAAAAAATTTTTACTTTAATCCGTGACTATAGAGAAGTATTTTGAGAAGATAATTTGAGAATCTATATAGCTTTTAGTGACGATAGAGCGGTTTGAAAATTTATGTGTAAATATGGAGGACCCGCCGAGGCATTCACTAAGCTTTTCCACCCCTTCAACATTATTTACATGTTATTAAAACAACGACTTCTTAGGTTATATCAAAGAGGAAAATATAATAGTATTTGATAGTACCTTCAGGGGTATAAACCAGAATTATGGTGAGAAATACTATACCCAAAAATAAATGTGTTAGTATAAAGGGTGACGAGACAATTACTTAAAGTTAAAAATCTTAGGGTAGATTTTCAAAAACATTAAGAGATAGTTTTGTGCGTCAGATGGGTATCAATTACTAGGAGTAATTATATAGAATTTCAGTAAGATATGGTGGTGTGGTGCACTGTTTCTAAAGCGAATATATATAATCGATGAGGTAGGCCCGGAAACTGATCTGGAGAAAAACTTTTGACTGGATAGTGTAGGTAGCCATATGTACATAGGCGTCGAATTTTCTTTGACGAACGGGATTTCCTCTTATGACGCCGCCGCCTTTTCACGAGGGCGCTCAGACTTAGGCTCACTGACCTCGTAATTGTCGATCTGGGCTCAGGCTCACTGAGCGTCAGCGTCACTAAAGTATGATCCTATGATGAGCTAGCGTAGGCATTTATTGACCACCTAGTCTACTCCCAGTCCATCCCTGAAGCAGCTTCTACAAGAATTATCTCGTGGTAATTTGATGATTTTGAAATTTAATGAAGGCTCATCGTATGGGCGGATATGAAACCTCTCATTGACTCAACAAGTCACTATACTGACGCATCCAGAATAAAACCTAATCAATCAGGCGTTTGGAAGTTGAGACTAGTTGGGCCATGCCGAGAAAACATTGCCGTCATCACCATCATTTCCAGTAATTTCCATTAGATTATCAAAGAAACCTGTATCGGCATCCTGCAATGCCCAGTTATCATATCCAGCAGTGTATAGAGGCTCTTCATACTGTTGCGGAACGGCGGCGGGTATCTCAGTACGGAATTGCAGTGAATCATGTGCAGCAGGATCATTGTGATTAATAGTAACCCAATGGGCTGAGGTTTCAGGTGATTGTGCCTCTCTCTCTGTTGGAAAGCCCTCATGATAGTTCGGTGTCGAGTAGGCTGGTGTCTTGCCTCCGGCATTAGGATTCATGCTAGACATACCAGAGCCGGACGAAAAAGCTGCAGCTTGTAAATCATCCCCATTTGCAGAAAAACCTTCGGTGATTTGGTATTGGGTTTGACTGGTCTCTGCTGCGTCCAAGGAGATGCCCTTGCGCGTGATTTTGATAAAGCCGAAGTAGGGAATTGACATCCGAACAGTGTCGCTACTGTCTGACGGATGCGGCTCCTGTTCAGCGACCGGCACCTGCACACCATCGTGGTGCAGAGTCTCGTCCGCTGCTTCGGCCTCGATGGCCATCAAGCGCCGCAACAAACTAGAACTGTGCACGCTCATAGCATCTCCGTCCAATCGGCTGACTTCCTCGATGCTCTCGAGGACTTTCTCTATCAGAGCATGGTCGCAAGGCCGCTGGTGTGCTAGCAGATTGCCCCTCGACACTCTATGATTCCGGAACCGCTGTGGACGGGTAACAGATGGAGGCCTGCGCCGATGTTCGTCAATATGCGCTATGAGAAGGGTCATAGCCGCCGTCAAACCAAAAAAAGCCGACGGTATGACAGCAGAAGGCGATCCGGTTGAAGCTATGGAACATGACAAAGCGCGAGAGTATCTCGCGGGACGCATTGATACAGGTTGACCGCGAATAATCGTATATCTCTCCGATAACCGAGGAACGGAGCATATATGGCAAGTGAAGTTGTATGAGAAGGCTGTAATGATATAATTGATGAAAGAGCCGCCGCATGTCCCAAAATAGTGCTTCTGGCTGGCTCATTGCAGTGGCTAAATTCGGGGTAAGCCACCATCTAGGTGACAATCCCCCGGACGCATTCTGCAGCTCTTCGTCCAGTCCTTGCGTCAGGGCAATATCATGTGAGTCTGGATCTGTTTGATTGCGCTCCAAGATGCGAGACGCTATAACGCAGTGTATACGATCAAGGCGCCCCATGGGCGTGTCACTTGCGAGCATCGACTCGGAGGCCATGGTCCTATCCTGTGTGCCTTGAGGGACGTCCAACATCAAACAGAGGTAGCGCTCAATGGAAACAATTCGGAACCATACAAGCTCCGGGTAGGCTTCCGTATTATGTTCAACAACCTTGCACTGTGCCCTTCCTGGCCGATAGAAGCCCATTAACTGTGCAAGGGTCATAGCTCTCCGAATTGTGACCAAGCCCTTCCATAAATCTCCACCATTTGCATGATACCAGCTCTCTATCATCAAACAATCTAACCCTTCAATGCAGTCGATGATGTTATCATTTGTCATTAGGATGTTGATAGCTGTATCAGCTAGTCTCCTCATCATCTCACGGGGCGGCACTGATAGTCCTTTCATCTCTTCATAGAAGTCAGGATGAAGATGCTGTAGGGCAGTCGCAGCATGAAGCATGTGCCTTGCTATCAGAACAGGGTGAACGTTAGGTTTTGGTTGCGTGAAAATGCTTTTGAGAGACTTTCTCTTTTAAGATTCTTGTACGGCACAGTTTGCATTTGGTAAAAGAAAGATGATGTATTCCCGCATGCTGTAAATATTATTCTGATGTCCTCTGGCGACAGTAAGGGCTCGTGCAGAGCCAGAGAAAGCCTCCCGTAATTTGCTGGAGGAAGAAAAGGTACGTTAGCAGATTCCGGATCTAAAGACCCAGCCCCGCCATCCGTAGGCTCGCAGCCAGCTGCATCAGATTCCTAATCAAAGCTCAGTGGCGGCCACAATGGCAATGTCATTACATGTCGAACGTACAATTGCCAAAGGCTTGGACAAAGCCAAACCCTGCGAAGGCTCAGAGCTGACTAATGAGGGAGCGGAGATGCCATGGTGTATTGTTCCCACATCATAGTTCCTTGCTTCTTGAACAGTAGCAGGGGGCGAATCATTAGGGACTTTCTTGAGCAACTGCTCGACTAGTGCTTCGACCCTCATAATGCGATCGGCCATCTGGATATTCCTTTCTAAAGATGGCGTGATCTCCTCAGGATATTCTTGGCCAACACATTTCACGCCACGTCGATGGCAGCGAAAACAGGCCTTGTCTGCGGGTGAGCTGAAGATGCACTTCATCTTCCGTCGCCTACACTCCCAGCAGCTCCGGGTTCCCTTCCGGACTTTCATCCGCGTTGCCTCGGACGTGCCATGACTTTCGCGGACGCTGGCAGCAGGGTCCGGAAGAGAACTGGCATAGGGTTTAGGCATTGCATCTATTACCTCCAGTAGCAAGTATGGCTAAAGTGGTAGTTCGACGATCGGGACTGTGCGAAGCGGGTATGCGGCTTATCGCATCACGTGTGAACGTCTGAGCACAGGAATCAGACTGGCGTTCGCGGGCGAGTGGGCGGTTCAGTAACCAAACCCGCGCCTGTCGAGGTCTAGAATCAGTAGAGCATACAACGGCTCTTGAGCGAAGAAGCCTGAGGATTTCCGCCCGGTGCACTATTCAGATCATCAACAATTGCGGGACTGGAAAGGGATTTCGACCGCTAGCTCGGCGGACCGAAATTCAAAATTGGGGGCCAAAGCTGCTGGCATTCAGCCCCACCCGATGATGTTACGATGTCATCGCGCGCAACGGTGTTCGTCCGTTCGTCGGCCTTTAAGATTACCAAGAAACAAGTCCTAAATCTCGGAGGACGAAAGGAGGTGATTACCATTGGAGACGTCCATATAAATCTAGTCTATCGCGTTGAATCCAAGCACTACCAGTTCATACTTCTTCCATCTACAAGTCTACTCTTGAATTCTCAGCTGAAGAAGTTTATCACAATGGCGAATCTATTCAACATCCTTCCCCCAAATACCCCTGGCAAGGCTGAGCCCTTCAATTTCCATGTATCCGACGAAGAGCTGGTCGAATTCAGAGACCTCTTGAACCTATCTAAGATCGGACCTGCAACCTGGTGGAACCAGCAGAAAACCCCAGAGTTCGGAGTGTCTCTTGAGTGGCTGAGCAAGGCAAAAGAGACTTGGCTCACAAGCTTCGACTGGCGTAAGCATGAGGAATACATTAACAAATTCCCAAATTTCAAGATTGCTATCAAGGATCATGAGGCCGGTCATGTCAACATTCATTTCGCCGCGATTTTTTCTGCAAGGAAAGATGCCATCCCTATCATCTTTCTCCATGGGTTCCCAGCCTCGTTTGTTGAGTTCTTGCCAATGATGGAACTACTGATGGAGAAGTATACTCCTGAGACTCTTCCATACCATGTCATTGTGCCCTCTTTGCCCGACTTTGGACTGTCCAGTAGGTCTAGTCAGGACACCGAAATGACACTGGACCGAGCTGCGTTTATCATGAATCAGTTGATGCTCGACCTTGGATTTGGTCGAGGGTACATAGCACAGGGCGGTGATCTCGGGAGTATGCTTGCACGGATCATGTCCGTTCAATACAACGAATGCAAGGCCTTCCACGGTACGTACAAGCTCAAGCAATGTGTCAGACGAATCAAAGGTACCTAACATATCATAGTCAACATGCTTACGCTGAACCCTGGACAGTCCGTCTCTTCCTCCAGCAGTCCTACTCCTGAAGAGCTGCGTATTGTCGAACGGACAGAGGCTTGGCGTCAAACTGGCCTAGCGTATGCACTTGAGCATGGCACTCGTCCTGCAACTGTCGGTTTAGCTATTTCGTCTAGCCCACTCGCCATGCTAGCTTGGTCAATAACCCCTCCCGCTATTTCGTACCTGAGCTGACGGCCTTCCAGGATAGGGGAGAAGCTCCTTGAGTGGACTGATCCTCGGGAGCCATTCCCACTCGATACCATCCTAAGCATGGTCAGCTTCTATTGGTTCACGCAGACATTTCCCCGCAGTTTGTATCATGCAACTCTTGTGAGGAATCTTCTTGCAGGGGACCCGCATCCGATATCAATGGAGAAGCCACTTGGGTATTCATTGTTTCCATATGATCTCGCCGTGCTGCCGAAGGCCTGGGCCGAAGAGATATACCCTAATCTGGCTATCTTTAGGAGTCATTCCAAGGTGAGCGATACTTGCACCTCTTATTACCTGTGGTATGACACATCACTAATTCGGACTTTCAGGGAGGTCATTTTGCCAGCTTAGAGCAGCCGGAAGCATTTTTACAAGATGTTGAGGAGTTTGTTAGTGAAGTCAGCGGATTATTTGGTGTCTGACAGGTCTCTGCCACCCATTTGTAGCCGCAGACGGCTTCCAGCTCAGTTGCCTCGATGTATGTCAAGGAATCACAATTGGCAAATCACTTCGTGAGCGGGAAGAATGCTGGATAGCTCAGCACTCACAGTGTCCAAGCTTTTTTACCGCTTCTGGTCACTTTTCCAATTCATCTTCAATAATGTATGACTTTATCTTAGTCCACGGTAAAAATAAGTTAGTCTTCGAAGTAATTCATGCATTTCCTATGCTAATTTTAGACACCAGTTATTAGTTAACTTGGCAAAGCATAATCATGAGCTAACATAGGGCTCGGAGATCCTATCACTACGCCTGAGGCCGCTCCTGATCTACACAGTGAGCAAAAGCGCGGGAGGGTGGGCAGGAGGGTGGGCACTGAAACGGAAAGGGAAATCAGGAATCGTAAAAGGTTCCATTTCGTAGGCAAGGAGACAAGTACAACTTTCAATTGCAAACTACCAGTTGAATCCACCATAATCAATCTGTATTCATATTGACTCGGTGCTTTTTGAAGACTTCCATCAAGCTTTGAGGTCTTCACCATAGTTTCAAAACATGACATACATAGAAGTGAGTACAACCAAAGCATAGACCATCCATAGCCGAATCATTCTTACAGACATTCCTATATCAAAATCGATACCGCATTTCCATCAGGATTCAAAACTTCATACTTGATATCCTTATAGTCATCTGTCGCACGCGCATAACCCACGAATTCCTCCTCAGTATCAGCAAGTGCCGTATAAAACTTCCCAATGGCCTCCGTAATCTTCAAATCCACATCCGATGCCTTCGTCCGATAAACAAGCCACTGTGAATGAGCGCACGCAATCAGTGTTTCTTTATCCTGATCCGGCTTGAAGTTGAGTAGGTATGGAACATGTGAAGAAAGAAGCCATTCTCGTGGATGATTCATCGGAAGGGCTTTGACTAGGTCATCCTCTGTGTAGTTGAGCAGACTCTGCAGCGAGGTCGGAGGCGGGGTGAAAAAAGATGGAGGTTTGTTGATCACGAATGCCTGGTAGTAGTCTTGTAGGTAGTTGACAGCTGTGTGTTGGGGTGATGCGATGTGAATACACATTGTCACGCAATCGACTAATTCGGCGAATGTGGTGATGGTTGGGAAGAGTGGTAAATCGGCGCCGTTGGCACTCTGCATCTCGGCGGACCAATCCTGAATGTCTTTATCATCTAGAACCTTTTGGTCTGCGTTAGGCTCGGGGTAAGCTAGGGAAAGCATATCTTCCACGTAGGACCTAATCTTGTTCCACATGCTGTTGATACATCTAGCGTAGGCGTAGTTGTGGAACTTCGGGCTGTTGAGTTGTTCTGGAGGGAATCCTCGTGCCTTGAGATCTATTGGTACGTAGCTCTTCTTGAAGTTGAAGGCTTTGTATTCACTCCGTATGAACTGAAGTGCTTGTTTCGAATCAAACCCGATGATGTTAAGAATTATATGGGGAACGAGAGTGCTTCGGGCTGCTGCGTTTAGTGCCAGGGTCTTCTGCCAGTGCGGACGAAGAATGCGGAACACAGGATGGTGGGGATCGAAGTTTCGATTACAAGCCACTATAACGGCTTCTTCGATCAAATGAGTGCGTGTCAGGTGCGCGGTGACTTCATGTCGAAGCCAGTCGCTACATTGCACACAACTCTTGGCTTTTTCCGAGACACGTTAGCGCACATCTTAGGGGACGGAGTTCTTGGAATTTTTACCATATCTCCAAGCCCAGTCAACGGCCTCATCAATTGCCATCACCTTTCGGTCCTGGTTTTTGCTTCCTGTCCGGATATCCACCCGCTTGATCAATTCTCGATTGTAGACTGTCACGGAGTTTTCAAGACTGCCCCGCCAATCAATGACAATAGCTAGCGGATAGAGCTGGCCCTTATCGTTGAGATGGAAAAGACACACGGACGCGCATCCATAACGATAGCTTTTTTCGCCATTTTGGGCTTTGGGATCGTGATATTCACACTTGATCTCGTCGGCCGGGCCAAGACCAGCCGCTTCGCGAAAATAGCTGTAATCCTGCATATATAGAGAGCTCTTGGAGCTGATACTCAGATCGGTGATGATATTCTTGACTGCTTCGTCATCTGCTTTTGCAGCTTTGATAAAGTGCTGTATCCACGTGTCCGAAGCCCGTTCTATTGTTGTCGGATTCGTCCCTGTAAAGTGTTGCTGGGCGAACCGAGCATCGGTGTACCAATCTTTGAGATCACCCACATTAGGACGGTCGAATATATCGTTATGAGACCCCCGCGCGCGTTGTGTCCGGTTGTAGTTTTCCACGTCTGCAATCTTAGTTCCCGCATCAGGTGTGCCCATCGTCCCAAACCGGGCGTGTCCGATCAGTCCTGCTGCTCCCTCGACGACGTCCTCAACAACTTCCTCTAGAAACCCCTCGGCGCGCTTTAGATTGGATTCGGGCCCATGGAATTCATTAGGGACAACCAGGGGTAAGATTGAGCTCAACTGAACCAGGCGCATGGCATTGAAGATTTTGAATTGTGAGAGTGTTGATTTCTGATTTTCGTCTGTCTCGCGCGCAGCAGCTCCTTTATTACCGGCAAGATTGAGATGTGGCGGGAAACCATCTTCTTCGCTCTTTGTGAACGCAAAGTCGTCGCGTTTATCTTCTTTGGTCTGAGCGGGTGGAACCAATGGTTCGAAATTGGCTACATCCATGAAGGATATATAACTGTCGAATATATCAGTCAATTGTCTTGAAGGTCAAAATCTTACGGCTTTGATGTACCGCTGTTCTATAAGGTCATAAGCCTTACTCATTGCCAGTTGAGTTCCCCGATATGTTCCTTTCTGTATTCCCTCGGGCCGTTGATCTCTCTGCTTTCTCCAGCTTATGTTCTCGGGATTTTGGTCGAAGGCCTTTTTCTCATCTTCGTTCAAATTGATCTCCCATGGTAGTAATTTAAGGTGTGACAACTCATTGATGAATACACCGGTGTCCAGCCCATTGGCAACAACATTTTTAGGGTCCTTGGGCCATTTTCTATGGGCGTCGGTATCACTGGAGCCGACGCCAGGAATCAGGGATCCGAGGCGAACCATGATTGCTTGCGCGGAGTCTTAATACAATAGTCGATATGCTCGAGTTACGCCCAGATAGTTGCCGGTACCTCGAGTGACAATAAACGAGCACATTATAGGACCTCACTAACGGGACCGAATAAGTCGCCGGGAATACGGCGGATTTTATCAAGCTGATTACTGCCTCGTGATGTCATGACTGGACAGTTATCGAGAATATCAGCATTCATGATTTGCTACGTTCCAAGTTAATTCTCGTATCCCGCATTGTCTCATATCTTCCGAATGCTGTAAACCTCCTTCGACGGTAGATGTGTGCTGGTCATTACAATTCCGACATTATCGCGGGGTTGGAGTACATACTTTGATTCCGTTCGGAACACCCCAGAACGGCCATAACGGATACCCCGGATCAGCTACTGAGTCCGGGGTACTGGTGGGAGCTTACGTACGCTTTACCGGCCTAACGGATCTTTGATTGGGTCAAGGGGATTAAACATTCATAAGGTTGTCAGTGGATGACCCGTCCTATCACCCACATAGGCAATCCAAACGCTGCAAGCGGATGCCCAAGTCGTCGTTATTCGGATCCCAAAGAATTAGAACAAAGCATTGAGACGGGCCGAGAGATCTAGCCCACTGCACAGTGGGTCATCGACAAAGCTCGCCATTGTCGTATCCATTGGCCACATCTCTTAAGAAGTTGTTCGTTCTCAGCAAGAAAGATCTGAGAGCTTGGAGAAGAACTTGTATCGCGGAAGAGCTACTTAGGATAAATAACCCGTTCAAAGCGGAAGAAGCACATTTGAGAGACCTAGCAACCGTTATTTAGTACGCAGAATACATATTGTGGCCAACCTTCTTGCCATATGCCCACTGGAATGTTGCTACTACTGGAGATCCACCGACACGTCACGTCACCCGGAACGTACCGAACCCAAAACTGAGTTCTAGACCTAAAAATCTGCCAATTATCAAAGTCAAAGGTACGGGTGTGCTATCCATCTAATGGATCAAGTATGATTTTTCTGAATGTTGAGTCATACGAAGGAATCCATTATTAAACTGGTTAATATCAAGAATAACTCCATGCAAACATAGGAAATGGTCAAGGAGTGTTCGGGTGAAATTGCATTAAAGCAAACGGGAAACAACGAGTGCAAGCAATCAGATGCATGGTGAACTCTCTATAGGAGTAACAAAAAGAGTATGATACTGCAGCGCCATGCAATAATAACCAAAATCATAACCAGTAACCAAAAGGCGTGAACAATTAGATGCACCTGCGCCGGGGTATTTCGCAGTATAAAGACAAAGACTGGTTGAACAAAATAACCAAGAACGAAAGGCATTAGACAGACATGACAATTCATATGCATAAGACAAGTTAGGTGGTCACCCAAGCCAGGTTACCGGCGGAACATTCGAACTGGAGCACTCAGGTCCCGGCGTTCGACCACGTCATTCTCGCTTCTCGAAGATTGTGTTTGGAGGTTGGGGATGCGTCGTGGACCCCGGCCAGGAGTTGTAGCGGTGCTTCCAGTCGAGCCCGCGGACCGACCAGCCTCGCTGGCGCTCACTGAGCGTACATTACTGCGTGCCCGACCACGTCTCGCCCTGATCTGTGCAAGGGCATCTTCGCGGTCGATTGGCTGGTTCGGAAAGAAAGATGAGCTCTGGGGAGCGTTTGGCTCACGGAGAGGAACCCTCTTGGTTGTTGAGTGGGAATGGTAATCCTCTCGCTCCCGAGTCCTTGTAGGCCTAGCTTCGACGAGGGCGTGGGCGGGAATCTCGTCATCCATAGCCGACTCTGGTAGGGCATGGTTGGCCATTCTAGATGACCTAGGCTCTTCCGAGGGAGTGTAAGATCGCACATGTCCGCTGGAGGAGGCTGATTCCCTCCATTCAGCACGCGGTCGAACTGGGGGGTATGGAATGCTGGGAGCGTCAAAATCATTGGGTCGTCGAGGTGGAGGTCTGGGAATGTCGCGAATAGGTGATGGGAATGTTTTGAAAGTGCCCGTCTCCGGTGAGAACGTCACCAGGGGTTCCTCGGGCATGGGCATCTTCTCGGGAGGCTCCGTCGGCTCACGCTTCACTTTCAACTCAGAATTCACGCCATGTCGGTGTGGAGGAGGGGCAGGAGGCTCTGCAGAAGGTGTGTGGCTGGAATGGGGTGCAGGGTAAGAGATCTGGGCTCGCCGAGCTGCCTCCTCTTGGGCCGCTGCCTTTGCCTCTGCTGCTTCCTTTTCCTGCGCCGCAACCTTGGCTTTGGCTGCCACCTCGGCCTCGGCCTCTGCCTCTGCCTGGGCCTTTAATCGTGCCGCTTCCTCTGCTTGTGCCTTTGCTTGTGCTTCTGCCTTTGCCTTCGCCACTGCTGCTGCCTCGGCCTTTGCCTGAGCTGCTGCTTTGGCTTCCGCTTCTAATTGTGGCTTTTGGAACTTTTCGTAGTATTCGTTATCGTAAATGAATCTCCGGCCTTCCTTTTCAGCGAGTCGACATGAGCAACGCTCAAACTGACATTCGATGTTCAGAAAATGAACCATTTCTTCAGCTGCAATTCTTTGACGACGCTCGATGTAAAGTTCATCTTTAAGGTCGTCTATCGTTTCACTGTCAAGTTCTGACGGCGCAGCGACCGGCTCCTTGACAAGAGACGTCACCTCTGATAGTCGCTGTCGCTTGGGCGGGGTGGCCTCGGCAACATTTTCAGGCTCTCGTTCTTGAGCAGGGGATCTTATGGAGTCTGCTGCAGCTCGCTTCGGTCGGCGTGGTGTTGTCAAAAATGCAAGATCGCCCTCTACCAGGGACATCCGACCAAAGTCTTCCTTGCGAATCTCATGAGCTCGAACTTCCAATTTGTTTGAGTGGTTAGATGCTTCCATAGATCGAAGTTTGCCCTTGAGTACTTCAAGTTCTTCCGTAAGACCGGCCAGAGCGTATGCGCGTTCGAATGCCTCCTGCTTTGCGTGGTCCTTGGCCTCCCGCTCTGCGGCGACTTCATCTTTCAAAGCCTTTGATTCGGATTTGGCATGTTTTAGCTCTTCTTGCAGTTTGACCAAAGTCGAGCCTGCACGGAAGGCCTCTTTCCTGGCCTTTCGGATTTCTTTCTCGAAAATTGATCGTTCGTGGGCTTGACGTTCTTTCGTCCCATGGAGTTCTTCTAATAATGATTCGAGTCGCTCGCTGATCCGGCGTTCTCGTGACTGTGCTTCGGAAAGCTCTTCTTGGGCCGATGTAAGGGCTGATTCGGCCTCCTCACGACCGAGGATTGCCCTTTGTAGCGCGGCATTGTTTGTTGCTGTTTGTGCTTGGGCACTTGGGCTGCTCCCTCGAGCGAGACTATTCAAGAACGCCACTTTTGCTTGGACCTCTGATACCCCTTTAGTGTTTTTGTGGTGTAGGGACAACAACTCGGAGGGAAGGGAGGGAGAGGCGGGGATGGTTTGTTGATTCATGCGTTCCGGCGATACCGGGTTAAGCGCTTTGGTGGGACTGAGGACTGGACGCGTTGGAGATTCCATCGCGGATAGAGTCGAGAGAATATAGGTGACCGGAATATGTGTCAAGTGGTCATGGGTGCAAGTTGTGAGGAAATGTGTCCACGGGAGAAAATCACCGTTGGAGTTTGGGGAGTGACGCACCCACAAGATCCATGTTTATTGCCCTTTTCGTGTGAGGCACGTGACCGTTGCCGTGGACACCAGTGAACCCAACCCAATCGGGTTAGTCTCACTTGCCTATCACGGGGCAAACCATCACGTGTGGATGCACTCGAATCGGGATTAGCGCGGGGAGAATCACCAATCTGTGCGGCATCATATGCCACGCTCATGCGAGTAGCCGGGACCTTACAATCTACGAAGCTCTTTTAAAGATCACATGATGTTACCTGCTGCTTAGATCAGTGCTTTTTTATCTTGTTTGTTCCCTCCCCCTCTCTCATACACAATACAATTGTTCTGTTCGCTCCGTTCGTTGCCCACCACATACTAGTAGTGGTGTGCTTCTTCTTCTGTCTCTTTCAATTGTCCTCTGATCCTCCTTTAGCGTGGGAACTGGCAAACTCTCATCAGCGAGGGATCTGATAAGATGCATGAGGTCGTCACCCTACAGCTAGGCCAGCGTGCCAATTATCTGGCAACACATTTCTGGAATCTCCAGGTACTGTGAAATATTATTGTTATCTAATTCGTCTTTTCAAGTCTGACCAATGAATAGGAGTCATATTTCACATACAATGAGAGCGAGGAAACTCCCATTGACCATGATGTTCATTTCCGACCTGGTGTCGGAGCCGATGGCTCAGAAACCTACACACCTCGAACCGTCATCTATGATCTCAAAGGCGGGTTTGGAACTCTCCGGCAGTACAATGCGCTGTATGAAATGTCCGAGGATAACGTGAGCGGACAGGGTCTTTGGTAAACTCTCAAATATTATTTACCTTTACCAACTACTTGGAACTCATCTTTGGATAGGGATGGACTCGAAGTTGTTCAAAAGCAAACGCCTATTCAGCCAAGTGAATATCAGAAAAGCTTAGAACTCGGTACTCCTGCTCCCCGGCTAACATCTGAGACTGTGCGCTATTGGTCTGATTACAATAGAGTCTTTTACCATCCGCGGTCCATAGTGCAGCTGAATGAGTATGAGCTCAATTCCCAGATTATGCCTTTTGAGGACTGGAATGCCGGTGAAGAGCTTTTCAATGATCTTGATAAGGAACACGACCTCCTTGACCGGGATGTCAGACCATTTGCCGAAGAATGTGATCAAATGCGAGCTTTTCAGCTGTTCTCTGGGGCTGATGATGCTTGGGGCGGCTTTACAGCACGATATGTTGACCGCTTGCGGGATGAGTACGGGAAGAAAAGCGTATGGGTGTGGGCCATGGAAGATGGCGCCCGAGTTCAACGAGTCAGTTTGTCCAATTGTTCTCTAAAGGAAAAACACGGTTTTAACATACTTTCATTAGCATCAACAAATGAAAAAGGACGTGAACAAGGCCAAATCGCTGTACTCGATCTCGCCACAGGCCAATCTCTATGTGCCGATTGTTGATATCCCATCGAGACTTCCAAGCTACATTAATGTAGACAAAAAATCCCAATGGCAAACCACCGCTCTGATTAGCTCCGCTCTTGAGACTATCACCTTGCCGTCTCGTCTACGGCCATACCACGACTTTGAAGCCTCCCTGGCTGGCGATGACGGAAGACACACGATTTATGAGCTACAGTGTTCTATCAACCCACAGGATCGCGATGAGAAATTGCCGACAGAGGATGAGGGGAGACCCAAGGCCCAATCTGAATTTGACATTGACTTCAGCTACGGAGACGGCGATGACAAGAATGCGCACATCTTTAACCAGGTCCAGGTGACTCGCGGACATGAGCGTGGGAACTCTACAGAACCACCACAAGAGGAGCTTGGCCACATTCGTAAACTTCGATTGTACAATTCTGAAGCGATGCTTCAAAGGTATTCTTTCACGTCTGTGATCCTTGTCTCACTTTATTTACTAACCGGGCCAACCAATTAGCTACCATACTCCACTTCGCATGCCTATGCTTGACAGTTTCCCGCACGATCTCTACCCAACTTTCAAGTCCGATGAAGGTCACAGTGTCTTTGCCGCATTGACCTCTTCAACCCGGACTGCCCAAAGAATTAAGTCTATCGAGGCCACCACCGCCCGCATGCTCTCTGTCGACGAGCGCGAGAACATGATGAATGGATTAGGCGAGATTAGGGAAGCTTATGAGACAGGTTGGAGCAGTGGATCTGATGATGATTCTGACTAGGTAGAGTTGCCAACAAATGAATGAGTGAATAAATACCACATCGCAATATGACGCTTCAGGTCGGATAAATCGGCTACTCCGGATGTTGATCTCTCACAATGCCATTTGGCGTCAGAGTGCGGCGACTCATTCCGCCGTCATAGGACCCCTAAATTTAGTATTCAGTGCTTTCTTTCTGGAACCCCTTGAGTCATACGAATAATAACCGAAATAACACGAGGTTTATGTAGAACTCTCGCCTAAAAAGGGGGATGTGGCTTGTTTAATTAGAACACATGGCGTTTGGCTTTGAGAGAATTTCAGGTCAATAGAACAAATACTATTGTTCTCACTCGGTGATTGAGACTTAGTTAGTCCCTGGGTGACAGGCCCTTGACATGGACTCTGGCTCAAAGCCTCTCCTAGACTACCGTCCATTCCGAATATCTACCTTGCCTGCCACTGAACTCTACGCAACGGGCTTGGTAGAAGTCGATAAATCAAAGCGTAGATATTCAGAATGACCTTATCTCTCCCGTCACTATTTCCTCACAACTTAAAGACATTTTAAGATGTCACCGGTTGCATTTCCAGCTCTCGGGAGAACAGAATGCATTTCGCATCTCTTAGCCAACCGGAATGATTACGCAGGGGAAATGTAACCATGGAACTCCCGTCCTATCCGAAACATGACAAGTAGCGAGCCATTTTTCACGGTAAGTAATATGGAACCAAAGGGCAATAGCACAGCAACTGAGGGAACCGACCTTGTGATATCACACCTCCTGGTGGCACCAATCGACCCCGCGCGGAAACGTCTTTGTGTCTGGGCGCACTTTTATGTACCTGCTCATCGAAATTTCTATTTTGGAGCGCCATATTACTTTCTCTTCCTAGGATTTTCGCTGTTTTTACTTCGTCATCCCCAGGACCAAGGTAACTGCCATGTAACGTTACTTGCATAGGCCGCAAGGCACTAGATCATCGCACCCAATCGAGTCCCGATAAGAACCTAAGGAACGGATCCACCTTTCCAGGGCCTAATGCTACCCCAGTAGAAAGATGCTGCAGGGACTCGTGGCATGCATCATCATGGCCCACTTTCTGGACCCTGAACCCGCCAAATTCCTTTGATTCCACGCCAATGCACGGATGTCATAATTCCCGGATTCTTTTAGCAAATGTCTCACCCTATAGCGATCGGCATTGATTAACCTTAAAAGCTCAGTACCAAAGCTAGTATGAACTTACGTGCCGGAGCAAGACTACCGCGACGTTTTTCATTCGTGAGGTTTCCCCACAAAACACTAACCACTCAACAACTCATGAAACCTATCATATCTTTGTCGACCTCCAACCGACATACTCGGTCTCATGATGGGCAATCTTGGATTGAATCCAGAAACATGGTTGAGATCTTCCTTCAGGTTTTTATGATGACGGCGGAGGCTGGCGGTGCAAACAAAACCAACTCCCGACTTAATACGCAGAATAGTCTATACTCCAATCTTCATCTGCTAAGAGATGCCAAGATCACGACTGTATCATTGGGTCGCCTCCAGATTGATTCCAAACATTGCTTTAGCCGTATTTGGCTTGGCAGCAAGTATCCCGGTGCTTCCATTGAGCGAACCAGGATCTACTCTTGAGACATGAAAGCATTCATTGGCCAACTTCCTGAATCTATCGCCGAGCTAGCCGGGTGTGTGCGTTGGTACTAGCTTCGTTTATGGATCAAGACCCAATTACCAGAGCTGCTTTCATTCCCCTGGACAATGGAAGGTTCGCTGAATCCTGTTACCACCCTAGACCTAGTCATCTTTCCATACTGGGTCCCACTCAATAACCTGGCATTGTATTAGTACCGAAGCTGTATCAATTGAGCCATGCACTCTCCAGACCGACCAGGGTTCATCCACTAATCAAGGAAACATAGCATCCAGCCCAGGAAGACTTTTCCGGGGGCTAATATATAAACTCACTTCATATCCTCGCCTCTTTCTAGTACTTTCTGGACTATTGAACCATCTTTTTTAGGAACACTTTCGCTACAGTTTGTCCGATTCTTCGTTCGAGGAACAAGCGTCAAATTACCTATCTATTACTTTGTTCTAGCAATTCGTCGCTCGTTTGATACTCACTATGCGTGGCGCTTCGATTTTTCTACTCTATGTCGCCAGTCTGGTGTCAGGCAATGTTCTGCCGAGACAAGCTGCCGGCGACATCCAGATTGGCATTCGCCAGGCTCAGAGCAATACAACTTCCACCGCAACTTCCACACCGCTTCCTACGTCTGTGCCTTCTGTGACCCTTACCTCTACTCCAACTAGCTCAGAAACGACGTCAACTCCATCTCTTTCATCAACACCTACTACCCCGAGTGGAGCGGGTACGCCCAGCGGTTCCCCTTCGACTTCAACTCCATGTGAGAAATGCTCTGAGAGTAGCACTGAAACTTCAACCTCAACCACAACTACATGCGATAAATGCTCAGAGTGCACTGCAACCTCCACTCCATGCGAAATTGAAACCACTGCAACCTCCACTCCATGCGAAACTGAAACCACTTCGATCACCACTCCATGCACTGAGTCTACCACGGCTCCGCCTGAGTCTACTCCGTGCGAAACTGAATCCGAAACCATCCTTCCGACCACCATGACTATTACAATCACGACAACTACCTGTCCAGGTATGTTAATATCCTATTATTGAGAACAATTTCCATATTCATTGCTGACTCCTATAGTCTCGTGGTCCTCCGTTACAAGTGGATCGGCTGTCATCAGCAACCCGGTGACTTTGACAAGCACTCTTACCCTGACCTCTGTTGTCACCTGTAACGAGGGGTGCCCTGTGGCAACTGCCCCAGCTGAAACTGGTGGTGTGGTTCCACCCGCCAGCTTGGCTCCTACATCTACCTCTCCTACGTCTACCGCTCCTGCATCTGAAAGCTCTCCGGCTGCGAGTGAGAGCTCTTCTGGTTCTGGAAGCGTATCAGGAAGCGGTTTAGGAAGCTCTGAGGGCTCCCCTACAGTGCCTGCCGTATCTGCTAGTAGTAGTCCTATTTTCAATGCCGCCTCTTCTCAGTTCCAGCATTCCCTGGCTGGCTTCTTCCCTGGTCTTGTCATTGCCTTGATACTGATCTAATCAACCTTGATCTGGGAGTTATGAGAATTTTTATGACTAGCAACATCTTTGCAGGGTAATGTTGATGATGATGGTTTTTGGGCATGTTAGTCAGTACAGAGGTTGAGGAACGTACGTGAGTAGCTGACCCATACGAAAGAAGATGAAAGGGCGGAATAACAGTTTTATCTTCTTGGGCATGGACTTGAAAGGATTCCTAGGTAGTCACTCTCACGCTCTTGACTTTGGCTGTTTGTGCTTGACCGAAGAGCAGGTTGCTGCGATATGACGTTTTGGCTGTATGACTGATGTTCCTTGCGATGACATGCAGGGATGATTCTGCATGGAGCAATCTTTAATTTATGCAATCGTGGCTGTTTCGCTTGAAATTTTGCATACTACACGTTTAATGGAGCAACCTGTGATTTCTTTGTTGGGAAGCGATAATAATATGATAATTCTTACTCGTGACTTCGACTTGGCCATTTATATTGCCCGTTGGCTTTAGGGCTCAATGTATTACATAATAGAGTGGGGCCAAACAATGCAAACACCCTTACATCGAGGTGCTGTCGGACCCGTGGCCTCAGATGCGGCTCGTTGTGTTTCTGTTGCCAGGTGGCCACTCTATCCCCTCGCACCTAGATGGATTAATTGACGTGGTGTTCTACCTTTGTATCACCCATCTTCTTTCCCGAGTCTGATATACACCCCCAATCCCTCCACCGCACTATTCCAGAGCTACATTCATTCGGCGCAAAGCCAGCGTTCCACCGACACACCTCTTGGCGATCTAGTGGAGCGACTTCAGTACTTGCTATATTTTTGTACTAATTAGCTGCTTTTATGTGCGTCATATCAAACATCGAATAACTCGTGTGCGGCATGGACTAACAAACTCAGTGCGCAGCACAAACATAGATCATGGCTCTCCCGGGCCGCCAAAGTCTACATACTTCGCCATTCCTCTCCCTCGTGATCCTCCCGCTACTCGTCTTCCTCCTCAGCTTCGCAGGACCAGCTTCCGCAGCTGGATCCGCCGTCCTCGGTCTCGATGTCGGCACAGAATACTTTAAAGCGACACTAGTCAAACCCGGTATTCCTCTCGAAATTGTCCTCAGCAAAGACTCAAAGCGCAAGGAAGCTGCCGCTATCGCATTCAAGCCCACAAGAGACTCATCTGCAGCTTTTCCCGAACGATTCTACGGTGGAAATGCGCTGGCCCTGGCGGCTCGCTACCCGGATGACGTGTACATCAACCTGAAGACGCTTTTGGGAGTCCCCTTTAATGACGGAAATGATGACACAATTAAGAACTACTGGAGCCGGTATCCAGCCTTGAATCTCGAGAGTGCCCCCGATGGCCGTGGCTCTGCTGCTTTCCGAAGCAATCGACTTGGCGAGGTGGAGAGGAAGGATGCGTTTTTGGTTGAGGAGATTCTGGCCATGCAGTTGAAGCAGGTCAAGGAGAACGCTGATACCTTGGCTGGAAAGGGTTCCGATGTCCGCGACGTCGTCATTACATATCCCGCTTTCTACACCGCGGAGGAGAAGCGGAGTCTTGTGTTGGCGGCGGAGCTGGCGGGTCTGAATATCGAGGCGCTTGTCAGTGATGGTCTGGCTGTCGGTTTGAACTACGCCACTTCCCGACAATTTCCCAGTGTTACAGATGGTGAGAAGCCTGAGTATCACGTCGTATTCGATATGGGCGCTGGCTCAACTACCGTCAGTGTTTTGCGCTTCCAGAGTCGTCAGGTCAAGGACATTGGCCGTTTCAACAAGACTGTTCAGGAAATCCACGTTCTTGGCGCTGGCTGGGATAGGACCCTTGGAGGTGACTCGCTCAACGATCTCATCGTTGACGATATGGTCGCCAAATTGGTTGAGGACAAGAAGCTGAAGGACAAAGTCACTCCGGAGCAGGTCAAGGCGCACGGAAAGACAATGGCGCGTCTGTGGAAGGATGCGGAGAAAATCCGACAGGTTCTGAGCGCCAATACTGAAACCTCAGCCAGCTTTGAGGGAATTTACGACGAAGAATTGAACTTCAAGTACAAAATTACACGCGCTGCTTTCGAGAAAATGGCCGCTGAACATGTGGCTCGCGTTGGTGTTCCTTTGGAGCAAGCTCTGGAGGCTGCCAAGCTGAAGCTTGATGACATTGACTCTGTGGTCTTGCACGGTGGAGCTATCCGAACTCCCTTTGTTCAGAAGCAATTGGAGAAGGTTGTCGGCTCGGCTAAGAAGCTTCGGACCAACGTCAATGCCGATGAGGCCGCTGTCTTTGGGGCTGCTTTCAAGGGTGCTGCTCTTAGCCCCAGCTTCCGTGTCAAGGATATCCGTGCCCATGATGCGGCTACCTACCCTGTTGTCCTGAAGTGGAACACTGATAGCAAAGAGCGAAACCAGAAGCTTTTCACCTCTACTTCCCAAATTGGTCCGGAGAAGCAGGTTACTGTCAGGAACCTTGAGGACTTCGAGCTCAGCTTCCACCAGCTGATTGACGAGAATGAGCTACCCGTATTGAGTGTGCAGACCCAGAATCTGACCGCGTCAGTCGCCAAGCTGAAGGACACCTTTGGTTGCTCGGCTGCGAACATTACGACCAAATTTGCGATCCGTCTCAGCCCTGTTGACGGCCTTCCCGAAGTGACCGGTGGCAATGTGAGCTGTGAGGTGGAGGCCGAAAAGAAGGGCATCGTGGAAGACGTTAAGGGCTTCTTCGGTCTTGGCTCTAAAAAGGATGAACAACAGGTGCTCGGTGAGGATGGCGAACCCGCTGAATCCGTTACCCTGGAGGCTGAAGCAGAGGCTTCCACAACCGCCTCCGCCAGCGACTCTTCTGCCACCACCACTAAGGAAAGCAGCAAGGGCACCAAGCTGGAGATCATTCCTATCGCTCTGAAGTCCACACCTCTTGGAACCAAGGCCCCCTCAGCCTCTGAGCTTGCCCGCATTCATGCTCGCCTGACCGCGTTCGACGCCTCTGACCGCGAACGTATTCTGCGTGAGGAGGCTTTGAACGAGCTTGAGTCTTTCATCTACCGCAGCCGTGACCTCATTGAGGGCGATGACTTCGTGAACGCCATCAAGGCCGACCAGTTGACCACCCTCCGGGAGAAGGTCTCTCAGGCTAGCGACTGGTTGTATGAAGACAGTGACAACGCACACACCGCAGACTTCAAGGCGAAGCTCAAGGATCTGAAGTCCATTGTCGACCCTGCTCTGAAGCGCATCCAGGAGGCTTCCTCCCGCCCCGCGCGTGTCGAGCTTCTTCAGGAGATGCTGAAGAATGCCGAGTCCATGAAGTCGCTGATTGAGAGCCAAATTGCTATCGACGATGCAGCCTACTCATCCTCTCTCTCGGCTTCCAGCACCGCAACCGTCGAAGAGTCCGAGACTGACTCCGCTAGCACCCCTACCGCTGCCCCCACCGATGATCTGGACGACCTCGACGACGATGCGTACTCTACTTCTACCAAGTCCTCTACCAAGTCCTCTGCCGCCGCAAAGCCCACTGGTCCCAAGTACACCCTTTTCACCCCATCAGACCTCACCACCTTAACCCAGGCTTACGACACCACCAAGCCTTGGCTCGAGGCTCAACTTGAGCTGCAAGAGAAGCTCACCGAGTCCGACGACCCGGCATTGACAGTCGTGGAGATTGACTCCCGCCTTCGCGAGTTTGAGCGTATTCTCAACCGCATGTACGAGCGTATGACAGCAGCCGCTGGAAAGGGCCAAAAGACCGGTGGTGACAAGGCCAAGAAGGAGAAATCTGAGAAGAAGGCCAAGAGCAAGGCTGGTAAGGGCAAGGAGAAGGAGACGGAGAAGACAAAGGAGGATGATCGGAAGGATGAGCTCTGATCTGTCCGGCTTTGCCACTATATCGCATTATGGTTCTTTTTCGTCTTCGTTCAAGTACAGCGCATGATATAACTTCCATATCCTCATGTACCATGCATTCATGTCGTGTTCCTAAATAATAGAGAAGAGAGATTCAATGGAGTTCTGTTTACAACGCATAGTAACTGGGTTACATTTAGCTCTCAATGACAGCCTCTGCATCTTTGTGATGTGATTCAATTTCTATGTTTTAACCCAAGGAAATAACAGATGGTCGCACCAGCATTATCAAACTAAATCATAAAGATACGAACGGTGAAGTTGGTGATTATGGATGAACCTCGCGCACCTCCCATCCTGGACGCCAATATTTCGTCACAAACTTGAGAAAGAACACAATGACTTGAAGCGTGACAGTCATTGCTCGAAGGAGGAGGTATCCCCTCCAGGAATCGAATTGGATCTTTCGTTGCAGGAAATGCATGATGTCGTGTAAGGATCTATATCGAGTCGATGTTCAGTTTCACCTTGATCGCTAATACTGCGAGATTAATCGCTGGACTCACTAAAAGAGGATGAAAGCCATCTGCCTAGGCAGGGACTGCAAAGTAAAAGTTGATATCGTATCTGTGAGGGAGAGAGAATGACCCGCCTTACAGCCTCCTCTGGGTTCTGTAAGATTTACGCCATGTAGACCGAGTTTAGGAGTGACATACTTCGCTTGCTTCGCTATGATCCGAACGAAATGGTTTGCATGTAGATTGCAATCCATTTCAGGGATTTGAGGTGAGTTATGGACAAAAGGAGGGGGATTCACATAAAAGAAGCAAAAATGGCAAATCTGCCTTCATCCGTTATCCCACCTGCATCTATTTCGCATTGCTTTTTTGTGACGAGCTGTGTGGCTTTCTACATGGCGTAAATGGCTTTTCTAGCCGATTGGAGGGTAACACAGCTACGCACTCTTGTCTGACTATGTGATCACTCGAAGCTCGAAGGCTGTTGGAATGATTAATCATCGGATCTTTCATCAGACCTTTGCCTGATGTCGAGGGATCTAGTCCGCATCGGAGACGGAAGAAATCTCGGAGGTACAGAACCCGAATCAGCACGATCTATCTTCCCTTGAAACTCTCAGCCCCACATGGAGCTCAAGAGTTTCAACTCTTTTCGCTGGAATTACCAGATCGGGCTATTTTCCGCTGAGATCGGCGCTGCTACGGATCACGACAGAGACAGAACCATCTTGAATTCACATAGAGTATGAGGGAATCATAGTTCGCTACACATTATTTCAGGTCATATACATGCAGCTTGTTATACATTCAACGAAGGCTTAATTGCTCTAATACGATTTATCGTCGCGGGGTACATCTAACGAAATGTAACCTTGAGATGAAGCTCCGGCGGGAGGTCGATCTCCACCAGTCAAAACATGCATGTGTACCTACTTCTGCAGGTTTTCACGATATTAAATTCTCCTAGGCCCTACATTGTGGAGCTGCAGCTTTGTTTCAACGGCAATCATACGCTGGTGGATCTTGGAGATCGTCGTTTTGCAGACACTAAAGCGCTCGACTAATTCCCTATACGCTATGTCTTGCATACTGGTAGGATCAACAGAGCTTTCATATTTCCGTTGAAGATCTTTCTGTGTAGAGACAGGCTCTACGTTAGCACAGGGAATGAGGGCTATAAAGTCAGCCAGATTCCTCTCTGCCATCCTTCTCACAAGACAGCAAACCTTCTACCCAAAAAAAGGACACTAAAAGTGACTCCAGAAGTATGAGTCCTTCATTTCTCTTCCTCACACTTTTCCCAAGCCTAGCCCTTGCCCTGCCAGGGACAACCCTCGGCAAACGCTCCAGTACACTCATTCCAACCACCTGCTTCGATTCCAACGCAACCCTAAACGAGTACTTCAACTATAACTACCCATGGGGCGACACCCACAATGGCGCCGCCATAATGAGTAGCGCGAACGCCATAATCTCCACACCCGGCACTTTAACTCTAAACGCAACCTACACCGGCGCCTCAGACTACGCCTACGACTCCGGCACCGTCTGGGCCAAGCAAGCATTCACCGTGGAGGAATCCGGCGGCCTAGATTTTTCCGCCGATTTTCTCGCTCCCGTCGTCACGGGTACTTGGCCTGCGTTTTGGCTCGATGGGGAGAATTCCTGGCCTCCAGAGGTCGATATTGCTGAGTGGAAGGGTACGGGCGATATCAGTTTCAACACCTTTAATACTTCCAGTGTGGTTACGGCTCTTGATGTGGATTATCCTGATCCGACGGAGTTCCATACCGTTAAGGCTGAGTTCAGGGATGAGAATGGGAGTGATGTTAGTATTAAGTTCTATCTTGATGGGACTTTGATCACTACGCAGTATGCTAGTGGGCTTACGGGGCAGCCGTTGTATTTGATTATTGATTTGCAGATGGAGGGGAGTAGTGGGAGTCCAGGTCCTACTGGAAGTAAGTTTGACTTATTGATTGCACGCATGTTCGAAGCTAATCTGTGATAGCGACGCTTTACGAGATTAAGAATTTGGAGGTGGTTAGTCAGAATCCGTGATTGGGGATTTGGCGTGAGCCATCGGGATCTTAACTTAGTGTACCTTACTTTGAATGAACAGCAGAACTATACGTCATTTCTTGCAATGAACAGGAAGCGCCAAAGCTGTGCAGATTGTGCCATGGCTTAGTTGCCTCGGTCATGATCCGCCCGAAACCCCCCGTATCGCCTCGATAGGGGTTCTGGGGACAGCGGAGTTTATAAGACACGGTATCTGATTTGACCCCAAGGTTTCCCATCCGGGGTAAGTAGGCTCCAGACAAATTCAATTACTTAAAAACCTTGTTCGCTGCCACCAACCACGCGAAAGATAGGGGAAATCACGGCGAATCTTCTATCTTCTACTTAGCTTACCCGGTGCTTATCAGTCAGCCAAGAGAAAGCCAAGACATTGCCTTATCTTGCGGGGTTGGACAACCTGTTATCTGGACCAAGTACGACTGTAGTAGATCAAGATAAGCTATTGACTATAACTAAGAAGTTAATACCTCGTTCGGCCATGTAGTAAGGACTTGTTTATTTGTCGCAGTCATGTCTGTGTCTGAGGTCTCTCCCAGCCCTAAACATGGTGAACATACCACTATCACAAGTATCGATATCGACTCCAAGGCCGAGAAGGCCTTGGTCTGGAAGTTTGATCTTCACTTGCTCCCCGTCTTGGCTATGATGTACCTTTTCAACAGTCTCGATAAGTCGAATTTGGGTAATGCGAAGACGGCTCACCTTGAAGAAGACTTGCATCTTGTCGGCAACCAATACAGCACTATTCTCAGTATTTTCTACGTTCCCTATGTTCTCACTGCCCCATTCCTTGGTTTACTCGGCAAGAAGTACGGTCCCAATAGAGTGTTGCCATGTATGATGTGCACATTTGGTCTATGCACTGTTCTCATGGTCGCTGTGAAAAACTTCAGTGGTCTGCTTGCTATTCGATGGTTCTTGGGTATGGCCGAGAGTGCTTTCTTCCCCTTGGTCATCTACTACCAGACAACGTACGTTCTTCCATGCTGTTATCATCAGATTTGAAACTTAACAACAAGCTCCAGTTTCTACCGTCGTGGTGAATTGGCCCGTCGTCTGGCGATTTTCTACGCCGCACAGAACATCGGCTCCGCCTTCTCGGGTTTACTCGCCTTCGGCGTCTTCCAAATCCACTCAGGACCCCTCGCTTCGTGGCGATATCTCTTTCTAATCGAAGGCGGTGCAACCTTGATCTGCGCCATTTTTGCACTATGGTATCTCCCCCGCTCAGCAGCTGAAGCGAGCTTCCTCACCCCAGAGGAGAAAGAGCTCGCCTACCTCCGATTGCAAATTGACAGTTCGGCGGTCGTCAACGAAAAGCTGAACATCCGAGATGCATTCCGGATTTTCAAGCACTGGACTAGCTGGGCCATCCTTGTCATTGAAATGTGTCTTGGTGTGCCCCTGCAGGGCGTCTCGCTTTTTTTGCCTGTTATCATCGAGCGTCTGGGATACAGTACTGTCAAGACGAACTTGTATACTGTTGCACCTAATGTCTCCGGTGCAGCTGTGCTGCTGATCCTGGCCTTCTGCAGCGATTGGACGAGATGGCGATTCCCATTCATCGCACTTGGTTTCTTTTTCACTTTTCTGGGTATGGTGATTTTTGCCGCCATTGATGTTCAGCATGATATCAATGTTGCTTATTTTGCTTCCTTTCTTATGTGCTGGGGGACATCTGCGCCGTCTGTTTTACTTGATGTTTGGTATAACAATAATATTGCCAATGAGGGACAGCGTGTCGTTTTGACCAGCATTGCTGTCCCAGTGGCTAATGTGATGGGCGTCGTTGCCTCCAACATCTTTCGCAGTCAGGATGCACCGAAGTACATCCCAGCTTTGGTCACTACGGCTGCGTTCGGCGGGGTTGGAATTGTTTTGACGATTTGTCTGGGACTGTGGATGATGTGGGATAATAGGCGGAGGGATCTGGCCCAGGGCGTACATGTGCAGGCTAAGGATATCCCGACGGAGAACCTTCGGGATGGACCGGCTGGGGAATGTTTCCGGTGGTTTTATTAATAGAATACATGACGTATAATGACCCTTTATGATAGATTTGAACTTTAGCATTCACTTTTCAGCTTTGAACATCCTGTTTTGGTTCGGTTATTCATAGACTTGGCCATGTGTGTTTGAGCATCTGCGAACAGCCAGCTGCATCAATAGGATGATTTACTAGTCTGTTTTTTCTATGCCAATGTATAATACAATGTTACTATCTGAGTGACGTGGTTCAAGGTGACAAGTTACAGTTCCACTGGGCGCTGCGTGGTAGATTCAGATATACTACAGACAATGATACAGAAAGTATGGTACAAACAGGGTATAGGTACAACATAAAAAAAACTCCGTCAACCAGCAACAGCAGAGGAACGCCAACCAGTGGCCGTAAGAAGATAATTCAGACATGAGAACTGGCCGGGAAGATCAAACGCAGTCCATCTGACTGTCGGTATCAACCTCCTCACGTCGACGAAGGAAGGTAGCCTCTTCAAAGTCATCCAAGTCCATGCCCGGGGTTTCATTCAGCTGGCTTTTGCGTTGGATCGCAAGAAAGCGGCGTCGCTGCTGTCCCAGGCTTGGAGAGAGAATGGTTCGTCCGAGAGGGACATCCCGCCACAGCTGGTTATCTTCCATATCGGAATCGTCGTCTGCAAAGATATCATTTCCCCCACCCAGGCGTCTCTTCTGACCATTCAACATGATCGGGGCAGAGTCAGTCGATGCCATCGATTCCTGGCTGCTAGGCGGGAGGGAGTAGTCATCTCCGTCATCGGTGACAGCGGATCGGCCCATTCCAGAGAAAGGAGCTAGCTCCGAGTACCCGTTGGTGGTGTATGTTTGAGCGACCGGTGTGCTCATCGCGGGCACGGCTTTCTCTTTCTCCAGCGAGATCTGGGTCTTGTATCCATCGGCCACGGACTTGCGGACCCGCATTCCGACCGAGAGAAGGGACGATTGGACCTTGGCTGGCACCACTGGAGTGGCTGAGAAGGTGGCGGTCGAGTAGTGGTTGTGCGATACAGTAGCGTTGGAGGCGGTTGACTCGGTGGGGAAGTATGTGGTGATTGAGGGCTGGAAGCGCCGACGCTTGGACAGAGTACTGTTGGAAGGTTGCATCGTGCCCAGGTAAAATGCGGATAGGCGGATGGAGTGGAGAGGCGGGGGTATCAAATGGTTGTAAGGTGAGGGGGAGATTGAAGAGGGGAGAAGATAAGAAATGCAGAATGACAAAATGATGCGGCTGGTAGTCTGGGAAACGCGACGCGGGTCCGTGACACGCGCTTGACACGCTTTCGACACGCTTTTTCAATTATGCCTCTTTAGGACGATGCTAGGGCTTAGGGCTGTATACAGATCATGTGATCCGGGGCACCAGATGAGGTCTACAAGCACAGGTCCATGGACTGAAAAATGGGTTATGGTTCTGAAATGAGAAAATCATAATAATCACTTGAATTAATAGGTCTTGAATATCCTGAGTAGTGCTTCATTTGAATACTTAATCCGTCGGGTAAAATCTTTGGTTCTAAAATTCTCATCTATATATTTAGTCAGGGTGACAGGCGGGAAGTATATACTTCGACCATCGATGCTCTTGACTTAAGGTCAGAATTTCCTTCGAAAATCGAATTACCTACTTAGGCAGTAAGACACCTGGTGAGATATATTGAATAGGTACCTTCATTTTTTGCCCTGTCATATTATAGGAGCTATGTTCTGGAACCAAATTTTACATGATCAATTGATGCTATACTACCTAGTGGTATTGACGCGCCTATCAAGCTTTTGTCCCAAAATAACCTTGGAAAACAGGAAAACAATTTAACTCCGCGTCCCATCGATGATGAACATTCAAAGTCTAGCAAGTAATATGTACCAAGAATAGACCGTCTAATTACCGATATTTCCTCTCTTTCCACCACGCTTCTTGCGGTCATGGTGAGCTTTCAACACAGCTCGAGTCTCAACCAGACTGCGCTTGTTCTTGCTTCTCGCCTTTCCGAGCGTCATAAGGAAGTTCTTTTTGCGAGCCTTCTCCTTGTTGGTGGTACTCTTTCCTTGGTCCTCCTTGCGCTCTCTCCGCTTGGCTTCCTTGCTCTTGTGGTCAGCCCGATCGGTCTTGCCCTCTCTGGCATGAGCAATCTTCTCCTCGCGAGTGAGTTTGGCAGCGGACAAGGCCGCGAGACCTTCTATCTCCTCGGCAGTCAGAGGATCGTCAGTGTGGCGGGACTGAGGAAGCTGTCCGGGACGGCGCTTGTTGCCGGAAACAGCGGCCTCCATTGACGCCTCAGCGCGAAGCTCGGCAAGCTTGGCCAGATCGGCCGGAGTGAGGATGCGAGTGGTTGCAAGTTTGGAGAAGGCTGACTGGCGAGGGGCATCATCTTCCTTTGTCTCTTCGACCTTCTCCTCGGCCTTCTCAGCATCCTGCTTGGCCTTCTTGGAGGGCCGGTCCTTGCCCTCGTCTTCCGAATCACTAATATCGATCTCACCGTCACTCTCGACATTGATCCACTCGCCATCAACACTGCTATCATCGTCGTCCTCGACATTCCAGGCATCCCAGTTATCTTCTTCATCCTCTTCCTCATCATCTTCAGCATCGGATGCAAGACCCTTCTCAAGTCGCTTCTTGCGGCGCTCCTCTTCCTTCCATTTCTCAAGAAGCTCAAGACCCTCGATCTCTCCGGCCTCTTCTTGACCGAAACGTCTCTGTTCTCTGTCGCCTGAACGAAGACCCATTGCAGCCTCCTTACCACGGTCGCGCTTCTTGAGCATCTGCGCACCGACATCACGGTAGAGACTCAACAAACCCTTCGAGGCCATCATAACACCCTTATCCTTACTCTTCTTGTACATGACAAGATCCTGGAGCAGGGTCTCGTTCATCGCCAGAGGCTGTCGGACACAGATCTCACGAATAGCGTTGAGACCAGCTGTAGCAACCTCTCCAGCTGAAGCCTCAGAAACGAATTCGTTGGCGATCTTCTGAATAAGAGGCTCAAGTACATCGGGGGGCACAAGATCGTGAGATGCCTGGGCCAACGATGCCAAGAACGAAGTGACTGAGGGCTGACGGGGGGTAAGGAACTTCTGGAAGTAGGAGTAGAGCGACATGATGTGCAACTTGTGCAGACCAACCAGTCGTGATACTAACTGCAGAACACAAAGCTTTTGCTCCAGCTTGAGCTTAGACCGGCCGTTTTGCAAATGCTTGGCGAACAAGTTCTCAGCAAAGCCCTGAGGATCATGCAGCAGGTGAAGCGCCGAAAAGTTGAGTGCGTGGGGCTGGGTCTTCTTCTTCTCCTTCTTCTTGTGAGCGGCCATGGCTTTCTGGGCGGCACGGGCCTTCTTTTTAGTCTTCTTGTTGATGCCAAGCCGATGCTTGATACCAGCAACATCGACTTCCTCGTCACTGCTTTCATCCTCCATCTCCTCACGTTCTTTGTCTCCACCGAGGAAGAAGCGCACACCACCAATGATGACCTTCTCGTTCTCTGACAAACTAGCTTCCTTCATGATCTCAACAGTCTTGGAGTCAGTCCAGATTTGGCGTTTCCATAGCTCTCGGGTCAATTTGATCGCCCAGAGAGCCTTGGAGGATGTGCGGTCTGATGTGACCAAGTTAAAGAGGACAGTCTGCATGGTACGGTTCAACTTGTGATTGGTAGTCTTCGAGTTGGAAGTGCGCAGCTCAGATAGGATCTTCTGGAACAACAGGGCGCGCAGAGTCTTGCTAGGCGTGGAAATGAGAATCGGGAACAAGGTGTGGAGCAGACTGTAATATGAATCATTAGTTTTCAGAACCACAGCATTCAACGGGTTTCGTAGAGTTCACATACGTTGCCGAGTCCAAACAATCCTTCTTTCGCAGAAGAACAATACTTCCAACCAACTTTTCTCTCAGCTCGGGTTCCAGCACCAAGTGGTGCTGCATGAGCATATCAATCAGTTGCTGAGGAAAGTCCTTGAGAATCTCGGGATAACAATCGGCGACATGGGTAATGAAGTCAATGAGGTCTCGTAGTGAGATGATACCGGTATCAGTGGCCGACGTGGGCGCGGACATGAAAATTTCACGATGCGACTCATATTGGTAGTGCTGAGCACGGAAATCTTCGATATAGGACCTGAGCGATCGCGAAAGTTGTTAGACTTGCTCAATGACTAAAGAGAGCGCATGAGCAGAGCTGGGGCAACTTACTTGGGATCGCGGCGAATTTTGTGCTGTAGATTGGGCCTGGCAGTTATGTCAATATACCGACTTCAAGGACTGATTTGAAGTTGTCCTCGGGCGCATTGCCCGATCATAGGGGAAAAGAGTACATACAAGTCAGCCTCAACCTTTTCCAAGGCTCCCAACTTTCTTTTCACCATCTTGTTGGTTGTCTGTAAAGACAGAGTAAGTGCTGGTGGGAGAGGTTGGGGTGATGCAGGTACACCGCTTTGAAACTTTTTTTTTTCTTCTGCCGTATCGATAAGCGCCCCGGGACCACTTGACCCTCGGAATCCAGCCAACTTCGATTATCGTACGAGTTGATAGAAGCTATTAGATTAAAATTCGATTTCTCGATTTACTCCAATCGACTCTATACTCAAGGATATGTTAGAGAGGACTAGTATGGAAATAAACATTTTTGTCGTATTGAAAAGTGGCCATTATACGACCCGAGGTCTTCATCATCGTATCCCAACTACGTTGGAAAAAAGCCATCCCATTGCGATCCTTATTTTTTTGACTCTGCTTTCTTCTGACTGTCTCAATCTAATGTACAGCCGCGCAGATGCATGCAAAACGACTGAATCCCGCTGAAAACCCCCCGTCCACTCCAGATTCCTTGACACAGAACCAAACGGAGAACAACATCCAGAAAACCCTTTACCGGTTGGACTTGGCAACACGCTCGAGCTCGTCCTTCTTCTTAATGGCGTAAGAGTTGGAGGAACCCTTGGCGGCGTTGATCAGCTCCTCAGCGAGGCACTCGGAGATGGACTTGATGTTACTATAGGGGTTATTAGTATATCTCCAAATAATCCTCGGGGATGGATGTTCAAGATTTCATATCATCCAAATCGATTGATTGTTACGCACCGGAAAGAAGCCTCACGGGCACCAATGGTGAGCAGGGCAACGGCCTGGTTGACACGGCGCAGGGGAGAAACATCGACAGCCTGGCGACGGACGGTACCCTGGGAACCGATACGGGTGGAGTCCTCACGGGCACCGCTGTTGACAACGGCGTCACACAGAACCTGGAGGGGGTTCTGGTCGGTCATGACAGCAACCTGAAAGAAACCATATTAGAGGTTGAAAATGGGGTTCTGTGGTGGCTTGGACGTACGATCTCGAAGGCGTGGGCGACAATGCGGACAGCCATAACCTTCTTACCGCTGTTGCGGCCGTTCATCATGAGCGAGTTGGTGAGACGCTCAACAATGGGGCACTGAGCCTTGCGGAAACGCTTGGCGGCATAGCGACCGGCAGTGTGGGAGGTGTAGACCGGGGCGCGGATCTGGATGTAGTCGCTGTATATGGGCAAACGAGTCAGTTTTTGTTTTTTTTTCTTCATTCGATGTGTTGTGTGCTGGATGCTGTGTATGCTGGACGGTCGTGAAAATTCGTTGTTCGATTTGTTGGCGCAAAAAAAAGTGTCCCACAACCCAATTCTCCTTATTCGCGTTCGATTGAAATGATAGGATGTATCGAAAAAGGGTGCACTCACGTCAGAGAGATATCACGGACCTCAACACTGCAATGGATGTTAGTGACATTCAATATTGAATTCCGGTCACGGGTTTGACGCACTCGTAGCTCCATTTTCCGAAGAGCTTGATCTCGCCCTCAAGGGCAGCGATCTCCTTGGGCAGGGAGGGGTAGGCAGCGACCTCAACTTCCCCGTTGTCGGACATTTTGGCAGGGTTTCGTGGGAGGTTGTCGTTGGGTGGATGAATCGTCAAGTCGAGGCGTCTGTGACCAAGGGAAATTGGGTGCGCTCGCTTAGCCCTGTTGTGGGGGTCACATGAGATTAGGGCAGAATGCGACCGCCAATCAAAGCCTAATGGTCATGTGATCCCGACCATCCGCTCTCAGGCAGCAATTCTAGAATCAGGCATGAACATTGATTTGTATACAACGGGTTCTCACGGCGATTTTTTATGGTTCAATAATTGTGTCCAAGCCTTTTACCCTCGCTTATTGCATAATGAGTTCAGAAATATCTTTTTCTTCCTTTATTTTGCTTCAAGCTTGAATATACCTATCTACAATGTTACTTTAAGGCACATAGTACATAATTTCCATCGACATTGATTGACTGATACCCTTGTCTACTGTATAGATACTTGAGGTAGTGGGAAGGGCAGCCCCAAGGCCGTGCTAATTGATGGAAGATTCCAAGACCGGGAACAGTCAATGTTACTCATTGTTCTTCAGCCTGGCAAATGTCATAAAAATAACTTCAGGTTTGACCAGAGACAGGTCTCAGTTTGCATGAACAAGCTCGGTTCGCCTGACCGCCTTTGCGTGGGTGACGTTGGTGACGCGGAAGCCGACACTTTCAAGGGACAAATCGAGAACAACGATCGTCAAACAACGCCGGATAATCTGAAGCAACAGGGGCGGTGGATTGCCCCTCTTTTGGTTCCTCCTAATTGTGCGAAAGCCGCTCATCTGCGATGAGGCGTTCCTGAGCTAGGTGCTCCTGTCATCCCTCCCCCGCGCTTTTGATCCACACTTCTTTAATTTGAGGCCTTCCCCGTGTCCACAATGGCCGAAGAGAACCCGGACCTCCAGTTCGCTTTGCGAAACTTGGACAGGGAATACGAAGTAGGTATTTTCCCCATCAATACAATGGCCCTGATCCTTGCGCTTACACAAGGCGTGCGACTAAACAGGAAGGCGACATCACTGAGAAAGGGTAAGCCGTGTGTTCCTTGACTACAACCATCAACCAATCAGTCACGAGATTTGGGAGAATGGCAAGCCAGAAGATGCTTGTGGCTGAACGGTGGTTAGATGATACACAAGAACTGTACAAGCTAATCGTGAATCAAGGTACCAAAAACGTCGCACCCTCCTTCTTTCGCAGTTCCTGGGGCCAAACAAGCCACTCGAGATCAATGCCCACGGTGGCCATGAGGATTCCTTGGATGGAGGTCATATGGGTCCTCCAGCGATTCTGAGTGTTCGACCACCGACAGCCGAATCTTCCCAGCACGGCCTTTCATCTCCAACCTATGCCGGTGGGTACGAGGGGACGCAAGGCGGATCATTCGGGTACAACCATGGTGTCAGTATGGATATGCAAAATCCGTCACCAGCGACATCTGGACAGTACGATAAGGACAGCTTGGGAATGTTACAGACACACGATCGGGTTCCTTCTGCTTCGTCGCACGATTCACTGTTCCTCCCCAAAACTATGCCCCCAGCCCAACAAGGCCCCGATGGCTCGAGAACAGCCACTTTAATGAGCCAGAGCTATGCATTCAACCCTGATGCTCAACATGAGTATATTGACGAGGGCGTGGACATGTATGGTCCAGGGTCTGGTGGTGTCACGCGACAGTCAACGATGCTTGACTCCCAGCAGGGATTCTTCTCTGACTTTGCAGGCCAACAACATGATGACTACCGTGAGAGCTACGGAGGTGGATTTCATCGTTACTCACAGTCAGGAGAAGCTTTCTCGCCCACAGCAAACATGCCACCGCCATTCATTCCACCCTCAGAGCTGGCACACGGACCTGCCATTGAACATCTCATGCCGCTTGAACCTCGCGATATTCCATTTGCCGTATATGATCCACATGACAAAAATATACCCATGTCAAATTTCGAAAATCTTCCTGCTGTACTCCGCCACCGGGCTCGAGCACACCCCAAGCAGCCGGCTTACTGGGTATTGGATCTGAAGGGAAAGGAAATCGCGTCCATAACTTACGACAAATTGGCCAGCCGAGCAGAGAAGGTCGCTCAAGTGATCCGTGACAAGAGCAACTTGTATCGTGGGGATCGCGTGGCCTTGATCTACCGCGAAGCCGAAATTATAGAGTTCGCTGTTGCTCTCATGGGTTGCTTCATCGCAGGAGTAGTTGCGGTTCCCATCAACAGCCTTGATGACTATCAGTCCCTAAACTTGGTACTCACCTCGACTCAAGCCCATTTGGCCTTGACTACCGAAAACAATCTGAAAGGCTTCCAGCGCGATATCACCGCGCAGAAGTTGAACTGGCCTCGTGGGGTGGAGTGGTGGAAGACAAACGAATTCGGAAGCTTTCACCCTAAAAAAAAGGACGACACACCTCCCCTTGTTGTCCCCGATCTGGCATATATCGAGTTTGCCCGGGCACCTACTGGCGATATGCGTGGTGTCGTGATGAGCCACCGAACCATCATGCACCAGATGGCCTGCCTCAGTGCTATCGTTTCCACAGTACCCACCGATGCCAGCGCCAGACAGTTTGCGACCAAGGGAGAGACAATCACTAGTTACCTTGACCCGAGGCAGGGCATCGGAATGATTCTGGGAGTTCTCTTGACCGTATATGGCGGCCATACAACTGTCTGGCACGAAGACCGGGCTGTCGAGACACCCGGCTTATATGCCCACATAATCACCAAATACCGATCGACAGTAATGGCTGCCGACTACTCTGGCTTGAAGATCGCCGCCTACAATTACCAACAGGATCCCATGTCCACCAGGCATTACAAGAAGAACTCTGAACCTAATTTCAGCAGCGTTAAGCTTTGTTTGATCGATACTTTGACTCTTGACCCTGAGTTCCATGAAATCTTAGCTGATCGATGGCTGCGACCGATGAGAAACCCGCGAGCAAGAGAAATCGTTGCTCCCATGCTCTGTCTACCGGAACATGGTGGTATGGTCATTAGTGTGCGTGACTGGGTGGGTGGTGAAGAACGAATGGGATGTTCGTTGACTCACGAAATGGATCCCGCACAACGTGTTGGCTCCAAAGATGACGATGAGAAAGCCGAGAGGTCTGAAGCCAACTCTGGTTTTGGTAGCAGTCTTCTTGGTGGTGGATCTCGCGTATCTGCACCAAAACAGACCTCAAAGAACGAGTTGAGTGAGGTTCTACTTGACAAGGAAGCTTTAAAGAGCAATGAAGTTGTTGTACTCGCCATGGGCGAAGATGCTCGGAAGTATGCCAGGAGTATGCCCCACGCTGTCCGTGTTGGTGCTTTTGGTTTCCCACTTCCAGATGCGACACTCTGCGTTGTCGATCCCGAGACCAACCTATTGTGTGTACCGAACGTTATTGGAGAAATCTGGGTTGACTCACCATCTCTTTCTGGAGGTTTCTGGGCATTACCGAAGCATACAGAGGCTATTTTCCACGCTAGACCATACAAATTCGAAGACGCGAATCCCACTCCCATTCTAGTTGAGCCTGAGTTCCTGCGCACTGGCTTGCTGGGCTGTGTCATTGAAGGCAGGATCTTTGTGCTAGGTCTATATGAGGATCGACTTCGCCAGAAGGTGGAATGGGTTGAGCATGGTCAAGAGGTTGTCGAACACCGATACTTCTTTGTTCAGCACCTGGTCGTCAGCCTTTTGAAGAAAGTGCCGAAAATTCACGATTGCACCGCATTTGATGTGTTTGTCAATGATGAGCATCTACCAGTCATTGTCCTAGAATCCTACGCTGCCTCAACGGCGCCTACGACATCTGGTGGCCCTCCACGACAACTGGACTCTGTATTGCTCGATTCCTTGGCAGAGAGATGCATGGAAGTTCTCTATCATGAACATCATCTTCGAGTGTATTGTGTCCTGCTTACCGCTCCAAACAGTCTTCCCCGCGTAACTAAGAGCGGCCGACAAGAGATTGGCAACATGCTCTGCCGGAAAGAGTTCGAAGCCGGCATGTTGCAGGCCGTCCACGTCAAATTCGGCGTTGAACGGTCTGTTATGAATTTGCCTGTTGGCGTTGATCCTGAAGGTGGTATCTGGTCACCACTAGCGCTTACCTCGCGACAAGAGGTTCTTGCCTACCAAGAGAAGCAGTACTCAGGTGTGGACTATCGGGATGTTGTCATGGATGACCGAACTTCCACCCCTCTCAATAACTTCAAGACAATTGTTGATCTGCTCCAGTGGCGTGTCTCACGACAGGCTGAAGAGCTGGCTTACTGCTCGATCGACGGTCGCGGCAAGGAGGGCAAGGGTATCACTTGGAAGAAATTCGATCTGAAGGTGTCAGCGGTGGCTACATACCTCAAGAACAAGGTCAAAGTGCGACCAGGTGATCATCTGGTGTTGATGTACACTCATTCCGAAGAGTACATTTATGCTGTTCATGCTTGCTTCTGTATGGGCGTTGTGGTCATTCCGTTGGCTCCAATTGACCAAAACCGCCTGTCAGAGGATGCCCCAGCATTTTTACATGTCATTAATGACTTCAATGTCAAGGCTATCATCGTCAACACTGAGGTTGACCATGTCATGAGGCAGAAGCTTGTGTCACAGCATATCAAGCAGTCGGCTCAAGTTCTTCGAATAGGTGTTCCGGCAATCTACAATACGACGAAACCTTCAAAGCAATCGCACAGTTGCCGCGAGCTCGGATACACTGTTAAGGATGCTTGGCTCCAGGGCCAACAGCCTGCTTTGGTATGGACCTACTGGACTCCAGACCAACGGCGAGTTTCCGTTCAGATCGGTCACGATACGATCATGGGAATGTGTAAAGTGCAGAAGGAAACCTGTCAAATGACAAGCTCCAGGCCCGTACTTGGAAGTGTACGCAGCACGTTAGGTCTTGGATTCCTACACACTTGCTTGTTAGGTATCTACGTTGGTAAGCTTGGACTTAGAAATCCCCGCATTGAGAGGCCTTTGTTCTAACCATGCATCAAACAGGCGCCCCCACCTATCTAGTCTCACCTGTCGACTTTGCCCAAAATCCCATGACTCTCTTCGTGACGCTTTCGCGCTACAAGATAAAAGACACCTATGCAACCGCCCAGATGCTGGACTACGCTACTAGTGCTATGCCAGCCAAGGGATTCCAGCTGCAAGAACTCAAGAATCTCATGATCTCGGCAGAAGGTCGCCCCCGAGCCGATATCTGTATGTTTAACCCGCTCTAACAAGCCCTCCAAATTCCGGCTAACAGTTCAATGCAGACCAAAAAACGCGTTTGCACTTCGCCACTGCCAGTTTAGACCGCACCTCGATCAATGTCAGTTATTCGCATGTGCTCAATCCTATGATTGTCACTCGATCTTATATGTGCATTGAGCCAATTGAGCTGTGGCTGGATATTCGAAGCCTTCGCCGCGGTCTGGTCTATCCTGTCGATCCTGACGCTGATCCCACTGCACTGCTGGTCCAAGATTCTGGCATGGTGCCTGTCAACACACAGATCGCAATTGTGAACCCCGAGACATGCACCCTTTCCCACGTTGGCGAGTATGGTGAAATCTGGGTCCAATCCGATGCTTGCGCCACTGGTTTCTACAGGTCAAAGAATGAGTTTGATGCCGAGAGACTGAATGGTCGCGTCGCTGACGGAGACCCTGGCGTACCTTATGTTCGGACTGGTGACCTCGGTTTCCTTCATACTGTGACCCGACCCATCGGCCCTGGAGGCCAGGATGTCGAGATGCAAGTTCTCTTCGTCCTAGGAAGCATTGGTGAGACATTTGAGGTTAATGGCTTGAACCACTTCCCGATGGACATTGAGAATTCTGTCGAGGCATGCCACCGAAATATCGTGAATGGAGGATCTGCCATCTTCCAGGCGGGTGGCCTGATTGTGGTTGTGGTTGAAGTCACCCGAAAGGCTTTCTTGGCGTCACTTGTGCCTGTTATTGTCGATGTAATTCTGAATGAGCACCAAGTAGTGGCGGATATTGTTGCTTTCGTTTCTCACGGTGACTTCCCCCGTTCTCGACTCGGCGAGAAGCAACGCGGAAAGGTCTTGGCCTCGTGGGTGACCCGCAAACTGCGCACAATTGCCCAGTTCAGCATTCGCGATTTGGACGAGAACATCTTTGCAGAGTTGCCCCAGCACCGTGTTAGCCGAAGCTCTAAACCCGGAAGCACGATGGGCGCAAGTACCCGCCGAGGATCGACCATGAACCCCGAAACTGAGATCCCTGCTGTCCCACGATCTCCCGCGGGGGTTGTTCTCGAGGAGACGATTGCTCCTCAGGCGTCATTCCATGAGGGACATCCCCAGAAGATGCTACCCGAACTCGACACCCGCACTGACCGCACAGTTTCTGCCACTCCTGTTCCTGAACCGACCTCCGCTGTGCCCTATATACAAGAACCGCAATCCGCTACGATCATGTCTGCTGACGATGACCACCATTTCAATGGCCTTGACCACGATCAAAACGTTGGGGCTCAAGGAGAGTCCCGCGATTTTCGATTCAGTTTTGACATGGTCAGCACACCCATGGATCATCCAGGAGGCGAGCGTCCCTCCACAGGGCGTGACTCTCTACCTAGCCAGCAGCCTGGTCTGTACAATGGCGGTGGCAACGTTGCTGGGCCTATGCATGATGACATGTATCGGCCAGGTACCCAGGAGAGTGGCATCATCGATGATTGGCCTCAAGAAGCTCTGATTTACCAGAACTCTGTAGGCGGAGACGAGGAGCACGACTTTGTCCGCCGGCCCAGTGCTCAAAGTGCTGCGGTCAGGCACCGCTACGATGGCACGGGCTACGAGTAGTCCAGGTCTTGCCCAATTCCAGCCTGCAATACTCTGTATATGACACCTACATATTTCCCCCCCCCCCCTCCATACCTTCCCAAGTTGAGAACACTTAGAGTGTAAAGTCTCTTTAACTGGCATTAAGATGTGTTCGTTTTGACTGAGAGCTTGGTTGAGTCTTTGTTTCGTCCTTTTTTGAATAAGCTCTAAGCGTCTACCATGTGTTTTGGCATATTTTCACTTTTTCTACCCCATGAATACCTCTGCGTCTGTTTTTTATTTTATTTTCCATTCTTCATTTCCAATATCTCAATATTAAATTAGATAGCTCAAAAAACCCATCTGATACCTCTTGATTATACGCAGCACAAGTCTAACGGCAGTTCGACATATTCAAGGAGGCTGCTCTGTACCGATGTCGGTCCACATCGTTAGCTTGATTCGCCAGGGGTTTGGTGCGTATATGGGTGGGTCACCTGAAGCCCTGATTAGATAACATGTGTTTAGTGCTGAATCTTCTGTTTTTTCAAGCTCATAGTTTGCGGGCCTGCAACCTGACCTTGGAAACAGATTGCTTGCCCTAGGCTACATAAAATGTCCGAGTCAAGATAACTGCGAGCTACGAGTGGTCACTCGATGTGTATTTCTCAGCGATATCATCCAGGCCAGTGATTTTTGTCTACAAGACTCCTTGCAACACTGATCCATCGCTGAGTGCGTTTAAAGTTTTCTCCACTGCCAAAGACGTGATGCCGACCCACTCTTATATCATCGATTCTGGCATCATTGATGTGCGAAGCTCGCAATCCTCTCGTTTTTGACAAAGCCTTTAGTTTTCCGCGAAAGAGACTACGAGGACCCTTATGTGCCCTGCATAAATCCTCATGATCATCCTCAGACCCTCTTTGTCCTCGTGCTTCTCCGTTGACGATAGCGATCAGCGGGAGCTACCCCCATCACACTATACTCTGTCCAGCAATTTTCACTGTATGATCACTAATGATTGTCGGTGGTGCAAATTCTGCAGAAAAATGAGACAAGCGCTATGTGATTTTGACATTTTCTTATGACGAGGGGCTATGAAGTAAGAGGTAGCTATGGATCTGCCTATATAAACGAGCTTTTCAGCGAGGACTTGAGTGGTTCAAGCGCTCTGTCTAACTCAGTCCACAACATGAATATTTTCCAACTATTCCTGCTAGCTGGTCTAGCTATAGCGAAGCAGCCCAACATCCTCTTCATTTTGACTGATGATCAGGGCAAGCATGTAGGAGGGTTAGACCACATGCCCAAACTCCAGGTAAATATTCATGCAGCCAAGTACCCAACAGCACACTCACACTAGCCCAGGAACACCTCGTCGAAAAGGGCGTATCCTACCCAAAACACTACTGCTCCATTGCACTCTGCTGTCCCTCCCGCGCAAACCTCTGGACAGGCCGCATGCCTCACAACACAAACGTGACAGATGTCGGCCTTCCCTACGGTGGATACCCAAAGGTAGTAGAAGCAGGCTGGAATGACAACTACCTACCGCTATGGATGCAAGACGCCGGCTACAACACATACTACGTCGGCAAGCTCTGGAACGCCCACACAGAAGAAAATTATAACAAACCCTACGCTCGCGGCTTCAACGGCTCAGACTTCCTCCTAGACCCCTGGACCTACCGCTACTATTATGCACGAATGACTCGCAACGGAAACCCGCCTGTCAACTACAACGGCAACTATTCAACAGACGTTATCGCCGAAAAAGCCTCTGGTTTCTTGGCTGAAGCGATCGCGCAGGATAGACCGTGGATGCTGACTGTTGCACCGAACGCACCGCATGCGAATGGCTCCGCGGATAACGGAGCAACCTGGTTTGGAGAGCCAGAGTTTGCGCCCCGACATGCCGATTTATTTAAGGATGTCAAGGCACCGAGGGACTCGAGCTTTAATAAGTTGATTCAGGGTGCTGTTAGCTGGACGGGGAATGTGCCTGAGCTCAATCAGACGGAGGTCGATTATATTGATGTTTTTCAGCGGTGTCGGTTGCGTGCATTGCAAGCTGTTGATGACATGGTTGGGGACTTGATCGAGCAGTTGGATAAAGCTGGTGAGCTGGATAATACTTATGTCTTCTATTCCACGGACAACGGGTATCACCTTGGTCAACATCGGTTGCAACCGGGCAAGAACTGTGGTTTTGGTGAGCTTTTTTTCCGTGACTATCCCTGGTTTGGATGAAACAAATCAACTGACTGCGTTCAAGAAACCGATATCAATGTCCCTCTCATTGTTCGAGGTCCTGGGATCCCTCAGAACCAGACTTTGAATGCCATTACCAGCCATACGGATCTTGCTCCGACTTTCCTATCTATTGCCAACTCTACCAGAGAGGGCTTGGATGGGAAGGCGATCCCGACCACTGTTGCAGCCAGCAATGCTGATAACAAGGCCGAGCACGTCGCCATTGAGTACTGGGGCCTGGTAAGATCCCTTCTAGAATACTTTTCAAAATAGCCAGACTAATACTGAGACGATGCAGGCCGTCCCTGAGGGAATTTATGGCTACGCCAGCAACAAGCTCAATGAAGTTGGCAACAGCTACAAAAATAACACATACAAGGGAATCCGTCTCGTGTCAGACAACTACAGTCTTTATTATGCAGTCTGGTGCACAAACGAGAAAGAACTCTACAATCTCAAGGTAGACCTGCTCCCCGAGTCCTTTCTATGAAGCAATAATTAAAGTAAGCTCGTCACAGGATGATCCCGACCAAACCATCAATTTGGCAGCAAACCCCTCCCAGCATGAAAACTTCAAAATCGCCAACCGAGACCTCACACAGATCATGAGTCGTCTCGATGCGTTGATGATGGTGCTTAAGTCCTGCCACGGAGACGAATGCAGATACCCGTGGCGACAGCTCCATCCTGAAGGTCAGGTTGGTAGTCTGGCTCAAGCCCTGGTATCTGGTTTTGATACATTCTATGAGAATCAGCCCAAGGTTACGTTCTCAGCTTGTGAGCTGGGGTACATTGTAGCGTCGGAGGGTGCGCAAAAGTTTGATGTTTATGGGGGTGGGGTGAGGGAGAAGAGATGGGACGATTTGCTTGATTTTTTCAAGTGGTAGTTTGTGTTATAGATGATGTTTGTTTTTTTTTTCTTATTCATAGCGGATAATGACCTATTGATATGTCTATCATGCTTAATGAGGCTATGTAGGATTGGCCTTCGAAGAGCTGCTTCTTCGTTGTCAAATCTCGTAACATCAGTATTACAATGTACTGGTCGAGGGCGAAGAAAAGTTTGAGAGGATTACCAGTGTACGTGATTCAGATAAGTCATTGTACAATTTCATTGACATGCATTATGTGCTAACTGCTTCTCGGTAAAAAATTTCATATCACTTTTGTAAAGCCATTTAAGCTTCGGCAAGCTTCGTGAGCTGGTCGATGTTGACCTTGGGAGCCAGACCACCGTTGGCAGTGACCGCCTCGGGTACATCAGTCAGCTGCTGGAGAGCCTGAATATCCTCATTGGTGAGAGTGTTAGAGCGAATAGGACGGAAGGGAGCCGGGGATCCAGCATTGTTTGTGAGGAACTAGAAAGGTATGTTAGAATCATTTGTTGTAGCTGTAACTGACGGCCTGATATGGTAAGAGCTTACCGAGCTGGCAGCGCTCAGCATCGCAATAAGCGATGCTTGCACCACATCGGAGTGGATACCAACACCCCACACCTTCTCCTTGCTACCTGCAGCGGTACAGTTGATATATGTGGCAGCCTTTGTTTCACGACCGGTACCGATGGAGTGCTCCTTGTAATCAACGACATCGAGGTCGATACCGAGAGAAGCGAGTGCGGCAGCGAGAGACGAAAGGGCACCAGAACCGACACCAGTAATCGCGTGCTGGACGTTGTCGATTTCGATAACACCGGTGAAGCGACGCTTGAGGTTCTTAGTGTTGAGAGCCTTACCGGGCTCAGGAGGAGCAGGTGATTGCGAGCGATCGGTGGTGATGTTGTAATCGATAAGGTTGAAGCGGGGGTTTGACTTCAGGTGGTAAGACTCCTCGAACAAATGGACGACCTCGGCAGGGCGCAGCTCGCGGTTGGCATCTTCGGTGGCTTGTTGGACAGTCTTGCTGAATTCGATCTGAAGAGCACGAGGGAGATCCAGCTCCAGGCTGCGCAGAATGACCCAGGCGGCACCACCCTTGCCGCTCTGCGAGTTGACACGGATGACGGCCTCGTAGGTTCGTCCGATGTCTTGGGGATCGAGAGGGAGGTAAGGCATTCTCCACTCGTCGTCGTCGGTTGCCTTGGCCGCCTCGCGCAATTTGAAACCCTTGAGAACTGCATCTTGGTGACTTCCGGAGAATGCAGAAGTAACGAGCAATCCTCCATATGGCCAGCGCTCGTTGACAGGAATCTTATTACTCTCTTCCACCACCTTAATAACGGAGCAAATATCTGAGAAGTCAACATTCGGTGAGACACCTTGTGTGTAAAGGTTCAGGGCCAGGGTGACCAAGTCGACGTTGCCAGTACGCTCGCCGTTACCGAAAAGGGTACCCTCAACACGCTGGGCGCCGGCCATTTGTGCCAACTCGGCAGCAGCAATAGCACAGCCTCGGTCGTTGTGGGGGTGGAGAGAGACAACAAACTTCTCGCGCTCAGTCATGTTGGTGCAGAAATACTCAATCTGGTCAGCGTAGACGTTGGGTGTGGACATCTCTACTGTGGCAGGCAAGTTGAAGATGATGGGGTTCTCGACAGTAGGCTCCCAAGCAGCCTTAACAGCTTCACAAACCTCGATAGCGAAGTCGGGCTCGGTGTCGGAGAAGGTTTCTGGCGAAAACTCGAACTGCCATTCTGTGCCGGCCTGGGCGGGGTCATCCTTAGTGATTGAGCGGGCGTACTTGGCACACTGGACGGCCTTTTCTAAGCTTTGCTTCTTGTCCATGTTGAAGACAATCTGGCGGAAGCATGGGCTGGTGGCAAGGTAGATGTGCAGAATGGCCTTCTTGGCGCCAGTGAGGGAGTCAACGGTGCGACGAATCAGATCCTCGCGGCAAGGAGCAAGGACTTGGAGCCAGACATCATCGGGAGTAAGACCTGGCTCCTCGACAAGGCGGCGGGTGAAGTCGAAATCAATTTGGGAAGCAGCTGGGAATGAGACTTCGATTTCCTTGTAGCCAATTTCCACCAGCATCTTGAAGAACTTCAGCTTTTGCTCGCCGTCCTATATTGCAATACAATTAGCCAACATTATTCCAGACTGCTTTCTGGTAAGCATGAGGTATTTTGAATGATTGTTTACCATTGGGTCAGGGAGACTCTGGTTACCATCCCGCAGGTCGGTAGCCAACCACCGGGGAGCCCGGTCGATGGTCTTGTTGGGCCATGTTCGGTTAGGCAGGTTCAAAGGCTTGAATGGCTTGTACTTTTTAGAGGGATCCTTGAGCCTTGAAGGTAATCAATATAAAACTCTATATTGGGGTGGTGGTTATCCAATGGACAATATCAACGTACATCGGCATGATGGGCGATGGCGGGGTATCGCGGGGAGGGCGATGTATTGATAAGAGACGATAGCAGAGGTGTTGATGAGTATACTCAACCGGATATCTGCTGGGAAAGGAGGTATTAGGCTTTCAAATAGAAACCAATGTCCCTTTTTAAATGCAAAAAGAAAGAAGCCAATGAAGCGAAGGGAATTTGTGACTCAAAAAACGCTCGATCGTCGATGACGCCGAGTTTTTCGGCGCCGACAGCGGAGTCACGTGGAGCTGGCGTCACAGTTAGTTCGGAACTACAGTAAACTGGCTACAATATCTGCAGATCGGCCTATAATTGGATCGATGGTTTTCTTGTCTTACCCAAAGCCCTGTCCCTGGACTGTTATTTTACTCTTTGAACAACTATAGAAGTGAGTGGTGGCATATAAGATATGGCAGTGCTGTCAATCAACAGTGGCAATTCTGTATAGATCGGGGCCCCGAGTTCGGAGCTGTGTTCATCTGCCCATAGTTCCACCCCGAGTCTAACCGCCTAATCTCGCATAGCTCGGTCTTCCACGGTGCCATTTTATGGTGAGTATTCATTCCGCAGCTTAATTTATGCAATGAATATGGAGATCAGCTCGGATATTGTCGCTATGGCTACAAGGACGTCAGAAAGAATATCCTCTTCTTAGCTTTCCGCCGCTCCGATCTAGCTTACTTTTAGTAAGTTCTTAGTGAGTCAACCTGCTATGGACGAGCCAATTAATTTAATAGCTCTAGAAAAAAGGATGACCCGGCGATTAATTGTAGTTTGAGCTTCATCGTATGTCAGTATATGTGTAGCAGGCCGACCTGTTTTTCAAATAAAATTCACCTTGAAATTGCGGCTTGGGCATACACCGGTACGAATACCTCATACATATATATATGCACACCTGCCCAAAGCCTTAGCCCACACAAGGATGTACGTAACTGTCTGCACCTCTCAAGGTTCCAACAGAGTTAAATCATGTGTTGAAAATGCTTTGGATTATTTTGGAATATGATTTATAGTACACCTTCGCTCAAGATGAATTAATATACAGCTTCCGGGGCCAATAGATCACAGGAAGTTCTTCTCAAATTGGACCAATAAGGGATGCACTTCATCCAACTTAAGCTTCACGGCTCTAGGATTCTGTAGAGCACCCTCGCCTAACTGAGACTGGATTAGAGCCTGGAACTGCTGCCCATCTGCATCAGTCTTGCTCTTCATCTGTCCAGTAACGTCGACTGTGATACCACCATCAGCTAGATCGCGCGAACCCAGAATGAAAATAAGGTTATATTTCATTTGCTTGGCGCGTTGAATCTTCTTGCCCAGGGTCTGAGCGCTAGTATCAACATCCATCAGGAAAGTGGAATCAAGTGACGATAACGGACGCGGCGGCTCAGCGTTATCATTCTGGAGGACTCGGAATCCGGAAAATTTGGCCGCTGCTTCTTGTGCTTGCTTCACCACGGCATCATCCTGGTTGACTGTCAGGATGATTCCCTGGCGCGGAGAGAGCCAGAATGGCCAATGACCACCATGTTCCTCCATCAGTAATGCCAGAAATCGCTCGAGGGAGCCGAATATAGCCCGGTGCACCAAAACAGGGGTCGCAACTCCCGGAGTGGCCGGGTTATAGTCCTCCTCGCCTTCGGCAACCTGGTACTCTAGGCCAAATCGCTGAGGCAAGTTCATATCCAGCTGGATAGTCGACAATTGATGAAATTTGCCCGCCTGATCTTGAAGCTGAATATCAATCTTAGGACCGTAAAAAGCACCGTCGCCTTCATTCAATGTCCATTCACGCCCGGTGCTGTCCAAGGCCTGGCGCAATTGATTCTCCGCATTGTCCCACATCTCCAAAGTTCCGATGTAATCTGTCTCAGGTCGAGTCGAAAGTACCAATCGGTACGGACCCAGTCCGAATGTCTTCATGGCCATCTCGACAAATCCCAATGCTGACGCGATCTCCGACTTAATCTGCTGCGGTCGGCAGAAGATGTGGCCGTCATCCTGGTGGAACCGACGCACACGAGTAAGACCGGTCAAGGAGCCAGAGACTTCGTTTCGGTGAAGCGGGCTGAAATCCGCGTAGCGCACGGGCAACTCGCGGTAGGAATGATTTTGTGACTTGAAAAGCAGGCAGTGGCCAGGACAGTTCATTGGTTTTAGACCATAGGACTCATCTTCCCCCACCTCACCGTCCGTGTGGCCACTCGCGCCGCGACCTGTCACCTCGTACATATCATCTTTGTAGTTTTGCCAGTGACCCGACACTTCCCATAGCGATCGTTTGTAAATGGATGGTGTTAGGACCTCGCGGAAGCCGTACTGTAGGTATTGGGTTCGGAGGAAGGTGATGAGCTTGTTGATGACGTGTGTACCGTTGGGGAGGAAGAGAGGAGATCCGGGGCTGTAGACGGAAGAAGTAAAGAGCTCTTGGGTGATTCCTAAAGCTCGGTGATCGGTAGGAGGTATGGATTCGACCTTGTTGGCGGCATCACCACAGGAACAGCGGCGAATTGCTGATGTAGACAGCCATTGTGGCCTTGCAGTATTTAATTGCAAAGTTCTATTTACCACAGGCCTCGCGTAGAGGTGTGGTCGAAGTCGGGTGAGTGGGCGCATGGTTATGTTGCACTGAAAAGCCGTTGGCGTTTTCCTGCCGATCGCGACTCTTCATTCTCCCCACCGCTTTGCACCACAGGGCGGAATCAACGCGCTTCGATAACAGCTAGTCTATGACTGATTACAGTTTTGTTGTGCTCATTTTCAGGCAAATCCAGTAGTTTTGTCTAATCATCTTTGCGCTCACCACCTACGACCCCTTATTGGCACCCAGTTTGATCGCTACCCCGCAGAGCGGAGATGTTTACAGTGCCATGTCGGAACAACCTCGCATGCCCGACGGCTCGGTGCTGGGTGAGTCCTGGGTGATGGCGTCTACGGCCTCAATCCAAGATGGAGACCAGAAAACAGCTTCATCAATCCTAGAACAGAACTCGAAGGACTCGAAGGAGCCGACGAGTCCAACTCCTCAGCCGAGATCTAGACCCGCGCGAAACAAGGACAATGATACGACCGCAGAATCAACATCGTCGCTGACGTCCTCATCATGGACCGTATCAGGCCCCGAGCTTATAATGCCCTCCATTTACGAGGTCCCCATTTCCGAAGCATCATGGGTTGCACCTGCTATTCGCTCGAAAGACCAAGCTTCCATGAGGAAGCGAGGCAAACCACCAAGTCAAGAAAAACAACCCAGTACTGCGCCTGGGATCCCAGACGCTGGCTCGTTTATCCCAATACCGCAACAACCACGAAGCTTGATCGCAAAGCTCACAACATTCTGTGGAGGCCAAACAACCCTCCGTACAGCACTGAACGGCCTTCTTATCGCTTTCATCTGTCATCTATTAGTCCTCCCCGAGATCATCTATCAATTCCAAGACCTCTGCCATTTCCCCACCGTGAAAGACACATATCCAGATAGCTGCGTTCAACTCAAACCACGAAGCCACCCCTTCTACCCATCAGCCAATCCCGTCACCTCCCCCGAGGAAACCATCACGACTTCCCAACAAGACCTCGAGTCCATCTTTGATACCGTCCTCCAAACACTCTCTCCTCTCACAAATACCCTCAAAGAAAGCGAGTCCATGCTTCACGACCTACAAGAAAAACTCCAGTCCACCTTCCCAGACGTGCGCAATGCCCTCGATCTCGAATTCCGAGGAAGCGACCAGGCTCTTCGCGCCGCAGCCTGGGAATTCGACTCATTGCGTGCCGACCTCCGCTCCGCCGTCGATAGCCTCCTCTCCTCTCCACCCACCCAGGAGCTGAAAGGATCTGCCTCGATTGCACGCGACACGCGCCTCGCAGCTCAGATCCGCCGACGCGCAGAGTACCTCGATCGACTACGCGCTCAGATCCGTACCAAAGCCGACTCACTGGGCACGCGATTCAGCACATTGGACGACCACCTCGAGGCTGTGGACGGCATTGTCACACGGCAAGAACGCAAGGGCTCACTTCTGGCCGCGGCGTCTGGTGGAGTCGCAGCAGGAGCAGGAGGGGGCGACGGGACGGGCTTGTACGCAGTTCTGAACTCATTATCAGACTATGCCTCTTTCGGATCGCGAGTTTGGTCGCGATCGATAGGTGACTCGTCAGCTCCTGGGCCAAACTCTGATGGTGACAGGGACAGAAAGCCCAATCCGCAACCTGTCACAACCCTTGCGTTGGTCAGGCTTGCGGCGACGCACCATCGCCCCGTGGCTGATGCGGTGGCAGGCCTGTCACGACAATTGCGGGATGTTCAGCGTGCTCGGTCGGGCCCCACTTGGTAACTGGTCCACTCGGTGGGTATTAAATACCAAGTGGAGTGAGTCCCTTGGGGTCTGAACTTAATTGAATTAAGGGGTGAGGGTGAATCCTGTCGTCATTTATCAGCGTTTTTAATTTGTTTTCAATTTGCATTGGTCGATTCATAGCGAGATAAGATTTGATTTTCATTACGAAGTCCCTGCTTCCCTGCAATTGCTCATTTACCCTACATTTACAATACTTGACTCTTGGCCCTTGGCATGTTTTGGAATCAACTAGAATGAGTACGATTGATGGTTGCCTAGCACTTCCAAGCTCTATACAGAGTTTCCAAGCTTGACATCGTATACATTAGTCCGTAGTCGTTTTTCACATCAACATGACCGGCCTCAAAGTACTCAGCACTATTTCTAAAGTGGTCGAACACGTAGATGATTTAATCAAAATTTATGACACACATCATCAAAATGTTCCTACGCTACCTCAATCATTCAACCTGGCTCGCAAACACCTGCCCACTCTCCGCCGCACCTTATATCTATACAAAGCCGACCTGATCGCAGCCAATATAAAATCAAAACCATCAGAGTCCTTTGAGAATCTACATACTGCCCTGGAAGCCTGTGTGATAATAGTTTGGAAAATAAGACAGATTTTCGAGCGTGTCTTGCCTGCCGATGATCTTCATTGGGAAGAACGTTATACCAAATGCATTGGGATCTTAGGTGGACCGGGAAATACTATTGAAGATCTTATGTTTTCATTGACTGGAATTGTTCAAAGTGTCGTTTGTGATCACGCTGTGACTTTGAAGGCGGAGCAAGTTGTTGAGTTAGAGGGTATTCGAGGGCATATGAAGTCTGTTGGAGACTCGAAGTGATTGAATTGTAGGGCATTGATGTGTAGAGTGGTGTACAAGGAGTATCCACCTGCGCATGGACTATTGATCTTCGAAGATTGTAGGTATGATTACTTTTCATTGTACATCCTTGGGAAGGTACTCATTGATAGGTCGGTATGGGATGTGCCTGGTGAGTCGATGACCATCATACTCTGATTAGACGATCTACCAGCAAAGTTTGATACGCCACTTTAGGGCTCAACACGCAAAACTGCGAACACATCAGGGACCAAGATCCTATAAATCTAGTGTAGAAAAGACCGAACACCCGTTAGGTAACTTATAACTATCCACTTCTATAGGTTTCCATCCACAATCAACATCCAGAAATCAGATCCAACATGGAACGAATGGAATCATCGAGGACCAAGTCTATTTCCACGGCGCGGAAGAACCTGAACCATGGAACAGCCACTGGCCCCATCAACGTCCTCATTACGAACCAATAGCATTACAATTCAACTTTCAGTCGGCCGATGGATCCTGGATGAATAATTCTCTGTACAGAGAATCTGCTCAATCAATCGTTCCACGGTTGGATTGTTCTATTTCTATTAGAACACTGGAATCAAGGCAGATGTACCCGAGGCATCCAGTACATTCTGTGAATAGATGAACCAAGTGTATTTTTGTCTTCCACGAATTTCGCCCATGGTTCTTTGGGTCCCTGTAACTCAATTGGGCTACACTAAATCTCAGAACAGGATTATCCAGTATTTTGGCTGGTTACACCGTTACACGACCCTAGTTACGCAATGCACAGGGCTGCAGCTACATTACAGTTTTGAATGCGGGCTGAGATGAAGATCCATCAAAATAAACAACAGCCTGCATGACAGTGGCTGGGTACGCGCGTCCTTGCATGACCGGTCAAGATTCAAGCCTGATAAATATTTACTTGGTCTAGCTACAAGGCTATGTATTAATTCAAGTCAGTCTCAAGGTGGAGAAGTTGACAAGGCAAGGAATAAATTAGTGGCTAGATCCGATCAAGATCTGGATATATAGAGATAGATACAGCATGAGATTCATAAGGCGGGGGATATCGACACCGTATGAACCAAAGAAAAGATACAAAAACGAATCCACAAGCAGTATATCCAACCCCCTCCTCATTTAATTTCCAAAACATCCGGTTCCAGCCCAGTGCGGTTGGTTTGCTTCATCAATGAGGCGTGATTAGGAGCATGGTCATGATTGTTTTACAGCTGGATGAAGGCAGTGAGCAAAGCCAGGAGGGAAAGAGGTCCAACGTAGTTGGAAGCAACGTTCACAGCGGCGTTGTAGGAGGGGCTGGAGCTGGCGGCGGTGCTGGAACCGGAGGCGGAGCCAGAAGATCCAGAGCCGGAGCCGGTGGTGCTGGTGCCGGAGGAACCAGAAGCAGAGCCAGAGCCAGCGGCGGAGCCGGAGGCAGAGGCCGAACCGGAACCAGCGGCAGTGGAGGAGCCCTTGGTGCTGCTGCCAGAAGTGGAGGAGGTAGTGGAGCCGGCACCGGTGGTGGAAGCGGTGGAGGACTGGGTGGTGGTAGCGAGGGTAGTAGCGCCGGTGGTGGTGTCGGTAGACTTGGAGCTGGTAGAAGTGGAGGTGGCAGAGGTAGTGCTATCAGTCTGGCTGAGGGCAGCGGCACCGCTCAGCTTGATGCTGCCGTAGGAACCGGTCTTATCGGAGTAGGTGTACGACTCGGCGGGGTTGGCGTTCTTGATAGTGACCTCCTTGACGTACATGTTGAAGGGGGCTTGGCTGTAGTCGGTCTTACCGCCAGCCCACTCGATGGTGCCCTCACCGTTGGTGGGGTCACCGCCGGCCCAGACACCAATGCGCACGCGCATGGGGGTCTGGGGGTAGCGGGTGCCGCTCTGGGCATCCTTGTAGTTCAGAGTACGGACAACGGCACCGTCGATGGACCAGGTGGTGGCATCCTTCTGCCAGTTCACGGTGTAGGTGTGCCAGGTGTTCTGGGGGTCGGAGACCGCGGGCCAGGTGTCGCGGTCGTAGGTGGAGGTGTCACCCTTGCCGAAGTAGTTGGTCTCAATGGTGGTGGAATCGCCACCGAGAGCCTCCCAATCAATCTCATCGAGATCATCAGACTCGAAAACGATACTGCTGACGACACCCTGACCGGGAGCGGCCTTCATGGTGACGGAGACCTCACCAAAGAAGATGTAGAAGTCAGTCTCAATGGTAGGAGCATCACCCTGCTTGGCGAGAGTAAACTCGGCACCATTGGAGCCAGTGTCGATGGTTCCGGCAGTGGTAGTCCACCCATCCAAGCTCTTGGTGAAGTCGAAGGTCTGGCTGGCCTTGGTGGTACCCTTGTCGGCAGGGCAAGTCTTCTCAAGGGGGTTGCAAGTAGTGTAGGTCTGAGCCGAAGCCTGAGCCACGGCGAGGGCCGCGGCAGCGAACTTGAGTAAAGAAGGCATTGTATAGACTGGATGCGCAACCAAAACAAGCGAGTGTAAGAATAAAAAAAAAATAAAAAGAGTCAAAAGAAGATGTCAGGGAGGGGAAGCGATCGGTTTATAAACAATTTCCGAAAACGAGTGGATCGAACGAGTCCCCGGGTTGAAGCACAGGCAATATGGCTCCATGGTTGCGGTGGGTGATGGGTCTTTTTGTATCCACGGACTTTTACACTTTCCACACTTTACAATACATTGAAAAGGAGGAGGCTGAGATTGGTTCAGGGATGGTCTCCCCTGGGGCTAATTGTGGGTTCCAGCAGGCGACAGACGAGTCTGATTGGTGCTCGGCGTGGCAAAGCCGCCATAGGGATCGCGGTGGAGCCGGCGCATGAGCTGCTGGGGAAAGCCTGAGTGGAGGAGATTCTTACAGGTGAGACATTGCAACCACGTTAAGAGCTAAGGGTACTATGTATTTTTATTCCAGGGTCACTGGGCTCATCTAAGCCTCTCTACTCCGTATACAGGTCGCTTCTCTTCTTTCAAGGTTTATCCCCCTTCCTATTTGAAACCCTATACCTAGCTAACCCCAGGGATTCCCGTGCGTGGTGATAACCGTGGTAATTCTGAAGGAGGATGACGATCGACCGATCAACCCGGACGATCATGTTACAGGATTCAATTTCGCCCTTTACCGTACAAGATGCATCGCCTTCTCCGTGCACGGAGTAAGCGAGAGGGTCTACCGAGGACCCTCATTGGCCCCACCACGTGAATTACCCGATCCAAGACAGCGTAGTGAAACACCAAGAGGCCCTACGCGCACTGCCCCTACGGAGTACCCTGCAGATGATGGCTCATTTCTTTGATGTTCCCTTCATGTAAGAGAAACCGAATCATCTATTCGGTTCAACTTGCCGAGCAAAATACGAGTTCTCGCTGATGCGCCCGTGCCCTGTGATGCGACCGTCCACTGCACCCCAACACGGAGTAGGCCGTCCACTAGTTAACTTTAGGCAGCGTTGCGGGCCTAACTTCCAAGTCATGTCCTTAGTTGAATTTTTCTTATAGCGGATATTAATAGTCGGCTCGCTTCGTAGGGCCCAATCATTTGACTTTGGTGCCTTTGCAATGTTTGGGTTGATGCAGGAACCATTGCTTGGCTTTTGGCCCCCCGAGACAACGAAATCCTTTGACGCCATTTTATCTGATTTATGCCTTCCTAGCGGTTGAACCAGTGCGACTCATTAATAGGGTTAGGTAAATCGTAATCTCCATGTTCTCGCTGCTCGCCCATGATTCCAAATATGCTATCGTACAAAGGATGCAGTCAAGAGTATCATATGCGTAAGCAAATTATTGCCTGATGTTTCCTTGTACAGGGGACGTGCGGAGTCCTCCGTAAGAGGCTCCAACACTCGGGTTTGGTTTGCCGTGGAGTTCCCCATGGTAACTGGGGCATAATCTTCTACGCCAAGTGGCTGAAGGATCCGTGCGACTAAAATATGCATAAGCCTACTAATCAATAAGGAGCTCCTTCACCGACTCTCCTCAAGACTCTATGGGAACCGTTTGTCTAGTGCAAGGTAAAAGATTAAGCAGCCTCGATGAGAATCTGTGCTAGGCCGCTACTGAGCCTGCAGCGCGCAGCCAAGGCACCTGTGATTGGCGCATGCGACCTGCAGCATTAATATTGTTTATGCTTTACCCAACTAGACGTGTATAACAGCCACAAGGCCCCCTTGATTTCCACCTCATACAACCGTTCAATGGCGTGCATGCCCCAGACCCTGATCGATCCTGTTCGGGAATCGATCTCTCAGGTGGATGCAGACACATGGCTCATCGGACCCCTTCTCCTGCATCGCTCAAAGGGACCATGTGACACCTCCACCTGGTACGATCGAGACGATACTGCCAGTTATACCGTTACCACCGCACCTACCCCCAGGCCTGCGAGCGTACCGTTACCGGCAGATGACCCGAACATAAAATTAGTATACGATGCCGGGGATTGTTCTGCAGTCTGGTCTATAGGACATAGTGCATTCTGCAAAGTCAAACTAAGCGTGCCGGGGACCACAGCCGAAGCTACGACATTAGATTTTGTGCGCAGACAGCAGCCCAGTTTCAATATCCCTACCATCCTACACAAAACAGAATATGAGGACCGATATTATTTGTTTCTTAGAAGAGTTCCTGGTCGAACCCTATCAGACGCATGGTCCACTCTCGATGAGAATTGGAAAAATTATTACATGAGCGCTATAGTGGATGTGTGCAAGTTTCTTGAATGTCGGGAAGGGGATAACCTTTGTGGTGTGGATGGAAACAATGTGCTCGAGCGGTATCTGGTTAAACGCGGAGCCGAGGAAGATTTTTCTCCCCATAACCTCCGCCAAGGATGTGAGATTATGGGCATGGATTGCTCGAAATTTGTATTCTATCACGCTGACCTTGGGCCTGGGAATATTATTGTTGAAGATATCCCCGAGACTGGTGTTATTGGTATCATTGATTGGGAGATTGCGGGCTTTTTCCCTCGAGGATGGATTCGGACCAAATTTCGAATGAGTAGTGGAATGGATCTGCCTGATTCTGGAAAACCACTTGAATGGAGGTCCGGTGTCCAAAAGTTACTTGGAATACATGGATATGAAGAGTATGCAACTGAATTTCAGGCGTGGTGGTTCTAGATCAGGTATTTTGTTCAATCGATGCTCTTCCTTACATCAGCACTCCACTTGATGCCTCACACGCGAGCTCACCGATGTCTTGCCCGACGTAGTCATTTCACTCTGATGGACAGTATTGACAAAGGCATGTGAGTTGCAAGGGGTTATGCACCTTCGATCTTGGTCATATAAATCTACACTTTCCCGATAGACAGAGGATAGAGCCTTATCGACCATATTTCCCATGGTCATTTCTATTGATAACTAGTTGAAAGTCTCAGGTAGTATATTTGAAACCCACATTCTCCTTATCCGTCATATCCAACCAGTCATGGTCGGCAGCCATGCGACCTTCGATGGCGTCTGCGCGCTTCTGGTTGCTGAAATGACAGACCAGGCCATACGCTGTAATAGAACACATCGCAACGATATAACAGACAATCATCGCCACAGTGCCGCCGGTATATTCCGGGGCTTGATCTGCTCGGAATGTTTGGGGCCCAATGATGTTTCCGGTGGCCCACGCAATGTAGAACCAGGCATACAGTGTAATCCTAAATATGTTAGACAGACACTGATATTTTGCAGGGAGTTTCTCACTTCTTTGTATGACCTGCAACGTTAGCTTGGTATACCGAGACCAGTGTGACGTAGGGAGCCCAGTATGTACTTGGGGAAGTTAGCAATCATGATGCGCTCTGGGGATTATTTTGACCAACTATAAGATGCTGTGAAGAGCCAAAGTCAGTATAGGCAGACATTGTAATCTATTAGGGAACTCACTATAGCCCAACGAGCTGACCAGCAAGGTTCGTCCGCGGCAACGCATAACACAGCACAGCCCCAAAAAGAGGCAGAAGAATAGAGACCGTCACAATAGCAGTACGATACCGTCTTGTAGTAGCAGCCAAATAAGAGAGACCGATTCCGGAAAGAGTACTCATGGCACCAGGAGGCATAGCGAGAAGCGAGGTCTGAAGGGAATCAAAGCCAAGGCCCGAGATGATGAGGGTGTTGAACGTTGTCAGCCCGCCATTTGGCACCTGCAAAGCAGCAATGGCTATCCAGATCAGCCATGTCTTGATGTCAAAGATAGCTTCCCAGACTTGGTCCATCTTGAAGGTCTTTGACTCGATACCGGTATTATCGGCTGCTTTGCGCTGAATGACGATGTATTTTTCCCGGGGGCTAAGGAACCTGGCTTCCAGCGGGTTGTTTGGCCTATTCGATCTTGTCAGTTTCATGTCATTATGTTTTCAACGTTGGTATCGTACAGCACAAAATACACCACGACGGACGTGACGATCGTGAGAGCTCCAACTAAAAGGAAAATAATCTTCCATGTCTCGAATGGCCCATTGTAATACCCAACGACCCAAGCGACAAAGCCATTGATTATCGGAGCGACCACATTAAGAATGATGCTGCAGATTCACGTCAGTCTATGGGTGTTACTGGCGGGTGATGAGTCGGGTACCTGTTTCTCTTTGGCTGTTCTTCAGGCCGATACCACATCGAGACAACCAATGTGACAGCTGGGATCAACAGTGATTCACAGCCACCCAAAAGAAACCTACACGCAAAAAGGCCTCTAAAACTGGTGCATGCTGCCATACACATTTCAAGGATGCCCCAGCAAAGGACATTGAAAGCGAAGAACGGCACCGCAGGGACCCTAGTAAGTTAGATATGCGTGCGCGCTGAAGTGTTCGAATTAAATCATAGGCGTCTCACTTTTGCAGACAATAGGCCAAAGGGCCCATGAATACTAGTCCACCAAAAAATGGGGCTGATCCAATCCATGAATACTGATTCCCGGTAAGATGAAGATCCGTCTTGATGTTGTAAATGGCAGCCGCTGAAATAGCAGTTTTATCAAGCCCCGATAGAGTCGCACAAACGAATAGCTATTCCATGTTGGTAAAAGACATTCCCGATGACAACCAGGGGCTCTCACAGTGGGAATCAGTCTCCAATCAATTCGACGGATCAATTTCCTTTCTTCCTCAACAGACCAATGTTCTCCATCCATTTGATCCGCGTAGTCGCTAATGATCTGTGCAGCAATGTCCACATCTTTGTTTCGCCCGGCCTTAATGGCTTCCACAGCTGCCTCGGCTGTGACGCTGCCTCCCTTTGGCTCATCGTTGGTGACCTGGTCAACAGCCATCTTTTGATTCTGGACTGCGTTTTGCTCAGATGTACAGTTTGGATTTATCCCTTGAAGACCATAAGGTTGCTCATGGTATATGCATTATTCGCCTTACCCTTTGTATTTCGGCTACCAGTAGCCTATTTCCCGATAGGCTTATCGCTCCCAACGGCATCAAGCCCACGATCTCGGCCAACCTCCAGTGATAGCCTGTGGGCCCCTTATCAACCATCGTGATAACGAGTGGGGGTGCAGGTGGGGCTGGTTTTGAGTTGCCCGCGCGGGCAAGCATCCCATCGGCGGCCATCCACACGATAATGGATGAGACCATTCATTAGAGGCAAGAAATGAGCAAAATCTGGTACCATGGTTGTGGTTTTAAAAACATCGCGCCCGAGGTGCCTTTCAGAATTGAAGTCATTGAACAAAGCGGCCTCTGAGTTTCCAATTGCATCGCCAAGATGGTGTCCGAAAAAGTCGAAGAGAAGAGACCACTCTACCCTGACTACCTGCGTAAGATTTTTATGTCCCCAAATACGGGTGTTTCATGGACTAACACAAAGTATAGCCTTCTATGACCCGCTCGAAAAGGTCGAGATGGTCGGCCCGTTCGAGCACGATGACCCGGGTCATAGAGCCGACCCATCATTTCCGAATCTTTTGGAGAAGGCGACTAACGTTGTGGAATTGAGCCCTCATTGTGGAACGGAGCTGCAGGGAGTTCAGCTTGTGAGACCTTCTGCCCCTTATATCCTCACCCTCCAAGAATAAGACTAATGCCGATCAAGTCGGAGCTTTCAACCCAAAGTTTAGATGAACTGGCCCTCATGGTGGCAGAGCGTGGATGTCTAGTTTTCAGAGACCAGGATTTCACCAATTTGGGCTTTGAGAAGCAGAAGAAGATTGCCTCGTGAGTTTAGTGTGTCCAATGGATGAAGATTTTCTCACAGTCTTAGTCACTTTGGTCCTCTTCATAAGCATGGATGGATGCCTCATCCTAAACATGGTCCTGAGGAATTTGTCATCGTGTATGATTCCAAGGAGTAAGTCCACATTTGAATCTGGAGTTTCTGCTCTGTATCTGACACATGGTGTTCTACCAAATAGTGACCTGCGAATTCGCAAATCCTGGGCAAGGAAAAGCCCAGTTCAGTTCCATGTCGACCAGGTAGGACTCGATACCAAAGATTCGAATGCGAAAAAAAAGCTCACAGGCCTTTTCAATAGTCTCCCGAGTCGCAGCCTCCCGGCGCAACATTCTTCTGCATGCTCGAGTCCCCTCCAGGAGCAGGAGGCGACACGATTATTTCTAACGTGGGTCGCGCTAACGGAAGCAAGCAAGTTTCAATAGCTGAAGAACTTCCTCTAGATGACCCGTGCCTTCGAGCGCCTTTCCCCTTCATTCCGTAAGCGACTCGAAGGCCTCAAGGCCGTCCACACCACAGCAAACCCAATCATGCGCGAAATCCGCGACAACGGCCCAGATTCTGTTCTCCGTCGGCCCATTACTCGAGCCATCCACCCAGTAGTAGTCGTACACCCCGTCACCAAGAAGAAAGCGCTATTTGTCAACTCTTCTTATACCCAGAGTATCGTTGGCTGGGACGAGGAAGAGTCAGACTACATGCTGAAGTTCTTGTTTGACCACATCAATCGCGGGCATGATTTCTGCTGTCGCGTGCGATATGAGCCCGGTACAGTGGTCATCTGGGACCAGAGAGTAACGCAGCACTCGCAGACTTTGGATTACTCAGCTGGATCTCGGAGACATGCTTTTCGGTTGACTCCCTTGGCTAATGTGCCGATTCCGAGTTTGATTGAAGATGATGATGGGGAGTGTGCCAAGGATGAAGGAAGGATGATGCTTAATCTCTGCTAGGAATGTCGAATGTTTGTAAATGTTCGTGAATATTGAGATTACTGTCTATAATACTACACTGTCCCGTTCCCCATCAGTGTCTCTACCTTGATGAATCCGAGATTTGTCAAGCCTTTGACCCCTGCTGCGCCATTTGCCGAGATACGAGTTGCCCAGCGCCATCTCCGAATCCAATTTTGAAGTTCGGTATGCTCTGCGTCGAATGAGTACTTTAAAACCTCGGGCCTTTGTTCACCCTCAGCCTGGTTGGAGGGTGAGACGATTTGTAGAAGATGCACCATAAAGGAACCAGCGATGGCAAAATTAGGTCGACTCCCTGATTATCTTGTCAGATCGAAAACTCTGGCTACTGGATAGAAACACTCACAACTATGCCAGAATGCATTCCACTGAGCCCCCGTAAGCTTTTCGACGAACTCAACAAACTCCTTTACACACAACAACGCCCCTTTGACAACTGCTTTGGCGCCCTCGTAGGTCACATCTGCCTCCTCTTGGTTTATTTTGATAAGTGTCGGCCATTGATCCAATGGTCGTAACAAAGCGCGTAGGAGAGTCACATGCGTGACTATGTATGAAAGATAAAGTGAGCCATTTCCATTGAGGTCTTCAGCAGAAAAAGCATTAGGCGTTGGACTCAGATTATCTGGCAAATTATCTCGCCAGTCTTTAAGCCTCACGCGCATTGGCCGTGCTAAGTCCAAGGAGTATTGGAGGTCATTGGATGTTTTTCCAATCGCCTTTACCGAGTAAAATGATCGTTGAATATCCGATAATATTGTGGATAGTGTTGACAGATGATGTATATGACTCTGTGTATCCGGGGAGTCTGACAATGTATCTTGTATATCCTCCTGCTTGAGCATGGATACATCGTAATCATCATCACCCAAGTGGCTGGGCATTCCTCGTGCTAGGGCAACCCACTTTTCCATGGCATAGAGACCCCACCAGAGTCGACGCCGAAGCCTTTTCTCCCATGGCGGAATAGAGGTCCATGATCCTGCATCTCTATGAAGCCCGACGGTTTGAGCAATGGCCAGGGATGTCGACATAAGTGACCATGCAAAAGCGGTATCTGAGAGATACATGTTCGTTGGAAGTCGCTGTTGAAGGAGAAGACAGGCTTGAAGCGTTGCGAGAGAAGGTGCGTGAAGTTCTTCCGATACGCAAATCCAGCAAAGACGATATAACTGCTCACTAGAGGGAGGGTTTAAAAGTAATGTATAGAGACTATCGTCATACATGATGAATTGCAGCGAGGTGGCGCAGATGGCTGATAATAATGCTAATGGCATTTTACTCAGCTCGGGTGGTGATGATGGGATTTGATGACTGGATAGAATCGGAAAGTAGGGGTCGACATAGCGTGAATACAGCTTGATGAGATGCCATGCTTCAGTGGGATTCATCATAGCCCATAGGCGAGGCCATGCATTATCTGTAAGCTGTGGATCAAGTTTTGGCTCCGCCTTCTTTAGGAGAGAATGGTCGGTGATACCAAAAACAGTAGGAGGGGAGAGATCGATTGTTTTCCTCTTTTTCTGACATGAGGTGTCCATAATTCGATATTTCAAACCATTCACTTTTGGTATTGAGATATTCTGGTCGTTGTAGGGTTGGTGGCTTAAAATATGGATATCGGAAACTCCTGTTGGCCCAATATAGAAACTGAATGCCCCTGGAATATCTTCAAGGGAATCTACTTGATCAGGCGAACCACTGGATGCTAGTCGTTCTTGACCCGGGGGAGATCCTCCCAGGCTGAATGAGACGCTGTTTTGCGAGTCGAGCCTTGCCGTGCCATCCTGGCTGAGAGATGAGTGGCTTGTCTGTGGGCTTCTTGATTCCACCTCTACAATAGCACGCAGAAGACCCTCCTCTGGCGACAAAGCTTCCTCACTCTGTCCATCTCTCGGTCGGCTCTCGAGAAGATGCAGCCACTTGTCGGGATGCTCGCAAGTCCCAAGTGTTTCGGTTTGTTCACATAGTCTAGCCCTCTTTCGCGGTCCTGGGCCCTCTTGAAACGTGCATTGTTGATCTTTGCCAGTACATCGATGGCATGGCGGGCCATTGGGCATGTCACAGGTGACTTTACGTCTGCGACAAGCGTCACAAGGTCGACATTTTCGGGACTTGTACAATCGACCATTCAGAACCGGAGCAGAAACTGAAAATTCCATTTTTAAACCCAAAAATTCAAGTTGGGAACATGGTGAAGGGAAAGAAGAAAGGATGAACAACGGGGTCTTATCTCCAGCACAGACGCTTATCAGAGTCAAGCGGGGGCGCATCTCCAACGTTCTCATTCGTAACCTCAGACTCAGATCTCGCCTATATTGACCTTTGTTACTGCCTTCTTCCTTCACAGTGTGGCCTCTAAATCCAATAATGCTTTCAGATGCGGACTTGATAAAGCTGCGTTCGCCACGTTGTCGTCCATCGGCAACAGTGGCAGCCGGGGTCTATCTCCGTACCCAAAGCGACGATGCAACAACTTCTTCATCCCCGCAATCTGCAAATCTTAGCAAAGGGACGCAAAAGTATCAAATTGTATTTGAGGCTCACTCACTCCAATCTTGAGTGCCACTCCGTCTGCAAGAGCAATCAAGTTCTGTAACTCAGCTGCTTCTTTGCTGGACTCCTTGTCTTGGCACAGAGTCCACAGTCTTACGCAGGATTTCTGACCACTTATCAGTTATTTACTTATTTCATCTAAATCATTGCAGGCTCTTACCGGCGCTATGTTTGGCAAGCCACTGATCGCGCCCGCTGAACCCACCGAGATGGATGGTAGCAAGAAGTCAATAAAACCATCGATAGCCCGAAAGGGGAACGTTGACGACCGAGGCAAAGCGTTTTGGAATTCTGGTCTCGAAACCTGAGCCATGATGCGAGTCAATTTTCCCACATTGGCGCATCTGCAAAGCTATGTTAGCCAAAGCGATTTGACGTAAAGGACGAGAACCAACGTCAGTTTCACGCCGCAAACATTAGCGGAGGACTTGATTATCTGCACTATTAGATCGCTGTCCATGTCAATTCCTCCCGACACGGCAGGGAAATTGTAGATGATGCTGCATGGTGTTAGGAATCTGTCATTTTGAGGACGGGGGCAGCACAGACACTGGCAAGGGCGATGCCTCTGCGATATCCACGAAAAATCTCTTGATTGCGGTGGGATCTGCCAAAAGGGCTCCGGCATAGTACCCTGGAGGTATAACCATCACATAATCCGCGCCAGCTTCTGCAGCATCTTTGCAAAGTTGAATAGACTCGCGGGTGCTAGCTCCTCCAGCGCCTGCGACAATTGGAATGTCCTGCAGATTTATCTCATCTAGAGAGGCACGAGCAAGTCGTATGAGCGTCTTCTTCTCTTCGCGGTTCTGGAATTTGATAATCCATTAATTTTGGAGATTCGTTGTCCTGGAAGAATGATGCTTACCAGATGAATAGCCTCGCCCATAGAACCGGACACTACTGGGATAGTCCTGGCATTCGCAATGACTTCCAACCTCGTTAATAATTGAAACAGCTCTATAAGTTTCCATGCTCATACACTTCACATGTCTCTGGAAAGCATGGGTATCTTTACGTCACATTAGCTACACTATAATATCATTTCTACCATGTCGATCTCACCAATATCCTCGTTTTCGCCGAAGAAACACGGCAAAGGCGTGTAGATTCCCATAGGTAGTGGTCGCATATTTGGTGGCTGATATTCGAAGGGGTGTGGCAAAGTATCTGTTGAGTCTTCAGCCAAGGAGAAAGGTGAATCTATAATTTTCTCTTCGCCCCTTTTTGACATTGAACTTAGGCATTTTCTGATTCTGGTATCTAGAGACAGCCGATAAACGTGAAGAAAAGATAGGACGCTTGGGCGGCGCGGCAGATGTTATCAAATCGATAGCGACATGCCGCAAGACAGCTTTATCTATGTGGGTACCTTCATCTAATTCTAATCAGCTCTACAGTACGTTTGCGTTGTGGGTCCTGGTTTAGAATGCAGATTAAATCCTTATGATACATGTTAGAGAAAAAAAAATAGCCACTCATGGATATCCTGAGTTTCAGTTGCTAAAGTTTTCCGTTTTACGTATGCAGAATAGCCTCTATAGAATAATGTTGTGGCAGGTTTCAAATGTTTAAACAAATCATCATCTAGAATGAATGTTACAGTACAAATCGGAACAACGGACTATCCTCTCCCATCTCTCCTAGCTCCTCGGTGGTGTATGTTCGCTCGATTTCACCAACATCCAATCCATCCCGTCGCTGGTTTTCCTTGCGCAATAAATACCAGTGTACAGTAGCGGGGATCATTGCGCCAAGCACAGTTGCACCGACCGAGAAACCAAATCCGAGGGAGTAAGTAGGCGCCTACGAGATGTTAGCCGGGCTCTTGAGTTTAGGGCTTTGAATCAACTGACCTCGCTCGAAACGTAGATATTCGATCCAATACTTCCACCGCCGACACTGCCGAAGAGCATCAGAAGACCAATAGCAGCGGCTCTTTTCGAAGGATTCGTGATGTTCGAACTTGTCCATGCGCCGACCTGCATTTGATGGTCAGTTGAGGTTTCAAACTCGAATTACGAAAGCAGTATTTACCATCGGAGCCTGGGCCGCGTATCCAGCCGCAGCCAAGAAGATAGCAAAGTAGCTCACGCCGGGGAGAGAAGGGTAGTGAACTGTGATCCACAAGATTATGATACCACTAGATTATTTAATTTAGCATCATTCTCCATCTGGGTAGACATTGACTTACATCAGACCCAGAGTATAGGCGCCCATGATGCACAGATAACGTTGCTGTTTTTGATCGCTGATGTATCCAACAGCAACGCAAACGCATGTGGCGAATATGTACGGAGGCGTGGTCAGGGCCTGCGCTTTCACCGCAGTATACCCCAAGTTTGCGACCATAGTGGGCAAAGTGTAAGACAAGGAGTACGTAGGCACGGAACCACCCCACCAGAATAGCATCATCCTTGAGGGCAATTAGCTATAAGCGGCGAAACCAAACTTCAGACTGAACTTACATGAAATAAGTTTTCCGATCTTTTGCAGCCGAGATCACATCACTCCAGCGGAAAGTATAAGTCGAAGACACCGGGCCATTGGCAAACTTGACACGGAGAGAAGCGTATTCAAGTTCTTCATCAGTAAGCCATTTGGTACTCTTGCCTGCTTGATATTGATGCGGGAAGGCGCTGGTAATTTCCGATTAGTCTGCATTCTGACGAAGGCAATGCGGAGTTGGATGTCTCACGGCAAGCATAGCAGGCATAAAAGCCCTGCGAAGATGGTGATGCATCCTTCAATGAGGAAGAGCCATCTCCAAGCTCTCCAGCCAAGATTTCCATCAAGAGACCCGACCCCGTAGGCGATGACACCACCAAATGCACCCGCGGTAGTGTTCGCACCGTAGAAAATGGCCATGCGCGTGCCGATCTCCTTCGGTGTATACCACATTGAGAGGATGAAGTAGGCCCCTGGGTAGAGTCCAGCCTCGGCAATGCCTAGCATCAAACGAATAACAATGAAGCCAGCATAAGAGCTTGCTTGCGAGGTGAGAGTTGTGATGAGTCCCCATGCACACACAATGAAAGGAAACCATATCTTGGGTCCAACTCTTCGCAGCATGATATTTGATACAGGCTCGGCGAGTCCGTAGGTGAAAAAGAAGTACATAAGGGCCAAGTTATACTGGGTACCACTCATGCCAAGGTCCTCCAAGAGGCCGAAAAGCTACGTATGGAAGTTTTTAGTCTTGATCTTTGGAAATAACTTAAAAAAGTCAAGAATAAGCTAACCTTGGCATTACCTGCATTAGATTTATCGAGCGAACACATCAAATATAGAACACTCAGTGTTGGAAGTAGGCGTAAGTCCACTAAAATCAAAGTGAGCAATGGAATATATGATGCGTGCACGAGTCTTACATTTCCTGAGTAGTTTCTTCTTGGAAGCTCCGCTGAACACATTGTCAAGGTAAAGGAAGCGTTCGTACTCCGCTGCCGCGTTTCCATCGGACACGGTAGCTACTGCGTCGCCTTTCTTCTCCGCATCAGTCATGGAAGATGGTGACGAAGAATTTGGCAACTCCATAATAAGACGTCAGAATCAATTTGTATCTCAACTCTAAATCTCTCGGTAGCGAGGAAATGGGAGATTTAAGAGACTTTGAAATCTACTTGGCTATCTCTTCAGGCTCAGAGCTCGATATCTCCCAGAAGCCGACGAAGTAGGTGGTGGGTTGGATCTGGTGTGCACAAGTGCAGGCCTAGGCATGAAAGATAGAAGTCCACTGCAGCTATAGTAGACCAAAACAACCTTATCTCAAAGTGATTTCATTGGTCTCGATTCTTTGGCCGCGCTGATAAGGAAATCATGGGGTTTATCGGAGCTTCGCCGAGCTCGTCGAACGGCCAACCCTATCACTGGCGCTGTGGAATGCGATTTACCAGCGATTGATCATACAAGTTTCAGATGCCGGTTATATAAGATTGATAGACTTGGCTGGACCCTAAAATAGGCCAGACGGCGGTTATTTGAGTCGACGACAAAATGTCGAGCACAGCCTTTGCCCCAGGCACAGTCACACGAGAGAAGAACGAAAATGGCGACCCTCTGTATCCTGGTTACATGCGTCAGTCCCGCGAAAGCTTTCCAGAAAAACCGTGGAGTGAAGGCTAAGCTTTGGTTGAACAGCATTCTACGATCCTCTTGAGAAGGTAGAGGACATCGGTGCTTTCGAGCATTTCGACCCTGGTCACCGCGCTGATCCCAAGTTTCCCAATCTTCTGAAAAAAGCGACCAAAGTCTGGGACCTATCTCCTCATGTGGGGACTGAGGTTCATGGAGTTCAGCTCTCTCAACTCGACAGCGCCGGTTTGGATGAACTAGCCCTTCTTGCTGCGCAGCGAGGTGCCTTGGTATTTCGTGACCAAGACTTTGTGGATATCGGCTTCGAGGCACAAAAAAAACTTGTCAGTCATTTTGGTCCTTTGCACATTCACGGTTGGGCCCCTCATCCAGCTGCAGGATCCGAAGAACACATGATTATTTACGATCACAAGGAGTAAGGATGGTGACAACTTCACGAAGGCCAAACCAACATAAATAACACCCTTCCTAGTGATCTCCGGGTTCGCCAATCCTGGGCTGGTCGTAGCCCAGTTCAATGGCACACAGACCAGAGTCCCGAGCAGCAACCCCCTGGTACCACTTTTATTGCTATGCTCGAGTCCCCAACTACCGCTGGCGGAGACACTCTTGTGAGTTCCAGCGTGAGGGCATACAGCAGTCTCTCGCCTCGCTTCCGCAAGCGCCTTGAAGGTTTGACAGCCATTCACACAAACGATGACGGTGTCAGTCAGGAGCTTAAGCACGGTCAACAGGCCGTGATGCGGCGCGGTGTGCTTCGGGCTGAACACCCAGTTGTACTTGTTCATCCTGTTACGAAGCAGAAAGCCCTTTGTAAGTTTCTCTCCGGCATCCTCTCGCAATGTTGTCTTCTCTAACAATGATCTGTCAGACGTTAATCCAGTCTACACAAAAAGGATTGTCGGTTTTGACCAGGAAGAGTCAGACTGCATCCTCAAGTTCCTTTTCGATCACATTGCCAAGCGACAAGATTTCTCTTGCCGGATCCGTTATGAAGCTGGCACTGTGCTTGTGTGGGACCAGCGAGTCACCAATCACTCGCAGACTCTTGATTACCCTGTCGGAGATCGTAGACACGGTTTTAGATTGACTCCTCTGGCGAACAAACCAATCCCGGCTAAGATTGAAGAGGACGACGGTGAATGCTTAAGGGACGAGGCTCGGGTACAGTTGAACTTGTGTTGACTAACGGATAAACCAACAAAGGCTTCATGGTTATACCAAAGTCACAATGAACATTGGCATATGAGTTAAGAGAGATCCATTTTTTAGACGCTTTCAAGTAGCAACCTGCGCAGCTGAGTAAACAATCAATTACAGATAAATTGTGGCCTCATTATGATTCATAGTGTAGACTGCTCCCCCATTATCCCAGTGCAGCGCAAGCCGGAACAAAAAGCGAACCAGGGAATAGAATGAATCAAGATGCCAGAACTCAAAAGCCTGATAACATGCATCAAACATTGATATCAATGACTGTAGGACCAGTCAGCTCAATATGAACAGCTTTGGTCAAAGCCTGTCGACCAAAGCCGGATGAGACATCTTCAGGAACCTCAGATGCCTCGTTGCGTCGAGCATGACTATGTCCCTGACCAAGCACAGTCACAGACTCCACAATTGCGTTTTTGTGATACCCGAATTTACCACGGACATGCAACTGGCCGTTATCATACTCAAAGTCTACCACAGACGTAGCATCTGGCGAGATTGACTCGCCATCATCCAGATACAACTGTCCCTTAGCAGTACCGGCATCATTCGGCGCAATAACAATCTCAAAGCCACGACGACGAAGCTCGGTTGTGGTTTGCGCGCTCTTCGAGCGTAGAGGGAGGATGAATCCGCCGCGGATGTGGATCGGGATTTCAGTGATACCGATATTCGATAGCGTAATTGTTGCGCCGGAACCGGTGATTTTCTCACCAGTATACCAGTCGTAGAATAGGTCGTTGGGGAAGTAGGCATCGACGGATGTTTGGCCTTGGTCTTGAACAGGTGAGATTAGGATTGCATCGCCGTAAAAGAATTGAAGCTGGTTGTTGAATGTGTTCGGGTCGGCAGGGTACACATAGAAGAGTGGCTGGAGGAATGGCTCGCCTGTCTGTGTTTGGCGGTGGAAGGACGTGTACAAGTAATCCAGGAGTCGGTAGCGGATATCGATGATCTTGCGAGCGGCATCGGCTACTGAGGGCCAGCGGTAGAATTCCTGGGGTACGCTTCCTAGCTCGTTGTGGTTACGGTAGAAGGGATAGAATGCGCCAAGTGTGGCCCAGCGCGCGCAAAGCTCTTCACTCGTGTTACCACCGAAACCGCAGACGTCAGAACCGACCATGGGGATTTGGAAGATTGAAGCGAACTCTAGCATCTGTGCGATGGAGACGCGGTACTTGTCCCACTGGCTGAGGTTGTCACCGAGCCTGTAACAGATAGGTTAGATATTGAGGTTTGTAGGGCAATTCGGTATACTTACCAGTGGCCTACGTGTGCACCGGCACCAGCGAATGTGCTTCGTGTAATGACCAATGGCCGGACCTTGGGACGGCGTTGAAGCATGGCATTGCGAGATGCAGAGCTCATCACTGTACAGATTAGAATTAAGATTATGATTCGGAGTGTGACTGATAGGAGTGGAACTTACTGGTACCATAGAGGTTGTGGGTATCATATTCAGCATAACCCTTCCCGGCATGGACAAGATCGGTGTCGATAGTTTTGTTGCTAAGAGATCCTGCCGCATTGGCGATCTGATACTGAGGAGCGATCAGGTCACGGCCGGAGAGGCCAATCTTCTGGCCCTTCATAACTCGAGTCTCCGTATCAAGTGATCGCTTGGATGTAACGGATCTACCAGAACTTGGTTGGAAGTCCTTGGGGAAGCCAGGCAAAGGGCGAGGTGGAGAACGGGTTGCAGGCGCAGCGGGAGGAAGATTGTTTTGCTCTGCGTAGCTCTGCGGGTCTTTACATGGCCATGGACAGAAGTTGGAGGCTTCATTCATGTCAATCCACAGACCGTCAATGTTCACCCCGGTTTTTTCATCAAAGAAACGACGGAATTCACCGTTCCAATACGCTTGGGTATCAGGGTTGAACCAGTCGGGGTACACAGTCACGCCGGGCCAGACAGCACCTATGCCAGTTAGGTTCAATTACTCAATGACTTGGTGGAGATGTACCTTTGTAGAGAGTGTCCTGATCACGGTAGAGGAAGACACTACGCTCATTTCCTCGGTTGAAGGCACCATTATCTGCCAAAGATGTTAGGGGCTGGCTTTTAGGTTTATCGAAATATACGCACCGCTATCACTGATAGCTGGATCAACCATCACAATGTAATGTTGATTGTGTTTGTGGAGATAAGTCACCAGCTCGGTCATCTTCTCCAGTGGGAATCGCAAGGGATCCAGAGTGAAAACCCGACGTGCGTCCATGTAGTCAATGTCTGTCCACATAGTCTCCAGGGGAATGTGCGCGCGACTGTAATTGTAAACAACTTCAGCTACCTCATACGCGTCCTGGTATCCATATCGGCATTGATGAAACTAGAGCACGTTAGTTTAGAAGTCCCGCAAAGTCATCAGATGAACTTACACCGAAGGACCAATAGCTTTGCATAGCAGGGAGACCGACAACCTCCGAGTACTGCATACTCACATCCTTGGGGGTCGGGCCGGCTAAGAAGTAGAAGTCCAAGACACCACCAAGAGTATTGTATTCCAAGAACTGTCTACCATCGTGAGACTTGTCGACCTTGACGTCCATTCCGTTGGAGTTCAGGAAAAATACGCCGTGAGTGCCTGAATCTCCTCGGTGGTCCACGTAGATAGGGTGATTGCCATACAAATTACTGTTTGCAGGAATGCCATAGGCATCCCGACTCCATAGGGTACGAGTGTAGTTTGTGGTTGGCATACGCAAGGAATCAGAATGTTCACCCATACCATAGAGATTTGGGTCATCTGGAAGCCAGGTGCGGAGGTTCAGATACTGGGTCTCAAAGACGACGTTGGTATCAGTTGTGTCAAACAAGACCTCGTCACCACGCAGGACCCTGAAGCTAAATGGTTCAGGCTGGTAATCAAAGCGGAGGACAGAAGCATCACGGTGAGTGCTTGAAGCAGTGGGTCGAGGCAGCACAGACTCGGGAACTTGGTAGACCTCTTGATCCGCGTCTTGAATAATAACATGAAGGCGGTTATCTAATGGCCTCACTGATTAGTGGCGATGTTTTTGAAATAAAGAAACACGTGAAGACTCACTGGTCTGATATTCCACCAGCAGGGTGAGGTTTACCAGGTCAGAACCATACAAGTTACAGGCATCACCAGCCAGAACCAAATCCGCCATAAGCGAGTTATCATGTTCTTTAATGTTGATGGCTTTGTAGCCAGGGCACTGATCAGGCCCATCAGTACGAGGTCTGATGACTGCAGCGCCCACGAGGGGCACCAAAAATAAGAGTAATCCCCGCATGTTGAGAACTCAACTGAGAAAACGTTGAGTACACAGCAGGGGGGAAAGGAATGTGAAATAATTGAGGGAATCAGCGCTCTTATGAGGAACTAGAAGAGGAAAGTGAACAAGGATGAGGGGAGGTAAGATGATGAGGGGGAGGTAAGGAGGTCAGGAGGCTCGAGTGGCAAGATATGTAATATGTCCGATGTTTATGCGCGATGGGAATAGTGAGAGATAATTCAAGTGGTTAGCCTAAAGTCGCAAAGGTTCTATGGGCATTGTTTGTATGATCCGGTTCAACAATTCATCTGCTGCGGAGACGCGGGCAATTACCGGCCTGCTGGTCTTGGCTGATCGGCAGATTCATGGCAAATGCAACCCTACGTCGTCTTGACGTCCCCATTTGGATCCAACGAGCTAAGCACCGAAGAATATGTGGGGTTTACGCGGAGATTTGGTATGAAACGAATACAGATCGAAAGGCAAGATCTCCGATTAGGGTTGACACACGGACCACCATTGGCGATTTAAACATACCTGGTCATACTGCTAGATTCATCATTGATCCTCATCTTTGCATTGATTACTATTCTCATAAATCTCCATCTGGAGTAGACATCTTTGATTTCACATGACGCTATTCTTCATGTATGCACGTAGACAGGGTTGTCCACTTTATAGTTGTTGGTTTGACAAGCTTATTCTCTCCGAAATTCATCGTAATACTACGATCATGAGACCACTTGTGTGTAACAGTTTGAATCAGCGATGAGATCATAATAAAAGGTTTCTTTTGCCGCGGGAAAGTTTCAACAAATCCTCCGAGAATGACTGTGTACATCCAATAACATCAGTACTTCCGCTCCATTTGTGCAATGACTTTCGGCCTTTTTACATCCCACTCTTCCCACACAATCGAATAAGAAGCCGTATGCCTCCCTGGAAGTTCCTCCTGAGTCCCGTTTCTCTTCGCAAGAGCCTCTGCCGAGCTACCGATCGCAAATGTACGATGCCACCGCGCAATACCTTCAAACTCGAATCCCATGCGCAACGCAACTCTCCGAGATGCCGCATTCTCGGAATGACACTTCCACTCTACACGTCGTAGACCCAGGCCGCCAGCTGACTGTGGGTCCAGAGTGTATTGGAGGATCAGGCCAATCGCGTTCGCTGTCACATGGGTACGTTGGAATGCTGAGAAGATCAGGACACCTAGTTCTGTGACTGCGTGAACAGCGTCTGTGGAATAAAGTGCGATTGTTCCGGCATATTCTTCAACAGCTGGTGATTTATCGATGATAGCATATAGGCATTCCGCGGGCGATGCGCGTATGCTGTCATAGACTGCTTTGAAATCATCATCATTTTGAACTTCTGGAAAGGGAACATATTTGAGAAGCTCTGGCCTGGCTTTGATCTCCTCAACAAACTTTGTTACATGGACATTCGGCTACGCAATCGAGTCAGCCTTGTGGTGCGGGGAAACGGCACCTGCTACTTGCATTAAATGGTTCCAAGACGACAAGGTCGTTCTCCAAGCGTTTCTGCTCATAGTGAAAGACAGCTTCTGACATCATGAGCTGTTCTGAATGCTTGGTAACTTGCGTGCAGCAACAGATCAAAATGTCCTAGAATTATTGTCCAGGTTGTTTACCCCCTTTGTCGCTCTTGCCCCGGCTGATGCCTGATTATAGATGACTAACCAGACTTATCAACAGACTACCTCGGTCATATCTCGGATTGCGGATTAAAACCGGTCAGCTAAAGCCATGATCATTCTTGACCAAACTAGACTTTACAGTCTATATTGTGCTGTGTGGGAGAAGGATATCTCCGCCACGGCAGTAGAAAATTGGATGCGCTTTGCAGGTTTTCAGGTATTTAGTGGATTTCTTGTCTAATAAAGCTTGAATCAAAACAATTGAAAAAGCACTGGAATCCATCTTTGGTTGGTTATTGAACTCCCCTAACTAAATAGAACGTCCCCTGCTTGCTCGGCACGCTAGTGCCGACGCAGGAACCATATGAGAAGTGTGAACAGCATCCAGTTCAAATCCCGGAACGTATTTCGTAGCTTGTGCAGGCATTTGCACGGGTCTCCATTTTAGTTCCAATTGAATCGATAATTGCAAAAATTGTAGAAATGCTGGAATTTTACGCAATCTGTTGTCTTTTGTTTACAAGTTCACATCGGACGAGGGGCACGTGACCACCGTTCCCTGAAGTTCCCGAGCCGCGAACCCGCAGATTCTGGTCTCTGTCGTTGCGCCAGACTAAACCGCCATTGGACCCTCTTGTCCTCCTACCAGTGACTGCCTTGGGTGACCCGTGCTTGGATTTTATTTTCGCTCCTTCTCCTCCCCACAGTCTCACCAAAATGCCCGCTGCCACCCGTGCCGTCCTGCGGCAATCGCAGTTCCTGACCCGGAGAACCGCCGTCAGACACGCCTCATCCTCCTCGGAGAAGGCTACCCAGGCTGCCTCCAAGGCTCAGGAGGGTCTTTCCAAGGCCACTGCTGCTGCTGGCCCGGCTCTCTCCAATGCCGCTACTGCCCTCCGCAAGGTCGGCGGCCCCGTCGGCAAGGTCGTTTCGTTCGTCGACTGTAAGAGACACCCTTCCCCGTTCATCCAAGTTCTGCATTGGATGCAGTCCGAAACACATCTGTTATCATTGATGGAGAAGCACTGGGATTGTCATTGCCATGATGGAAGTCGTGGCGAGATGGATTTCGGATCTCCTCGGTTACCCTTAACAGGGCCAAATGCAATTTTCCCTGAATGCATGGCTAACATTGAATCTCCTTCCAGCTATGATCCCCCCGACCATCTACTACTCCAAGGTCGGCATTGAGCTCGGTCGTCTGGTTTTCCGTGGCCAGAACATGGCTCCTCCGTATGTCTGCCCCGAATCTTCAATCCACAGATTATCCCTCGTTGCTCGTCGCTCGACACCATACTAACCCTTTCTCTAGCAACATGGCCACTTTCCAGTCCTACTTCCAGCCTCTGATCAACGTCGCTCGCAACCCCGCCTCTTTCAAGACCCTCAGCTTTCCCTCTCCCCAGAACTTCCTGGCTCGTGTCCGCAACGCCAGCCCCAAGGAGCTTGCTCTTGCCGGTGTCACCGCTGCTGAGGTCATTGGTTTCTTCACCGTTGGTGAGATGATCGGCCGCATGAACCTGATCGGCTACCGCGGCGAGGCTCCTTCCCACCACTAGATCTTGAAAACTATTTCGTCCTTTTCTTTTTCCTTTGTTCGCCTTACCTCTGCGTGTTGAGCTCTGTATGATAGACGATGGAATATAAGCTGTTGTCTGAGATAGAATCATTTTTACAATTTATTTGTCTACTTCAGGCATCCATGATACGTAATCCTCACGGCGTGAAATCTGTAGTTTGTGTAGATATGTTTATAGCGCAACCCAGGTGCCTTCTCTTTCAACTTCCATTTCTCATACCCCACCATGCCTGATAATTCTGAGGTAGTCATCCTGATACTTCTTCTTTGCCTTTATCATTTCTGGACCTTTAATTCCATCACCTGTTCCGCCTTCATGTTTTACGTGGTGCTCTATCGAGTCTACATTCCGCGATGATCAGCGATATCCAAGCTCAATTCTCATTGGCCCGGAAAGTCTTTGGGTGGGTCAACTTTTTTCTCTTCCGCCAAAATATCTTAAGTCCGCAGTTGCAACCTCGAAAAAACAAGTATTCACGACTTCCAGCATGGATGCATTCAAATTGTTGACGCGGTCGACAAAGTTCAAGTCGGCTGCACCAGCTGCAAAGCCAGCTGCCCGACTCCCTTCCTTTGGAAAAGCAGCAAATCCGCAACTCTTCTGGACCGCGGAGGGTGAAAAGCTTGAATCTGAACAGGGAAAAAAGAGAAAGCGCGCAAATGCTGCAGCCGATGAGGAGCACGAGGAAGATACCGCTGACTTGGATTTCTTCCATTCTAATAAGCGCTCTGCCGCGCCTTCATCTGGGACATCGGCTTCGACTCCCGTTAAGGGCGAGGATCTACCTTTTGACCAGGATGAGTCCGATGATGACGATGCTATGGATGAAGTGCAGCGTCGCACTATTCTAAACTCGCACAAGATCAAGATTACGGATCTTCGTGATGTGGATGAGATTCAGGTTCAGCCTGCTCCAGCCAAGGAATCCAAGAAGGAATCCAAGAAGGAATCTAAGAAGAAGAAGAAGACTAAGAAGGAAGAACCCGCTGCACTTCTCAGCAAAAAGGAGATGAAGCGTGCTAGACGTATGTACCCGCAACCGTTGGTTTCGTTCAAGGAGCTTCGTTCTAGATACAAAATCTCCAGCCGGTTGGCGGAAAATGTCGCCGGGCAGGGATTTACTGTTCCTACAGAGGTGCAGTTGGGCAGTCTGCCTCTTATGCTTGGTGATCCCTCGGTCTCTACTACCGAATCCTCGGAGCCCGACCTCCTAGTCGTTGCACCTACCGGTAGTGGTAAGTCCCTGTCATTCTTGATTCCAGTGATCAACAAGATCGTTCGACACCACCATTCGCAATCAAACGAGCACGGGGTTCTGTCTGTGATTGTGGCTCCTACCAAAGAGCTTGCCAGTCAGATTGTCAACGAGGGCCGCAAGCTGGTGGCCGGTACCGGTGTGAAGATCACATTGATGAGAAAGGGTATGCGAGTGGTTGAGCGAGACGACGATGACGAGACCAACGTTCTTGAAGAGGACGCCGAGGAATCTGCTGGATCAGAGGATGAAGATGAAGAAGACGATAAACCAAAGAAAGTTCAAAACAATGCACCCGTCACCAAGAGTGATATTTTGGTTACCACGCCCTTGATGTTGGTGAATTCTTTGTCCGCAAACCAGACAAAACCTTTGGCACACTTGCCCTTGGTGCGAAGCTTGGTGCTGGACGAAGCGGATGTGCTGTTGGACCCGTTGTTCCGAGAGCAGACACTCGACATCTGGCGCTCGTGCGTCCATCCAGACTTGCGCGTGAGTCTGTGGTCTGCTACCATGGGCTCCAACGTCGAAGATCTCACTCGGTCAACAATCAAGGAACGCCTGGAAAACATTGAACACAAGCCCACCACACCTCACCCTCTTGTGCGCCTGGTCGTTGGATTGAAGGACTCGGCAATCCCCAACATCGACCACCGACTCATCTACGCAGCTACAGAGCAGGGTAAGCTTCTTGGACTTCGGCAACTTCTTCGTCCAGCTGCAGCCTCACCCGGAGATGTCCGCCTCCGACCCCCATTCCTCATCTTCACACAAACGATCCCCCGAGCAATTGCTCTCCACTCCGAATTGAGATACGACATCCCAGCTGAAGCCGGTGGCTCATCGCGTATTGCCGTGTTGCACTCTGACCTCGCCGATAACCAGCGATCCGAGATCATGCGCGACTTCCGCAAGGGCGAAATCTGGATCCTCGTAACGACCGATCTGCTCGCCCGTGGTGTCGACTTCCGTGGCATCAATGGTGTCGTCAACTACGACATTCCCAACTCCGCCGCTGTCTACGTTCACCGCGTTGGACGGACTGGTCGCGCTGGTCGCGAAGGCGGTATCGCCGTGACTTATTACACCAAGGAGGACATTCCCTATGTCAAGAGCATTGCGAATGTTATCGACGTGAGTGAGAAGCTGCGAGGCGAGGAGGGCGGAAAGTCAATCCAGAAATGGCTTTTGGATTCCCTGCCTGATCTTAGCAAGAAGGACAAGCAGGAGCTCAAGAAGCATGGTGTTAAGGCGCGCCAGATCTCTAAGCATGTCGGTGGAAAGGACAAGAGTGATGATAAGGATAGCAAGGCTGCGCGCGCTTCCAGAATCAGTACAAAGAGCGGTTTTGAGCGACGCATGGAGAACCGCAAGAAGGGCGCTATTGCTGCCAGCCGGAACAGAAAAGCTGCAGCCCCGCAAGATGGCAATGTCAGTGATGGAAGCTGGGATGGTCTGAAGGATTAATTTTTTCATTCTTCGCACATCATTTGTATATCAAGGGATTAAAATAATCATCAACGCATTCATTCATGACCATCATTCTCTAGCACTATGTTTATTCCTTCTGCTCTCCATTTCCAGAGCTTTGCTGCTGTTGCTGCTGCTACTGCTGCTGCTGCTGTTGCTGTTGCTGCTGCTGTTGTTGTTGTTGCTGCTGCTGTTGTTGTTGTTGTTGTTGTTGTTGTTGCTGCTGCTGTTGTTGCTGCTGCTGTGGTGAGGGCTGTGGTGGAGCAGGAGGATCCTCCGCAGGTCGTCTCACAAGATTGACAGGTACAAAAGCACAATCCAACATCCCCTGCTCCTCCAAAACAGACTCCAAGTCATCCCCATCCCGATCAAAATAAAGTGCCCACTCTCCCTCCTCTTCCTCAACTGCTACAAACGCGCCACTATCCTCCAACAAAATCGTCTTCTCGTCCTCAGTCCAGTTCCAGGGCCCGACAACATGCTCCACGCTCTGTGACCTGTTCCCATACTTCAACTCGTGTGTGTCAACGTCCGCATATATCCAGTTCAGAAGCGGTGGGTCCGCTGAAACGTAGGTCGGTAGTCCAAGTCCACGATCTAAATGTTTTGTTTCTTCTAGCTCAGGGTATTCGATGTAGAATGCTAGGGAGGTGAATGCGGGCTTGGCGCGGTTGCGAGGGTTTGGGTCGTCGAGGTAAACCTGTGGTTATTTAGCGACTGGCTGTACTGAATGGGACCTGGACAAACCTTGTCATTCCGAACAACCACCCTCCGCCCATTTACATCTCGATCATCGTCTGTGTCGCCAAAACAGACGGCGTCGATATTGAACTTGCACATTCGGCGCGCATCTTCTCTGCGCTGGTTCGCCTTGCGCTGTTCGCTAACTCCGAATGCCACACCCGTCACCGTCGGAATGGAAGTCAAGGTTAGTAATCCGATCATTCTGTATGTGGCTAAACCGGCTCTATTGTGTCTCGAGGGGTATTAAGCCTGGTTTTGTGTTTGTACTGCGGGGAGTCGCTGCAGTGTCTTCAATGTTGGTGGCTTTGTGGCGCTTTCAGATTCATTTGCCTTGGTGGACTATGCATCTCACCCGGCTGGTATGATGGATATTTGAGCAAATGGGTGAGTTTCACACATGGAGAGAATTTTGTTTCTGGATAGATCTGGAACCAGGAATTGCAACGGTGTTGAATCCAAAAAGCCCAGACTGTTGCGACACCGACGTCATTGGATCCACGTGATAATCTAGTTAACCAATATGTGTATGCCTGATGAAACAGGCAGAACACATGCGGTCATCTGGATCCCCGATACTCCGAGGCCACTCAAGGCATTTGGGTAAATTACTGTCAATCAGGATATTCCCAGGCTAGATGGACAACTTGGAAGATATTATATGTAGGTCTGAATGACCATTCCACGGATGCTGGGGTAGCTCAAGGCCAACTAAGCAATTCATGGAATATGCAACATCCATTTTCAAAAGCATATCAAAGTGGTATCTATCGTCAGTCGTATAATCATCCCAACCATATCGCCTTGTCTGATGCTTTAATTCAATGTCGCCTTGAAGCCCTGATAAGCCTGTTCAATATCAAAGGCTAGCTCCCGTGCCTGGTCCTCACTCAATTCCTCCGTCGCCCGCATCTGATTTAAGGCAATCAACCACTGGATAATCTTTCCCCGATTCTCAAACTCTCCATCTGTCACCTTGTTCACCGATTGTATCACTTCCGAGAGAAGGGGGTGTAGCGCGTCCTTTGAGACCATGTTCAACTTCAATGCGTCAAGGAATGTGATGAAATTCTCCGTCGCGGTCAGGATCAGACTGCCTGATGCGCCGCCTCCTGATCCTCCTGCTGCGCCACTGCCGGAGGTAGGTGCATTGTGTGAAGCCTGTTCGACAGTTGCGGGGAGGCCAATTCGTAGTCGCTCGGTAGCTCGGGGGCATTCCAGCTGACGATTGGTTAGGGAAACCGAAAGTACAAGTTCGTTGGGATATGTACTTACACCCCAGGTTCGCTTGAATGATTCTAAATCAACAAATTCTCGAGCAACAGTCTCATCGCCCAGGCTGGACTTGTATTGCTTCAAAAGTCGGGTGCATGTCTCGGTGTACTCCGCCTCGGTGACTACATCTTTGATGTACGCCTTTTCGAGCCCGTCGAGGGTGACGATAATACTGTAGATCTCAGCCAGAGATTCGTAGAGGTCCCGCTCTCCTGAGCTGGAAACCAATTTCACCTCCTGAAGACTGGTTAGTTGGAGTGCACCCCGCGTTTCGTGGAGTGGGCCTTACTTCATCGAGATTTATGGAGGCCGACCGAGCTGGATCTGGTGTATAGCTATATGGTGTTGGTGCATAGGATAATGGACGCTGGGAGTACATCTTGAAACTCCCAGAATAAAGAAAGAAGAAGATAAGTGTCAATGTCCAGGATGCATGTCTAGACGATAGGAAGCTTGCTTATCGGCAGCTGCCAAAGGCGGTCGCGAAGGCGGAACCGCTGATTTTCCCCGAGCCAAATTTTTTTTTCTCTCAGCGCTGGATCTATCTGCTCTACAAGCTATAAACCGCAGAACAAATCGCCCATCATGGCTGTCGGCGGAAAGAAGTCGACGAAAAAGTTTAACACGAAACACCTCAAGGAAACTCTTGAGCGCCGAAAGGAATTCGCCAAGATCAAGCAACGCCATGTCCTGAAAGACAAGCGCAAGGAAAAGAATGCCAGCCGTCGCGAAGCCGAAGAAGAAGCCAACGTCGAGGATCCCGAGCAAGTGAAAAAGCAAGATGCCTTCGCTGAGATGAATGTGGATGACTTCTTTGCCGGCGGATTTGACATCGCCGACCCCAAGACCGACAAGAAGAAGTCCAAGAAGGACGTTACCCCCAAGATTGGCAAGCGCAAGCGCTCGACAGACCAGTCACAGAATGAGGAGGCCTCCGGCTCCGAGGATGGCTCTGCGCCCAGTGATGATGAAGATGCCAATGGGTTTGATGAGCACATGGACCAGCTTGAGTCATTGAAAGAGAAGGACCCCGAGTTTTACAAATACCTGAAGGAGAATGATGCAGAGCTACTCGACTTTGGTAACCAAGGTGATATGGCCGAGATCGACGAATTGAGCGAGAGCGAGGCCGCCGCCGAAGAGGAGGGCCCAGCAAAGAAGAAGAAGAAGTCCAAGAAGCAAGAAAATGTTGAGGAGGAAGAAAAAACTATTGACAACACCTTGACCATTCCTATGGTGAAGAAGTGGCAGAAATTGATGGAGGAGCAAAACTCGGTCCGTGCCATGCGTCAGACTGTTCTGGCATTCCGCGCCGCAGCCACTGTCAATGACCCTGAGGCTGGCGAGCAGAGGTACACCATCTCCGACCCCAATGTCTACCACCAGGTGCTTGTGACGGCACTGAATGTCGTTCCAAAGACACTTGCGCACCATCTGCCCGTCAAGGAGACCGCCGGTGGCAAGGTCAAGGTTTCCCTCGATTCGAAGAAGTTCAAGACCCTCACGCCTTTGATCAAATCCCACACTTCCTCCGTTCACCAGCTCCTGATGAACCTGACAGATGCCCAAACGCTCAAGATGACCATCTCTTCTATGGAGCCCATGCTTCCCTACCTTCTCCAGTTCCGCAAGGTCCTGAAGACCCTGATCAAGACTGTCGTCGGCATCTGGGCTGATGTTTCCACTGCCGATGCTACTCGTATCACTGCATTCCTTTTGCTGCGTCGTCTCATGGTTATGGGTGACGCCGGTATTAAAGAGACCGTGCTCAAGACCACCTACGAGGGTGTAGTCAAGGGAAGCCGCAACACTACCGTCCACACTCTTGCTGGCGTGAACCTGATGAAGAATTCAGCTGCTGAGATCTGGGGCATTGACCAGAACATTTCATACACCACTGGCTTCACCTTCATCCGCCAATTGGCCATGCATCTTCGCAACAGCACTCGTCACACCTCCAAGGAGTCATACAAGACCATTTACAACTGGCAATACGTGCACTCGCTCGACTTCTGGTCCCGTGTGCTCTCACAACATTGTGATGGACTCGTTGAGGCCCAGGCCGGCAAACAGTCCGCTCTGCGGCCGCTCATCTACCCCGTTGTCCAAATCACCCTGGGTGCTATGCGCTTAATCCCGACTGCGCAGTACTTCCCCCTCCGCTTCCAGATGGCCCGCGCCCTGCTTCGCATCTCGCGCGCCACAGGAACTTACATCCCGCTCGCCTCTTCCCTGCTGGAGGTTCTTACCTCTGCCGAGATGCGCAAGTCCCCAAGATCTAGCACCCTTAAGCCCCTCGACTTCAACACTGCCATCCGTGCTCCCAAATCCTATCTCCGATCCCGCACTTACCAGGATGGTGTCGGTGAGCAGGTCGCCGAACTCCTGTCCGAATTCTTCGTCCTGTGGTCCAAGCACATCGCCTTCCCCGAACTCTCCGTTCCAGTCGTTGTCTCCCTTAAACGCTGGCTGAAGCAGGTCTCTGCCCGCAATGGCGGCAACAAGAACGCGAAGATCAACCAGATGATTCTTCTGCTCGTGCAGAAGGTCGAGGCTAATGCCCGCTGGATTGAGGACCGTCGCTTGAACGTCTCTTTCACCCCTCGCAACCGCACCGAGGTCGAGAACTTCCTCAAGGATGTTGACTGGGAGACCACTCCCCTTGGTGCATTCGTGAAGACCCAGCGCAAGCTGAGGGAAGAGCGTGCCGCTATCCTCGAGGAGGGTCGCATCGAAGAGGAGAAGCGCCGCGCCGAAGCTAAGAACTCAGGTGACGGCGATGAGTTCATGGGCGGCGCTGGCAGTGATGAGGGCAGTGAAGACGAGGATGCGGAGGAAATGGAGAGCGAGGATGAGATTGAAGAGGAAGAAGAGGACGAGGACGAAGACGAAATGGAGCTTGAGGAGGAGTAGATATCCTATTATTTCCATACTGTGTATATCTTTCATGTCGATCTACTATTATCGGGATATTCCGCATCAAAAGAAACTGGCGTTTTATGTTTTCATCACGACTATCTCGAATCCACGCTAGTCCAAGTCAATTCTGTTTTTATGCAATGCGAAGGGGGTATCTGTAATCAATGCTAAGCCCAAACGCAGTAGGAAGTTAAACGGACCCAAGAGGCATCCGATCCTGTCCCCAAGCCCTGATCCTCTCCCTCCTTAACGCGGCATCCTCTTCCTCGGCCCACGCCAAAGACTCATTAGGCAACATAATGGCCTTATCAATAGCAACTGGCAATCCCCGATGTCTCCCTCTCAACGCAACCGCAGCGAGAATAATCTTACTGACGGGGTGCCATGCTCCACAGAACGAATAATTCTTCCCAGGGTAGCCCACACTCACCCCGACACAGCCGTAGGCGGACACGACCTCAAAGATGATGTTAAAGGTCGCGAACGCGACAGGCTGTGCAGTGAAGTGATCTGATTCTGCGATTGCGACGAAAAGGACAGCCAGTGCGATCCACCATAGGTCATGGCTGAGTTGGGATCGAAGCTGTTGGTGTACGAAGTAGCCGCGAGATGTCTCCGAGAAAGTTGGTCGGCCTAGGTGATGTCGGATTAGATCGACAAGCACATTGCTACGGCTCGTATTTGCGGAGGATTCGGATCCGTCATTGGCGTAGATTCCGAGGGAGCGTTCTTCGTAGACGTTCGTGTTGCTGGGTTGAGTGTTAGGTATATTCATGGGTACGTTCATAGGGAAGGCTTGAGAGATTAGACATACCGCATTGTGACCAGCACTGGAAACGCGGAGACATACTGTTATTCTGTTAGTTCTAGATCCCTAAGAGGTCTTCTTGGTATGGCATGGTGATAAATCTTACCATCATCAGAACTAGATAAAGGTGAGTGAGCAATTCGAATAATATGAGCATGTAGACTTACCGTAAAGGACAAGCAGGCCCTGGTGTAGATCAGAGATCGTCACAACATAGAATCCTCCAGAACGAACAGCTATCTAATGTTAGTCATAATTCATATCAGTAACAAATGGATATACGGACCAACAGCTTGGAATAAACCGTCTAGAACTCGATATTCTGATGGTAGAGCCTGGATTTGCTTGTTCCCGATAGATAGGATCTCGAAACCAGCCCAATCAATTGCATTGAGCACAATGATCGTACTAAGCAGATACCACGTATGCCGAGCCGGAAAAAGGTTCGTATAGACCCTCCGCGGGTGGTCCAGAACGAAATCCAAAGTCATCTGCCACGATCTCCACGATGGTTGATTTGGTATCAGAGCCCTCATAGTCCATATAATGAACCGCAAAAAGCAGGGGAAGAGTGTGTTCCCCGCGAGAATGAGCATAGCCATGGTAAGAAGCGGGTAAGCACTGAAACCCGTTAGTAAAGCTATTTTCTAGCAGGTAAATTTGGCGAAGGGACATACTCCAATTGCAAGGCGGTCATGTTCTTATCCAAAAGAGCCATGCCGCTATTCACAAAAGCCGATATGGCAAAAAAGGCGCCTGTCCAGAATGGGGAGAGTCCATTATCGCCAGCGATTTCTGGATGGTTTACCTGCAACCAGGTTCCCATTCCGATTATTCCCAAAGCAAGAAATGAAATAAGGTATAGTGAGACGGTGATTGATAGGAGGTAAACGGCTTTGTACTCGACTCCGCCTAGTTTCTCGCGTTCGGCTGATGTCAATCCGTGGAATTGTGAGTTGCGGGATACTGGTGCTTTGGACCAGAAGTACTTCTGTGTACCTCGGATCACATTATCAAGCTTTGATTTCGGTGATTCGATGGCATAAACAGGTACTGGTGCGGCATCACGAGGGTGGTTATTCAGGTCAGGTCTGGCGCCAACGCCGACCATTGGGAAGACCCGGTGGTGATGGTGATGTGTATCTGCGACGGTGATTTGATCGCTGTCACGCCATGCAGTATGGTCATCATGGGAACTCAGTCCATGAGCCTCGTCAATGGTAACAGTGTGTGGCCGAGATTTAAATTGGGCCTCGAGCTCATGACCCGATGCTTCGGCGCAAGCTTTGCTATCTCGTAATTCGAAAACCGACGCCTGTCGTGATGCTTCACGCTCTTCTGAGACAACCTGCAATTTTGCCTCGAATGCTCGTTTACGCACCACTAGCACAGCGATAGAGATGAAAATGGCAGAGCCCATAATGAGCAAGATCAATAGAATGACTTGCTGAAAAGTATTCAGAGTTGATAAGTCGACCTGGAAAATCCATCAGAGTCTGTTTAACACAGCTTCTACATTTGGACAGAGACAATACCGTGTTCAATCCAGCACCGGTCATCGCACTAACACACAGAAAGATGGCATCGACATAATCAACTTTTTTCCATGGCGTGGAAGTCAGATAGAAAAGGACGCTGCTGACCAGGCATGTCACAATGAAATAGACATAATGGAGCGTTAGAAAATTCGCTGGTGGTAGGATCGCGGTCATAGTTCGGCATAACGGTCCTCGCCACAACGCTACGGATATAAGTTAGCCAGGAAGGTTATATAGCAACGGAAAAACCCACGATTCAATTGCGACCGGATTTGCATTCCAGCTGCAATGTAAGAACCAAATAAGATAAGAGAGACCAATCGCAAAAGAAACCTCTGCCTCGTGGAGGCGATTGCGACTGTCGGTGTGGGATCTTGGCTCTTTCTTTCAGGTTTGCGGTTGTTGAAGCAGCGCTGCCACTACGGGTTCTGTGGAGCATTCATTTGGAGGTTAAGATGTTTTCGGTACATCTGGAAGAGAAGTAGCCGTTTTGACGTGTATCTTGTGGGCTTATGGGTAATAAGAGATTTTTCTTAAGGATGAACGGCGCCCCACTTTTAGCCCTGTTTCGCATGGAGATGAACCCCTTAGATGCGAGCTTGGAAGATAAGAATTGGCATGGACCTAACGGAACAGGGTGAGATTTGAAAGAATCCTGAATATTGGCACATGCATCAAGGGATAATCGCAACACTATACAATATACGGTGAAGCTGCAATTATTGCCGTAGGTCGCGATGATCCTGGCGTCGCGTGGCGTAGGGCTGAACCAGTAATAGATCAGCCACGACGTATGGAGATAAAGATTTATTGATCTTTGACTATCTCTATGGCTTAAATCGCGAGCATCTTTTGCACTCGCTTGACCAGACTGCGCTCGAACTGTTCCACTCCACTCGTTTGTTCGTTTAGCTTGCCCGTCTTAACCACGTACACGGACCGACGTCGAGTGATGTTCTCTTCCGTTTCTTCCTCTTCTAACCCCTCAAAATCATCATCTAATTTATGATCAGTATCCCTCTTTCCTTCAATAACTGATCGAATCAAAAATCGGTCGTGGGATACGAGAAGAATGGCCCCGTTAAAGGATGAGAGGGCTGTGGCGAGTGCTGTGACAGTGTGGAAATCTAGATGGGTGGTGATCTCATCGAGAATGAGAAGCTGAGGAGCGCTCCAAACGATACGAGCTAGAGCAAGGCGAACCTATCCATCGGTGAGTATGTTGCCATAGATGTATAGGTGGGAAATGAGAAGACTTACCAGTTGCCCACCGGACAATTTGGCCACAGGTACATCGGACGCAATGCGGCCCTGCAGACCCATTGACGAAAGGAGCCCTCTCACAGCTCCCTCATTGAGCGCATCGCCAGTCTCTGTCATCAGTAACCCAAGTGCAGTGAGACCGGGCTCACCCCGGCCACGTTCTTGCAATTCTTCCACAGAGTGCTGGCCGTAGTAACCTACTTTCAGCCGGGAATGGGTCGTCACTTTGCCCTTCGAGGGAGCGAGTTGCCCGGTCAAGACGCGGATAAGCGTGGTCTTACCCGAGCCGTTAAGACCCATGATTCCAACGCGATCACCAATGTGAACAACCAAATTGACATCATCCAGAATGATGCGATCGTTCTTGTATCTAAATGTAATCCCCTCCAATGAGACCAGAGGTCCGGGGAATCGCAGCTCAGTTGCATCGGGCAGACTCATCGTCGCGCCTCTCTCATCCGTCGGCACTTCAATCTCCGCCCTGTTATGGGCATGCCACCCAACAAGGTCCCGGTTCAATTTGAATCGACCTCCGTTCGCACTGACCTGAAGACCCATTCGATCATCAACTTTCTTTTGTCGCGACTTGGCCTGTCGAAGCTTGTTCTCGTCGTTGGTCTTCTTGCCTATCTTCATATTTTCACGGATACTCGCTTCCATATGAGCAATTTGTCGCTCTTGCGCCTCCTTCATGCGTCCCAGGTATAGTTTCTGTGCCTCGAAGTCTTGTTCGTAGGCGGCGAGATTCCCGCGAAAGTAATTTAATTTCTGATCTCGTAAGATCACGATCTCTTCGCAGACGGCGTTGATGAAGTCTCGGTCATGTGAGACGAGGAGGATTGTGGTTTGTGAATCTTCGCGTAGACGTTGGAGGTAGTTTTCGAGCCAGACTACTCCTAGGAGATCTAGGAAGTTGGTCGGTTCATCGAGAATCATGATGTCGGGGCTTTGGATTAGGACGGAGGCAAGCATGCAACGCATTCGCCATCCTCCTGATAAGGTTGAGACTTTATTGTCCAATTTTTCTTCTTTGAATCCTAATCCCTGCAGAATTCGGCGTGCTTCCTTCTCCATATCGGCCATATTCATCTGATTAAAGTCAGTTGAAATGGTCCAGATCAAGATGATTAGTAGTACTCGCCTCTTCAAGTTGGGATTGCAAAGTTTGGAGCATTTCAACGGCAGCCTGTGTCTCTATTTGGACTGTCTCGGCGTCGATCGCATCGAGTTCCTGGGCAATGCTGCGAGAGTAAGATAACCGTAATGCTGTAATCCATGCGATTTTCTTACAGCTCTTGTGTAGATTCCAATTTTGATTCAGCGGCCTTGAGATCTTTCCGAGCTTGTAGACCCCTTGCACCGCTCTTCAAGTGGGCATTCTTATGCGCAAGAAAGAGTTTCTTCTCTGCCTGTTCATGTCGTATCTTGCGAATAGCTTGTACTGGCTTCAATGGGTCGTCAGTCTCGAAGCTCTTAGACAGACAATCTGCCAGCCGAGCGGCCTCATTCCTGGCTTCATCACTGCCTAGGACAGACTCCAAAACAGACTTTTCCAATTTCAGTCCGTATGTACTTCCCGATTCATCTTGGCCGTCTGTTTGCTGTAGAATTGCAATGCGAGTGGCGTGAGGGATCCCCGGAATAAGCTTTTCGGCCATCGCTCTCAAGAGTGCTAGAGTGAATGTCAACTCAAATTCGCCCCAGGGACGCAACTGTGCCATACTTGACTTTCCGGTTCCGTTCCGTCCAAGTAACCCATAATGAACACCTCCCTTGAGCCGCAGATGACCATCGGAAATGAGCTCTTGACCAGCTGCTTTGACCTTGGATTTCCCCTTGGCTTTTGGCTTGGAGGATTCCTCTATTGCAGTGGGCGTAGATGAAGTGACCACAATACCGAGTCCCTCCACGTCTATCTTTTTGGTGTAAGTCACGATCTCAAAGTCGAGCTTGATTGGTTTACCTCGGACGAGGGGCTATCATCTAAAAGATGAAACCGAGTTTGCTTGCATGTTGCAAGAATCGTTGGAGCAGATGTCATGCTCAGTCTGGTCACGATGGGCTATTGTTCACAGGTCCAGTTCCGTTATAGTCAAAAGTGCTATGTTTGATGCGCGTGCGAATTTCACATCACGCCAGAGGGGAAGTCTCGGTTAAAACCTTTCATTCCCCCTGTACCAGTCTTCCCATGTGAGATTCTTCTCATGTTCAGAGTCAGTGCCAAGCTCCAAACCACGACTCCTTGATGTGCTGCGTGGAACCGGGTGGTCGGGCTCCCAAAGCGGTTTAGCCGCCACCAGCGACCGTGCGTGGTATGTGGCGGACAGAGCCGACTCTCTCTTCTTCAGGGAGTCATTAGTCATTGGGATGTGACTCCGATGAGTCACGAAAACCTTCAATGAATTAAGTATCAAAAGCAATTGAGATCATTTCGCCGAAATAGGATTGTGCGGAATGATGCAGTTTGACACCTGAAGCAAGTGGCGGATACGGAAGCAGAGCAAATGACACAAAGAAACATGGAATTAGAACAGTAATCATTCGTTGAAAGCTTCCCTACTTCCTCAAGACCCCCAATTTAACCCTAGAAACTCGAGGCATTTTTTCCAACACGGGTGTTTCCATTCAAAGAACCGTTTCCGATGACAGGTCCCCGTCATCCACTGATACGAACAAGCAATGGCGCGTTGCATGCCTCCCTCCGCTGCGCACAGAAGAACAACAGTCGGCGGCCGCACTGCTTCGAATAAGGTAACGGTCATAGTGTTGGTATGTACGGACCTTTGAGGGCACCACCGAAGGCAAGTAGGAAGAGAGAGTAGAGTCAATTAATCATATATCATGTGCATTTGTCATCTCCAAAAGTTGGATGACACAGCTTAGTATACCCGGTCGAAATGTCGGACGAATGAATTCAGCCACGCAGGAATCGATATTCAAGTAGAAGGGTATAAAACCAGCGGAAGCGCCACTGGGAAGTTCATTGAGCTACAAGTGCACTTATCACTTTCCTGATGCGTGAAACTTGGGCAATCCTTGAAACCCCACGTCATGGCCACTATGAGCAAACTCGCCAAAAGGAACATTTTGTTAATAGGAGGGACCTCAGGCATTGGCTTCGCCGTCGCCAAACAAGCACTATCAGATGGCGCAAGCATAACCATCAGCTCCTCTTCTGAGGAGAAAGTGTCCAGGGCCGTCGAGCGCTTGCGAGCCAGCAACCCAGCAAACACATCAGCAATCCGCAGCCAGGTCGCAGATCTGTCCATCAGAGACAAGCTCGAGACAACCATCGAGGATCTCCTCAAATTTAGCTCTGAATTCTCACCCATTGATCACATTGTCTTCACGGCCGGAAACGTGCCCCCGCTCGTTCCCCTATCCGAAGCATCATTCGATGACGTCGAGGCGTTCCTAACCGTTCGCTTCTTCGGTGCAGTTGCAATAGCCAAGTACGCCCCTAAATACATGAGCATGAGCAAGACTTCGTCAATTACCTTGACATCCGGAACGCAGAGCAAGAAGCCGTCATTTTGGCTGCCGCCGGCTATTGCTGGTGCGATCGAAGGTTTGATGAAGGGCTTAGCTATGACACTGTCGCCTGTGCGCGTCAATGCCGTTTCTCCGGGATTTGTCTTAACGGAACTAATGGATCGTTTGCCGGAGGAAATGCGAGAAGGTGCGGTGGAGAAGTCTGCGAAGCTGTCGCTGACAAAGGATATCGGGTACCCGGAGGATACGGCCGAGGCATATTTGTATCTAATGAAGGATTATTTTGTGACTGGCTCTGTTGTTGCCAGTAATGGAGGAGCCTTTCTGGTGTGAAGGAGACACTTTTGAATGTACTCCGTAATGAGGATACTTGGGGTGTTGTTGTTCTTGCTATTCTTAGTAATGATCCGCGTCAAACACAATATCGCGCCTCCCCCGCAACACGTCCGATTTGACAGTTGTTGAAGGGCATGATTCTGGATTTTCCAGATTCAATCTATCTCTAATCCGTTTATTACCCTATTTAATTTCTTGAACAGGTTTCCTATTTTCCAGATTTTGTAGAGGGCATCGGGGCCGTTTACTTCAGTCAAGGCGGGCAACATAGAAACGACTGGATATATATTATTGGACTAGTTCAACTGACCCCGGAGGATTTGGGAACCTCAAAAAACGGGAATCACCGACAGCATTTCTACACCTCGGTCGCTCGCCACAGCTTTCCTTTTTCGCCTTGAACTTCACGCTATGACGTTTATCAGGTCCAAGGGTTTCTTTAGCTGATGGCCATCATATAGCCACTTCGGCTGCGGCTGCCAAACACAGACGATCGTCAATCCCCAACACCAGCATTGTTCGCATTCAATGCGGAGCTCGCCGATCCAGACAAAACAGGGATAGAAGGCAAGTCAAAAATATGACATTCAAATTACCAGGTGTAGACTCGAGCACGACTTGCGGTTACCTACTCACCTCCAAGGAATATCAAAACATCAACCATGGCTAAAATGACACGCCTTTCCTTTATGGCGACGTTTCTTTTCACAAGCTTTACGGGCGCAAACATGGCTTACAAGTCTAGACCTGACCTTGCCGTCCCAGTCTTGAACATTACAATCCCAGCAACAAATGACACTGCCAAAGGACTGATCTTCTATACCCCGGAGAGCACTTACGCCGACAATACCGGGCACGGACCCGCTCAAAGCGGACCATATATCTTCACCGATAAAGGTGAATTGGTGTGGTCAGGCTTTGGATACGTCGGTCCACGAAGCGAGAACTTTCAAGTTCATACATACAGAGGCCAACAGGTATTGGGCATCTTTGAAGGTTCGCATAACTCACCTATGGGACACGGACACGGCCACACATCAATCTTTGATAATATGTACCGCCTATCGAAGGAGATTAAGGGTGGAGGACATTCTCTTGCGGATCAGCATGAGTTCCTCTTTTTCGATAATAGTTCTGCCGTCTTTACGGTCTTTGATCCTGAGATTCGTGACTTGACTCCCTATGGTGCTACTTCGGAGACCCAGTCATGGATTCTAAATAACAAGATCCAAAAGGTTGATACGGATTCGAATCGGGTGATCTGGGAGTGGAGTGCACTTGACCACGTTGATCCTGCTGGAACTAACCTGACGCTGGAAAGTGGGAATGCTGGACTGGGCGTGAACTCGAGCCAAGCTTGGCATTACTTTTATATGAATGCGTTTGATGTGGATGCGAACACGAACACGTATTTGGTTTCTGCGCGGAGTATGTGTGCCATCTTCAAAATAGATGGTGACACCGGGAAGACTCTCTGGCAGTTGGGTGGAATGAACTCTGATTTCGCTCTTGAGGAAGGGGTGGACTTTTGCTGGCAACACGACACCCGGATGCACAAGAAATATCTCCACTACGAGTCAAAGGGATCCAAAGAGATTGTTTCGTTTTTTGACAACTCTGCCCATGAGAATCTTAGAGGCGGCCCTGATCTCAAGACTCGGGATTATAGCGCAGGGAAGGTCGTTGAGCTGGATACGAAGAGATGCACTGCGAGACTGATCGCCAGCTTTAGGGCGCCCGGTGATCTCTCTGTGCGGTCACAAGGTAATCTACAACTGCTGCCTAACGGCAATGCATTCATCAACTGGGGATACGAGGGAGCAATATCTGAGCATAAGCCGGATGGTACCACGATTTTCTTCTCCAGGCTGGACTCGGGGATATTCGGACCTGGGTCTGAGAACTACCGTGCCTTCAAGTTTGATTGGCATGCTCTTCCCTCTGAGGAGCCTGCTCTGGTTGCTTTCAAGGAATCAAATGGAACATCTCTCTATGTGAGTTGGAATGGAGACACGGAGACAAAGGCGTGGATGTTCTATGAGGAACAAAGCAATGGCCAGAAGAATTTGCTGGGCCGGGCCCTCAAAGATGGATTTGAGACTCATTTGCAAACATATAAGAAGCCTGCTCGGGTTTTGGCCGAGGCATATGATGCCCATGGTCATCGACTGGTGTCTTCATCGATCATTGGGACACGGGAATACCGAGCACGACTCTACTATGCATAGTTAGATCCACTAGTGGCAATCAACAAGTCTCCATCTATTATTGATCCCCACACCCACCTGCCAGCTTATTGACAGAAAACAGCAGCTCAATAGGTAGATTATGGACGTGCATTGACAATGTCATCTCATGATCATATGGCCCTAGCTACACATACCCTATCTCCGCGGTATGATCTTTTCACGACCCACGTGGATTGTCCGTTCGCGTGAAATTAGTTGGTGGGCCCGGCAGTTGAGAATAAAATCTACAAGTGAAGATGCCTAGTCAAAAATCCCTGCTAGTTGGCCGAGACTAGTGAGTCTAGAAAGTCTGATGCCCACACGGGACAACCAAGATTTCTTCTCCCAGGCTGACGATCTAGTCCATAGATGGCAGGTAGATCTAGACGGCGGAAACTCGATCAATTTGCGGAACACCATCAAACGGTTCCTGAGCTTTCACCAGCTCCTCTGATCTAGACACAAGTAATTTGAAGATTTCGTCAGAGAACCAAACATCCAGCGCATCGAGACCATCTTCGATTTTAAAGTGGACTTGTTCAAGGGTCTATGGGGACGTCTGGAAAAGCCGGTTGATCAGGGCCAGCGGGGCGTGCAGAGTCGTCGTCAGACAACCAAGATCAGGCATGGGGTCAATAGGACTCTAGGCTCTCTAGGGCTGGACTACTGCTGGGACGTACGAGTTTCAAATTCGACCGGGTTTGTAGGGCGTCAGGTGCCATGGGATAAACCACGGAGAGCATCCGAGTCTAACTAGTGATCCTTGGGTAGGATACATGATTGACACCAAACGTGTGTGGGAGATAATGGGGACTTGATGCCGGAAACAAAATGTGGTAGGAGGCAAAATCCGTGCCACAGATCGGACCCAATCTATTGCCAAGACCATCTGCCGACACTCGGCACTGGTTCAGGGGAACCCGCAACATGAGCCACTCTTTGGATTTTCTGGCTGGCCACGAGGGGAGTTTTTTTTTAAAAAAAATCAAACAAAGTATTTAGAGTACTCAATGATCGTCTGAATTATTGACGCCTTACCGCGCCACAGGACATGTAATCGTGACCGGCAGATCAGTTTTATTTTTGGCGCTACACGCAGCACGGGCAGAGTCCGTGTGAGGCGCAGGACATTCGTCAGGCTCAGCCTCCAGTTCACACATTCTCTTTCGTATCCGTAGCTTGAACGGGAGTTTCAGCCCTAGGTGATCGTTTCTCGAAAAGGGGGCGATGCCGGCCGACGAACGGAGTACAGAACAAAGTTTCTCGGTCCGTGATCCACTGAAGGCCACGCGGCTATGATTTCATCCGTGCCGGATTGTGATACACCCACAAATTTGGATCTGAGCCAGAGATCACTATTGACTTTGTGAGACTCGTTTGGCGGACTCGGGCGGAAGAAGATCAGGGATGCTTTTTAGGGAGAGCTCCAAATAAGAGGAAATCTCGGGTAATCAAGAGTCAACGTTAATAGATTTAGCTCGGCCGAGCTATCCATATAGGGTACTAATCCCCATGATCATGGATCCACGGAAGTCCTCCGGCCCAATCATAAAGGTTAATCCTGGTACGTTCACTGCAATTCGTATAGTCTCCGCTCTCGCTTCTAGAAGGGGAAAAAACCTTAATGCTGGTGGTTCTTTCCGGAGACGACGGTCCATCACCTCCGATGAGGCCTGCATAGTTCTGGCCACTCGCCTGCGCATTAGTGCGATGTACAATATGAAACATGTTCGGGCCATGGGTAACAAAATGTCTCTGGATGGAAATAAACAGCGCGCAATGGGTATCCGTGAGTTTCCCCTATAGTACTATATAGAAACAATATGGTATGAAGTATATCTCGGCGGAAGACTAAGTGGTAAAAGGGGGTCCTCTAGGAGGCGCCATTCGCCACGCTATCTTAATTATGCTTCATGGACCATCGTCGAGGGAAATCCCAAAATGGGATCAAGCCTCCGGATTCCCACCAGTTAACCCGCTAGACTGTTTCGAGTATCGTTGGTTGTTTTTTTGTTAGTACCGTGAGAGTAGACCGGGATTGTCTAGACCGTCTCAGGAAGACTAGCCAAATCTGTTCTGCGACGATCTAAATATTTTTTTTTTTGTTTTGTTTTACGTGGCGCTTTTAGATCGTAATCATTTTTGATTTTTCAATTCTTCCAACATGTTTGCATGGTCGCCTATGCTGTCAACAACGCGAAGAATGCCCACTTGGCCGAATGCGGCGAGGATAGGGCGATAAACATTGGGAGTACAGCCACCGGCGTCATGAGACTTTGCTCCGTGGCATTTTCCAAGTATTCAAGGACTCAAGTTAATCGAGGGTCATGCCTTGGTACCGAACGTCCCAAAAATAATTTATTTTTTGATGTGAAGCACCAATCATAGCTGCGCAAGTACTCAGGTTGTCCCCCCACTTGCTAAATCCGACAGGGGATTCGGGGCTAATTTCGTAGGGCGAGTGGGGAACTAATGCTCATAGAACCATCAGTAAAAGAACTACACATGGGACACTGTGGACCGGAATGGTGAACAGAGTTGGGACTGAAAGAACAAGTACCTATACGGAGTAGAGAAAGGAAGATATTGAAAAAAAGGCATGTCCGACGAACCATGGCACATTGGATACCGCAGCGGAGTAAACAACAACCGTTTCAGCGCTAGTCAGCACCTGGCCAATCATACGCCACGGATCCAAGGCTCCGCTGAGTCAGCTAGGAGGACGCGCAAGCCTTTTGCTGCTATTCCGGATCGCTCCCATTTCCCCTGTCCACTGATCCAATCCCCCCCCTTCTCCATCGACCCAAACGCCTTTTATCTTTTATGATCGAACCCCCCTTCTAGACTTTCACTCGTTTTCTTTCGTTAATTCCTTTTAAATACTCCGCTTTACCCCCATCCACGCAATCTAATCCCATTTCTACGATATTATCCGAAGGGGAAAAAAGAATAAGACTAGGGCCACAATACATACAACCATGGCGACCCTCGCTGAGCACCCGATACACTCCAACGCCTCTCCCATGCCGACCATGCCCACAAGCTACGACCAAGAACTTGACTCCTTTATCAACTTCGACCAGCTCGCCTACTCGTCCGCCGACGCTGCCCGCCCTAAGGTCGCCTTGGCCAGCCAACCCTCGGTCGCAAGCACAGATTTCAGCACCAGTGATGCCCGGAGTGCTAGCTTCGCTTCCAGTGGACAATCACCAATCGCCTTCCAAGCCCCAAGCCATCACTACGAAGAACATCGTCAGCAGACTGGTCTGCCCCCCGGTGCCTTGTCGATGACCTACAACCAACAACAAGTGGCACACCCTATGAGCTTCAACGGAACCCCCGGCTTCCAGGTGAACGGAGACATGTACACCCAGATGAAGCGGGAGGAGGCTCCTTTCGACTTCAACGCTGCCCCGACCCGAAACCCATCTGAGATGGACATCGAGTCCGATGGTATCAACTCCACCCCTTACTACTTCTCGACAAACCCCGGCAACAAGAGCCAATACGTCGATCCCAATGCTCTCGGAGGCCATGAGCTGGCTCAGGCTGGTCCGTCTACGCAGGTGGGTCGCATGTACCCTGGTATGCATCAGCAGCAGGCTGCGATGGCCAAGGCAGCCCAACAACAGAAGCACAACGAGATGGTCCGCCACCAGATGCAGCAGCGCCGTGTCGAGGAGGCCCCTACCCCCATGCCCAGCCGTGGTCCCCGTAACCCCGACCCCGTCGTCGAGGAGCGCATTTCTCGTCTCTTGCAGCAGATGCGCGCTAATGCCGTTGCTGCCGGCGAGGCTTCTCCTTCCCCCTCGTCTGGTCTTCCCCAGATGGCCAAGGCCCGTAAGGATGAGGCTGATATGGATGAGGATGAGCGTCTCCTGGCTTCCGAGGAGGGTAAGAAACTGAGCAGCAAGGAGCGCCGCCAGCTTCGCAACAAGGTTTCTGCTCGTGCTTTCCGCTCCCGTCGCAAGGGTATGTAGACACGAATGTCTGTTCTATTTGTTTCTTATAGCTAATATAATTGCAGAGTACATTGGCCAGCTTGAGAGTGAAGTTGCCGCTCGCACCAACGAGGCCCACGAGGCTCGCCTCCAGAACCGTGCTCTTTACGAGGAGAACGCTCGCTTGAACGACCTGGCTCGAATGCTTTTGGGATCGCCTCACTTCGCCAACTTCCTGAACGAGATGCCTGACAGTGTCCCTCCTCAGGTTCAGGCTCACCAGCAACCCCAGCAGCAGCCCCAGCAAGCGCCCGTGCCCAAGGAGGCCGCTGCTCCTCGGCCCCAAGAATTCCAGATGCAGCAACACCCCCAGCCCAACATGGTCATGGTCCCCAACCAGGGCATGGATGCCTCTATGCTGAACAGCGGCTGGAACTCTGGAATCGACATGAACTACGGCAACACCCCCGTCTTTGCTGTTCTTGAGGTTCCCGAGGGTCCTGCTCTCGACTCTGAGGTTTTGTCTGGCAAGTCCTCGTCTATCGGGTCATCAGAGCCCGCCAAGGATGAGGCTCCTGTCTTCGACCGCCCCGAGGGCGAGGCCGTGACTCAGAAGTCTGACATCGGTGTTGCCAACCCCGATGTTGAGATTGACGAGTCTGACCCTGCCTTTGCTCTCTTTGTTGACTCTCCCGTGTCCTCTGCTCCTTCTGATGATCTTGTTTTCGAGGGTGTCCAGTCTGAGAAGTCGGTTCCCCACTACGAGCTTGTTGTGGATGCCGCTCAGGCTTCCGCCGTCGCTCATGCCCGCTTCAACTCCCTCTGCTCTAGCATCGAAGCCGCCTTTGACCGGGTGTCCATTGTCACATCCCACCTCCAGTGATTCCCCCATTAGCGTCCATCTTTTGACCCCCACATTTTCTATGTATATCTGTTTTCTTACGGCATTTTGGTTATTTTCATCATTGCGTGACTACCCACGCACACTACAATTTCTAGCCTTCTCATATTAGTGATCTTGTCAGTCCCTCGGGAGTTTTTACGGCGCCTACATCTTGTCATCATATTGTGTATCTCCCGGGTTGGGCTTTCTGGGTGGAAATTTGGTAGCGGTTACTTGGCGTATGTGAAGGATCAGCGATATAAGCTCAAAATTTATTCTATTTACCACTAGTTCAATCGTTTCACCTCGTATGTCCATTACACCCTAGTCACTATTTAGGCACCTGTGCCTGTGTGCTTTGGGGGCGGAGCATCTACTGCAGCGGACCTCAGTCTTTGTAGATCATAAGGCTGTGGAGGCTATTATCGTCTACTGTATGTACATGTTCGCAAGCCTGCTCGAGGATCACATTAATACGTTATTGGCCCCAATTCGCAATCACCATGCATACTATCTCCCCACTTAGATTTGCCAAAGCTGACCTGGTAAGATTAGTCCAGGCCCACATCGATTCCAGTCATCGTAAGCTTGATTCTTTCTACCCGCCAACCCCGCTGATCACCCACATCGAACTTGACAGGTGCCTTATATCCCGACTTCTTAGTGGTTGCCCGGTGCTTGTTTCAATATTGATGCCGGGCGCTTAAATCTTGCACTCCGCGAGTTAGATCCACGGTCCTATTTGCACATCATAACCCCGCATAATCACCAAGCATGGTCGGCGTTCCAGGTAGATCAAAAGCATGCAATACATGCCTTCAAAGAAAGATCAAGGTGTGCTGAATTCGATCTCCACTCGCCACGCTATTCCGAGCGCTAACGTGATTACTAGTGCGACCAAGGTCCCGTACCGTGTAAGCAATGCCGCTCTTCCAACCGCCTCTGCACGGGCTATCAACGAAGACGAGGCTACGTGTTCTCAGAAAAAGTCGTCTTACCCAATACGGCGGCTTCTCATGAAGAATCGTCCATCACCCATCAAGGGAGGTGGCGTAGGGCCGAGCCCCGACAGACCGGGAAGGCTGCTCCAGTGGCTTGGACTATCAGCCTACCACAACATATTCCATCTCCTACCCTTAGCTACATGCAAGCCCCCAGCAATGTGGTGTTGCGGGAGCAGTTCCACTATATCTTCATGAACAGACACATGCCGGCAGAATCATGGGATTCACGTCCCCGCTACTCTGTGAGTAATTGGCTGCTTCTGCTCCAAGGAAGAACAATTCAGTCACCGGCTTTAGAAATGTCTGCCACCGCGTTCTTCGCTGCTAGAGTGGGTCATATATATGGTGATCGGGAACTGGTCAATAGGAGCCGTTCTCTATACATTGATAGCCTTGCTCAGGTCCAGCAGGCATTAAGGAATCCTTCAAGCCGGTTATCTGATGAAACATTGGCGGCTTGTATGGCTTTGTCGTTTTATGAGATTAGTGAAGGGCCTCCTGGACCAGGAAATGCTTATGGGACTCATTCTAAGGGCGCTGTGAGTCTCCTTAAGATGCGAGGCCCTGAGGCATGTGGTGAGTCGCCGCTGGGGCATGCGTTGTTTTTGGCTTTGCGAATACAGACGGTATGTGCTGTCTTCCTGTATCGATGATCAGTTTATTTGCTAAACTCGGAAATTCAGGTTCTAAAATGTTTGGATTCTCGTCGTCCTTCATTTCTATCCGAGCCTGAGTGGATGGAGAAGCCCTGGCGCATGATACCCAAGTCTCACGCTGACAGATTGTGGGATTTGCTTTCTGATATAGTGGGTGTGAATTCCAAGTTCGACAACGCACTCCAGGCATTCGACCAAAACAACACTCTTCTTCAAGCGGCCCTTGACACCGTCCGTCTTGAATGCCTTGGGATTCATGCAGCTTTACAAACTCTTTACGATGAGTTCGAACAAACCATTTCCGGTCCACTATACTGGCCCGAACTCTCCACACTGGAACTAAAAGGCAATCCCAACAGCAACGGCGAACAGCCTACGTTATTCCCTGTCTCGTTCCACTTCTCCAATTTTCTTGTCGCTCAATTCCTAGTTACATACTGGTCAGCCATGATGCTGTTGCACCGCCAACTCGCCACAACTTACCATCAAATGGCCGCAGTCGATGGTTCTGTCTTTTTATCTCGATCGCAAGAAGCTTCAGATGAAGTATACACTATGGTAACGAACATATGCCAGTCAGTCGAATACCTAAGTCAGCCCCAAATGGGCGGCGCGGGTTTATTGGCTGTCATTGCGCCACTACGCGGATGCAAGCCTGCACTGAATAGTGTGGCTGTGTTACAGAACGAGGAAGTCAGTCGGGAAATTGCTTGGGTCAGCGAGTTCCTCGCACGGACGCAGCGAAGGTTTAATTTCGATATTAGTCTGAGTTTGGATTTTAGTAGATAGACATGTTTGAGTCGTGTTCGAAGCCTACCTTTCTGGACATATTATGGCCTTTACGAGTCACGGTTGATAGGCCATGGAAATATCAGGCTTACTAGTAAGCTTGTTAAAATTTCAGGAATACGAACCTTGGACCTTATGACAACCAAGGTCCCAGGATGGTAAGCTGTGCGAAAATGCTGGAGGCTTAGCGGTCTCTGCGCTAAACTAGATTGGGTCAGATTTCGCGACGGCCGACTCCACTCTTTGAGACTAGACTCCACTTTACACCAATAGAGTAGCATTTTCGTGACCCTGAATTGGGTGCGGGACATTTAATGGGCGTATAAGGATGGGCAGGCTCGTCTATTTGCAAAATGGTCTATCATTCAAGCCTGTCCTTGTTAGTCTGCTCTAATTCGCACAATCATGATCTTGATCTACAAGAAAATCAAGAAGCGCAATGAGAGGAAAAAGCTGGAACAGCGTCAACAGGAAGCAGGCAACAATGAACCCGCTGTTACACTCACTGAGGATGCTTTGGAAGCACAGCCCAGGGTAGTGCCCAAGGCGAGTGAGACAGCACCTGAGAAAGAAGACTCGTCGCCAGAAAACAAAGCTGCTAAGAGGAAAAGACGTGTCTACCGCTGGAAACTGATCCTAGGTCTCTTCGGTCCTTTTTGTCTTCAGTCGCTAGATACGACGATCATTGCCTCTGCGCTACCTTACATCGCCGAAGACTTTGGTAAGCTTCCTTGAATCAATCAGAGCTGCAAAGGGAGAAAGGATACTGACGAAGTACCAAACCAGACCAAGTCAGTCAATTGAATTGGATCATCTCAGCTTTTAACTTGACCTCCGCCGCATCCCTGTTCTTCTGGGCCCAACTTTCAGATCTATTCGGCAGACACAATACTCTCCAAGCCGCCATCTTCACCATGGTTATTGGCTCGGCCATTTGCACCGGTTCTCCAACCTCTACATTCAGTGTTCTTCTCCTCGGTCGTGCGTTACAGGGTGTCGGGGCAGCCGGAGTCAATATCTCTGTTCGGACCATTCTAGCAGATGGTGTCTCGCTCTCGGAGTTCGCGGTGAACTGGACTATCTTTGCTCTCGTGGCGGGCATCGGGTTCAGCATTGGTCCCGTTATCGGTGGATACTTGACCACCGCGTCGTGGCGGTGGTGCTTTGCCATCAACCTACCTATCGGCGTTGCAGCTATGATTTTGGTAGTCTTCATTCTTCGCAAAGACCTCCAGGGCCCACAGCCTCTTCCGGAGCTGGAAGGGAGGGATCTTTCTACCGTTTCTCGACGTTTTATGGCCCGGATCGCAACAATTGATTTTGGTGGCCAGATGCTCTTCCTTTGGGGATTTGGCCTTCTTATTCTGGCCTTGACATGGGCTGGTGGTAATTATGCTTGGGATTCTGCGGCCGTCTTGGCTCCAATTATTATCGGTGCCATATTATCTATCGCTTGGGTCGTCTATGAGCGATTTATGGTGCCGGGTGCTTTCATGGCGCGTGCCTTGCCCCGTCAAAAGGCTATGATGCCATGGGAGTTGATATCCCAACGTGACATTGGCTTACTATTTCTCATCAACTTCACGATGGGGGTTTCTATGTTCGCTGTCATGTACTTTATGGATCTTTACTTTGCTCTCGTGGAAGGGAACAGCTCAAGTAAAGCTGGAACGTCCCTGCTATACTTCCTACCCGGCTTAGGTGGTAGGTCAAACCCCATACTGTTATCCCTGTGAACTGAAACTGACAATTCACAGCTGGTGTCTACCTGGCTATGTTCTCGTCAAACATCTGGCCTCGCCAAACCCTCCCCACTCTCATAGTCGGCAGCCTCGCCTCGGCCGTTGGGATCACAGTCCTGGCTTGGGCCGTCAAAGCCGCTCAAACAAACGTCATCTACGGGATGATGGCCCTAGTAGGCTTCGGTATCGGTAGCCGCATGAACCCCGCCTCTTTACACGGCCTCGCTTATTTCCCAGCCATGACGGCCCAGATTTCATGTCTGGTCTCATTCGCTCTGCCTTTTGGTGGTCTTGTTGGGTTGACTATCATGTCGACGGTTTTCACTAACAAAAGTGGGGTTGACCAGTCGGATCCAAAGCAAGGTATCAAGTGGGCGTTTATTGCCATGATACCTTTCATGTGGATTTCCGTCATCTTGACTACTTTCCTTGGGAATGTTTGGATCAAGAAAGATGGTGGACATGAGGTTGTTAATGGGGCGTACTTGTGGAGCTTTCTGACTCGAAAGAAACTTACGAGGGAGAGCCGGGATCGAGGGGAGGATGTGAGACCGGTTCATGATGAGAAACAAAGGGATATTGAGATGACTTCTGCCCAACCTGTTTCGGGTCGGATTGATGGGGACGAGGAGATTACACGGCTTTGATTTGGCTCTGTGTTGTCAATGGGTTTATGAGAAAGCTAGATATTTTGCACTATACACTATGTTTCATTAGATATTCGATGGCTTATTCATTTCATTCGCCCGGAACACTATACAGCTGTACGAAAGAGAGCATCGAGTCTTCACAGTCCAAAAAACAACGAAATACACGCAGAAGTAAAGTACTTCGCAAATGATACCAGTGGCTCATGAGCTGACTACCTCTTACGAGGGTTGACAAGACCGTTGAACTCCAGAGGCTTCACAGTGAAAGCCCCATTGCAAGTGAGTTCGTAATTTGGATCTTCAAACGCAAGATCAACGTCCTTGAGAATGCTAACAAGTGTGAAGATAGACCAACGCCACGCCCACATCGTCCCATAACACTCACGTTTACCATTCCCAAAGTTCCTCTTGGCTCCTTTAGGAAGGTTATGCCATTTCTCCCCAAGAACCCGCTCTGGACTGAATGTCTCTGGGTTCTCGAAGACCTCAGGATCTCGGTTCACAGTGTGGAGAATGCAGATCATGGCCTGATTATATGGGATTTGGTATTTGCCTCCGGCGAGCAGAACGGGACTCTTATCATCTGTTGCCCTGGGGATGGGTTCAATGTTGAAGCCCGGTGCCGTAGCAGAAAGCCGAAGAGATTCTCTGATGATACTCTCGCAGTATTGTAGCTTCTTAAGGTCTTCAAGCTGTATTTGCTCATCTGGACCGACAACCGAATCAATCTCAGCTCTCGCTTTGGTGATACTCTCCGGATTCTTGATAAGGTAGTATAAAGCGAAAGCGACAAGATTGGCTGAGGTCGCGGCACCGATAAACATGGTCACCACTTCGTCGATGACTTGGGTTTCGGTAAGCTTTTCGCCAGTCTGAGGATCGGCAGCATGAAGCAACCCGTTCAAAAGATCATCGCGAACCTGCGAGGCATTCTCTTTCCGGCTCTTGACGATCTCCGTCGCGAATCCGCGCATGTACTTGATATTGTTCTTAAAGTCGCGCTCATACAACAGCCAATTCAGCATCTTCGGCCGGGTAGGTCGCTTCATTGCTTCCCATGTGATAGACTCCCAGGCGTGGATGAGAGGGTGCTCAGGTCCTTCGAGGATATCAATCCGCTGGTTGAAGAAGCATTGCATGACTGATGTCATCAATAGACGGTCGAGATCACTGGTGAAAAGTACCTTCTTGTTGACCCCCGAAGTCCATTTCTTGGTCAGGTCCGGGATCACGTTTGCCATATCGCTGTAGCATTTATCCACTGCTGCCCCGCTAACGTATGGGGCCATGATGCGATGGCTCACGCCCCATATGCTTTCGTTGTCGTATGCAGTGAAAAGGCAGTTGTTGGCGAGTTGTCGCATCTCCACGACTGGGCCTGTCACGCATTTTCGGAATCGCTTCTCGTCGCATATCTCTTCTAGTAGTGCGACATTGCTAATGAAGACAAGCTGTTTGCCCAGGACGGTTATCTTAAAGATTGGACCTATGGAATACATTATTGTGTGCACTTCTTGATGTTAATACCTGACCTACCGTATTTCTCTGAAAGCTTTATCAAAGAGCCCCAAGTTTCGTTGGGATTGACATCCAGGACATTCCCTAGTAAGGGAACCCCGGGCGGTTGGGGAATTTTCGATGCCATTCTGGGTGACAGGACACTTCACGGCAGACCGAAGGCCAGTAGGGAATTTCACCACCATTTGAGAAAATTTTGAGCTGGACTGAATTGAAAAGAAAAGAGGCCCCGCATCGTTTCAGCTGTGGCGTTGACCACAATCACACGGGTTCGACTAATGATCTCAATAACTGCCGAGTTCCACACCACCAAATAGTACAGCTCTGAGCTGGCCGCACGAGGATCTGTAGCGTTGCAAAGCCACGTTGTGGATTGGTCGAAGCTCCTGGGGAAATTTCAGACGATAGGCTGTCGGTCTCCCCCACTGGGAGGCCATGCAGGTGTCTCCACTCAAGCGCTCTAGTGTCGCCCATGACATCCCATGGATTGGCGGATCTGCAACCTCAGGGATCTGAACCTCAAGACTAATACACGTCACACAATCCACACTTGGCATTACGGTAGATGAGATTGAGGGACGGGCCGAGAGAGGTCAATCTGTGGGGAACAATGCGCGTGATAGAAGCGTTGTACGACGTACGAAGCTTGTAGATCTTTGACATATTTCCACATCGCATAAGGTCCCTCTTGACGTTGGATTTCGGAAAGAACGGCTATGATGGATTGTAACTGTATTGCATATATACCTGAGCCATGTACATGCTTGCAATCAAGTGATCAACAGCAGTCTCGATTGACTTTACTTATGGTCTTATTTGGCATTCAAAATAACCGAGAATGGATGGTTGACCAGTCACTCTCCTGAACTCAAGGGAGCTGACTCTTTGTTACACAGAGGAGGTGCGACGTGCTGCATAAAAATGCGCTGCAACCATTGGTTGTGGCACATTCCTGTAGATCGGTCATTTGGAATACCAGACGCAAATGTCACCATCACGAAAGCAGCATTCCAAAGGCACTGTCCTATCGCATAGCTATGGATCAGTCATGGGATTCAAGTGTTGAAGATCTGAACGTGGGCATTACAGTACTGTACTGTAGCAGAACACATGCCTTCCAACACCATGCTATTGTCAGTCAAGAACCTGACTAGCTGGAGGCAGACCCGCAAAAGAGTATTGAGATTGTACTAGTAGAACAAATGCTAGGGGACATTAATTTAAAGTTGCGGCTCTTCCTTTTAGAAATTCTGTTTCCAAAAGTATATACTAAAGCGGCAGGCTCACGAACCTCATCTTTGAAAACATCGACTACGTTTTAACCCCAGTAAATCACGAACTGGGTGTTGCCCAAGTTGCGTACCTGACCTACAAATTTATAAAGGTGTTTGGTGTCAAGTACCCTGCCAGTAATGTTGATATCTGCGCCAATTGCCAGCAAGGCACCCCGAGTACAAAGGAATGGGCACCTATGGCCAACCGATTTCGGTATTCTAAAATGACCCATGGGTTGCGAATCATGGCCTTTGGAGTAATTTTGGATTTGACAAACAAGGGCAAAATACTCCCTTGCGTCTAAAGTCCTCGACTACATGACCGAAGCAAAAGCAAAAGCAAACCCCATGTGATCGATGACTGTGGATACAGTACCTAGGTATCGAGTCAAATGCTCGGTTACGACGAGTGCGAGAACTCTTTGCTTCACAATCTGAACGAACGACAGACCTTGTCAAACCGAAAACCCTATTCCATTGTTTACCTGAGGACAAACAACACTCACCCCGGGATACACCGCCTGCGATGACCTGGGGGATGATGGCGATGACAGCCCACTCTGTTATGTACCTACCACTGGCATCTCAAAGCACCTGATTTGACGTCTCCGCTATATCGGGCGATTCCTTACTTTTGCATCTCTGAAAAGATGAAAAAACGGGGCTAGGTTGCTTGGTGTTTCAAAAGGATTTGATGCCTTCCTGTAGATATTTTGCTTCGGTATTCAATGTGGAGATGATGGTCTCGAATGAATCTGCTGTTATCCGGGCGGCTCTGCGTAGATAGTGCTGATATGCTCCCGTGACGCAGAGCCGATAAGAAAAAAAGTTCGTGATTCACTCCCTCCAGTTTTCTACCTCACCACATTAATTTGTCGTGGACCTGTTCTCCTTTTCTCGCATTCAACAGCCAAATTGGCTTCCCTCTGTGCCCGCGGTACTCGCTTTGCCGCTTCTCCAGGCGCTTTCGCCCGCGCTTACCTGCGAACCGCAAGCTCTCCGTTCCTTGTTTTTGGTGCAAATCCCCGCGTCGCCCAACATCGAATCCCCGGTTACGATCGTTCAACCTCAGGCTTAAGACGCTTAGCCAATGTTCGCTCTGTGATTGAAACCCTACCGAATCTAAATCCCTCCAGTACCCAAGCTCCCGCCAGTACACAGGCTTCTACAAGCACCCAGGTTCGACCACGAAGGCCAAGAGCAACACTAGAAAAATTCTCCCTCCTCCCCACGACCGACGCTAGTGGATCTACAAAATACGTGCTTTGCAATCGAAAGTTCATAGACCCCGCTTCTGAAACTCCCCCGCCAGATTCGGTGCAATCCAAACCAATGAAGGTCTACTACGAGGTTATCACAACTCCGACCGCCGACACGCCCGGCACGGCCCTCTCTCTGCATTATCCCGATAAGCGATATTTCTTTGGTCAATTATCGGAGGGCACACAGCGCGCATGCACAGAACGTGGAGTCAAAATTGCCTCCTTGAGTGATGTCTTTATTACGGGAAGAACTGAGTGGGCCAACACCGGCGGCTTAATCGGTATAATTCTGACCCTTGCAGATGCTATTGCGTCTGGCAATGCGGCTGCTGAGGAGGAAAACCGGAAAAAGGCCGCCCGGCGAGCGGCTAACCAGTCTGTCCAGAAAAACAAAGACGGTACCGTTCTGTCGGGCCCTGTGGCGGAAGATCTGACGGTCCAAAAAAGCCATTTGACACTCCATGGAACAACGAACCTAACGCACACTTTGGCCACTGCTCGACGATTTGTGTTCAGGAAGGGAACGCCTGTTTTCACGAGAGAATATGACACCGAATCCATCGCAAAGCAGGCCCGCAATGAAGCGGAGGATCCCTTTGAAAAGCCTACATGGTCTGACGCGAACATCAAGGTTTGGGCGCTGCCAATCAGACCAAACTCACTGACTACTTTCGAAATGCCCACTCAGACACGGCCAACGAGTCCGCGGAAGCGGAGCTTGGATGAGTTCCAGGAGTCTCCTGAACCTAAAAGCGGGCTTGACCAGCGTACTGCTGATACCATGGTGCGACAGTCCGTTGTTACGGATATGTTCAACTCGACCTGGAAGATGGACGCACTGGTTGAGACCCCGTTAGCCGAGGTCAAAATGCCTGCCGCCATGTTTGTGCGCAATCCTGAGACAAAGGATATGGAGCCCTATAATGGCCCGAAGCCAGGCGAGGAGTTGCCATTGCCTGATATCAAGGTGTTCGTCAGGCAGCCCTGGCCAGGTGCGAAGGTGGAGAGCTTGCCGCCCACTACCCCTTCAAGTGACGCGCTCTGCTATATTGTTCGTAACCATGATATTCGTGGTAAGTTTGAGCCAGCCAAGGCGATGGAATTGCGAGTCCCGAAAGGACCCGCTTTCGCTGCCCTGACAAAGGGGGAGAGCGTTCAATCGGAAGATGGCAAGACAATCACCCCAGATATGGTTCTGGGCCCGACGCGTCTGGGCAAGGGTCTTGCCATAATGGATGTGCCATCTGTTGACTATGTGGATTCTTTGGTGAATCGACCAGAATGGAAATCCCCTGCAGTCACTACTGAACTTTCATCTTTTGTCTGGATATTGGGTCCAGGAGTTGGTGATCACCCTAAGATTCGAGAGTTTGTGGCGAATATGCCTCACTGCGAGCACACCGTTTCCAGTACGGACTACTGCCCGAACTATTTAGCACTTGCAAGCACTGGTGAAGCTGCTGTCCGATTAGCTCGGCTGAAGGGCGACAGCTACTCCATTCCCGTCCACGACAATGTGACTCTCCCACAGAACAGAGCTTTGATTCCCAAACCCGCAACTAAGCCTGCTGCGCTCCAAGACTCTCCATTCCAGCGCCTTGAACCAGGCCTTGTCATTGATATGGAGCCGCAATTCAAACTCAACAAGGATGAGATCGTTCCTCACTTGAACACAGCCAAGACTATCTTCCAGATTCCCAGGGCCGTTGAGCAGCGAATGTCAGTCATTCGCAATCGTGTTGCCAAACCCAAATTCCAGCAACATTTGGAATCCATTCGAAAGGATCTCCCTGGTGGAGATGCTGAAATTGTTGCGCTTGGCACGGGTTCATCTGCTCCATCAAAGTACCGCAATGTCTCTGCAACCCTGGTATATGCTCCTGGCTCGGGTTACTACCTCTTGGACTGCGGTGAGAACACTCTGGGTCAACTGGAACGCGTGTTCGAGCCAGAGAAGCTGCGAGAAGTCTTCCAAAATCTTCGCATGATCTGGATCAGTCACTTGCATGCTGATCACCATTTGGGCACAGCCTCCGTCATCAAGGCATGGTACCATGTGAATTATGGGCCTGATGCTAAACCAGCAGCCCACCCTGAAACTGACCTTACCAAAATTCTTCAAGAGAAGCGCTTATGTTTGGCTTCCGACGAAATGATGATTACCTGGCTGGAGGAGTATGCTTCAGTCGAGAATTTTGGCTTCGATAAAGTGCTTCCTCTCAGTGCACACCCCGAAGCTTCCCACAACTCTATTGCCACTAAGTTTACATACCGGCATACTCAGAACGGTGGGCCACCATTCGGTCGGGATGCGCCAGGCAAGACGACTCTCGATTTCAATGATGCATCGTCGCCTCTTACGCCCCTCCTTAAGTCCTCCACCGGTCTGACTGACCTTCTTACCACCCACGTAAAGCATTGCCGCGGTGCCCTTGCTATGTCTCTTGTATTCCCCGACGGATTCAAGGTCTCCTACTCCGGTGATTGCAGACCGTCGGACAAGTTTGCTTCAATTGGACGCGATTCCACCGTTCTCATTCACGAGGCTACCTTCCAGGACGACATGGTGGGCTCTGCTCTTGCGAAACGCCATTCAACTGCCGGTGAGGCAATTGAGGTTGGCCGACGCATGGGAGCTCGTTCCATTCTCCTTACGCATTTCAGCCAACGGTACCAAAAGATTGCCCACGTGGACCAAAAGGCTGGCACTATGGCCCACGACGACATCGCGTCGACCAAGCAAGCAGCGGCCGCTGCGAAGAAGAAGTTAAATAGCAGTGCCGACATTCCATTCGATGATCCAGAAGATGAGCCGGCTACTCACGAGTCCGGTGCGAAATTACTTGATGACATCCGATTCCCTTCTAAATCTCGACCTCCTCTCCCTCGCAGCGAGACTCAAATTCCTCGTGAGAACACTCCTGTAGCCGCAGCTATGGATTACATGCGCATCAAGGTTCGGGATCTTGCTCTCGCGCAAGCTTATGCTCCGGCTCTGGAAAAGCTAATCGAAGTCATGGAGCGCCACTCTGCTGAAAAATCCGCATTTCTGAAGCAGAAGGCGCAAGAGCTGGAGGAGGCTCGCAAAGCCAAGAACAAGAAGAAGTTCGGCGGCAATAAGAAAGCCGCGGCGACTGCCGCTGGGATCGCCGCTACTGCTGTGGTCGATGAGCCTGAAGAGCAGAAGAAGCCTGCGCACTCCCTTTTCAGTGCTAGTGAAAGCGAAAGCGGATGGGAGACCAGTGATTTTGAGGGATGAACTCTTACTTAGAAAAGACTTGTATATACCCATTACCATTGATAAGTGCCCAGAAATTCACCTCTCATTCCACTCCATAGATCAAATCCCATTAAAAGACCATACGAGTATACAGCCAAAGATGTACTCTATAAGCTGACAGGAGTTTACCATTATCTTACTGGATCATGGCAAACTACAGTAGCACTAATTGCGCTGCCCTGGTTGAGGTGCCCGAAGAGCCTAGGCCTTGGCGGTATACCACTAGTACTACAATCGGCTAACCTCGGCATAACAACAACATTGCTCGACTTTTGAATTGAAGGCCAAATTGCATCTTTTCTGCTGTATCTTGATGCTATTTACACCTATAGCGTTTCATGATGCCTTAGGAAGTTACATGGGATGTCTTTCACTCATTCTTTGTGAAGATCCCCTCATCGGTGATTGGTATGACCCCCTCTCACCGCCCCACTGACAGATGTCATCCTGCACCCCAAGAGGTTCAACGTTTCGACTCATCCCCCGTCGCCAGCAATGACGACTCTCATCCCGCGTGAGCCGTACTCCCCGGAGGAGCTGGAACGGCTCTATCCGAAAGCATTGAAGCTACAACTGGTTCAGGTGGTAAGTTAGTTAATCTGCAATATTAGACTGCAGAAGCTAATCACCCGGCAGTTCCTCCGTCATGGTAAGAGCTTATATACCTGCAAGTGTCGGCGCGATTCTTAATGTTTTCTAGGTGAACGTACGCCTGTCTCTTCGCGTTTCCAAAATGTATGACCTCCACGCCCAGCTCTTCAAGTCTTTTATTAGTTACTAACCTACATTGAAGACAGGCTTGAGTCCATGTAACTTCTCCTACCTCTTCGTCCACAGTTACCGATAGACTGACCACGGTGGTAGACTGGCCGTATTGCAATGTTGCGCGAAACATGGTTCAGATTGCGGCGAGCAAGAATGATCTCTCTAGTTGGGACGGGTTCCAATGGCGCCGGAAAATCGAGACCTTTGGTGACAACGACGAGGCTAGAGTTGCGGCGGGACCCGGCGGTAACCTTGATTCGATTTGGTGAGTTGTGGAAAGGCTGCAATACGTGGAAACTGGCTAATACTTGTAAAGCCAGCACGGTGAATTGACAGACAAGGGCCGTGAGACGACCTATGCCCTCGGTCAGCGCTTGCGCCATCTCTATGTTGACCAGCTTGGGTTCATGCCCAAGATCAAGGAAGATACCGAGGATATGTACTTGCGGGCTACATCAATCCCCCGCGCTTTGGAATCTATGCAGCAGGCCTTCTGGGGAATGTACCCTACCAGCGCCCGCACGCAGAACTTTCCACCGCCGGTGATTGTCGCACGTCCTGTGAACGAGGAGACTCTATTCCCTAACGAGGGTAACTGTCGACGATTCCGACAATTGGCTCGCCTCTTTGCTGACCGCGCGGCTGCCCGATGTAAGAATCAATCTTTGATATCTAATGGTCACATCTAATTCTTGTTACAGGGAACGAATCCGAGCAAATGGACTATTTGAATCGACTGTGGTCCAAGTACATGCCTGAGTCATCGCCCAAGGTCGCTGTTGATGCCCATCCCCGTCTGTCTGGCATCATGGACACCATTAATGCTAGCGATGCGCATGGACCGGCCACTAGGCTCCCCTCTGAGTTTTACGACAAGAAGGCCCGTGCTGTCCTAGACCGCATTGCGGTTGAGGAATGGTTCGCTGGCTACAACGAAAGCGCTGAGTACCGCAAACTGGGCATTGGTGGTCTGATGGGCGACGTTGTGGATCGCATGGTCAGCACCGCTGTGGACGGCGGCTGGCACAGTAAAACTTCTGCTTCTGGGTCTGGTAACCCGGAGTCTAGCAAGGCTATTAAATTCGCGATGAGCGGTTGCCACGATACTACGCTTGCGGCGATTCTGTCCAGCGTTGGAGGTTTCCAGGACGGCTCATGGCCGCCTTTTACCTCGTCTATCGCTGTTGAGCTTTTCTCGCAAGCTCCCAGCAGCCGTACTGAAGCCGGTACTGTTCTTGAGGAATTTTCCAACCCGGCCGTTGTCTCTATGAAGGGTGTCTTCTCGTCGATGTTCGGCCGTGGTAAGTCTGTGGAGGAAAAGCATGCGCCGTCCGCGACCGCGCGTGCACCGCTGGACTCTTTCCCGGATGAGGCCCGCGAGTCTCTTCGCAAGCACTATGTTCGTATCCGCTACAATGACCAGCCCGTGATTATCCCGGGCTGCGCAGCCAAGCCCGAGAACCACCTCCCCGGAGATGAAACTTTCTGTACACTCGATGCCTTCAAGAGCATTGTTGATAAATTCACTCCGAAGAGTTGGACTGTCGAGTGCACGCAGAACCTAGGTGCAGGCCTACATGGCGTCAATGACTCGGAACGAATCCCTGCTGGATTCTAGATGTTTTTTTTTTTGTACAGATTTCGATGTTCATTCGGTCCGTTGTTTTTCATTGCAGATACATTGGGTATTCCTGGGTTGTAATTATTATTTCAAAGACCCTAGACTAGAACTACCAGCTATGTGCTCTTCGCTTTCTCGCCCCTGTGCTCTAGCTGCTTCAGTGACTTAATCTTCATCGTCGTAATCTTCATCATCATCGACCGTGGCAATAGATCAACAGAGAGACCCTGCACCCAATGCCAGAAATACGCCCATACGATCACCTGTCCACATCCAACGCGATTCAACGCTGCCGATGCCAATGTACGCCCATTGGGAATAAACAACCCTCTCGTAACGCCGAAACCAGCTGTGCGCACCTGTCCTACGCGCAATCCCATGATATCAACATTCCGACCCTCAGCATAAACCTCCGCCTCCAGCGCCCGCGTCAAAGTATCCACAAATCCCTTCGACGCAGAATAGACACTAATATAAGGCATCCCCATCGCCGAAATTGACGAAACATTCAACACAAGACCCCTCGTCTCCTCACAAAGCAACGGCAATAAAGCCCGTGTAATCTGTAGCATGAATCCCGCATTCATATCGACGGTCTTCGCCGCCTCGTCAAATGTATACCCATCTAATAGCGTATACGGCTTTACCTCCCCGCCAACATTATTCACCAAAACACTCAGATCACCCCCTTGTTTTTCAGTGATCGCGCGTACTTGATTCGCAACAGAGTCAATGGCAGCAGATGTCACGCCCACAACGTCCAAAACTACAATCTCCGTCTTGCAGTTTGGGAACTCGGCTTCTAGCTCACGTGCGCGTTGTTCAAGCTTCGAGGCGTTCCGGCCGTGCAATATCACGTTGAACCCGCGTGCGCAGAGTTCCTGACAGAATCCGAAGCCGATTCCATCTGTGGCGCCTGTGACTAGGGCCCAGTTTTGTCCGGATGGGTTGTGGGTTTTCGTTAAGGTCGAAGGGAGGAGGTAGACTGTTGCTTGGCGGGTGAACTTGTAAGTTGTATACGCTACGGCTGCAAGGCCGATATAGGCGAGGGTATTGGTCCAATCTGGTGGCATTTCAGAGGATTGGTGTGAATTGGAGGATGTTGTTTTTGGGATTCGGTGATGTGAAGGGATGTATCCACTTTCAATGATATCACTGATGGGTCGGTCACACGGATTCAGTACCACGTGAGGAGAGAATGTTGATGCGTCAATTACTGTAGTGATGGTATTATGCGGAAACCGTCCCTAATATAGTTTTTGGTATATGTTTTTTTTCGGGTCTGTTTTGGACGCTCGCTGTTATAGCTCACGGGCCGACATCAAGTGTCGGCCCGGCGCGGACGCCGAGCGCCGATTTGCGCAAAGGGAAACTATATTAAATGCTATCCAAACCCCATATGATTACCATGGATTGGGCAGGAAACAGATTTGATGTTGGCCGTTCTCAATAGCCCAAGAGCCGTATGGGCTTATCACACCATTAATAAAATTCAACGAATACCTGACTAGTGCCAAAAAGAAAACATCTTGCGCATAATATTGGAAAAAGGCAGGAAGCTAGAGCTCGGCCAAGAAACTGCATAAGTCCCTTCGGGCTCATGTTTGGAGAAACCTTTCTTGGACTGGGATAGCTCCGCTTGCAATTGGAGGGCCTGGATAGTCCATGCGGTTGTCAGCCCCTGATGGCAACAGAGTTGTCCTGTTTGCGGTGAATGGTATATAGCTCCTGGAGCCTGTCGAAGATATTTACACGTGGATGTCAAATAAAGTTGCTTAGATCCACATTCCGAATAATAATTTGATACGCAGTAATCTAATCAGATGATCTGAAGACTCAATTTCTCCTATTAATCAAGGTTGGCGGGGAGTAGTCCTAATGTGGAGGGCCGTTCTCAAGAGCCTCCTAAAGGACGTCAGTAGATACTAGCAGGCTCACACTTCGGGCCACTAAGACTCACTTAGAAATCATTTTGGCCTTGACTCTAATCTCAGTACATCGGCCTTTCTCATGAGTGAATATTGCTAAGCAGGGTCCAGAGGACCAGTCAGTTTCGCCATACTCGCCGCATCTGTCGAGCTCCTCTGCCAAGCTTTGCACAATTCTGACATAGCTGGGTCGCAATCCCCGAGCATTTCCTGGATTGTCCAGCAAAATTAGCTTTGGGGCTTGGAATCTTATGTCGTATGTTGTATCCCAGATCATATTTGTTTTATCGACTAGGTGTTGGTATGTATTTTCTGGTCGCAAGGCTGGGTAGAAGATACAGACATCGTTGGGCCTCATATAAGACGATGATTTACACGCCTTATTACCATCCAGTACAATGGACTCTTTCATGTATGAAGGCTTTCTTTTTGCATTCACAAAGTCTCTTTCATCAAGGTTTCAATTGGGAATAAAGGGCTGGTCCCAATGGGCTAAGAACCCACGCAAAGCCGTAGACGGTAAATCCCTGCAGGATTCCAGGCCTGGAGCAAAAATTTCAAAAATTATTGAATGTAGAGATGAAATTCTTCATCTTCCGAATATAACCGACTGCTAGCTCAATGTTGTATCCAGCCGTTGACTGACCCCTGCCTACGATGTAGGTGGTCCTGGTTCCTGACACTTAGTTTTCCACTTGTGAAAGGTGGCAAATTAGCAATAAAACCTACCATACGAGAGCCGTCCAATAATATCTCTGTGAAAACAGTATTACAGACCTGATTTCGTCAATTGAGGACCGTGACGGTCAGCTTCGTCTATCAGGTACCTTGGGGGCCAGCCCGACCAGCCAACTAGAATCTTTCTATTACTAGCGTTATGGGGCTATCACAACTCCATTGGACAAGCAATTACTCCACACTGTTTCTATATACCTTGGAGTCTTGTATAGACCTTCGTATGACCCAGAAACTGCAACTAGAATGCAGCGACACTGAGGAACTTGGAGACGATGCGTCGAAAGGATAAAAGAGTTGCCCGCAAGGTGCTTGGGGGCGTATATTCGTCAATCTCATTCTTTCTTTTTGATTTCTTTTTTATTTCACACTGTGAATCCAAAGGGGAAAGATAATACTGTCATTATGGTTATTGATTCCGGAAAAGAGTCGCTTGCGGCCTATCATGTTCCAGCTCAGGAGGCGGAAACCCCTAAAACACGGCAATTGCCGGTAACTCTACTCTCTGGATTCTTGGTATTATCATCTTGCCTCATGCATTGGAAGGTCTGTCCTAATCTTTTTTTAGGGGAGTGGGAAGACAACTCTACTGCAGCACATTCTTAAATCGCCAGATCATGGCTTGCGGATTGCTGTCATTGTCAATGACATGAGCCAGTGAGTATCTAGACAAAGCATCAAAGAATTGCAATATGCTGACTCCCTCTTTACCTAGGCTTAATATCGATGCTGCCCTTATCAGAAACCACAAGGTCTCTCAAACACAGGAGAAGCTCGTTCAGCTTCAAAATGGTTGCATCTGCTGCACTCTCCGTGGTGATCTGCTTTCCGAACTTGCCCGTCTTACGAAGCTGAATGAGATTCAATATGTCATCATTGAAAGCACGGGCATCAGTGAGCCTATGCAGGTTGCCGAGACCTTCACTGCGGAGTTTAGTAGCGCTATGCTGGAGGCTGAAGATCAGATTGGAGAAAATGATGAAGATACAAAAAAGATCATCAACGAGATGTAAGCGCACCCTTGATTTGAGGTCCAATAATTCTCTAACAGTCTCAAGTGTTGAGATGGGCGGGTTACATACCATCGCTCGTTTGGACACCACAGTGACCGTCATCGACGCCTTCAACCTCCTCTCGAACTTTGATACCACCGAGTTCCTTTCAGACCGATACGGGCGTGATGAAATCGTCCCGGAGGATGAACGAACTATCTCCGATCTTATGGTTGATCAGATTGAATTCGCCGATGTGCTTATACTCAACAAGATCGAGACTATCGACGAGAAAACCCGGGACAAAATTATGCAACTGCTCAAGTTGCTCAACCCCGATGCCAAGGTCTTGACGTCCAGCTACTCACAAGTGGATGTGCGTGAGCTTATCGCGACTAACAAATTTGACTTTGTTCGCGCTGCCTCGGGTGCTGGGTGGCTTCGCAGCTTGCATGAAATGACCATCCAGACTACTGGTAATGGCGATCGTATGGCGCCCAAGCCGGAGACATTGGAGTATGGTATCAACAACTTTGTCTACACCGCTCGCCGACCTTTTCACCCTCGTCGTCTTTTCTCACTCCTTCATGATAAGTTCATCATTCTTCAGAGCAATGAGCTTGAGGAAGAGGAAGATGAGGATGAGGACGAGGATGAAGAAGCAGAAGATACTGGCGACGAGATGGATACAGATGACGAGTCGCTCGAAGACTTCGATCAACCTGATCCGAAAGATATTCTGAGCAACAAGCGCAATCACCCTGCTTTTGGTCCCATCCTCCGTTCCAAAGGCTTCTTCTGGCTACCAACCCGACCTTACCAATTTGGCGAATGGAGCCAAGCTGGCGGCATGTTGACGGTCGGCTGTGGCGGACCTTGGTTCGCGGAGGTCCCTGATGAGGATTGGCCAGAAGACAAGGACGTCCGTGAGTCCATTCAGAATGATTTTCAGGGCCCGTGGGGTGATCGGAGACAAGAGATTGTCTTTATCGGTGAAGGCGTGGATGAGGCACAGATATCATCTATTCTAGATGAGTGTCTATTTGATGACAAAGACATGAAGCAATGGGAGAAGATCATGAAGAGCAAGAAGTTAAGTCGGGAGGCTAAGTGTAAAAAGATTGCTAGCATTTGGGAGGATGGATGGGAGGAGTGGCCTGCTTTTGAGGCCGAGGACGAGGAGGAGGAGCAGGTTGTTGGTAAGCATCGCATTAGCGAGTACCTTGGTAAAGAGAATAAGGGTCATAAGCATAGTCATCGCTAGAAGATTATAGAGCTAAAAGTGAATTTCAGGTTTATGTAATGGTGTTGAAATGTCTAAGAATTGGTCCCTAATATTGACGGTTAATTCGCATGAACAATTGTTTATAAGTAAACTTATACACGACTAGCAGCTCATGGTAACTCCTTGTTAGTTCATGCATGTGATAAAATCAACAAATAAAGCGACAGCGGTCACGGGGTAACTAAGATTGATGTGCAAGACTGGGGACCATGCCATTTCTATAGTAGAAGCGGGCGGGCCATGCTTTGAGCCCTGGAGCTCGGTGCTTAACTATGTCAGAAGAAACCACCCCTCATCTTATTTGCAACTGAATACTGTTTGGGAACGATAGTATTCACGATAATCAAAATCGAGTCTACAATGTCCTTCTACCCCACGACTATCTATCGATCTGAGATATTGGACCTTATCGATAAGTGTGTCTTTATCGATAACGATAACGATAACAGGCGCGCTAAGCGGTCTCCGCCTTTTCCATCTTGAGTCTCCCAATGTGACGCTCTCCTCAACACATCCCTGTCATTCAACTTTCTTTTCTTTGTTCTTTGAGATATACTCACCTGTCACCTATTGCAGATCATCTCCCCCAACCCCGCACGATCGAGGGGGAGAATGCTGCAGTGACTGCCGCTGTCCGATCCTTGTGCTACATCCATCCTGGCCTGGTCCAGGTATCGGATGTTTGCATGCAATTGATCTCAACCAAAATCCTCCTTCTCTAAGACTATCCGGTGATCTTGCTCACCATTGATTCTTGTATGTCGGGATTCAATCGTGAGGCCCCTGTACACCATGCTGACTTGCCCCTCAGCAGTTCCCCGCTTATCTAGCTTCCCGCGAGCGGAGCTTCTGATTTGATGGAGGTAAGAAATGTTTTTTCTCGTGTTCCGTGCTTTGTCATTATAATTTTATCCCTTTGAATCTGCCAATCTCCCAAATTCCAGGCGAGATGGCCGATCACTATTCATCTCGGCTGCTTACGGTGTACCGCACCAATGGTGAGACAGACGCCTGGTCCCGGGCTTTCTGGTGTGCATCCGGCGGTAATGGAAGACCTCTAGCTTCCTTCCGTGCTGGCTTAGGGCTTTCTGGAAGGTCCGGCTGCAGAATCCTATCCATCCGGATGAAACTTCGAACTTCTTCCGAGGAAATTGCCCTTCGGCCCCCTTCTCAGGCCTTCCAGAAATGTGTTGAAAGCAATGAGTCTACCGTCACCTGCATGTGATGTAGTCGATTGCCCCTTGGGATATTTCCAGGCCTTTTCTGTTTCTTCCTCAAGCAAAATCTATATAAATGACTTAACATGCCCTTCCCCTACGTGTGCAGGTCGCGTTCTATGGGCCCTGACACTGAGCACCGCCTGTCAAATTCTTGTCTGCTATATACCCCGGCCTATAAGACAAACGCCCAGCTAAGCCTTGAGTTCCTATTACAGGGAACCAATCATGTCAGTGGGTCGGTACAGCCCAGATCTGCTTTGATCCCCAACACCCAAGCCCGCGATGCCAAACCCCGTCTTCTTCTCATGGGGCTTCGCCGGTATGTATTCTATCTGAGGCGCTTGGACAGGAAAATGATTAATGTGGTCTTAGGAGTGGGAAATCTTCCATTGCCAGCGTCGTCTTCCACAAAATGCCTCCTAATGAAACCCTCTTTTTGGAATCTACAACTCGAATCCAAAAGGATTCAATCCAGTAAGTCCCTCCAAGGTACAGCGTCAGAGCTTTTACTAAATTCCTCCCAGCTCTTTCATGGATTTCCAAGTCTGGGATTTTCCCGGTCAGCTGGAATACCTTGAACCGTCCTTTGACTTGGAGGACATCTTCGGCAGCCTCGGAGCCCTGGTGTGGGTTATCGATGCCCAGGATGACTACCTTGATTCCGTCGCGCGGTTGAACCGTACCATCTTGACTGTGCAGCAGTACTACCCAGGTATTAATATTGAGGTTTTTATCCATAAAGTTGATGGGCTCTCGGATGAGTTCCGCACAGATATCTACCAGGACATCGTGCAGCGCATCTCAGACGAGCTGAGTGATGCCGGATACGAAAATGCACCCGTGCACTACTACCTCACCTCGATTTATGACTACTCCGTTTTTGAGGCGTTCAGCAAGGTCATTCAGAAGTTGATCCCCAACCTGTCCACCCTTGAGAATTTGATCAATACGCTAGGTAACAATTGCGGCTTTGAAAAGACCTATCTCTTTGATGTGCTCAGCAAAATCTACATTGCTTCTGATACTCGCCCCGTCGACATGGCCTGCTATGAGATGTGCTCCGACTACATCGACGTGATCGTTGATGTCTCCGAGCTCTACTCGTGGGACCATCCTGAACGCCGGCCCAAGGGGGATCAGATCCAGGAAGCGGAAAGCCACGTTGTCCTGCACGATGACACGATGATTCACCTGATGGAGATGAACAAGTATGACCCCCTTGTCATTATTTAGTGGACAATGGCTGACTGAATCCAGGTATCTCTGTCTCGTTTCGGTCATCCGCAACCGTGAGTCGAAGGAGAAACGCGGCCTGATCGATTTGAACTGTCGCACGTTCCAAGACGGTCTGAATGAAGTTTTCTCGCGCCGCTGGGAACAACTGGAGGAGCCCAATCACCTTGAGCAGCTTGGCGACGCTGCCTTAACTTGATCGCATGAGCCAACACATTTCTGCTTGTACAAAACATTTGTACGAGACTCTTGACGAAGTGTGCCCGCTGCCGCAGTGGGATGAAAAAAGTACTACTGGGTTTGCATCATGACGGTGCCTGAAAGTTGTCTCTTTTAATTGCATGTCAAGTTCTTAGGTACCCATGTTCACTAGTGTAGTCAAACTGAAATACCAGCCCAGAGATTACCAGTGAAAAACCCTACTCATTTCATACATGTCATTCATTGATTCAAGGGACAGACTCATGGACTTCCAATATTAGTGTTTCTCATACCGGTGGGCTAGTGTTTCCGAGGTCCAGAATTTCAAGTCCTTGGAACTTTGTAGTTGAGGGTTAGTGTTACCTGCTATGGATGATATATATTGTGGATCATTCCCTAGCTCGACAATTCTTCCCCAGGTTTCCGACCGACTTAACTGTTGTCACACACTCAATACCCCTCAATGGCCACCTAACTTCCTCAAGTTAAGCATTCACAAGGACTCACAAATCATCCACAATGTCAGAGCTCCGCCAGCGACAGGCCGCCTCGGCACCCTCCAAGCGCAAGGAATCCATGCCGCAGCGACCGCAACAGACCGAAGAGGATCACGGCATCAGCGTCCTAGACATACTGCGCGTCCTCGCCACAATAGTCCTCGCGACCTTCGGTATCTCCTACTACATGACAAATGGCGAGTCGGTACTCTTCGGTTACCGGCCGTGGTATACACGGTGGCCAGTCGTGAAGCAATGGATTGTAAGCAACTCCACACATTCCATTGTCCTTCTCCGAGTTTCCGACCGGAGAACTTCTTTACACTCCTTTACAGCTGGAAGGGAGAATTTACTAGAAAAGAATCGCACTGACATACTCCTTACAGGCTGGTCCTGTCTTGCTTACCCCCGCACAACTTTCCCTCTACGATGGCAGTGACGAGTCCCTCCCCATTTACCTCGCCGTTAACGGGTCTATCTTCGACGTCTCTGCGAACCCGGGCATGTACGGTCCTGGCGGCGGATACCATTTCTTCGCTGGACGGGATGCAACCCGCGCTTTTGTGACGGGGTGTTTCAGTGAGGACCTGACACCTGATCTCATCGGCGTCGAGGAGATGTTCATGCCCGTGGAAGATGTGGAAGAGAACTTGACATCGGCCGAGAAGAAGGTGCGACGGGAGCGGGAGATGAGACATGCGAAGGCGCAGATTGCGCGGACTGTTGCGCGGTGGGAGGGGTTCTTTGGGAATTCTAAGAAGTACTTTCGGGCTGGGAAGGTTGTTGGGGTTGCAAAGGACGCGCAGGATGGGAAAAGGGTTCTCTGTGGGTCGGCGCAGAATCAGAGGCCGAAGAGGAGTGAAATGGATGAGAATGTTTAGTAGATTACTGGCGGTTGCAAGATAGGCTCCAAAACTGAATCCTCTACATTTCTTGACGGATTGATCGAGTCGGAAACAATATGGAAGTTTTGTAACTTTTTTATTTCATTCGTACTGCTAGACACTAGTCCATCAGGCCAAACTGTTCCACACTTCCGAGTGTCTCGGGCGTAGGATCCATGCACCACGCCCAGCCGAAGCTTCCCTTATGATATCATTCGTAGCAAAGGAAATAAAAGAACCGCGAGAAATGACGATAAACGGAACGTTTACTCGGCGGTGACGGCACGGGCTAAAGAATATGTTAGTTTTGATATGGTCGCACGGAGTCTACTGATGGAACGCACTGTAGATGTTCAGGCTGTTGTGGCCGACAATCTTCTTGATCTGGCCGCGCTCCTCGAGGTCAGCGAGAGCCTGGCGGGCAAGGCTGCCGTTGATCTTGAGACGATCGACGAGGGTGGCGACGGTGATCAGGCGGTAGGTCTGGACATCCTTGTTGAGCTTCTCAGCGACAGCCTTGTCGAGGACAACGGCGTGCTGGGCCTTGTCCTTAACTATAAATCGAAAAAGACAAAATTAGTCCAACGTCCTTGTGATATTCGATCGTAGCATTTCGCATGATGGGGAGTGATCGCTTCAACGATTCCGAGTCTCTCGCGTTGTTTCGGGGAATCCGACGAAAGTTCGAAGTCGTTGTCACGGTCGGGTGGCGGAGTTGGTGATAGAGATGGGAGATGGAGATAGCGTACCCTTGCCCTTGGACCACTTCTTCTTCTGCTTCTTGCCACCGGTAGCTGAGGGCGCCTGTTTCACGAAACCATGTTAATCTCTGTTGAATATGAGTCGAGCGTGGAAGGGCGCTCACCATTTTGTCTGTAGTGGATGGATGGTTCAAAGGAAAGAGTAGCGCAGACGGGTCTCAAGTGCGAAATGGGCCGTGGGGCCTGACTCAGCAAGGGAAGCCCTAAGCCCCAGATCATGTGATTCCACTCGGTTAGTCAAAACATTGTGATTGGCTAAGAGTCCACCACCGCAAGCTTATGTAACCATTGCGTAAGTCTATCACTGCAACTTTACGATGGAACTAGTAGGAAGTATACGATGAGCTTCCTGTCCCTTCTTTTGAATCGTGGGTAATTACTGGGGCTTGGAACTGCGGGCATTAATAACTTGTGCGATCGGCCAACACAATGGTATTTTTTTTTTCTCTTCTATTTTTAGGAAGATCAAAGTATACAGGCCCTTTCAAATAGAACAGTATACCATTGAGATATGCTGAACGAGCTAGATGCTTCGTATAAGATTCAAACTCACACAGAATTTGAATAAATTCTGAATTTATCCACTACTCATACCGCGATTCAAGCATGACGTTATGCTAGATAACGGCCATACAATACCTACACTACATTTGTGAGAATCCACTTTCAATTTCCGACATAACATCATCGACCCATCTTTGTAGCTCATGCTATCCGCTCGAGATACACAACCTATTAAGAAAAATTGCGATTTTACTGCGATCATGAAATCCATACCAGGACAGTCTCCATGCGTGCTATGCCAGCTCAATTCCAAATGCCTTTCTACGAAGACTCCACAGTTAAGTATTTGAATTGGCAGGCCTTCATTGCCCGTTACAATCTATACTCCCGTAACTACGAGCCATGTGTTGGGACCGTGTATTTGGCTGGAAGTATCGCATGATATTGCACAGAAGGATGCCATGATGCATTCCTGGGCACTAATATTTGCATTGGAGAGGAGCAAAGCTGACACAAGTCGAGTATTCGAAGGAGCAAGCAATCAGAACAGAAAAAAGAACTGCACTGCAAATAGGCGTTCCGTCATGCTCGTCTAGAAAGACGGAATAGAATAGCCAATAATCAGATTCCAACCTGCCAAACTGTAGGAGATAAAGGACTACTTATCCTCTCGCCATTTGATTGGTTGCTAACAGGCGCCAAAATGACAAGTGGGGCGACAGTATCGTTGAGCCTAAAGGTGATTTGATCCGGCACCTCAATGCTGGAGGTTCATAACAAAACGTCCCGCGAGGTTGCTCTCCTGTTGGTTGGATTATCTCTGCCTCAGAGTCAAGCGAGTTCCTTGGGGTATGAACACTTTTTTTTTTTTTTTTTTTTTCTCTCTCCAGATACCATTGCTTCTTCTTTCCCTAATTCTCCACTTCGCCTTTGCTCCACATGGCCTGGAATCTTGGTCCCCCTTTACTGTTGATAATGCCATTTCCAACACCCTGTCGTGTCTTTCGTCCTTCATCACCACGTTGTCTTAATCTTCCTTCATGACTTCAGGTCTTCATGACCTCCACGTAACAACATAACATCTTGTTTACAGTCGTGCTCCCCTCCTTCAACACCTACCCATCGCTGCTTAAATTCCTGATAGAGTCATGTAAAGCTGCCTGATATTATTCATATATTCTCTCAGCAAAAGTCTTGTGGCATTTTCTGAATTCTTTGATTCGTCTAAGAACACAAATTCACCGCTTGAGGTCAAAGACTCAAGTACTTAAGCAACATTCAACAAAACGAAACTTACATACCTGGCCTCAATAAGCTGAGATAGCAAATCAACGTGCCTCATCGCAGCTTTCTTAATCAAATCATACTCTGAACCAGGGAAGTATCCTCGAATCTGCATATAAAAACCACGGTCAGTGCAAGGCGATTCCACAGGGTTCTTACACACATAAAATTGATGGCTCTCAAAAGCATGGACCAGACACCCAATAAACTCTTCTGAAGTGCGCGGTGCCAAATACAATAGGTCCATATCCACACCTATCCATATTACCTCTTCTTTGACATTTGGGTACCAATGCCAAAATATCTGTGGTGGGATATACTGTCGTTGAAGCAAAGGGTGGATGTTCATAGGCAGCATTGCACAGTAGGGATTTGAGGTGCGTTGAGTTCCATTCGCCTGCTCCAGAACGGGGATTTTGTAAGATCTTTGGTCTCTTGGTCTTGGGCTCGTAAAGGATCTGTGATAGGGCTCTGTCAGGTACACTTTATAGTTATTAGAATGAGATGCCTGTGAGTTGGTCATGATGATGTGGATGTTGAAAATAGTACTTGGATAGAATATTGGGACGGCTTGATGTTCTGGAGAGGGTTCGAAAGGATGAAGGGATTGAAAATGGACAGATGCAAGAACTTTATATTCGATGATGGGTGCTTTTCATTGTTCTTGCAGAACAAAGAAAGAAAGTGATTGCCAATAGAAAGAAATACTCTGTGACAAAGCTTTTCTGGACTGTAAGACATTGCATGAAATAGAATTGGCCATGTTTACACGAATTAAGACAAAGAAGCATTGTCCTGTTCATTCATATTTGACATTTAATGCTCAAAATTGACTTAAAAGTATAGCATATGGTAACATTACCGGCTGATACTCCCAGTAGGAGGACCCCGGTTGGCAAAGAAATTCAACACTTCAAACTGAACCGAGCTTTCATCGGCAGAAAGATAGCCGACCACATATTCCTCCGATGATCCAAACCAAAACGCCGAATCATGCTCCTCGTCAACTAACCACTTCACTTCATACTTGCCACTTTCGCTCTTCTGCGTAGGAACTCGGGCGATCACAGGATGGCTTTGAGGCGACCACCACCGTACGATGGGTAGATTATTTGTGATGGTGTTAATGAGCAGTTGCGGCGTAGAAGGGTGCCAAATGACCTGTCGCACAGCATTTTCATGAACCAGGATAGACGCTAGCCTGGGCGTAACGTCCAAAGCCCAGATCCAGACAGCATTTGAGCGCATGGTATCTACAGTTGCGAGAAGAGTGCCATCGGGGCTGAACGTCATGATGGCCACGCCTCGAGGTGGACCGGATGCTTCGGGGCTCATGTTTATTGCCGAAGAGCTTGTTGCCTCGGCGTATTCTGCGTCGCCCATGGCACTTGTTGATCGCTCACGCCAGATGCTTAGAGGGCTCTGGTCCGCTGGGGAGACCAGGTCCGTTGGGAAAACGTGTGAAAGTGTAGTTGATGATGAGAACTGTACTTGTCAGTTAAGCTAAAGAGAACTGGCGTTGGTTCATTAGAGTGCTTACTGTGCGAGTTCGTAATAGGTCAATATTGCCATTGACCTTGCCCACAGCGAGAGTCTCCGAGACACCGCTAGGGCCAGCTGCGGGACTCCATTCAATTTGCTTGACGCCTAGATCAAAGGAATCATCCACACCGGCTGGCCCATCATATGTTCTAAAAATTTGACCATCGGCGGTCAATATTAGCACCTTGGTGCCAGAGCTGGCGGTGTCCCACACAGCAATCCACTTGCCATCCAAGCTCCACTTCAAGCCTTGGGCATCGATAGTTGGAAGAACTGTGCGATCCAAAAGCTCGTAGGATGGGAGTTCGTGAATGGTAAGAATATCGGAAGCCTCAGGCTTTAAGATGATGGCAAGATGTTGTTTGGTTTTTGGGCGGTATCCGAATCCAAGAGGGTGGGGGAACTTGGGGGTCTTGATCACAGAAGTTCGACCATTGTCTATTGAGTGAATTGCCATTTTGTTGTTCCATGCATGAAAAACAAGAACTTCGTTCTCGTCTCCGCCAAATTCAACGTTCAAGGTACCAGGTTCGACATTTTCAATCTCGGCCACGATTTGCAGGGGTTCCAGCTGCCAGACCGAGATGTGCGACTCATTTGTGATAAGTAGATGGCGGTTGTTCTTTGCAGTCCTTGAAGGACAAAACTTGAGAGATTTGACGGTGGTCTCTTTGATTCTTCCTGCCTGCATGTCTTTATGCTCCGCAGTAGGTTTTGAATGAACGACCAGGTCCTTTCCACTGATATGGGCGGCAAAAAGGCCATCATCGGAAACCACCAGTGACAAGGGAACTATTCACATATCAGAAGCGATCGAATCTGGTGGATTGACGGGACATACCTCCTCCAGTGGAAGCGTCCATTGTTGACGACGAGAAGTCGCGTAGGCAAGGATGATTTTGCGCTGCAACACGATAAGATGTACAAATATCCCCCACTCCACTGCATGCACCGCTTCAATCACACGAGATTTTCAGAGCAATAGATGCTGTCTGCCCGCTTCCAGTCCCGCGACTTTTGTATGCGCGTCCGATAAGGCCTGGACAATTGTAGATCCGCCCCGAGATAAGCAGATAGACGCGACAAGGTCATTTTAACTTCAGCGTCAACACCTCAAGCACTCTTCAGTTCGACCAGTGCAGTGGTCTAATAGATACTCTCTTGCTTACTACCTGTATATTTACCATTTATTCCCCCTAGCTAGCTATGTATCTAGCTATGTACGCACGTTCAATCAGATGGGACACAAGGATACCACAGATGAGAATTCCACGTTTGTGGTGAATCAGCGCCTCTGTAAAAGCATTGCGATGTATTTAGAGAATCGGGAATAATGTAACTTCATTTCATCAAACCATCTATCAGGATTTGACAATCAAAAAACCTTTATATAAAATTGTATGCTGACTTGATAATAATCGCAGATAATGTTTTGTTTAAGAGCTTGCCTCGGCCTTCATATCAGCCTCGGCAAAGCCCTTCACGATCTCCCTCACCTCCTGCCATGAGTTGGTCACATCAGTGACACGGGACTCCTTAGAAGAAAGAGCCTTGAGCTCCTCAGGAAGCACCTGAGACTCGAAATCAAAGCCAGCCTCGTCCTTCAAGGCCATGTTCACGACCTCCGAGAACTTTGCGGGATGAGCGGTCGAGAGCGAGATGTGGGGTGCGCTAGACCGGGCCATGGATCTGTGTGAAACGGTAATACCGACGGCAGTGTGGGGATCGAGGATGTATTTTGTCTGCTGGTAGCAGCTCTTGATAGTCGCGGCTGTCTCCGAATTGCTCACACGGTCACTCTCAAAGGTTTGGCGTCCGTTTGCCATGATATTCTCGGGCACAGGTCCGAAACCACCGGTAGATTTAAGTTTGTGGTACCAGGCCAGAACATCTTCGCCGGCCTGCTTGTTGCTGGCATCCTTGTCCTTGCCAGCGGCGAGTGCGGAATCTAAAGCTCGTTAGTTTAGATCATGTAGTAAAGAAAGACCGACATACCTCTTGCAAGGAACCACATCACTCTCTCAAAGTTACTAGAGACTAGAATGTCCATGGCGGGGCTGTAAGTCTCCTTGCAGGCATCGGTCTTATCGGCCTCCTCGGCAGGATGCTTCTCATAGCGACCAGTCTGCCAGAAGCGGTGCAGAATATCGTTCTCATTGGTGGCGACAACCAGCTTGTCGGCCGGCAAGCCCATCTTAGTAGCGAAATAACCCGCAAGTATGTTGCCGAAGTTTCCAGTAGGAGTGACAAATCGGACCTTGTCCCCAACCTTGAATGAATCGGACTTTCTCGCAAGAGAGAAGTAAGAGTAGAAGTAGAAGACAATCTGAGCGAGAATTCTCGAGAAGTTAATCGAGTTGACAGCACCCAGCTTCAGGGTCTCGTTGGTATCGGCGTCACCGAACAGAGCCTTGACAATATCTTGGCAATCATCGAAAGTGCCCTTGACGGCGAGGTTGTGCACGTTCCGGTCAATGCAGGTTGTCATCTGAGCCTCCTGGATTGGGCTGACACGGCCCTTGGGGTGCAAGATGGTGACAGAAACATCCTTCTTGCCTCGGAGACCGTAGATAGCGGCAGATCCAGTATCACCACTTGTCGCGCCAACGACGGACAGGTGGTGGCGGTCCTTGCCCACTTTTCCTTGGTTCTTGCGCACGAGCAAATATTCGAAAAGGTTTCCAAGGAACTGCAAGGCGCAATCCTTGAAAGAGTAGCTGGGCCCGTGGAAAAGCTCCAGAATGTGCAGGTTATCCTGGAGCTTCACCAGAGGAACTACTTCTTCGGAACGGAATGTCGAGTAGCTTCGGTCGATGATCGATTTCAAGTCTTCGGAGGGGATTTCGGATTCCGAGATGTACAGGCGCATAATCTGGAAGGCAAGATCGGGGTATGAGAGGTCTTTCCAGCTCTCCTGGAATTATTGTTAGCCCCGCATCCCTGGCATGCATTGCAGATCGAAATTCAGATCCGGAGTTCCATGAGGCATTGCCCGTGCATACGTACCCAATTGGTTGCCTGGGGCACTTCGTGAGGCAGGAAAAGACCGCCATCGGCGGCCAGACCCTTCAGGACAACAGTCTCGAAGGAGAGCTTTCATATAATCAGCAAATTGCCATCAAAACGAACACATGTCGAGACTCACGCCATAGTCACCACCACGGGTGGAAAGGAATTTTTGAGACTCAGTAGGAGCCGCACCTGCCATGTTGAAATTGATCTATTAACTGATTAAAGTGAATCTTTAGAGGCAATAGTCGTCAATATAGGGAAAGGTTTTTCTGCCCCTCTCCCGACGTCGGAGGGGTGAGTCACTTTATCTAGGCTTACGTGATCCTATAAGGTTTGGCGGGGCTTGCCACTCTCTCCCCGAAGGCGGTGAAGGATGCAAGGATTGCAGGAACAGCCCTGCCAGTGCCAAGTATGTGTCTGTATAAAATAATTACTTGTATCAGATTGGCCTATCTTAATTGCTATCTCCCTCACAGATATCAGACGTCTGAGGTTTTGTGTTGTTGGCGAACACTTGAATGTCCACGGGTTGATAATCTGCGAACTGGTTGGTCACTCAGTCTGGTATCCACCCCCTGATCCACTTCTGAACAACGGCTTGGTCCCGCAGCCTGGCTATGCTTCTCTACAAATACTTCATAAGAGGAGTTACCTACATTATTACCCGTGATTATCCATGAAAATCATCCTTATATGTGGAATCCACATTAGTCCCTAATCCTTGCATAGAAAATTCCTTCAATATGAAATCATTCCGTGAGTAATCCTTCGAGATGGTGTTCGCGGAATACCCCGATCACGTGCCGGAGTTACACCGATTGGCTTGAGGCTGCGACGTAAGATACAACTGTGTTATCATTTCATTTCTGGAACGGTGAAACACAACCTCATTGTGAATTTAAAGATTGACGTGGGCCATTTATGCCTGACTGAGCAATTCATTGAGCATGAGCGATACGATGAGTGCAATCATGTGCATGAAAAAGCCAAGAACACGAGGTGTTCGTCATTCGACAGACCTCTTCGAGACAACGTCCACATCACAAGGATAACAGTGATATTCAGACATCTATAGAGCATCAAGAGGAATTTATGGGCCCCAGAAAGTAGCATGTAGCTCTAATGACTCAAGGATCAGCTCATAAGGATACTGAATCTTATTTTGAACTTTTGGCATTGCATATTTTCTCATTTGATCACTTTTCGAGATAATGTGAGACCCAAACAAGGAAGAAAATTGGGTGAAGCAACACAAACGCGCGGATATCGCTTGCTATCACCAGGCGTGGAGAAAGAGTCGTCAAAAGAGGCACGTGAATGATTGGATCACTCACCCCATAAACTGTCAGATCTTCGCTCATCCAAGGTAGTGCATAAACGAGACGCTAGTTCTCCCCCCTCAAAACCTGCAACTCTATTTATCCATGATATCTGACCCTGGCCTTCTATAAGATTCTAGCGCTGCGGATGTTCTTCTTCGTTTCCCCCCGGCCCCATTATTTTTCCACAGAATATAAGCACTGCATCTACCCCGAGCTCACTCTTTGCATAGTTTAGTATCGCGATTGCCGCCATGACTTTGAAATACCCAAGGCTCTTAAGCTTCATCAAATGGTCTGACGGAAGACTTGGAATACGACGGATATTAAAGCAATGAAAGCTCCATGGTCCACCTGAGGAAGCGCTCTTGAGAGTATTTTTGAAGGAATGGTTCTCCCAAAAACCATGCAGGCTTCTCCCAAGCATCCCAGAAGGCCAGTTAATCAAAGAGAGTCCAATCAAGGCAATACAAGAGTAAGTGTTTGATATCAAATTGTACTTAGTAGTTCCCGCTATATTGGGACACAACGACGCAGAAAACGGGGCCCACAAAAACAACGCGGGAATAATAAAATAAAAATAAACTGACTACGGGTACGATGACCGAAAGTACCTTGTTCGTCACGTTGTAGCCTGATTCAGGGACATTTCTCTCCATGGGGCTATCTCATTGACAGAGGTACAGAGGTCGAGACACTTTCTAGACATCGGCGGATTTGACTTTACCAGCTGCGGACGTGCGCGGCATGCGTGAGATGGAGAATTCGACTAGGAAAACAAGCTTGGTGAGCAGATTTCGTAGGGCTGAACTCTTTTTGCCAATCACATCGCTTGCCCTGTGGAACAAGCTTTCGGGGTGGGGCCGGCTCGTCAGCTAACGTATTATTGCAAGCGTGCCGTCACTCCGAGATGGACCCCTTCCTGAACAGGACTGACCCTATCTGATGGTCTTTGCATACTAATACTTGATTGGCAATTTCATGGCTGCCTAGTCGCTTCCGTTTGTTGTGGACCTGGTCATCATTGGCAATACTCCTTTGCCAGGTCCTAATGCTGTGGGAAAGACCGCCGTGATATCCCGATATGCTGCCGTTGAATTTGGTACTGACTAACCCCAGGTCAAGGCTGAAGAAGTTATGGAAGATTTATAGCGTAGCCATGTTTGTAAATTGAATTCTATCATGTTCAAGATAAGCACTGTAATTACACATAAATGAATGGGTCGGGCTTGAAAACCATCTTGTTGCTCGGTCGACCTTGGGGGCAGGGTTGTCTGGTATTGTGGAAAGGATAGTCGCAGCGGTAGAGGTTTTGAGGCCTAAAAGACAATTCAAATTTGACCTAGGAGATCATCTCACTAGTTTCTTTCAGGTCCTTCCGCGACGTCTCCGGTAGCAAAAACACTGCCCATATCAAACCCAGGAAAGCGACTGTGAAGAAGAACCAAAATGTGCCTTTTGGTTGTAGCGCATCTTCCAACATCATCGACGGGAGAGCCTAGAATGATCAGCAAGCTGTTCTAATTGGGTACTAGGAAGATCAAAGGACATATCCAAGCTCCTTACCTTGACAAGGGCGAACCGGATGGCAAAGTGAATCAACATCAGAATGCTTGTACCAAGCGCGCGGATAGATGTTGGAAGGATCTCAGTGTTGATCAAGTACTGGATAGAATTCCAACCAAAAGCATATCCGACTCCTGTCACATAGATGGATGCAATAGCAGCTATCTCCGCCCTGTGCATATCCGATGAATTTGCTTTTGTTCCCGAAGACGATGATGCCGTAAGGAAAAGTGCAACGTAAAGAAGAGCTAAAAGCTGTAGAGTGATTCCAGATATAAGGCAGCGTTTACGCCCAATGCGATCAAGAAAAAGAAGTGCACACAGGATGGCAGCAGCAAATTTTACAGCCCCAAAAATCGCTGTCTTCAAAAGCTTCTCTGATTGCCCAGTGACACCGAGCAATGAGAAGAATTTAGGAGCATAAGCTACGCCTCAATCAGCTTTATTCGTACCAGCAAAGGAGTTTAATATTTCGGCTCACTTGTAATAGCATTTGTACCCGACCATTGACTGAGAACCTGGGCAGATAGCAGGAAAGCCAGCTTGAAAAGGTTAGCACGCTTCTTGAAAAGCAGCTTCCATGGCTCTAGTGATATCCATTGCTTCTTGTCAGTCTGCTTGGTACTTAGTTCATTGAGGATCGAGTTCAGTTCTTCTAAGATACTTGGGCTGTCATCAGGCATTTGTCGTAATCGCCCTAGAGCCTGGGCAGCCTGGCCTTGGCGTTCTGTCTCGCACAGATACCGGGGGCTTTCCAAGCAACCCAGAGAGAATAAGAGCAAAACAACAGCCATCATTATCTGGCTGGATTGAGGAAGGATCCATTGCTCAGAGCTTGTATTTGACAAATGAAGTGAGGCACCATAGCCAGCAAAATACTAAATCATTGCAATTAAGTGATATCAGCGATTGGGTACTTCGGGTTGAGCGTAGGTTTTGACTCACTCCGATCAAAATCCCAATATACTCTGATGAAGCGTATATACCAACCAAGAGACCGCGGCGGGACGTTGGTGCCACTTCAGCAAGGTATATGGGACCGACAATGCCTGTCTGGCCGATACCCATGCCAGAGATGAAGCGACCGGCAATGAGCTGACCATATCCCCCGTCTGACGTAAGGACGACGATGACGCCAATTATCCAAAGGAAGCACATCTCTCGCATTGTCCATAGCGGTCCCATCCAAGCGCTGAAGAAGTAAGCTAGGACTGCTCCCGGTAAACTGCCGAGGTGAACCATGGAAGTGATGTTGGACAATCGGTTTGCCTTTTCGGCCGCGCTCAGGTCAGATGCATGGAGTCCATACTCACGAATGAACGAGGGAAGATCTACTGTATCAGCAATGAGACCTTCATCTAAACCTTTTGCAGAACCGAGAAGCCCGAAGGCAATCGTGGCACATATGATGTGGCCGGAGATGGACTTCATTCTGTCGAAGAAATATTCTCCCTGCTCACTTTCTTTCTGGATCCTTGGGCGGAAGGTATCATTGGAAAGATAGTTCAAAAAGTATTTGCCAAGGCCGGTACTTATCAATACTCGTGCCTGTGTGATGAAAGCTCGGCAGTGCGGCAAGCACCCAAGGTCCTCCTATGCGGGTATTTTCGTCAAAGTGCAATCCACTTCATGCTCCACATTACCAGAACCTCCACGCATCAGCCTTACAAGGCGGCCAATCAGGGACCCAGAAGCTTCCATAACAGTGGGGTAACTGAATGTGAGCACATTAATTTGAACAAATTTAGCTGGTGGACGTTACGAATCTCAAGGAGCGAAAAACATGTTTATCCCGCAGAACTCGACATCTGCACGCTGGTTTCCATGGTTCCATCTTACTTGTAAGTAAATAACCTGATTAATATGGTTGATTTCATTTCGTACTATCCCATATCGGTGCCTTGCAGATAATCAGTTCCATTCATGCTTCTGCTGTATTATAACGAGTTTGCCTATCTGTACGGTGCAGAGAAAGTAATGGCCCAGACCAGCTCTGAACTGCTCGAATTTCCAGCACGGGACGATTTTCTATTATATCGATGTTATGTTTGCTGTTCCATGCGCTAGCAAGAATATTCATTGCTGCGAGTTTGAATAGGAGAGGAGCGACAGAGGCGATCTCAGGAGGAGAATGTTGATGACTTGGGCTTTTTAGAAGCAAGATGGAGGTCCATCGATACAAAGCAGCTGGATGCTAAGCAGACTGCATGAAGTCGAAACGCAGCAGAGCGCTTAGGAGACCTGGAATTACTGCATCAAGGTTCACACGACGGTCAAGCAGGCCTTGTAATTGTCGTGATAAGAGGGAGCACAGACCCTCAATGAGGATATCACTACCTCCCCACCCCTCTCTCTCTCTTCATCAATCGGACCAGAAGTTGGATTCCCAGTTGCCGCATCGTCTGACAACGATTTGAAATTATGAAACATCCTATTTCTCGTGGACCAATTACTCTATCAGTATAAATGTACAGTTCTTCGATATTGCTCATCCACAGCCACGGATTCAATGGTCTGTGGCCCGTTCTCAGTTTTCTTGTACAGCTTTCCTTCCCGTACTAAGATGTTTTCTGGAACCATGATCGGCTTTTCAACGTCACCCCATGTGGCCTTGACAGGCTGTCCTCGGAGAATTCGCTGCACATTCAACATGGTGCTGTACAGCATTCCCCAGCTAGCAAAGCCAACAGTATCACCTGCTCCCTCCTGGTGAATATCCGAGCCTTTCTCTGCCGCTCCGGCGGAACGGAAGACACCCGTGATGGCCGGATATGGTGCAAAGCACCGCAAATACCCATGTCCACACATGCGACCCACTGCCACGTCAATCTGTGAGCCGATTTCAATCTCCTCCGCGAGGCCGGATGGATTGACGGACAAAGCGGCGAGAAGCTTTTGTGCACCGTGATAGCTCACGGCGTAGAAACTGGTACAGACGGCGTCCTGGGCAGTGCAGACCATTCGGGAGTGGTCGGACCGTTCGATTGCGGGCGGGTCGCGCCAATATGGGAGGAAATGACGAGGCTCGAGGACAGTGAGGTCATCTTCGCTCTCATAATATGGGAGATTTGTCTTGCATTCCAATCCACAGTGCCCGAGCCAGAGAATATCCCAGTCATCACCGTATGGTGACGATGTTTTGGTGTTTCTTGTGCCCTGGAGTCCCCGGACTGCGAGTGCGAAACTTTGGAGCTGAGTTTTGATATTCAAATCCCAATCTGCGTCATCTTCGACAATAAGTCCGCTACCTAGGCCTTGTTCGACGATTCTGTGTAAAGTTAGGACTCAAGTCCTTGGCGCAAAAAGCGTAGAGTAGTGCATACCGTCGTATTCCATCTAAATGAGCTCGGCGAGCAGCATATTCGCTCGCACTGTGGTCTGGATTCCAGTTCTAGAAAATAATCAGCAAGCAATTCGCAAAATCGTGAGAATTGACCCATACGTATGGATATGCTTTCGGGGGGACCACGTCCGGCACTACGCCATCAACAAATTCGACTTGGAAATTGCAGACCGACGATCCCAGGACGATATTGTCGCGCTTGTCCGGTCGATTGGGCAAATTGATAGCAAAGACTTTTCCAAACTATGTTTTGATCAGCTTGAAATCGTTGTTGGTACTAACAAAAGCCAATACTTACACCTAGGGTTTGGTTTTCGATCGAGTGTATGCCATCCAAGGCCCAGTCCCGTTGTGATCGTGTAATCGATAGCTGACTAGACTTGAGAGGCCAGAATTGACAAAGGAGGACAAGCATCCCAAGCGGGATGACCAGTATTCGTCCCCAGCGCAGCTGGGTGGAGGATAAAACCATGATCGGTTGTGATGCGTGGTTAAAGCTAGCAAGATATGTGAATCATTTCGAGGATCTAGCGAATGCGGAGAGCTCCAGAGCAGTGCAGTTTGCTGAGCTCCGTACAAGTCACGGGGAGGCCAGTCACGCATGACAACTTTCGCCTTGAGGTTGAACAGAGAACAAGTCTCTGGTCGCGGAAGTCCCGGTCGCAGGTGGGAATCTCGGAGATCTTCATCGGAGCTGATTTGGACGGTGTGCCGAACCCTCACGGAGCAAGCTTAGTCTGGTTAGTGCACTCGCAGATTGCAGGAACGGACCCTGGCATGAGGGGCTTATCACACCAAGCTACGGTTGGTTTGTGTACATTTTGATCCCCACTGAAGGCGGATGGTGGATACAAGGTCCCGGGGTCAATTGTGCCGGGAACAGTACAAGCGTGCATTAGTATCTCATTCGTAGTTTAGCTCACGTGGAGTGGAGCTCAGTCCGCCAATGGGGGCGATGTAGGGAAATGCTGTGCTTCTCTCCGGCGTATGGATGTGCCCGCGCCACCGCCAATCAATTGCATGGTATTGCCGCCTTCTTACACAACGCTGAAACACGATGTAATTGCAGCGAGCCCCTTAATATGCATATTATTGGGAGTGTCCATCAGCACATGTTTCACACGATACTGCCATTGCAGGTGGTACATGGAATCACTTGTATTTCTTGAGTACACCACATAAGTCATGGGGCAATTTTCGAGGGCCATTTGACTTCACGTATCTACCTCCGCGACTATATATCGAATCATGTTGGTATTTTTAGTGTAAAAAATGGCATTTAATTTGCAAAGCAAGACAATGCATTGTATGCGGCTTCCTGTGATGTGCTTGCATGAGTTTCAAGGAAATTGTTTCAAAAGTCCCCACTACTTTCGCAGCTGAGAGCGAAAATTTGGGAAGTGGGGGGCACGTTTAGCTAGGCCTAAATACGCTATCCCACATCGGGTAGTCCCGAGGTCCATCGTCGCAATAAAGCACATTCGGCATGCTTAATGTAAACATACTGTGGGTTGATAGTATTTAGAAATCGGTATATTCTCATATAATTAGTCTTCCAGAAAAGAAACCTCAAAATTTGGGAGAGTCCAAAGCTAGTTGGAGAAGCTGACTCGAATTACGGATTATATGCATCCTTCTTAGGTAGCTTGTTTACCGGGTAGAGTAAGTGCTTCGAGTGCCTGCTCTGTTCCCTTTGCTGCCTCTTTCTTATCATTCTCCTTCACTGCGTCTTCCTTGACGGACCTCCACTCAATGAAAACAGCCCCAACGACGGTCAAGCAAGTCAAGGCCAATGCCAAATAATATACGTCAACTATAGCATCATTGTATGCGGTCTTCACACCCGCCGCATACTCAGCTGATACAAGGTTTTGGATTCCCAAAGCGCCATTCTTCAAGACAGTTCGTGGGTCCAGACCTGGCGCCTGCTTGGCCAGATTCCGTATCAGTCGATTCGTGAACATGTTTTGCGCGATGGAGAGCGCTACAATGCCACCAATTTCTTGAGTGAAACTCAGGACTACTAATGCAGTAGCGACGGCGGAATCTGGAAGAACTGTCTGAACGGCGGTGTAAGGCTGTTGGAATGCTAAACCAACACCAATTCCATATAGGATTTGATATGAGATCCACTCAGAAGGTGGGGTAGTCGGGGAGAATGTGGTGTAGAGGCCTGTGGCAATAGCCATGAAGACAGCTCCAATGACCATCACTGGGGTATAGTAACCGATCAGTGTGGTTATGGGTCCCGCAGCGAGAATAGCGAGGGCGAAAGGGATTGCAGTGGGGAGGTACATAAGTCCCGATTCAAAGGTGGTGGCGCTGCGGATTGCTTGAAAATAGATAGGGAGCTTCATTTTCGATTTTTGTTATTCTCTTGGTCATTGAGAGGTTCAAGCTGTTGTCTGGCAGTTTTTCAGGGAAAAAGGAAAGATACTCACATAGTAGGCTGTGACGAAAAGGGCTGCAGAGTTACAAAATGTGAACATAGCGCCGAAGGCGACCGATCGCTGACACAATAGCTTCAAAGGGAACATGCTATCTTCTCCTACTCGGTATTCCACCCCGAGGAATATTAGCAAGAGAGTGCCAGCCAGTGCCCAAAGAAGAATGATCCTCCAGTCAGTCCATGTGTATTCTGTTCCAGCCCACTCTAGAGCAAGGATAACAGATATCGCCAATGGGAGAAAAGTGGCAACTCCCATCATGTCGAGCCGTTTCAACTTTTCTTTGTTGGGTAGGTCGATGTGCTCCGGGCGTTGGATGTTGTGAACGAAAAAGAACACTGAAAGAATGACCGCAACGCCCACGGGAATTATGATGTAGAAGCTGATTCTCCACTCCGAATGGCGGGCCACTGCACCGCTGATTACTGGGCCAAATGCCAACGCAATGCACTCCATTCCACCAGACATGGCAGTATAGATCGGCCGATGTTTAAGCGAGGTCGTATTTGCGACGATGCTTTGAAGTTAACTGCAATTTAGCTGGAGGAAGTAATTGAGGAGCATATGGTAATAGAGATAGACTTACATACTGCTGCCGGCGAAAACACCAGCTGATCCTAAACCACTCAGAGCACGGCCAACGATGAATGCGGTTGAAGTGGCAGCCGAGGCAGCCACTGACGAACCAATAACGAACACGAAGAATGATAGCATATAGGCAACCTTCATAGAGTAGAAAGAATATATCTGTCCGTAAATAAGGACAGTGGAGCAAAATGCCAGTAGACTAAGGGTCCATATGAATTAACAGTAAGTCGAGGGCTAGATCGAGAGTGAACAAAATTACTCGACTTACTATGAGGTCCCATACCATCCTATCTTGTTCAAAGTGCCAAATTCGTCTGAGATCACTGAAGTCAGTGTAGCTACGCAGCTTGAGTCCTATTTATGAGACAATCCAAAGATGGGTCGTCAGTAAACAGGCCGATGGATAGTGGGAAGTCGTGAGGGGTATTCATCATATAGCGTACGTATCCAACAAAGAAATCTCCAGCGAGAATTGAAATAAAAAGAATCGCGAATCTGACACCTTTAGGCCGCGTGGGATTTTCAAAATCTTCCTCGACATTATGCACGGTCGGATTGGTGGGAGCATCTTTCCCCGTGGCGGTCAATGTGCCCAAATTGACCAGATCGATGCCGGCAGAAGAGGAGGCAAGGCCATCGTGCCCAGAAGTGTTAGGAGAGCCCATTTCCTGGGGTTTGAGCAAAAATAAAGCTCAATTGAAAAGACGGTTCGTGGCGAAAGAAAGGAAAGCAAGTGAAGTTCACAATGGGCATCTGCCCCTGTCCAGTCAGAATCACCTGACTAGTTTACGCTAGTTTTCCAGGTCTTAATCGCGAGATATCGGTTTAGGTGCCTCTTGGAGGCCCACTAGGATGTAATTTGTAGCTTGGGGCTCAGGGCACTACGGAGTCCGGCGGCCAGCCTGTTACTACCACCTGTTCAAGAAATGATTCGCTAAGCATGTATGCCGAGTGTATGAGATTGTTTCTCAGTCAGAGGATAAACTGTCTTCTTTAGAAAGACAAACCTGCCGAGTCACACCCAATTTTGTCAAAAAATTACCAGTCCTATCTGCTGAGTACTAATCCGCCCCCACCTGGCGAAAAATTGGGTTGTTGCCAAACCATCTCACGCGTTAATGAGGCACCCTTAGCTTTGAGATATGAGTCAATGCCCGGCATGCACAATGAGTAGATCCGATCCGTAATAACTTAGGTCATGCCCCCCGCGTTTTGAAATAATGGTGTGAGAGGGCTAATCTCCTCGTTTTTACCATAGGAGACATGACTGTATATCAGTTTCGCCTTTTCCGCTCTACAGTATTCCACATCGCTACACCTCGCTGTTGTTTCAGGCAATAGACTGACAATTAGCGGATATGTTTTTTTTTTTTTTTTTTTTTTTTTTTTTTCAGGGTTGGAGGACCCGGGGATGGTTGATTGCGGCGTGGCTTTACCCGGCCCCTGCTGTGTACTTTCTCTCTGCCCCAAGCCCCACCGTGCGCCGATCCGAAAGTGACGACATGCATGAATCGCGTGCATGCTCATGACTGCTTCTCTCTACAAGTACTAAGGCACACTTACCGTTGGAGTTTCCTTTTTTTGATTTCTTTATTTGTCAGAATTTATTCTCGAAACGCTTTCTCAATAAGAGTTGGGAAGTGATATATCAGGATCTAGAGTCCGTAGCTTCGCGGATACGAACAAGTTGCGAAGATAAATCTTTACTTATGGATATGACAGCTATCTGCGAATATGAGTAGGTAGATTCGACCAATATCTTGACATTGAACGATGTCCTACCTGGCCTATGCACTTGGGTAGTCTCCAGTATTAGGAAAAATAGAAATAAAATAATATCCGAAGCCATGTAGCACGTGACGGTCGAGGAATGGAGAGACATGACAATAGGCTGCAGCTTCACTGGAATCTGATCATATCCTTAATCCATGTTCATTCCGGGCTTTCATCTTTTGCCAAGGTACAAGATTCACACCACCCTTTCCCCATCGGGACCCCGTGTTGTGGTTGTGGGGAATTGACTCAGAGTCTCATGTTTGCCCCACTCATGCTTTCTCTTAAATCTCCCAATCTATTCCGCCTTCCCAATCCTCTACATCCCATCCCAATCATAACACCCATGTTGTGAGAAAGAGGCATACCAAATATGAAGATCCACGTGCAATTGCAGCCCCAGAGGTTGCTCGTCTGCCCGACGTCTCTCGCTAAGCATCTGCAAGCTATGCTCATGGATGACATTTCGCAAGAAAATCTCGACTCCATCAATAAGCAAATTCTTTATCAGACGCACGCCGAGGCAGTGACATGTTCTGTCTATCAAATATGGTTAACTCTCGCCTGGCGATATTCGCCGCATTTTCTTTCGGCTGCATTACGTGACCAAACATCTGCCGGAGTCCGTAAAGCAGGTATCAAAATTGTCCGGCAGTTCTTCGGTAAACCCTTACAGCAAGTACGAGGGTGGGGTCTACTTGGAGGGGCCCAGGGAATCAAGGATATTCTCGATGGACTCCCTCTAGCCGAAGTACATTTATTCGTTAAAGCCATTTCGCATTCTAGCCATCACTCAATCAGTGGATTGCTAGAGGCATATTTTGATGAACTCATGACTCTTATCGACGCATCAGAAGTCTGGATCACGAGATCGCTTTCGCGATATGTGGCTCCGTTGTATGCACACTGCAGTGCTGGAAAGGCAACAGAAGCTTTGAGGTCTGGGATTATCAGCTCTCAGACCTTCTGCCGTCATCTCGGTCGCACTCACCCTCAACTCTTGCGGCAGATTGCGATTGGTGCTGTCGAGGTACCAACCCCTGTGCGCCGGCATATCTTGGACACTTGTGCTGAGATCTTACTGGAATCAAATGAAACATACGTGCGGATTCATTCCACGGAAATTTACATCGGCAATGACCCTGGCCTGACATTTGGTGTGGATATGCTATCGCAAATCAAAGCAAACGAGCCTAATCTACAGACACGTGGGCCCTTGATCCGTCGATGGATTGGGCTGCTTTTGAACCTGGCGGTTCGTCGAAAACTGCCATTTGATGCTATCTTGCCTATCATAAACCTCAGCTTGGAAATGTGCCGAGTTGCGGATTCTTCTTATTGGTTTACCCAGAATCTTCCAAGGGAAGTCGTTCGGTGCTGGTCGGTGGCTCGGTTCGGCAGATCCGGATATGAAAAACCATTTCATGCAGCCATGAAAGCTGCCGGAACCTCATCTCCTTCCCGACCCAGGGCTACCAACCAATTAGCATTAGAACGTTGTCTAATAGAGCAAGTCTTGCCAGTCAGAGACGTCCAATTCTCCCTGCAGGTGGGTTCGACAGAGCTTAATCGCCATTTAAGTCTGCTACTCACATGTGTGCACATTGACGGAAGACTCGAGCTTCTTCAGCTACTTTGCAAGCATTTACCCACTCTTAACGTCGATCTCACGGTGTGGCCTCCGTCAGAAGAAGAACGGAAGATCTTCCCGGTCTGGTCGTACCATCTTTTGTGCATGTTGCCTAGTCCCGACTCGAAGGCGCTTTTTCATCGATCACTGCATATCCAAGATTGCGACATGTTCATACCGGAAGACTTAGTAGAGCGGAACTCTTGGGCAATCGACTGGAAGTCGCAATGCTTACTTTGGGTTGGTTGGGAATGCTCAACTGCTAAAGGGGCTGACGATTTTCCAGTCACTCACAAAGGTATCAGAATCCCGAATTATATCTGAACGCAAACGAATGGCCTAACAGCATATAGCTCTTGCGGAGATGAAGCTACGAGCAACACGTGGTCGAGAGCCCGACAAGCGGTTACGTTGGACAAAGGCAGCTATAAAACTTGCCTCAGCAACAAAGTGTCTGGACATTTTTTGCGACTTGGTGGATTGGTGTAAACGGTTCTTACGAGACCAGGTGCGTACCATCGTCGGTGCAGCAATTCAGATTATTAACTATCGATGACATTCTCCAGAACATCTTTTCTCAGATCCTGACCACCATTTTTTGGGAGGCCCGTCAAGTCCTCTCATGTGGTGCCGATACGCGACCCGCAAAGCCTGCATCGGAATTGAACCTCCGAGCTGAGATAAATAAGGCGCATCTGGCTCTGAAGGGTCTGCTTGAAAGCATGACGCTTCTCCTTCGCGAGCCTTGGGCTTCGAATTCAGCGTCGTCGATATACGGGGTCGATTCCATGTTCACTGATATTCTCCGTCAGAGGATAAATGCAGTTAAAATCTATACCCTCGACTGCTTAGCAACTGAGTCTGAGTTAATTGAAATCTTGGTTGACTCTTTAATACCCATTCTGATCGAATACGAACGTGAAGGAAATCTGGAAGGCGGGAAAGCTTTCTCCTGGAGCGGCTCCGCTGGTTTGGTCCGGTATTTCGGATGCCCTAATTGCCCTAGCCGGGTCGAGCTTGCATTTATGGACCAACTTGGAAAGGCACGTGATGACCTTTGGGCACATTTACGGGCTTGCAGGAAGCCAGATGTCTTGCTATTAGGGCCTGGTTGGCCTCGTGGTCTTCCACTCCAATCCTTGGTGCCGGATAAAGAATGGCTTTACCATGCAATGAAAAGACCCGAAGAAGCACCTTTTTTATCTTCGAGGTGCCATGAACTTCTGTTTAGCCCACGAGATATCGTCGTTGCCTCATTGCCCCAAAACTTCGAGGAAATCAACGAGTTTGTGGACGATTTGCAATTTGCAATTCATGCTATGATTTTTCGCGGCGAACAAAACGCCAAAGAAGATTGGATCAGACGTATCTGGGAGTATTATTCGTCAGTTTTGCAGACACATCCATTGCAGCTTGAGCTTTTCCAAGAATGGCTGGTCTCTATTCTTGAAAATGATTATCACAGGGACAGACAATTCAATCCATCTGGGGCAATCAACATTGTACAGCCTCATGTCACAACCCCTTTCCCATTGATATCGAATGTTCCAATTGGATTGCATGCGATAGAATGGGATCCCTTAGAGGGCTTTGAGGATGCCGTGGAAGCCTGCAAGCCTTCGATTGACACAAAAAGACCAAAAGTAATACCGAGCATGGTTCTCAATGCTCGAATTCATAGCACAAAGTGGCGAGGTGTGGATGATTATGTCCTCACAAGTGATCTCAATTCTAGACCAGGACCCAACCCTATAGCGATCTGGCTGACAGAATCATCATCGACTAACACAAGAAAAACTTCGATGTACGACAACCGGGAAGCGGTGATCTTGTCGGCTCTTCTTTATCTGAACACCTTCAACCATAATTCCCGACTCTTTCAGGCAGAATTTCCTGATAGCGAATACCCTCGCTATGGACCGACATATCTGGCTGACAAGTTTATCACCCGAGTGACCAAAGCTGGGGTTCAAAATTCCATGAATGAAGCACTTGATGCTTTGAAGAGAAATACCAAGCATATACCTGCTCAAATATTGCGGGACATTATCTGCTCGTTGCTCGACACGCTGAAAGCATCGCCGAACGCTTTCAATTATCCAAAGGTTCTCCATTGTACACTGGAGTTGATCGACCTACTATTGAAGGGCACCCAGCCTCAACTTGTGCTCGATGTGGCGCCAAGATTATGGATGGAATTTCCCAACGACTCCTCGAGCCATCGAAAGATAAGCCTCGTGAAGCTCGGAAGATGTCTTACCCCAAATCAGGCCAGCGGCATAATTCAAAGCCTTGTCGTTTATGCGGGTGATATGGTAAAAATGCCGCAAGCATCGAGTGATGGTCCACAGAAACCGTTAATGAAGGTCACGACAGTGAAGATGCTCGCGGAGAGTCTTTCCAGTGCGGACTTCGTTGCGCCAGCTACTCGAGTGCACCTCCTCGAGAGCCTGTTCAACACCAGAAATCATCTTGACATTCGTGTGGAGATAGTCAAATCTCTGCTCAAACTGGTCAGTCGGGACACCAGTACTCATTTGTTTCAAATATTGTCCACAATTTCTTCGTCTGCTGCAGGGCCTAGTGAAAGGGACACGGTCACCGATGATGACTGGCACGCAGCGGAAGTTGGCGGCCCACTGCCTCCCACACTCTCTGAGCATCCACTCCTGGATTTATTTGTCAAAGATGCGGTTTGTGGAGTTCCAAATGAACTACACTCGGATTATGTTGAAAAGGTGGTTTTGCCTTTGCTGACAGAGTCTATCCGCCAACATACCAGATGGATGACCATCTTACTCGCACGGCTCAGCCTCTCACTGTCAGATCTCGGTTTGGCCGACTCAGACATCGGTCCTTTCTGTTTCAATCTCGTCGAGTTGGTTTTCCAAAACTGGGCATGCTATGTCCCTGCCACCTATTTGCAGTATTGCCGCAGTCGCGAGTTCGTATATTTGCACCGCCATGCTTTCAATAGAATCGCTGAAGCATTTGAGTTGTCCACGGATCTGATATTAAAGACCGACAATGTGCGAGGCCATCTTCACGCCCTTCTTGAGTCCCAGCGCCATGAACGTCCTCTCACATATGTAAATCGATTCCTATTTGTGAGAGGTAATAAGCAACCAACAGCCATTTTGGATGAGACTCTGCTTGAGGACTATATTTCCCGCGTCGAAGTCTTCAGCAGGTCGCCACTCGTGTACAACGACTTTTTGAGGACATATAGCATTCAACCTGGCTACACCTTGGAAGCCTTGAAGAATTTGAGGCAAGCTGGTCGGCCTCCCAGCCGTCAAGCCTTTGTCAGGAAACTCATGATTGGTATCGTCGATGCTACCGAAAAGGTCCGGAAAGAAGGATGGTCGCCTGATTTGACCGCTTATCCTGTGACTCTCCCAGCTGCATTTGAGTATGAGGTTCAATTGCTTCCGTGGCCACCATCGAAGCCAGAGCTGTCCAGCTTGGGCATACATGAACTCATTTCGGGTGTTACCAAGTTGATCTCCAAATACGCTGCAGATCCAGTATTGCCCATCAAGATCGATGTCTTTGCGCCAATTCTGAAGGAGGTTAAGAATGAGGATAAAGTATCATGTGCTTTGTTGCTTGGAGAGGACCTCGGTGATCTGAATGATCAGCACGGGCTCATGAAGGCATGGGCCAAGGTGAAATTGTCAATGATGTTGCTGAAGGCCGCAAAAACGGCGAAAGTGCCACTGGACGGGAATGCCATGGATATGATTCACAAATGGAAATGTAGTGATATTGAGATGGTCCGGCAGATTGCATGGGAGTGGGACTGGAGCAACTAATTTAGATCCAGGAAGGAGAAAGGAGTCTGGACTTCAAGCTTAAATAATTCGAAGCCTCCAGGTTGTCTTTGGGGGAGCCGTGATGTCTAGCGAGAGACCGAGTTGATGCGCTTCCTTCCTGTATCACGAATCTATCATCAATTTGATTCTTTTCCCCTCTATGCTCAATATTCCAAGTAAAATAAAACATGCAACTGAATTGAACTGGTCTCAGTTCTAGGATTTTACATGCTCAGGCTCCAACGCTTGATATCACAGACTCTGAGGCATTATTATCATAGAGTGCACGTTACAATGGTCTAGTTGGTGGATAAAAAGAATTCCTGGTCATCGATATCACACGCTGATACAAATACGTTATGGGAGACACCACCTATATACCAATCTATTCCTATGCCCTTCTAACTATGTATGCCGCTTGACCTCCCTTCAAAAAACTACTCCATTACCTATGTACGTGCAATAAAACCAGAAAAATTCCGTAAAAGCAAAGTCTTCTAAATCCCCAGGTTAAGATAGAACTTGGGACTTTTTCAACCAATCATGCGCCTCCTCATAAATCCTTTGCGAAACCTCCTCTCTCTTCCTCCTACTGCTTCCAACCTTCTTTCGTCCTGGCGACTCATGCGTAAACCCATGCGGACACCCCTTCGCCAACGTCCACTTATACCTGCCCACCTCAAAGTCCTCCTCCTGCTCAATCCCGACTCTATTCTCCAACCCGGCTAATTCGTGAATCATCTGCTGTGTCTCTAACCGGAGCATATCCCACTGCGCCCCAATCATATAAATCCACGGCGGTAGCTCACCCTCCTTCGCGTACAACGGACTGAGTAGTGGGTCCCTCCGATTCTGCCCTACACTCACATACCCCCAGTCTATCCACCAGGAAGTCTTTTCTAGGTTATCCTTCGGGCCCCCTTTGTAAGGTCTCGAATCTAGCTTTTCATTGGGCGGGTGGCCGAAATCCACGATGGGGTAGTATATCACGGCGGCTTTGATCAGGCCTTTCAGACCGGGGAATTGCGAGGCAGACAGCGCAAGGTTGCCACCTGCACTGAAGCCGCCGATGGCGATGCGCGAGTGGTCAATTGGGAGGGATTCATCTGCTAGCACACACTTGGCTACCTCGGCAACGTCAAAGCTGGCCGTTGGAAATGGATGGTGCGGCGCCTTTCGGTAGTTGAGGCTGACGACTAGCATTCCGGTGCGGTTGGCCCAAGAACTGCAAAAGGGGTCGTCGACGGTGGCGTCGCACAGTACGAAGCCACCGCCGTGGATGTTCAGGTAGAGTGGAAGTAGCTCGCGCTGGCCGGGGTTGTAGGAGCGCGGGTAGAAGATGCGAGTTTCCAGGGTTGGGCGGCAGGCATAGCGCTTAATAAGGGTTGGTTGGGTGCCTGGCTTGGGAGGATTGAATAGGCGTAGGTAGAGGAAGTAGACACTGGCGAGGCATTTGAGCAGCCAGAGTTGTATGAAACAATTTAGGCGGTGGGGTAGTGGTAGTCGCTCTTTCGGGAGAGGAGGCAGTGGTTTTCCCATCGCTAATGTGTGCTGATCTAGGTTCTCGATCGCTGTACTAGACAGTGGAGGAATCCACTCGGGGAAGGAGTTGTCTTGCTGAACAGAAGGATCGAGGTGTTGGCGGAGCAGGGAGAGTCGGGCGAGCGCTGTCATGGATGGATGAATCTGTTGGGATACAACAGGAGTGACTAGTACGTGTTTGTCATAGTACCAGCAGTACCAATTGCTCTGTTGGGCTTGCCGAGTTCTTTGTCTTATGAACCCTAGGTCGGCCGCACCAAGCCCTTCTCTCGCCGGTCTCGATTCAGCCTCGCAATAATGGACAGCAGTGAAATCGTCGCATCTTACTTCCCCCATTGCATATATTTACCTAATGGCAAAAATTACGCAGGAACGGATGTGCTAAGAGTGGGTTTGACCCCAAAATTTTGGGGTCAGCCCAAAAAATGCCGATGCCTTACGTCCATCGTCTCCGGCGCGGCGTCAGCAACTAGCTCGGGCCATCAGGTCCACTTTGGCGAGGCTCTCAGAGCCCCGATCCTTTTCGGGCCGAAGTGGGGCCCAGGGCTCAGTATTCAAGTCACCGCCCTTTATACCGCCCTGTATCCGTATTGTCCTGCATTCAGCCCGGTCCAATCACTTTACGGATGTCTTCCGAGTATACATGTTATAGAGTTTGTATAGCGAATAGACTGACTCCGTTAAGAATTGATTATAGTAGAGGAAACATGGAGTTTTTGTTGCCTGCTACACGACAAAGGGAGAGGTCTTTGTCATAGTCGTTAGATTGTTTTCAACAGACTACCTCCAAAGTGTAATAATTTTTGTTAGGAATGTCTTGGCCCTAGAGATGCGATGAATCAGGCTCCATAAGAAATGTTTACGAAAAGAATTGTCTCAAATCCTGCCATGTTTGATGGCTATTTTGGTACAAGCATAGTGATTCTTTTCTTTATTGCGGCGAAGTTCTTACATAAGAGAAAATGCGATTGAATTTGGAGCGGGTAGATAGGGTTTAGCCGGACAACGGGAGACCCCATTGAAAGACACAACAAAATACCCAGAAGGGTAAAGTGTAGCGGGCTAACAAGTTTGCCATGCTGCCGGCATTTCAATGCCATATTAATGCACTTTGGAATGGGCATCGATTATCTCACCCGCCAAGCATGAGGCCTTGGTGGCACAGTGGAAGAGGAAAATAAAATAAAATAAAAATAAATAAATAAAATAGAAAAAGGAACAAAAGGGGACCTCGAAGCGACGTAGTTCCTCAGATCCGTGTCAAATCCATTCTTTCAGCAAAATTTACCCAATCATCATCCACTCTCGGGAGGAACGATGAGTGATGAGCCAATTCCAGAGCAAAGTGGCTGCTGGTTAGCTGTTAATTTTGGATTTCATCCCCTCCAACAGATTGGCCCCTCGTTGTTTCCAAATTAAGTCACAAGATCACCACCACGCAGGATTCACTTTTCGTAGCCGGCTTGACTTACGGAGTACTATCTATCGAGTGTAAAATTTCCGAGAGTCAGATCAGCCATCCTTGTCAGATGCCAAGACACCAAGGCTGCAACGGAGATGGTACTTGTTCATGGCGGCAGATGAGTGAAAATTCTGCTTGTATCAGTATTACCCGTAAGCCCTAGATTAGAGGGGCATCCGGTGACGAGGCCCAGTTACTAGCTTCGAAGTGCCAGCTTACGTTTGAATACAGAAGCAGCCTCGCAGACAGGGAGGTAATGGTGGGAGAGGATGGTGGGGCCAGCGATGGATCACTATAGCAAAAAGACTAAAGGCAGAAAGAACAAGGAGACGTAGAATACTCGGTCATTTCATACCTCGAGTGGGCTTATAGCGAAATCTTCGCAAAATTTACATTCTACCTACATTAGTTGTCACCTACCAACCACTAGCCCTCTGCCTCTATTTTCAAACAACTGTCTCTCATGACTTCCATATTCCCCAGCGCCGAGCACCCCACAATGAGCAGCAAAGGCCCAACGACAACTTTCCTGTCAAAAGGGAAAGAAGACGAAGAAGGCCAACTAGATACATCAACCGCCTCTCAAGATGGAAACGAGAAGCCGCAGCCCAAATCTCTCAAGTTCAAACTCACCGTCTTCTTCCTGGCTCTTGTAACGGTCGTCGGCTCCATGGATGCCGTGATAGTTGGCTCCGCACTCGAAGCCATCGCGAAAGATTTGCAAAGCAGCAGTGTCGAGTCCTTCTGGGTGGGAACGTCCTTTCTCCTGTCGCAAACAGTCATGATCCCGCTCTATGGCACGACCAGCGAGATCTTCGGTCGCAAGTGGCCCATCCTCATTGCGCTCTCCATCTTCCTTTTCGGCAGCATCCTCTGCGCTACAGCGCAAACTATCACGTGGCTGATTGGCGCGCGCGTGGTTCAGGGCATTGGTGCAGGAGGCATGATTCAGCTGGTACAGGTCATCCTGTCTGACATCTCGACCATGAGCGAGCGCGGTCTCTACATGGCCATCGCAGCGTTCGCGTGGTCACTAGGAACGGACATCGGGATCCCGATTGGGGGTGCGATTGGGGAGAGGACGACCTGGCGGTGGATCTTCTACATCAATATCCCCGTTTGTGTGATTTGTATAGTGGGATTGCTGTATGCGTTGCAGTTGCAGAATGATACGTCGTCATTTGTCAAGAAGCTGGGGATGCTGGACTGGGTGGGACTGGGTGTGTTCACTTGCGCGTCGACGCTGTTTCTAGTTGGATTGACGTCGGGGGGTGTTTCGCATCCGTGGAACTCGGCCGCCGTCCTGGCTCCGTTGGTACTTGGAGCGATTCTCTTTTGTGTTTTTATTCTTACGCAGTGGCGGGTATCGAAGAGGCCCACAATGCCATTGCGCATATTTAACGATCGCTCTGCGATTGTCGGGTTCATGACGAGCTTTCTGCACGGGTTGGTGTTTTGGTGTGTGACTTATTATATGATTGTCTTCGTATGTCTTCTTCTTCATCCCCCTCCCCATCTCCATCTCCATCCCAATCATTTTGAAATCTACAAGGCTAACTAATATAACAGTTCCTCGGCGCTCTCCAACATTCCGTCCTCCACGCCTCCCTCGAGACAATGACCTGCATCGCCTACTCCGCCCCCGCAGGCCTCGTAGCTAGTATGGTCGTCAAACGCACCCAGCACTTTAAGTATATCATCGTGGTGGGATGGGCTCTTCTTGCAGCCGGAATGGGGTCAAACGTATGCACCTCCTCGCCTCCTGTTTCCTCGCGCCTTCTCCCAAACAAAGACCGTCCTAGCAAAGAAAGTATCAATCCTAATGCTAATATAAAATTTATAGGTAACAATGCACCCTGACTCCAGCAAAGCCATGCTTTACGGCCCCCGCGTCCTCGTCTCGCTAGGCGGCGGCCTCCTCTTTCCAACGCCCATCTTCGCCGTGCAGGCCTGTCAACATGGCGATGATATTGGCATCGCAACGTCCATACAGGTCTTTGCGCGTAGTATGGGGACAGCTTTTGGTGTAGGGCTAGGGGGCGTCATCTTTCAGAATCAGTGGAGCAAGGAGGTTAATTCTGCTGTGGTAGCTGGACGCATACCCCATGAGTTAATTGTGGAGAGCAATGTGGCGGAGACAGCGTATGCAGTCATTCGGAAGTTTCCCGAAGCGGTGCAGGAGGCTTATCGGGGGGTTTATGCAGATAGTTTGGCGACTATGTGGTATGTCATGATGGGGTTGTCTGTTGTGGGGTTCATGGTTAGTTTAGTGGTGGGTAGAGATGATGTTATCAGTGGGGGATTGGCAGGAAAGCAAAATTTTAGGGATGAGGAGAAGGAGGGGGATGCAGAGGAAGGCAAGTAGTTCTGGTGATTCTTCTCTAACTCGGTCCACTAGTGTTTTGTCATGTTTAAGTCCGTTTTCCTTGTGATGTTAAATCTATGGTGGAATACAAGTCATGTCCCCCATGGATTCGAGGTACGCGTTTGCGAAACTATAGTGCAGGGAGGAAGTACATTGGCCGTCTCATCTTCTCTCAACCCGTTGGGCTCTACTTCATGTATGCGCGGCTGGTGGAGGGGATGGGTTTTGCGTTCGCACTCAATCATCCATGAATATGAAGGGTACCTGGTTGTAGTACCATTGAAATATTCAGCTCCAAAATTTCCTCTATATTCATCTCTGAAAATCCATGACATATGTACCATATAACCTACCAACAGAATGTTGGACCCGCATGAGAAAAACAACAGGACAACAAATCTAATTAACGATTCACCAAACAAACTTCATCAAATCCCTCCAATTCCATCGGTCTCTCCCCATCTCCTTCCTCTCCCTAGTATTCAAATCCCAAGAGACCGGCAAATGCCCCTCCCAGATACTCATCATTTCCCCCAACCCCACATCCCTAGGCTTGACACCGCGTCCATGGAGATTCCGAAAGAAGAAAACCCCACTCCCTTCAACCCCCTCACTCTCCTCTACAAACTGACAATCCCTCACGTTGCGAAACAATGCTCTCATCAGCGGCGTATTCCGATCCTCGCGGTAATGCCTGCCCATGACAGTGCGCACCGCATCAGTTGCCTCATAGGCATGATAGAAGGGAATTGAGGAGCAGAGGTGGTGCAGGACGTGGGTGCCAACGATGCCGTGGAAGAGGTGCTTGTCGACATCGAATGGCCCCATACAGAAGCTGCGGTCGATCGTTGCAGAGGCGCCACGGGCAAAAGTCCAAGACGTGTGGGTGAAGTGGGGAAGGGTGGGATCTGTGTGTTGTAGGTAGGTGATGACGACTATATTGTTCCAATGCGTTTAATAAATTAGCTTGTGGTTAATTTGAATAGATCATAAGGGGGGAACGAAAGGAGGATGGCGCTGAGAGGTAATGAACATACCAACCCACTGGTTCAACCACAGATACGGAATGCCATAGAAGACGAGAATCGTCCACACGGAGAATAACTTCACCGCGAGAAAGAGTCCAACACACGTGGTGGCCACGCCGAGATCACTCAGGAAGACGGAGAGCAGCTCCGACTCCTTGTACAATGCGCTGTCCGTGCCAAACCAATAATGACTGTGCTGGGGAAATCCGGAGGCACCCTTTTGCCCGCTCAGATTGTCTAGCATGTATAGGGGCCAGCCAAGGATCTGGAAAAGAAGGCAGTGCCAAAGTGTGACGATGGGGGCGTCTTCAGTCAGCTCAGTAAAGCTGTGCGAATTGGCGTCTTGGCCAAAGGTGGATTTGATGAGATATCTGCGTTGATTCAGCATTAGCAAACAAGTCCAATATTCTGAATAGCACGGTAGAGGTATATCAAGACATACTCCCGACTGTGCGGAACATAAACGGTATCCCGCTGTAGGTCGCCCGTGGCTTTGTGATGGTGAGAGTGGCTGATCTTCCAGCTGTAGTATGGAACTAGTAGGGACGAATGCAAGACAAAGCCGACGAGATTGTTGACTTTTTTTGAGGGGGAAAAGGCCCCGTGGCCGCATTCGTGGGCGAGAATCCAGATTCCCGTCATGATCATCCCGGAAATCACGGTATAGAGGGTGTATACCATCGTACGGATGAAAATGCTTGGGATCATAGGTGTAAGGGTGTACGTAACCCAGGCCAGACTACCTAGCAGGGTAAAGTCCCGGGCTACATATCCCAGGCCTCGAGTGGTGGATGGACGAAAGCAATGAGCCGGAATAGCGGCATGGATCTGTTTCATGGTAAATTCGGGCACGTCGTAGACATTGCCGTAGAGGTCTATATGCCTGGGACCTGGGTCTTCCTGGCTAGCGGCTGCCATGTTGCTAGAATAATTTGGTTGAAAAGGGGAGGTAGAAAGACAGAAAAGATTATTGATTCAATGATTCTATGACTAGATGAAGTCCACCTTGGCCTTTCTCTAAAAATACCCGGTTGAGATGTGTGGAACCAGAAAGCGCCAGCCTTTATATCGCTCAGCCCACCAAGGCACCGATATCCCAAAATCACATCTCTGTTTCTAAATTTTGGAGTTAGGGCTGGGGTCATTGCATCCCATGTGTATCTTCCCGCCCGAAAATTTCGTAGTTCACGTTGCTCCAGCCTTATCTCATGGACACAAGTATTTACATTGCCAATACATACCTAGGCCTTGCTCATACATCCTCACTAAGCTGACAGCCAGCACCAAAGATAGTAACGATAATGAAGGATGGCGTGATTGACCTCAGGTGGTCACATCGAAAACCCTACTTATGCCATATCCTCATTATAGGAAGGGCCACTATCCATATGCAACCAACTTGATTTGCGTGTATAATTAGTTCTACCGGCAGAAACACTGTACATTGTAAAATAAGTGGGGCTAAGTGTGCGGGAATTTGTCTGTACGGTAAGTCACATTGCCTTGGCGCTTGGCAGAAAGAGATGAGGCCACGCCACAGAATTGAATATACGCAGGAGACTCCTTGCTGTTGTAGAGCCAGGCTCCTTAGTGGAGTCAGAGCAGGGCCAGGCTCCGCGACTAACGAGATCCGCGTCAGCAACGGCCCGCTGCGGGTCACGAACTCTCGGGAGTTTTATAATTTCAACTGGCAGAAAATTAAATTACTGTATTGCAGATGTAACCTCCAAACGGGATAGATCCACGGGGATATTTGGTAGGTAAGCATAACCTTGGAACCCATCAAATTCAGCGGTACTGGAATCCCTGCTAGGCATAGGTGGAAAATGTACCGATTGAGGCGTTGTTCGGTCAACACTAGGGCCCATCAGGTGAGACGCCTATCACTAATCTCGTATTCGGAAAAGGAAGGTTGCTAGAAACATTCACCTACATACATATTAACGGTAATATGGATCATCGTAAGCGATCTAAGAAACCGGGCGAGGCTCCGGGGCGGGCTCCACACGTGGCGGATGAGCCATGTGCGTACCAATGCATCTGCATGCATATGCAGTGGGACCAAGGATCCGGTGTGCTTTTTTCTCCCCGTGCGACTCTGTCGGTGTCAAGAGGCTAGTCAAATGTTTGGCCAATGAGTATACAGAATACCGGATACCGTAGTATTCGGCAGGTGGGGGCAAAAGATACCATGAGTCCTTTTTCTTCAATGCCGGAGCCTTCATTCCTTCGATCGGTCATATGCGTTCGAAAATGAAGTTGCTCATGAAATTTGCCCTTCTGGCTCTGGGTGTTTGCGTCTTAGCCAGTGACGCCGACCGTCCCGTCTGCATTGTGGGAGCTGGCCCTGCGGGACTCAGTGCGGCCGCAGAATTGGAGCTCAAAGGATACCGCACGGTGACCTTTGAGAAGCAAAAAGCTGTGGGAGGGAAATGTCAAGCCGTTTATGAAAAGTACGTGCTACCTTTTTAGTTCGAGAGGAAAGTCCCGTTAACAGTCCAATACAGTTCCACTTTCAGTCCTCTTGGAGCGCTGATCTTCACGCCCCCGACATATCGGGAATCAATTAAACTGCTGCTGAAGACTGGAGTGACCTCTGTCCCCTTTGTCTCTGGTGAGAAGTGGCAGTATAATGCCTCCAGCGGGTCAATTTGGGCCAAACCCACTCTACCCCCGCAGGTCACGCAACTCTTCATGCAAGAAGTGCGGAAATACATCGGCTGGTGGAACAAGAACTTTGTTCTCTATAACATCGCCCCGGGATATCCCGTGAGTATTATCGAATCGTATCTTTCTCTAAATGGCGGCTGATTGCAACATGTAGCATGGCATTCCCCCCGAGCTGACCGTTCCAGCGGCTGAATGGCTGGCGCGCAACGGCTACCAGACCCTGCAGGCAGCCTTTGTGCAGTCGATGGTCGCGTACGGGTATGGGGACTATCGTCAAGTGCCGATTGTACGCTTCTCTCTGGAACCATAAATGCTTAATCTGTACTAATTGCCCAGGTTTACATGCTGCAATACCTGACCCCGTCGGTACTGATGACGCTCCTCAAAGTCCAACAAGGCAGCACGATCGAGATTGCAGGTGGGTTGTCTACCTTATAGCACATCATGTCGTCCTAACTGTACTAGACTTCCACCGAGCGTTGCAAATCTTCGCCGACAAATCCATCGCCGGAAAGATCCATCTGGACACAACCATCTCGCATATTGGTCAGTGTACTCCATTGACTCCCGCAAAACAAACACACAATTAGTAACCCCGGTATATTTCACAGATCGTACCGGCGAGTCCCCCATAATCACATATTACACCTCAAGCGACAGCACGCCCCAGACTCAGCCCTGCGCGGCACTAGTGCTCGCCTTTCCGCCAACGCTGTCCTCACTTCAAGGTGCTGGCCTCGATCTATCCGACGAGGAACAGGAAGTTTTCACACCAGTGGGTACCCACAGCTTTTATTCCGGCGCTGTGCGCCTCTCCACGCCCCGCGCCATGACCTTTGGTGCGGCAAGCGCCCACCCAGGCCTTCCCCCCGACGCAACTGGAGACCCTGTGGTGTTCACAAAGCTACACGACGATCTTGATATTGCCATTACATCGTCATGGGGCCCTTATCGCGGAGATTTGACGCGAGACCAAGCGTACAAGCGACTGAAGAGCACCCTATCGGTGTTCAACAAGGACCCGAGAGATGCAGGTGGGTCTGCTGAGACTGTGAGTGATGAGGACGTGTTGGCATTCCAAGAGAACGAGTACTTCCCGCATTTTGACCCCAAACAGCTGCGTGAGGGATACTATGAGCTTTTTGAGGGACTCCAGGGACAGCAACGGACATATTATGCGAGTGGGTTTAACATGTTCGAGTTGGTGGAGTATGCGCTGAGGGCAGGGCAGGATGTAGCGAAGAGGTTTTTCTAGTTCATATATTTCTATCTGCCTGGTGTACTTAACTGTTAATTGCTGTTTCTTGAGTGAAGTGAGTCACATCTCCCTAAAATTGGACTTAAGCTATGGCAATCTTTTTTTATAAAAAAGAAAGCATAGAATAATGAAAAGCCAGTGGAACAATCAATTCTTTACAGACCTGTCGACTGATGAGACGGCTCATCAAACGATACGGGCGGAACGCATCGAGCAACAAGCCCCATACTTATCACATGGTAAGGAGGGTTATTCTATAGGAAGGGGTTCTACTAGGTTATGCCCGCATCCCACAAAAAATGCCTCAGAGTTATAAGCTGATTGAATAGTATTGAGGGAGACTATAAAAATGTTCGAGCAATTTTTTTGAAGTCTGGGCTTTCTGATGGTATTAAAATGACTGGATAGGTAATATAGTGTTTTGTGGTGAATATTAATGTCCAAATTCCCTCTATACACTGAGGAGTGGCTCTCGCTCCAAAATGTCATCATTGAGGCTTTTTTCAGATTTGGGTCCTGAAAGCCAGAGACCTGGAACCGCTGCGGCTGAAGCCACAACTCCCAGAACTACGGTTGTAGCTCCCCAACCATATCGATGATCAATGAAGCCTCCAAGCACTGGGCCCAACGCAAACCCAACGCACTGGGTCATCTGCTGAAGGCTGCAGGTCCTCCCAATAGCACCATTGTCACCAAAGATTCCCGGCTCGCTCTCTTCGAGCTCGAAGATAGCGCTCTGCATCTCAGCCATTACAGCCGGGTTGACGGCATTGATGAAAATACCAATTGAAAATAACAGTACACAAAGGAGCACTTTATGTTCCGTGGTATTGGATTGAACGACCCGCAAGCAGATCAGACAAGGTGTGGCCAAGCTGAAGCCGAGGAATGTGTTCATTCGTGGGCCGAATCGATCAGAAAAACGCCCTAGAAAGATGGCCCATGTGTTAGCACCAGTCTAAGTTTATGGATCCAGATAAGACCGCAAGTACCAAATAAGGGGCCAAGAAAAGCAGTCATGGCTACTGGTATGAATATGCAGCCAGCGCCTAGCGAATCCCAATGGAAGTGGTCCACAACGAAGACCGGGAGCGTCTGTATGCAATGTGAGTAAGTACGTTCGGAAGACGCCAAAGATCGTTACTAACGGTTTCAAACGCAGAAATCAAAAGAGCATATGCAAGGATGCCTAATGCTGAAATCACAATCCGGGGTTCCCGAATAAGACGCCAAAATATTGATGTGTCATGAACAATATTGTCATTATGTTGAGCAGATCTTTCAATGGAGCCATACCCTGTAACACTCGTATTTTCAACTCCGGACTCATGGCCGCTCTCTTGTGTGCTCAGCCACTTCTGCGCGGTGGCTTTGTCAATGATTGCCAACCGTAAGATCAAGTCGATGGAAAGTAGTATCAGGGCCATCCCAAAGACAGCATAGTACCCAGCAAGATGGTAGATAGCGCCACCGAGAAGAGGCCCCGAGATCAGTCCGCCCACCATAAAGATATCGATATAACCGAACATATAGCCAATTTTGTCTTTCGGAGTACACTCAACGATGAGCGTGAGTCCGGCCACAAATACCATCGCCATCGCAGCACCTTGAGGCATCCGAGCAATGATGTACACTTGTAGTGAGTTGGCAGAGGCAAACAAGAGCATGGAGGCGATGAGCATTATCAAGCCAAATAGATAAAGACGCTTGGCGCTGCTTTTGTTATCAATCATGTAGCTACAGATGGGAGCGCAAACAAAGCAGGTTACTGCTTCAGCGATGAGCATGACACTTGTCCAATATTCACCTGTCACAATCAGTCATACATTCCTCCAGAGAATATTTCGTAACATACGATCTTGAGAAGGAACTCCAGCTCGTGTGACAAGTGCGTCTGGCATAACAGGAGTAATCTGAAGAGTCATTATGTTGTCGGGTGCGATGACAGCTAGCTTCGGCTGTACTCACCATTCCATAGAGGAAAACGTCCTATTGAGTCGCAGTCACTTAGTATGGGAACGCAGAAAAGAAAGAAGAATAGCTTGATAAGCCTTACCGTAAATAACGATAATCCTACTACCATTATAATGAAAATATAGGAAGACCGAAATTCCAGAAATAACGGACGGCCATCGCCTCCAAGTGGACTGCGCAGTTCTGATGTTGAAGACATCCCAGCAGAGTCAATGTTCAAAGCGATTCTACAACCAGAGGGCATATGAGCGAATCAATAAGGGAGCGAGACACGTAATGGTACAGAGTCGGGCATCCACAACTAAATAAAATATTATCCAGTTATTTGCGAAAGTAGTGACGCAAAGGCTGAGCTCGAGCAAAAATATACGGCAAGAACATTATTAATGAATTGATCTAGATTTCGAAGGGTTGGTTTGTTCAGTACGTTTGTTTCTTGAATCAATTAAGGAGGTAATTTTGTACGTAAATTCGGACTCCAAATTCCAAATACTTACACCTAGGCAGCTTCGAAAATGGCACGAAGTTGAATACGATCTGCGATCTGCTAAGACGCTTGCCAGGTGGACGAACACTACGGAGTAAGTGGGGTTCAGCTGAGCTTTGAAAAAAATCAACACGGAGGCAAATCGCATACTAGCGCAGAACCGGACACGGACGACCATGACAAAAGATTATTCAGTTATTTGCCAAGGGTAGTGGTGCAAAGGCCGAGGTAGAGAAAGATAACAGATAGAGAGAAATTACCAATTATTCGATATAGATCTCGAAGGTATATCTTTACTACAGTGATTTCCCCAACTAACTAAGGAGGTAATTTTCTACGTAAATTCGGACTCCAAACACAAGTACTTTCCACCTACGTAGACAGGTTGGAAAGCAGCATGGAATATACCCACTTTGCCAAGACGCGTGTGGGCGAACACTAGGTGGGGCATGGTAATGCCCTCGATTAACCTGATCTACATTTCCATGCACGATTGGCTCGTCCCGTGCAGGGATTACTATGGCGTACATGCCTCCGACCGAGGTAAATTTATAGATATAGGCGTAGCAGTGGAATTTTTGTTTGCTTTTTTTCTTTCGAATGAAGTGAGAACTCGGCTTGAAATAAATCCGACACATCCTCTAGCATCAACTGCTTTATCCACCTGTCTTTCATTTTCATCCGGCATCATGACCAAACCCACGCCCGAAAATTTCACTCATAGAGTCTCCAGCTTTGAAAGGCCAGTGGCATCCCCGATCGATGTTATCACTCAAACTCTTCCCTTGCTCGACAAGCACCAAGCTCAATGGTGGGAACACGCGGGGCCACGCTGGGCACGCTTCCTTGAGGTAGCCAGATATGGTATTCACGAGCAGTACCAGTATCTGCTCTTTTTACATCAGCATATACTTCCTGCTCTTGGACCCTATCAAGGGCAGTACAAGAGCATGTTGACGCCCGCAGGTATGCCCCTCGAGTTTAGCCTCAACTTTAGGGGGAATTCAAGCGAATCCACCGCTCGAGTTGCTATAGAACCTATAAGCGCTCTTTCAGGCACCGAGAAAGATCCATACAGCAAAGCCACGGGCATTGCCTTTGTTGATCACCTGGGAAGCCTTGGCATAGCGGGATTCGACACTCAGATTTTTGGCGTGATCTCAAAAGCAATTTGTCCCCCAAATGATCAATCAAACCATCCGAGTTTGGACAATTTCTGGAAATCCAGTTACATGTTGGGCTTTGACACCGCTGGTGGCAAGGTCTCAACTAAGGCATACGCGGTTCTTGCAGCAATGCATCTGACCACATTGCGTTCCATCGAAGACATCGTCACTGAGCCACTGACGCAGATCGGTCAAATGATGGGCTGCTCTGATGCCGTCGCCCTGACACACCAGTACTTGATGGAGAGTTCCAGCTACGCCGCCGACAGTCTGATCTCTTGGGATATGACTGATCCACCAAAGTCTCGCTTGAAGTTGTACAGTTACACTTCTGAATTGGTGCTGGGGCGAGTCGAGGGCATCTGGACGCTTGGAGGCCGCCTGAAGAATGATCCGGTCGTCTCCAAGGGTTTGGACCTATCTGTTCAATTATGGGAGATTCTGGGAATGAAGGATCGTCCGCCTTCTTTGCATGACACACCAGAAAGCCCGGAAAACTTGCCGTTGCAATGGAACTACGAGATCCAGGCTGGGAAGCCATACCCCGCCACCAAGATCTATTACCCACTGGTTGGAATGAATGATCTCGATATATCAAAGAGAATCTCTAAGTTCTTTGACTTCCTTGGTTGGCCAGAGCGTGCGCAATCATATGTTTCGAATGTCGAGAAACTCTAGTAAGTTATTTTCCATTACCTAGCGCTCGGTATTGATGTCAGTCTTGCTAACCTCTGTTTCAAAGCCCTGGTTACGATTTGAGTCAAACCAATTATCTTCATACGTGGATTTCACTCACGTACTCGGAAAAATCAGGGCCTTACTGCAGTGTTTACTATCAAACACTGAGTTTCTAACTGCGAACTGTAACCAATCCCTGTAGGCCTTGGCTTCTACGTTGTTATTGCGGACGGTGATGGGGTAGAAGTTCTTAGTTTCTCTTGATAGTCTCCTGCATGGATAGCCTGCTGTCTTATAGGCTTGCGGCTTTTGACATATTTTCTCAACGCAATCCGGGCTTGTTGCCATTGGCCCATTTTTCCAAATTTTGACATAATGCATTGGAACCTGGCGACCGTATAAAAAGTCTCGGATTTTGTACCCTTGGAGCCTGAGCAAAATTCACTCTCCTTCACTTATTAATGATCTTGAATCAGACAACGAATAATTATTAGAATCTAAAAACAGGTTCGGAAAAAGATAATGAGATAAAGTGTTGAGTCCTCGTGGATCGAGTTGATCCATGTATTGAGTACTCGTCGCTGATCTTTCGAAGTCTCACCGCTCGTTGATTATATTATACAGGTTCGACCTGAGCGAGGGTAAAGTTTCTGGTATCCTTTTCGTAAATCCAGAAGGCCTTGAGTGGAGCAGAAGGTTTCCTCCTTAAGTGGAGCAAAGACTTCGCTTTCGGGATGACCCTCGACAAACACCTCAGTCTGAAGTGGAGCTTCAATCTTAGCGGCAGAGTTGAATTCTTCCGCCGGAGGTGCCGGAGGATTTATTTGTGATTCGTTTCCATTCCTTGAAAATAATATCATGCAGTGACACTGCCTAGCAATGTGATTCAAAATAAATGTTCCGTACGAACGCGCATAGAATACAGCCGGTTGAGCTCCTCGTTTAATGCATAAGCATCAACGAAAGAAAACTACATGGCGAAGATCTGATCTAGACTAGTCTCAAGGTTCAACCTTAGCCATGTTGCGCGATTTTCCAAGATTCATGTCTACAGGTGTAGACCAGTGAGAATGAGATAATGCACCACGAACCACGGCCCCACCTGGCACTACATGAACAATCGAAACATACTTTCCGTCGGGTATATGGATATCCTTTACTCTTCCATCGTATGGAGTAGGTACTGGAAGGTGGGTCTATCCACCTTGGCACTCGGCCATTGTTTTTTTTTTCATGTCATTCTGACGTAGGTTCACCACATTAAGGGGCATCTCGCCGGCAAGTTTACCGATAGGCATCGAGTAAGTGGCACATCAAAACCAAGCAGCCATACCTAGGTACTATATTCCGGTCTCCAAATACACTCAGTCATATTTTCTTTACGTATAACTCTCAACCGATGCTGAATATTCTAACAACCAGTCATATAAAATCTACAGGGGGAATCTATCTTAATCCCTCCTGCTGGCACAATTTATCCAAAAGTCTGCCCATGCGATGGCCGTACGTAGCACTGACAAGATCTACCGGGCTGACGTTGATCTTGCTTTCGTCCAAACGTAGTCCAGTATTTGTATCGTTCGAGTAAAGCTCAGAACGATGAGTCCCCGCAAGAAAGATCCTTTCAATTGGAAATAAGCCTATCAGGATGTCTTCCTCGGTACCCTTGGGCAGACTCTTGAAGTATCTCTTCAAAAAGTCCTTGGATCGCATCATAATCCTCCACTCGGCGATGTTGTCAATTTGGATAATGAGGCGTTTTCCACTGCAATCAATCTCCGTGTCTTCCCGCTCGAGGGCAGATCTGACAGCTTTGAATATGTATACAAGTCGACCAAAGTCAAGCATGTTGGTGGGATGGTCGCGGGGATCCATGTTATTGAACATGCCTCGCCAGCGCGCAGCGTTTGGACCCTGCGACTTAAGTACACTCAATGCCTCTTCCATAGATGGAGTTTCCCCCGCGTCAAGCTTGCTCTTTATCAGCTCCGCGACTGCTTCCGTACCTGTTGTGATATTGATTTCGATACCATCAACATGGCGTTCTACAATCATTGAGCGGAGTACAGTCGTCATTATGTTTGCAAGTTGGCCTCTTCTTCTGTCAATAGCTGCAATCCAGGCCTTTGTGAATTCAAGGTCAACATGGCCTTTTTCGAAAAGTTCGCACGCGGTCCAGTAGTACTGGATGTCGGGGATGTCAATGTTGATACTGATCACAGTTTCTGGCGAACGGTTTGAATGACCGACAAGAGAGACGGTATCCGCGATAGCAGAAGACAGCCTCATTATTGCCTCCAATTCGTAAATGGTAGGCTTAATGTTGTGAGGGAGGCGAGGAATCACTGGTTTTCCTTCGTCGCCAACAACTTGGGCATTTCCAGGGTCTAGCCCCAGCGAGGCTTTGGAGTACAAACAAATACCAGTATTGATATCAATTCTCTGAAAGGGACTGGAGCTTTTCAAGTGAGCAGGTTTGACTGCTGACGAGTAAGGGTGGTAGTATTGAGTCGAGGAAAAGCCGTTGCCGAACTGAAGCTGGACTTTTGTGTATATCTGGATCATCGATAGGTCCTTTTCTTTGTCTTCCAGCCCAGGACAGAATATGAAGGCGCCGTTTCCAACGGTGAAAACTGGACTTGAGCCTAGCTCCTTTGACGCATGGTTATGAGCAGGCCCTTGCAAGAACTGGCACACCTTCTCAAGGGAGGCAGTGCCTTTTCGGACCGGCTTCAGAAGGCGATTGTCGTCAAGAGTGGGCTCCACTTCCATGGTCAAAAGCTTGTAGGCCGTCGCTGCCGGAACATCGTGTAAACCAATCTGGTCTGTGAATGGCTGGCTGACCACCTGAGACGGTCCATTGGAATTAGGATGAATAATGCAGACAGTGTACTGGGTGGAATCTGCGCAGAGGTCCTGGTGATTTGGCAAAGGGGTAGGAAAACAGCTCTCTTTCTTCGTGGGAGCTAGGTATGAGAACCAAAGGGTGCGGAGGATGGACAAGGCCATGATATAATGAGTGAACTAGTTTAGCTGAACTATAGGTTCGGTTTCAATTCCAAGATCATTTACAGGGAACGGGCTACATATATCGGACCAGAAAAATCGGCCAAGTGACTGAATACGTAACAGATATTTCGTAAACCATCCTGCATATCACGCCAAATACTAGTCCGCACACCTTTGCATATTGGGAAACGACCATGAGCGACTTTGCTAAGAAACAGAAAAAGCATCCCCACTTGGCGGACATCAGATTTCCCCTGCAAAGAAAATGTCAATGCCACAATTAAATGTTAATGATCAAGATAACCTAAGCACTTTGGATGTCCCCATATAAATTTGAGATTTCTGACTATAATCTTAAGCAGCTGGAATCTTGACATCGCTAATTGAAATATTTAGTTGCGTAAAATGACATAGGACGTGGCCCTCATTCCACCTCGAGAGCCTTGCCAGGTTTATTATTTTCTGTACAGGTAATTTTACAGGTATTCTGACAGGCAGTAATACAGGGTTCGCGCTAGGCCAAATATATGTGCCAAGGTACGGAGTACGGGCGACTGAGTTCACGGGTTTTGCTCGATCTGTTCAGATCCCGTTCCCCAGCCAGTTTACACCAGCGCTGATCACTGGATCTATCCTGCACCAGAGCGGACTCTCATAATCCTGGTAGTGGCTCCCTTCTTTTCTTCCTTTTCCGCAAGCACGACAGATCCAAGAGTTGTATGGGTAGACTGCGGCGTGTGGGCACGTTATTTGCAGGTTCGCTTGATCAATATGTATACAAATGTATCAATTTCTCACGATTATAAAATACGATATCATTTACAGAATACACGGCAGCCATAAAATTCGAAGCAGGGGCCAATCGATCGATCGAGACGCGTGGTGTAGATCTTGGAACAACGAAACTTCAGGTGTCTCCGCTTAGCTCTATTCTCCACAGTTCAGCTGATCCACATTTACTCAGAGATGTGGTGGATATTCCCACTCACTTCGAAAAATGCGTTCTTGGGCAAGTGCTAGTCTCACGCTATGTGAGAGAGGCGGCAGGGAAAACAAGGAAGGGAATCAATGCCAAAACAACCTCCAATGGTGCATTAGACTTTGTGATTATAAATTTCCGGATACGTTTGAGCAAGCTCCTCACCAAGCCCTAAGCTCAACATTCCGTCTTCTTCATACCCTTCAGCTGTTTGGCCCAGATCTATTCGTCAACCGAAATCCTCTAGTATATCATGGCTTCCTTCAAATCCGATGTCGATGATTTTGGCTTAAAGATAATTCCTCTGGCTTCACTTCATCGTATCAAATTCGAACCCAAAGTAACTCTTGTGGGCCTTGTTTTGATGTTTTTGACATACCGCATCTATGTTGTGATTTACAGACTCTACTTTCATCGTCTGGCTGGATACCCTGGCCCATGTCTCGCTGGTGCCTCGACGTTGTATCGCGCATACCACCAGTGCTGGAAGGATGGGCGAATGTTAGAGCATGCAACACAACTGCACAAAATCTACGGTAAGGTCTGCAGACATGTGAGGTCAAAATATTCTGTATTAAGTCCTATGTAGGCCCCGTAGTGCGCATTGCGCCAAATGAAGTAAGCATGGTTTCACCTAAATTGCTATTCTGATCTTCGCTTACGATAGAAGCTTCATTTCCGAAACCCAACAGCCTACCATGATATCTGCTCCAATGCCTTTGATGGCATTAAGGATCCCGATTTTTACGCTTTCCTTGGTGGCGAAGTTCCAACATTCTTTGACATGGGCGACCCTGTAGAGTACAAGGCGCGCTTTCGGCCAGTAGCATCGCTTTTCGCGAAGCGTTTCTTCGACCAGTGTGAGCCCAGTGTGAAGCGAAATGTGAGTGATCCTACCTTGTTTCATCATTATCGAATCCTAAACTCTTGCAGGTTGAGCGATTCAGCGAACTCCTATCCGTGAGCGCACGAACCAAGAAACCCAGCAATCTCGCACTTGGGTACCGTTCTCTCTTTCTCAGCATTGTGAACGAATTCGTATTCAGCAGTGTTCCAGGTCGTTTCCAATCTCTAGCAGATGAAACCTTCGAAGATCCGTTAGCTGTTACGACTGCTTCTATAGTCAATTGGGTTGACTGGTTTCGCCGGAACTTCCCAAACTTCAGCAATTTTGTGATGATGGCACCTCCCAAAATTGTGTCATACATGACGAGCGCATTTGAACCTGGTGCTGAGCTCGATAATGTGCGTTGGAACCAATCACATTGCCCAAATTATGCGTGTTTGGCTGACTGAACTTGAGACAGATCGTGCATGCTCTTGTCGAGCACGAACTAGACCCAAGCACACCGAAAAGCAAAAACTCCATGGTGCAACGTCTAGTCAATGCTCATACAGAAAATACTTATGGGGATGGTCAGCCTCATTCACGAGCCACGCTCAGAGCCGAGGCCGCCGTGACCATGATGGGTGGATTCATCGACCTATCAAATATACTCCCATATGCCACCTTCCAGGTAGCTAACAATTTAGCTCTACAAGAGAAGCTGTATGAAGAGCTCAAGAACGTCTGGCCGGATTCTCGCACCCTAGGACCGGATTATGAAGTCCTTCGCCACCTCCCATATCTTGTAAGCGTATTTCAAGACTTCGTTCATTAAATAATTGGCTAACATGGGCGCCGTGTTTAGTCTGCAATTCTCAAAGAATCCATGCGTTTAACACATGGAGTTGTTTCCGGTCCTGCGCGAGAGGTTGGTCCAACAGGTGCTCATGTCGATGGTTACTACGTTCCTCCCAAGGCAGCGGTGACAACTTCATCTTACTATGTACACATGGACCCAACAATCTTCCCCGATCCTGAGAAATTCATGCCTGAAAGGTGGTTCGCGCACGATCACTCAGATTCAGTTGTGGTTTTCGGCAAGGGACGACGAATGTGTCCGGCTTCGCAGTGAGTCATCCCGATTGCGAATATGATTTGGATCATAGAAAATTGACGCTAAGATGACAGCTTCTCGTATATGGAGATGTATCATTCACTCGCCACGGTATTCCGCCGATTCATGGTGACACCATATGAAACCAGGTAGGTCAAATCTTTTTCGAGTCTCAATGAACATGTGGCTAAACGACCAACGAAAACCAACAGCGAGAAAAACTTCCAATGGAGACAATATTTTTCGATCGAGTTCATGGGCCCACTCATGCGAGCGATGCTGGAAGAGAGACGGGTCTAGAGAAAAGAGTTGGATATCTCATGAGCTCCGATGAGACATTGTTGTACTGATGGAGTAGAAGACGCCGTGAATCTCATCAGCCGTACTGGAATTTTGCGAAGCATTCTTTTTAGCAGCCTCGATTGCGGCGAGCATCACTTTCTTCTATGTAATCTTCTTCCGTGTTAGCTGTCGAACCGATTCCTCAGGATTATAGACGAGCTTATGGCGAATACCAAACACTATACGTACTCCAGGTATATATAGTGGTTGACTGCATCGGCTCTAATTAATTTCTCTACATCCTGATTGGTTCGTTTGATGTGTTCCCCTTGGGGCGTACAGGTTACAGACCCACCTGCAGGGGTCGCACCGCCCGCGGGACAACCAGAGCCAATCGTTAAGTCATACATGAAAAAGGAACATATGACACCTAATGAGGCAACTCTTCATACTCATCCGATATGGTGTAATTCAAGGGGACAACGGAAAGACCATGATTATGCGTGGTGCTGCTAAGGGATAATTGTGGTGTTTCCGTACAGTCAGTTTTTATAGGTCTAAGCAGGACTAATGCCATAAATTTAAGTAGGAGTAGCGCGTTATTGTCTGGACCCTTTCTGCATAAATAATAGAATCTCGGAGGCTCTGCAATAGGCAAAAATCCATTAATTACTAAATTCAAATAAAAGTATACCGAAAATGAATTTCATTATTAGCCTTACAGTGGTTAAGTATATTACTCCCCCTTCCCCTATGTGCCCTTTAAGCCTACTATGTTAAGCTTACCGTAAAAAAAAAATAACCCCCTAAAAAGCTATAGAGGTGGAACTAGAATGCATTCATTAGCTAGCTAGACCCTAAAGTCACTACTAATAAGTCGGTGTTATTAAATAGCGAAATTGAGAGAACTTATTGAATTGACAAGGTTCTCAGCTTGGGGCAGATAACGGCATTAGTAAGAATTCCCAAAGTCAAACAGACAGGGCCAAGGAGATTATATGGACCTCAACGTCCGGGCGGCAGTGATGTTGAGAGTTGAGGACAACATTGAAGGTGTTCATGGCAATCTTCCAAGTTCTCATCAATAGTCACACGTCGCTGGCTGCAAACCTTGGAATTTTAATCGGATTTCTCGAATGTCTGTTCCGTCCAAGCGCAGTGAATAATTTTTCTAGAATGAAGATACGACTAGGGGTAGTGCTCCCCCGGAAAATTGTATATACGGGTTTGTGAACCGATATGTTTTGGAAAACAAGGCCTCTCATTTACATAACTATAAACATGAGTAAGTCACCAGGGCTATAACTTGAAGGTTTATTAAATGAAGCACTATTTCGAGGGAACTTTTGACTTAGTTTGGTCCACATTGATCTCAGGGTTGATATGTAGACATACTTTTCAGAATTACCAATCAGACCACTCCGATTGATGATAGTTCAAGTTGGATTTTTAAATTGAGGACAGACTCTAGGTGTTCAAAGCAAGACTAGCTAAAGGCCTCGTATCTTCCAGCATTTTTTAATCCAAGCACAATCAATCTTCACAGAATTCAAAGCTCTCGCCATTCGTGTGCCAGATATGCGTTGCCAAGACAAGTGCTAGCTGTGATTCACCCAAAAGCCAGTCACGGGGGGAGGGCAATAAGTAGATACACAATTCAACCAGCTAGCAAAGCGTATTTGACTCCTCACATTTACCCATTATGATGGTGGAGCGCCCACACAGCTATTGCAAATACCGATGCAATCAGAGAGGCCAAAATTACGACACCTGGGACTAGTAAACCAAGCATCGCCATACTCGTTAGTGTGGCAAATATGCCCCCCGCCGGAGTAAAGCCACCATACATCCACGATTGGAAAGCCGCTGCTAAGGAGCCTGTCACGCATTGTTAGCTAATAGGAATCTCAACCCATGGGAAAATACCCATGATAAAGTATAAAGATGAGCATTATACCTGGCACGATCCCGACTGGACCAAATCCCAGGCAGAGAAAAATAATCACTACTACCGTGAAAGTAATCCACCAGGCTGTGATGACAGCCAAGATGTCTGTGACTAGGTATTAGTCACTGAGCCGCAGCTATCTGAATTTTGTTTTGTGTTACTCACCGGGACGTGAGAGCCACTGTAAAATTTCCTTAGACCATTGATCCCATGACCAAGACTCAGAAAGTTGCCGAAGCCATGTTAAGGGAAGGGAATAGTCAGCCGCTGATTTATAGAAGCCGGCGCTAAAAGTTTCAGCCCGGGTAAAATTGAGGCTGGCAACGAACAGATTCAAGGGCTCCATTTCAATGGGAAAGTGGTTGAGGTAGAAGAACTTCGATAATTCAAGAGGAGAAACGAACATGTGATTTGGGGGATGGAGAACTTCCTCTTCTCTTATATTAGGCAGCTGACAGCCATCTAGGAAGATAAATGCCTAATATTGCAGGGGTTGTTGCAAAGACTGCAAACGCGCCCGTGGGCTGTGTTTTTCATTGGACAAGAAACCGGGAAATGAAATTCTCATTGCATTGTGGCTAAGTCTGCCCGAACCCGAATTAAGATCAGTTCAATGCATATGCGCCCCTGGGGTTGTGAGGAAAGAAAAATATGCGCTTATGCAGAGAAGAGAAGATGGTCAGGTGTGAGGGTGATATCAACAACTACAGTGGGCCAGTGGTGCCAAGTTTCAACAGGGGTATATCAATAAGCGCTGCCCAGGAATCTTGCAATTATGATAAGGCAATCGTCGCCTACTAAAAACCCTTCATTGGATACAACTATTGCGCACTCACCCTTCTCACCCATTTCTCACCCTAGCGACAGCCACCCGACTACTGGCCGTGTCGAGGACACACGCCGGTACGTAAATAATTCGGTGGGTGACCACTAGCGAATACTTCTTATTGTATGTTTTTGTTCATCCAATTTTCCTTTTTTTTGATTCGTCGCGCTAGTTCCCTTGCCGCCCTACTGCTGGTTTCTACTATTTTTTGTTCCCTTATAGCTTTATTTGACGCCTCAAGCAGCTGGAACATCTCCATCTTCATATGTGTTGGCCACGCCAGATACGGACTCTCCAACCTTGGACCAGGTGTGGACATCTGGAAGCAGCACCAGGTATCACCCTTGCCGACGCCCTGATAACAGGCTAAAGCTGGCCAAGCTCATTAATATCCAACGTCCTCATCGCCAACTCACCACAACTCATTTATCTTTTTTTCTACTTCGCCTTCAACAGCTCCCTAACCGCAATGACCCCGTGGCCGAATGGAGCGGATACGCTATCCACCACAAAAGCCTCCGCGTCTCGAATAGAAAGAAAATATGAAAATGACAGATATCAACTCCGAAATCGAGCCGACAAAGCACCAATAATGAGGAGCGGCAGGAGACAATAACTAATTGTCGCAAAAGTAGAGGACATTTGAAACAACTGAGCCGCTATGCTGTATGTCTCTATCCCGACCCTCAATTGTCGTGAAATGTAAGGTTTCTGTCCGCATATATAATATCCACCATCAAAGAGCAAAAAATGAATGCAGGCGTCACAAAACCCGTTGAGATGAGAACACCGTCTGATAAAATCTTGCTCGTCTTGCCGAAAGGATCATTGTCTGCCGTTCAGAAGATAACCACGAAAGTAAACATGAATAAATGTCTAAAGACCAGATCTGGTATTTTGGGGTGAGAGATCCAGCGATTTCCGGATCACTTTTGCAAATAATCAAAGCTTAAGCGACGCCTTTGCAAAGTTGTCGATGTGAAGAGGATAAAAGATGCTATTTTACCGCCTTATTAGGACATCATTCTATATCACATATTGAAAAACTTATCTCATACCTCAAAAGGTGTAATTGTAAGACTCTTGTCTACGTAAATGATCAAAGAAGCTGCCTAGGGGCATACAAATAGACTAAAAATGAGGGTATCAGGAAACCTTTGGTTGGGCTTCAAGAGGCTGTGATAAGTGTTGTGGGCTCATAAGCGCTAATAGTTGGGGCGGTTTCAGTTTGCCAAGATTGAGCCAATCATGCCCCATTTGAGTCTAACGGGGTACGGGGTCATCTCTGCGACAATCAGCATTCCAAACGAACCGTCTGCAGATGTCCAAATCCTAGTTAATTTTAAATGGAAACTCGTGGCCCAATGGTTCTCTAGCCGGAAAGGCCCTCGATGCGATGGATTCAGCCTTCACATGTTGCATCGTGCGGCGCCAAAGCGGCGCTAACCTATTTCTCACCTGGACAACCCCGGTGTATTTCACTACACTGGCTGCACCGTGACATGATCCAAACTTAGACAGTCGACGCCCAAAGAGCCCTGGATCTTGTAATAGCGACCTGTTTATGCAGGCTTAATGTGGGTGGCATGGACCGAGAGTTTTGGCAATTGGAAAACGATAGGATGAAGTTGTATTAAAATTACTTTTGCTGAAACCATGCCCATGGTTCCAGGTGGGCTGTAGACCCGTACAGTCCAAGTCAAATTGACTGAATTAATTCACAAATTAGTGTTCCTATTGTGGTATTTTCCAGATATATTCCTTATTCTCTCACACATGGGCAATCAGTTCCAAGGCTGGTAGAAGACTCTTATCATTCGGAATGATCTGGGAGGACATGCAGCTCAAGTTCAAGCTTAAATCTCAATATCACTAGTTTTTCTATGAAGCTCATAACGGGAGTTACGCTTAGGCTATATACAAACCTTTGTCTTGGAAGACTGTTCAACTATGTGAAGCCAAATCAGGACTGTGGAACTTGGGTTGATAGACTGTTTCGTCATTCTTCTAAATTAGTACAATTACAGCTAGCAGCTGTAATCATGTATTTCATCACCCCGTTAATCACGAGTCGTGATCAGAGGCCAGTACAATCAGAACTCCACTGAGATATCCCCTCCTCGTGTTTCAGGTGGGGGTGGAGGGTCAAGCGAGGGCGCTATTTGTCTGACATTCCATTGATCTTCCGGAAACGGCCAGTTAGAATGGTGGTCGGATGCTCATCAGTGTCCCCCATGCCGTCTGAGCAACAATGGGGAGCCTCACTTTGCGTGGGGCTAAACGCAAAGTAGTTAGGGTTGACGCCGATCCTGCATTCCGCCCCCAAGGATTCGTGGCTCATGGAGAATTAATTATAGAACGGCGTCAGCTTCACCAAACATGAGGTGTTTCTTTCTTTCTTTCTTGCCTTTGAAGGGCTATGACGAGACCGCTCTTTGTTGTAAATTTTATCTTTCGATAACAGATACCCAGGAGTTGGGTAGTTTTGAAGATGTCATTCATCGTACACCTGATACCCATAATTAAATGCGGATCAGCATTTCGCGACGCCCGTAGCCTTGCCTTCGCGCCCATCTCTTAGTTCGAGCTCTTGTTAGCCTCGAGGCAGTGCTTAGCAGCGAACCCCACCCAGGAGCCACTCAGCGGTCGTATCCCTGCACTCAAACTGTCTTTGAGTCCAGTCATATGAACTCGAGGGCTGCAGCACTTCACATCCCGCAGTTCAGTATTTACTTCAAGTTTTCAATTCCCTCCAACCACAATCAAAGCATATTATGGAGCATACAGTATACCCCAGCGATAATTTCGAGAGCGAACAAAGCGCATGCGATAACTCATACTCATTCGAACAACAACCTCTCAGCCCCATTTTCCTTTGTGCCCCTCGTCTTTATCCCTCGAACAGCTTTTCTTAAAACCAATCCGCCCGCAGATCCCGCGTGTTCCTATTCACCGACCATCAAGGATGCCATGGAGCATATCATCCAGGTAGTCGAGCGAGGTGAGGCGACTCTCACTGGCGTGGTTCGACTCGGGCGTAATCCTAATTTCATTCTAGAAATCGGGAACTCAATGGCGGTTGGCCAAGTTGAAGAACATTCGCCAACAAGCGAAGGAACATCACCAACAAAAGACCCAGCAAATGAGTTAGACTCAGAGGTACCCAAGTCGACCACAAATTAGGGTACAGAATATTCAAAACCATCATCAAGTGAGCTTCAACAATACGTACCATACACACCAACTACAAACAGCGACGACGACACTCGACTTGATGCAACAAAACACCTTACAAGCTCCTCAGAACCAGAATCAGAGAGTATCACGCCTACAGTAACATCGACTTCATCAACCACCACAACGGCCTTCACATCAACCTCATCGTCGTCAACACTAATAAAAACATCGTCATCGTCATCATTGTCTTCTTCTTTTTCAGAAACAACTACTAGTACGACCCAAAGTATCCCCACAGAATCACCAACCGATACTGCAGACACAAGCTCCTCAAACAGTTGAAGTTCTACAAGCATAAAGCTAGCTATCGCGCTCCCAATAACTATAGTCGGTCTCCTCATCATCGCAGCATTAACATTCTTCTTCCTAAGACGCTGCAGACGCCGCAACGCGCAACCAGAAGACGACATCGCAACCGGCCAAACAAGAGCACAGCCAATCTATGAATAGTGCAGTGTGCCCAAAAGCTGTCGCGCCACGTATGAAATCAAAGAGGAATAGCACACGTCCACATACTTTTCCACGCTACTGTTGCATTAATGCGGCCGGCGATGACTTCTCACCTCCATGTGGTGCCGGCTGGGAACCTGTGAATACCTTGTCTGTATGGTATTTACAGAGCTAAGAAGAGTCACCACCGGCCAGCACTGTCCGTTGGCTAGGGCTACGGCTGGAGCGATAGGTCAGGGGTCAGGGGCCCTGATACTACGCACAGGAGCAAAAAGCGACCAACGACGCTAAATCAGAACTTTGATGTACTAAACCCAACAAACTTCCACCGTACCTGTCCGATATGGTGTAATCCAGGGGGACAACAAAAAGACCACGGTTGTGCGTGGTGCTGTGAAGAATAACCCTGGTGTTTCCGTATAGTCATTTTGATTTTCCTATACTAGTCCTAGGAGCCTAGCAAGTGCTATACTAAACAATCATGCCTTAGCGCGCCTTAACTAGTGATTGCCTCCTAACCATTCATTATAGACCCTCCTATATGTGAGAATTAAAGTAGCACTTAAGAAAGCCCGCATTCCTTGATAATAAGACTCATGAAATCTTATATTTTAAGCCGTCGAGATATCATTCAGAGTCTATATCACTATGGATTCAGATAGATGCACTTAGCCGACTCCTATAAGGGGACCGCCTACCTTTGATTTTTATCTGTTAAGTAGTAGAGGTAGGTTAATCGCATCTTTATCACGCGAACCGACCTTTGTTGCTTTGACTTAATTATTCATTAGAAGATCTCGAAACTTTCCAAACGGAGGCGTTTATGCCTTGACGGACCCGATTCCGTGGCTATCTAAAATCACCGCCAATATAAGATCAACTATTCATCATATATTCCGCACTGACTAGGTTCGCTACATACCTGTTTTGTTTAGCCGCACGCTCCTTTTACTCTTGACTTTCTACATTTACAGACTAAGATATATTCCTATGCAAACAATGAACCAGTATATACGACCATAGGGTGTGGAGAACAGGGCTTCCCGTCCGCTCATCTGTACTCAAGCCACATACCCCGCACGGTCAATTCTCCAAAAGCCCTCATCACCCGTGTCACCCTAGAGCGGCGATGAGTTTCACAATAGGGTGAGTGCGGGTGATATGGGTGAGTAGTTTGGAGTCTGGGTGAGAAAAGTGAGAACGGGGGTAGGAATTCTCTACCCCCGGTGGGCCGGGGGGTGATTTGAACCTATGACTTCCCCTAGCCGAGCATATATATATAATTGATATACTCCCTGGTTGGAATAAGGACCATGATGGCGCAGAAACTTCCAAAATTTTAAGAAAGGTTACACGGCACAAGATACGACGACGAACCTTGCCAAGCATGCAGATCACATAGGAGGGCAGGAGAGCGAAAACGGACCGAGACAACCGAACACGAGAGGAAACGTGACCTGGGATCCAACCAAGCACCAATGAGAGAGAGGCTTGGAGGGAGAGTAGGAGGTGTGTTTCTCGCTGTGTTTCTGGCTGTCAGCGTCGGCCTTGGGCAGCCGTGGGGTTGGTAAACCCTTCCACTATGTTCCTTCGTTTCAGGGCATTCCACACACGCATTGTCTCTCTTGCATATATTTTCGAGTGGATAGAGAGCCGCCCAACCTTTGTTAAACTGGATTGATACCCTCCAAACTTTCGGTTCCTGCATTGCGTCTAAATTGTGGAATCACTCCATGTATCTATACCCACATTGGAACCTTTGAAACGAGGATAAACTGGTAGCCTCTCTATTTGAAACAACGCCATTGCTGTTTGTATAGGAAATCGTCCAACATTATGCGACGGTGTCACATCCATGAGACAGCGTAGATGAATACATAGCTGTGATTTAAGGTTATGGTTAATGTCAATTATGTTCAATTGCAATCAAACACCCCGTAATTTGGAAGTGTAACAAGATTACTCAATAATGTTGGTCTTTTCTGTGTCTATGCCCAGCTTTGACCACCTAGAGACAAGGACTCGTCCATCCTTCATAGTAGCTAAGACGTGCTTCTCGGGCATGTCTAAGATAGCAATATCCTCCAAAGGATTGGCATTTAGAACCAGAAGATCAGCTGCAAAGCCGGTGGCTACCTGACCCAGAAATTTCTCTTGTCGCAGGAGCCGGGCAGGATTCACCGTAGCACTCCGCAGAATACTCTTAGAGGCTTGGACTTGCCGTCGCAGTCCAAATTCTTGTGACTGTGCAAAGTGCAGAATACCCAATAGGTCGGTTCCGAAGCAGATTGTAACCCCCGCATCCTCTGCAATCTTGATAGCATGAAGCCCGTGCTCGAGAACCTCTTTATTTTTCTTCACTGAAGCTGTAGGGAGGAAACCTTTGGACATTCCCATCGCCGCGTACGTCACAAGTGTTGGGGTCAGGAAAACCCCATTTTCAGCCATCATCCGGGCGGTTGTCTCGTCAATTAAATTCCCGTGTTCGATACCCGTGACTCCTAGCGATATCGCTTGCTGGATAGCTTTGGGGGTGTATGAATGCGATGTGACATACGTGCCTGCATTAGATGCGACTGTCACAATAGCTTTGATCTCCTCGTCCGAAAATTGTATGTTCTCAATCTTGTCGGTCGGGCTGGCGACGCCACCACCGCCCATAATTTTGAGAAAGTCCGCTCCTTCACGAATCTCTTCACGAGCATACTTAAGGCAATCTGCCACGCCATCAACGATGCGGCCAACACCTTGGGCAGCCCCACGACAGCACTCATAATCGTTGAGAATACCACGCATATCACCATGTCCTCCGGTCTGTGAAAGTGCGTGGCCTGCAATAAAAAGTCGGGGCCCAGGGTGGACACCCTGTTCAATTGCTTGTTTGAGAGGGAATAATGCTCCCCCACAATCTCTGACGGTAGTGAAGCCGCGCTCTAACATGGACTTGCATACTATAGGCTGACGCAGAAGAGAGGATGATGGATTCATATCCTTGACACCCTCCAGGCCATTCTCTCCTGGCACTGCGATCAGATGAACATGGCAATCTATCAATCCTGGGCAGACGAATTTGCCTTCAAGATTGACTATTATTGTGTCAGGGTCCGATTTCCATTCTTCGATGTTGCCATTCACGGACTGGACGATGCCGTCGTGAAGGTGAATGCTAGCATTTGCCAATATTATGCCTTTGACAGGATCAACAAGATTTGCATTGGATAGAATATATCTGGGCTGGGGGGGTTGAAACCAGGGGATGGCTTTTTCTTTTGACACCGATGCATTGGATTCGGCCATAGTGGATCTAGGTCAAAAAATGGCAGGTGCAGTAATATACGGCACGTACGAACGAAAATGATTAATCAAACAAATTCGAAAGTAGCGGATGTAGAGTCTTTATTTATTCTCGCAACACCTAGGTCATGATGTGAGTGCTCTCCGCAAACGGAGTCTCGGGACAATAGGTTCACCCGCAAACGTAATCGCGAATACGGTCGACATATATCTGCGAATAAAATATGGAAATTACAGCTGGGACTGCATCTAAAAATCCCAACCAGCTGTAGCCGACAGCAAATACGTCAACAGTAATGATGAGATGCCAAGGAATAAATGGTATTCTTTTCCGTGCATGGTACCTGGAAAATAGAATTTAGACTCGGTTAACGCAATTTGTTCAGCTTCACACGATATCTAGTCATGTCGTCACCGTGAAAAACATGTTCAGCTCGGGACGTATGCGCCTGGACTAGAACAGTGAATTGAACTAGGTTTAAAGCCTGGGTGCGTTATATAAGGTAGCTGCACTGCGCTCCCTTCACGAAATTTGGTGATGTTCCGTAACCGAAACATCCCACACCCTGCACCCCATCCCCAACTCCTTCAGATCTAGCGCTGAGCAAGAACTAGGCGGCTTGGAGCTATTTCAAAATGATTTTTCTTGGAGGAAGGGCTATATACGGCATGTAGTAGAGACTTCATCGTAGGAAAAGTATAGAATTAGACGCTGGCTTTTGACTCGTTGCTTCCCTAGCAGGCCTCAAATTAGTTCTGCCAAGTCACAACATAGAAAGCTCAATAACAGCGCCCACTGCCTGAATTTTTCTGCAGGCTTCTTATCCATGAGTGCTCTTAGGGCCTCTGCAGATCTATGTACTTGTTGGGTTTCATCGGCATTGAGTTCGTAAGACATTATACACACAGGACCACTCTACGTCAGTTAAGTGGGTACCCAAGGAGATCTTCTTTCCGTTCTGCATGCATAACAAATAAGAACGTACTCTATTCATTTTCTTTGTTCTAGTACCGGGAATAATGGACTTGACAAAGCCTGTGGTGAAGTCCTATTATCTTCGTGCATCGAGATGGTGCTGTACCACAAGTGCTCTGCTTCCGTTACCGTTTAAGTGTCGCCTCGTCAACTGGGGATTAATCGAAAATTGGAATTTGCATGATTTGCTACATGGTTCAGATAATTGCCGACTTACGATAATGAGGTTCAACTTCAGTCACCAGCTTAGTGGCACATCGTCAAAAACGCATACCCAGGGTCATGACTACAAAGATGCATGATCTTGGGATATAAACCGCAGTCGAGATAACATTTTTTGGGGCACAGTTTTGAGTTTACTGGGTTTTCCGGGCCTGCCGACTCTGGGATCATGTGTGGTCGACAACTGAAACCTCGGTCAACGTCGGAGCTCTCGAGCCGCCATACCGACCCCTTTGGACATCTTTGGTGCGAATTTGAATCTAGGTTTGAATTACGTCAAGGATTCTCGCTCCTAAGCTAAGAACGGGCTCTTTCCTATGATGTCATCTTTTAGATACAGATCAGAGGTTTCAAGGCCTTCTACTGAATGAATGAGTGAATAACTGGTCCATTGTTCTGTTCAATTGTTCTAACCCTTGCAAAGCTAGCATACTAATTTGTAGTATTCTCTTCCCTGGTCACTTGGGGAAAAAGACTTCAAGCCATCGCATCCAACTTTTTTATGCTCCGCACTTTTCAACGGGTTATGACAACTATGTCGCCGAGAGCTCTCCGGGAATCATGTCAATATACCTGGAGTCCCTTGCCCCTATGTCATCGAGCAAGCACATATTGTGAATCTTTGAATTTTGCGGAAAAGTCTGGCCTTTTTTCCCTAGCCCCTTGGTTTCAATTGAACTATCTCACTTCCTATATATGTACAGTAAACTTCAAAGAGTACGCACGTGGATGAAAAAAGATTTGTGGGGGAGCACACCTCGATCAATCGGTTAGCATCCTATCTGCGATCGGGAAAAAGGTATCACGCATCAATGCGTCTCACATTGCAATGCATCATCTCACACGACGCCCTAGAACTTTAGAACAGGGCGTATAGGTCAGATCTGATTTCACATTCGTAACTACGGCCATTCAAATTCACCATTTTTGACGTGCCCGAGAGACACGTGCTAGCAACAATCAAGGATGGACGCGTTCATGCGTCGAGATGGTCAAAGCTCGAGATCGATCTGCACCGACTTGTCAATGTTGCTTGGATAGATTGGAAAAGAAACATCGATGCGTAGAAACGGTATCTTCGTGACACAAAAGTTCGTCTCATTTCACCAAATAGGGTATCACTGTGAGAATAAAAGACTCCATCTCATCACATCAGGCCTTGGACTTCTCGGGAGGTCCGTGCCAGGGATATTAACAATCTCTTCACCTAGCCGACTTTCTCTGGCGTGATCTCAATTTGCGCCGTTCTTTTACCAAAGCCCCTCCCGTACGGAATATCAAATCGTAGTCTATCGATAGTTCCCTTTTAATGATGATTTTCTCGTCGTCATTTCCTCACCAAGTATCTCATCTGGCTTCTGGAACCTAGTGCCAAAATTGCACTCGCGTCGGCCAGGTCTGCATTTTCGACTCTCACAAGACTCAAATACCCGACATAATCTCCGACACAATCTCACCAGTAAATATCAAGGGCCAGGATGTAAGTGACGCTCACCACTTTATGATCTCAAACCTTCCCCTAGTGGGTTCTGGCTAATCATGTACACGGAGTTCTTTACACCTAAGCAGTCTTACCCAAGATCCCGATCAATTCAGCGGCATCGACCCATATACCCGACCTGAAATTCATCCGTAAGGATTCGGACACTACCAGATTGTTGTCGAGCATTACGGCTGCGAATAGAAAGCAATTTCTGAGGGGGACCGAATGCTTTCAGCTCGCTGTGCTGCTATCTCTCTATCTGTTAAATCTGAATTTCCGTGAAGGCCTCTGTTCTCCATGGTGGTCGCAGTCTAGGATTGATCGTTCCCAGATCTCGCAACGTTCCCAGGTTCATTATATTCAGCACCTGTGCGAGTCAGAATGGAGAATACAACCCTATATTACTCCTCCATTTTTGGGCGCGTTGTAATGTACTCGCATATTGGGTGGTCCCGCGTCAGTGTGTGAAGCCTGATGATGGTGCTTTGTGCGCGGTGGCGGAGTCGGAGATTTGTTGGCAATATGTGGGCTTCAACCTCCAGAGCTGATGTGGCTACTGTTCTGAAAGCCGAGAGGATACGATTGAGTGCAGTCCGTTGCACTGTGCACGGATACCGTAGGTGAGTCTTGTCTCCGAGTGAGTCGTGCCAGACCGTCGACCCGCAGTATACTACGGGGTGGACACAGGCCTCATAAAGCTGTCGCATCTGCTTTGGGCGTTCTAGATGCAGTAGTTTTCGAATTCAGTTATACCTCCACACTCTTATGACTTGAATCCCCGGGAAATAAATCCACGATCACGCTAGTCCTGATAGGACATGGTCCGAGGCAACCAACCAATCAACACGGTTATGAAAGTGGAACCGGTTTGGAACCTCATTGCCGACCGCTTTCCCAGAGCCCCCGCCTCTATATCAAGAGCCTCGGTCCCATCTACCACGTCTGGTTAATAGCCCACATGTTGTATGACAGTTCGTGAAGTGACATTCCAAAAATGCCTGAATCACTACAGAAAAGCTCCTCCAAACGCGACCGCCCCAAAGTACCTTTGGATCAACGCAAACGGATTGTCAAAGCCTGCACTCAATGCCGCCTACGCAAGCGTCGATGTACACTGGAGTCTCCCAACAGATGCAAGAATTGCAGGAAAAGCGACCTGACTTGCATTTTCGAGACGAAGGAGGACAGCCCAGCTGAATCAGCATCTAGGTAGCTCACGAAACACGGACATCCCCTCATGTGATGCAATCCTAATTCGCGCAGTCAAAATCGCTTCGATCATGACGATGTTGTAGCACGTTTCAATGAATCATATCCGGGGATCAATCTCAAAGCTCAACATTTATCTTCTCTCTTAGAGATACTCAAGGACTCGCACCAAAATTCTGGAGATGTCTCTTCGAAGAAGGAGCATGCCTCTTGGCATACTACTAGACATCCATCACAGCATGAAACTATGCCTATGCCTGCGGAATATAAGCCCCAATTTGAAGGGAAATCACCTGGTGGGGCAAGATTCAGCCACAAATATGCACTTGCTCCGACTGACCACCTCACCGAAGGTGATGATAGGCTGTCTCACAGAGACTTTCTCGCGTGCGCCGCTGCAGCAGTTTCCCAGTCTGAGAGACTGGACCTTACAGAAGATCCCGTATGTTACATGACAACGAATTTTATATATTGGGCTCTTCTTCTGACCGTTGCTGGCTTTCCTTAACAATTAGGCCTCTTATCCCGCATATGAATCATGTTTTGGAAACGAAACTATCCTCAAACAGCTGATCTTGAAAGATTTTCCCTCTCGAGCCGAGGCCGAAGTTCTCATGTTGGCATTTTTCTTCTATGCTGAGGCAAACTGGTACTATTTCGACGAAAGCTCGTTTAGAGAGCAGCTATTCGAACTCTATGATGGTGGTCTATCACCGACCTATCCTCGTCTCGAATTCATTTGTCTGGCCCTAACTGTCTTCGCCATGGGCAGCCAGTTTGTCCATCTACATCATGGTGACCATTCAAGTAACTTGGAAGCCTTGACTGCGGTTCAGGCAGGAATTCCTGGCACAAAATATTTCCAACATGCGCAGAAACTTGTACCGCAGACAATAGCTTCTCCTTCCCTAGAAGGCCTGCTGAGCTGTCTATTGCTCGCTTTATATGTTCTGCCGATCCATAGCACTGAAACTTGTTACAATTACCTTGGTCTTGCTTTACGCATTGCGATCGGCCTCGGCCTTCATCGAAAGTCAGCGAACTCAACATTATCTCCGTCACTTTCAGAGCTCCACAACCGCATTTTCTGGACTACCTACAGCATTGAACGGTATGGCTTTTTATAAAATGTTGATTCTAGCTTTACCTTAATAAAGTTTTAGACAGGTTGCTCTCTCTCTAGGCTATCCCGAGACACTTCAGAGCAAGGATATCGATTGCCTCCTTCCCCAGCGACAGCCTGACCTAGATGTCCTGGGCTCATATAGAGCTGAAAGACTACTGGCATATACGAAGTTGACTCTCTTGCTCAATCAAGTGATTTTCTTAAAGTGAGAAGAAGCCTATTGGAATCTGGATGAAGGAAGCCAGAAAGCATACACGGTTGGCATGCTAATACCCATTAGGTCTTTGGATCAGGAATCGACAAAGGATATCCGAAGTCAGCTTTTGTCTTGGAAGACAGACCTACCCATTCAATTAGCATCACTGGATGATAATTATTTGCGACTGAACGTACATTTACAGCTCCACTACTCCATGGTCTGGATCTATATCGGTCGCGCTGCCTTGATCGATAAAGTGCGAAGCTTACTCAACAAGGAGGGGCCCACTAATGATGGCCCTGAAATAGGGGGAGGCAGTCAAGAATTATCGGACACTTGTGCAGAACACGCAGCGCGGATTATTGATCTCATTGATCTCCTCAAATGTCGCGGGCAACTGGGTCTATTTTCCTACACTGATTTCCATACCTGCAGCTCCGCAACCATAATTGTTCTCCTGGATAGTATTTTGAAGCCACGTCTGTCATCATTTCCGAAAGTCAGGACGGCAATGGGCGCTCTGAAATATATGGCTGCTGGTAGTGATTTGGCCAGAAATAGCCTCAAGTATGTCGAAAGGTTCCAAGGCGTGGTCAACAAAGCTTTGGCATCTATTTCCTGTCTGGGTTATGAATATTCTCGCTCTCAGAAAACGCCCGGCTCACTTCGGCTTGGAGAATCCCGTGAAGAGACATTTACCGAAAGTTTGGACCTGTTATACCAGCACGAACGCGAAAAGTCTAACATGGGCCTGTTTTACAACATAGGGACCGTGCTTGAGGACTGTTCATTTACAGAGTTACACCTCCTTGGGTTGGATAGCCTGTATTCAGGTGACGTGCAAAGTTGGAATGGCGGTTGCTAGAATATGTATCCGGCGTGAATTCACTCACGTTCCCTTGTCCACTCTAATCTTAACAAAATGCTGTACATTGCCCTTCATTACCCACTTGCTTTTTTGAAACCTGTCCAGGTTCAGCGTCATAAAAAGTCAAAGAATGTATCGGAAATGCTTGTCTTCTTTGTCCGTCAAATCTTCTCCAGTGACCTCCGCAACGTATTGGCAAATATCCACCTCCACTGTAGACCGGCGTTCATTTTCATGAGCACATGAGAACCAATATATCGCCACGGTCGGAATGAATGCAATCCAGCTAATCAGAGCCAATATGAGACCGCTACGATACCTGGGTGCATTTTCAGTGTTCCAGAGTAATGGCCCACATATAGCACCAACAGCGTAGCCAACAAAGAACAAAGCGTTGACAATGGCCTTTTTGGTATTTCCACGAGTGTTGGACGCGTACAAGCTGAGTAGAATCGAGAAGATGTTTGAGATGACAGAGGCCTATGCGAAACAAATGAAATTAGCGACATCTAGCACCGGAGGGGAAGAAAAGGTGGGGAGTGGAGGGCAAAATCCAGCCATTTACATACCAGCCATGATGCAGCAATCATACCCCACCCTGCGGACAATGGAAGCGTAAAGAGTAGAATAATTCCAGTGAGCGGAATGATTGTAAGACCAATGATGATAGCACACCGACGATTCGGCCATAGGTAGCAGAGAAATATCCCGACCCAAATGAAGATAATCTGAACTGCACCTGCCGGTGAAGTGTACAGCATGGTTTCAAAATCTGAGTAGCCTAAAGAGTATATGATAAGTGAAGCAAACTGCCACCGAAATACTGTCAATAATTGCACAAGACATGTCTTCCTTCAAGGAACTGTGCGACTCACCGCAATAACTGGTGAAGGTAGTGTTATGAGGACACCAAATAGAAAACTCAAATATGCTCTGATATCCATCACCGTTTCTTTCAGCTGTGAGATAGAGAAATTTGTTTGGTCTCCTCCTTCTGTTTCCGCTTTCAATCGTTGCGTTGCTATTAGTCGCTCTTGAGGATTGAGGAACCACGCTGATTCAGGACCAGCGGGCATCATAAAAAAGAATAAAACTCCGAAGAATGCCGTGAGAGCCCCACAGATGATAAACATTGCCTTCCATTGAGCAATGGCCATTTGATCGTGACCGATGCCATACATCATCAAAGCACCGAGAACCTGAGCCAGTCCATTGCAGCTGATCCATAGACTAGGTTTCGAAAGCCGATGGTCAGATAGAGAAAAAGTAGATTTGGGCCCATTGGAGATATCCTACCCGATGCGTAGTGGATGCTCGCTTTTTTTATACCAGATACTGGTGAGCGTCACAAAGGCAGGCGAGACCGCACCTTCAGCCAATCCAAGAGTGAATCGGACGCCCATGAAAGATGAGAACGTTGTTGCTGCTGCAAGACACTGTTATGATATTCTGTCAGCCTTGGAACACCCGCCTGTTCAATAACACATTGGTAAATTACCATGCAAATCCCACCCCAAAATATGCTAGATTCAGTCAGATTTCCTTGATGGTGATCATGAGATTGCCAATGCGAAACTCACATGAGATAGGATATAAATCTTGCAAGAGGCAGTCGGCTCATCAAATACATGGCCGGGAACTGCGCCACCAGCTGGCCAACGTAAAATATGGACCCTAACCAGGCGAATTGGGTGCCGTGAAGCTGTAGCTCATCTATCATTCCAAACACACCGGCGTAACTTAGACTCTGCTTGTCAAGGTCTAAAATGCGGCAAATCAGCGGTTATTCACAAGCCAGGCAACTTGAGTCTCTTCGGGCTTCTTATGGAGGAGCCAAAACATGAAACAACCTACATTGAGAAAAGAATACCAGACACATCTTCATGCCTCTCGCTATCAGCACCTCGTTCTCCTGATATCGTGAATAAGGCCAAATGGCTTACCAACGGCAAGACTATTGCATCAATCTTCCTTTTGACAGGTCTCTCCACTTCAGGGTCGATGAGAACTCCTGAAACGCCTGTTTGTGGGCTTGTCTCCGGATTGGATTCGTCCAATTTCATATCCGCTGTTTTGGCTTCGAGTTGATTCATCATTATCTGACTAGTGGATTGAATAAAATGTTTGACATGCAAGATATATGAAATCTAATTGGAAAGAAAGAAGAAACAATACTCCCAGGAGCCTCCATATATATATGTACAGTGTATGTCAGACTGGTGGGTATCCCCGGACCCCGGATTCGGCCTATCTCTCGAGAGGCATGAGTAGTGGGCAACTGTGTGGGCCCTATGAAAAGCAATATGTTATCTAAGCCTTTGAGTTTAGCTTTATCTTTCCTTGATTGATTTTAGCGACGAACCGTTTCAGGCACAGGACAAAACCTATGATAGGTAGGCTGTAGGCGGTGAAGTTTGCGGGTACAAGTATCCGCAGGGTTGCCGGTCCCCTTTTGCCACTAGAGCAGTTTTGACATGCGGGTACAAGTACCCGCATGTCAAATCATGGCAATGCAAGTACCCGCATGTCAAATCATGGCAATGAAACTTTTATCGGCCCTCAAAGCGCTGCCGGCACTGGCAAAGGGTTCAGGTAGACTAGAAATCAGATTACTGTTCATATTTTGATCAGACTACAAAACATGACATGCTTTCGCTGTAAATTTTCTAGTTTTTCTTGTTCATCCTATTATCAGCCTTTGCAATCAACAACAAAAAACTTGCCTTATCAGGGATAAATTTTGTTACATCTTTCTTCTTGTCATCACTACCATCATGACAGTTGGTCAGTTCGAATTTCAGCATATTGTCAAGCCCTGGCAGCCAAGTCCTCAACGGACATACATCTTTACGTCTGCCAACTTGATTGACCCTGTCACTGGTACAGTCGCGGAAAATACGACCATTGAACTCTCCGATGGCTTTGTATCTTTGGTTGACATGTCCGGAGTAGGGACTAGCGACAATGTCGACCCTGACGCTGTAAAGGTCGACATGAAAGGCAAATACATCTGCCCGGGCTTGATTGATTCCCATGTTCACATCGCTGCAGTCCCTGGCTCTTTGAGCCTTCGAGAAATGAAAGAGATAAGCAACGATCAGAGTGTTTTACGGCAACCGAGCGTTTGCAAGTCCATGCTGACCCGTGGGTTCACGACGGTCCGAGATTGCGGAGGGGCATCCCTTGCCTTGAAAGAATCAATCCAGGAAAGCATCATATGCGGGCCGAGATTGTTCATTGCCGGACATGCCCTTTCTCAAACAGGAGGTCATGGAGATCGCCGTCAACAGCACGATCCAAATGAGTGCTGTGCGGGGCATGTTAATGGGATTGGCCGTATCGTGGACGGAGTGGATCAGTGCTTGAAGTATGCCCGCGAGGAGTTGCGACAGGGCTCGGACTTCATCAAAATCATGGGTGGTGGTGGGGTTGCTAGTCCTACAGACCAGATCCAACACCTTCAATTCTCTGATGAGGAAATCAGGGCCATTGTCACAGTGGCTAACAATGCGGGGACGTACGTTACCTCCCATGCATATACGCCACAAGCGATCCAGCAGGCTGTCAAACAAGGGGTAAAGGGGATTGAACATGGCAATCTCATTGACGAAGCCACAGCCGAAATGATGAAGCAGAACAGCGTCTTTCTTACCCCTACTTTGGTAACATACGCGACAATGGCCGCTCCACAGTTCAGCGGGTTCCTCCCCCCTGTTTCTGCGGGAAAGAACCGCGAAGTTCTGGACAAAGGCCTGCACGCTCTGGAGATAGCCAATAAGGTTGGGGTAGATATTTGCTTTGGCACGGATCTCTTAGGTCCCCTGCATTATGCCCAAAGTAAAGAATTTGCCATTCGGAGCACTATCCAGACACCCTCTGAGATCCTTCGAAGCGCCACCACGACTCCTGCGCGGATGCTGAGACAGGATAAATTCCTCGGCAAGATTGCTCCAGGGTTTGCCGCCGACTTGCTCATCTTGAACGCAAACCCCTTAGATGATATCACCGTTTTTGATCGACCGGACCAACATTTGCTAGCAACCATCAAGGAAGGCCGTGTCTTGAGTTCGCGTTGGAGTCTGTTAGATGTTGAAGCAAGCCATCTGCCAAAGATCGAGTGAGGAGAGATGGAGGAGGGGAGAGAAATTGTCCTGTAGAAATGAAGAATAGGTTGCGGAAGTTCATTGAAAGGGCGTTTCGTGGTGGCGGCGGCCTGTTTCTGGGAAATGAGAGCGAATGATTCTATAGACGCTGTCGATATCTATGCGCGGGTGTAAGAAATGGCGACGGAAGCGGAAGGTTAGAGTATAAGTAACACAGAAAAATACATTTCTCTCTCCCTATCACTGAAATGGAGTAATGGAAGACTATTCTCTTGCTAGGCAGTTTGTTGTGGAGACGCGTATTCGAGAGGGAAGATGGGATCGATGTTGATGCAGCTTGTGTCGGATGGGGAGGCGGGTGACCCCCGGCAGTTGCCAGGTGTTGGTGTATATTATGATGTATCGACCTACGGGTCAAGCGCCATTCTTTGCTGAACGGTTTTTCCGACCTGTATCATGACGCCGGTTTTACAGTACTGGAATGGAGGACTTGGGTATATCTAGGGCCTCGAAGATAGTATTGAATAGCACGTTTCTACACCTCTCTGACCTGCACATGTAGGTGCTATCCACGAATATCTCGTAGAACCTGCGTTTGCTTGTTTTGTTGTGTTGTGTAGCTGGATTGACCCGCACATCCTCGAGTGTGCTGCCTTCGAGCGTTCCCCTCTTCACTAGGTACGTACGCGACTACGCGGTACTACAAACGGCAGGCTATGCAAGCGACGGTTGCGCGGCACCTACTTGAATGTGGTAGTTGTAGCGAGATAGGGCACAAAAAGAATGCTTGTCCAAGAAGAGATTAATAAATATACAAGCATTGTGATTTAGAAAAGTATTAAAAAGTAGAAAATATGTTGGCGGGTGCGCAGCTCGCTTACCGACCACGTCATTCCTGGTAAACCTTATTCTTGGGGCTGAGTAGAAACTACTTCATGCACGTCAGCAGTAGTGCTGATTGTCTTGTGATGATTCCGAGAATCAGCTCAGTCAGATGTATCAATTTAGTGTCCAGCAAGCGATTCTCATATTTTTATTTAACCGTACCTTCTCCCCGTCGCCACGATTACCTATCTTATGTCAAATAATATCATATCCCGCAATTTGACTCGCTTATCACCGTCCGAAGAAGATGCAATCCTCAGTATCACTGACCGAGCTCGCTAAGAGCATTTTGGAAGATGCTCAAGCATTAGACAGTTTCTTATCTTCACATAATCTTCCCCAGCCTTCCTTTGCCGCTGACGGCGTCAAAGACTTTCCTGTGGGTCCCGAACATGCCGATATCCATGTCATCAGGCACCGGCTTATTGATGTGACAAAAGAACTGCGGGACCTTGTCGTCGGTCCTAAAGATACTATTAAATGGATGATCATGAACGTCAGTAACCTGAACTCAGAAAATCACGATTTCTTTTTAAATATTTTGTTCTGCCCTGTCACTCCTCTCGTGGAATGATCGAACCAATTCCCATGTAATATTTTCTGTTAACGCTCCGTGTATCTCAGGATCACACCCTGGCAGCCAGCCTACATGCTATTTCCCACTTCAAGGTCGCCCAAGCTGTTCCGAATGAGGGATCAATTTCTTTTGCCGAACTTGCCCGAGCCACTGGTCTTACCGAGCTTGACGTTGCCCGCTTCGTCCGCCGCACAGCCATCAATCACATCTTCGTTGAGCCTACCCCCGGCCATGTCGCGCACACAGCCACTTCAGCCCTTCTATCTGCGGATCCACAGATGCAGGCACTAGTTGCTCATATGTCCGAAGAGGCCTTTCCTGCATCGGCTAGGATCGTAGACGCGCTAGAGATGGCCAACGGCAGCGGAGAGCCACGCGACAGTCCCTTCACCTTGGCCTTCGGGGCAAGTTTTTTTGAACGAAAGGTGGAGCGGCCGGAAACAATGCATCGATTCGGGCTTGCGATGAGCAGCTGGAGCGAAGGCGACGGGACCCGGCAGATGCGCGATTGCTACGACTGGGCCACTCTGCCTGCTGGGGCAAAGGTCGTGGATCTCGGCGGCGCGTTAGGTCATATATCTCTCGGCATCGCAGAAAGGTTTGAGGACTTGGAATTCGTTGTTGAAGACCAGGGCCCACTAATGGAGCAAGCGTGTCGTTTAATATCCTCGTATCCAGATAGAATCGCAAAGAGGGTGAAATTTTTGCCTCACGACTTTTTCCAGCCTCAACCGGCAGAGGCCCGGGCGGCAGATGCTTACATCATGCGGTATATCCTACACGACTGGTCCGATACTTATGCCAAGGAAATTCTCAAGAATATATTCGAGGTGATGAAGGAGGATAGCAGACTAATCATCGCCGATGCGGTGATGCCGCCGGCGGGAGTGCTGCCAAAGTGTCAGGAGGAAGTGCTACGGAGCTTTGACGTGGTGAGTAACTATTAATCTGAATTAAAGATCGGACTTGGATGACTTAGTGGCTGATTACTGTCTCAGAGTATGCTTGCGCAACTGAACTCCCAGGAACGGACACTGGAGATGTGGAAGGGATTGATTGAGAAATCCGGTGGCGGACGATGGAAGATCACTGGTATTGTTAGCCCGCCAAAGGGTGAATCTATTACGATTCTTGAGGTCAAGTCCTCCTAAAGACTTTAGCCAGCCCTGTTATCGTACCTCAACATCGTCGATTTATGGGTGTGTTTCCGGTCCACCAGCACTTTCAAGACTGGCATGCCCTTGGATCTCAGGCTGTCGGCCTGCTTGGCTGACCGAACTCCCGCTCTTTTTGCACTATCTCACCAGTTTGCATTGTCCGGCTGTAGGTCTTCCTGTTTTCCAGATAGCTTCATTCTCTTCAGTTCAATCAACCATCAGCTTATTCTGTTTCTTTCTTTCCTGTCGTTTCCTTTCGCGTAGATCTGACCCCCAGGTCGCCCTCGCTCCCTTGTCCGCTCCTGCCGGCTCATCAAAACTATTACATAATGAAATAGACACAGTCAAAGCTTACCTACTCTCTATTTGTCTAAATGCAAAATCATCAATCGTAGATTGTATGGATGATCACTTCCAGTGGCTAATATTGGAAGTATTTAAGTGCCCAGTCAATCAAAGCGTATTAGCAAATCACCACTTCAAACCTAGGACGGCTGATCAGAGTTTGGACCAAAGGAGTCTTCGAAGATCTTGGGGACTTGAAGCGTTTAAGTCCTGCAACGTATGCCATGTCTACAATTTTGAACCGCGAGTGATCATTAACGTGAGAAGGATATGACAGCCGTCTCAGGACAAAAGTTTGATTGAACCCATACGGAATGGCCAAAATATCACCATCCTGGACGCCTGCACCTGAGAATCCGATGCTCAAATATCGACCCTTTTCCTTCACGAAGAACAGACTTTTCCCGCTTCCACCTTCTTCGCCTGGTGGAGATTCAACCAATGTCCTGAATTGTTCCGCATGGGGGCCGTCCATGTCTATCAATTCCACCATTTCAGCGAATTCGTCTTCAGGAATAGGATCTTCGGGGTCCCTCCCACGAAAGGAAAGCGCGTGGATGATCTCCAAATAATACCTTGCAAGTTTCTTCGAGCTAGATCCCCCGTAGTTCTTGGTTATGTCACGATACTGGTTCTGCACGAGCCGGGCTTCAGATTCTGGGGGAAGCACATCGTAAAGTGACACATTGCCGAGGATCTTAACATGTAAGCGGAGGCCGGAAAGCTGCTCATCCAGTTGGACTGCGAGAGTGCCTCCATTCGACCAGAGAGATTCATCGATATTGCAATTCGCGATTGGGCTTTGAGAATATCCGAATTGGGCTTCGCCACTTGCAGAGAAGTCCAGCGTCCATGATGGATACGACGGGTCTTTCAATAAAGGGAACAACTTGAATATTTCCGTCTCTGGCTCAGAGCTTAGAATATGCGCTGTCGTTTCGACGAACACTTGCTGAATCGCTTTCTTGTAGTTGGGTGGACGTTCGCACGCAAGCGAGGGTGACATTGAGTAGAGTGCATAGATTCTATCAAGTAGTACGCTACAAGATCGGTTTATTGTTGTGAAAAGAAGAGCGCTGACGCTAAGTTGCTTGTCGGAAGTGCTGGTACGCATTTCACTGTCTGAGGCCAATAGCTCAATAGGGGCGCCACTGGCATTAATGTTATCAAGAGCCCGGTCCACAGACTCTTCTGTGTAAACAGAGTAGGACGTATGATTCATTTCACCATCGACTTTCTGCGAGGTCGGCGTGAAGCCATACATTTCATCCATAACGGACTCCATGTCCCACAGTTCAAAGGCCCTACTTCCGGACATGCAAATTGGCTTTTTCGTGGGCAGAAACCATTCCTGGTATGTCCACAGTCTTCTCCAGTATGGCGAAGACATGATCTCAGCTATACCATTCCAGGCGTGAATCCTTAGGAGTTGAGTTTTTTTCTCATCAATAAGGGATACATTATCCCCAGATCCACGCAATGCTGTTTGGTCTGAGAGCCAGCACCGCTCCTTTAAGCGAGCGGCATATTTGCCTTGAAGTTCTTTTGTATGTGAGGCATAGAGATATATTGCCGCCTCAATGTCCAATGTTGACTCACCCAGGAATGCAACCACACGCCTGGCGAACTTATATATGTCTCCCATAAGCAGAATCTGATGATGCTTCTCATTAATATCATCTTGATTGATGCAGATGAAATCACACCAAACGACGCATCGTTGCCTTGGCAGAGCCTGGCGTAAGCTACGTAAGAATGTCGAGAGTGTCGGCAAAACAAACACTTCACATCCATCTATGATCATTGGATATTGGTCCTTTGCATCCATGTCCCCCCAAGTGTAGGAAAGTGCTTTGTAGTTAGGCTTCGGCTCATCGAGTAATGAGGCAACTCGAAGTGATGCTCGTAACGGAGAGTCATATGATCTTGACCGTTCAATTGTCAGTAGACGAATTTGTTGTCGGTCGGGGTCGAGGGACGTGTAGTTTAAAGGCATTTCTGCGTGGAGAAGTCGGTAGTTGGAGAGGGAAATAGTTCAATTAAAAGTGCGCAATTGGATGGCCAATGGAATTTATGTGTCCTGAATCTCATGACGTGGCAGCGCTAAGGCTGCATGTCGCACCCGGTATCTTTTGAATTGGTCGCAGGCTCCTATGTTTGCCCCGCTTTTCCTGTGTGATGGCCACTCGTCATTGCTTGATTGTGGAGATTAATGAAACAAGGCTGACTTGACTCAATAAACTTTCCGAATTTGCAAGGTACTGGGTTATCTTACAAGCAGCCTGCTAAATTTAATTGATCCGTAGCCACATCTAGCCTGTTGTCGTGAAGGATAGTGTCATAACTTTCTCGTATGAATAAATAGTGGCTTTGGTCACTTCCAGTGATTAAATCTTCCCACAGACTTGCTCCCAAGATGAGAATGCTCTCGAAATCTCCCTTGACAGTCGAGACCTGGCCAAATTCAAAGATAATCAAAAACTCAATAGAACTATTTGAGCTACAACTTGGGACTGAATGGCACCGAAAGAAGATCCCGGTTTAATAGCAAAATTGCCTCACATGCAGGAGGGCGAAAAACAAAATCAAAGAGGGAAACAAACTTGGGCCGAAATGGGGGGGGGGGAAACAGGGGCTTTATATCACCAGCACGGCGAGGTGTAAAGACACTTGACACTAAACCAAAAGTGATCATACTAAACCTAACATGGTAATTTGCTGTCCCCCTCCGATATGGTGTAGTGGCTAACATCGTCGTCTCTCACACGACAGCCGGGGGTTCGATTCCCCCTATCGGAGTTTCTTTTTGTTTTGTGTTTTTGTCGTATTCTCCTTTGTAGGAAGATACATGAGTCATAGCCATCCCTCTAAAGATGAGTCTTAACTCGTGACTCATAACATACTTGTACTTCGCCTTGACTCATGAGTAAGGCTGTAGTCCGAATAAGGGACAATCACTTGACTTGGCATCAGGGCTTGTCCCCAAGAGGCCGGGGTGCTACGAGTCATTCGGAATTTCTCCGCAATGTAAAATACGAGATGGTTTAGGTGACAAAATTCTGGTTGCATGTTATAAGTCTCGCTGCTGGCCGTCATGGCATTCGATAATGCAGCTTCAACTGTTTACTCCGTAATTCCACACCATCATGGCGTCCACGAATGAACCAACGTGTGTCAATGTGCACGAGACGACGCAAGAAACTCCTAGATCTCGGTCGGCTAGTCCATCAATCCAATCAAGTGGGTCCACAGCCACCCAGGTTCGCTTCTCTCAATCAGAGGAAAAGTCCCGTGAGAACAAGCTGCGGCCTGCTGGAGGTATGATGTCCTTTCTCTCTGGAAAGTAGAAAGACATAGTGACAGTCATGGCAGACATTATCAATCGCATCATTTGGGATTCGAGCTTGAGTCCCGAAAATTATGTGATTGTTTTCCTAGATCGATTCCAGGGCGAACTGGAAGTAGGCTTTGATAGCTGGAAGAAGGAATCTACGGACGAAGAGTTCATTCCCCAACATCGTGTTCTGTACATCAGGCACGTTGATGGTGAGATTATTTGGGACCGACGCAGACGGATCGATAAAATCTTCAACAGTGGAAATTCAGCCTTCCGTGAGCTTGCTTTTCTAGCCTGATGTGGGATTAGAGAATAGAGACTTTGACATTCGATACCTTCCAATACTTGAATTTGATTATTGGTTCACAAGGTGACCAAGAAAGGCAACCACTATCGAGAGCCACACCTTCCCTTCAACCTTCGTAAAAGCGCTGTTTTTTTCAATGGCCATCAAAAGCTTCTTGTCCCTTTGACCCACTTCCTTTCAATCGATCGTATTGAGCATTTTCCCGATGGACCACTCAACTCAGAAAAAGCCGTCTCTACCCCGTTTGTCCACCAAAGTCCCCGTGGAATCCCAATCAACACCCTTGCTACCACAGCTGCCGAATCTCCAGGACATTAATGTACGCCCCAAGCGACCAGTGACCATGCCTTCCCCATTTCCAGGTCGAGAGGAGAATATTTTCCCCTCTGTTGATGATGCCTCCGAGTCCAAAGTTATGTATTCGACCAAGGAGTCCGAGGATGCACCGGTGAAAAAGAAATCACACCACTATGAGGACACTTTTGCGACTCGTGGTTCCCATAATTCTCCCCAGGACCGAATCGCTCAGGACTCCGTGGTCGTCGCAGAGCTTCAAACAAACTGCAAGGTTTGTTGGCAGTTGGTCTTCTTATCGTGAGTCCCATACTAAACTTGCTTGCTAGGTTCAAGATGAATCACAAAGGCTCGTTGCCGATCTGATCTTTCGCCTGGCTCAAATCTACCAGCGTCCAGAGACATGCATTATGCTCGCTATCCAACAGAACACCGGCGTGTTCTTTGGTAGCACGACAGAACTTTCTTATCTACTGAAGATATACGCCCTCCCATCCTCCATTGCACCCTTCACCAACCTCCGCAACACCAATCTGATTCAGGCTGCCATGCACGACTTGTTACACATCCCCAAAGATCAAGGCGTCATCGTTTTCCTACCTGTCTCGGAGGACAATCTTGCCACTAATGGGTCGACTGCTCGAGGCGAGATCGCCCGCCTGGAACGTAATGACCAGGAAGAAAGTCCGGGTCTCTTTAAAACGATCTCGCGATCAATGTCTCGCCGTCTGAAAACAAACAGTGGGCAGAGTGTGCCTATCTCCTTTACATCTACTGTTGAAGCTTCCACTGTTTCTCCATCAATGCAGAGTGAGGTTCGTCATTCGCCGGTCGTTGTGGACGATGCAGTGGTATCTCCAGAAGAAAGAGGAAGAAGCAACCTTCGAAAGCGCACGTCATTGCGGGATCTTATTCGCCGAAGGGTCCTGGCTGCCATAGACAAGGACACAAAAGAAAAGGCGAAACAGGTGACCAAGAAGGACGACTCAATGGAAGATGAGTCCAAGGAGAAGGCTAAAAATCAAATTCCTGAGGAGAAGGAAGAGCAGTAGGTCATGCTGATTGACCAAAACCGCGTATGATTTTATCCTGCGCAGCTTTATTCAAAGTTCTATGTTTTATGCGAGTTCTGTATATGTATTAAATGAAAGCTCTTGAAATGAGAATGGTATGGAGCTTGTCCTGACCTTGATACCCACCCTAGGCACCCATCTAGGTAGGCATCAGCAACCGTGCCTCATACATGCATTTCTCCACTTTGACCTGTAGTTGTCTTCCCCAGTATACTTTGTCTTCTATGTAACTTCCTCTCCTCTTCTTCCACAACCCGCCTTTCTTCCCTATCCTCTTGCCAAACACGATGGCATCTCGGGATACCAGCCCCGAGAATATCAACTCAGTCGCCGAGAGGCCTGGAAATCTTTTTGATGCGCCGCCACGGTCGGCCTTGATCCGTTTGTGATAAACAATTTCGTTAGTGAAATCATACTCAGATATTTTAGATGCATGCAACGCAAGGGGCTCATGGGGAGCAGGAATCGCACGAGAATTCGCACTGAAAGTAAGAGCTTGGGATTGAGTATTTATTCTTAAACTGCTGATCATTCTTCAAAGTATCCATGGGCCTTCACTGAGTACCGGAAGCATTGCTTGAAATGGAAGGGCGAGAACAAATTTCATGACATACCCAATCTGTACGCTACTGGAGACGAAGCCAAGACCATCTCGGTCCGCTATCCTGTTGGCACAGCGCTCATCATCTACCCTGAAAGTTGCTTTTTTGCGCCAGGTGTTAAGCCCTGGGTCATTTGTTTGTTCACGTCTGCCGACTACGGCAGTCGCGTGGATTCGCCCGAAATGATTCTCAATAACACCAATGCCGCTCTTCATGATCTGCGACAGAAGCTTGATAATGCGGGGAAAAGGCGGCATTCTGGACTTCTTGTTGATCACCTTTGGGCATGCCGATTCAATTCGGGGCTTTTTGGTATTCCTTGGGCGAAAACGAGGGAGCTGATCGACGGAGTTGCCTTGGGCTTGCCCCTCACCATTGTTTACCCTCCAGACAAAGACGAAGAGGGCGAAGCCACGAAGAAGAATGTCCTAAATACCTAGGACATTAACTGGCGGTGGGAAAGAAATTTGGATTGAGCTCAAGGGCGATATCCTCATATCAGGATTCAACATAATCGCTTTGATGTTCGTGAAGGAAAAAACTTCAATTTCAAACCTTTCTTACACCTGACGGTCCCTGAGAGATTGATAGATAATGACCAAATGCCAGTCAATTGAAATTGGAACAGCGCAGTAATACTTCGGGGTTTATTTTTTATTCTCTATTAAATGCTTCCTTTGACTGGGGCGTTGCCATATCACCTGACACCGCGTCTCCAAATCGCGGCCCGCGTCAACAACTCTGCTTCCTTATCTACAAGTAAACGATCTAAAAACTCACCACATAAAGACCATGGCCGGTGAACCCCAGCAAAAGCGGCGCAGACTCCCTTTCAAGCCTCCAAGCCGCACCTCAAGCGCTGGACCATCCGCAATACCACCGGCTGCCAAAGACAAGGGCAAAGACAAGGGCAAAGCCAAGGAGAGCACCGCCAAACCCACATCTAAAGCTACATCAACATCCACATCCAAAACCCAGCCCACGATTTCCTCTTCCATGGCCACATCTAGCAAAAGACCCCACGATGATACCCTCAGCGCATTACCCGCAACCCCGTCCGACTTCGCGTCCGACTCCGAGTCCGAGACACCAGTCGGCGAACGCGAGCGGCCCCTCTCCGAAGAACCGGATTACATGCTTGCAGAAATCACACACCGGACACCACAGGAAAATATTGCGATGGGGACACCACAAATTCATCCTAAGCTGTTGACGGCCCTTTTCCATCATTTTTTCAAAAATGACAAAACTCGTATCTCGAAGGATGCTGATGCTCTGATGGCGAAGTATATGGATCTCTTTGTGAGGGAGGCCATTGCGCGTGGCAAGCTAGAGAGGGATTTGGTTAATGAGAGTAAGGGCCGGACGGGCCCTGCGGATAACTTTATTGAGGTATGATTATCCCTTCCAAGGTTCAATTGCTGTCATATCGTAGGGTGCAAAGTACTAAATTCAATTATTGTTTTAGGTCGAGGACCTGGAGACATTGGCACCGTGGCTTGTCATGGATTTCTAAAAATAAAACAGAACTTGAATATGGGAATACTCCCAGGTGGAATGGCATGGCGTTGTGGAATATTTTTTTCTGTTGTGATGCTTTTGAGATACCAAACTATACTATTCATCGATATAGCAAAGTACAGCGCATCATGATGATGTTCAGATATATGTGACTCGTAACATAGTGATGTCCCGTGGACTGTGGTATGACGGTGGTTTTCCCGACGAGTGATCCTCCACAAAAGGCGGGACTGCATCGAAGCCATTGGCATTGTGGAGCATAGCGACATCATGGTTGACTCGTCGCGATACCCATGAGTTCGCTGTATAAGCGGTCCTCTTCTTGCTGAAATGAGCGACTACCACTGGGAGTTGGTTGTGTTCGGGGAGATGGCCGAGCTTCACATTGTAGTCTGTATAAGCGATGTCGAAAACGATGAAGACTCGGGTACGCCATTGCTGGACAGCGACGAGCCGAGTCTCAGCAAGCTTTGCGGGATCTCTCGAAATTCCCTTTTTTTTCAGGAGATGCTTTGCAAGTGGGAGGAGATCTTGTGGGGACTCGCGGGCCTTCGTGATCTGGGAACTTCGTTGCGAGACGATCACCAGGACTCGGAGTGGACCTGTTTGTGTCATGATTATCTATTACTGTTCCAAAAATTAGTGAGAATCTTGGGGATGGGATCATTCAGCCTTCCGACATGTCCTTACAGCCAAGCAGTTGATTGCAAATCCTTGGAAGTGGAATTCCAAGATGTCTCCGACATACATATATATACATGTGGAAGGCAGGGATGGACAAGGTTATTGTTCGCCGATTGTTAGGAATTCCATGGACCTGCAGGCTTCAAGAATTGCCAGTTAAACCAAGTGGCAACTGTTAACATAGCTGTATGCTTCCATTGGATACTTCGAATTCTATTTGACTACAATTCGGGCTGGGTCAGCATCGGACAGACGATGCGGATGTGCTGGTTGAGCTGCCAATCGTGTACTATCGGATAGTAAGGCAGCCATAGCGACGGAAGAAAAAAGCAGAGACCCAGGGAGGTTTGAAATTCAAAACAGACTGAAAACATCCTGTCAAATGCAGCTTACTCGGGTAAATGAGGCAGCTCCGATGGAATGTTGGCGTGATAAGGTTGTGTCGCACATTCGTTAGGAAGCCAAGGCGGTCTGTTGCCACCTCGTCGCGTCTTTTCTCTCCCAACGCGTCTTCTTAGCACGACAAGCCCAGTTTCACCATGAATGATGCAACCACTTCCCTGCTCACCGAGCATTTCAGCTACACTCCATTGGTGAGTTGTGTTGGCCTTGCATATCAAGCCCCCTTCCCCGAGGCGTGACTCCCTTCACGACCCCGCTAACCTGAAATCCTAGTCGCTGATTGACGACATCATCAACTCCATCAACAATCTGATCTACCAGGCAATCTCTAGCTTAGAGTCTGGTCTGATTGCTACTCCGCCGGAGCGCCTAGGATTTTCGCACGCCACGAATGGCCCCACCATCGCGGACACCGACGACGATGGCAATATTGTTTACCCGGAAGCAAAACTCGAGCTGGAGAATGGATTGCACCAGTTAGAGACGCTTCTTGAAACCAATGTCGATAAGGCTTTCGATAAGTTCGAGATCTACGTACTTAGGAATATCCTTACTGTGCCGAGTGACTTGCTCCCCCATGTGCGACTGAAGCATTATGAGGTAGGAGTGGCTTGTACCTGACTTTGTCACCATGAGCTAACAAACTTCCGATGCAGGGTCTATCTTTCAATCCCACCCCCGATACCCCCACACCAGAGACGATTGCTGCCCAGCGCAAAAAGTTACTTGAGACGAGAAAGCTCAACCGTTCCTTGAAAGAAGAATGCGCGCGCAATACAGCTGTGATTGCTCAGTTGAATGCCATTGTATCGGCAGTCAAGACTGCGAAGAATGGTGACGCGACCGGAGAATCAAAGAGACCGCCGTTGGATCTGTCCTTCTTGACGTCAAGTGCCGCTGCGCAACATCTTCGTGTCGGGGTGGACACCGGTTCAAACACCCAACACACGCCGCTTACAACCCACACTACTTTTATCATTTCACAACTTCCAGCTCTGCAGGCAACACTCGAGAACCTTCGGCCGAGATTGGCATCTCTACCTGGCTCAATGAAGGAGATTCAGACTAAGACCAAGCGCGACGAGCGGAAAGAGTACATTGAAGGCCGGATTAGGCTACACCTGGAGCGAGCTGGGCAGCTTGCGATGGGTGATGATGGAAATCCAGTTGTTGCTGGTCGCCGGATTGATATCTCTGAAGCTCATGCGCTGGAAAGCGTGGCCAACATGATTACGCAAACCAGATCTGCGTAGCACGGTTCATTTTCAAGATAAAACTGGTTCAATGAATCCGAACCTTTTTGGTATATTCTGTCTAATGACTTTTCTATGAAGACCAGGTAACAGTCCATGTGTCCTGAGTCTTGCGGAAGGGAACAACGTCGGTTGCATCCGACTGCAGAATGTCTACAATCTTCTCACCCTTCTTGTCGATGGTGATGAACTCCTTGGTCTCTTCACCAATTTCATAGAAGGCACGACCAAACTTGCTCATGAAGCCCTCCAAAATTTCTGGGGTAATCTCCTCTTCCTTGAGGACTCCCTTCTCACATGCCTGCTCGAGGGAATCGAGGACGACCTGGGTGCAGTACGGCTGGGTGAAGACACCGGCAGCAATCTTCTCACCACCGCGCTTGGAGGCAGCTGGGTGAGGAGCGCTATCGGAGCCGAAGAAGAACTTGGGGTTACCTGATACAGCGGCACGGAGAAGAGCGTCACGATCGGCCGGGGTCTTTGCGACAGGCTTGCAGAAGCAGAATGGGTCACCGGCCCAGTGATCGACGATGATGGACAGGTGGTGAGCTGTGATGGTACCGGCCACAGTGGGTCCGCATTTCTTGACGGCCTCGATGGCAGCGGCTGTTGTGCAGTGCTCCAGGATAATTCGGAGCTTGGGGAACTGGGCGTGGAGCTCCAGCAGGGTAGGCAGGAAGCGCTCCTCGGCGGACAGGACTGTCACATCGCCTGTGGAGGGAACCTCTCCGTGCAGGTTAAGGACCAGGTTCTGGCGCTCCATTTCGGCGAACACCGGGTAGAAGGCAGCATAGTCGATCACTCCGGAGCTCGAGTTGGTGGTGACACCAGCGGGGTAGCTCTTGACACCAGTGATGCCGCGTTTCTTGGCATCGATGATGGTAGCGGGGGTGATGGTCTCGTGCAGGTACAGCGACATGAGGTAGCTGACATTGGGCTCAATGGCTTGCAAGCGCTTCTTGTAGTCGAGGGCATGGTCTACGGTCGTAATCGGCGGTACTAGGTTCGGCTGCACGATATGTTAGGAAGCTAGACAGAACCTGATTGATATAATATTTCTCCCTTACCATGACGAAAACAGTGTTCACACCACCCTTGCGGATGGTAGGAGTCACCAGCTCCATCATGGGACCATCGCGCAGGTGGACTACGATCATGGTCAGCTCTCTGCTTGTTCCCTGAGTTTAAACGGCACATACCGTGGAAATCCGCCGGGGCAGGCAGCCTAATTCCGCGCAGCTTGGACAAAGTCATTATGAAATGTATTCAAGCCTCAAGCTTCAATCAAAGATCGGATAAAATCGAATTGACGGTCAAGTCTGCCCCGCCAAATTTTCTGGCTTTCTGCCAGGCGGTGGATCTCCCCGCCGGATTTCCCCGCGGACCCAGATATCGCGATCTATACGGAGTACAATTGCTTCATTCTTCTTGTATCGTATCAGATGAGAACGCCAACTCGGCAATATCCTAAAGTATGATAAAGGCTAGCCAGAAGTGCGAGGACATACCCTTACCCCTCAGTTCTGAGCGCCCAAGTCTTCTAATCGGGACACATGCAAGCCACAGCTTACCAGCGTTGGATGGTAACGTATTTCCCAAGCAACCCGGACGCCCGGTCGGCCCGGACGCCCCAACCAAAACGCGTCAATTAATTAGACCTATCTTCTTCAACCAACCTCCATGCCACCAGATCGCTCTCAAAAGCGTCAAAACTTGATAGAACAAGAGGGTCGTATCTTACTTGCTATCCAGGCTTGGAAAAAGCAGGAAAAATTGTCGATTAGTGAAGCAGCACGCATATACGATATACCTAAATCAACGCTCCACGACCGGATACACGGAGTCCATAACCGCGTCGAATTACGTCAAAAATCGTTCAAATTGACTGAAATTGAGGAGAATTCGCTTAAAGAATGGGTAATCTCTATGGATATACGTGGAGCAGCACCACGTCCTTCTATGGTCCAAGAAATGGCTAATCTCTTGCTCGCCACACGTGGAACTACCCCGATTCAAACCGTCGGCAAAAACTGGGTTTCTAACTACGTTAAACGACACCCAGAGCTTGAAACGAGGTTCTCAAGACGCTATAATTATAAGCGGGCAAAGTGCGAGGACCCAAAGATCATTGCAGAATGGTTCGACCTAGTTCAAAAGACGACTTTAAAGTATGGGATCCATGAAGATGATATCTATAACTTTGATGAGACGGGGTTCGCGATGGGCTTAATAGCGACCGCAAAAGTCGTTACAAGAGCAGAATATTATGGTCGACGCTCTCTTTTACAGCCTGGAAATCGTGAATGGGTCACCGCGATTGAGTGTACAGGCGCATCTGGATATAGCCTTCCTCCGATGGTTATCTTTAAGGGAAAACTTCATATTGGAGGCTGGGCTGAAGAGATGAAGCTTCCGGGCGACTGGCAGTTCCAGGTTAGTCCGAATGGATGGACCTCGGATGAGATCGGACTTCACTGGCTTAAAAAGATCTTTATTCCATCAACTTCCTTAAGGTTAAAGGGGATATATCGACTTCTGGTTCTTGATGGTCATGGAAGCCATCTAACTCCAAAATTCGACGAAATTTGCTCTCAAAATCATGTGATTCCAATCTGTATGCCACCGCACTCATCACATCTTTTACAGCCTCTTGATGTGGGTTGTTTTGCCGTCTTAAAGCGTGCGTACGGAAAGTGTGTCGAGGACGTGATGCGGCAAGGTCGGAACCATATTGATAAATTAGACTTTTTAAACGCCTTTCCAGACGCTCGAATCGAAGCTTTCAAAGCAGAAACGATCAAGAATAGTTTCTCGGCAACTGGTTTAGTTCCATATGACCCAAATCGAGTCATTTCAAAGCTTGATATCCAGCTCCGGACGCCCACACCACCACCATCTCGAGGAAGCCAAAGCAGCGCGTGGGAGCCTAAGACACCGTCAAATTATAAGCAGCTTCAAAAGCAAGCTTCTTCAATTAAGAAGCTCTTACAAAAGCGCTCTAAGAGCCCACCAAGCCCAGTCAATTCCGCTGTAGATCAGGTGTTTAAAGCGTGCCAAATCATGATGCAAAAGACAGCTTTTCTAGCTCGTGAGAACCAGCTCTTACGCGCTGGCGCGGAAAAAGAAGAGCTAAAAAAAGCACGTTCTAAGCTCCAGATATCAGCTCCAGAAGGCCTATCTGTCGCTGAGCTTCGAGAACTGGCTCAAAATGATCGAAATAGTCAAATTGAAGCTTCATTCGACCAGCCAACCGGTCAAGCAGAAGCACAAAACCGACGACCTAGGGCGCCACCAAGATGCTCTGAGTGCAATATCCAGGGTCATAAGAGAACGCATTGTCCAAATTTGATTAAATAGCTTAGATATTCAATATTACGTTTTTTCGGGTGAATTGTGCTGGTTTGAATTAATTGAAGTTGATGGGGCGTCCGGGCCGACCGGGCGTCCGGGTTGCTTGGGAAATACGTTATAGATTATCATAGATAATCGACCTGTCCAGACCGGGTTTCTTCAGATAATAACCCTTGTCTAGGTCCATGCAGGAACAAAATTAATTACCAACTTCTCTGCGTGGGTCAAAGACCTATGTAGCCGCCGGGGTCCTCAGGTTGCAACCCGGGCGCTTCGCCGCAACCTATCAGAGGCCAGATTTTGCTGTCACGACGAAACGATCTGTGCCCAGGAACACAAATGAAAAGCCATGGCCTGCAAGCCCCCGTGTCCAACATTCAGGCAAAAAAACTAAATATAACTTTGGGAAGCGCTTTGTCCAGTTCTCTGACTGCCAAGTCTGCAGGCGCACGACCGTCTGCTAAGAACCCCGCGAACTACAGTGCTTCGAAAGCGTAGAGTTCAAGTTGTAGTACCTGAGCCCATGACCCTGGAATTTAACTTTGTGGATGTGCGAATCATTGCTGTCGAGAGTATAGTGATCACCCCCACCATGGCTGAACGCCTATGCTGAAGACCCCTATCGATCGCCCGGATACGCGCCCTATCCCAAATTGACATTTGTGATGGAATAGCGCTCGCCAACATTGGCTTGCAGAATAACATGAACCTGGCTCTGTATATCATCGATTGGTACTACATATTCAGCCTGGTTTCCCCTTTCTGCGTTACTTCGGAGACTCGAGGTCCCAATCTTTCTCTTATTGACCCTTGACGCCGTCCTTTGCCAGAATCATCCCGGTCTTTCATTCTCAACTACCTCCGCGAGGTCTTGTTCTGTCCCCTCTTTTTGTTACACATTTGAAAAGACAAACCCTTGCCGGCAAGGTAGAACCCTCTAATAACTTTTCAATAAAACCATCGTCTTCTTTCTTTTTTTTTCATTCAATATGAGCTCCGGTTCTTCTACCACAGGCTCCAACGCTTTTTCTTCCGATATGGATGAATCAAATTACCTGAAAAAGAATAGGATCTTGCATCGGGCACGACTGGGTTTATCCCTTATTATCTTCATCGCTGCTGTCGCTATTATTCCCTGCGAAGCAGTCCCGTTCCATCATTATAGGACTACGGCTAAGTGGGCCTCTTCGGGTCTTGCCCTCTGGCCGATGAACTTTGATATCCGACCGACAGTAGCTGCTCTTGCTTGCGGCTGTGTCATTGGAGCATTGAACTTGGCATACGTTGTTGTGGCTCTTCTTCCGTTGGTGAGTAATGCCTGCCGCGTGGTGATTGATGAAATTCTCAACTAACTTGTATCCTTCCAGCCACAATCGCGCATTAAGCTCCTGAACTCCTACTCCTCAGCCTCAGCAACTGCAGGTTTTATCACAGCCCTAGTGGGTCTTCTCTTCATCATCTACCTTCCATCCTCGTCCTACCCAACCGGCTTCAACGAAAACGAGACCTTGCATAGCTGGACTTGCAAATGGAGGGAGAGCTCCAGTGACGAGGCTACACCTATCCATTTTGCACGCGACTGTCACGCTACGAATGCGGGGTTCGGGCTGTTGTGCTTGACACTCGGATTGGAGATCTTTATGGGGATGGCTGCGGCCGCCGGAACCTGGTTCCAAAAAGATGTTGGTCGCCGGCGTGAAGAGCAGGTTCAGTTGGAGAAGTTGGAGATTGCTACGAAGCAGGCGTATAAGAATTGAGAACTGGTTTCTTATTCTAAATAGCTGACGGATGTATGTAAAGGCGTTGGGATTAGGGGCTGAGGCCTCACTGGAACTATTGGTTATGGATATTGCCTAGGCATATGATATTGTATGACGTGCTGGTTTGCGAGATACCATTATGATTATGAATGGGATTGGAATGAAACAATGATATTAGAGTTCAGTGCGAGCAAATCGGTACGGAATAGCTCAGAGCGCATCAGTGTTCTCTATTTCTACCCTATTCCGAATGCCGATCATTCCAGAGGAATCTGGGCAGCTCTTACAAAATGGTCAGCCTCTTACCCATGGAACTTCTACCTGCTCACTAAGCTTGTATGATATGAATGTTGCCCAACCAAGGGACAGTGCAAGCTTGGAACGATATCATCTAGGTGAGAAGACACGTACTCTAGATAACTTTTGTTGTTTACAAATCGTCTAATCTGCAAGTAGCTACGACCATAAACTCTACGGCCGCCACGGAAATCTACAGTATCGATGTGGCCAATACTTATGGTCCAGGTCATCAAGCCATCGCACTTAGTATTAAAAGCACACAGCAAGGATACTATGGATGCCAATTAAGTGGCTGGACTGGTGAGTAGCCATTCTACCGTGAAAGCAAGGTAGATCGCTCATTGTTTTGTATGAACTGTCCGCACATAGGTTGGTGGGCACAGTGCTGTTGCCCGAAGCCTCATTTTCGGCACCAAGTACGTGTCAAACACTTTTAAAAACATCAATGTTGTCGCGACACATTGACGCCTTGCGGGATTCTGTTTTCGGTCGGTATGCCCGGGTATGGTTTGAGCAGGCCAATATCAAAGTCCACCCATCCAAGAGTGGAGATATAATTGCCAACGATTGCGGCCCATCGAATGATGGACTCAATATGTGGGAAGACGAGGAGTACCTTGGAATGAATAAAAGTAAAATGTCTCGGTAGGATTGAATGATTTGCTTCGAGTTGACAGTTGCTCGCGTAGATGAGCGTGATTGCGCTGTCTTACATAATCCTTATCAGCACCGCCTTCGACAGTACCAGATCGCGTTCATCTGCTTCTTATTCTCTCGCGAATTCCTTTCCTGCGCCAATTTCCAAAATGTCGACCGACCTTACAGTTTCCGCGACTGTCGATCTGGACGATGATTCCTACAACTCCTCCGAGGATGAAGATTTCCGGCTCGAAGGCGCCCAAGACGATTCCGACCTATCTTCCGATGACGATGCGGCCGAGCCTGCCCAGAAGAAGCGAAAGACAAATAAAAAATCTGAGGCCCCGGAGGATGAACTCGATTCAGGCGATGAAGTCACGATTCGGAAAGCACGCGAAAAGCGAGAGAAAAAGCGCAAGGGGAAGAAGTCCAAAGGCAAGAATGCAGTCGACGACGATATGGACTTGGACGATGATGAAGGGGGCACCGGAGGCTTTGTACGGACACGTGCCATGAAGCAGCAGATGTAGGTCTTCCCGAGTGAGTTATATTCTACAGTACTGTCGTTCTGACCCGTATTCCCCACAGTCGAGAGGAAGAGGAACGTAAACCGCTAGCCAAGATCGACGGTGCGACGATTGACGTGGATGCTCTGTGGGAGCAGATGAACGCGCCTGGCACCGAGCTGGGTCTGCGGCCGGACCAGATGAAACACGATAGTGAGCCGACTCCAGAAATCGATCACGTCAACGCGCACATGAAGGGCCATGCTCCCAAGCCGGAGAATAATTCGCGCCATGCCCACAGCGAAGAGATGATCAAGATCAAACGGACTTACGAGTTTGCTGGTGAGATGATTACGGAGGAGAAGATGGTGCCCAAGAACTCGGCAGAAGCCAAGGCGTTCTTGTCTAGTGGACAGACCGTCGAGAATGCAGAGGACGTTGCAGCACCGAATCGCAACCTACGCCGCCCACTGCGCAAGATATCCCGATTTGATCCCAATCCAACTGGAACAATCAAGAAGAGTTGGGAGAAGCAGATTTTGGAAGCTGGCGATCAGAATGCGAGCGGACCGAAGATCAACACAGTGGAGAAGTCTCGACTCGACTGGGCGCAATATGTGGATCAAGCCGGAATCAGCGACGAACTGCGTGTCCACAGCAAGGCCAAAGAGGGATATATGGGCCGTATGGATTTCCTGGGTCGTACCGAAGCCAGAAGGGACGAAGAGGCCCGACAGGCCCGTATGAAGGGCATGTGAAGTCTTATCTTTTACTGTGCCGTCTTCTATCTGCGACTCGGCAAGGGTTACGATCATTACTTGTTTTGGTTATCAGCCGAAACCATATCGCTCCCTCTCCCGTTAGAAATGCATGCCAGGGCCGTATTGTGGGAGCCTCGTACCTGAGTCGCCTTGACACTTTCGTCTGAAAGGTCGAATTCTGGTGGTATGCGCTATTTTGAGCAAGCAGCCTGTTGAACTTGATTCAGGCGGAAAATTTTGAGTGCATATCGTCATGCCTCAGCGAGTAGATTCATTCTACCTGCACTGTCGACGGACCATAAATTACCGCATCCCCAAATGGAAGGGATGATCTCGTTCATCAACGCCAACGACCCCGAAGTCTATAACACTCAAATGGTCCAGGGTTCAGGATTCGCGCACCGCGCTGGATTATCCCAATTGCAGCCCTGAACTTCTGTCAAGGTGGCTTGAAACGACATATTTGTTCCAGCATTCATCTTATGATATTCGGCGGGTGTCTCCCCTAGCGGTCATGTACTCTAATTCCTAACCATAACAACCCAGAAACCTAATATCATCAACACAGGCTCAATTTCTATATACATTGTTCGCCTGTTCATACAACAACCTTCCTTCAAAAGAGGTGCTAAAGCTTAGTTGCTCTTAGGCAAGTACTTGACGCCGCTGCTGGGGCAGTTGGATGACTCGACTAAAGATTGTCAGTTGCAAAGGCGACAAGAAGAGAACTTGTATCACTTACGTGGAGCAGTAGGCTGGTACTGGCCGTCAATGGCATTGCCAGCCACATTGAAGAAGTAGTACATCTGGCTCAGCGCACCATCCTCACAACCAACATACGGTTTCGATCCACCGTGCAGCTTAGACAGTGCGGCCTGGATGTCACTGAGCTCGTATGTCTTCGAGTCGGAGGGGTGATACCCGCCGCGGACAACGCCTGTTATCGTCATTATTGCTGAACTGCTATATGGAATAGGTAATGGCAAGCTCACCTTGTACGTATCAAGACTCTTAAACAAGTCTACCACCTTCTGGAAGTAATCCCCAACCTCCTCCTGGGGCGAGTAGTTGGTGTAGCAGCTCGGCTTGATAGTGTTAATGCAAGTACCATGCTTGCTCCATTCATGCTCCCAGAACGCCTCGTCGCTACCGTCGTCGCTGACCCAGTAAGTCTGCATGTATGAGAGCAGATCGGTACGGTCCTGCGCGGTCAGGATATCGGAAATATTGGTGTATGCACGCGAGGAGTCGCAGCTAGCTTGGTAGGTTCCATCGCAGTTGTCGGGCCTAGTCATAAGATTAGATCAGCCGTTCTTGCCATCGTCGATGGTGTATACTTACCACAGGCCGTGGATGGTCCACGAATCACTTGGACCGGTCGTGGGGTCTGTATCCCAGAATTGGGTCTGCAGAAGAGCACCGCCCGGGTAATTGTAGCAGCAGGTAGGAGCCTTGGACGAGCTGTGGCAGCTCAGGGTGCCATTGTTCGAGCAAGATTTCAGCTGGGCCAGGGCACCGGTGGTGACAGTAGCTAGAGCGAGCATTCGTGAGAACGACATTGTGAATGTTGTTTTGGATTTAACTGAGCGGATGGAAAATAAGACGATGAGGGACGAAGAAACACCCCGACATTATGTAGAGTAACGCGGACATTGCCAGGGACACGAATTGTCGATCAATGCAGCAGTACAAGCACATGCACTGATAAGGGTATCCTGATTCGCGACGATCATCGGATATCGCCGTGAACGCTAATCCTTCAGGTGGGGAGGTACGCCAAGATCTGTTCAACAGTGTTATCCAATTGTTTCACTAATTCCATGCAGGGTCTCGTCTTCTTCAAACCACCGTCGGAACCCCCCATTCTCAATCTAGATTCGACGTTGCATTCGTTGAAACGCCTGCGGATCTCCGATGCTGATTGATCCCCCCGGGAGATGAGCCCCCGCTTTACTCGGTCGCGCTGTGGCGAACCAGATGCGAGGGAGGGGTGTGCCCTGAGGATCGGCGGCCCCAATTCTTCACGATGAGCTTGATAGGGTGGAAGTTTGGACCCCAGACTCTGGGATCGGCTTCCCTTTTCTTCCAGTTTTTTACGTGCAGGATCTCGTACTTGAGGTGAAGCCCAACGCTGATATTCCCAGTGCGCAATTAACGTGGATACAAAGGCCAGAAATGTTGGAATATTGGGCAATTCTATGAAATCAATGGTTCTTGCTCCCCCTCGTCATCTTGCATTGATCGACCAGCCCGAATACGCAAAAGGGCTGCAGCGGCAAACGCAAAACATAAACCGGCCTGCAGGAATGGCAGACCCATCCAGCCATTGCCGAGATGCATGCCTAATCGGAAGAGGTAGGCGAACAACGGGCCCGCGATGAGCATCCCGATTGATTGGGAGATCGCCAGTGCCGAGTACAAAGTGCCAACGTGGTCGGGCAGGACTAATGAAGTGGCTAAACTGCGTGTGCTGACATTAAACCCTCCGCTGAATGAAACCATCACTACTCCGGTGATCAAGAGGCCTGGGTTGGGGGCCAGCCCTATTAAGGTGAAGCCGACTATTGCACAAAGGCCTGTCCCTTGGCTAAGCCAGTAATCTCGTAATTTGCCATGCAGGTGGAGATATCGAGTGGCTAAGAAGGTGAGTGCGGGCATTAATACTAGGAAGCTGAAGATGCCGAAGACCCCGCGGATGGAAATCAGCAGACTCGCCTGTTTGCTGTTAGCTCAACTCTGATGGAATAGGTGGACTGCTTACTTGGGCAATGCTCCAGCCGAACTTCTTGGAAGCGTATTGTAAGAGAATGACAGTGCTTTGGCGGCTGATCATGGAAGCGAAGGCGAGGAAGATCATCCAAAGGATACTGCTATCTGCCCACATAAACTTAATAGATTGCGTAAAGTCGCGCAACTGATGACGGAGAGCCTGGAGGGTAGACTGTTTCCCCAGTTGCGTCGTAGCTTCGGTCGAGTTGTCGGCTGTTCTCCGATTGACTCTTTTTCTTTTGGCATATTCAAGTGTTTCTGGAAGAAAAAAAACGTTCATGTACCCAACTAGCATAATCACATAACCCAGAATGTAGGGGATCCATAGGTTGATTGTCATCAGGTATGCACTGAATGGCGTAGCCAAGACCTCGGCGACAAGTACACAGGACGTGAGGCGAAAGAGGGCGGTTGATCTATCTAATTAGACCCACCTGGTAAATTTGAGGGAATCGAAGAACATACCTCTCTTCCTCTGAGAAAACATCCGCGACTATATTCAATAGAACGGAAGCCATGGTTTGATCGCCACCGCCAAATATCCGCCATACTGATGACAACCACACTAATCGGAGGGGTAGAACATTTGACCAAGCACCTGATGTAATTAGTGATCATTTAACCGGCTCAGAATGTTTACTCTTTCCACGTACAGACAAGTCGAGTCCAGAATTCGGCCAACAGACTGCCTAGGACGGCAAGGAGCACCACCGGTTTCCGGCCCCAATGGTCGGAAAGGACTCCGTACGCCAGGGACAGGAGAATTGCTGCACGACAAGTCAGCCACCAAACGCGAAAGTAGTATTTTAGGACTCAATACTTGGAAGCACGTCAAATCCATCCTTGTAGCCAATAATCAAGGCCAATTCCCCTGGCACAAATAGTCAATATCAATAATAGTTAAGCTCATGTCTAGGTTATTTGCTCACCTTGAACAGCTTCTGATTTGCACGGGTCTTCACCAAGGGTCGCATTTCCAGCATTCCGGAACTCCAGATGATTCCGACAGATAATCTGTTCAAAAATTGCAGTCTGAGGGGCCACCGAGAGGAAGGCTCCAAAATCTACGGAAAGGATAGACACTGCACACACGATGAGAATCAGTAGCTTCTTGGCGTCCGTGATGGTCGGCACGCTAGGACTTCCGGGCAATAAGGGGTGCGTTTCGGGGTCGTCAGTCCGGTCGCCAGTTATGACAGCCATGATGATTGTTGGAGAATTCGATTAATGGGTCCCCGGGAGGGACAATAAATATCTTTCTCACTCGAAATGCTGGGGCCTGAATCAAAAGCTGTTAATCTAAAAGAGCCGTACCTTACCCCAGCTCAATGCTTATCGTCCACAGCGAGAGACGGTCTTGCGCGAGCCCAATTGGTCCCGATAAAACCAAGGGATTCCGCTAGGCTGAACGGGGATTCAGATTTCTTTGTCTAGACCTGCCTAACCATCATCAGGCGTGATTGACTCGTGGATGTAGAGAATCATTGGCTCGATTTGATGGGAACACGTACCTGTCAGGTACTGGTTATCGCCATACAACGTCGAATTCCGAACTCCGAATTCCGAATCCCGACCCCGAGCACCGAGCCCCGTTCGCTCTTACATTGTGATTAACTTAGTGAGTAGTGATTTGTAAGAAATCTTGAAGGGTAGATACAAAGCGTTTCATGATTCAAGCGAATCCAAGGCTCTGAAATTACCTGAGGAATTGTCGTGCCAGATGAAGGCTGTTCCCAAATCACAAAGACAACGTTTGAATGAGATCACCAGGGGAGCGTAAAATCTACCAATGAAATGCACGACATGCAATTGAAAACCCCATAATTAGCCTGAGCTTGTTGTGCTACTAAGACTTACAAGCAGGTAGAAATGTCTAGTGTACGGATGTTCCCCACTGCGGATCCCAAGTTCCACTCTTCGCGAGTTTAAGGTTGCATGCCTCGCGTTCAAGTCAGCAACAGACAGTCCCTGCTCCAGGGTATCCCGATCTACCACCATAGCCAGCAAATGTACAATTGTCACGTTGAACGTGTAAGTCGTGCCTATAGCATCACCCGGTTCTTGTGCCTCCTGCTTTGTTTCTGCTGGGCCCAGAACATCAAAAGATGGAAAGCGAACCATCTTTCTTCAGACTCTGATGATGAACACACTGGTGTATTGATGATCGTGTGCGTGTTGGGCCCAGAAAGAATCGGTGTCTCTGAACATTCGGCTGCCTCAGGCCACCGTAGCCTTGAAGTTATCACCTTCAACGGGCCGATTGAGATCATTTGCCGAGTCTGACTCATTAATAACGGATCCGATCTATCACGAGTGATCATGTTCATACATTAGCCATTTTTCAACATTAATAATATGCGTCTCGTGTTGTACTCAAATTATGCTTAGCAAGTGAGCATTAAGAGGCATAAAGTTCAAGTATACGTGAGCTCAGCGGAGGCACTGAGTCAGTGCCCCACTATTCTCCATTTCCACGGGCTTTGGTTGGTCCAGGCATCTCGAACGTGGAGCACTGAATCATCTCTCCGCTCTTGGGGTTTGCAATCTACGGGTCACGCTTGCTTATGCGCATGGAAATGATCAAAATATGTACGGAGTTTTGAACAATTTTAGCGGTCTGAGTCTTGCATCCGTACATAAAGCTGGTCTGATTCTAATTTTGAATCCCCTCGCTCTTTTTCTTTTTCACGCTCTTTTGCTCTTGAATAGATCCCGAGCCGCCTCCAAATCCCTTCAGGAGCGCAACCGCCGGACCTCTACATAAACCTTATAATTTGTTTTCTTTCATATCACCAAAATGTCCGCTGCGAGCCACAGATCGGGCTCAAGCCACACAACTCTCGAGCAGGAAAGAATACAGGAGCCAGATCTTGAAAAACAGCCCACGGAGGCTACCGCTGAGGCATCGACGCCAACAGTACTATTCCCAGTGTCGGACTTGAGTCAGGGTATAGTGGGATGGGACAGTCAAGATGACCCCGAAAATCCCCAGAATTTTGCCAGCGGCAAAAAATGGGCTCTTCTCGCGCTTATTAGTGCTTTCACATTGGTCTCCCCGCTTGCATCGAGTATGTTTTCGCCCGCCGTCGTATATATGGGCGAGCAGTTCGGCGAGTCGAATGAGACGATTCTTGCCTTGAGCGTTAGTATCTATTTGATTGGATACACGGTAAGCTTTCCCCCAATGACCATAAGAATTATGCGTTCTAACGGATTCTTGAACTTCTAGTGTGGTCCCCTGTTCCTCGCCCCCCTTAGTGAAATCTATGGACGTCGCATCGTCTTGTCGTCCGCCAACTGGTTCTTCGTCGTTTGGCAGATTGGCTGCGCGCTTTCAAAAAACATCCAGACATTGATTGTTTGTCGTTTATTCGCCGGCGTCGGAGGAAGCGCATGCATTACGCTTGGAGCTGGTGTGGTTGCAGATATGTTCCCAAGAGAACAGCGCGGCATGGCAACTTCCATCTGGAGCATGGGTCCTCTCATTGGACCCGTGGTGGGCCCAATTGCTGGTGGCTTTCTTGGTGAACAGGTTAGCTGGCAATGGATCTTCTGGCTCCTGTTGATTGTCGGCGGTGCCATGCAACTTGGTATCGAGGTCCTTAACAAGGAAACGTTTGCTCCAGTTCTGATCAAATGGAAGACCGCCAAGCTGGCAAAGGAGCTTGGTCGTACCGACTTGATCAGTGCTTTTGATGTGGGCAAGGAGAAGCTCACAACTGGTCAAACCTTGAAGCGCAGCCTTGTTCGACCGGCATTGCTGTTGACGAAGTCACCCATCGTGGCGCTTCTTTCACTTTATATGGTAAGACTTTAAGCCCGGGCTTTTGCATTTGATTGAGCTTTTACTAATGTTGGAATTCAGTCTCTGGTCTATGGCTTGCTCTACCTTTTTTTCACAACCATCTCGGATGTCTTCACAAGTACCTACGGCTTCTCAGTCGGTCTATCAGGCCTCGCATATCTGGGCATAGGCATTGGTTTCATTGTCGGTCTTGCTATTATGGGTGTGACCAATGACAAAATCATGGTGAAGCTTACAAAGAAGAACGGAGGGCAGTTCGAGCCGGAGATGAGACTGCCGACTATGATCATCTTTGCCTGTATTCTGCCGATCAGCTTCTTCTGGTACGGTTGGACCGCTGATAAGCACGTTTTCTGGATTGTGCCTATTATCGGCATGTTTCCCTTCGGTGTGGGTATGATGGGTGTCTTCATGCCTATTCAAACCTACATCATCGATTGCTACCCAGCCTATGCTGCCTCAGCGAATGCCACCCTAACCGCGACTCGATCGCTTGTTGGTGCTCTCCTCCCACTTGCCGGTACACCCATGTTTGATTCCCTAGGACTCGGCTGGGGAAATTCGCTACTCGGGTTCCTTGCTCTGGCTTTTGTTCCCATCCCCATCATCTTCACCAAGTATGGCAAGCAGATCCGTGAGCGATGGCCCATCAACCTTGAAAAATAGAAGGTGATAGGACTCTATCGAGGTGCCGGTCGTCTTCATCAGACATTTTTTTTTTCTTTTTTTTTTTTGTTAAAAGTTACGCATGCTCTGCACATATGGCGAAAATTGTATATCGGGGACGCGATCCCATAATAGACTTTAGATTATGTATTAATAGATTTCATGTCATGAACGATTCCATTACACATCGTGTAGTAGAGACTCAAGTCATGTTAAAAACAAGCGAATTGAGATCGACTCCATCCGTCAGACTCGGATACTTGCTCAGAAATTCCGGTGTAATACCCCACCCCTCCTCACTCATGAATATATCATAGAAAGCAGGCTTGATACAAAGCTCATCATTTTCATCGCGCTCGAGAATCTTCACGCCCCATGGCCATCGGATTTTAATACAGCATGCGAGCATGCCAAACAACCCCTCGCGGTCATTGTCATAAAGCAGCCATTGCCGGATCATGTTGGATCTGACTTTCGGCCAGGGGATACAGCTCAACGCAAGAGGGTGCTTGATCTGGAACTGTTCTTCAACGGGGTTGAGGTTAGAAGGAAGGGATGCGAAGGTCTTTGGACTGGGTGCGAGGATCCATCTGGAAAAATGGTACGCTACCCAGCCCATGGCTAACCTCTCTGGTTCACGAATTGGACGTCTTTCTAGCGCTTTGTGGATCATGTTTGCTAGTGGGTTGGTTTTGCTGCCGTAGAGGATTTCTAATGGTGAGGCAGGTGTATCAGGGCAATCCATGATTTGTTCCATATGGAAGAACCACGGACAAGAGACGGTCTTGAGATTGGAAAAGTCGTCAGCGTAGAGCGGGAGTCGGTTCCATTGCGGACGGGCCGAACATGGTAGCGATGGTGAGCTTATTGGTATTGACGATGTTTTCACATCAGGCGAATACTCTTCCACGCTCTGGGGCGTGGAAGCAGACGGGTTGTATTGATTCGGAGGAACGCTGGGCTCGAAGGCTTTATCATTCACGCCTTGGGTCATCCACACATTGTATGCTCCCGTGTCTTCAATTCTGTCATCCCATGAGTTGACCATCGACTTTAACGTCTTTTGGCGCGCCACAAGGATCTCATTCTGATTGCGGAGGGATTTGATAATTCCAAGAAGCTGTTGGACGCCTTGATCGGTGTGATGTTGTTCGCAGTGAGCTACCTGAGCCTCTAACTGAGCTGTGTAGTTCTCCTTTTTTGCGCGGAGATTCTTCTGGGAGCGTCTGTCACGTATGCGCTTGCGCTCTGCTGACGACAAGTCCGACATGTTATCTTGTGCATCTTAGACCAGTTTTATTTGGGTTGACGTTGGTCGGGTGAACTATATTACGGCGGTGAATTCGCTTGGTTCAATCCGTTTCGCACCCATTTGAACATAACCATGAATCCATGATACAATGAGATATTCCTTAGCCATACTTTCTCGGCCTGAGGTTTCAATATCGAAATATCTCAATTTTGCCAACGGGATTACAGGAATAAGGTTGAGAGAAAAAGGAAATCTAAATTCTGGTTAGATTCACCATCATCGACCCCCGCGCTCAAGCCTCAGGCACCAACATTCAATGCTGATGTTGAATCGAGATGAAATACCATATACTGCTTGCTATTACACGCAATGAATGACTTTACTAAGCCTTGGAGGATTCAAAGTACACTTCTCAATCCAACCGTTATCTCTGCCATTGTCCATGGTCTCGACACGTCGCTTTTGGGGCAGCTGCAAGGATCCGCGTGGAAAGCGGTCTTCCAGATCTTTCAAAGTCAGCCGGGCCTAGCAGCCCATTTGGCAATCGCTTAGTTTCCCTCTGAGTGGGCTTACCGGCACTTTGGAAGATTTCCATGGCACTCCTGTCACTTTCTGTTGTTGGTCTTCACCTGAATCGCATGGCAAATTGGCCGAGGAGCGTCCACGCCCTACCGGTATGGCTCGGTCGACATTGAAATTGAGATTCTCTGTGGCCCGATTATGGCCGATTCGCAGTGTTGCCGACAGCTCTACGTTGGGTGTTCACAAAATTGGTAATATGCTCACTCCGTTGAGCTTCATACGATCTCAATATTTACATTGATGGAATGAGTCTTACCTGAGCATGGGGTGTATATTGCCTCGAACCAAATCATACCGAGCTCTGGTGGCTGAGAACCGGAATTCGCAAACATTTGATGAACTGGCTCGCGCATTTGTGTCAAGGATTAATTATTCCTAGTCTGACTCGCATGGTGAAATGCGGACTCATCCCCACTTGATTCGGGACTACATTTTTGGTTCTTTGATCAATGTTTGCTACTGTCGGGCGGCAATCGCTCTGCCGTCCAAGTCGCTAGATAATGGGAACACCCTCGAATGTTATGCACATGTTGCAGGATCTTATATTAAAATGACGAAACACCGGCTTGAACGAAAATTTTCATCATGCACGCTCGTAGATAGCCCTGGTGTTGTGTGCTTGCTCAAAATGTGCGAGTTTGCTATGATCTGTCCCCACCATGGTATCGACCGTGACAAGATTCAAACTCAGCCCATGTCCAATTGCCCTCCTTCAAAAGTATGAATAATTTGCCATGATAGTATTCATTACACGATGATGTAGGGTTCTACTGGCGGACAGCCCAAACATGTGTGGTGAGACTCGTTGATGGATTTAGGAGTTCGTTATATATATTAACCTGAGCACCCAAAAAAAACCTCCGCCCGTCTAAGCAAAGATCCTGGCAATGGGCACCAAACCCTGGAATTACCCACCTGCATCTACAACATTGTAAGGTAGGTAGATTTGGACAAAGGAACAATTGCTTTAAAAGGCCTCGCAAATTGCGCATAAATTAATCCCGGGAGCTTTATTAGTTACTCACAGGCTCCTGAGATAGGAATGGCAACAGCCTGATGTCTGCTTGAAATTACATCAATGAAAATTGTGCTCTATTTTCATTACTAGGTACCTGGTACCCATTGTAAAATTGAGAGCCCAAATCTTGATATTTCCCAAGGTCATCTCATCTGTGATAGCAGAGTATAATGCTCTGGGTTGCAATTGATCATTGCAGGTGACCAGTGGTAGCAATCGGGTTCCTCCTTAGATGTTACGCTCGCTTCTAGGCCTTCTAGCTAAAGCTATCTACCGCCTGCCCAGGCCCCAAGATTCTAAATTGGAAGCATCAGTAAATCCACTCCCTTGTCTTCCAAGGCTTCTCTCGCTCAGAGCAACAGCGATTACCACTTGAGCACAGGCACCCGGGCAACACAATCAATCGTCAAGTGACCCCTGTGCAGGCACCATCGTTTCGAAGGTCCAAGAACCCGAGGGAAATCGCCAATCAACACCGCACCTCAAACATACATGATGCGAGTGCAACATTGAATGATTCGCGCCAGAGGGCAAAATCTCGCGAGCAAAATGCCTCCCTGGAACTCATCTCCACATTGTCGGGTTCAATCTATTGAGCACACCCCAGGGGGAATATTATAATTCAATATGAAACCATTCCAAGTAGCGTTATGCTGGGAGACAAAAGAGTTAGGAAGCTCTACCTTGGAGCAAGGGCCCAATAATATGATGTCACTCAGATTCTCCTGAGAGGGACCAAGTCTAGCCCATGCGCCGCGAAGGACACCTTGGTGCGTGCTTTGCATGAAGATTTCCCTCCAGAGTATGGGTACTTCATCAACCTCCAGATCTGTTTCTGCTGAGAATGTCTAGCATAATGTAATGCACGGCCGATCAGGGTGGGTGATCAGACCCTTCGATCAATGTCCGAGCTTTTCAGTTTAATGTTTTCTGTGATCTATTGAGGTATCCGCATAGCTAGAAATCAATACGCTAGTGAGTTGTCTGGTATGCGCATTAGGGCCGACGCTTTGACGCTAATTGCGTAAGTGGTGCTCAGATACCACACGACTCAGAACAAAAGATTTGTGATCTTCAGGGTCTGAAGGGTAATTTTTTTCAAGGGTGTATTCAGGGTTTTAGTACCTAGATTTGCCCTTCATCACGATCCTATCGTAGGATAGTACACGAGGGTATCAAATCCTAACTCCTGGAACGTCAAAAAACTGTAAACACCCCGACCCCACCAAGACTGGGATCTAGGAGGCAGATCGTAGGGCTTTGCAAAACATAAAGTTTCGCCACTGGAGGCTGCTATCCAGGAAACCGGGACCTGAGACGCAAGGCGATGCGCTGCAATGCGAGTCAGTGAATGATTGCGCAAAAGCACCCTAATGAATTAAGAATAGTTCCAAAAGCAAAATATAATTTCTTTGTTTCTCTAAATGTTTTAGCGTCGAGGTCAATGTTTTGGCCGTTGACAAAAGAAAAAGAGGCATGCAAGGGGCTGGAACTTGGAAGGGGGCGGGAAGCCCTATTCCTCATCCAAAGGTACCTTTGCACCGCCCACATTACTATTGATGTACTGTACCCTGAATTTGAGCTCTGATTCGTCTATAGGCTGGCTAGTGATGCCGTGACTTCAAATTATCCGAAATGACATGGCACGACAAATTGAGAGCGTACTAAACGGCTTGATTATTAACCATTGCCCTGCATATACCGAGCGGGCGCACCTGACAGATCTCCGCAAAAGCAAAAGGAAGATTATATATCGTAGATCAGGTATCGAATGATCACCGTGAGATTGGAAAAACCCAGACTGTAAACATCCAAGAGCCTCTTCTCAACCTCAGAACTCACACACAGACCTTCTCATGGGCATGCGGCTTATCGGTGTCAATAGAACCCAAGACCTACAGTGAGAACAATAACAGTAGACCCTGAACAATGGCATTCAACGACGTCACCATCACAGCGACCGGGCCAACGCACGTACAGCAAAAGCCATCAATTGGCCTCTTGCATCCGGACCTGCATGTTGACACCCGGAGAATGTGAAGCGGCTAAATGCAATAGTAGCGCACGGTATGCTCAGCTGAGCTCTATTGGTCTGCTGCATAGGACCAGCCATTCTGGACCTTCCCCGCAAATTGATCGACGAGCAGGGTTCCTGGATGGTAAGCCATGGCGTTGAAAGGCTTGCATTGCAGGTAGATCAATGTGCAAAATCTTGTTTTTGGTATTGGAGACGGCACAGAGCACTTCGAGTTTGGGATCGGACATGGATTAGAGAAGGCCTAGGATCGATAGTGTGCTTCCAGACTTGGCCTTGGGATTTTGGAACTGAAATATTGCTAATGCATGTATCATTCGATTAGGTTTACAGGGGGTTGAAGTGTATGAATAGGGAGGGGTACATCAGATGTCTGTGCCATGTTTCTAGTGTCCGGAATTTACTGGTACCAAGGTTGGAGATACGATGGCCGAATCAGTGATGGTTCGTGCCTGAGCGTTGAATATGAGATCGAATGGGGTTGTTTTTGACAGGAGAGGACACTTGTCAAAGTGTTGAGCTAGTTTTGTTGGGTATTTTATCTACGTTTAACCAAACGACTCTTGAATGTTCATATGTAAACATGGACTTTTGTCCAATTCTAGTACGAACAATGAGATTCGTGGATAGTGCATGTCGGATTGTGGTGGGGAGATGGTTATTAGGACTGGCACGGATACGGTTGGATAGCCACGGTATGTGAGCGATAAGTACTGTACTGTAGATGAGTATCTTGCGATCAGCCACAGTGGATCGCCACCAGTGCTTAGTGGCGGATCTTCAAGCTCGGGTTAGCCGACAAGGCTACTAGTGGTATGACCCACTGCAACAATGGAGCTCAGATTTCAAAGGCACTATTCAAACCTACGCATCGGGCTCATTGCCAACTCCTGATCTGTGCATGTGGATACTAGCCGGGTCCATCTGGGTCGCCTGAATCATTGTGTCCATGGTGAACTGTGTTTTGGATGACAGTTTGGTCTTGGCATGGAGATCGAGGCAAGTCATCCCTTGAGATGCAGGGGTATCTTAAATGTTCTGGGGGAAAAGACTTTGCACCGGCCCTTGCGGCGAGTCAGGTCTGTGCTGAGTGTTAGATAAGATAGTACGAGCTCAATTGGCAGAAGATGAGGGGCATTAATTTGGCGCTGTTTGATGTATACTGTAGAGGAACGCAATGCGAATCTGAATGGTGGATTGCAATTGACACGAAAAAAGTGGCAAGGAAACTACAGTATGTTGACGTTGATTAAGGCAACAGAAACACCGGGTAGAACTCTGATTGGTTCTTGGTACCATCTTGTAAAGCAGCAGCTCAGCGTAAACAATAATACGATTATTCATGGGCAGCGCCAGCATTCACGGGCACTATTGCCTATTATT